AAGATTTTTGCATTTACTGTTCAAATTTGCATTTTATGTATTAAACTTCCCCCTTTTCTAAGTAAGGTCCAAGTTGCTTACCACAGGTAATTCTTGGTGAGGAAGTAGCTGCATCAAAGCTCACTCTTTTTGACATCACAACACAAATTTGTGATGCAGTTCAAGCCAGAGCAGAACAAGGTTTTGAACAGTTTAGCTTGCCCTATGTGATTTTTGTTGATAGTCTCTATTTTTGTTTCCTGACTTCGATCAAATTTATTAGACAAGTACCATGGGGTCATTCTACTGCCCGAGGGACTCATTGAAAGCATTCCTGAAGTTTATGCACTCTTGAAGGTAATTCTTTATCTAAACAATGGGTTTCTCCATCTCCTCCCCTTTGTTTATGCTGTGTGTAATTTTGTATGTATTATTAATTTTACATGTATGAAAAATTATAACCGCACTTATATCTATGGACAACCAATTAAATTTTTATTTATGTATTAGTTATCATAAGTATATATTAGTCTTTTTCCTTGATATCAGTTGTGTGTACACATTGGTGACTCTCATGTTTGCCTCTTTTATATATTTATGACTGCATTTATATCTATAGCTATGCCCATAAGCCATTGCTTCTCTCTTTTGTGCAATATTTGATATTGGAATTTCATGTATTCTCAGGAAATACATGGTTTGTTGAGGCAAGGTGTTACCCCAAATAACATTTCATCTCAACTCTCACCATGGGCATCTGCTTTGTTTGAATTCCTGCCTCCCTTTATCAAGAAACAGGTTTGGATAGCCCTTTTAAATATAGAATAGAAGACATTTGTTAGTCAGTTGAAGCTTAATGGTGATTGTCACCCATCTAAATTTTTGGTATCTTATGCCACAGCTGCTTCTTTACCCAGAATCAGATGACTCTGCACAGTTATCCCAGGTAACTAGCATGTTATTCTTATGGAGAGAGAGCATTGAAATTATGAATCCCTGATATATTGCCTGCTTCTTTGTTTCACCTCCAGATTGAGACGGAGAAACTTCTAGCACATCTTGTGGAGGTAGAAATGGGCAAACGGCAGGTATGCTGTAGAGTTTTTATTACCCATTTATTTGTCTTCTGACAATATCTTATTCATTCTATGCTTGTGCTTGGAACATTGATGCAAGCTCTAATCTCTCTAGTAATGTGAAAGAAAATTTTTGATGTGTGGTTTAAAGTTTTTGCTCCTATTTATGTCCACCACCTATCGTTGAATTAATATTTTAAACTATAATGCTGGTATCCTTGACTGAATATCTGAATGTACTGATGGAGGCAGTTTTCCTACCAAGCAGAAAACAAAGTGAATGCTATCGGAAGTGATATATATCTCTTCGTTCTAGATTGGATGAGATCTTTTGCTTCACATATTTTTACATTTGTGGCATGATTCTCTGTTCTGTTGCTACTTCCAATATGCTATAGGAAGTTAGATGTAAGAACAAGAACAGGCTTACATTGACACGTAGCTTTTGTCAGTTAGAAGTCTATACCAACTTATGTTCTACTTGATTAAATCATTATCAATGATGTCTTGGGTTTTCTTTTGGGCAGAAAGAAGGCACATACAAGGGGAAGAAATTCAATGCTATCTGTCACTTTTTTGGCTATCAGGCCCGGGGTTCTGTTCCATCAAAATTCGATTGTGACTATGCCTATGTAAGTTATCATAAAGGATGTTTTCTTTGGCCTTTTTAGTTAAATGTAGCATCACTAATATGTGCAATAACTTTTCTGTAGGTTCTTGGACATATCTGCTACCATATTCTAGCAGCTGGTTTGAATGGTTACATGGCAACTGTAACAAATTTGAAGAATCCTGTGAATAAGTGGCGATGCGGTGCTGCTCCAATTACAGTTGGGTTTCAATTCTGTTTTTAATCCTCCAACTCCAAGTGAATTTGATTTCATTTACTCTATATCTCCAAATCAAGGATTATGTTTTTATTGGAACACTTTTTCCTTGCATTAAATGCAGTCCAGTTTTCCTTGTAATGCTTGCAGTGGTGTAGATTCTCAACTTCTTTGGACTGTCTTCTGTAAAACTGCAGGCAATGATGACAGTGAAGCGTTGGGCTCAAAGTCCAGGTGCCACTTCAATTGGAAAACCTGCTATTCATCCAGCCACTGTGGATTTGAAGGGCAAAGTATATGAGTAAGTTCTTTTCAGCTCCTTTCTTTAGTGAGTTTGTGAAAACTTTATGTAATAGCCAAATAATAGAAGAAAGGATTAGGAGACTTTAGTATTAGTGCAATCACAACTTTGATTTGTCTGCATGTTATGGCCAATGGACACCATATTGATTTTCTGGTTTTGGCAATGCTTTGGTTGCAGGCTTCTCAGACTAAATGCAACGAAGTTTTTGATGGATGACATATACAGAAATCCAGGGCCCCTTCAATTTGAAGGTCCTGGTGCTGATGCTAGGCCAGTAACTCTCTGTGTAGAAGATCAGGATTACATGGGCAGGATAAAGAAATTGCAGGAATACCTTGACCAGGTGTCTATATTTATATGTTCTCTCGATTCTTTAATTGCTATTTTACATTCCATGAAAATCAAATTGCATGTTTCAAAGCTAGAATGATTAAAGCCATAGCGTAGACACCTAGGATTCCCAATCCCAAACAGCAGTAGTCGGTCCACTAAGCCCACACATAGCAAATTTGAATTCCAATCCAAACAGCAAGTAGTCGGTCCACTAAAAGCCCAACATAGCAAAATTTGAGCTATGTCCAACTGATAAAGAAATTGCAGGAATACCTTGACCAGGTGTCTATATTTATATGTTCTCTCGATTCTTTAATTGCTATTTTACATTCCATGAAAATCAAATTGCATGTTTCAAAGCTAGAATGATTAAAGCCATAGCGTAGACACCTAGGATTCCCAATCCCAAACAGCAGTAGTCGGTCCACTAAGCCCACACATAGCAAATTTGAGCTATGTCCACTAAGCCCACACATAGCAAATTTGAGCTATGTGCATGACAAATGGTTCACACAGAGAAAAAAGAAGGATCAAATTCCATTGTTTAATTTTTTCCTATGTTCCTCTTTGCAAGTGAAAGAATTTAGTATTTTCCAGATGTTACTCCATTTTCAACATAATATTGACAGGCTTTTCCTTTGAACTTGTATAATGTTGCTGTATCTTGATAGATTTGGGAAAAGCCAACAGTGGTTGGGGTAAAGGGAGAGAACAAAAGAACTTAAAAGCTTGACTGCACTATGGCTTCTTCTTTGGTTTAAGTGTGAATTATAACCAATACTTTTTATAATTAATAATGTTTGAATTTGGTCTGAACTTCTTGTTTAATGGTATCCCATCATTGCAACTAAAAAGCCTAATTGACCCATCCTCCACTTAGGTTTTCTGTCCTATTATATTTTTTATGAAATATGTTTATTTTATATCTGCCAGAATTGGACAAGACTTAATTTATCAGCTTCCTGCATCCCACAAGTTGAATGGTGTTTGGTCAAGTAGCTCAGGCTGTTGGCATTTCTTATTTTGTGTAGCATTTAAAAATGCAGCTTGATTCTTTCTATATTTTGCTGTTTCATGGTCATTCTTTAATAGTATGTTGATGATGTAAAATTTTCAGGTAAGAACTATTGTGAAGCCAGGTTGTTCACAGGAAGTTCTTAAAGCTGCTTTGAGTGTAATGGCTTCTGTGACAGATGTTCTTTCTGCAATGTCTTCATCTTCATTCAATGGCCAGATACCCCTTTAAGAGCACAAAATGATTTTCTCAAACCATAACTCGTTGCTACTGCATAGTTTGAGAATCACTCAATACTCCAGCACACTGTCTCCTTTTCGTTAGTTTGTATCTTGAACTGTAGAAGGTGCAGATCTGTCAGATGATGGCAATAAGCTGAATTTTGTATGTTGTTTTTCATATATGAAGAGAAGAGTTAATTTTAAAATTTTGCTTTACTTTCTTGTGCGAGAATATAACCTGAGGAATACATATTTGTAAAGTTTGGTGGGAAGGAGTGCTGCGCTTCACCACCACCACTTTATGTAGCGGATATAATTGTAGTATTGTGTGCGCAGTGAGATTCAATTGATTTTAGTAATGAGCATGTATTCTAAGCGTGAAGCTGTGGTCTACTGATATTTGGTAAGTTCTTCAAAGCTGTCATTGCAAGTAGCAGAAGATGAATTACAGATTGAAACAAAAGTGGATTGGGACATGACCTGCGTAATCCATTTGATGTCAATCTGAATTTGGATTGGATGAAACTGGCAAAGTTGTGGTGTAGATCTCAATTTTCTGGTGTTGTTATGCCAATTTCAATCATAGGTGTCTATCTTCCTCTCTATAAAATATGTAGCTCTGTCAGGTATACCAATCATTGTCACTAGTCGATCTTGGACACTTGCGTTTTAACATAATTTTCTCTTTTGCTATTAAGTGATGGAAAATTTTGTATTCTTTTATGTTTATTTAAAAATATACATTTGCATATATTGCATCTCGTTGTACTTGTAAACCTGTAGTACTTTTTAATAAAATTAATAAGCACATCACTGAAATGTTTCATTTTACATTCTGAATATTTCTTGTAGTTGGTCACGTAAGATGTTTCACTTTACATTCCAAAGATTCAGTTTCATATTAAATAAAGCACTCTAATTGTTTTAACTGATATGTCCTTTGATATTTCACAAAAAGAAAAATATGTGGGAATTGAGAGAGATATGAAATGCCAGATCTTGGATGCAACTTAATCTGTGATTGAATTTGAAAGTAACTCTTTCAACGCACAGTATGACCTTTTCTTTTACGTTCCGTCCACGAACGATCTGCCATTGACGTAAAAGAAAAACTCTTATAAGCGTCTGTCCATTTGCGAATTGCCGAGTATCTTAAAAGATAAGTGACGCTATACTACTTGTCGTTGAACTCAAAAAAGATAAAAAAAAAAAAAAAGAAACGACTTCGTTTTTTAAGCTCGATTTGCTGTATTGCGAAGCACAGGCTGATTGCGGCTGATAAAGCATCAACACAGTCGAAATGGCTCAATCTCTCTCCTAACTGAAAACCCCTTCTCAAACCCCCAATTTCCCTCCTCTTTCCCTCCCTTTCCCTCTGTCTCAAAGGTAAAAAAGCCCCGTAGTTTCTACACTTGACAGATTGCGAGGAAGCAGATTATAGGAAAAGACCTTCTACCTGGTTTAGATCCTGTGGAGCTCTCGTCTCTGCTTTAATCAAACACTATGACAGCAAGTTTCAGTACAGTTGCAAATCTCTGGTCAGTTTCTGCTTTTTCACTCTCCCTTCTAGTTCCACTGCATCCTTGATTCCTTATCGTTCACAATTGGAATTACGATGTAACAATTGGATACTGCAAACCATTAGTTATGGATATAGTGGCTTTGAATGTGATGGAGTTTGATGATATGGGTGGTTCTGGTTCCCAAGACGATGTCGGTGCTCTTGACCTGGAACACTCAGATGACTTTGAAATCGAATACCGTGATAATAATCACAATTTACTGGAAGGTCCTTCAACGGTCTCCCATTTCTCAACTTCCAATGGTGACCCTAATCTGGAGCCCTATGAGGGTATGGAATTCGATTCAGAACAGGCCGCCCGCATTTTCTACAATTCCTATGCTCGTCGTATTGGTTTTAGTACTAGGGTCAGTGTGTACCAGCGGTCTCGTCGAGATGGGTCCATCATTTGTCGCCAAATTGTGTGTTCTCGCGAAGGGTTTCGTCGTGAGGGCAATGCGAATAGGTCTAAAAGACAACGCACTGTTACTAGAGTTGGGTGTAAATCTCAAATGACAGTTAAGAAACAGAGTTCTGGAAAATGGGCTGTGACTAGACTTATTAAAGAACATAATCATGATCTTGTGCCGCCTGATAAAGTGCATTGCCTCCGGTCACATAGGCATGTGTCTGGTCCTGCAAGAAGTCTCATTGATACTCTTCAGGCAGCAGGGATGGGGCCAAGTGGAGTTATGTCTGTGCTGATTAAAGAATCTGGTGGCATCAATAATGTTGGCTTTACTAAAGTTGATTGCCAGAATTATATGAGTAGTAGTAGACAGAGGACACTTGGCAGTGGAGGTCAGGTTGTTTTTGACTATTTGAAAGAAATGCAGACAGCGGATCCTGGTTTCTTCTATGCCGTTCAAGGTGATTTTGAGAATTCTTCAGGAAACATTTTCTGGGCAGATGCAAGTTCGAGAAGGAATTACACTTTCTTTGGGGACACTGTCACTTTTGACACTACATATAGAACGAATCGTTACCGAGTCCCTTTTGCACCTTTTACTGGTTGGAACCATCATGGACAGCCAGTGCTGTTTGGATGTGCACTATTGCTGAGTGAGTCTGAGTCCTCGTTTGTTTGGTTGTTTGAGACTTGGCTTGCTGCTATGTCGAGCCGCCATCCCATCTCAATCACGACAGACCAGGACAGGATTATACGGGCAGCTGTTTCACAAGTGTTTCCTGGAACCCGTAACAGATTTTGTAAATGGAACATTTTTAGGGAGGCCCAAGAAAAATTATCTGATGTTTATCGCTCACATCCCGCTTTTGAAGTGGAGTTTCAGAGGTGCATCAATATGACAGAGACAATTGATGAGTTTGAGTCATGTTGGGAGTCACTTATTCAAAGGTATGATCTTGGAGATAGTGAATGGCTTCAGTCAATGTACAGTTCTCGCCAGCAATGGGTTCCTGTTTATCTCATGGATACATTCTTTGGTGAGATGTCTGTGATGCAAGGAAGTGATACTATAAATTCTTACTTTGATGGATATATAAATGCATCTACTAATATTCAAGTGCTGATTAAGCAGCATGAAAAGGCAATTGCAACTCGTTATGAAAAGGAAGTAAAGGCAGATTATGATACAATGAATATTCCTCCAGTTTTGAGAACTCCATCTCCAATGGAGAAACAAGCAGCAAACCTCTATACAAGGAAGATATTTATGAAATTCCAAGAAGAATTGGTCGAGACACTTGCTTATCCTGCAACTGTAATTGATGATGTTGGACCGTCAATTACGTATCGGGTGGCAAAGTTTGGGGAAGACCATAAAGCACATTTTGTCAGGTTCCATGTTTTTGAAAAGAGAGCTTGCTGTAGTTGCCAAATGTTTGAGTTTTCAGGTATTATTTGTAGGCACATACTAGCAGTGTTTAGAGTAACCAATGTTCTTACACTTCCATCTCACTATGTCTTGAAACGATGGACAAGAAATGCGAAAAGTCAGGTTGTATTGGATGAACATGCTCTTTGGTTGCCTAGTAATTCTCAGGAGTCCTTTGCTGCTCGCTGTCAGAACCTAAGCCATAAAGTCATCAAATATATAGAAGAAGGTTCAGAATCGATACAGGTTTATAATGTGGCAATGAATGCTCTTCATGAAGCCACAAGGAAGGTTGCCATTGCAAAGAAGCAAGGTCCTGTGTCCATGCAGAATTCTCAGGTCAATGCTAGTCAGCAGCTGCAGCTATGCTGTCTGGTCAGTTCTTAAACTCATACAAGAATTTATCTTTAATTGGCTTCTGTCTGTGTAACTATATTGCACATGATGCTTTGAGTGCTTAATTCTCTTCTTCAATATTCTTGCACAACTAGATTTCCATGGGAATCTATGTCAAGACCAATCAGATTCTGAACTATGGGTTCCATCATTGTTCTAGCTGAAGTTATGGTGCCTTTAACAGCACGAACATGAATTCTGCTTTGTTGAACTATCGGCAAATATATCTCTCTTTATAAGGCTCTAGAAAATATAATTGTGGTGGACTGCACGCCTCTATGTTTTTTTGTTTGGGAAGGTAGGGTAAGTCCTAAATGATAAAGATCACAATCTAGAAGACATTGCTAAAATGGTGCTTATCTGGATGTGCTTCTGATAAATTTTAGTAATGTACTGTTATATCCTATGAATGATATCTGGCAACATGTTTAAGGAAAACTTATGCAAAAGAGTATGCATTTGATGACCTTCCTATGTAAAGTGTAGTTAGAAATCAGCAAGCTGTTAGTGAAATATTATGGTGATCAATTGTAGCTGATTTAAGGAATTGCTGAACAAAATAATGTAGAACGTTGATGATACAAATTTCTTGTTCATTCTCAAAAAAACATCCTGTAAATGCACAAAACTTTACAAATAATTTTTTTTTCCTAAAAAATCAAACCAAATCATTTGGAGGCTGTAAGCATGCGGATATTTAGTTCTGTTATTTGTCTCTATTTAGCTAAAAGCTCTTATCTATTTGCATTTGTAGGACCAGGACAAGAAAATTCAGGAATTGACTGCTGAATTGGAGCATGCAAGCCAGCAGTGTGAAGCATATAGATCAAAACTATTAGCTGTTTTGAAAGATATGGAGGAACAGAAGTTAAAGATATCGGTGAAGGTTCAGAATGTGAGGCTTAATCTGAAAGATTGAACTGAAGCTGAAGGATTAATGTATGCATTATAGAAGCATTGGAGGTCATGAGTAAACTGCAACAGCCTTGCCATTACTTCCTCCATATTTTCAAGTTTAGTTGCCAGAAAAGGATACATCTTATGATCTTAAATTCTAGTCTAGGCAGTTCACAGTTGTATTCTCCCAAAGTTTTGCCAGACCTGTTTGTATTTTAGCCATAACTTATACCATAACCCAATAGTTAATGCGAAGCAAGGAACAGAGTTTGATGAAAGAGATGAGAAATATGACGAGGTAGTTTTAACTTCTAAAGGTTGGAGTATATGTCTATATGTACGTGCGCGCGCGCTCTGATATTAGAGAGTTAAAATCAAGAATTAAAAGTTTGTAATTTCTAATTAACAAGAACTTAAAAAAAGTAATTTGATTTGGATTCAATTTGAAGGGAAAGCTTTAGTGGTCCATAATATTTTTTTGTTCCATTTAACCTCAAAAAAAAAAAAAAAAAAAAAAGCTTGAATTGGTAGCATGCAATCCGCAGTGGTGAATGTCATATAGATCAAAACTTATTGCTGTTTTGGAAAAAGAATATTTGGATGGAACAGATTATTTATATAGATATTCGTGGAATGGTGTCAGAGTGTGAGATGGCCTTAATCTGAAAGATTGATATTCTTTGAAAGCTGAGGATTTATATGTATGCATGTATTAGAAGTCATTGGAGGTCATGAGTAACTGCTAACAGCCCCTGCCAATTACTTCTCTCCCATATTTTATGTTAGTTTGCTCATGAAAGGATACATCTTATGATTAATTTCTAGTCTAGCAGTTCGACAGTTGTATTCTTCCCAGAAGTTTTGCTTCTAAGTTATCTCTGTTGTTGTAATTGTTAAGCCATAACTTATATTCCATAACCAATATGTGTAATTGCGAAGCAAGGATTGGACAAGAGTTTTGATTTGAAAGAAGATGAAAAATATGACGAGGTAGTTAATTCTTGCTTATAATGGTTGGAGTATTATGTCTATAGTATCGTTGTCGCGCAGCGCGCTCTGATATTAGTTAGAGTGTAATAATCAAGAATTTAAGTTTTGATAAGGTTTCTAATTAACTAAGTTATACTTAAAAAAAGTAAATTTTGATTTGGATTTGCAATGAATGGGAAAGTCTTTAAGTGGTTCCATAAGTATTTTTTGTTTCCATTTAACTCAATCAAAAAAAAAAAATTAAAAAGATTTTGAAACTATTTTTAATGGTTCAGTTCCTAATGAATACTTTATTGCATTTTGGCTTTGGCTATAAAAAAAGGAAATGCTGTTGAATTTTTTATTTATGCCCTATTTGTTCTGCTTTGAACAGCGCCCACTTAATCAGAAAGGAAAGTGTTTCGTCGGTGCGTGTACTGATATATCTGCCAGTTGAGGCCCATTTGGGTCCTTAAACAGTTGCGTTGTGGGTCAACCGGTTTAAGCGCATCCTCCCTGGGTGCTTTTATGGAAATTGGAATATGATCCGAAGTTTTTTGATATTTCAAAATAGGTTTTTCCGTTGGCCAACCGGGCAAAGAATCCCCCCAAACACTTCAGAATGCCCATATACATTCAATTACCCTCCACGCTATTCTATTCTAAATTTTCACCTTGTTTGGCGTCACAAAGTAGTAGAGAGAATTGGTTTTTTCTTTAGGAGAGATGAAAGAAAAAGGAGATAATGGAGATAGCCATGCAAGTCAAACCGCCTTCTGTGAGTTGGTGGTCAATTTTGAAAAATTTAGAGAAAGTTATTGGTAGAGGGATAACATACGAGGTGGTACTAGAGCGATGAGAGTAGGGGGCAACTGGGAAATATCGTCTGCTCTTCAAGAAGACTCGTCCTCACGAAGATGATGAAGGAAGGTCCTCTCCACCTTATTGCACTCCGCGAGGTCTCAAATCTTGCGTATGCTATCCCAGGGATCCTCTTAACCGTCCGTCAGGTAACTTTTTTTTCCATTCTGTTTTTCGATCCTTTTCTTAATCTTAAAAATTTGCAATTAATGGTGTTTATATCTGTGAGGTTGTTTCTCTCGATTTTTGAGTTATATTGTTCCTTTTGAGTTTTCATGAACCCTGCAAATTGTTCTTTTTCTGTCTTTTATCTCCCGGTATGTCGTTTTGGTTTTTGTGCGTGCCAAGTGGTTGGTTAATTATTAATTCCTTTGTTCTGATTTTATTATTTTATTTATCTTATATTTCCATTTTTAGGCTTTCAAAGTTTCTTCTGGTTTTAGAAAAAAAAAAAAAAAAAAAAAAAAGATTTGAAACTATTTTTTAATGGTTCAGTTAACCTAATGATACCTTGCATTTGCTTGGCTATAAAAAAGGAAATGCTGTTGATTTTTATTTATGCCCATATTTGTTCTGCTTTGACAGCGCCACTTATCAGAAAAGTGTTTTTCTCGGTGCGTGTACGATATACTGCCAGTGAGCCCATTGGGCCTAAACAGGCGTTGTGGGTCACCGGTTTAAGCGCTCCTCCTGGGGCATTTATGGAAATTGGAAAGATCCGAAGTTTGAATTTCAAATAGGTTTCCGTTGGCCAACGGGCAAGAATCCCCCCAAACACTCAGATGCCCATATACATTCAAACCCCCACGCTATTCTATTCTAATTTCACTGTGTCGCACAGAGAGAGAGAGAATTTGTTTTTTCTTTAGAGAGAGAAAGAAAAAGAGAGATAATGGAGAAGCCAGCAACAACCGCCTCTGTGATGGAGGCATTTGAAAAATTAGAGAAAGTAGGAGAGGGAACATACGGGAAGGTGTACAGAGCGAGAGAGAGGGCAACTGGAAATATCGTCGCTCTCAAGAAGACTCGTCTCCACGAAGATGATGAAGGAGTCCCTCCCACCACACTCCGCGAGGTCTCAATCTTGCGTATGCTATCCAGGGATCCTCACGTCGTCAGGTACTCCATTTCTTCGATCCTTTTCTTATCTTAAAATTTCAATTATGGTGTTATATCTGTGAGGTTTTTCCGATATTATATTGTTCCTTTTGAGTTCATGAACCTGCATTTCTTGTTCTGTCTTTTATCTCCGAGTATGTCGGTTTTGATTTTGGCGTGCCAAGGGTTTAATTATAACCATGTTTCGTGATTTATTTATTTACTTATATTTCATTTTAGGCTTTCAAGTTTCTTCTGTTTAGGGATTTTTTCGTGATTATTGTGGAATCCTTTTCTTCCGTTTCATCTGTAGTTTCATTCGTCTAGGGATTTGTAAATTCCAGGAGATAAATCATTTATAAATTACTGCACTGCTGTTATTTTTTGGTGAGTATCAAGACAAAGTACAAGTGATTCATTTTGGTTCTCTCTTATTCCATAGATTGATGGATGTCAAGCAAGGCCTGAGCAAAGAAGGGAAAACAGTACTGTATCTGGTTTTTGAGTACATGGACACTGATCTCAAGAAATATATTAGAAGTTTCCGCCAAACTGGAGAGAATATTCCTGTGAAATTTGTCAAGGTAAATAAGCATCTTCTTTTGGTGGTTGTTTGAGAAACCTTTATGCCTTCATTAACATTTACAAATTTGATCAATCATGTATAAGCAGAGCTTGATGTATCAACTGTGCAAGGGAGTTGCTTTTTGCCATGGGCATGGAATCTTGCACAGGTTCTTTGACATATAAACTTTTCTCACGTTTATCTTATTCTTTCTCAAGATTTCAGATGTAACAAAATGGCTGGCTACCTATTAATCCTGTCACTGTAAATTTTCTCTCAATCAGGGACCTTAAGCCTCATAACCTGTTGATGGACAGAAAAACAATGATGCTTAAGATTGCAGATCTTGGACTTGCTCGTGCATTTACTCTCCCCATCAAAAAGTATACTCATGAGGTTGAGAATGCTCTCTATTATTCCTCTGTCATTCTTACTTTCTCAGCATATCAATTTCAGAGTTAATTGCGTTGTGATTCTCGTTTCAGATATTGACCTTGTGGTACAGAGCTCCTGAAGTCCTCTTGGGAGCCACACACTACTCAACTGCAGTGGATATGTGGTCCGTCGGATGTATATTTGGTACAGACTTTATTTGTTTTAAGGTTACATTAATCAACCCATCTGCCCATTCAGTTGCTAAACTGGTGTGTGTTTTACCAACTCCTAGCTGAACTGGTTACAAAGCAAGCACTTTTCCCCGGGGATTCCGAATTGCAGCAGCTTCTGCATATTTTTAGGTTTGATTTCTGTCCTTTTTATGTGATTGTTAGCTCTCCTTCTTGCTTTTTATTTATTATTTTTGATATTTGGATGCAGGTTGTTAGGTACCCCAAATGAGAAGGTGTGGCCAGGGGTGAGCAAACTGGTCAATTGGCATGAGTATCCTCAGTGGAGTCCTCAGAGTCTGTCAACAGCAGTTCCTAATTTGGACAAGGATGGGTTGGATCTATTAGCAGTAAGTTGGATCTATTCATGGACAGAAGGATGTTATAACATTGTCATTTAATTTGACCTGCAAAAACCCATTATGACCTGCAATTTAATTTTCCTGCAGCAAATGTTGCAATACGAGCCCTCAAAGCGTATCTCAGCAAAGAAAGCTATGGAGCATCCCTACTTCGATGAACTGAACAGGGCCGTTCTCTGAAGAACCACATCATTTCTGAAGAAAAAGCTAGTTGGCAATCTCGTTTAAACAATGGAAGTTGTGTATTGAAAATCTGTTTGCTTCCCTCGAGCATAATTCCGTTACGTTTTGTTGTTTCGTGTTGACTGATTAATTATGCAATTTGTTGACTGATTAACTATGCAATTTAATTTGAAGAGCAAGTTCCACATCTTAATACTCTACTTGGCTTGTTTAAATTACTTAATGTTATGACAGAACATCATACCTCATAATAAAACTCGAATAAGAGTAGTGAGTTTGTTGAAATTTCCTCACTATGTTCAGGGGCAAAAAAATAAATAAATAAATAAAAAGTTCAAAATTGACTGCTGTAGAACAATAATTAAGCACATATAAAAAATTATTACCAGAACTAAGCTACTAGCCACATAAAAATTGTTGACCAAAGAGTAAGTGAAACGGAAGCCAAAGCGTAGGCCCAGAACATAATTACAGAACATTCAGTTTCACCTGCTCCAAACAACTGAGTGATAACACCTGCCAAGCAAATTAAGCTTCAGAAAGGGTAACCGTGGCAGTGCATAATAATAAGATTTGAATTTAATAAATACCTATGTTCATAGCAGGTGGAACTGCAAACTGCAGCAGAAGAACAAATTGATACAAAGGATCCGAAGGAATAAAACCAAAACGGAGAGCTCCTTTAACAATGACAATGCCAATAAGGGGCAATGCAATATAACGAGCAACTATGATACCAAAAAGTACAGACTTTTGTATCCCTTGCCCTTTCAAACCTGGGAAACAATTGAACTTCCTATTACCACATCCAAATTAGCACATCTAAGTAAGATATACAGTTACTTATTACCTTTCAGAAGGTTCCCCCCAAGAATCAGAGTGAGAGTTGGGATGGCTGCTTCTCTGCAGTCAAAGAAAGAAATTAAGAAACTTTGCCAGAAGAAGGAGAAGAATGCTATAAAATCATAGGAAGTTTTTCAGGTCAAATTTAATACCCCAGCAGGGAAGTAGTGTCACGAATTACATGAAGAGGAGCTTCAACCCCAATCAGTAACTTGCGGATATACGGAACGAGTCCGATTACGAATCCAACAATCTGTAAACGGAACCTCCAGCAATCGTAACCAATTTATATGAAAGTAGAAAAACTTGTATATGTAGAGGTCAAATGACGAATGAAAGTGTAATTTCCCAAGACTAATTTGTGCCTTGTACTAAACTGTGTATATATGCAAAGGAAAGAGATAAAGCAGCACATACCGCTCCTATGGTGGAAGGTGCAAATACTGTCTTCCAATTAATACTTCCAATACTTCCAAGCACAGTCCTTATTAGTCGCTTATAAGAGGGAAAGTCCTCAGGTTGGCCATCTGATTTAGAGACAGGCAGCGCATATTCATGGATATGGTTTTCATATGGCAAAGACTCCTTCGAAGGAAGCAGCGGTTCTGTGCAGGTTTCTCCTGGAGATTCTTTTCCTGTCCCGGCTGTAGATTTCCGCACAATATTGTACACATAAGTCCATAGATAAACAGCTCCTATCTGAATACACATTAGAAAAAGGAAAAAGGAAAACCTTAAAATAAGTCCACCATTATACATATCAAATAATGTTTATCACTGAATAGTACATCGCATATATACCGCCATTGAGAGTGAAACATAAGCCAATCCATATGACTGACAGACATCGGGAGCTCCAAATGGACTTCCTTTTTCTTTACAAATTGCTGGGATCATAATAAGCAACATGTTCCCTAAATTCCCTGCCTCAAATTTCAACAATTAATGTATTAGAACAAAAATAAGTAAATAAATAAAAAAGATTTGAATTCATGTTCTAATTACCAGCAGCACAGCAACCCACAATGAGGCCACGTAGGTGTGAGGGAGGCCTTGTAAGTTGAACAAGAATCCATCCAAGCATTGAGCCAATTATAAACGTGATGAGAATATTTAATGGCATGAACCACCTACCAAATTTCACCTAACAAATTTCAATAAACAACAATTGAAAATTGAACACAAATCAATCAACGTCACTCACATCTTCACTATGCTCTCATATGTAATCGTTTCAGCAAGTTTTGTGCCCACGAGGGCCGGACTGAATACGTAGAACACAACCTGTTACCAAAAATGTTGCAAGTCAGTGGAGACCATATGTAAAACTCGATTAAAGAAAGGAAATCTAAAGAGTTTCATTACATTATTTACGTGCTTCCTAGCATCACCCTTCAAGATATCCACGCGATCTAAAGCAAGAAATGTTCCCAGTCCAGTTATCATTAGCACTTTCAACACCGGAATTGATGAAGCAATGAAGAGATCCAAAAGCGCCATGTTTATCCAAAATTTTTATAGCAATCAAAGCTCGATCTAATTAAGAGAGAAAAAAAAAGGTTTTTGACTTGGAATATAATGGAGGAGATAATATCACAACGCAAAACGCAACAGTTAAGGCATTCCCAGAGATCATTATCACCGCACGGGTAAACTTAAACCACGTTTCAGATTCAAAAACATGCTCCCGCCAGAGTCATATCATATCATGGCTACAAAGAAGAAAGAAAGGAAGGATCTACTAAAGAAGTTCAATTGAAATGAAAAACACCAGATTTACGCAGAGAAGAAAAGCAAAAAAATGATATTTAGTATATGATTTTCGTTTGGCTTCTGCAAGTGACTTAGGGACAGATGGGACATAGGAGTGAAACAATAGACATAGTATAGACAGAAATGGAATAAAAGCACTTGTTCATAATTGGACCAAACAATGAAGGACTGGAGCTGCAGTTGCCGTATGAGACTAATGAACCTTTTTGCATTAGCACCATTCACTGAAACATTACATCACAAGTTCGCAAGGAAAAGTTGATGTAAATTCATAAATTTAACTCTCCAGATCCTACAAAAACATATGGATGTTGGTTGTCTATAGCTCTTTTTTTTTTTTTGGTAATTAAGTGCACGTGTTATTAATTAAGCATGTCTTTTATTTATTATTATTACACGTTGGACTGTTTGGAGTTACATGCCTTATGGTACGAATAGGAATTCAAAATGCTTACAACTTTCTTAATTTAATAATACTAGCCGCAAAAGCAATATTCGTTTTTGCAATTTGCCTTTGACTCGTAAGGTTGGCAACAAATTTTCCACTTGTGAACAGAGTGTAAAAATTACAAATCTTATACTTCATAGCTTGCAGGGCCAACAACCCCATTCACCAAATTCTCCAGTATGTAATGTCCCCAGTGCATGTAAAAGAACAGTTTCAATTTTCAAATCCCAGAAAAACAAAAATAAAAGTTAAGCTTCAGCTAGAAAATTTATTCGGATGCCATTTATGGCTGGATAAAAAAAATCATTTATATTCCTCATTCAATCTGGTCCACAGATAATAATTATACACTAACAGAAAGTATATTGAATCCCAAAAAAAAAAAATCTAACGCAACCTCTACCAAGTAAGACCAACTGCATTCAGGACATGAGCCAATTGCTGCAGAAACACAAAGGATCCATCTGGAGATCAGCCTGCCCAATATAATTACAAGGATTCCCATAGGATGGAAACTGACAAATGGTAACTCTGCAGCTATCATCTTGCTTAATTGAGTAACGATCCGAGGTGCAAGCCCGGGAGAGTTGAAAAGGCAAATGCATCTTCTGGAACTTTTTCCAGCCAGACCTGCACAAACATAAATCAAATATCAGATCCACAATAAGGAAATGAGACAAATCTAGGAGAATGGAGTTTTGAAATCATCCATTATGTTAATTAGGGGGGAAATGGCAAAAGCGTCGCACCAGATCACCGCCTCTTCAACAGCCACCATAGCAAAGGCAATGAGCAGAAACTATATTGGACATGCGGGCATAGGCTTAAATCATCCCTCGATCCATAGGAAAAGAATAAACCAAAAAAGGGAAAAAGAAAAAGAAATTAAAAAGGGAAGAGAGACATGGAAATTGACAAACAAATTTAACATCCTTACAGCCAACTTGAGCAGCTACAACATATAAAGAGTATGGAGAACAGAGAATGGAAATTTCATGCACAACCACATGCCACCCCCTCCCCCACCTAAAGGGGTCTCCAATATTAAAAGCTCTAAGGAGGATCATACATACAGTTGTATGTGCCAGAAGATTGCACCGTGACAAACACAAAAAGTATAAAATAAAATCAATAGGTCCACAAAACTCCATTTTAGGCTCATTCTAAGGTAAGTTTTATCTCATAAAATGCTCAAAGGACAAACTAAGGGGGAAAGAGTAGACCAGAATCTACATGGTGGCATTTCACACAACTATAAGCATCCCAAAGTGTGAAGACGAGGAACAATTAAAATGAGCTTCAGATAATATCCAATGTAGAAACAATGATGCACTTTATAATAAAGCTATATAACTTACACTTATATAACTGAGTATCTCCCTGGTTGAGCACCACCAGGAAGTGATAATGCCTGATTCGTGATGTCTTCCAAAACACGTTTTAGTTCTGTTTTAGCTTTCTTAACAGATGTTTCACTAGGGCCCTCAATGAACAAGTAGAGCTTGCGTTCGCCTGGCCCTGGAATCCTGCCCGGAGGGAAATACTGTCCCCTGGTAGTGATGGCAGCGCCAGTCCATTCTGAAATTGGGCCCAATGTTTCCTTGTGTGTAACCTTCCACCGAGCATTTTGGGGGAAATCATTAATCTCCAGCTCTGCTTCATAATGCTCCGGCATTGCATCAGCTTGAATCTTTGCCAGGTTATGCTGCAAGTTGATGGCAGCGGCAAGTGCCTTAGCTGTGTTATCATTACCAACAACAGGTAGTCCAGCACCAGGTACAGCTGTTGCTGCACCTGGAATAGTTAGGCCCATGACACTTGGCAGAGAAACAGGAAGTCCACCAGGGGGGAGCAAGGGAGGTGGAGTTGCCAATGTACTGCTTTTGGAGGCAGCAGTAATGGCAAATAATTGTTGAGCAAATGCAGCCTGCCGTGAGATGTCGCCTCCAGCTTTTCGAACTCCGTCGTCTTCATCTTCTGAATCTGACTTGTCTTCTTCAAAGCCATATTCTTTTGCTTGTGCTTTCTTTGCTGCTATCCTCTTTTCATCCTCCTCTTCATTGAATTTAAAACCACTACCACCATAACCAGTTCCATGGGCTTGCTCAAGGCCCTGGTTCACTTTTGCCATAAACCCATCAGCAAGAGCTTTAAGGTCGTCGGGAACAACTTGCTCAGAGAGTTCCAATGCTTTTGCAAGATCTGGTGCGTATCTTGCATCCTCCTCAGAAATAAATGTGATGGCACAGCCTTTGCGACCAGCTCGGCCCGTTCGTCCAACACGGTGCACATAATCCTCATAGTGATTTGGAACATCAAAATTGATCACCAGTTCAAGCTCTTTCACATCTAAACCTCTGGCTGCAATACTTGTGGCAATCAATAAATTGCAGACATTGCTCTTGAAATCAGAAATGGTAGACTCACGGTCTGTCTGATCCTTAGCCCCATGAAGTGAAAGGCAAGGATAACCATGCTTGAGTAAATCCCTAAACAAAGCATCACATTTGTCCTGTGACTGGACGAATATCAAAATTTTTCCTTTCTCATACCATTCACCAAGTAGTTCTAACAGTCTCAAGAATCTTTCATTTTCTGGCCTTACCTCAACTAACTGAGTTATGTCCTTGTTCACCACACTCCTTCCACCAACCTGGATTTCCACAGGTTTGTTCAATACCTTACGGGCCAAAATCTCAACCTGACGAGGGAAAGTAGCAGAAAAGAGTACAGTTTGACGATCTGGGCGAATATTTTGGACAATTCGAGTGATTTGAGGTTCAAAGCCCATATCAAACATCCGATCAGCTTCATCCATAACTAGATAAGTGACTCTACGCAGATTTGTAATTTTGCCCCCACTTGTGCATAATATGTCAATCATCCTACCTGGAGTACAGACAACAATCTCAGTACCCCGCTTTAATTCACTGATTTGTTGAGCAACACCAGAACCTCCATATACAGGCACACATCTAATTCCCAAAACCTTGGCAAACTTTTTTATATCACTGTGGATTTGTTGAACAAGCTCCCTAGTAGGTGCCATTATAAGCCCAATCGGCCCATCTCCAGCTTCCACAGGTGGCTGGTCCTTGATATGCCTCAGCATTGGCAGTACAAACGCAAGAGTTTTTCCAGAGCCAGTCTTGGCAATGCCTATACAATCTCTGCCGCTCATAACTATAGGCAGTGCCTGTGCTTGAATTGGCATTGGCTTATCATAGTTGAGCTTCTTTATAGTGTCCAAAATTTTACTTGTAAGTCCAGTTTGGTGCCATGTTTTAACTGGTTTTGGAACATCCTTTCCATGTATTTTCAATTCTAACTGTTTCCTGTAAGCAGCCACCTCTTCAGGAGTCATCCTCGATATCTCCTTCACTTCAATATAGAAATTTTTCCGGAAAGGTTTGTAATCAATCTTTGAATGATCAACAACAGAAAGTTTCTCAGCTTTTGTCTTCTTTACCCTTTTCATGAACTCGTCATCATCTTCTTCATCTAAAGGATCTTCATCATTTTCAAGGTCCACAAATTCTGAATCCGAATCTTCACCAGGAATTATTCTCCCCAGAGATTTAGTAGAGCTTTTCTTCAGCTGGTCTCCATTAATTCTTTCTTTTTTCTCGTTCTTCTTTGACTCCAGTTTACTACCGTCAAAACTTTGAGTAATAGTTGCATTGTTTAGCTTCTCAACTTCAGGTAACACCATGGAATTCATAAAAGCGTCTAATGGATCAATTTCCTCATCCCCCATAACACTATCACCCCCATTCTCTGAAGCAGCTGCTACATTTTCAGAATCTACCACCATTGAATCTCCAATTTCTTTATCAGGCTTTGTATTTTCATCCAGGTCCATGTCCATGTCCGTCCCTGATTTCCCTGTGGGAGGTGCTTCTTCATCATCGGATTCTCCTTCAAGGGTCCAAGTTTTACCTGCCTTAGGTCCATCAATATTTTCCGATTCGCCATGCTTTTCTCGTTCAGATTCTTCCTTTTTCCTCTTTAACTCTTGCCATTCCTGAACTCTTCTTCTCCTCTTTTCCGCTTCCTCATCCAATCTCTTCTGTTCATCCTCTAATTCCTCCTCTCGTGTTTTCTTCTCTTTCTTATCTGAGTCATCCTCACTGCTCTTTTTCCTTGGGCTCCCTTCAGTGTCATCTCTGTGCCTGTTTGATCTGCTATTGCTCAGTTCAATTTGTCTGTCCTTGTAGTCGTCATCATCTCTTCTACGACGCTTCTTATCATGCTCCCTGCTATCATCGTCACTATTATCATCGCTATTAACTTCTCGATGCTTCTCCTTTTCCCTTGTCCTCCTCTCCCTTTCTCTTTCTTTTTCCCTTTCTCTATCTCTTCTCTCCCTTTCCCTGTCTCTCTCTCTCTCTCGTTGTTCTTCCCTCTCACGTTCTCTTCTCTCCCTCTCACGCTCTCTCCTCTCCCTCTCTTTATCTCTCTCCCTCTCACGCTCTTCTCTTTCACGCTCCCTTTTTTCTCTATCTCTTTCCCTTTCCCTCTCCCTGTCCCTCTCTCTCTCTTTGTCTCTGTCTCTTGCCCTCTCCCGTTTCTCATCCCTCTCACTGTCTCTGTCTCTCTTCCTGCTCTTATCCTTGGTTCTTTCTCTTTCATCGTCCCGGCTCCTTCTATCCTTGTCCCTGTCTCTATGCTTGTCTCTGTCCTTGTCCCTCTCTCTCTCATATTTGTCATCAGAATCAGTACTCTTCTCTCTTTCAGAACGTCGGCTTTCACGGTCCCTCTTTTCTCTGTCCCGGTGCCTCTCTCCATTTCTCTCCTTATCACGCTCTCTTTCTTTATCACGGTGACTCCTCTTTGGATCTTCCTCCTTCTTCTCCGAATCTTCTTTCCTAGATTTATGTTTCACGTCCTCCATTGCTTATTGTGTTACTGGGTAAATAAGAATTCAACAAACAGGTAATTTGTATTACAGGAGATAATACACACGATACCCTGAAACCTAGCAGAATTGAAATTAGTATAGCTTTCCAATTCAAATATATTTTTGTTGCTTGTGTATAATGGAAGTAACAGAATTCACTTCAATTTCCCTAAAACATTGAGCGTTGCAACTACAACTTTTTGAGCGTAGATTGGACCTGATTCAAATTAAATACAGAACAAGCTTCAACAATTCTATTCACTGATCCAAAGAGAAGGAAATCAGAATTTGTGCGGATGATTTTTTAAAACATTAAGACATTAACTCATACCTCAAATCCTGCACGTTATGTCACAGAACAGAGGAGAGGTCCTTGACAAAGCTCTTCGAAACGGGTTCTTCACAAACCCTAACGTGACGACGTCCTCCTTTAATCGTGTTTAGGATCTTTTCTTTGTAAGTTATAAAAAGTTTGTACTTCCCACTGAAACTGGGAAACAAAACAGATGTCGTTTTATTCTATTTATATGTTGGACTTGGACCCGGCTGGCCCAGTGGAGCTCTTTCGGACTCCAAAAGGGCTTGGAATGGCCCATTCCCCTTGCTCGCACATCACTTTTTATTTAATCCGTCTGTCCCAAAGTATATAAGTCATTTTATGATAACGTTTTATCTTAAAATAATTAAATTACTCTTAATTTTACTATAATTTAATACAATTAATTATTATTAATTATTTATTTTTGTAAAATTTTAAATTATTTATATTTTAAAACATATGAAATATTTAATTTTTTTATAAATATAAATTTTTTAGAAATAAAAAGATAAAAGGATCGAACAAAATAAAATTTTATTAAATTCAAATTCCCCTTGGATTTGGCTTGTTACCATTTATAGTAAAAAAAAGGTTCGAACTTTATTGTAGGGATTTAGCTCGATGAACTTATCCAATGACTTTAAACTTTTTTTTTTTTTTTTTTCTTTAAACCAAATCTTAAGTAGCTGATTATGGCTTTGGCTTTGGCTTTGGCTTTGGCCTAACTAATGTTTGGATTAGCCGAATACAATTAATGTAAGCAAATATGAGAGGAATAGGGCAGAAAAAGTGTAATTTAGCCATTCCGGATAGGCATAATAAAGTAAATTAATTGTCCAGGTGTTCGCCTGTGTGGAGTCAAACATCATTTAGAAGAAGTCGGAAAGCAGGAAGAAAGGGAAAGAGAGGCGAAGGCTTAATCCGCCGTGGGTTTGCTCTGGTGGTTTTTTTGTCCTCATTATCACTCTCTCTCGCTCTCTAATACTCTCCACGACCGGCGGTTATAAGGATTTTGTGTTTGTTAAAAAGCTCTTGGCAGTCCGCCTTGACATGCCATGAACGTTACGTTCTATGGCTGCTGGATAAGAATTGCTAGATTTCGCAGTTCTATTCATATCCCGCCCTGACTTTTTCCGTTACCTGCATTGTCCAAGTTCTACTCAGAACGGAACCCTAATACGGCGCCTTTTCCAGCTCTTCTCTTTCGTTTTCTTCACCATCTCTTGCAAGCTCGCTCTTTTCAATCTCCCTTTTACAGGCAAGCTTTAATGACATTTTACCAGCCATTGTCCTTTCGCTTTATCTTTAATTAAGAATTCTGAAATATTAAAGCAATGCGAATTATTTTCCCCCTTCTTGGCCCTTCAAAATATTAGATTTTTCCGTCAATTTACTATCCTTTGAAAAAAGGAAGTGAAAGAAATTTCAAAACGTGGGAGATTTTGTTCCTCGGGAGAGCATGAGCGTCCAATTCTTGGGCGCAACTGCTTTTGCCTCTCCCTTCGTTGGGGAATTTTTCTTTTTTCCTTAAAAGGCATCTTCTTTTTTTAAGTTTTCTTTTATCTGGCTTTGCTACTTTCGACTTTTTGAATCATGCACATTTTTTTTTTCTTTTCAAAGAAACCTTCTTCATATATTTCTTGTTTTATTGTGCTGCAATACAATGTTGCGCGATGTCTATAACACAGAATGGAAGATACTGAAATGCTGAGTCAAGATTTGGAGGCTGGCAATGATGTGAACCTTGTTGATGCCAGTGTTCAGGAGGAAGTATCTTATGACCGTCCGCAAAATCAAGATGCTAGTGTAAATGGAAAAATATCTGCTGAGGATAAGACTGATGCATTGCAAAGTGATGTCCATATGAACGAGAATGAAGTTGTGCCCGATAATAGAACCTCTACTGATGCCACTGTGAATGATACTCTTAGTAATGAAGCGCTGGAAACGAAAAATGATGGTGATGGTATGGGTACCCATGTTCATAACCCGGTAGAAACTGTTACTCCCCCTCCTCAGAGAAAGTATTCAAATCCTAGACCAAAGCATGAGAGCGTGGCGAAGTTAAAGAGTGTGTGGACTGATGTTGAGGTTATCTAGTAAAAGCTTGAAATCCTATTCTGCTAGTTACATTAAATCTTGGTAGTGACGAATTATTTCAACAAAATTTTGGATTGCAGATGGGGGAGGCTGATGAATCTGGGACCCCAGAGGAGAGAGCAGCATTCATGAGGGAGCTAGAAACTTTCTGCAGGGACAATGCCCTGGAATTTAAGCCTCCAAAATTTTACGGAGAGCCATTAAATTGCCTGAAGTAAGTTTCATCAACAGTAGTTTTAATGCATCTGTGTTTGATTCCAGGTGAGCTCATCTTTGTGCGGATTTTTTGCTTGAATTAGGTTATGGAGAGCTGTTATTAAGTTGGGGGGCTATGAAGTGGTATGCATATATCCCTTCTCAATTTGTTACTCTCTGTACAACATTCCATTAAGGTCAACATTTAGTTGTCTGTGATAGTAAATGAGAAAGTGCAACCATGTGATTGCCTCATCATAAAGAAGGAGAGAGGAAAAATTTTGGAGCGAGTATCTTAATGGAACTACAGAGCATGGACAAGAAAAAGGATTTCTGATTGCTACTTAAGTTTTAATTGTAGTTTAATGAGGCTAGTTTGTTTCCATTTTGTACATATGCAAAAATAGCTTTTGCAAAAGTAAATTCTTTCGATATTTAGCAAAAAGTGAGAAAAAGTTGGTGCCTTAGATTTTAGAATTATATCTAATTATGTGCTTTGATAAACTATTCTATGCTCCAATATTGTAGTTACATGGATTGGAGATATTTGTTATTATTAGTCCATAACAATTCTGTTGTTTTAGTAGTTCATAATGGTTCTGCTTTTATCACCCATATCTTGTAGGTCACTGCATCCAAGTTATGGCGGCAAGTAGGAGAGTCTTTCCATCCCCCTAAGTAAGGAGTTGCAAGGATATCTTTTTAAACAATCTTGTAACACATATGAGCTTGAAGGGTTGTTCATCCATTTCATTGGTGCACTCTTCATGACATTTGGTTTTTTCTGACAGCAGATGGCTACACTGTCATTTTTTTTCCTTGTGCAATTTAAAATTTCTTGTTTGTAGGCCATATGGTTATAATTTACATTGATGTTAGAAGATGGAAAATGCACTTCTTCCCATCGATAATATTCAATTTATTGAATTCTCTTTGTCTCTATCTATCGCTTACAGGACTTGCACAACTGTTTCTTGGACATTCCGCATTTTCTATGAGAAGGTACTTGCATTTTTAGTTGGTAAAATAGTCAATTTTGGAAATTGAATTATGATCAAAACATGTACCATGTTGGACAATCTTACTACTTTAGTATGTCAAAATCTTAGGCAATGATTGAGTATGTTGCACAAAAATGGAAATGTTGAAGTGTGGAAACGCGGAAACGGACACGGGGAAACGGTATTTTTAAAAATATAGGAAATGGAAACATGGGGGAAATGCATAAATGTGAAAAGAATAGGGTTGTATTTATAAATATAAAAAGAATTTATTATAAATCATTAAATATGTTCAACAATAAGTCGGGTCCAATCAATATTTAATCATATCCAAAAGAAGTACAAGTTCCATACTCATAAAAAATACATGTTTTATGAATTTGTTTTTATTTATATATTTATTTTAATTAGAGAAATGGGTTTTTGAGATTTTCCAATTTGCGGAAACGTATTTATAGAGAGAAAACTTGTTTCCAAATTACTCAATTTATGGAAACAAACCCTGAAACGTTTCCAAGCGTTTCTGTGCAGGAAATGTTTCCGTGCAACTAGCATTGAAAATGTATATTCAGGAATCTGTAGCTGAGGGATCTTTCACAAAGGAGCTTCTAATGTGTATATCTGTATATATAGAGAGAGGGAGTTGAGGATTTTGAAATTAATTTATACATGCAACATGAGAGAGTGAGAATTGACTGAGATTTTAAAATTAATATAGATATGCAACTCTCTGTGCTTTACTTAGATAAGTTGCTTTCTACGTTCCATATGTGTTATGAAACTGAGATTGGAATTCCTCATTTTGACATTTGAATACCATAGAAAATGAGACTCCCTGTTCCTGTGCTTTATATAGTACAAAATGCTTTTCAGTCATCATGTTCATCGAAGTCTTTCATGTTTTGTTAGCATGATTTTCTTGTGTCCTCCGTTCCTGATTTCTTCAGTTACTGTAGGCACTTTTGGAATATGAAAAGCATAAGAGGCAAAATGGTGAGCTTCAACTCCCTAGTTCACCCCTGCATCAGCCTGCTAGCGTTGAAAAGGAGGTATAAGTTTCATAGCTTAATACTTTTTTTTTATTGTTATGTAGCATGTCAGAGAGCTTTAAGTATGAGATAATTGAATGCTGCTGTTATGCCTTGGTGAATAATTTTTCACATAAGTATTAAAACCGAGAAGACATGCAATCCTCTTCATTGTCTTTATGATATTATTAGTGGGATGATCCACCAGAGAGAGCAGGGAAGCAAATATTTGCTTGGTTTGCGGACCATCTCTAATAACTAGAGGATGCAAATAAAACCATCCTGCAGGGAACAGCTCAAACTCATATGGATAAGAGCATGGCTTGAGTTCATTTCTTTTAAAAAGTGAATTGTACTTTAGCTTCATTTTTCTTTTTAAATTTTGGTTTTAGTTTTCTAGATACAATACAAAGGCACAGGTGGTTTTAGGTTTAAAAATTACTTATACAGACATTAAACTTTAGTAACCAATTAAAGGGATGATGTAGATTGTGCCCAATGGAAATCATTAGGCATCCAAGAAGAGAATTGCAATTTCTTATTTTCTAGAATGGTAAGATTACCAAGGTATGTGCTTGACTATTCGGAAATCGCAGTCCCAAGGTCGTAGGCTGGTGAAAATACAAGTTTTAGAGGTTATTCAACTTTTTTATCCTACCTGTGAACAAAACTTGTTAGCTTCAGTTATGAACTTTTGTATGTTGTGATGTAATGTCCATCTACCTCTCGCCCCACTTTCTTGCGTTTCATGTGTGCAGGTAAGTGGCTACCAAGCTTCAGGATCTGGTAGGGCAAGAAGGGATGCTGCAGCTCGTGCTATGCAGGGTTGGCATGCTCAACGTCTTCTTGGATATGGCGAGGTTAGCGAGCCAATTATTAAGGTTTGTTCTAAATTGAACCTAATTATCTATTATCATAGTCTTCATGTGCAAGAATTTTTATGTGATATTCAGTTAGGTATAACAATGCCATTCATCTTTTTAAACAGGAGAAGAGCCTCAATTCTGCACCAAGGCGTGAAAAACCCCTCAAAAGCATTGGTATATTTACTATGATTGAAGATCTTTCTGGCCAATGCATGTCTAATGCTAACTTACATTCTCATTTCAATTCTGGTTCTTGAGTTAGGTCTGCATAAACAGAAGACTAGTCTGGAGCATTCTGACAAACATGCAATTATTGAAACAGATAAAGAGTTAAGGTTCTTATCATTCTCTTCTAACCGTTATCCTCCTTACCCCCCATCCTCTCGATATCTTAAAATTTTCTTATACTTTTTCTTTGCACTTCATTTAAATTGCTTTAGTTGTGATCTGTTTGAAGCCAACTTCATTGTAGTACATATTCATCATTGGATTTTTTCAAGAAATAATAAACATCATATAAATTTTAATAGCGAACAAATTGTATGAGATTTTAATAGCTCTCTCTTAGAATATTCTTGTCATTATGGTTTAGTTATGCAAAGTCCTATATAAAGAGTGAAAACTTTTACCTCTTCCTGTCCAGGGCATGAAGGAAAAATGACCCACTGCACTTTTTAATTGATTCACTGCTAGAAAGGTCAATCACCTATTGCAGGCATTGCACAATACCAACAAATTTATCCCTCTGTCTCTGCATGGGTGTGGTAGGGAAAGAACCAAAGTACCATAGAAGAAAAATGATTGAAATACTAGAATTGCTATGCTGGGTTTTTCATTATGTTCCTTGATCAAGCAAATCTAAATATCTGCCTGTTCCTTTTCTTTTTTTCAATCCCTGGTAGACTGGATATGGAAATTATTGACGTTGGACCCCCTGCTGATTGGGTGAAGATTAATGTTCGGGAATCCGTAAGTGTCTGCTGTTTTCTTTATCCTTAAATCTCCTTAACCCTGAGACCTGATGAATGCATGTTAGGTTAGTTATCAAGTTCATTCTGCTTGGAGTACTGACAAATTCACTGTTCCATGTGCAGAAAGATTGCTATGAGGTGTATGCTTTAGTCCCTGGGCTTTTGCGAGAGGAGGTGAGCACTTCTCTTGAAATTTTCACTTTTAGGTGTTTGCTGCATGCCCTCAGACTTATCTCTTTGATTTTTATATGTAGCAGCCGATTCTTGTTGCAGGCATTGGTAAAATTTATTGTTATTATAATTTTGAATAACAGAAAGGCTGATGTAGTCTTTTGCCTTGTGAGAATCATTGATTGTGTATGAGTACTACACTTTCACCTGCCACCTGCTGAATGTGGCCGAGGATCCAGAGGAAAATAGGTCACTTAACAGCCAGTCACTTAACAGCCAGTCTGGCATGAGCATCCTATGCTCTTAGATAATGTTTTTGGATGCATTGTCCATATCATTTCTTGAATGTTTTGCTGTCATCATAAGTTTTAGTTCTTGATGGAGAAACCGAACAGGAAACTTAGGTTAGGTGGTCCTTCTTGATATATTATGAACTCTCAACGCATATTGCAGTAAAAAGGAAAGCCCACTTTTTGCCTTTTTGTTTTCTGTTCATATTTTGGATTGACTTGATGTATAATTCTGAGGTTGTGCTTCATGAAGGCATACCTATTTATTGATTACACGAGAATGCATGTCTACATGTAATTTCATACTTAAATGCAATGCATAATGGAAGAATTTATTACAATAAGCTTGTGTAACAAACTAAAAAATAAAGGGTTTCTGTTATTTGCATATCAGCTAATGACTACTAAGCCTATTACTATTAGATTGAGCCTGATAATTTGGTGAATTCAGGTTCGAGTTCAATCAGATCCTGCTGGACGCTTGGTTATAACAGGTCAACCAGAGCAGCTTGACAATCCTTGGGGCATAACGCCCTTTAAGAAGGTATTTCTTTGACTTCCCTGCTAGAAAGAGGGTGGAAGGAGAGAGAGAGCCTGGGTTGGGGGATGGGACCATGGCTGCCAAGTCCAGTCATCCACAGGCCATGGCTGCCAAGTCCAAGGGGAGGATTGTGCAAAACCAAGAGCACAGGATTTGGCCATTAAGGAACAAAAATAATTAGTCTCTTTTTTTTTTCTTTTTTTTTTTCCCTTAGATGGCCTTAATCTTGTTAAAGCAATAATGTGCAATGGCCCAATGGGTGTCCATAGTCTTTTTTATTATTCTTAGATCAGTATCAACTTGTTTGCGACTACAAAAGCCTTTTGAAATTCCTTGTTTGGATTTGGTGGTCAGGTTGTAAGCTTACCTTCAAGAATTGACCCGCTTCAGACATCTGCTGTTGTTAGCCTTCATGGCCGACTATATGTTCGCGTCCCTTTCGAGCGAGGATCAGCTTGAGTTTCTCCTTTTTATGCACATCAAGGGGAAAAATTCAAAATTTTTAGGAGACTTAAGGTGCAATGGTCAAAATTGCAGTGATGCTATTGCTGGGACATTTGTTTCTTACTTTGTTCATTAGTAATTTGTAGAAACAGTTCAACACGTGACATTTACAATTTAGTTTCAAAGATTTGTTAGATGTTAAAGTTGAAGCATGTCTCAGGTAAAATGATGTAACCCTCTGGATTTTCCTGTAGTTCATGGTCCTTGAGTCATGAGTAAAAGCCAGCAGAAGCTGCTGGTAAGACCTGGTTCAGTTGCAGCCATCCTTGGAAGTAGTTAATGATATAATCCACGCAAGAGAGCTTAATTAATTGGCCCATTATTGACAACTTTTCTTTTGTACGAATTATGAAAGCTTTTGTGAATATTAAAAGGGACTCTTCAGTGCTGTGTGGACCTGGGATTAGAGAAATAAATCTTCCTTGTATCTTAATAATTGCAGGCAGCCAAAAAGAAATATCTAGGACTATAAGCAACAAATTCCAAGAGTGCTATGTGCTACTAAAACCTGTGTCTAACCATCTGAATCGGGTGAGGTGACTGAAAGCTGATGTGTAATATCACTAGAAAGCCCATTGGGCCTGGAGCAACTACTAGTAGTGAAGGGATGTGGTTGTGTAGCCCACCTCTCAATTGCAATTCGTAAGTGATTATTACAGACATTAATTAATCGTAGTGCGCGCCACAAACGCAAACACAAACACCAAACACAGATCGAGCTCCAACATAAATTCGAGGAAGCTGTGCTCATTTATTAAGAAAAGCAATACTACTAATGTATTTTTTGTTAATTACTAATGTTCTGTCTGGTAATTAAGGAATTAGGATGGTGTTTCATTCAGATTCCATCAATGGTTGATTACAATTTATCAAAATTTGATTGATGCGACTTTTTCTTATTTCAATTTTCATCATCAGTCTATTTATATGCATAAGCGACTGATAATCATGATGGATAGTCAGCTATTGTTAATCAGCTATCGATCATTATCTTGAGAGTTTCTTTTTTCTTATTAGAAATTATAAATCTCTATTATTTGGGGATTCACATCATCAATAGACATTTTCTTGGATGAGGAAGAAATAAGGAAAGAAAATTATGACCTAAAAAATATCTAGCAAGAAAAGAAAAAGATTACTCGACTAGAATAATATGTATGTATGGCCGTAATTATGATGACTATGAAAAACTACGTAATCTGATTGGAAAATTAAGAATTTCATCTCTTAAAGCAATATTAATGGTGGGAATTGATAATGTCAACGAAATATATAATTACAATTGAGACTTGAGTTAGAAGACGAAGAACAACCAATGAACAATTTGTCCCAAAAAGGAAGATAAATGGCAATCAGAAAAACCCATATATTCTTCAACACAACAAGATTTTGAATGTGAAAAGGATCTTTAAATTATGCATGTAAAAGCTTATATAATTAGTAAATGTAAGAAATCAAATGGTCGAAGCAAAACGACCACAAAGACAGACATCTTCTTTTAAGGTTCCATCATACGATTCTATGACTATGTTTTCCATGCTTCAAAAACTACACAGAGAATCACACCATGTTTTTTAAGTATGAGATTAATCACATTTGTGAGTTCTTGACTGTCCCTACCCATGAGATATGTTACAAACTTGTTCGAATGTAAGAAATGTACATGCACTTTTCAATCAATCTCTCTGGTCTGTACCTAGCAGTTTAGCACAATAAAATATACTGGCAAGAGAAGTTTCTTGCACTAGTTTCTACAGCTGTAAGTGCAACGGACGGTCAGAGAAATGAAACTTGGCACTAGAAAGGAAGAGAGAGTACAGATTTGAGAACTAGGGTTTTCTTTTTCTTTCTTTTTTTGCTGTAAATGAGGAACAGGCTTTTAAAGTTCTTCGCAATGCTTTTTCTTGGATGAGTAAACAGAAAATTAATTAAAGATGGAGAAGACAAGCCCACATGCAAACATAAGCAAAGATGTAGCAGCACTTTGGCCTAGCTCTACATACTAAAAATATTCTCACATATCATATTAATTATCTAATGTTTGTAGTAATAAATTAATTATTGAAAACAAAGAACCCTAGGTAATAGAAATTCACAAGTTGAGCCACATTCTTGTATTCTTTCAATCAAAACAAAAGCATATGATAAGGTGCTGCCCAATAAATGAAAACACAAAATAATAATATAATGTAAACCCTAGCTAGCTATTCAGAGTTGCATCATAAAATATACTAACAACAAGTAGCACTTATTAAACTAGGAAAATATATTGGAAGAAACTAATTCCAAAAGGAAATGAAAAGGGGAACCCAAATGGTTTTATACATGAAAAGTGGAACTTTGCTAACCTTGACAAAAGTCTGCAAATCCATCAAGCTGCAAGTATGAAGCAGCTAGCCTCCATGAATATACATCTTCAAGTTTCCAGACCTTTGTTTCTGCCCCCACTCTGGTCAGCGAATTAATGAAGAAAGGTCTCTATAGCAACCATGTTTATCATACAAAATGGTATTCAAATCTACATCTCCAAGAAACAAAATGATGGTTCTAAAATGGAGGCCTTGTAGCACTCCCTCCCCATCCGAATAAATCACCTGAAAAGGGATAATTCCCCACATTCCCTCCCACGTTAAAGAAGGCCCCACCGCCGCCGCCGCCGCCGCCCCCTCTGCCTCCTCCACCACCATCAGCCAGATGTCCAGCTCCACCGCTTCCAGTCACACCTGAAGACTGTGAGGCTGTGGACTGAACTTGAACGTTTCCTTCCTCCTCATCTAAAGGCAAACGCTCAAACACAGCATTTGCGAAGGATGCAGCCATCAAAACCACCGGTCCAGAAGCCAATAAAGGGCCTACCACGCTTCCACCAACAACCTGTCCCTGTCCACCAGACAAGAATATCGACAATCCCCCCGCCCCAGGCGGAGCTGGAGGAGGAAGCACCGTTCCAGAGAGAGAAAGAATCTCAAACCTACCTTGCAAAGTTACTACACTGCCAGCAGGAGACGCTGGTTGCCGCAGAGTAACATTGGCAACAGTCCCGTTACCGCTAAGTACACAGACTCCTCTTCCTCGCTTTCTCGCATAATTGGATACGGTCTCCACGATGTCGCTGCCAGTGGAAACCTCGAGCACATGGGATCGGAGAGCATTGGGGCTATCTCGTGTTACAATAATCGGAGGCTTAGGTTTGTTCTTGGAGCCAGGAGGACGGCCTCGAGGGCGTCGATAACTACCACCAGAGCTGGTGGCGGCAGTGTCGGTGTCAGTGGTCTTGTGGTCTTTGGATTGAGGTGAAGTGTTGTCTTTAGAATCGGGGGATAATTGGACTGGAAGTGATGGTCTTTGAAGATGCAGCTCTGGCCTGAGGAGTTGATGAACATAGCGAGAACCTGCAGTTTGCTCATAACCTGACATATTGGCTGCATCTACTCTCTCCCACCACTTATTTGCCAGCTTTGTCTTCCGATCTGATCAATGATTCTCTTTTAAGGTTTATGCTATGACTACACACAGATCCACTGAACAAGAATCCAATATGTATTTGGGCTTACATCAAATTAAAGATTTCGGTTGAACAGCTTTAGTTACACTGTAATTAACCCAAAACACAGGTTCTGAAATCCAGCTAAAATTGAAGGAGTAACTGCTTCCTAGTGTTGGTCAAAACCTTAAACAACTTATTAATGTTAGAATTGATGTCAGATCTTCCAAATTGAGTAGAAAGGGAAGAAACTCAGATCAGGATTAATCAAGAGTGATGGTATATGCACTATAACTATAAGAAACCAGAATTAAAAAAAAATAAAAATAGAAACAAAAAAAAAAAAATACTGAGTCGATGAAGAAGCTGAAAGAGAAAGAAAAACTTATCAGTGAAAATTCAGCGATAGTAGAGGTGTGAAGAGTGAAGGGAAGGAAGGATTGAAATTGTGTATGAATGGAAGGAGGAAATAGAGGTTTGAAAGGGCAAGAGAAAGACATAATTAAGGTTAGGAAAATGTTTAAGTGACTATTTTTGAAGCGAAGGTGGAAAAGCGTGCAGTAAAAGCAGAAATAGAATCCAGCAATTACCAAGACAAACAGAAAGGCCTTTCCATTTTCACCAGCTTGACCTTAAATCTTTTTTTTTTTTTTTTTTTTTTTCAGTAAAGCCAGAAATAAGAATCCAGCAATTTACCAAGACAAACAGAAAGGCCTTTCCCATTTTAACCAGCTTGACCTTAAATCTTTTTTTTTTTTTTTTTTTTTTTTTTGATCGATTTAATTATAATATAGGTTCAAATGGATAGGGCAAGCTTTCGTTTGTTTATTTCCTAGATTTTTTTTTATTATTATTTACATCTTTGGAAATTTTTTTTTTTTTTTTTTTTTTGATCGATTTTAATTATAATATAGGTTCAATGGATAGGCAAGCTTCGTTTGTTTATTTCCTAGATTTTTTTTTTATTAATTATTTACATCTTTGGAAAATTAATTAATAGAATATAATTCTCTTATTAAAAATATTAAGTTATTTAAAATAAAAATCTTTTTCCTCCTTCAAAAGACCAAATATTTTTTGGGTTTTCATAATCTTATTGTAACTGTTACAAAATAACGTCAACATGGTGTTATCAGGAATTAATTTATTGTTGTCAACTAACATGGAGATTGGCAACTATCATATTATTATTATTTTTTATATAATTCTACAAATTATAATATTTTTAATTACTTTTTACTATTTGATCAAATAAACATCTTTAAAATGATATTATTTCTTTTATAAAAAAATAAATGGAGCTAGAATGAATATTTTAATAGAAAAACAAAAGAGTGACGATTTATCTTGACTCTTTGGTCCAATAAGGAGTTTAATATATATATATATATATATTGGCATTTAATCATCGTTTTATATGATTATTATTTGTGACATGCACGCAGTTTCAAGACGCGTAATGTTAGGTTATGCATATTATTAGTAAAGAAGGAAAATGGTGTTAAAGCAGTTGAAGATGCAAATTACAATTAGGGCAAAGCATATGTTCCCTTACCTTTACTTAACCAATTGATTATATTAAGAAAATGCTGGAACCATCTTTTCCATTCCTTCAATGAGACCCATACTTTGGGTGGACGGACGGTGGATGCAAGTTATTGCCTTGCCTGAGCTGGTTCTATGGCCTTTATGAGTTGGGCAACTCATCATATCACACACACACATACTCTCTATACATCATACACCACACGATCCAACTCTCTCTGCTCCTGTCTGTATGATCCACAGTTAATTAATAATCACTTAATTAGCTAGTTAATTATTAATGATTTAAAGATTCCTTAAAACAAAGAAGAATAATTAATTAGTGCCTTTGCTCTTAAGTTATGCAATTGTCTGCTTTCTATTTGCAAAATACAATCCAATAGAATGGAACATAAATTGGTTTTTGAATAAGAAAACCTAAAATCAAGTTATATAAATTATTATTATTATTATTATTCTATTGTTTGAATTTTTCATTCGATGCATGCATTATAATATTACATATTATCATTAGTAATGTTAAGTAGGAGGAGGAGATTAGTGAGTAATTAATTATGATTAGCAAAACAAAAGGTACAAGTGAGACATGCATCCACTGCCAGCCCATCCTATATGGCGACAGCTGAGGATGGAGTAGGGAATCAAAGCACCTAAACATGGAATGGAAGCATCAGGAGAAACCCTTTTGATCGATCGAGTAAATTTTTTATCTTTACTGCCGATGGATCCCACGTTAGCCAGACCCAGAGCCGCTGAAGCTTCAAGAACTAGAAACCTGGGCACTGTGCAATGAACTCTCTCACACACGTACGTGTGTATGTGACAAAAGTGGCAATTGGCAAAGCAACAGCAGCAAACAGAGGCCACGTGCGGTCAACAATACTACGGCAGACGTTGAGGTGTCAGACCACGTGGATCCTGTCGGAACATCGGTACTTGGTCAACCTTATCTAAAAATCTAATGAATTAGATATGTAGCTTATGATGTATATATCAAACATAAATGCTACTCCTATAATGCATGTTTCATATGATTATCTATGTACAATAATATATATACATATAAAAGAAAAAAATAGATAAAAACGTGTGTTTTTATCCATTATAAAGGTAGAAAAATCAGCCAATTTTTGGCGGCAAATCTGTTCTTTGCAAAGGGCAAGAAATATATATTCAACGTCTTTATTTGGCCCCCAGTCAGTCAATCCCCAACCACATATCTATGAGCTGACACAATAGCCCACCATTTTCAATTTTCTAGCAAGTGAGTGGTTGGCTAAGGAAACCAACATCGGCGAGTCATACCACATGGCTCAAAGTTATTGAATCATTTCATTTCTAGTGATTTATTGGTTCGTTACGTGGCGAATAATACATACTATAATTCAATCAGAAAGAGAATTCCAAATTGATAAGCTTTAACATGAATTGTCAAAGCAATTATAACTTCATTTTCAATAGCTATTATGCACAAGGAGAGGCAACCAGTAACTTGCTCGACTGGAAGGAAGTTTGAAACCAGCAGCCATCATGTCAGCATCCAATTCGACCGGCACAAATAGAAATGTGGCCCCAATCGACAAGTGGATGGCAAATGAATCTTTAGGTTGACGTGGCATTTACGCTAAATGAAACCATTTTATTTTCTTCTTTTAGTCGTCGAAAACGGTATGAATTGGTTCATCTTCCGCTGGATATTATTCTTCAACAGTTGAACGTATATATGTATATAAACTGAAAAAGCTGAAAGAAAACACACCTCTTGGTGTTAGAAAAAGCCATAAGCTAGCTTGTCCTTGTTAATCACTCATCAGTCAGTCAATACAAAATGAAATTCAGTGCAAAAAAAGTTGAGAAATGAAATGGAGCAACCAAATTAGTATTAAGTGGGCCACGATTCAATAGGTCCAAAAACTTGAGTTAATTAGTAGTAAAAGAATAAATATTAATCTTGACAAAATAAATAAAAAAGACCCTAAGCACCCACAAACGGCTCCTAAGCAAGTTGTGGATGGCTTTTTTATTAAATTAATCATATAATTAACTAGTGGTCATGTGATATATGATGTGGGCCCCATTCATGATCCAATCACTATCTAATCTGCCGGACAACATCCTTTCATAACGGATGGCCGTTGGATTCGTTTTAAGTTTAAGTTGATCCTCAAAAGCTAATTAATTAATTAATTTGCTCTTTTGTCAATGGGAACATAACACTAGGAATAGCTAATTGATTTTAAGTTTGATGTAGCAATTGCCTCCACTAACTCTCACTGCTGCTTCTGTTAGAGGAACACTCTAATTTCAAATTTCAGTTACAATTACGCCTTAAAATAAATTAATTACTTAAAAGATTAACAATATCTAAAAATTAAAAATGAACCCTATGATTTAAATTTTCATTTTTGCCCTCATTTTCTTTTCTACATGCAGAAAAGTCTATGTTTCTTTTTCCTCTTCAAAATTCTAATCTGTACGGCGTTTAGAAATTGAGGTGCCTCAATAGTAAAGGTGTGCGAGGGTAAATTTGAACTTTGAAACTTATACAAAGTCGAGGAAAGTTAGTGAATTTGTCAAAAGCAAATTCGGGCCGACCGGCGGATTGATAAACACTTTGAAATGGTGACGTGGAATAGCTCATCTGACGAGTCCATGTAGAGTTGCTGACATGGCCGGCTTCACGTGATTCAACAACACCTGGACGATTGAGTGGTTGGAACGGTTTAAACCAATAATTGGTGCAAGCATCTTGATCGAGTCTTTCTCCTTCTACACGTGATCCTGTCCTTTCTCTGGGCCCACTCAATTGGAGCCCACTACGCTGCGCCTTGTTGAATATAAATCCTCATCTTTTCTGTTCTTTTCCCATTTTTTAATTGTGAAACATTATTATTACTCCTTTTCTATTAATATTAATTATTTATTTCTTTAACCAAGTCTAAGAAAAAGATGTTGGTCTGCCCGTTTCTTGTTCTGAAAAGGTTCAGCTCATTAGTTTAAATGATTTTTATATCAACAGCTTGAATTTAACTATAATAAGAATATTTGATATTGATAAATAGATCAATAAGATATTAATAATATTATTATCATTTTGTTTATTTATTACATAAAAAAAATTCTATTCAATATTTTAAAGAATATAGTTTAAAAAACATTGATTCTCTTATTTAAAAAAACAAATCCAATTTTTTTTCTCTTTAATATTAATATTATTATAAAAAATAATATTAATATTATCACAATTAAAATAATATGACCTTAATTACTTTGTAACGTGGACTTTTACTTACTATGCGATTAAGTAACTTAATATAGTAGTACATGCATTGACAATTTTATTTTTTATGTATCCTTAATTTATTCTAATTTTTTTTTTTTTTAAATTATCCTTTCCTCATTTTAGAATATCATAATATATTTGCCATGTGAACATATAGGATCGCAATTAAACTAAATAATCGGTAAAAATTCAAGATCAAATTTACACGGTAGGCTAAATACCCCGATTAGATCCAGGAAACAAAAATATTGAACTCCATCACAAAAGACTGCACTCCATCAGAAAAGACTGCACTGCACCAAACTATCCCCTCAGAAAAGAAGCAAATATAACATATTGAACTTCACCTAGCTGATTGGTTCTTGATCTTTATTTTCGCACCGGTGTCCATTGTAAAGCAAAAAGTATTTGATGCATGTTCGATAGAACGCTATTAAATGTAAATATATATAATCACGTACAACGATAGAACTATAATTTCATTCCATTGCACTCTATCGGAGTCAAAACAATCTTGAGATTAAGTTTAATGGCTAGTAGAACATTACTACAGTAGATAGCCATGGAAAGGAACAATTGTATACAAATGCAAACAGAAACATGTATTTACATCTCCAACATATGCTTATTGAGTTATCGGGAATCTAGCATACCAAGAGATCATGAATCATGACCGAGGTCTCCATATACAAATACGAGTCCTACTCGTAAAACACCCTTCATTTAGCCCATCCCCATCCCCTACAGCCCGAAAGACAGGATTGGTCAAGTGCCCATGAGTTATTATTTTTGCAGTATTTCCAATAAATAGATCCTAAGATACCCTATTAGTAAGAGAAGATATGGTCGACAAATATGTGACTGATGCCAAAGTTCAGATGCTATCATGCATGGGTATTCTCTACAACCTTTATCCCTCACCAATAAGATTTAGGTGATCTTTCAGACATAAATGTTTCACATAATCTCCCAGTAATAAACAAGGAAATATACTTTAGCCTGGAAGTTTAAATCTGAAAACAAATCTGGAAATATGCTTTTTGAAATCAAACACCAAAAGATAATCTTAACTCGTCACAGTAATAAGCTGATTGGCTTCTGACATATAAGTGCTCCTCATGAAACTCAGACTAGTAATATAAAATCTAGAATCAAAAACTCCATGACAGGATTCATATACATATAGAATTTTGCCTAAACAAAACAAAGCTAAGGGGCGATTATCCTGTTTAGCAACTGTTTACCATATAATTTTTTCTTTTTCTTTTTGAACTGATCATCAGAATCATTAGGAATGCTACTCTAAAATACATTAGCGAAAGTCCAGAAAATGCGCGCTTCACAAGGCTGAATCCACCAAATCTCTTTAGAGATTAGATACATATGACACGAAGGTAGCGTACAAGCTTAGTAGATACTTGCACACAACTCTGCAGTAGCATTTAATCGAAATGGATGTTTGAATAAATGGACAGCCAGATGAGTCATTCAAAGACTAGAGTATTGGCCCATCAGGTACCTCTTGCAAAATGAAAGAGGTCCCAGCCCCAACTCTTGCCCACTGTTTTCTTTGCAGAAGATTAAAAAAAGAATGCACGCGTGCGCGCACACACACACACACACAATGATCTGGCTATGGTTTATTGCTAGATTGCCAAACAATGTGTATCAAGGGTGCCAGTACAAACAAAGGAACAAGAAGATGATCTGCCAAACAAATTAAACAATGACAACCCCAAGAAACAACCAAACATGCCATACTTAAGCCATTAGAACAATTGTATTCCTGCTATAGTGTTAATCCAGCATCAGTCCAACAACACAGATAGGTGTTTACTGTAATGCATTAAGATTCAAGATATGAGAAATGTACCCCCAAAAAGGAAAAAAAAAAAAAAAAAAAAATATTCCTGCTATAGTGTTATCAAGCATCAGTCCAACAACACAGATAGGTTTTACTGGTAATTGGCATAAGATTCAGATGATGAAAGAATGTACCAAGGAAAAAAAAAAAAAAAAAAAAAAAGGAAAAAAAAAAAAAAAAAAACACAGTATTCAAAACACATCAAAATCGTTAAGACACACCTAAAGAAAGATGGTTACGTTATAGCTTTAACTGGTCATCATGGCATAGCAAAACATATACACCAGGCAACCAATGATACAAAATTGCTCTCACTATGTGTATAAACAATTAAAGAAATGTAGCCCAGAATCACAGCGTAAAACTGAAAAGAGTGTATCCAGAACAAGACCTTTTATTTCTTATTTTTAGTTATAAACATATCAGATTACCACTACATTCTAATATTGATAAGAAACCTAGCATATTAACTTACAGGTATAGTATTATAAGAGAATTATTCCACTGGTTTTTTTGTTTTATTCTTGTTGCCGTATATCAATCCGGTTTCCTGCAAGCAATTCACCCAACCCCAATTCCACATCATTATCTATTCGCAATATTTAGGCGAGAAAGAAAGAAGGAAGCAAACAAGCCAAGTAATGAGGAACAGAAAATAGAGACATTAAGCGTCACCTGCGGATCAGGTATTGGCTTTCTTTTCTCGACGTACCGATAAGGATCCGCAGCTGCAAGTGCTGCCCGTTCCTGCGAAGCAAGGAGAAAGAATACTTAGAATTGCTTCTGCTTGTAATACAAAAGTTAGCAAAGTCGGAACTTAAATTAAAAAAGAAAATTCAAGACTCACTTGTTGTTCTCGCTTGAGGTCCTGGGAAGGCTTGACCCAGAGAAAGTAGGCTAGGGTTCCCGCAACGACCCATGAAGCGAGATTACTTCCTCCTCTAAGTCCTCCCATCGAATTCCCTATAAACGACCTCACATTTCCCAGTGTTCTTCTCCAATTACTCGACATTGATGCGAAATCAGAGTAGATATTTTTATCCTAGAGCTTTGTTCAATAATATATCGAACAGGGTTTAGCTTCTTTCACCGCGAACAAGGGTTGAGCATCCCAAGCACATGAAAAACAAATCTCTGAGACTCAATGAGTTAAAAACTCTAATTACTGATGTATAGGTTAGATTTTAATTGAAATCATAAAATCCCTTCATTAACGTTCTTGGTAATAACCTTATTACCGGAATCCAAGAACGATGATTGGTATGAACCTTATTAGCGGTAGTAGAGGTAGCCACATATGATATCACACTGACTGGATTGGATCATCGGAGGAAAGAACCAACCGTCTGGGCCTAGTCAAGAATTCAGATGGGCCTCCATAACAACATTGTCCCTCTACGAGAGTTGAAAAATTCTCTTTACTTGAAAATTTTTTATTTTTGTTTGGACCTTTATAGAGTTGGCTGGAGCAAAATCAGGGGCTCATGGCACAGGCCTGTGGGTTTCTGCATTTTACTTCTGGGGCCTGTTTGAACATAGGCATCGGAGCTAAAGCTTGCTTAAAGCTCATCATCCAGAGTCCAAATGGCAGACTGTTGGCGAACGGCAAATCAGTTTAAACAAACGACATGAACATAAAAGACAATACTTTAAGAAATGAGCCGCTTGTTCGTTCGAGAAAATTCAGAAAAGCCAAGAATGACTGATTTAGCTAGAATTCATGCAACGTCGGAGTTTGCTAAATTGTGAAAGGTGTTGAGATGTGACGAATATATGGAAAGCCACCTTCATTGCCACCAACCCGACACACGCATGGAAAGAGAGATATATGTTTTTGTTCTTCTAAATGTGAGTTCACTCTTTAAGAAAAGTATAAACTATGTGACCATCTTTATTGGACATTAATAAATTGAATCATAAATGGATGAAAGTTCCGTCACGAGCACTTGGAAAGAGGCTTTTTAGGCATTGAAAGGAGACCATCCAACAGAAGGTGAAGGTGACGGTTCAAGTGAAAGATTAGAATTTGTATGAACGTGACGTGTTGGATTCAGAGCAGGTTCATAGTTACGCGTTGAGATCTAAGCATACATATGATATGGGAACAGATAGAGCATGCCGAGTTTGAACTCCTATTGCCATTGATACCATGTGAAATATGAATAGAGGATTATGGATGAGGACGTGGCGTACTTCTCTTCACGAAACAACTTTGGTAATGGGTCATTGGGTTGATCTTGTCCATCTATACCACATGCTTTATGAATGAATATACTTTACCTTTTTCTCTATGAAGTTCTACAATTTCAATGTAATATTATACATCAATCATTAAGGAAGTTGAAGGAACACCACCTAACAAAACTGCAGCTTCAAACAAATTTCATATTTGATCTACAAGAATGCATCTCAACCTTAGATCTCCAGAGTCCAAAGAAAATTGATTTAAGTCACTTTACAAGGCAATTTAAAAAATTTGAAAGCAATTTTGAATAATTACATGCCAAAGAAAACAATTAGCCTCGGGCTGTCTCATTCTCGAAAAGAGACGATAGGAAAGACATATAACTAAGCAAGCAGCCACTTGGACCACCGCATTTGAGAGGCTCTGGAGCCCCAGCTAGAACACAGCAAATACCAAAGACAAAGAACAGAGAATATATATTCAAGATTAACAACTACCAACGACACAAACACATACCAAATAACTGGGTGGGGGATACCTTTCACTCACAGCTCCGAGGAGATTTTTCTTTTCTTTTCTTGTTTTTTTTTTTTTTTTTTTTAAACAACTTACCCAACGACACAAACACATACCAAATAACTGGGTGGGGGATACTTTTCAAACTCACAGCCCGAGGAAGATTTTCCTTTTCTTTTTCTTGTTTTTTTTTTTTTTTTTTTTTAAAACCGACCTACTCACAAATGGAGGTTTTTTTTTTTTTTTTTTTTTTTTTAACCGACTACTCACAAATGGAGGAGGGGTCAAAGCATGAATCCCCTGTCTCAACACTTGAATATAATAGCAACTTTACAGCTATGAATGAGAGAAGCAATCTCACATGGGGCACCAACGCTTTGATTTTTTTTTTTTTTTCTCTCTTGATCCCCATTTGTCTTTTTTTACCTTCCCACAACCAGTCTCCTCCACTTCTTATTTCTAAACCCTTTTCATTGCTGGGACCACTTTCTTTCCACTTATGATGCAACTCTCGATACATCTTTGCTGGATCTATTGTATTTCATGTGGCTGTTGACAAGCTGCCCAGCTGCAATGGCAGACATCAGAGACAGCTCACCGGCCAAAACTGAACCAGCTACTATGGTGGCAAGGAGCCTTGAGTTTGATCCTGGTGACTCTTTGCTTGCCCCCTTCACCCCAAGCAAATTTAGACAAGCAGACTGAGATGCAAGTTGAGTTCCTCCTCCAACTGTACCCACCTGACAGAACAAAGATAAGTTAAATTACATTATCCTCAAATTACTGAATAACACTGCAAGCTATGGTAACCATGATTAAATGAAAAGGTTCAAGTCAAATAACCTCAATGGAAGGCATTGACACTGAGACATGGAGATCCTTTCCATCATTAACAGCTTCCATCATCGTAATGCAGTGAGAACTCTCAATATTCTGTGCTGGATCCTGGCCAGTTGCAATAAAGATTGCAGAGACAATGTTTCCTGCATGAGCATTAAACCCACCCAGAGCACCAGCAATAGCAGAACCAGCAAGATTTTTTAGCATGTTGAGCTCCACTAGGGAAGCAACATTGGTTTTTAATACATTTTTCACCACCTCTTCCTTGATAATTGCCTCACAAACAACTGATTTGCCCCTTCCTTCAATCCAGTTTACAGCAGCAGGTTTCTTGTCCGAACAATAATTTCCTAGCCAATTGAGAAAAAATATAAATCATAAATCCATGAACAGAAAGAATACTGCAACCAAGGAAAACACCTACTCCTCAAATAATTTCTAACAGTAAAAGCACTCGACATCCAGAAATTTGAAAAGAGCATCAAAATGACTATTTAGTATTTCGAAGTAAGAAAATGAGTGAACGAAAACTTTCAAACGCTTTCCACAATATTTGATCAATGAACTGAGTTTCATGATGTTTTCAAGACAATATGAAAAGCATGAAAAAATGAGCCAAAATTATGACAGAAACACACTTCGTGTCTCCTGTACAAAGGAGAACTAAAACAATATGTCATCTGCAATTTTAGCATATGCTTGAACCACAAGAGTAATTGTGACAAAAATAAATTAATCAACCTAAACAGAAACAATACTCGGATAAACATAAAACTAAGAAATGAAGATAATGACAATGATTGTGATAAATTGATAATGACGCCAGACGGGTAAGTTTTTTAAAACTGAATACTGAGGTTAATAATTGAAGTGAGGAAAACACATACGTATATGTTTTTATTATTTAGACAATTCGTTATAAGCGTCAATGAAAAACATAGCCAGAATTGCAGCATCCAATTCAAAATTTTCCAAGGAATTCTGGCAGGTGAAAGAATAACCAACATATAAACTTTAGAGATAAATAAAGGAATTTACCTGAGATGCCAGCAAGACGCATGTCAGGGAAATCATTCTTAAGGAATTCAAGAACGTTTTGCACCCCTTTGGAAACCATGTTCATCCCCATTGCATCACCAGTGCTGCAACTAAATCTTACATAAACATTCTTGCCGGCAATAGCACATTTAACGCCTTGGAGCCTCGCAAATCTACTTGACCTGCAATATTAAGGATCCAAAATCGTTTCAATTCACTTGACTAACATGTTTCGGATCCAAAATCAGTTTTATTTTCCCCTTTTTTCCTTCAAATCCTCAACACCAAAAACATATCTACAAGTTCTTTGGTAAGATGTCTAAATATCTATCAACATCACAGAAGAAACAAAAACATTAACATTAATAGAACAAGCGTTTTCAAGAAATCCTATAAAAGAACGGACCTGTTAAAGACAACGGCCAAGGTGTCAAAATTTTCAGGATTCTCCAAAAAGAACTTCAAATCTGCAGCTCTTGTCACTGATTCAAAACGAACAACAGGCGCTCTTGTCATGCAATCTTTCAACAACACGCTGGTAGCCCCACCTGACAAGTAGATCGCCTTACACCCTCTATTGGTGCTCGCCACCAAACAACCCTCCGTAGTCGCCATCGGAACAGAGTACTCGCGTCCGTCTAGCAATAGCGGTCCCGCAATTCCTACTGGAATCTGCACGTATCCGACTGGCATTTCACAGCACTGCCCTAGAATCGACTCGTAATCGAACCCATCCACTGGTAAACCATCCAGCGACCTTCCTGTCGTCCTTTGCAAAGCCTCGCGTCGAATTGTTGCCGCTCGTTTGCAATCCCCGAGCTTTGATTCCAGAGAATAGGAAGGAATCGTTCCATTCACGACGGATTTGACGATGTTTTCGTCATCCTCCGAGGCTAAAGGTGCGACTATGAGATCCGGAGGCGGCAATTTGGGAGGTCCGGTGGTAATGGTAGCGATAGTTGCGGGAGGGCACGTAACGAGACGGTGATCTTCGTTGATAAGGTAGGCGGGATCCGTATCGTCGAGGTCCCACGCATCATGGGAGGCGCGTGCAATAAATGATTGAACAAAATCGATTCCAAAGAATCCGAGGAGATAAATGAAGGAAGCAATGAGGGAGACAATGGCGGCAATCTCAGAGAGGGTAACGATGTGGAGGGGAGTAGAGTTGCGGATCTTGTCACGCCACCGGTGGAGAAGGTAATATGCCACCGAGAAGAACAGCGTGAAGAAAATTGCATTAGTAAGATACAGTGGCAGCGGAAGGGCGTCCGACGCTTTCGGAGTGGGAGATGGAGAGCGGTCGTCGGCTACAGCTTGCCTTTGGTGGAGGCCACCTTGCGCGGAGGGGGAACGCGGTGGTTTAGTTGGCCGGCGGTTGGGGTCCATTTAAAATATTCCGGCGAAAAATAGAAACAGGGAGAGAGTAGTTTTATTCCACAGGGCGTACAGTAGTAGTTGGTCCGCGTATCTGCGTTGGCGGAAGGAGGGAACGAGGAAGGAGCGCAGTTTTAGGACATTTTTTATAGGAGGAGGGGGCGCTGTGCCCACACATGTGGCGTGTGTGACGTGTCGTGGCATAATTTATTTCCAAAATCACGTTTAATTAAAAATAAAAAGCGATAGATATCAAACACAGCCAGTAATTCAACTTCAATAGGTTGGATTTCCTTTTCTATCCAAACATTTTGTGTCTTCAACAGGTTTTTAACTCCTTGTAAGGATTCCAGTCATAAATGTTGAACAGAAATCTTGAGTATTTACAGCTTACGTGGTGCTCGGGCTATTTATATATTCGGCTGTATTCATACTCATCAAACATACTCTAATTAAAAGTCAAAAACATACTTCCATGGTTCCTACATTGAATAAAATAAGGAAAAATGAGAAATGAAATTGAAAATTCTTATTCTTATAATTAACAACCAACAACATGTAATAGTTAGAAAAATAATAATTGGATTATGGTATGCCTTATGATAATTTAATAATTGGATTCACATGCAATTTACTTGTGTTGCATTTTAGTGTTGTCGTGATATTATTCTGCTTCTGGTTCAAATCTGCAGATGTGATGTTGAAGACAGCCACGATTATTTCCTGCTTCTCCCTACTTTACTTTCTTCCAAATGATTGACTTTACGCACAAATAATTCAGAAAGGACAGTAAACCAATGACTTTCCATTTTCCATTTTCCAAACTTTTGTCCCAATATAGATTGTAATTCAAATTTTGCTTCTTTTGTAAGTAACCTTTTATATGATCCATTAAATTCGTAAAAATTATTTTAATTGAAAGACTTGAATTTAAATTTTTTATTTATTTATATGAAAAACCGATTAAATCTCATCTGTTTAATATTTATTTATTTATTTAATATATAAAACTCGTTATCTAATGTATCCAACCATTAACTAATTAAAAACAAATCATTCACAAAAATTACTTTTAGGAACAAACCGACCTAATAAATAATCACAGTATGATTGGAGTAATTTTTTTTTTTTTTTCTCTTTATGCCACATTTTTCAGGACAAGACTAGCATCACTCTCCCCAGTCCGCATATGTCGCATTTAATAAACTGTAGCAGATCCTGCCACGTGCAACGGTGGGAGAAACAACTGGAACCCTGCAGATTTAGATTACTCGCACGAAGATTAAAGAGTCGGGAGTTGACCGGCCGCCAGGGATTGAAAATGGCGGCAACAAAGGGCAAATTGTGCGTGACAGGGGCTGGTGGATACCTGGGTTCTTGGGTTGTCAAGCTTCTCCTCTCTAGAGATTACATCGTCAATGGAACCGTCAGAGAACCCAGTAACTAAAATCTCTTTCCAGCTCGATTCTTTTTATTTTCCTTGCATTAGAATCTGTTGTTTTTCGTTGTAAAAATTGTTGTTTCTTGATCAGAAATTACTTTTTATTTTATCATTCATGCTCTAACTACCAGTTTACCTGCGATTCCGCGTATCCCCTCTCCCAAATTAGCAAATTTTGGCCATTTTGCTTTAAACTAATTGCGCATTCTGTTTTGAACATATGAGTTGTAGCCATTTTTATATTTAGATCTTTCGGTTTGTATTTGTTGTTGATTCAAACATGCAGGTGTTGTACGGGCTTCATTCTTTGACCGTTTTATTTTGTGGTAGATTGCTTTGGCACTAAAACATGTTGAACTTTTTGTTTCTTGTCAATTTCTTTTGCCACAGTTATTTTTCTTCAAAAAAACCTGCTTTTTCATTCAAAATTTTCAACAATGTCATGCAGCGGATAAGAAATATGCTCACTTGAACGAGCTCGACAAGGCATCTGATAATCTCAAACTTGTGAAGGCAGATTTACTGGATTACAACTCCCTTTATTCTGCTATTCAAGGATGCAGTGGAGTACTTCATGTTGCTACCCCTGTTCCCTCCTCTTCGGTAACAAATCCCGAGGTAAAATGCTTAACTGCAAAATATTTTTCAGTAAAATCCCTTGAATACATTGTTAGTTATTGTTTTGATTGATTCAGAGAATGCATTGTCTTCATGGTCTTAGGTAGAAATGATAGAGCCAGCTGTAAAGGGCACGCTGAATGTGCTTAAAGCATGTGCTGAAGCAGAGGTTAAGCGCGTTGTTGTCGTGTCCTCTGGAGCTGCAGTATCGATGAACCCGAGCTGGCCCAAGGGTCAAGTGATGGACGAGAGTTCTTGGTCCAACAAGGAATATTGTAGAACCACTAAGGTGATAAATTCCAAAAGTAAACTATTTATTAAACTTATATTTCTACATTATGTATTTTGTGGTGATGCTATTGAATTCAGAAGTATGTGTGAATTTTCCCTTTTCTGTTCTTGCGCTATAATCCATAGTTCTTTGTTTGTCCCAGAATTGGTACTGTTTTTCAAAGACTGAAGCAGAAAGTGAAGCTTTTGAGTACGCAAAGCAAAGTGGGCTTGATGTTGTAACTGTTTGCCCTACCTTAATTTGGGGGCCAATTTTGCAGCCCACAATAAATGCAAGTAGCATGGTTCTCATTAAGCTTTTGAGAGGTAATATCCAAACCACATCCATGATACAATTTTGTTTGGGCATGTATCCTATTATGCGATTGTCATATAATTGTTTCATTCATTTATCTGAGGGCTTTGCTATCATGAAGTGATGATTATAATTTTAAGATGAAATTCTGTGCTTGAAAGTTTTAATCACACCTAAGGAAATTGGCATTCAATTGATAGCAATAATGCTTTCATGTCTGCACCATCTCACAAATTTATGCTGTTGCCAAGAAGTATATTGCCATATTTGCTGATGCTGTTTTTCATACTTTGAAAACCAAAATTTTAATCTAAAATATTGATAATCTCTGTTAGCAAGTACTTTACCTTCTGTCTTGTACCTTTCATACTATTCAAGTGTGCAGTTTTGTTGATCAGCAAGTAACTTGACACTAGAGTTGGTGCATAAACCATTTAGGTTTACTCTGATCTTTTCTTAAACACTGGTTTGTTGAGTCTTTATGTTTATAACTATTTTCTTCTTAGTTTTAATTAGTGTTTTGTGTGACATGCCTTGCAGAAGGATATGAGTCAATTGAAAATAAGTATAGGATGATAGTGGATGTACGCGATGTAGCAGAAGCACTACTTTTGGCATATGAGAAGCCTGAGGCTGAAGGGAGATACATATGCACGGCACATGGGACTAGGACAAAAGACCTGGTTGAGAAATTGAAGAGCATATATCCTAACTACAATTATCCGAAAAAGTAAGTTCTTATCACCTAACATTTGCTTGGTCAAGCAAATTATTACAGTTTATGACTGATCTATTGTTATAATGCAGTCATTATGACTATATAGTTCAGTTATTCCTACTGGCTCATTTTTTTGCATGGTACTTCGCTACATATCTTTTTGTAACTTGCAGCTTCACAGAGGGAGGAGAAGAACAGAGGTTGAGTTCAGAGAAGTTGCAAAGACTAGGTTGGAGTTACCGTTCACTGGAGGAAACTCTTGTTGACTCCGTGGAGAGTTATCGAAAAGCTGGAATCTTGGATTAAGAAAGAGCATAGATATATGCTTTTCTGTCCGTATTAGTTTCAGTTTGAGGATAGGTTCAAGAACTGATATCTGTAAGATTCATGAGTCTAGTTCATCATTTTGCTTAAATAACAGAAGTTTTACTTCTCTTTCTTCTATCAGTGAGATGTTAAATGTCACAGTTCCAAGCTTTCCTGTTGTACTCTCGGATCAGATTATTCATAAATCAAGTTTATGTTTTGTTTTCAGCTTGCCTGTTGTACTCCCTGTTTCCCCCAACTTCAATTGTTCAGATGGGAAAAAAATGGAAAACATACAATAAACCTTCAAAACCGTGAAATTGCAATGGCAAATTTAAGATTGTCTTGTTACCGGTTGGCGCATCCTCGACGCTAGGTTGAATGGTCAGCTTCAAGTTTGTAAATAATAGTTAATAATGGTGGTAATAATCTATCCATATTTTAAAAACAGAAAGGGTTATTTTAGCAGTCAAAGAGATTAATTCTTTGAATGGTCAAAATTGCCCCGGCACGACATCTAATGTTAAACGTATCCCATCTCTGAACTTTTGTTTCCTCCAAAGTCTTCACATTTCGATGCAGATGCTGTCTGTTTCTTTTTCAAACCAATCCGAATCATGACGACAGCAGGAAGGTCTTGTTCCATTTCTTGATTTTCTTTGTGCAGGTAAGTATGCAAAATTGCAAAATTTCTATCCAAATTGTCATATTGGATTGCTCATCGTTTTACTTGTTCTTCTGTCTTCATGCATCAAATTTAGACAGGCTCTGGTTTTCTTTTCCGCAACTGTTTGTAATGTTTAAACTATTTCCAGACAAAATTTCCTTGTGCCTATGCGGATCAATCATTTTCGTTTCTCCTCAACCACCCTAAAATCAAGATTTTAACGGGACTTCTTTTTTCTTTTTTGAATATTTTCTACGCTCATTTCAGAACTGTGATTCCATAGAGGGATAGAATATCCCAGAATCTGGAGTTAATTCACTGTTAAAGAAAGAGCGACCAATTTAAAAGGCAATATGTCAAACAAAGAACAAGTATGTGTAACAGGTGCAGGAGGGTACTTGGCATCATGGTTGGTGAAGCTTCTCCTCTCAAAGGGTTACATCGTGCATGGAACAGTGAGAGATCCAAGTAAATTAGATTCTTCTTTCACTATAACGTCTTTTCTCAATCTCCTTAACAATTGCAAATAGTATTCCTGATCATCTTGGCATATATCCATTTCCATTCAATCTTGACAACTTGGCATATATCTATTTCGATGCAATCTTGAAAACTTTCTTTCGCTTTTGATTTTTCTTTTGAAGGTGATAACAAGAATGCACATCTAAAGAAATTGGATAACGCTACTGAGAATCTGAAACTCTTCAAGGCAGACTTGTTGGAATATGAAGGTCTTTGTACTGCCATTGAAGGATGCATTGGAGTTTTCCATGTTGCTAGCCCGCTTCCATCTCCTGGTGAATATGTTCCCAAGGCAAGATTTTTGTAAATTCAATTTAATTTTTAAGGCCCGCAATTTATCGACTCCTTTTGCTTTTTAATTGTGAGAATGGCCTATGCCATCCGTCTATGCTTTCATGTGCCATCTTTTTGCTTATAGGAAAAGGGTTATGATAACTTTCTGCAGGAACAACTTATGGAACCCGCTGTCACTGGCACGCGAAATGTGCTCAATGCATGCTCAAAGGCTAAAGTGAAGAAAGTTATTGTCGTGTCCTCTGTTGCTGCTGTTGCACTAAACCCAAATTGGCCCAAGGAGCAAATCATGGATGAGGAGTGCTGGTCTGACTTGGAATTTTGTGAGGCAATTAAGGTGTCAAAACTTATAGTAGCTTTAGACGTGCATTGATTGAATTCAGTTTTGGCTCAATCTTTATCAAAATGAATAATTCCTCAAATTTATGTTATTCTCAAACACAAGTTAATATACATGTTATGAACTCCAGAACTGGTATTTCCTTGCGAAGACAGCTGCAGAAAAGGAGGCTTGGGAATGTGCAAAGAGGAGTAATCTGAACGTGATCACTGTTTGTCCGTCCCTAATTATAGGGCCATTGCTGCAGCCAACCATGAACGCCACTTGCTTATATCTCCTAAACTTATTGAAAGGTTTTGATTTTTCAAAGCTAGAACATAGATTATAACAGAAGAATGACCAGAAAGATGAATCCCAAGATTAGACATGAAAGGAATTACATAAAAATTACTCAACAAAAGTATTGTTTTTCCTTTTTATCACTTGGGTTTTATTCATTTAATCTTTATTGCCATGGAAACAGATGGATCTGAGCTAGTAGAGAACAGAACCACTCCTCATGTTGATGTGCGCGATGCAGCAGAATCGCTGCTGCTAGTATATGAGAAGCCTGAAGCAGAGGGAAGATACATATGTTCATCTCATGAGATTTCAACTCAAGATTTGGTGGATAAGTTGAAGCTGATGTATCCCCAATACAACTATCCGAAAAGGTATATTGAGTTATAAGCAATTTGCTATCCAATCGATCCGTGTGCTTACCAGAAAGGTGAGTGAACAAGAATACTTGAGACACGTTGTGCTTTGTTTCTTGACAGTTTTAGTGAAGGGATGGTGTGGACGAGGGTGAGTTCAAGAAAGTTGCAAGATTTGGGATGGAAATACAGGCAATTGGAAGAGACAATCACTGATGCTGTCAAGAATTATGAAGAGCGTGGAGTCCTAGCCAGTTAAAAAAAACTAGCTTATTGGTTATTTTGAAGCAGCCACAGTTTACCATGTTAAAATTATGTGTACATTGCAATGTTTTTCAAGTTGGTATCTTAGAAGACCGGAGAAAATATTGGGTTCATATTGAGATATTTGGGATTCAAAAGCTTTAGCTGAATTGGGTTCTTACAGGATAATATCAAATCCCCATTGTTTGTTTGGCCTAAAATGATAATTTCTGAAAAGCAACAAACCAAGCTCTGTTAATTGATGGAGTAGTTTTTGTTTCAGTCTTGCAAAATAGAGTAGTATAGGCTCACAGATGCTTTCCAACAGCAAAAAATCATCATCAAAGAGACAAAAAACATCCCTCGTTTTCTTCGAACTAGTTCTAAATTGTTATCCTGTCTCTACAAAATCCAATCGCTCTCCTCTAAGTCCCTAACCAGAACCAATAATATAACAATGGTAATGATAAAATAAAAACTGATTTAAAAAAAAAAAGAAAAAAAAAAGGAACACTCAACGTCCATCATGTTGTGGTCCCGATAAGAAACTGCGCTGCTGGAATTCTGGCCCAAAACAGGTGTATTGGGCCCTAGCTGGACCCAAACCCTAGCCACTTGTTTTAGAAATGACTCACTCGATTGAAAATCCACTAGCCTGAAAGTGACCCTTGGCCCTCTTAAGCCTATTGAAATTACCTCTCACCAAATTCACTTTGACTGTTCCATTTTAAGCCAATCGGAGGGTGATGCATTTCCCTGCTTGATGGACTCGACCTCTCTTGATCGCAGCCAGAGCAAAACTAATATATATATATATATATATATTCCCAATTAGCTCCGATCCTGCCATGCGCGTCATCCTTATCCTACGCGTCAATCGATATCCTCTCTTCGGAGGGTCGCCCAGGATTTCCCGTCAGGGAATCACCCTGAAACCCCGTGGCTTCGATCGATCTCTGATTGTTAAGTTGACATAACGGATCCAACTGTCGACTACATTAACGACTAGCTAACTCCGTTCGAATCATCTGCCTCACAGTTGACTCGACTCCAGGCTCTCTATATATTACGATGATATCTTCTAATCTGGACTCTGTGATGCGTAACACACTCGATACTCACTCGAAGAGGGTTATTCGAGAGATGGTCAATCAGGTCGTCGGCTATCTATCCTGTTCCACAAATACGTGAGCGAAGACCTAGGAGCGAGATTAACTTTGCTCCAGTGCAAATACTACGAGACGACATGGATGCCTACGCAGATGATCGAGTTGATTCTCATGCTATCGTCGATCAGCAAGTCGAGCTCGGTACTAGGTGCATGGATGAAGTCATGTGATAGAATCATAACTATATGTATCCGGAGTTATCGGTTGGAGTCCGTTCACGCAGGCGATCAGATAGGTATAATACTGCATATACTATTCGCTCATCACTGGCGGGTCGTAGTACGGCAGATCCGTGGTGATCATTCGGTGGACACTAGCACAAACGTAACAATGTAACATTATAAAACACACTCGCTAGTTACTATAGCGGCCTCAATCAACTCACACCGTACAATACGCCAGAATTTCATACAGTGTGGCACGACCTGACTATTCTGCTTATATCAGTACGGCAATCTGTGCGAACGACGTGTCTCTAGTACGCCGGGAAAACTGAATGCCACCTTACAGGACCACTGCTAGATCAGATACTCTATGCTGTCCAGACTGGCGCTTCGTATCCGCTTTATCGCACCCAATGTTACGTCCCTGCACCGCACTTACGGAGGCCTCCTGGTGCTTGTGATTGTTTTTCCTTTTTAGTCACTTGGATTTTTATAATCTTTAATCTTTCTCATTGCCATGGACAAACAGGATGCGATCTGAGAGCTCATAGAGAACAAGAACCACTCCGTCATGTCTGCATGTGCGCGTACTGCGAGCAGAGATCGCTGCTGCTTAGGTAATGAGAAGCCTGAAGGGCAGAGAGGAAGATAGCATTAAGCTTTCATCTCTACTGAGCATTCAACTCAAGATTTTGGTGGGAGAAGTTGAAGCTGCATGATCCCCAATACATATACTAATCGAAAACAGGCCTGTATGACTTATAAGCAGACTTTCTATCCAATCGATCCGTGTGTCTGCCTTACCAGCAAAGGATGAGTGTGTGACACAAGAAAATACTTGAGACACCGTTCGTATAGCTGTTGGTTTCTTTGACCAGTTTTAGTGAAGTGAGTTCTCCGACGTGACTAGAAATCTATAATAGAGCTGGGTAATCCAACGAGAGAGTGGTCGTGCCGACTAATATATAGGCCAAATTGAGAGAAGACTCTGTACTGCTGCCACAATAGAATTATTGCGAGCTGCGTGGCGTTCCTAGCAGCTATGAAAAACACTAATCGACGCTTATGGCGCTTGCGGAAGCTCTATGCCACAGCATGTTCATATATTTATACATCGAGCCATCATCTTTCAAGTTCAGGTCATCCTCTAGACCGCGATCGAACACATTAACTTGGGTCTATCCATCTTCATATATATCTTTGGATCTAAAAGACCATCTGCTTTCGGATGTCTCATCCTACAAGGATCATTATTATCACACATCCCACATTGTCTGTTGACCTAAAATATAATTTCTGAAAAGCAACAAACCAAAAGCTCTGTTAATTGATGGAGTAGCTTTTGTCTTCAGTCTTTGGCAACCGAATAGGAAGTAGTATAAGCTCACCAATAGCTTTCCAACCCAGCAAAGAAGATCATTCATCAAAAGAGACAAACAAACATCTCCTCGTTTTCTTCGAACTAGTCTCTAACATTCGTTATCCCTGTCTTCTACTAAAATCACATCCTGACTCTCCTGCTTTAAGTCCCTAACCAGAAAACCAACTAATATAACAATGTAATGATAAAGTATAAAAACTTGATTTAAAAAAAAAAAAGAAAAAAAAGAAAGAAGAACACTGTCAACGTCCATCATTGTTTGTGCGGTCTAGACCTTAAAGGGCTCCCGATAAGTGATAGTATAGCGTCTGGAATTCTGTCCCAAATACCAGTGCATTGGGCCCTAGCTGGACCCAACCCGAGCCACTTGTTTTAGAAAGGACCTCACCTCGATTCGAAAATACCATCAATATGCCTGTACAAGGCTTGACTTTTGGCCCTTTCGTTACAGCGCCCTATTAGAAATTTACCCTCTCACCAAATCTCACGTTTTGGAACGCGCTTGTTCCCATTATAAGCCAAATCGGAGTCCGGTGATGCATTTCACCTGCTTGATGGACTCGAACCTCGCTTGATCCGCAAGGCCAGAGGCCATAAAACTAAGTATTATAAGGTATAGTAATATTATATACTATGTTAGTATATTTCATACTTAGTGTATAACTACAACCACACCCAGCCCGTCTTAATGAAAGGAAACAATGATGCATGTGCGCGCAGAAAGTAATAACCAAATCTTCCAATAGTGAGGGTTCCCTTTTCTTTATATATATATATATATATATGTATGTATATCATATTAGTGTATATACACCCACCCCACCCGTTTAATGAAAGAAAACAATGATGCATGTCGCGAGAAGTATAACCCAATTCCAATAGTGAGGGTCCCTTTCTTTTTCCTGACTTTAGTTACGTGCGGTTCCATTATAGCTTCGTCCAATTCCAAGGTCATTAATTAATATACAAATCTTCTTTTACAACATGGTAAAAGATAAGGGGGTTTTACTTTTTACCATGTAAGACAATCAAGTCTTTTTCACTGCTGTATTATACTATATTATCACCTGCATAAAACGACCAATCTTCATGGAATACAGAGAAGGTTATTTATTTTTAGTAGAGGGATTATGTGTGTACTGTTTGCCGTTTTTGTCTTTATGAATGCAAACGCCAGACAAAGTTGTTATGAAGTTTAGTTACCATTTCACATGTGCCAAATATTCAAATGTTTTTACTTTTAGTGGCTAATAATTTTTTTTTTTTTTTTACTAAAAATATGCAAACCAACTTTATTTAAATACCATTTTAGTCCAAACACAACGGTCAAAATGTGCGTTTGATATAATTAATGGTGAAGTGGTCACGAGTTTCACCTTTAATTTTAAATTATTTCTAAAAATTATCTTATAATATATAGAAAATTTTTTATATTTTATCTATAAATTTATATATATATATATATTTTAATTTCGTCTCTTAAATTTTAAAATTTTTGTTAATCCTTTTTGGTTGACCTTTTTTAACTGAATTAGTGTATATGCGAAGGTAAGTTTTTCTCCTCGTGGAATTAATTAATTGAACTTTGGCTTAAACTAATATACAAGTAACAAAGACAAGGCTTATCTTTTTCTTTAAAAAGAGGGACTAGGTTAGGCTTATCTTATTCTAACTGTAAAGCTTCAAAGCTAAGCTATGAATCTGGAAGTTGAATGGGTAGAAAGCACTGCAGCAACGGACAACAGCAGCAAACTGATAATACTAATAAATATTGATGTACGGGCAGAACAAACAAATTAGGGTATGGGAGAGAGAGTGTGAATTTGTGTGTAGGACCCACATCAGCTCCCCTTCCAAGCTGTCGAGCTTTGTTTGAGAAGTCTGGAAGACAAAAAGGGTCCAGCTTTCTTTCACATTTCTTCTTCTTCCTTTTTTTGCTCTCTTGCTCTTCTTCAGTGCAAAAATCATGACTTCCCTTCACCTTCTCACCTCTCTTCATCCCTACAGTCATCATCGACTACCACAATAACACTAATGGAAAAGCGAAAAACGAAATAGTATTACTGTTAATACAGTTATTACTATTTCCATATAATTAATTACTACTAAAGATTCTTTCTTTTACACCCATTCTCTCTTGACCAACTTTTTCCCTTACAAACCCAAGCCCACCTCCTGCTCTTTCCATCTTGTTCCACCCTATTCCACCACCGACCTCGTCCCTCTCTTGGCCCATCACACCTCAATTCTAGGGTTTTTTTTAATTTTCTTTCTATTTCCTTTTTCTTTTTTTTTTTTTCTTTGCTTGCTTTTTTTTTTTTATTGTTATTTTTTCTTGGCCTCTTCAATACCATCACTCTGCTTTTCGATCTTTTATTTCTTTGTCAAAATTAGCGTACCTTGTGTAGTGATCCTCCAATAATTCTATGGATTCTCAGTATATTTCATCCAATTCTGGGGTTTTTCTAGGGTTTTTCTTTTAAGATGTGGCTTAGTGTCTATTGGGTCGACTTTAGTATCACTTAATCCTTTCCAAGTCGATAACAGCCATCTTTTTATACTGGAATCTTCCTTCTTTTCACCTCAGCTCGAAATCCGGATTTGCAATAGGTTCTCTTGTCTTTTATTTTCTTCGCTTTTTTCTTGTTATTCCTTTAGGAAATTCCGTTTTCGTTTTCATTTCAATTTATGGCTTATCAACCGATTCCGGGTCCTAGCTCGGGATCAAGTTCGAGTTCAGGGTTCCAATACTTGAATTCTCCTTTTGGAGATACTACCTATACTAAGGTTTTTGTTGGGGGGCTTGCTTGGGAAACTCAGAGCGAGACTATGCGCCGTTATTTCGAGCAATTTGGAGAAATTCTGGAGGCCGTTGTGATCACCGATAAGAATACTGGCCGATCAAAAGGCTACGGCTTTGTGAGTATTTACTTTTTTTTCTTCTTTTTAAGTTTTCATTTTCTGGGTTTTGTTATCTTTAACGTCCAACCCAATAATTCTTTATAAATTATTCGGCATATAATCATATGAAGCAAGAAATTTAACTAATTCCTCTGTGCTAGCCAATGCTTGCCAACGACCATCTTATACATTAATTTTATAACTGGGTTTCTTCAATGGCTATTGAATGACTTGATTTTGGTTCTGGTTGTATTTGTGTGGAGGGTGTAGGTGACTTTCCGGGAACCAGAGTCTGCTAAGAGAGCATGTGCTGATCCTACCCCGATTATTGATGGCAGACGGGCAAATTGCAATTTGGCTTCACTTGGACGGCCGCGTCCACCACTACCTTACGGTACTAGATCATATTTACTTTTCCAAACGGACAACCGGATGTACTGAAATTTGCTTTACTTGGCAATTGGTTGAGATATTTTAGTTGAACACCAGCTTAATGCAAGATGATGAGAACAATTAATTTCAATGTTCGAATTCTGTCAAAAGATTGATATGCAAGAGAATTGATACTTGGCATTCCAGCAATGTTTGTAGTCCGCTTTCTTTACGGCAGACACACACATTCATAGCCAAACAATATCTGTTATATTTGGACCACTTTGTCTCTCAGTTCTTGGTTTTTCCTTGTACCTATTCTTCTAATGGCTATTATTATTATTATTATTGTTGTTGTTGTCTTTGTTGGTGTTATTATTATTATTATTATTATTATAGGACGTCTGAGACCAGCTACTCCATACATTGCAAGTGTACAAAACCCCCGGGGTACATACGTCGGAAGTTTTGGCTACCAGCAGCCACTTTCTTACAACTATCAACAAGGATTGATGTATCATCCTTATGGGTGAGTTTTATGTTATAACTGATAAGGCAAAAAGTATTACTATATATTGCAAGCTGAAGCAGAAGTGACTTTATTGTTTTGTTGCTACAGCATTCTTCCCTGCATTTTATTTCCTATACTTTGTAATTTTTCCTGCTTAATTTATTGTTCGTCATTCCTTGCCTATGGTTTTAGCATCTGTATTTGCTGTTCAATTATAGGAGTAGCCTTATTTCCCCCTCTTATGGTTCCATTTACCCATTAACCCATGTCATTAATTGGATCGACTACAGATAGCTTGTGGCCACAATTTTCAGTTTTGATTGGGCACGTGTCCTTTGCAACTACATTCTTGCTCTCTTCCTTCACTTTATTTATTCATGGCTCTTCGTACATGTGCCAATCACTTCATCAAACGCCAGTTAGAAGTTTTTAGTTGATCTAGGAATGTTATGTCAGTTCCTAGAACCCGGGGTTCTTTTTGCTCGAACTTCAGAGATGTGACATGGTGTGATTGGTAATTGCAGGAATGCAAAAAGTGATAGTTGCAGAGGATATGTGCCCCCAGGTCAGTGTTTGTTGAAAAGGCAAGGTTAGGGTTGTGGTTTTATTAAAATGGAGGAAAACCAGTGCCCAAAAGTTTTTGGTTTCAGCTGTTAGGCTTATGGCTTGTCTTGATTTACCCTTAATGCATGCTCAAAAATAGATTATTGATAGGATTGGTGTCACATCTAGTTAATTAAAAATCCATTTCCTTGATTTATTTATTATGTTTTTCTCCAATCCAATATCTTGTTTAAAATCCTGTGCCAATGCTGATGTTTTCAACCTCTTCAATGGCCATTTTGTCTACACAGATATGCAGCATATGGACCTGAATACGTCTATCCACAGGTAAATGACGGCAACATGGAAAATTATTTGATCTCAATGTTATATGTAATTATAATTTAGGAAATCTATAATGCTGACTCACATCCAATCATAATGAGTTCTCTTTCTACTGGTAGGGTGTATACAACCCTTATGCAGGTCAGCCGTACCTTCAGATATATGGTGTCCCTGGAGCAGTCAACACAGCAATGTATCCTTATGGACAGCTGGGTCAAACCCTTCCTGGAGGGCATGGTTATTCAACGGTGCAGGGGTATGCTATGCCAGGTCATCAGATTGTGCAGTTTGGTGGACCTAGTGTTAATCCAATAACAACTTCACCTATGGCCACTATTCAGACTCCATATCCTACAGGTAAACATTTAAGTTTGGGATCTTTTTGGTTTAAGTGGAAAAAAGGCCCTCAGTTTTGGGGTTAGTTTCAACTATAAATTCACGTGGTAGTAGTTGCTACCTTTGAAAATTGATTTCATAAAAACTTGTTCTAGTTGATGAATTTTTTATTTGCACACTTAATATTTCAAGATTGAGTAAACATTGAAATCTTAGAGGGACTTGAAATTTTAAATAGTTTCAGGACTTAAATTGTCAATCTTTTGGATTTTATTGATGTTAAATCTATATCTCAGAACCTTTTTGTGCTTGTGCCAAAACTTTTACTATACGAAGTCAAACAAACTTGAAGAGAAATATATCAGAGTTTCTCTTTGTTTAATAGCTGTTATTGACATCACAAGTTTGCTCTGGAAAATTCATCTAGAAACATAAAACTAGAAATTATGTGGAAGGCAAGAAAGAGAGAATCTGACATCTGACAAGGGCATACATAGTTTTCGTATTTTACTGATGGATAAACAAGCAAGTAAACAGATCTAAACTCTCCCTTGATCATTCAGGGACAAGATTGTGAAATTTTGGTGGTTACATCAAAATAATTTTCCATGAGATAAAAATGATAACATGAGTGCATTGGGTTTTCCAGGTATAGCTGCACCTGTTCCAGCACAACCTCCGTTTATAGTTCCTGCTCCTTCTCCTCAGTATATGCAGGGCAGCGGTTCTGACCAAACAGCTGGGTGAGGGGTTGATCAAGGTGAGTGGCATTTTTCTATTGTTGGGTCTGACAATAAGTTCTGTTCCTTATGTTGCCGCCACTAATGTGTTATGGAGCAAGATAGTTATCTCAGTTTTGTTTTGCAGGTATCCTTAAGACTGCAGCAGGACTAAGAGCAGCGGATCTGCTACTTGAGTGGCGGGCTTCGGATCTAGCCTTGCAAACTATTTATTTTGCATTCTAGAGGTATCTATTTTCTTCCTATGCACTCATTACTGATAACTTGAGATTTCAATTAAATAAAATTAGTAATTTGAAGAACAAATTGCTGTCTCGTATGTATATCCTCCCACACCTTGTGCCGCCTTTCAACATGCTTGGAGTTGGTCATGAACAAATTTAGCCATGATCAAAATTGAACTAGGTTTTTGTTTCAAACAAATTTGCAATATTGACACTCAACTAAATTTGACTATATAGGGAAGAACATGCATGTCCAAATTCCATATTTATTTGCAACAATTTATGTGATTGTTGATCTTTAGGTTTTATGTTGTGCAGGTCATACATAGTCGTTCTCACCAGAGAAGTCAGATGTCATGAGTTGCTCCAAACGAGGAGGAATGTGGAAGATGCCAACATTTCTTCCTTTACCCTAGTGTATCAAAAACCTCGTGTACTGCAGGATCTCAGGACGAGGTCCAGGCAGTAATGCATTTTATGGATGCTGGAATCGGTTTCTGGCAACTGTAATATTAGGAATAAAACTCTGTAAAAGGAAAAAAAAAAGATCATGTTAGAATCAACATATGATTCTTTTATACTGTTAGTCCCAGCATTTGGGTGTATAGGATAGTCTCTGGTGCCTTTTGTCGGTGAACTGCATTGTATTTAAAACAGAGTTTTGTGCATACCAGTACTAGTAGTAGCAGTAGGGGTTCATTTCATTGGATGCTCAAAACTCTTCTGTTTATGAAAAGCCATCCTCAAAGCATGAGGAAGCTTCAGTTATATTTGATGATTTGCAAAGACAAACACCTATTCACACGCTTTATTTTGGCCCACCAAACACCTAAAATTCAAGAAAGAATGGTAAAGCTTAGATTTCACGACTAATGGGTTTGAAATTTTGCAATGGAAAGTGTGATGTGATTCTTCTTTTTTCCTTCAGAATCTCTATTTTGCACGAAAGAGTTACCTGAAAATCATGTGCGCTGACTAGCCCAAAATCATGTGATGTGATTTTTTTTCTTTGTGAAAGAATATGATTGATACCCTTAGTATGCAAAATATGTTTGTTAAATTGGCTTTCCTTATATTAAATCGAAATGGGAAAAAGATTAGATTTTGTGCGTCAATCAAATAAATTGAGATTCACTAAAAATACCTTTGACTCATGAAGATCGAGAATCCCTAACTCTGAAGAATGGAGCCTAAAGTGACGATAGAGAAACAAAATTTCACTTTAGCCCAATCTCAAAGAATTTTAATATTTTACCCTAAATATAGTCTGGTGGTGTATTAAATACGTAGAAAGGACAGGTCCGTTTATGAAATGGGTATCAGTCGACCCACCCAATTAGTTGCGGCACGCACAGGAGAAGCCGAAGCCGGCTATTTGCGTTGCATTTGATTTGCTTATTTCCCTCCTTCGCTCCTTCTTTCTGGCCCTCAATTCACCCAGATATGGCCTCACAAGCATCAGCATCCTTTAAAGACCCGCCCGGACCATCCAACGCAACTCCGCCATCTCTCAAGCCCAAGCTTCCCCAACCTTCCGTTGTATCCGGCGTCGCTGCCACCACGCCCTCTCCCATCAAGCCCGAGGTTCCGACGCCCTCCACTGCCGTTCAACGGCCACCGCTTGCGCCTCCCTCTCCTGATGCCGACGTGGTCCAAATACCTAGCTACTCCAGTAAGTCTGGTCAAAATCTCTAGATACAAAATGCATATATATTTATGCATATGATTGAAGTCTTTAACTTGTGGGTTTTTAGGGTGGTTTTCGTGGAATAGCATTCACGAGTGCGAGGTCCGATTCCTTCCAGAATTCTTCGATTCGCGGTCGCCTTCTAAAAACCCTAAGAATTATATGTACTACAGGAACTCTATCATTAAGCATTTCAGGCACAATCCTTCGGGTAAGCTCACCTTCACAGAGGTTAGGAAGACGCTTGTCGGCGATGTTGGCTCCATTCGCAGGGTTTTTGACTTCCTCGAAGCTTGGGGTTTGATTAATTATTCGCCTTCAGCTTTGAATAAGCCCTTGAAGTGGGAAGACAAGGACTCTAAGTCTACTTTGCAGGGCGGTGCTGATGGTGGAGGCAGTTTAGCTGATTCTACTCCTCCTAAGAGGGACAGTTCCAAGAGATTATGTAGCGGTTGCCAGTCTGTCTGCACCATTGCCTGCTTTGTTTGTGACAAAGTAAGCTTCTCTCTTTAGCTAAAAAATTTTAACTTGCTGTGCTCCTATTGCTTCCTAAACAGCAGAGAAGAATTTGAGCTCGTAAATCTTTTGTGCATGAATAAAATGAATCAGTAATTAAATTAAATTATACTGTTACTGGCTACTGTATAGTTCCTTTTACTTCATCCCTCGTCCCAGTAGTTGGAATCTAAGACCTTGAGGGACCTTAAGTTGTTGTACGTTAACCAAGTTTGAGTGAGTGTATATTTCCTTCACAAAACAAGCCATAGGTTAAGGTTTAAACTTCACCAAAATAATGAAGGTTTCTTTCACATATAAGCATTGAGGATGGAATTTATCGATTCAGGGGAAGAAAAAACTTCATGATGTGGGATTTATTTTTGATCTTTGCAATATGTATTTCTTGTGCAGTATGACTTGACCCTTTGTGCCCGCTGCTATGTCCGAGGAAACTACCGTGTTGGTGTCAGCTGCTCTGATTTCAGGCGGGTTGAGATCAGTGAAGAAATAAGGACAGAATGGACAGAAAAAGAGACATTGCAACTTCTGGAAGCCGTTACACATTATGGTGACGAGTGGAAAAAGGTTGCACTGCATGTTCCTGGTAGAAGTGAGAAGGACTGTGTTACTCATTTTCTCAAACTTCCTTTTGGAGAAGAGTTTAGTGGTTATGCAGAATTGGGAGAACCTTGTAGCAAGTATGACCAAATAAAGAGCTGTAGCAACTCTGACTGTGGATCAGAAAGTATTGGCTCCTCATCTGCATGTAAAAGGATGCGCCTAACACCTCTTGCGGATGCAAGCAACCCAATAATGAGTCAGGTATGCTTATTGGGTCATTTCAAAGCTGCAAAAGGGAAGAAAGTTCCTTTTTTTTCTCCTTTTTGTGCCAGTGTTTTGGCTTTTTTTTTTTTTTTCTATCTGAGAAAGCCGGCTTATCAACATTATTAAGGTGACGAGTGGAAAAAGGTGTGCACTCTGCATGTATCCTGGTAGAAGGTGAGAAGGGACTGTGTTAACCATCATAGTATTTCTCAAGAGAACATTCCTTAGTTGAGAAGAAGGTTTTAGTGGTTATGCCAGAATTGGCTGGAGAAAATCCTTTTAGAAAGCTGATCCTTCACAAGGTAGAAACCAAAAATAAAAGAGCTTGTAGCAACTCTGACTTGTGGATCAGAAAAGATGTGGCTCCTCATCTGCATTGTATAAAAGGATGCGCCTAACACCTGCTTGCGGATGCAAGCAAACCCAATAATGAGTTCAGGTATGCTTATGGGTCATTTCAAAGCTGGCAAAAGGGAAGAAAGTTCCCTTTTTTTTCTCCTTTTTGTGCCAGTGTTTTGGCTTTTTTTTTTTTTTTTGATTTTGAAGAAGAGGGGGGGGGGGGAGGGGAGGGGTGGGAGCGCAGGAGAGCAAGAGGGACCAAGAGCCACATTAAGTGGCATCTATATCACCTTGTTCTTTCTGATGGGGGGAGGGGAGGGGGGTGGGGGAGCGCGAGAGCAAAGGACCAAGAGCACATAAGTGGCATCTATATCACCTTGTTTTCTGATAAATTCTATCTAGGTGAGATCATTGCTACTGCATTGGCATTTCAAGAACAATTTGAGGTGTTTCATACAAAGTGGTCCTTTGTCAGCCCTTCTGCCATAGTCTTATTTGTTTTCAACTTTTTTTCTTCACCACTTTGGTTTTGGGGCTTGTTTCCAAAATTCACTTTGTTTGATTTCCATGCCTAAAAGACTTGATTTTGTTCTGTTTTTGTAAGAAGAGCTTCTGAGGCTTAATCTTCCTTTTGTAAAGTTTGAACCTATAGTTTGCTCTTCAATCAACCAATCAAAGCTGAGCGGGTTGATCTTGTTTTGTCGTTGAAGAAATTTTTAATTTATGATCATTAATTTTGATCTGCCCTTTTATTATATATGCTGGCTGCAAGGAAAATACAATTCTATTTTGGTCTTGTTGCTCTCCAAGCTTAGATCTAGGCTGATATGTTCTTTTGAAATTTACACAGGCTGCTTTTCTATCAGCTCTGGCGGGTACAGAGGTTGCAGAAGCTGCTGCTCGGGCAGCTGTAACAGCTTTGACTGAAATTGAATATGGAGCAAGTAAAGGCAATATTGAATCTCTTTCCAGGAATACAAGACAACAAGGTATAATAGCTTCTTAGTACATATGGAATATGAACACTGATCGATGACAGATTTGTGCTCCCTTGGTGGGTTAGGGTACTAAATTTGGCAGCAAATTCCTTGGGCCAGCCACTAAATACTGAGTAGCATTAAGGTTGGTTTGGGTAATTTTTTTAATATTAGTGTAGAGAGGGACATCAAGAGAGATCTAGAAGCTTCACATATTAATGAGTGGCATGGTCATTCAGGAATCAGTGACCTTGTGATTCTATTTGGGCAAGGTGTAGCATGAATTTCCCTTTCCAACAATTTTTTTTTTTTTTTTTTTATGTTCTCAGGAATGGTTTTTAAGATATAAATTTTTTCACATAGATCCTCGCAGACAAAGTCTCAAGTGATTTGGCATTTTACTTTGGCACCTTAGGCCTGAGAATTGTGATTTTTGTTTGTGCAGTTGCTGGTGTTGCCGCTAACGGTGACACCAATCTAAATGCATTGGAAGGAGCTTCACTAGATGCTAATTCACTGCCTGAGAATGAAGAGGTAGATGCAGAGAAAGCAATTTCCAAGATTATAGAAGTGCAGGTGCGAGACTGTCACTAGTGCTTGCTGTGCTAAATGATAAATTTGATGACCAAAATAACGAGTTCTCTCTCTGTCCTTTCTTGTTTTCCAGATGAAAGAGATCCAGGATAAGATTGTTCATTTTGAGGAGTTGGATTTGCTGATGGAAAAAGAGTGGCAACAGTTGGAACAAATTAAAAATTTGCTATTTGTTGACCAGCTTGCCCTGTTGTTTCATAAAAAATCAACATCAAAGACTGGGGAACGAGTGGAGGAAAATGTAAGAACAGATTGATGTTTTAACATGTTGTATATTCGATCAAATGCCAAGTTTATTTCCTTCTGAGGCCTTCCCATTTGCTTTGGCTGTGGTGTTCTCAATGCTAATGAATTTAATATAATATTTTAGGGTCCCTTCGCCATCGTTATTGCAAAAATTTTGTATCAAAATTGAAAGTAGTTCTGGTGGTCAAATGAATGTAGTTACTTGCAATTCAATATCAAAAATTGATTTTAGAAAAAAGTTTAAAATGTATTAATTTTGGGACGAAATTTTGATCCAATACAATTTGCAAAGGAAGAACATTTTGTATTTTTAGACAACTATGGAGTATTCAATACATACATGAACTGTATTGGCCAGGCAGTAGCTAGCTCAATGGTTTCAGAATTATACACCACTGCCCAACCATCATAGTGGATAAAGAAAAACTAAAACGAAAGAATGATCAATGTAACCTGTACCGGCACATTCTGCCCTTGTTTACTTTACGGCCATTCATTTTTTTCAAATGAACCTGAAGGACGAAACAACCTGCAAGGCCAGGTAGAATTTAGAAATTCAAGTGGAAATCTGAAATTTCATGCGGCTTTAAACATTCAACAACTCTGGGGCTACTAGTCTAATCGCAAAGATAAGCCTTCAAACTAGAAAAAAGTAAAAAACTCATCCGTTTGAACCTACCTTTTGCACCTTGGTACCATATTTCTCTGATTCTTCATCCACAAACTGCATCAATGAGGATTGTTATGGGTTGAGAAGTGGAAGACTAACTTACACAATAAGGTAAAATGAACTCCATCTGTGTGTATGTTTTATTTCATGTACCCTCACCTGCCCTGTCACTGTATATAGTCTGTTATACCAACCATTGGATGCCATTCCAAGGGCTGAAAATAAATGTCTGCGACTTTCGCCTGGATTTTGTAGTGTGTATTCAATGTAATAAATGCCTATCAATCATTTAGAAAAAATGATATTAGTGAACCACCATCAAGTAATAAGAAAGCTCAATAGTCATTACCTTTAGAAGATTTGCAGTCGATGAGTTTTGCAGTAACGCCAGGCGGCCTTTGCCAGCTCCTGTCCAATCCACTGACCTGAGAAGCAAACACAAAACTCGTAAACAAACATAAGCTCTTTTCACAGAATGAGCTTCCTTCCCATTAGACACTGCAAAAACCCCACCAGAGTTTCTGCAAATTCTTCCACTTTGCCAAACGATTCCATTCTTGTAAAGTCCGGACCAATCCCCGTTATCGCCACACTCACTATAAAAGCAATTTCAAAAATTGTAAAAGTACAATCACATGATGAAATAATGAATCAATCCATCAGGAAAGTCTTGTGACTAGTACCATTCGAATTTGAATCTTCATCTGGGTAGAAAGCGGTCACTGATTTAAACCCACTAGGTTGTCCTGCACCTACTCGCCAGTCTGTGTCAACAATTTAATTGCTTGTTTTAGCACTAAGTGATTCCACAGACCAATATTCTATCTAAAGATACTAAATTTACTTGACATTACCTCCCACAAAAGCTTACTATATATGAACTAAATGGTTCCCATTTGGGATAAGCTACAACAAAAAGATTAAAAACATGTTTATTGGTAATAAACTTGACATTACAAGAATTCACCTTGGGGAATCGATATCTGGAACTTGTTGGCATCATCACTATAAAGGCGGAACTCATCTAAGGCCAAAAGACCTTTCAATTAGAATATTGCTCTCCGATTTAAGCTTCAGAAATTTTTATACTATTAATTACTGACAAAAAAAGAGAAGAACAATTACCGATATCTGCCAATGCATTTGAAACGATTGCCGGAAAACTAAACCCAGTAAATATAACGTTCGAAAAAAGTTCTCTTCTTCCAGTTAATTCTTGATTCCAAAAACTACAAATATTTCATTAGAAAAAAAAAAAATTAAGATGAGAATCCATAGATGATTATTAATGGGTGAAAAACAGGCCAGAAAAGAAGGTTTAACGTGAGATTACAATAAAGGAGGTTGCTGTTCTTGTTGTTCTTCTGCTTGGTATGAGTTGCTGCTGCAGAGGACCTGTTGTTTTCTGCATTTCTTAGTACCCAAAGAAATTGAAGCAGAGAGCAAATTATGTTTATGGTTAGGGTTAGGGTAGGGTTTCAAGGCATAGGGAGCTGTCTTGTTGGATAAAGATATGAAGTAGCAATTGCAAGGACGCTGTGACACCCAATTACAGGGTAAAGAAGTAGACGCCATGGAATTCTGATCTGACTGGTTAATGCGTGCTCTGCTTTGACCCTTTCTCTATTAACTTCTGAATTCTGACGGCTGGGTCTCACCGGCTACTAACGGTTTTTTTTTTTTTTTTTTTTTTATGGTTAGAGTTAGAGGGTTAGAGTTTCAACATAAGGGAGCTGTCTGTTAGGATAAAAGATATGAAGTAACAATGCAAGGGACCCGCTGTGGACACCACAATTACAGGGAAAGAAGTAGACGCCATGGAAATTCTGATCTTGACTGAGTTGAACTGCGTTGCTCCTTGCTTTTGACCCTTCTCTATTAACTTCTGAACTGACGGCTGGTCTCAACCAAGGCTACTAAACGGTTTTTTTTTTTTTTTTTCCTCCGAACTATATTAACGGTTTTAAACTATCAATTTTTTACTAACGGTTTTTTTTTTTTTTTTTTTCTCGACTATATTAACGGTTTTTAACTACCAATTTTTACTGTCTTAAAAGTAAAAAGTTAGTACTTGCAAAAATTTCTAACTTCTGATCTTTTAGAAACCGAGTTTTATTGTCTGAAAAGTAAAAAGTTCGCATAATTAATTTATAATAATAGAAAAATTAATTATAAACCAAATAAAAATTCAATCGAATTTGAAGAATTAAATTGAATATTTGTCTTAACAAAAAGGACTTTTATCCTTACAATTGTGCCCTTTTCAAATTTTTAGAATCATGGCAGAATTAAAATAAATTTCTAATGCTCGAAAATTTTTAATTGACAACAACTTTTAAGGTATTATTATTATTGTTTAGTAGTGTATAAAATCGAGAAAATAGAACACAAAGCGTTATCTTTTAAAATTTAGTTAACACTTAGTAAAATAATTAATATTTTCGAATATTATTATTATGAATAAATAAAAATTAAATTCAATGGAAAAAAGAAAATGCATATGTTTTTTACCATTTATTAAGTTTTAACTGGTTATGAGCTATGTGATATGCAGATATGATACAATCCTATACATAAAAACTATTTTTCTTACAAAATTAGTAGCTTGTTTGCATTTAAATTAGTTTGAGCTTTTACCCTACTATGTATATATATTATAAAAATATTTTAAGGATGTCCTAAATTAATGAATATTCTTTGATTTCTTGATCACTTAAAAAAAATTATTCAAAAAAATATATATATTTTTGATACATGGAAGGCCCGATGGACTTGTGAGCTACCCAGGACAGCTTTTCCTTTTAAATAACATTCAATTATTCAAAAAAAAAAATTTCTTTATACATAGAGGCCCAATGGACTTATTTTCTTTGAATCATATTCAAATTTTTGTGGTAGAAATGACTCGAACCAAGACCTCTTATTTGTTATATTTTCTACAAAAGGTAGAAGTACCAATCAAACTACGTCTTATTGGCAATAAAATATTTTTTTTATTAAATGAGAAATAAAATGAAAATGATTTGTTTAGTGAATTAAAAATAATTTTTAAAGAAAAAAAAAATAAATATACACTCATTTCCTTAAAAAAAAATATGTATTCATCAATCCAACAATATATACGGTGGTTATCTCAATTATAAACCTTTACATCAAGCATTAACATGTATTTTAGATTCAATAAAGAAAAATTATATTAATTTTTATAAATTTTAATATTTTTGTAGCTTTATAAATTTAGGATTATGAACTACTTCCCTTAATTAGATATTTTGTTTTGGAAAATGAGTTGTTGTAGGAAAATAAATGAATCCTTCTTAGTTGTTATTTTTGGTATTTAATTAATTATTTATTTGGCAAAAAAGATAAGGACAAAAATATGCAAGGTGGCCCTGTTTATTAGACCAAATCCACAATTTTACCTTAATTGTGTCTTATGGACCAACTACCCTCTACCAACCCTCAAAACATAAATACATATTATTGTATTAAAACAGAAAATTCTTTTTTTTTATTTTTTTAATTCGCATATATATATATATTTATGCTTAGATCAAAATATTATTTTTTTAGATTTTAATATAACTTTCAATAGAGATGATGCTAATATATTTCAATCTTTTCAGACCATTAAAAAAAAAAAAAAAGAAAAACAAATTAGAATAATCTTCAATCAACTGTACAAACGGCAGTTAATCATAATTGTCATTTTTTACAAAATCAGATTTGATAAATTTAAAAGTGCCAGAAAAGAAAATAGAAAACAACAAGAGCAGAATACAAAAATGACATGGATCTGACTCATACTTTTGTGCGAGTAAAATTAATGAATACTCGCCTTACTGTTTCCACACGTAGGATTTGAATGTCTTTTTGAAATTTAGGGGTACGCGTTGTTGAGACAGGACGAGTATACTTAATTCTTACTCGAGCGAGTAAGAATAAGCGTTTTTTAACGAAAAGAAAGAGAGTAATGAAGGCGTAGAGTAAATGCAAATTAAACAATTATTATATATATTTTGTACGAAAGCAAAATAAGACTGCTTTTACCTCTGCTTTTTTTAATAAAGACAACCCTGTAAGTGAGAAGGCAATACTAACGGTTTTTTTTTTTTTTTTTTTCTCGACTATATTAACGGTTTTTAACTACCAATTTTTACTGTCTTAAAAGTAAAAAGTTAGTACTTGCAAAAATTTCTAACTTCTGATCTTTTAGAAACCGAGTTTTATTGTCTGAAAAGTAAAAAGTTCGCATAATTAATTTATAATAATAGAAAAATTAATTATAAACCAAATAAAAATTCAATCGAATTTGAAGAATTAAATTGAATATTTGTCTTAACAAAAAGGACTTTTATCCTTACAATTGTGCCCTTTTCAAATTTTTAGAATCATGGCAGAATTAAAATAAATTTCTAATGCTCGAAAATTTTTAATTGACAACAACTTTTAAGGTATTATTATTATTGTTTAGTAGTGTATAAAATCGAGAAAATAGAACACAAAGCGTTATCTTTTAAAATTTAGTTAACACTTAGTAAAATAATTAATATTTTCGAATATTATTATTATGAATAAATAAAAATTAAATTCAATGGAAAAAAGAAAATGCATATGTTTTTTACCATTTATTAAGTTTTAACTGGTTATGAGCTATGTGATATGCAGATATGATACAATCCTATACATAAAAACTATTTTTCTTACAAAATTAGTAGCTTGTTTGCATTTAAATTAGTTTGAGCTTTTACCCTACTATGTATATATATTATAAAAATATTTTAAGGATGTCCTAAATTAATGAATATTCTTTGATTTCTTGATCACTTAAAAAAAATTATTCAAAAAAATATATATATTTTTGATACATGGAAGGCCCGATGGACTTGTGAGCTACCCAGGACAGCTTTTCCTTTTAAATAACATTCAATTATTCAAAAAAAAAAATTTCTTTATACATAGAGGCCCAATGGACTTATTTTCTTTGAATCATATTCAAATTTTTGTGGTAGAAATGACTCGAACCAAGACCTCTTATTTGTTATATTTTCTACAAAAGGTAGAAGTACCAATCAAACTACGTCTTATTGGCAATAAAATATTTTTTTTATTAAATGAGAAATAAAATGAAAATGATTTGTTTAGTGAATTAAAAATAATTTTTAAAGAAAAAAAAAATAAATATACACTCATTTCCTTAAAAAAAAATATGTATTCATCAATCCAACAATATATACGGTGGTTATCTCAATTATAAACCTTTACATCAAGCATTAACATGTATTTTAGATTCAATAAAGAAAAATTATATTAATTTTTATAAATTTTAATATTTTTGTAGCTTTATAAATTTAGGATTATGAACTACTTCCCTTAATTAGATATTTTGTTTTGGAAAATGAGTTGTTGTAGGAAAATAAATGAATCCTTCTTAGTTGTTATTTTTGGTATTTAATTAATTATTTATTTGGCAAAAAAGATAAGGACAAAAATATGCAAGGTGGCCCTGTTTATTAGACCAAATCCACAATTTTACCTTAATTGTGTCTTATGGACCAACTACCCTCTACCAACCCTCAAAACATAAATACATATTATTGTATTAAAACAGAAAATTCTTTTTTTTTATTTTTTTAATTCGCATATATATATATATTTATGCTTAGATCAAAATATTATTTTTTTAGATTTTAATATAACTTTCAATAGAGATGATGCTAATATATTTCAATCTTTTCAGACCATTAAAAAAAAAAAAAAAGAAAAACAAATTAGAATAATCTTCAATCAACTGTACAAACGGCAGTTAATCATAATTGTCATTTTTTACAAAATCAGATTTGATAAATTTAAAAGTGCCAGAAAAGAAAATAGAAAACAACAAGAGCAGAATACAAAAATGACATGGATCTGACTCATACTTTTGTGCGAGTAAAATTAATGAATACTCGCCTTACTGTTTCCACACGTAGGATTTGAATGTCTTTTTGAAATTTAGGGGTACGCGTTGTTGAGACAGGACGAGTATACTTAATTCTTACTCGAGCGAGTAAGAATAAGCGTTTTTTAACGAAAAGAAAGAGAGTAATGAAGGCGTAGAGTAAATGCAAATTAAACAATTATTATATATATTTTGTACGAAAGCAAAATAAGACTGCTTTTACCTCTGCTTTTTTTAATAAAGACAACCCTGTAAGTGAGAAGGCAAGAAAAAGGAAAACCCAATAAAAATATTTTTAAATATTAAAATATATATCTTAATATTTTCAGAAGAAAAATACCCTTTGGAGCTCTTCTCTTCTTCTTCTAATTTTCGATCTCTGCTTTTTTTTTTTTTTTTTTTTTTATATATATATATATATATATATATTATATAATTTTACAAGTTAGAGGCAAGTTTATCTTTTTTTTTTTTTTTTTTGCACAGTATTTTCTTTTTTTTTTTTGGGGGTTTTAAATTTTAGGAAAAAAAAAGAAAATTTTTTTTTGCACAGTATTTTTCTTTTTTTTTTTTTGGGTTTTAATTTAGGAAAAAAAAGAAATTTATGTTGGAAACTTTTTCTTCCTGTTTATACAGATTTTTGTTTTCGTTTTCAATTTTAACTAAAATTCTGTAGCGATTGTGTAAATTTTTGAGAAAATTCGGGTGCATGGTTTTTATTTTTGCCCTTCCAATTTTGCAGTCATTAGGGTTTGATTTTGCGTTTACCAGTTAATTTATCCCCGAGATTTAAGGGGAAAGTTTTATGTTTGCGGGTTAGGGTTTAGTAAAATTTGAAAAGTAATTTTATTTGTTGAAAAAATGGAAGATCTCTTCTTACCTAGTGTTTTCTAACTGACTGAGACTTGTTTGGACTTTGGTCTTTCAAGTCTTAGTTGCAGTGGAAAATCATACCTTTTTGACGATTTCAGATTCTGTTAGATTTCATTTCTGTGTAAGATTGGTCTTTGTAATGATCTCGAAGTGTAAGTCTCATTTTCAAAATTTTTATCCAAATTGCAGAGCGGCAAAAGGAGCAGCGATGTCAGGATCAGAAACTGGAGTGATGACAAGCATTACCAGGGAGCCCTTTCCGATAACGCTACAACCGGTCGTACAGAATATGCGTTTAACTTTCACTGCTGACGGAACGGCTACCTACAAACCCATTACTGCCGCCACCTCACCTTCCTACCAACCCTCCTCCACCGCCGCCGGAGGTGGTGGTATAGAAGTGTCAGCTGGTGGACCCCCCATTTCTCCTCATGGAATTAATATAAGCATGGGAAGCGGCGGTGACACCATGAAGAGGAAGAGGGGAAGACCGAGGAAGTATGGGCCAGATGGCTCTATGTCATTGGCTCTTGCACCTGCAACGCAATCTGGCAATGTAAATCAACCAAGTGGGAGTGGTATTTCTTCTCCTCCACCACCACCACCTGCTGCTGCTACTTCCGCTCCTGCTGTTACTTCTCCTCTTCCACCAGGAGGATCAATTTCGCCAACCGGAATCAAGAAATCGAGAGGCAGACCCGCTGGTTCTAGCAAGAAGCAGCAACTTGAAGCTCTGGGTGATGTTTCTCTTTTATTCTCAAGTCTATGTAGCACTTTTAAATCTAAAAGGGTTTTGATGTTATTTGATCCTGTTCTTGATTTTGATCTTTTGCATTATTATTATTATTATTATTATTTGTCTCTGGCACGTGGTGGGATTGGAATGTTTTTACGTTGTTGGGGGCAACAGTGGATTTCGAGGTTTTGACCTGTTCTCCTGGTTTCGTTGTTTAGTTTTTACTTGTATAGTCATATAGTATTTTTTTGTAGGTCTTGAGGGCTTTATTACTTAGTGTGCTAGTTTTGGGACCTTTTGGATTCTGATGGTTGTTGCTGATATAATAATGGGGGGTATTTAGTGTAAGTAAAGGGCGTCAAACTCTGCAAAAAAAGAAAAAGAAAAGGAAAAAAAGAAAAAGGAAAGCGATGTGGGTTATGCTGGAATGGAACTTGAGGTCTGTTGCTTCTGACTTGAGATTCTTGTGGTCCACAATTACCTATCTGCCCTTACTTATTATCTGTACTGGGCATCTCTTTTTCTTACTATAATCTAGCAATATATTGTTTTCTCGTCAACGTTTATATGCTGTTTATTCCTTTTTCTTCCCTTGGGTAAAAGTCAATTCTTCAAGGAATGAACTTCCCATACATTTTATATTGGTAATCAGAACAATGAATTTCACTTGTTACAAATTGTTGCCACTTGGTTCTGAAAGCCTCTTGTAATTTTTTGTTCCATTTGGTATATATATTAATTATTTTGCTTGAAATCTAATTTTAATGAAAAAAATTTAAATATTGTTTGAAATTTAAACCAGAGAACATTCAGTCATTTTCGTTTTGTTCATTAGAGAAAGAAAGTTCTTTTCATTTGTTCAGTTTTTGTCTGGTACATAAGTGATCTCTTGGGCTTGTTTTATGCATTTTAGACCTTTGGGTTTTCATGTCATCTCTATGCTTGGATTGATTTTCCCCTGACTATAATTTACTCACAGAGTATTCTGTTCACAGGATCAGCTGGGTTTGGATTTGCACCACATGTAATCACTGTGAAAGCTGGAGAGGTTTCTGCTTGGCCTAATATTTTAAGTTTTTAATTTTTGCCTTTTCTGATTTTTGCAGGCAAATTTTAGTTGTTGGAAATGAACTATTCCATAACTTTTTTTTTTTTTTTTAATTATGCTACATGGGCACAAATTTAATGGAGGTATTTATTCAAATTAAATATTTCATTAGGGTTATATTAATAACTGAAGCATGTTCATCGTTGACTGTGGAAAGTCGAATTATCAAAAGCTCCTTCATTTACCATAGGTGTGGGTTTTCTATTGTCTACTCATTATTTACAAATTCATGCAGCACATAATACAAGAATCATTTCTTATGGAAAGTGGAATCACCAAAAGCTCCTCATTTACCATGTGCATGGGTTTTTCTGTTGTCTACTTATTATAACTTTAAAAACTCATGGGACATATAATGCAAGAATCATTTCTTTATTAGACATTATTTCCTATATATGACGTAAGCAACAGATTATCCAATGTAAGCATGTGCAAATTAGCAATGATATATTGCCTTCTTATCTGCTACTAAACTAAGCTAAGACAATGAGAAAACAACTGTTGAGATGCGTATACACAAAATGAATTGTTAAGCTATCTTAACTCATAATTTGAAGTTTTAAAAGTCACCAATACATTAAATTGGTTTATTATATGGGCTACTGAAGAGAGATAGGTTGCGGTTCAGATCATAGTTAAATCGAGGAACAGTTAGTTTGTGTTTATGCAGTTTTCCTTGAAGGATGATAGATTGCAGTTTAGATCATAGTTAATGAAACAAACTAACTCTGAAAGTTGTCTAATTGTCCTGTATAAGTAGTTCTGTGGTTCATATTCCTTTTTAACGAAAAATTAATTGTTGATTGAAATTAGATATTTTCACTGTTACTGTCTCATATTAGGGCAAAGTTTTCAACGAAGCATTCATGGAAGTTGTTCTTGCCAAGTAGTGACTTTGTTAGAAATTGTGCTATACAAACTGGTATACCTTCATAATACGCCATACAAACTGACTTTGTTATAGGGACGCATCTTTATTGGTTGATCATTGTCATATTATGCTATAGGTGTCTAGGTTCACATTCTAAAGATTCTTATATTAGGCTGTCGTATTTCCTACATTCATGTGCTCTATGTTACTTGAACTGGAGCGCAAGTCTGCGCATGGACACGTGCTGTATTAAAGATCCTATTCACCAATTTCGTTAATTGCATAGGATTTTTTTAAACTAATTTGAAATGTTAATATATCACGTTAATGTCCAGGTATCCTTATTTGACACAACTAAATTAGGCTAATGTGAAAATTAGAAGTAACAATGCGTACATTAATGCATTGATAATCTCTTTGATATCATGCATTGTTACTTGATACTTAATACTCCTAGAACACTTTAGAATTCAAGGTCTGTAATTTTACTTTAAGTAATGCTCGAAAAAAAATGGTGCAATTGAGTTATTATAAGTCATAACTTAGCCTAAAAATCAATCTAGTTAGGTTTTGTATAAGTATAGTTGTCCTCTGTAATTTTACTTTAAGTAATGCTCGAAAAAAAATGGTGCAATTGAGTTATTATAAGTCATAACTTAGCCTAAAAATCAATCTAGTTAGGTTTTGTATAAGTATAGTTGTCCTCTGTAATTTTACTTTAAGTAATGCTCGAAAAAAAATGGTGCAATTGAGTTATTATAAGTCATAACTTAGCCTAAAAATCAATCTAGTTAGGTTTTGTATAAGTATAGTTGTCCTCTGTAATTTTACTTTAAGTAATGCTCGAAAAAAAATGGTGCAATTGAGTTATTATAAGTCATAACTTAGCCTAAAAATCAATCTAGTTAGGTTTTGTATAAGTATAGTTGTCCTCTGTAATTTTACTTTAAGTAATGCTCGAAAAAAAATGGTGCAATTGAGTTATTATAAGTCATAACTTAGCCTCAAAATCAATCTAGTTAGGTTTTGATAGATGGATCCTTTTCCTCTATTTTATGGTGGATTGCTACATTTTCATTAGATATATTTAGTGTATGCTAAACTTTCTCGTAAATCCTAATGCTACAAAAATGTAAATTGATATTTACTCATGTCATATTCAATCATTATTCCCCATATTTTGCTGATACAAGTCTTGGAGGTGGTCTGCCTCTGAAATGGTTGCATCATTCTTGATAGTGTCTTTATTCCTAACGTGCAATATTTTTACGTTGATAGTGTGTCTTTATTCCTAACATGCAATATTTTTACGTAGACTTAACATGTCAGTTGCAAAACTTACTATATTTGGTTATTGCATTGGTCTTGATTGATCAATGTGAACTGAAAGTAATAACGTATATTGATTGGCCAGTTATAGAAAGTATAACGGTATGCTAATTAGAAAAAACTTTTTGGTAGGTATTTGTACTACCTTCATTAATTGTGTCATATGGCATAGCAGCCTGACCACGAATACGGGAATCAAATTGCTCTAGAGGGAAAGACACTTTTAGTAAATGAGAATAAATACTGCGTTACTAATCATTCTCTCATTCTTTTAGCTCCATGTTTTGGAAGACAAGGATGTGACTGTCGCTCCTAAATTATTCTAGTGTTTTTATTGTGTTCTATCCTTACATTGCTTGGTTATTGAACCGTTCTGTTTATCAAGAGTTGATGTATTCTTTTATTTGTTTTTTAGGATGTATCAACCAAAATAATGTCATTTTCTCGGCATGGTCCAAGGGCTGTTTGTATCCTGTCAGCAAATGGTGCCATATCCAATGTGACTCTTCGCCAACCGTCCACGTCTGGTGGAACTGTAACTTATGAGGTTTGTCGTATTATATGTGACTTCGAATTTAATTAACCAAACTTTATACATACACGCATATAGAAAATTGAACAACGAATTTCGTTAAGCCATTATAGAAAGGTGACACTGTAACTCAATGACGTCTCCACACTTTTAGCTTTTGAAATTGTAAAACAGTTGGGAGTGACTGAAACCATGAAATTTGAATGGGAAAAGATTAATAGTCTAATAACTCATCTGCATCTGCAAGCTAGAATTGTCCCATTTATTAGCTGCTGAAGATACATTTCTGAAGAGCGAAGAATTCTCCACTAGCTTATTAAAAGGTTATAGTTATGGATTCACTTCTATAGGTAGGTTTCCTGTTTATTGCAGTTTTGTTTTATCAGAATATATGGTGCCCTGTCTTTTCTTTAACAAAGTTGTTGCTTTTTTAGAACAAAAGGACAAAAAGGTTCGCTGTAGCAACCCCGTACTTAAAATCATCAGTCATGTGTATCTTGGAAACAATTATGGAGCATACTTTTATTTGGCCCATCTGTTGATGCTGTTAGACAAATGCATAGCCAATTGCTTAGTGGACTTTGGACACGTAACTAATTTATCATCACAAAGTCTCTAATTTAGACTCTGTAACAAATAATTGAATGATTAGGCCGGTTTTTCATTCCGAGTTTAACATTTCTTACTTTCATATGATAAAGTTCCAGATTCCAAATATAAAGAAACTTATTTTTGAAGAAAATAAAGGGATTGGCAAATTTGAGTATAAAAGCTCACTAACATAAAATTTGTTAAAAAGTTATTTATAGGACTTGCATTTTGCTTTCTAATCCTTGCTGGGAAAGATATATATACGTATTCTTTTTTTCCAAGAGCCAATATTCACCTCTTGACCTTGTTAAAATTCTTATGATACCTGGGTCTCAGTGTCTAATAGTTAGATAACACAATGCTAGAGCTGGATTAGCATTAATAAAGGGTGTAAATGTGGATTTATATTTAGTGTAGGGCTGGAGTGGGTGTCCGTAGAACAATTCTGAAATTTTCTTAAGCTTTATTAGATGTTGAATATGGTCGCAAAAAGTTGAATTATTAAGCGAAGTTATTGCATCGAACACAGTATTCGGTTTTTATCTAAAATTAGACTAAAACTTCTGCAGGTATTTCACTGCCCAAAAACAAAAGCTGCTTTTATGTGATTCATTTTTTTATGACTCATAGCATTATATGTCTTACTTCGTAAACTTGTTTTCAACTGAAAATTTATCTGCACAGCTCTCTCTCTCTCTCTCTCTCTCTCTCTCTCTGAGCAGATCTGTAGAGCTTCTCTAATTCAGGTTTAAGAGGCAATTTTTCTTGTTGCAGGGAAGATTTGAAATTCTCTCACTGTCTGGTTCATTTATGCCATCAGAAAATGGGGGTCAAAGGAGCAGGACTGGGGGATTAAGTGTGTCTTTATCTGGTCCAGATGGTCGGGTAATTGGTGGTGGCGTAGCTGGTCTTCTAACGGCTTTATCTCCTGTTCAGGTGAATTTGTTGTTCTGTTATAATTGGAGTTCTACAGTTGTTTTTGGAAAACTCAGTTGCATTTTGCCCTAGCAAAATCTGTATTTTCTTATGCACAATCACATCTTGGCTTTGTCAATTTCATTTTGCTCAGCTTGTGAGTTATTAATACTTGCTGAAAGCATAGTTATCATAAATCCCTCTGCTGTATCTTTTTTTTTTTCGATGTTCACTCTGAAATATGGAACTTCTTTTATTTAGGAATTAAATCCAACTCAGTAATCTCACCCTTCAATAACGAACAGAGGGGTTCTCTCTCTCTCTCTCTCTCTCTCTCTCGTGTAAGCCTTATGACTCGTATAATTAGTATTTTATTAATATTAGGATATGATGTTTCAGTAATAGGTAAGGAATCTGAATCATCTGTTATGCCAATATGAAATGGTATTGCCATTGTTCATGATCTCCTGATTAAGTGATCTAAAGAGGTATACTACTAATATACTTATGGAATGGTACAAAATTCGTGATGCAGATGTCACCTTAACATTTAGGGTGTAATCTGGCCAAAGTTCTAACTTTCTAATCTTTTTTGATTTTGACTTGGCCGTGAGAATGGCATAATCTTTTCACATGTTGATGTTAATGTTTAGATATCTGGTCTGAGGTGGCTATCTAGTTAAGCATGAACACTTATTTTTTGGTAACAATTAAGCATGAACGCTTTTACTAGCAATGAAGAGCTCATGGCTGCTTTGTATATTTTTGGTCATGGAATCTGCTAATATATCTTATGTCAAAGGTAATGATATTATGCTTTCTGTTGCTTTGCAGGTAGTTGTGGCAAGCTTCCTTTCAGATGATCAAAAGGAATCAAAGTCAGCAAACCAAATTGAATCCTTGTCTGCAATTAGTGGGCTCACTCCAGCTGTAGGTACAACTGGACCAAACAGCCCACCGTCGCGTGGGACTTTAAGTGAATCCTCAGGTGGGCATGGCAGTCCACTTAACCAGAGTACTGGAGCCTGCAATAACAACCATCCTCAAGGCATTTCAAGCATGCCCTGGAAGTGAAACCGTGTGCGACCTGAGTCTTGACTAATCTGATGTTGTGTTATACTCTAGGCCTCAAGGAGTTGCAGCCGTAATTTAAGCCTTCTGTAAGTTAGTTAAAATAAAGACTGTGGATTGCTTTCTAGTTTGACAGTTATACTTGCTAGAAATTGTCAATTAGAACAGTGACTAGTGGGACTTCCATTTTGAAGATTTGTTAAGTTAGAAGAATGCTTTATGGTTATAGGTATCAGAGGCAGACAAGTAACTTGAAATATATTGGCTTATCTTGTAGTTGCTGCTTCTTGCTGTTGTTGTTGTTGCTTCCCATGCATAATGGAACTATTCCTTGATCATCTAACCATCAAGGGGTTACAAGCGAGGTGCCTATATATTTTTTGAGGTTTTCCTCACTTGATTCTTCATTGATTGTCTGTATGATGTGTGAATTTTCACCTTTCAGGCGTCACCAGTGAGGTGCCTATATATTTTTTGAGGTTTTCCTCACTTGATTCTTCATTCATTGTCTACATGATGTGTGAATTTTCACCTTTCAGGCGTTGCAAGTGAGGTGCCCATATATTTTTGAGGTTTTCCTCACTTGAATCTTCATTGATTGTCTGTATGATATGTAAATTTTCACCTTTCATTGCATTGTTAAACACAGAAGTGCACTGCATCGTCAGGACAGCAGTAATAGTCACAACTGGCAACTGCATTTGTTTGCTGTTCAGTTAATTTAGCAGGAAGCATATATAGAAATTCCGAAATTTGCTGGTTGTCTCATTTCTATGGAACTATGTCAACGTCACATTAAAAAAGGACTAGTTCCTACCTGCTTTTCCATTATTTGAGAGAAAGGGGACAACATAAGTATTTTACAATGTTACATATAAAATAGGATAACTCGGAGAATGCTAGGATTTTACTTCTTGGCTCTCTTCAAAAGAAAACGCAAAGAAAACATCCCAAGAGCAAAAGTCTGCCAAAACCATCCTCTTGCATTACTTGGATCCGCCCTTTTCGCTAGGTGCCATGCATATATGGCCTCACCAATATGTGCTGCTGAAGCAAGAAGAAATACTGACCTTATCACCCACATTGACCGCATGAAGAACAGACTGACGGCTCTGAAGAGCGGCACTGGCCCTATATCTGGTAGGTAAGCAGCACAGAATAATGTACCCATTCCAATCATACAGAACAACCAAGCATATAAGGTAGGTCCATCCAAAGTTTTCCTTTTCCTTTCCTGCCAATAAGTGATAGTTGCAGCCATGCCTTCCCGAGGAGACACAATTGGAACATAGCCAAGCTCCTGCTTAGCTTTGAGATATGAAAAATAGTGGGTCACTCCTACCTGTCAAATATACTGGATTCAGCAAATATGATAGCCTACAACATTAGAAATTGACAAATGAATCTCTCAATCAAATCCTCTGACCTATAGAAAAGACTGATGTCCTATGAAAATTTTAAAAGAAAACCCTTTTTTTTATGGAACACAATCACAAGATATTTCTTTGCATTTTATGGCCTGTTTGACTTGATTTTGGAGCAACTCTACATGAATATGGGACTTTCAGATGTACCTTGTATACTTCAGCAGGAAGAATAAATGGCTGAGGAAGCCACCATCGATTCAACCATGGATACAAGAGTGTATAGATACCCCAGAAAATCCTTGCTAGAATAAGAGCACGAGGGACTGATATAGAAGCCTTTGGTAGATCATAATCCAGGCTTCTGAGAAGGGGTTGTAGGAATTCAAAAGTGTTGATTGGAGATCCTGTGAAAGAAGAAAGTCATTTCCTCTTCCCTCATTTAAATCACCATTCTAATTATCCTATAAAACTCATATAGCAGTTCAGTGAAGTTGGTCTCTTACGTACCCAATATATTACGATTAAAAAGTCCCAAGGATAAATCAATTCATGGTTAACACTTCAATTTCAGACATTGCTAAGATTAGTTCAAAGTATATCTTTACCATCAGATATAAAGTATGGCTGCCCAGCAGCCACTGGACGTCCTCCATTCACATGAATGTCATCCAAAAGTCCCATGCTTGCCAATATCAGTGCAAGGACAAGGTTATCCAAGTAAACCCAGTCTGTTTTCACATCTGAACCACCAATTCTGAAAGGCAGCATACCCAACTTTGCGAAGGATACAATCCTCGGAAAGTGTCTCTCTTCACCTGGCCCATAGATAGCAGCTGGACGAATAGCACATGTATAAAGACGTTCTCCACTGTTCTTCCTGTACAAAACACAAAGATGATTCCTTTGCTATTTCCAAAATAATAATAATAATAATAATAAAAATCCAGGTTTTGATCTTTAACCAATAATTTAAATTATCAAGGGGGTGAGCAAACAAATGAGAGAGTAAAAATATAAATAAAACACAACAACTGAATGATAAACTATAAATCCTGGAATTCTCATAAATAAGGCAACTTACTTCAGAGGACGGCCATTGTACTTTAGAACCAACTGTTCAGCAATTGATTTGCTCCGGCCATATGGATCAACATGGTCATCAGTAGGGAAGTAAGATAAGGTTTCATTGCCATTCACAATCTCCTTTCCGCCAAAGACAACATTATATGTGCTGACATAAACAAGCCTTTTGATCCCAAATTCAATGCAAGCTTCCAAAACATGGCAGGTTCCATTGATATTCACCTCATCAACACGACCAAATTGGAGCATTTCTTTCCCCGACATGCCATACGAAGCAAGGTGAAACACACAATTGGCACCGCGTACAGCTTTTTCAACATCTTTTTTGCAGGTAAGATCCCCTGTATTGTCACTGAACATAACTTAGAAACTCAGCAATACACAATTACAATTACAAACAGAGAGAAAAGCTACCAAATTTGAATACAAACCGATCAATTTTATGGATACATTAACTAAAAAGAAAAATAATTTAACAAAAGAAGATTAGATGTGTGAATAAATTAATCAAAGAAAGAAAAGAAGAGACCTTGAATGCAGTCAACTCCACGAGTAGTGAGTTGTTGAGACCAGGGAGAAGTCGATCGAAGGTCAAAGGCTCGAACCTGGCGAGCACCTCTTCGCACCAGATCCAGACAGAGTGCCGAGCCGAGGAAACCCTGACCACCGGTGACGACGAAGGTGTTGTCTTCTATCCCTTCATTCTCGCTCAAGTGCATTTTTACTCTGGTTTTCGAATCTTAATGGAAGCGATCTTAAGGAGAGTGTGATGTTTGTGATCCAAGTCCGTGACGTGCCGGCAGTTGTCAGATGGACTCTATTTTCTACAGAAAGGTCAAGCCATACGTATGCACACCTACTGTTATTATTTTTTCTTTATTGGGAATGAGTATTAATTTTAATTCTATTTAACATTTAAATAATTGATTATTTTTTTAGAAAATCTAATCAATATTGTATTAACTTTGATTTCTCTCTTCTTTTTTTTTTTTTTTATAACCATGTGTATCCGAAAATCTATTGGGTTTCTGATTAAATCCGTCTCGAAATGCGACTTTCCTAATATGATAATTTTAATATCCGAAACTTTAACAAAGACCCTTAAAATATATCCCAACCAACATTGATAATTTTTAAAGACATTTCTGGTCAAATAAGGTAAGGTAGTGTCAGTTTTATATTTTGCAATTCTTTTAAAATAATATATGTTTTGCATTGTCATTACATTACTGTCAAAACTCAAAACCATTCAACAAATAACAGACAATTTGGAAATGGGATTGCTTTTATTTTCACACGATATGATAATGAATATATATATATAGCTCTTAGAAAATCTTGATATATATTTTTTTTCTTTAACCAAAACTTGATCTTCTTTCCTTTACGCTAATTGATGTTACAAAACAATGACAATAAAAGAAAAAGAAGAAATCTGCAAAATTTAGAACTCTTCCATTTTACTCTATGCATGTATCATCATTGAACATGAGACAGTTCCTTTGAAAAAGCAAAAAGAAGAAAGAAAACCAGAAAGAAATCAAAAAATTAAATATGGAAAAAAACACAAAGCACAGCCTCGGTATACCATCTCCTTCACATCGGGAGAACAATTTTTTCTTTTTTTGTCTTTGGAAAAAAAAAAAAAAAAAAAAACCTTTTGAAAAGGCAAAAGAAGAAAGAAAACCAGAAAGAAATCCAAAAAATTAAATATGGAAAAAAAACAACAAAGCACAGCCTCGGTATACCATCTCCTTCACATCGGGAGAAACAATTTTTTCTTTTTCTTGTCTTTGGAAAAAAAAAAAAAAAAAAAAACCAGTATTAAAAGAATTTGAAGTTTGTTGAATCTCAAGCTTCCATTAGGTTGCACTGGCGTAAAAAAAAAAAAAAAAAAAAACAGTATTAAAAGAAATTGAAGTTGTTGAATCTCAAGCTTCCATAGGTTGCACTGCTGGTATAGGCATTGAGAAGCTCATTTTGTGCAGACCAGAAATCAGCTTTCAGACCACCTCTTCTTACGGCTTTAAGAATTTTATTCCTATGTGCATATCCTGTAACCACCACCTTCTGGCTATTAGCATCCACTTCCACTTTCTCTATTCCTGTCAAAAACATCAACATTTTAAGCATCAGATCAATACTGATTAACTAATTTATGCATGTACATATATATTATATGATCATCTCCAACTGACCTTTTAATTTTGACAGAGATTTCCTGAGTCTTTTCTCATGTATACCAACCATCTCAACCTTCAATTCAACGCTCTGCAAAATGACATTCCATGCATTAATATTACTTCTTATATAATTAAGATAAAGAAAGTGACCGAGGCTTATAAGATACCGCAGCAAATAAAGAACTACCTACCTCCATGAAGAAGTCTGATTGGAGAAGATGAGAAGGATGATCTGCAGATGATGATGGTGATGATGATGATTGAGACGGGAGCAGTAAAGTGAAAGAAATTAATAAAGACAAATGATCTAGAAGCTACAAATGGAATGATGAGTAGGGAATGAATGGAACAGATAGGGAATGTCAGGCTCGTATATATAACAGAGGGGGACATGAAAAAAGATGGAATAAACAGTAAAGTAGGTTTTGAGTCTTTGGGTTCTGCTCTTTGCTTTTTCAAAGGGAGACATGTAGACATGGAAAGAAAATAAACAACAACAGATAAGAAGAAAACCGTTAATATCGAGAAATGGGCTTAATCTATAGCTCAAGATTCAAGAATCAAGACTCAAGAATCGAAAGAAAGACAGAGAGTTCCCTCTGCACAAAGCAATCTGAGTCTCAAGCATTTGAAATGATTGGGTTTGACGGGTCCAACCCCAACTTTTTCAATCCCAGGATCGGTCTGCCAAATGCCACCAAAAGAAAAATTACAGTTCGAACTTTCTAAAGATAGAATCCTGACCGTCCATCTGGCATACTTATGTTTATTCTTTTCTTCTTCAAGGCCACTCGTTCCAAATTATATTATCATCATTATTTTCCATATGGCATAACTAATTCTTGCATTACATTGCTGACTGCGAAAAACCAAAGAAGAATAAAAGAAAAGTTGAGCCAGAATACATAAATTAACCAGAGAGCAAGTTTCGAATTTTCTCCAAATGGAGTTGTTTTCTAAGCCAAGAGAGGATGTCTTTTTGTATTTATGCTGGACACTGCTGTAAGAAACATGAGAGCAGAGACAAAAAGAGCAAAGGAGAGTGGCGGGTCGATCATAAATTCACAATGGAGCCCGCGAAGATTCGATTGGAGATGCCTAATTGGGATCAAACATTGGAATCTGGGATCTCTCGGAATTTACAATCTACATTTCCTCGAGAATCACATCACATCTCAGTCACAAGTCATAACTTCATTTTGCACCTTTCTTGAATTGCTAGACTGCTTTTGCTTCGCATGTTAATAACCAAAGAAGCGTAATTCACTGACAAATTCTTTTCCTTTTTAGGTCTTTGGACAAATTGAACCATTTCAAAACACAGCTTATTACTGGCTTCTTCATTATTTAGGGGAAAAAAACAACAAATCAATGTCGTTTTACAGGTGACATGTCGTTCCATCTCCACATATTTAGGAAAAAACACGACCAGATATTAATAAAATATAGTTGGGATGGGCCGTTGTGTGGTCATAGCATACTGCAAAATTAATTAGTGTGTTTGTGTAGATCATTTGGGCCCATTCTACAATACAGCCCACATATACATATCTGGGCCCAATGTGAAAGAGAGCAACTGTACTAGTGAATAGCGATCGACAGGTGGAAACTTAGGAGCTTCCACTGCCATTCTGCCACTGCCAGAGCTTGAATTTCTTGCTGATTAGCGAAAGATTCCCAAGTTGGGCCTTTTTCCGTCCAACCAAACCCTAAAAATGAGAGCTATATCGTAAAAATGCATCACTGTAAAATCAACATTTTGGTCACTCTCAACCCTTTTAAATCCAGTGCTAAAACGGTAATGTTATGTTTTAGAATTGCTTCTCTCTCTATTTGATTCCCATTTTTGTCGGTTTCCAGGTTTGCTTTCATATAATACCAGTAATTTCATTTTGATTACAGAATTCAGAAGCACATTACTGATTCTTCTTTTGCAATCTCTTTGGTTCTTTAAGCTAAAAGCAAATGGTCGAAAATGGTTACTGTGTTTTCAAGCATTTTTCATCCTTCAATAGTGTTGGAAGATATATGAACTTGGAATGGCAAGTCTAAGTGGGTGAATGGAGGTCTTAAGCTGAAGGGGAGTGGGGTAATTCTCTACAATGAGGCCAGTGGGCCATACCAGGAAGGATAAATCAGGCAGTGGAGTTTGCATTTAGCAAAAGACATGGCAGTTCATTTTTCTTTCTTTCTTTTTTTTTTTTTCAGCAAAAACTTGATACTTAGTAGATGCAAATGCAGTAATGAATTTGACTTAGTTTAATTTGATTTGTTATGAACTTGGATGAAGAAGCATAATCACTCGTGTCAACCTATTGAAAGTAGAAAGATTATTTTATTTGTGATTTCATGTAGCTCAACAAAAGGTTAAAGGCATTCACCTTGTTTGACGATGCAAAATGTCCTGTTCATAGCTGCTTCATAAATCAGAAGGAACATGCCAAATTTGTATCTTTTCTCTATTAATGCTAGATTTGTTTATTTCCTGTAGAATCTACATATATTTTCAGATTGTGAGAAACTGAAGTTCTAGAAATTCATCATTGGTCATTATGCTGCTTTTGTTCATATTCATTGATGTAACATTTAAAATAGCTCATGACACATAATTCATTCACTTTCTCATGCAGCCAAGTGCAGAGAGTGTTGTAGCCGTCAAATAATCATAAATTCAACCATGGAGAAGGAGGGGAATAATAATCCTTTTAGAGGGTTAGGCAAAGGATTATTCAGTGATCAATATTTCTTACTTAACTTCATTGTGGGCACTTACTTAGGTCCTGATGTCTACACTGATAACCCAAGATGCTCCGCACTTCGGAGATTAGCTAAAAGGTCGCCACCATACACTTCAAACAACCTGGGGACTTCATTTCTCAGTACTTCTCAATTGGAAAGTTTATATTATTATCTCCTCAGAAATGCCCATCACAGCCTGGTTTTGAAACCAGATATGTTCTATATGTATCTAAAGGGCAGCCTGCATTTGCCAAGCTTAGGGTCACAGGAGGACCACAGGCAATTTACAGGTTTTTTCCCTTTGAAACTTCATGACCATAAAAGGTACTCAGACAGCTATGAAATTGTCAAGGGGATTGCGCTTATAGATGACCCTGTTACATCCTACATGAAGAAGGAGGAACTAGAAAGGTTCAGATTCTTATCTGGTATTGATGATTTGAAAATTGATAGCAAGAAATGTCTCAGTTATCGTCACGGAGACCAAAATGGTGGAGACGAAACTGAGGCAAGTTGCATTACAAAAAGTGAGAGGCAAACTGCTGGAACTATTTGTAATAGAAACGAAAGATCATCAGAAATGTTTGGTGTGAAATACAGAAGAAGGCGGTTGCGCTGCCACCCTATACCAATTCAACCATTTTCCTTTAATCCTTCTATGTCAGAACAACAAAATGAAGAAAGCACTTCTAAGAGAACCTTTAAACTGGATGGATCTGCCGCAATGCCCATTATAACTCTTCCTAAATTGGAAGATTGTATCTCAGATGAATCTATTGTATTGACTGGCACTGCAAGAAGAGGGATGGCTGGACCGCAAGTTGGCCTTGTAGATATAGGCATTAGCAAAGCTGCATACTTTTTTCAAGTTGCACTTCCTGGTGTCCGCAGGGATTTTTGTACGTCTTTTTTCCTTTCCTGGTTCTCTTTGATATATTTGGTGGTAATTATTATTTTTCATAATCAATGCTCGGGTTTTTTGAATTTAATGCGCTCAGAATTAAGACAAGTTTGGTGCTGTTAACTAATGCATACCTTTGTTCTCTAAATATCTCATACCATATTGCTTTAGTCATCACTTGAAAGTTTTCTTTCACTCTTTTCTTATCAAAGATTCAATATGGTATTTGCTGTAACAGGTGAATTTAGTTGTGAGATTGAATCAGATGGAAAGGTTCACATCCAAGGGTCATTGTCTGGTGGAAGAACCATAAGAAAGCGTTCACGTGCTTTCAAGATGAAATTTCAGCAAATGTGCCCTCCCGGACCCTTTACGCTTTCTTTTAGTCTTCCTGGACCTGTTGATCCAAGATTGTTCTCACCTAACTTCAGAACTGATGGCATTTTCGAAGCAGTTATCATAAAAACACAAAGGAAATTCAGTCCTCAGGTACATGATGGTCATTAATCAGTCCCGGAATATGAAAATGATGCTGGCCAGCTAATGTAGTAACAGTTTCTTTATTTATTTATGGTATTAGCTCAAGAAATGTAGGTTTTGTTGTATGCTACAGCTTGCATCATATTCAGTTCACAGCTAAATCTTTGTGTTTATAATTCCAAGTGCATATGAATCTGGTTCCTTACCAATTTACAGTCCTTTCTCTTCCATAATCATCAGGCACTGAAATGTTTAACTATGCTGTGGAATGCTCTTTTAAGCAGTTATTAAAGCAAGCAAAATTGTCATCCATCTCTAGTGACCATGTTAAAATTGAATTTAAAAGAGTATCAAATTCTAAAAACAAAAAATTAGTAGTACCCTAACCTAGCCTATATTGATTAAGGATTACAACAATCATAATTATATTCTCTAATAAAGAAAATATTAAACTTAAAACTTTACCTAATATTATTGTCATTACAATTACTATAATATTGAAATATAATTATAGCCTTTTAATTAATAGCTATAATAATAATAACAAAAATAACTATTTTGCCAGTAAAACGACACAGTTTTGATGTGGGAGATTTAAATGAATCCACAAATAAAACTACGTCGTTTTATCTTAGGGTTGTATTTTAATAATACAAACAAAAAGTTCTCTCAAAATCTTAATTCAAAGTCAGCGTTTCTCCTCCCTCCCTGTCCCATTCTGTGTCTTTCTTTGTATCCTCCCGTCGCTTTCGTTTTTGACCGTCGCTTTCGTTTTTGACCGTCGCCTCCGCAGCAGTCGTGCTCTTCAAGCGTACAAGAGCCAGGTTCGTTCTTGATTATTTTTATTTCGTTCTCAATTTGATTTTTTTTTTTTCGTTTTGCTTCGTCTCTTTTCCTTTTCCTATTTTTCTTTTATGTAAATACATATAAACAGACAAAGAGGATGAATTGTTGAATTAATTTGTCGGTTCAGCCGAGAGATATATGTTTATTGTTTTACTTTTTGGTTTGTGGATTTCGTGCTTGTTTTATTTGTTGAATATATAAGACAAAGAGGATGAATTGTTGAATTTAATTGGTCGGGTTCAGCCGAGAGATATATGTTTATTGTTTTACTTTTTGGTTTGTGGGATTTCGTGCTTGTTTTATTTGTGAATATATATATATATATATATATATATATATATATATATAATATATAATATATATATTGGAATATAGCCAATTCGTGGCTAATGAAGGTGAAATCTGATTATGTTGCGTTTGTAATTCAAAGTTTGATTTGTTAAATAATGATTAAGATTGTGTAGGGAGATACTGAAATGAGATTATTTGCATATAATTGTCGATATGTTTGGTTTGTTAATTCAAAGTTTGATTTGTTAATAATGATTAAGATTGTGTAGAGATACTGAGAATGAGATTATTTGCATATAATTGTCCTATACTGAGAATAGTTTGTTAATAAAGTTTGGTTTTCTTATATGTATATATATAGTATTTTGTGATTTTATATAGGGCTGAAATTTTTTTTGAGAAGGATATAGGGCTGACTTTGGATAGTGGAGTTCTTGTTCTTATTTGTTTTTCAGATTCTTGTTCATGTGCGGAGTCGAATGGTGTCTTTTGTGCGGAAGAAGATTATGTTGATTGTTAATCCTTGCAATCTTGGTTCTTGAAAAGGTGGAGTTCAAGAATTATGTTTATGTAAAAGTTCTTATGTTTTTATTGTAGTGTTGTTCTGTTTTAATGTACTTTTTAATTCAGTAATTTTTTTATTGTGATACTTTTTATTATGTTCTACATGGATTTTGTTCTCATTCTATTATAATTTGTTATAGTTTAGTATTGTTATATTTTAGTTCATTTTTAGTTTGTTATTGTTATTATTCTTATTGAATTTTTATAGATGTTTGATTTTTAAATTGTTTCATTGAGATATTGGTTTGAATTAATTATTTAGGGCGAATTTCAATCCTTCAGTTCTATTTTAATATTACAATGTACTGTTGTTTTAGATTATTACAGGTTAAATTGTTTTATTATTTTGAAGTTGAATTTTAATGCATTTTTTATATATTTTTTGTTGCACTTCGGGTTTGGATTCGGGTTCCATGCGGGTTCGGGTTTCCTAGATTGAATAAATTTGTGATTAGATGGGTATTTAAACGGGTTTCGGGTAGTATGCGGGTAATTCTAAATGGATTTGGGACAGGTCTGGGTATTATTGGTTTATTCCTTAACGGATTCGGGACGGATTCGGATACTTAAAATGATAACGGATTTGGGGTCAGATAGTTTATTTCTAGCGGTTACCCGCCCCCTGCCATCCCTGACTCAAAAGTCTCGGAATTAAATCACACGTATATAATTATTATTATTGATGAGTGACCACTAATACAATACTTAAATGCACAATAATTTTAATTTGCATTGCGCTGGGCCCATAGTGTCGTTACTTGCAAGGTAGATGACAGAAATGTTCCAAATATAAATCACCAAGTGCCAACAGAGAGGCAATGTTTCCTAACCCAAAATGTTCCCAACTATCAGACTCACACAGACACAGAAGAGTGCTTAACCGGCGGCCTCTGCTGCATTGTCGTGTTGCCGTTCTTCGGTTTCTGGTTGGACCATTTTTTCTTCCTCTCTTTACTGCTCAATATCTAAAATTGCTGGTTGAAGATATACTTCTATATATGCGCATGCATGTCTACCCAAATTGATATCCATTTTTTTAGATTTCTTTCTTGTTTTTGGTTGTTGCTTGTTGCGTTATTTGATTCTCTGCTGGAACTTTTGAAATGTAGAAATTGAATTTATGAAAAATTTTACTCTTTATTGTGTGCTGCAAAAATAAAATGAAAGAGATGAAAAATTTATTAACAAGAAAACCGGCCTGTGAGATATGGGCGATTGGAAGGTAAATGCTAGGGCTCCTAGGTGGAGATCTTAGTGTACAGGGAGCATATAAATTGGTATCTCTTCGGCATTAATAATCATTAATCGTTTTGCTTGTGTATCCTAAGGGTATCGATATCCTTTTTAATTTCGAAAATCTAGGGTTCTAATGTTCAAAAATCTAGGGTTCCAAATTGATCATTCATTTAAGGTGAAATTTTATTCATCAACACTATTTGCAGGGTTTATATTGTTTGGTGTAAATTGAACAGATAAATTTGTTGATTCAAACCATTTCTTTTGCATGTATTAGCTGCTGGTTTCATGTTGAATATTAATTTATGTGCATACTGTAGAAGATGTTATTAAAGTATATGGTTTTAAATTTTTTCTAATGCTTTTTTCATAACAATCTTTTTATGCATTTCTATTTCTCTTTGTTATGTAGGCTGGGTATATTGGTAAGTACAGTGTTCTTGTTCACATTGTAAGAGGATTTTTTACCAATTTGGATTTTTACCAATTGGGTAACTAAAGCATTAATAGATGACTAATTAAAGGATATTCTTTTAGAAGATAATCCATATGACACTATTATGATAATGGAAACATTCTTTAGGTTATTCCTTGTCGTGTAGTGTCTGTCGTTTTCTCTATTAATGCCAAGTGATTTTGCTTTTTGATTATCAAATATGTTAACATAAGTGGTCAGTGGTAAAAGTTAGAGTCCTTTTGATGAGGTTTTGAGCATGCATAATTGCTTAATGATCTTTGCATGGTTGTATATAACTACATTTTGCTAGTTGAAAACTCTTTGCTATATGCTAACATACCCACTTTTGGACACGTCAAACAACGAAAGTGGGCATTACTTGGATATAATTCCCAAACATAAGGAAAAATATAGAAAAATCAAACATATCCATTCTAGGCGTGGGCGTGCACACTAATCCAACTCCTAGACCATAAGGCGAGTGAAACTGCGGACATGTGTGAGCCCCCGAAATTTAATAAGGATTTGTTTCAACATGCATCGGCTTCCTGCTATTCTTTGTTGACATGTATGAAACTATTCAAAATATCAGGAAATTGCGGTGATTTTTCAATTGCATCAAAAAGCAACAATCATAACCTGATTTCTTGATTTGCAATATGCACCTTATGATTTCAAACTTCTAAGAATTTCTGTTTTGATTTAAGATACCACGTGTTCAATAATGAATTGATCATATATTTAGGGTAAAAAAATAATGTCATTCACATCGTTTATGGGGTTATTTTATTCGTTATGCACTCTAATTCCTTAATTTGTATTTTTCCAGTGCAGATCCAGCTAGAACAGATACCACACTTGATCTTTAGCTTTAAGGTACTTGCCTTAGATAGATTTGGTGTTGGCTGTTGTTTGTCTATATTTTGTGTGATATTTGCCATGATCATTCTTAGTTTATTCTTAAGTTGGATACGTTATGAATTTTTGTTCCATCTTGCTCAGACGGCAAGAGAGAACATGATAGGCAGCATGATATCAGGACTAGCTTTTGGGGCTGTCGCACAAAAAATTCGGGATGTTTATTTTATGCTTTTCAACTTTTTACTATTACCTAAAGATGATATGGATCTTAAGGCAAAGCTTCTCCCTTTACCATTCTTCTATTTTCCTTTGAAAAATTTTACATGATCCTTAGTTTGACACCATTTACATTCAAAATTAGAGTTATGAATCGCTAATTTTCATTGAGTTGCTAATTAAAGGGACCTTCTCTCCTTGCTTCTCTTATACATAAATGTAAAAAAGTCTAGATATTAAAGGTATGCTTTTTTGAATCCACATGCATGTGGTGTACAATTTCATGGATTGTAATTTTCATGGTTTGAACTTTCAGACGATAGTTGATATGTTTCAGGTTCTTTTTCTATGCTTATTGCTTGTTTACTGCAACTTTATTTGCCGTACAATGTAAAGCTGCTATGGAGCTGTGCTTGTTGGAAAAACTATGGTTGAGATCAAATTTCAAACTTGGACTTTACAAAATTTTTACAAAATGGGTCAGAGAACTGTCAAGTTATTATTTATCTCTTATACTAACCTTGTGTGCTAATGGTTTAGATTAATGTCATAGCATGTGATACTGCATACCTTTTGAATTTCTTTTCTTCTACCTGCGCATTTACAGAATCAAAGTGTTAGCAACATTTTAGGAAGTTAAATCATTTTGCTGAACCTTAACTATTTATCTACCATTTTAGCGGAAATTGATAGAGCAGATTTGCAATCATTACGAGTAGCCTCCAATTTCTGGAAGTTGAAAACAATTTAAACTACAAAATACATCCAATAATTGTAGTTAAAATCTTCCGAATTTTCAATGAAGTTTTAAATCTTTTCTTGACCATTCACATCTTTTGTAGGAATATTCTGTGCACATATTTTTAGCTTACATTACTGCCCATCATATCAAGATCTCAAGCATAAAAGGGATAACAACTGGCAGCATGGATCCGCACAGTTTTAGCAATAATTTACAATTGAAGCCACCAACGACATTAACTGGAACGGCAAAAGAAGGAATGAATGGACCTCCTATCGGCCTAATTGACGTGGGCATCAGTGAAAATGCTTATCTTTTTCGAGTTGCACTGGCTGGCATGCGGAAAAATGAATGTAAATTTATTATCTTCAGTGTTGGATAACTTTGGGATATATTCAGCACCATGCTACTCAAGTCGCTGAACCAATTACTGATATAAACTTATATTTCATTTTGAGGCCTATTTGGATTAAGGGATGGGGAGGAAAGGAATCCCTGAAGCCTTATAAAATAATGGGGCATTTACCAAGTACAGGAGCTGACAGGGGTATGTTTTGCTCATCTTTGCAGGTCAGTTAAAATGTGAGATACAACGTGATGGGACTGTTTGTATAAGAGGAATGGTAACACCTGCTGGAGGGATTCTGAGAGATTCATCAAATAGGTTCAAGCTGAAAGTCCAACAACTCTGCCCACCTGGACCATTCGCTATGTCTTTCAAATTGCCTGGACCCGTTGACCCTCGACTATTCTGTCCTAATTTCAGGGGAGACGGTATCCTTGAAGGGGTGGTTATGAAACATACAGTACCAGTCGTTCCAGCAGATGGTTAAATCCAGTTTTCATTGGCTTTTGTCAGGAGGCTAGTTGCTTTTAATATTGAATGCCTGAGAACATATAAAAGCAAGTAGAAGTAGAACACAGGTTGGAGTTTACAAAGGAAGACATGGTAGCATGTTTTTTATATGATAAAATGTTGATGCGTGTATTTTGACAATAGATCTGGCATTTTCAGGTGAATTATCCTTATTATTGTCACAGCTTTTCTGAATAAGTTTATTGGGAGATGATACCTGAAAATCTTAGTTAAAGAGTTGTACATGTAGAGGACTTGGGTGCTTCAATATGACTTGAGTTAGGTACTTGGGTCCAAGAACAAAGCACGCGACTGACCAACAGACCAAGACCCCAGAGTTGATTACTTCGTTTAATGGGTTTGGAATTATTTTTGCACGTTTAGCAGAAAACATTGAAGGGGGTCTAATACTAAAATTTCCTATACGCGAGTTAACGTGGACAAACGAGGATCACATTTCTAGTCCACGGGTCAGGGAGAAGAAGGTTGGTGTCTCCAGTCAACTTTTAATCAGCTACTAGAAGGCTGATAGGTCATTACCCTAATTACTATAGAAAGAATACAGGTTAAAAAAGCATGCAGCACAAGGGTCCACACGGACTTAAACTTATTAATATAATGATTTTTTTGTTATTGAAAAGTTATTTTTAACCATACACTGTGCAAATTAAAAATGATTGTGGCACCAAGACGAATTAAGAATTAATTAATGTTTGTTAACCATTAGAGCGACATATCATTAGTTTTCAATTCGGTTGAGTGTAATCTTAAACAAAACTAAAATAACTAAATGAATAATTTTATAGCCGGCCGATGGAAAGCCCCATTCTGACTCTGATTGGCAGTGGCCCCTCAATTTCTCTGAGCTATACAAGATTTCTTTTTGAGGAGGTTTTTCCAATTAATTAATTAAGGAACAGCGACTAACAAGTTAATGACAAAATGCTCCTTTCAAACTTCAACCATGTAAGAAATTTACAGGAAGCTGCGAACATATCAACATACTCTCATAGTCCAATGGTCTCCCAAGATCCTATTAACTATTAAATGATCCGCATCTTCTTAAGAATCTATAATTCTTAGACTCTAATAAAGTCTACGTTTTGATCATCAAAATGATGTAATCTATGTCGTCTGATTTACATACTTCACCCTTTCTTTCTTTCTTTCTTTGCATAAATACTAGTAGCTAGCTAGTTCATCTTTTCAAAATCAAAATAACCATCTTCTTCTTCTGGTTTGATCCATCTGCTCACAATGCCGTTAAAAGTCCTTTCTGCCCTTGACTCTGCAAAAACGCAGCTCTACCATTTCAAAGCCATAATCATTGCTGGTATGGGACTCTTCACTGACGCCTACGATCTCTTTTGTATCCCTCCAATCATGAAACTCCTTGGAAGGATATACTACGAGTACGAGCCCAATGAAACCAAATACGAAGTCCCCACAGTAGTCCTCTCTCTCATGTTGTGTACAGCCCTTCTCGGCACGGCAATTGGCCAGGTCTTTTTCGGTAGGAAAGGTGACTTAACAGGAAGACGCAGCGTTTACGGGCTAGCATTGATGCTGATGGTGATCAGCTCCTTAGGATGTGGCTTCTCCGTATGTAGGACCCGTAACTGTGTTTTGGTTAGTTTAGGATTTTTTCGATTCTTTTTAGGTCTAGGTATCGGAGGCGACTATCCGTTATCGGCGACGATCATGTCGGAGTTTGCTAACAAGAGAACTCGGGGGTCTTTCATAGCCGGCGTGTTTTCCATGCAAGGGTTTGGAATCTTGGCTAGCTCGACAGTTACGATGGTGGTGTGTAAGGGATTCTGGAACGCGTCGAAAAATTTGACAAAAGATCATACGCCTGAGGATGCTGACGTTACATGGAGGTTGATACTGATGCTTGGAGCAATTCCGGCTGCTCTCACATATTATTGGCGGATGATGATGCCTGAAACTGCAAGGTAATTCAATCACATCTTTTCTTTTCTTTTCTTTTTTCTCTCTCTCTCTCTCTCTCCAAATGTTTCTTGATAGTATCATTTTTCTGGGTGTCTTCGTTGACTTTACGAGTTTTCGTGGACTTTCCTAGGAAGGGAATTTTGATTTGTAGTGTAAAGGTCATAAATTCAGTCTAAGCAATTTTAATCATACAGGATAATATGAAAAATTTCTTCAAGAAACACTTTTTGTATAGAAAAATTTGAAAATTTCTTATTTCCGCTGTATATATGGATACTTTCGTACATCAGATCAATTGAAAAAAAAAATATAAAATACATTTTTTTTTACACTTTTCAGTGTAAGACTAATAATATTGAATTAAGATATTATTTATAATTGTTAATTTGGTATATACACGGATCCATATATTAAGCGTAGGTAAGTCTTTTCCGATCCTTTAATTATGCTTTGTGTGCTAATTCCGCAATATTTATCTTTAGTCACTTGGTGCAATAATGTATTAAAGTACAAATATTCAACGAGAAAGAAACAATTAATAGCAATTTTTAACTAATAAGTGAAATTTTAAACCACTAATCTGTTTTATAAAGAGAAAAACCGTTAATCCACGTGCCATATTGTGACTCTGCAGATACACAGCTTTGGTGGAAAATAATGTCCTACAAGCTGCAAAGGACATGGAGAAGGTATTAGACGTTTCAATGAGCCAAATAGCAGAAGACGAGCCATTGCCAGAAGATCGACCAACCTATCCCCTTCTCTCCTGGCAATTCTTTCGTCGCCATGGCCGCGATCTCTTTTCTTGCTCTGTCAATTGGTTTCTCCTGGATATTGTTTTCTATAGTAGCAATCTCTTCCAGTCTCAGATTTACATTCAGTCTCTGAAACTAAAAGACGATACTGTCTACCAAGAAGCTTTCAAAATTGCCAGGTTCCAAGCCATTCTAGCAATCTGCTCTACTATTCCTGGGTATTACTTCACTGTCTATTTCATTGATCGAATTGGAAGAAGAAAAATTCAAATGATGGGCTTTCTGTTCATGGGCATAGTTTATTTTGCATTGGGGATACCTTACCCTTATTGGCGCCGGCATACAAATGCAGGTTTCTTCTTCTTGTACGGACTGACTTTCTTCTTTGCCAATTTTGGACCAAACACGACCACATTTATAGTGCCAGCCGAGCTATTTCCAGCAAGGTTTAGATCAACGTGTCATGGGATTTCAGGAGCAATGGGGAAAATGGGCGCATTAGCAGGGACTCTCGGAGTATTGTTGGCTTCAAAAGATAAAGATGATAATGACTATCCAGAAGCCGGAGCAATGAGAGCTGCTTTGTTGGGTTTAGGCGTGGTTTGTCTCATGGGGATGTCTGTGACTTATCTGTTCACTCCAGAAACCATGGGAAAATCATTAGAGGAGAATGAGAGCGACGATAATTATCAAGACAATCAGCTGGGGTTCTTTGGTTGTTTCAACGGTGGCAGGAGTCGCCTGACAAACTCATCAGGAGTGATGACTCTATAGAATATTCTGATAGGTTTTACATATGCTCTAGAGAATATTTACATACTACTAGGTGCGCGACCAAGTTATGGTGGTGATATTTACAAGTCTGTGTAATATTACGAGGATTATTTGCGTTTTTGTTTGTACCACGTTATTAGATTTGGGATTGATTTGTCTATATCTGATCTGTGCCTTATATATTGATTGGTCACTAAAAAACGATTGAAGTAGACAAAAATTTAAATTTTTTTGTTTTATTTTTTGTTGATTTGATCGAACGGTGTTGAATATTGATTCAGTAGCTACGGTGAAGGTCGTTGGAAGATTAGATAATTATTTATTATTCTATTGCTATTTTTAAGGAATAATTTAATATGCTTATCATATCAGATATGCATAATAAGTTTGCTTATTTTTCTGAAGTTTTCTGTTTTTAGAGTCTATAAATACTTCTGTAATAGTATTTCAATAAAATTAAGCCTTCACATGTTTATAAATTTTCTTGTTAAACATCTTTTTTGAATTACTCTTAATTTCTGAGACACATATCTAACAAACGGAGTTACATATCAGATTTAGACAAATTTTAATTGCATGTAACATTATAGTGAAAATTGAACTCTTTCTTTCTTGAGCTAACTATTAGAAGTTCCTTTAATAACATGGTTAGAGAGGACAATTAAATTGAACTCTGAAATCAAATTAATATTTGCTTCCAAGTTGAAGAATTACATCCAAACGTTTACTAAATTATTAAACGACACAACCACTCCATAACATGGCTTTACCCATAAGAATGGGAACTTCAAAGAAAACAGAATCATTTCTTCTTAGTGGGATAAGAAGCCATTTTGTAGATTCCACAGATTCCTTCAGGCTTGCCAATGTTCCTTTTCATTCTTATGTAACCCTTTTCTCCCCATTTAGATCCCCACGAATTTTTAACAGTGATGTAATCCAAGCCTTTGCTTGTTCCATATCCCACGGCTGCCACTCCATGATTTAGATCAGTTCCACAATGACCATCATAAACACCCTGCAAGATAATTAATAGTCTCAGTATACCACATATTAATGTTTTTATATATGGTTTAACGAATTAGTAAGTACTTACCCCACTGTAAAACTGGAAGTCTCTAGCAGAGGCTTCAATGGCGACGCTGAGGGGCTGGTTTGCAAGTGCCTTTAGCAAGCTTTGTTCATTGTTCTGGGGCACATCATGGTACCCGCTAATGGTCACTACCTCCGATTCTTCCTGAATCCAAAGAAAAAAGAAGGAAAAATGTGAGATATTCATGCACGATAATGGACAAATAGATGGGCTCTATTTATCTTTTTTTTTTTTTTTTTTTTTTTTTTACAAATTAAGATGGGCTCCTATTAATCTTTTTATTTTTTTTTTTTTTTTTTTTAACCTTTCTCATATCACATGTACGCCTCCTCCATGATATAGGTAATTCTGTCTTCTGTGTATGAGAGAAGTCCAACCACTGGTCAGACTATATTAGGAAAAATATTGTGCATAATCCATATCAATCCTCCATTGCAAGCCACTATTTAATGGTTGTGGTTCACCAATCTATTAGCTCTTGTTCTGATAAAAGACGTCAAATTTCCGTGACTCTCAAATCTGATTTATGCCTTCCACTGCTGCTACAGTTGAAATGCCCAGCAGAAACTACCCTGCATATGAATCCATGATTTTGCGATAATTCAGTTTTTTCTTTAATCAAGAGAAATAGAGAGATAACAGGATCAGCTCTTGCAGCCTTACCACATGATAAACCTTGGTATAACTTGACTGAGCTCATTTTTTTTTTTTTTTTTTTTTTTTTTAACCTTTCTCATATCACATGTACCCTCCTCCATGATATATGGGTAATCTTCTTCTTTATGAAGTCCACCACTGGCGACTATATAGGAAAATGCATAATCCATCAATCCTCCATTGCAGCCACTATTGTATGTTGTGTCACAATCTATTAGCTCTTGTTCTGATAAAGACGTCAAATTTCCGGTGACAATCTGATTTATGCCTTCCACTGCAGCTACAGTTGAAAATGCCCAGCAACTACCTGCATATGAATCCATATTTGCATATTCAGTTTTTCTTTAATCAAGAGAAATAGAGAGATATACAGGATCAGCTCTTGCAGCTTACCACATGATCCTTGGTTCTTGACTTGAGTAACAGCTCCTTTCTTTCTCCAATCTACAGACTTGGGAATATTCTCTACATTCTTGTAAGTGAATTCTTCAGGACATTGTCTTCTTTTAGACAAGTCAGGTTTCAATCCTAAATATATCTTCTTAAACTCTTCATGGCTCAAATCTGCGAACTCATTGAGTCCAAGCCAATAATTTGTTACCTTCCTATTAGTCTCGTCAATATGGAACAAGTTATCTTTGAAAATATCGAACCTCAGCAACTTCTCTTCAATACTATCGTAAACCTTTCCAAATTTGGAAAGCCATGATTCAAAGAGATCAATGAGCTTATCATCGGATGTCAAATCTTCTGGGGTATAGCCCACAATTGAGAAATCGCGAGCAAATCCTGAGTGGGCAATTGCAGACAAGGCAAGAAGAAAGATTACAGAATATGAAGAAAAAAGAGCCATAACTAGACAGGGTTCTTGAAAAATTAAACTGAAGAGATGGATGATGATGAAAGGGAGTAGGAGAGTGGCTTAATTATATAGGAAATGTTTCAGGTTTTGCTTTCAAGTAAAGGTTCTGCATATGTATATATATATATTGGCCTGGATACCGAGTCTTTAAGGTAGGTTCTTTTAACTGGCTTTCAATCTAAGCATATGATCATATGTTGTGTGACATATAAAACAAAGCTAATGGCTTTTATCTAGTAAAACAACTAATATTGTGATATCTATCAGTGTCAAACGAAGAAGATGCAGAGTTGGAGTACAAATTGATTCTCTATATTCTGGAGAGACATGATCAGTAGTTAGATAGAGGCCGAGCACAGTCGGCCCAACTTCAATACAACGCATGACTCTGCGCGGCCCAGAAAAAAGCCCAATGCTGGGTTCGGTATCGAAACAGGCAAAGAAAATTTCAAAGGCAGACACGTGACACTTAGACAAACTTCCAAATTATTATCAACTCATTGACACGACAATTTTTGCCTATTATGTTACTGTGTCTGAGACTGAGATCGCAAGTCCCTTTTTGAATGAATAAATTCAAGTTTTTACTGTCTCAATTGTTCTTTCAATCTGTTAAATTTTACTAACAAAAATTGAAGCCTTAATAAGCAAATTAAGCATGAATATATATACAATAAGTTGTTTTTATAATTAAAATATACAGCGAAAGGGATGGAATTGAAAACTGAGACTGCTGCTGTTTTTTCACTGAAAAAGCTAAAACAGTTGTTGTACTGAACACTGGTAAGCCGTTGGAGGTATTAAATGCACCAAAAAAATGACTTCGGCGTTTTTCATTTGCAATGGGGCTTTGCTTCGCTGGAGGAGTCAACTCAGCTCTCTCAGCCTCCCCTCCCTCTCAGATCAGATTTGCGTATATAACCCACCAAAACTCAAAAAACGATAAACAATAATTCAACTGTGCAGTTCTCTGCTCCCACTATTTCTTTTTTCACGTACAACTAGGCGGCCCTCACATTTTAACTCAACGGAATGAAAATTAAAATTTCTGCGAGCTATTGGAGTAAGTAAGGTTCCATTTTCCAGTTTGGAATTAATATTATAGAGTGGACCATGTGTTAGCCAAAATTCGATCCGGCTATTGATTGTGTAATGCAGGGAAGGACGGGATGAGTAAATGGATGTGGCAGAAAGATTCAGATTGAGGTCTTCTATGATTGAAAATTGAAATTCATCATAATATTGCAATGGCAGGGTCCTTTCTGACCTATTATTTATTTATTTATTTATTATTATTATTTTTATAAATTCATGTGACCAGTTCTTATGATTTCTTTCACCATACCCTACTAGGCTATATATATACTATTACCTAATCCAAATGTACGTTTCTGTTCTGTTCAACCGCCGCTACCTATTCTCATTTATATACTACTTTATTATTATTATTATATTCATGTCCACTGTAAAAATTTTATATTTAACCATGCATATTTTTATATATAAAGGTGAATTTAGAGAAATGAGAGAGTGAAAGGTCCATGCCATGAGCCATGTATGCAATAAAGCAAAGAAAGTGCATTTGCATTTGCATTTGCATAGAGAGAAGAAGTAGGCAATAGAGTAGAGAGTAGCATTAGACTGTTAAATATCTTTTACTTGGGTGAGTTACTAAAGATCCAAGAGAAGAGACACACCTGTGTTTGCTTTCCTGTCCTATTATTTTATTTTTTTTAACACTCATCATACTACACGTGCAACGCCGACACCTTTTATTTTTTTTTATTTTTTTTTATTTTTTTTGAGGATGTCTCCATTAATGCTTGCTTTCATCTGCATTCACCTACCTCATCTGAGTCTCACCTCTTGTTTTGCCTCAATTTACTTACTATTACAAGCCAGTAACTTTCTTAATAGTCGTCTTTCTCAAAACAAAAATTGATTTCTGGACAGTGAATGTAACGTTTGCATTAATAATTTAAGTTTTGACCTTAAAAAAACAACAAAAATGTCTAATCAATTTGTTTTTTTATTCATAACGAATAGTAAGCATTATTTTGTTTTTTGGAAGGAGCAATTAGGTGGTGCTGATCTCACTGCTCAGAAAGAAAGCCTCGTGTTTATCAAATGAATGAGATTGGATTAGCATTAGCTGACTCACTCTCTCTGCCTCTACTGCTCTACTCTACTTCTTTCTACACATGCACGCATAATCCTCTCTCTGTCTCTCTCTCTCTCTCTCTCTCTCTCTGCTACTTATAACTATTCGCATTTACTCTCCTCCTTCCATCAACACATACAGTCTCACCAACTCCTTTTTTTTTTTCCCTTAATAAAAAGAAAAAAGAAAAAACTATTCCCTGATTGGAAAGGGTCTCAGGTCAGGTGCGTTCTTGTAGGTCCTTTCCCTACTCTTTTTATGATGAACCCATATCTGATTCTAATCTATCCTCAAATCTCCCTTTGGCTTCGGTTTCAGTGCTTAAATTCCCTATAAATCTCATCTCATTATAACTCTTTTCTCTTCATTTTCCACTCTCTTCTCTTCTTTCACCCACAGGGAAAAAGGAAATTATGTTGAGCATGGAAGAGCTTCTCTGTGAGCTGATTGGGGAAGATAAAAACGAGCAAGGTTTGCCTCCAGGGTTTAGGTTCCATCCAACCGATGAAGAACTTATAACTTTTTATCTGGCTTCCAAGGTCTTCAATGGCGCTTTTTGTGGAGTCGAAATTGCTGAGGTTGACCTTAACAGATGTGAGCCCTGGGAGCTTCCTGGTAAGTCTTTAAATTTTTTTTTTCTTTTATATGAACATAGCCATTGCTCATTCGACATTGCATTATCTCTAAATAAGAAAGCTTTTCTTGTATATATTTCTTGATTGATTCGCTCTAACACAAACTATGCAAGTCATAATTAAGCTTTAATTAGTTAATACTGTCTCTTAAACCTGAGAAAATTAAAAGCCGCAAAGTCTTACATAGAATTACGAGACTGATATACTATGTCTAAAGTATTTATAATGTAGCCTCTTTTCCCTTATAAAGTTCCATCTTCGGATGAGTATTTGGATCGAAGAAACTGTCGTTCAAAGTCCAAGGCGTTTTGAAATATTCTGCACATTTCTGCATATGTTAACGTCTTAATTTTAGAGCTCCTCTCGCCCTTAATTGCGAAGTGTTGAAAGTAAGAGATTAGGAAAAAACCTTTGATTAGTGTATTAGTTTATAAGATAAATGAATAATTATTAATTTGAGATATTTCACGTAGAATATTATCTAGAGAGAGAGAAGTTGTTAACGTGGGTGGGTTAAGATGAATTATGAAGTTGAGTAAGATACACACATGCCCTCTTAAGATATTCGCAAGAAAGCATGCATTTTTGGGTTGAGAAATGTATATCCTTTCCTCTGAAAGCTCATTAATTAATTACTGACAGGAAGTGTCTTTTTGTATATGTTGTTAAATCAGATGTAGCAAAAATGGGGGAGAGGGAATGGTACTTCTTCAGCCTGAGAGACAGGAAGTACCCAACAGGGTTGAGAACAAATAGGGCAACCGGAGCTGGTTACTGGAAGGCCACAGGCAAAGATAGGGAAGTGTACAGTGCTTCAACTGGTGCTTTACTCGGCATGAAGAAGACCCTCGTTTTTTACAAAGGCAGAGCTCCCAGAGGTGAGAAGACCAAGTGGGTCATGCACGAGTACCGCCTAGACGGTGATTTCTCTTACCGCCACACGTGCAAGGTAATATTAAGTGTGCGTTGCACTGCACACTATTGTCCTTTTCTGGGTTGACTTGTTCTTCGTTGGCTAGTAAACTATTTTCACTCCATTATTATTTATTAACCTTTGTGTAGTTTCTGATGTGATTGGTTTGATTTAGCATCGGTTTTGCTTGCAGGAAGAATGGGTGATTTGCAGGATATTTCACAAAAATGGGGAGAAGAAAAATGGGATTTTGCAAGCACAAGGGTTTCTATTGGAAGCCAATTCACCACCAACTTTCAGTTCATTGCCTTCGTTGCTGGAAGCACCATTATTGTTAGAATGTGAGACTCAGACTCCATTTCTGATTAAGCAAGACTCCCAATCTAATAAGCACACAGTGTCATTCGGAACCAGCAGTCCCATCACAATCAGTACAGATGCAGAAACAAACAAAAACATACAAGATAACCCATCAGCACCGATGCTCTTCAAGTCTCTCCTCTCCCATCCTTTGAAAGAACAATTCACTATTCCTAAACAGTGCAAGACGGAGCCCAACTTTTCCCATTTTCAACTACCTGCAGGTGCAGATCATGCCAACTTGTTCAACTACTGGGTGGAAAAGATTCATCATCCAAACACATATCATTGTCCTTTGTCTTTTGAGATGGATTGCAATGTTTTGGGGATATCTACTGAATTTGATTCAGACATCACTGCGAATGACTTGTCCACTTCAATTGCTTTCAACAGAGCCGACTTTCAGATGATGTTAGATACTCCCATCAGACTCCCTGCACAATCTTGGCCATTAGATTCCTAAGATCTTCAACTCTCTAAAAACTATATATTCCACAATTATATGCTCTATGTATACATTATATACCATCTATATATAGAATCAGCGTAGTCTTTTATTTAATGTTACTTGATGTACTAGTATAGCAGTAATTAATGTAGCGTAGCTAGCTGCAGTAATTTCTAGATTTATCATACAGGCATGCACGTACCCATATGAATATGTAATGTGATATTACTTCCTAGAGTAATGGAGCTTATTGTTTGTATTCTTTCCTTCTTCTGTGCTGCTGGGACTGTGCTGTGGAGTGGAGCGGAGCAGCAAAAGGGTGCCATTTGATATGACAAAAGTGGATGGAATTGGAGGTTGTTCTTGTTCATATCGTAGCCTCAAATAGTATAATTTTAACGTCACTTTTTGTTTTATGATTGATGATGGGATTGGGATTGGGTCCCTTTGCATGCATGCTCACTGCGGCTAGTCTATACGGACTATAAGATCTGTGTCTAAGTAGACAACGTTTGGATGTATATAAAAAAGCAAACCAACCATCATTCATAAAGTCGATGACAATGGCATCATTAGTCTTATTATTTCTCCATTCATGTCATGCATAATATGTGCATACATATACATCAACAACAGTCAGATGTAGAGCTGTCGTTGATGGTGAGAGGCAATCTACATGCTTCTAAAGCCTAATCATGAGTCATGCCATAATTAGCGAAATCCACGGACCAAAAGCTTTCTTACTTAGTATTCTCTTTTCCAAATTTTTACTCTCTTTTCCTCCCAAAGACAAAACGCTGGATTCCATTTAGCCGGCCACAACGGCAAATACTGGTGGCCCAAGACTTGATCCTGGACTCTTGGACAAAGTACTGGGCCTGACAAGATTCCCAGCCTTAACTTTTCTGTCTTAATGAATGCTTCAAAGTACCAAATAATTATAAAGTACTCAGCTTGAGGACCCTACGCGAGCTGGCAAAGATAAAAGAAAAATAATGCATTTCAAACTTTTCAAGAACAATGGGGCACCATGGATTAACTCTGATACAAATTGTAAGCAAGTTTTTAACAAGAAAGATTTACAACTCAAAGTTCCTCGAAGCAAAATAAGGTGCAATTCCATTCACTAAATGCCTCCTCATGAAATCCAACTACAAGGTCCTGAGTTGAGGATTATTACATTGCCCAACACATTAAGTAGAGCACAAATCTACTTGGATGCACATCAATGCACCAGATCGCCCCTGTACCACAACAATAAGTTATATTCAGTAACAATTCATGATGGGTTTTAGCAGGGATGTAAACAAATGTAACCTTCAGCGTCATCAGTCAATCAGAAACTGAACTGCAATATTTTCTTTAAATTATACAAAAACAAATATCCTTCTATAATCCTAAATAAAAGGGATTACACCTGCTACTATATTACACTCAAATAACATTGTTATTGGATAAGCGAGGGACCATAATGGACTTTTCTACATCTGCAGATAAAAGATGTCTATAAACATGAGACCATATAAACAACACCTGGCCAGAACCTAGTGGTCATTGTTACAACTTCAGCAAGACAGAGTTGTTTAAACTCAAAGGTGAAGTATTCATTTGGCACTTAAAAAAATAAGGAACTGGTGCTTGAGAATTAGACAACAAAAGCTGAACTTAATCATCACCTCCTTCTGGTGGGGGCCTGAGTGGCAAGCATTGCCTCAATGCCTTTAGAAAAACCTTAGAGTAGACCATCAAACCAAAAGACCTCATGTTTTACAAACAACAGAACAAAACCACAACAGCCCACCAACAGAAGCACCAAGCTCATGTATCATAATCCTGTCACCAGTCAGCTCAGATGAAGAAGATATTAAAAAATCCCACATTAGCTAAAAGTTAAAAACATAAAGGAGATATACATGTATATAGGTTAGGTATCAAGAGCCAAGCACCCAAATGGCTGTTTAGTTCTAGACATTTTGATAATGGCTAGACTTCATTAAAAACCCAAGCTCAAGTTTATATTCTGGCCCTTTATATCTATTATGCCACCCCCTTCCTTCATTGAAATTAAGAATGTAATGCTAGAGTCCATACAAGGGCTTATCAATTGTAACATTCACATCCTGTATGGATTAAGGTAACATGATGGCACCAAGCAGGGGCTTCAAAGACAAACTCAGCAGCACAAAGAGACTGAATCGTCTAGAAAGACTAGAATTGCCAATACAAAAGGTGTAATGACAAGAAAATTTTGAGAATTGCTATGCAAAAACGAATTTAATTGGCTTAAATTTTTAACTAAAACAATCTAGATAACGCCCGACAACACCTAAATACTGCTCATGTTGTTGGGCAAGCAAGCGCCAGATAAACGATAAAGTAATAAGCTTGATTAAATCATCTAAATACCAAATAAAGTGTTTTCCCTCATTGAAGTGAAAACTAAATAATCATAAAAAGAAAAAAAAAAAGCATTAGTCCAACAATTCAGATCTATGATGTTTGTGATGTGATCGAATATTCAATAGTTAAGCCCTGAAATCGATGGAAGTTAAACCACTGTGCCAAAACCCTAAACTTTGAATGAAAATTTAAAAGAACGGAGAAGAGAAACGAACCGAAAAAGTGCAAGAACACGGATCTTATTTGGGGGATTTATTGTCCTTGGAGGAAGAACCATATCTAGGTGGAGAATAAATCAAAGCCGCCACCATAGCACCAGGTAACACACCGTATTTCGCCACCGCCGCCAGCTTCGCCACGAACGGTTGTCCTCGCATGATCGCCATTTTCACTAGCCTTCCCTTTCTGACTAATTGGATTTGGTCTTAGTGCTTGCTGCTCGCAGCTTCCTACGAGGAGTTAATCATTTGAAGTAAGCGGAACGGTGCAACCAGGTATTACACACCAGGATAGTCCATCTGCTGCCACGTCAATTCATCTAGCGGTAGGGAATGGTCCAAGAGCATGTACTTGATTGCGTGATAAAATTGGGCTCGGGTTCCAGCAGGTTTGAGGATATGGTTTTGGGCTTGGGTTGGTCTCGATTAGGGCTTTCTGGCTCCAACATGACTGACTGTTCTACCATTGCTTCTGCGTCATGACAACGAGATATGCCTTTTTAAAAAAACTATTAAATTTTTCAACTTTATTATTAATTTTTTTTGGACTATTAAAAAAGTGGGATAGACATTTTCTCTCTGTCTCTCTAATTTGCAGTTTCATCCTGACAATAAACTGATTTTAGATGTAATTTTTTTAGAAGATAAGATGTAAATATTTTACCATTTAGGCAATAAACCAATAGCTTAAGAGTAATTTACAAATAAAATAAAATAAAAACTTTAGATTAATAATTCAATACAGAGCTTTCCTAAGCTCACAAACTTCATAATGGCAATACTATTCTCTCTGCTTACATTGTCGAAAATGTACAAATTAATCCAAATATACAAACAAAATCCTATATATTATACACTTGATTTTGATGAATCATAAGACATATGCATGAAGAGGAAAGTCAAGGAAGGGGAGGAGTTCCTTCGGGGAGGCCAGTCCCAGAAAGAGTAGGAGCATCAGTGGCACCACCGCCATGATTGGGCTTGACTTGTCGGTGTCCTTCTGTTCCATAACCCTGGCGCTTGTAGTCTTCCAAATCCTGGCATCTCAAATAAGGACTGCTCTGTAGAGGCAAACCCTCTGTCATTGCCTTCTTTTCCTCAATTTCTGCCTTTCTTCTTTCCATTTGCTCGCTACCACTCTCCATCTCTCAACTGTTTGTGTCTCTGTCTCTGTTTCCTTAAATTTGTTTTTGTGTTCCGCAGCCAAATACATTATTATATATAAACACAATGCATGAAGGAAAGAAGGAAAGAAATGGCGTCCATGGAGTTGCAAGATTTTAGTTAAAAGACCCGTATCTTACGAGCCCTTAATTTGACTTTTTCAATCCAGCTGGTTAACCAGCAATTTAAAGGCTGAATAGGAAAAGTGAATAATTTCAGGAAGGGGTCACCAACCAGAGTAGTGTAGAAAGTAATAAATTGTTTGGGACCAGATTGGCTCTTGTCTTCGTTAATTTTCCAATATTGTCTTTTTCAGACAAATAAGAAGAGGACAGCAGCAACCGAACTTTCTTCTCTTCTCTTAACTCTTATCCTTAGCCACATTTTGTACCCGAACGATATATTTCTGGTTTTTGAAGGAACATCAATTACCACATATTAATCAATCTTTCATGGCACTTTCTCCACCTCAAAAAGACCTTCCAAGAAAACAAACAGACAAACATGTGAATCCCCTTATCCATTCTCACTCATCTATGCAAAGTGCAAACCAAACCCACCTGTCACGCCATTGCCTCTGCACCATCTTTCTTTGTTATGGCAGCAGCAGAATATTCAGGTAGGAGGAATTCCAATACTCAGCTTCTCGAAGAGCTGGAAGCACTCAGTCAGTCTCTCTACCAAACCCACACTAGCACCAACCGGAGAACTGCCTCACTTGCACTTCCTCGAACTTCAGTTCCCTCTCTTACTTCTCTAGATGAGACCACCACAGCAAAACTTGATGAGAAATCCACCTCCAAACCTCGATCCAGGCGAATGTCCTTATCACCATGGCGTTCTCGACCAAAGCCTGATGATGATAACGCCACCAAGCCATCTAATCAACCGGAAGCCAAGAAGCTGGAGGAAACAGCAGCTTCAACACAGAAGAAAGGAATTTGGAACTGGAAACCAATACGTGCTCTTTCTCATATTGGGATGCAGAAACTGAGCTGTTTGTTCTCGGTTGAAGTAGTTGCTGTACAAGGTCTTCCAGCTTCGATGAATGGCCTCCGGCTTTCTGTTTGTATTAGGAAGAAGGAAACCAAAGATGGTGCAGTTCAAACCATGCCGTCAAGAGTTTCACAGGAAGCTGCTGATTTTGAAGAAACCTTGTTTGTCAAGTGCCATGTCTACTGCTCTCCAGGAGGCAATGGAAAGCAGCCGAAATTTGAGCCTCGTCCATTTTGGATTTATGTGTTTGCAGTTGATGCTGAAGAGCTTGATTTTGGGAGAGGTTCAGTGGACTTGAGTCAACTTATTCAGGAATCCATGGAGAAGAATCGAGAAGGTACTAGGATTCGTCAATGGGACACAAGCTTCAATCTATCTGGAAAGGCTAAAGGGGGAGAACTTGTTCTGAAATTGGGATTTCAGATTATGGAAAAGGAGGGAGGAGTTGATATCTATAATCAAGCTGCCGGATTGAAGCCAAGCAAATCCAAAACTTTCACTTCTTCTTTTGGCTGTAAACAATCCAAAACATCATTCAGTATCCCCAGTCCAAGGATGTCAGGTCGAAGCGAAGGTTGGACTCCTTCTCAGACAAAAACAGCTGCTGATCTTCAAGGAATAGATGACTTGAATCTTGATGAGCCAGCTCCAGTTCCTTCGCCTTCTCCCCGAGTTCAGAAATCAAAACCACCAGAACCAAAGATTGAAGAACTTGAACTCCCAGAATTCGATGTTGTGGATAAAGGAGTTGAAATTCAAGAGAAACAAGAGTCTGAAGAAAATGTCAAAGTAAAGTCAGCATCATCAAGTGAGGTTGTTAAGGAGATGGTACAGGATCAGTTACATCTTTCGAGATTAACTGAGCTTGATTCCATTGCTCAACAGATAAAAGCTCTTGAATCTTTGATGGGAGAAGAAAAAATAATTAAGATGGAGGATGAAACTGAATCACAGAGACTAGACGCAGATGAAGAGACAGTAACTAGAGAATTTCTTCAATTGCTTGAGGATGAAGAGCTGAATACTTACAAATTTAATCAACCCGAAATTCCTCCTTTGCAGCTTGGAGAAGCTGATGAATCTATGGAGGCTGAATCCAAAGTGTATCTATCTGAGCTTGGGAAGGGTTTAGGGTGTATAGTACAAACAAAGAATGGAGGCTACTTAGCAGCCATGAATCCTCTGGATACGGTTGTGGAAAGGAAAGACACTCCAAAGTTAGCTATGCAGTTATCAAAACCAATTATTATTCCATCTCACAAATCCTTGAGTGGGTTTGAATTGTTTCAAAAAATGGCAGCTGTTGGTTTTGAGGAACTCAGCTCCCAAATTTTGTTGCTGATGCCTATGGATGAACTGATGGGGAAAACTGCAGAACAAATAGCATTTGAAGGTATAGCTTCTGCAATCATCCAGGGAAGAAACAAAGAAGGTGCCAGTTCCAGTGCCGCTCGTACCATTGCTTCAGTAAAAACCATGGCAACGCAGATGAATGCAGGCAGGAAAGAGAGGATTTCAACAGGAATCTGGAATGTAGATGAAAATCCATTGACGGCAGAGGAAATTTTGGCATTCTCGATGCAGAAGATTGAGGCAATGTCCATTGAGGCATTGAAAATTCAGGCAGAAATGGCAGATGAAGATGCACCATTTGATGTTTCTCCACTCAATGGAAAGACAAATACAGATGGTGAGAAAGAATACAATCACCCTCTAGCTTCAGCAATACCACTTGAGGACTGGATCAAATATACTTCCGATGGTAAGTCAGAGGAACCAGCAACAATCACATTAGCGGTGGTTGTCCAACTACGGGATCCTTTGAGACGCTATGAGGCAGTTGGAGGCCCAGTAGTAGCACTCATTCGTGCAACCTGCGCAGACATAAAAATAGACAAGTATGATGAGGAAATGAAATTCAAAGTGGCTAGTCTACATGTTGGAGGCTTGAAGCTCAGTACAGGAGGAAAGAGGAATATGTGGGATACAGAGAGGCAGAAGCTGACAGCAATGCAGTGGTTGGTGGCATATGGACTGGGAAAGGGAGGGAAAAGGGGAAAACAAGTGTTGGTGAAGGGGCAAGATCTGTTGTGGAGCATTTCCTCGAGAATAATGGCTGACATGTGGCTCAAACCAATGAGAAATCCGGATATAAAATTTGCGAAGTAGAGAAGCAAATCTAGAGTGAATTGTTCTTACATTTTATTCACATTACGCCTTTCATGCACCAACAACAAAGCTTTCTTGTTATAATGCAAGGTACTGCAAAAAGCATCATCAAAATTCTAGAGATAGTATGTTTTTCATGTATAAGATTTGTTTCATTTGTAAGTACCTTCTGTTCAATATCTCCATAATGGAAAACAGTCCCGTGATTTCAGTTCTTTCTATTCATTAAAAAAGAATAAAAAATAAAAACTATCGCATATGGCATCAAAAATATTGCATGCAACATTCATATATTCACGGAAAAAGATCAGAGAGAAACAGTCAATAACCAATAGATAATTCATACCTTTACGTAACCAGTGATCTCCATAAAAACCAACATCTTTCTTGAAATTACAAGATGCATATCCTTTCGTGACCACAACTTGACTTGATGTAAAAGAAATCGACGTGGCTACCAGTTGATAATCATAGAAAGCTCAGAGATTCTTCATTACTTGGCCACACATCCTCAAAGGTGTGTTGATTGATCCATGCAAGCTTCTTGTTGCTATAGCTCCAAGAACCCACAGGACTAACTGGGGCAAAATAGCATCTTGTACCTTCTATCTCACTATAAATGTTGTCTAACATGGCATAAATGTCCTTGATCTGAGGGTGATTAGTCTCATCTGCAGTGAACACATGTACCCCGTTTTTAACTTCTATCCAGCTACAACCAGGATTCTTCTGGATCCCTTTCTCTCTCATCTTTTTTCTCACATCTGCAACACCTTCAAATTTTCCACAATCTGAATATATGTGTGCTAGAAGTATATAACTTCCACAGTTATCCACATCCAAATCGAGCAAGTTCCTCGCTGCAAATTCTGCCAATTTCGTGTTGCAATGAATCTTGCAAGCACTGAGTAAAGCTCCCCAAACATCAACATTTGGCTTAAAAGGCATTTCATCAATCAAATCTTTAGCCTGCTCTAGCAACGCAGCCCTGCCAAGTAGGTCAACCATGCATGCAAAATGCTCATTTGTCGGATAGATGCCATAATCCTTAGTCATGGAGTGAAAGTAATGTTTCCCTTCTGTTACAAGCCCTGCGTAACTACAACCTGATAGAACAGATACGTAGCTTATATGATCGGGTGTACATTCCATCTTGATCATATTCTCAAAAATCTCTATCACCATCCTACCTTGACCATTCTGGGCATATCCAGCCATTATGGAATTCCAAGAAACCAAATCTTTCATACATATGGAATCAAAAACTTCTCGTGCTTTTTCAATTTGTCCACATCTTGAATACATGGTAACAACACTATTTGCAACCGAAACATCAGAACAAAACCCTAACTTTTCAGCTTGAGCTACAATTTGGATTCCATGTTTCAAACTTGCTAAATCCGCGCAGGCACTGATTGAAGTTGCAAAACTAATATCATCTGGCATAATGCACTCCCTTTGCATCCGGACATACAATTTGAGACCACATTCTAAAAATCCATGTTGCATATACATGCTTATGATGGAGTTCCAAGTTATGACATTCCGTTCAGGCATTTTATCAAAATAAGCCTGTGCTTTCTCAATATCACCTACTTGAGAGAATGCAGTGATTATAGATGTCCACGTTATTATATTTCTGACTGGCATCATTTCAAACACATTATTTGCGTTCTGAGTATCACTGCATTTTGAGTACATTGTAATAAGAGCATTCCCCACTGGAACAAAGGAAACAATTCCAGTCTTCATTACGAATGCATGAAGTTGTCTGCCGACAGATATACAGGTCGGACGTGAACAAAGCTTCAGAACTATTGCAAGAATAAATTCGTCCAGGGCAACAGGAACCTCTCTCATTTGGCTAAATAGCTGTAATGCTTCTTCTTCAAGGCCACACTTTGCAAATCCACCAATCAAAGAAGTCCATGAAACTGCATTATACTCTGATAAACTGTTAAATACCCGCCTAGAAAATTCTAAATGTCCACATTTTGCATACATATCAATCAGACCATTACCGACATAAACATCAACGACGGGTTCTACTCGAATAATCCGAGCATGCAAATGGGTACCCCATTCCAGGTCACAAATGCTCGCAGAAGCACTAAGAACACAAGCATATGTCATGGAATTGGGCCGAAAACCTTGAGCCCACATGTGAACAAACATATCAAGAGTTGGAACCCCAAATCCATGCTGAGACAAGATAGAAATAATTGTGTTCCAAGACACACTGTCTCGTTCAGGCATTTGGTTGAACATCTCAAGAGCCCTTCCAACACCAAAAGATTTAGAATAACCATAAATCATACTATTAAAGCAAAACAAACTTGGATTTGGGATCATCAAAAACACTCGCTCTGCATAGCTCACTGCATCAGTCTTAATATACATATCCATAATGGATGTTTTAATTGAAGTGTCACTTCCAAAATCAAATTTCTCCACAAGCCCATGCAACTGAAAAGCCAATTTGATATAACCAAGAGCACCACAAGCCTTCATAGCACAGGAGAAGGACAGAAGGTTAGCTAAACATGTACAGTTTCGTATCAGAGAAACGAAAACCTTTAAAGTTTCTTCAGGTTTCTCATTTCGATAATAAACGGACATCATAGAGTTCCAAGAAACAGAGTCTCTTGCAGGCATTTCCTCAAACAACTTCTTCGCTTCCCCTATTAGACCCGCGTTACCCAACCCATAGATGACCGTGTTATAGCTGAAAACGTTGCGAAACCCCATCTCAGCGAAAATCCGACAAGCGTCATCGACTAAGTCGCAATTGAAATACATGTTCAAAAGATGGTTTTGAAGGAAAACGGAACAGTCTAATCCTGCTGAGATCAATTGGCCATGAAGTTTTCGAGCGATGGGTATTGACACACATTCTTTCATTGCTTCGTAGAATTTCAGAGAGAGTTGCGGGTAAGAAGCTTGTTGAGCAGAGGGAGTGTTTTGCTGATTCGAGAAGGAACGAAGAAGAGGATGAGATAGGCGCGGGAAATGATGGTTTATGAATCGGCGCCATGAGAGTTTGGTAATCATTCAAGACTTGGTTTTATTTGGTCGTGTACTATTGTGCGGGAAATTAAGCAATCCGTTTAACGGGCAAATAAAATGCGCGAGATAGGACTAAACGGTGTCGGTTTTGGTTTAGAAATAAAACGACGCGGTTTAATCTCGGTCGTGGAAATGGAATTATATGTGGACATCATTACTATAGACATTGAATCAGACTGAATTACTTGTTGTTGCTTTTCTTTAATTAAATATTTCTTAATAGATAATTTTTAATTAAATTTAAATATTATTCTTTAGTAATATTTGTCTTTTTTTTAGAAAAAATATATATTGAAATATAATATTTTTTAATATTAGATATGAATTACATTGGTTATTACCATAATAATTTCGATAAAGAATTAGTCATTTAATGATATAATATAATTTTAATATTATGATTATAATTAAATTCAAATATTAGTTCTTTTAATGTTAATTATAAATTATAAATTTTTAATATTTTTAATTGAATTTGTAAGTTCAAATATTAGTTTTTTAATAAAGCCATTAGTTATAAAATAGGTCTTTCCCAACTCAAAAGAATATTTAAATTAAAAAAATTTATTTCAAATCTTATATTCAAATCATACAAGAAAAAAAAATAAAAAAAATACAATTCGTATAAAATCTTAATAATAAAATTATTAAATTTCACAAAATCTAATATTCAGATATATAATTTTCTACTAGTGTCCAATTTATTATTAAAAATGAAACATTCTTGCCTTAAATGTGTTGTGGGTCCCTTAGACATGTGGGATCCGTGTACATTTGAAAAGAAAAAAATATATAAAACACGTTTTTTGTTTTGATGGCAGTCAAAGAGGGACTACCAAACAAAGAAGAAAAAAAAAAAAAGTACATTCATTTTGTTATTCAAAGGACGGTGCCAAAGAAAGAAAGAAAAAAAGGAAAAATAGACGTCTGATTAACGCGTCCACTGCATTCCCTTCTCCTATTTTATAGGAGAAGGTTTTCCTTCATTAAGGTGTACAAAAACAAAATATATAGAATAGGAATACACTATTGAGTGTAGAAAATTTTAGGAAAGAGTTCCTAGTGTTACATTTTGAAAAGAAAAAATATATCAAAACACGGTTTTTTTGCTTTGATGGGCAGTCAAAGAGCGGCACTACCAAACAAAACGAAAGAAAAAAAAAAAAAAGTCACATCTCATTTTGTTATTCCACAACGGACCGGTGGCCCAAAAGACAGAACAGCAAAGAAAAAAAGGAAAATAGACGTCTGATTAACGCAGTCGCCACTGCCATACTTCCCTTCCCTATTTCTATAGCCGAGAAGCTTTTCCTTCACCTTAAGTGTACAAAAACAAAATATACTAGCGAATAGGAACTACACTATTGAGTTCAGAAAATTTTAGGAAAGAGTTCCTAAAAATTGAGCTGAAATAGGCGAAACTAGGTGAGCGCATTTGAAATTTCTAGGGCGTGGTTTCTGTTTAAACACTTAAGCAGGTACCACTATTTTTTGCTAATCTCTCGTTTGTACCTCTCATTTTTAGTAGAAGAATTCATTCAGAAGTCTTTTGTCCGGTCGGATATAGCCCATAACAGATTGAAGCTAAAAAACAAAGACGCGTGACCACGTACAATATCGGTCTTGTTCTTATCTTTTTTTCTTATCTGGCACTTTACGGCTAAATTATCTTAACTTTACCGCTGATTAATTCATTTCTGGCTGGCAATCTCGATCGTCAAGTATTCGAATATTGTAATTATCTGGCGTGATTATTATTTCTGGTGGATTCGATCGTCAATATTCAATATTTAATTATTGGAGATATATGTGGTAATAGTAATTTTATTTTACTTTACCATCAGTATTTTTCTACGGACCCCACTCGGGATAAGTTAGAATCTCAACAATATTCAGATATATAATTTTCTACTAGTGTCCAATTTAATATTAAAAATGAAACATTCTTGCCTTAAATGGCCAAGAACACTTTTTTTTTTGTTTTGTAATTGATTACAATTATAACACAACCCAATAAGTTAACGAAGTCTTGACCTAACAGCGAAAGCAAAAATCTTTGGAGTTTGGGTTTGAATCTCACCCCTAAAAAGTCACTTCTACCCCCATTAATTTGTAACTTCACTTAAGAATAAAATTTTTTTTATAGAAATGATAGAGAAACGTTACAAATAACAGTGGAAAATCAACATGCTAACTATAGAGTATTAAATTTTTTTCTAAACTAATATATAAAGGTTTCAATTAAATATAAAAAATTAATCTATACTTGACACCTTTAAATAAAAATAAACTATATCAATTAATTATTCATAGACTTACCATAAGCAGCATGTTATCTCTCTATATAGTAAAATATCCATCAAATAACACATTTTTCTTCCGCAAGGTGCAAAGCAATAATAAATCTAATGCTTTAGTTATTTTTAGACAATAATTTATTTTTTAAAAATATTTTTTAAAATTTTATTTTCTATTATTTGATTAAAATATTAAAAATTAGTTAAAATATATTAAAATTCATTATTTAAAGACAATAATTTATTTTTAAAAAATATTTTTCATAATTTTATTTTCTATTGTCCGATTAAAATATTAAAATTTAATTCAAATGTATTAAAAATCTATTATTTAAATAATAAAATAAAAATAGTAAGACTTTAAGGTATCGTTTATCAAAGAATTTAAAAATTATTTATAGCAAAAGTTGAATAAATTATTAATTATGGGAAAACATAAATTTACTTCACAAAATGAATAAAATTTATAGTAATTTTATAAAAGTGAAAATTAAGAGTCCCATAACATTTTTTTTTTTTAGCAAAAGATATTTTTGTTTTATTTATATCTCAAATATTTAGTCTCTATAGCTTCCAATAATACAATTCCTTTAATCAAATGAGGCAAAGAATTAAAAGAGGTAAAAGAAAGAGAAATATAATACAATTCCTTTAATCAAATGAGGCAAAGAATTAAAAGAGGTAAAAGAAAGAAAACGTGAGGCAAAGGAATCTAAAAGAGGTACAAAGAAAAGAGAAATATAATACAATTCCTGCTAATCAAATGCAGGCAAAGAATCTAAAGAGAGGTTAAACAGAAAGAGAGAACATCATGAATTAAAAGAGGTAAAAGAAAGAGAAATATAATACAATTCCTTTAATCAAATGAGGCAAAGAATTAAAAGAGGTAAAAGAAAGAGAAATATGATGAAGTCTATGATGAGTAGCCAAAAGATGTACGACTTGATTTCCTTCACGATATATGTAATGAATTGAAGAAGAGTGAAGATACAACAAGTCAGCAATACGCAGTAAAACCGAAGGACCTGCTCTAATCCATTGTGTCCGATTAACATGAGCAACTAGTTCCAGACAATCCATTTCCACCTGACGGGGATAAAAAAACCTTTATCAATATTCCAAGAAAGTCCCATAACATTTTTCACAGAAATACATAAATAAATTTATATATATAATGTATAATCTTTGGAACAAATCATAAAAAATTTAATTCATGTGTGAGTTGTCATGCAATTTTGTGAAATGATGGGAAAGAAAGAAAGAAAGAAAGAAATGCTATTCCATTTTGTAATTTAGCAATTCAATTGGGACATGGTTAATGATTTTTGGAGCCCAATACCCACATCTTCGGCATAATAATTGATTTTTTTTTTTTTAATATATCTAAGCTAAAGTGATAAACAAAAATATCTTTATATTTTTGTTATATAAAAATTATTTAGTTTAAAAGTTTCTATTGCCCATCTCTTTAAATACTTTTTTTTTATGAAATAATTATATACATATCCCTTTTAATTGTTTTTATCATAAATATATTTGTTTGTTATAAACAAATAAAATCGATAAATTTTGTACTCGTGTTAGGTGAAATTCGTTTACGTAAAAATCATTTAAATTTAGAGAAAGAAAATGTTAAAATGTTTATTTTTTTTTAAATTATGAATTTTATGAAAGCAGAGGTAAAAAGAATATAAAAAAAAATATAGTAAAAAGAGGACAAAGAAGAGAAAATGGGAAATGGCTTTCCAATGGTTAAGGAGTCAAAAATAGTATACACCTCGTCAAGCAGGAAGGAGAGAGCAGCACATGGGGGTTCTATAGCAAAATTTGGCTGGACATAGAGAATCAGTTCAGATCGGACGTAAGTCAGAGAAAGAAATGGTTGTGATCGGTAAACATGAACTCAGATCAAACGTAAGTGGACAAGCTGACAAGCTCCAATCTATCCCATGTGGCTTCACGGACGTTTTAGCTAATAGTCTTGTTTTGCAGATTGATTGCCTCATCTTGACCTTCACCTTTCTTCCTCCTCTTGACAGGTAGTTTTCTTCCTGGCTCACTTGTTAATTTATATTTATATATATTTATTCATTCTAATTATAATAATTAAAATTGATCCAAGCATAATTAAACCAAACAGCACACTTCAATTTAATATTTTTTTTTTTACTCGTTGGAAGACACAGTAACCCGAAATAATACTCGTTAGCTAATATGAATACTCGATTATTATAATACATGTTTTTAAATATCTCCTGTAAAAAATAAATAATAATTTTCTACTGAAATAAATAAATATAAAAAATGTGAGAATGGTTTGCATATAAAGTCATTTAAAGCCATTGAAATTTCCAAATTGAATGAATATAATAAATATTGCCATTGCGATCTCAATCAGATTTAATTTCAGATTTTTGTTTTGACAAAAGAATTAAAAATTTGAAAGGTCGACAATTGGATATTCTTTTTTTTTTTTTTTTTTTTTTTTTTTTCTTTTCAGATTTTGTTCTGACAAAAAGAATTAAAAAATTTGAAAAGGTCGACAAATTGGGATTATTCTTATTTTCTTTTTTTTTTCTTCTTTTTTTTTTGTGAGAATCTTTTTTTTTTTTTTTTTTTTTTTTTTTTGTGAGAATCTGATAATATAAAGAATGGCAATTTGACAGCGAAAAAATGGTGACTTTACGTAGAAAGGCATGTTCCCTCGATTTTACCTGGGAGGACTCAAATTATCTTTATTTAAAAAAAAAAAGGGAAAATATATATTAGTCCAACGGAACGGTAGATGTTAAATTCTTACAGGCCAAGTACAGTTCAGATCCTCGCGGCGTATTGCTTCGATCATTATTGTTATTGATACAGAGAGGGAGAGTTGGGATAGGGAAGCTAAATAATAATGGAGTAAATTAAAAATAACGACAATATCTATCCTCGATTGCTTGGTTGATCCATTTGGAAGCCACAGTAGGTTCCAGACCCCTGTGCCATTTTATATACCTGTGCCATTTATATATATATATATATATTATATATATAGGTTATAGTATATATTGTATATATACTATATATATATATTATATATATACCTTTTGATTCTTGATCATCTGTTCTTGTTTCTTGTCATATTACTTAGTGTTTCTGCCTGGATTTAACACTGTGTGAAGTTTAGCTCTGGAAACCTCCCGTGGTTTTCTTTTTTTTTCTTTTTTGCGGTATTATGTTTCATGGTGAAAATACTGATGTTACCGAGTAACGAGAGTTAAACTCCCTTACTTGAAGTGAAGTGAGTTGGGCGAGTTTTTTGGCGGGGTGTTGGGGTTGGCGTTGAAGGTTTGGTGGAAAAGTGGTATTAAGTAATCTCGAGTTCAATAAGTCAAAACGGGCTCTTTTTTAACTTCTAATTTGCCAGATTAAAATGTAACTCTTTCTTCCCTCTATTTTTACTACACTATTCCCTTTTTAAAAACACGTTGTCTATACCCCTAAGCATTCCATACCCTAAGATTCTATCACTTGGTCAGCTGGAATAATTCTTATTCTCTTTTGTTTTCAGAGACTAAAATCTGTTATCTGAGTGGCAGATACGCTCTGTTACTCTTAACGTCTCTCTGCTCTCTCTACTCTCTCTTTCTGGGAATTAACAGTAGCTAAGTCTGCTATGTTATTTATTTGAACATGGTATAGTCCGCTTTGTTTTTGTCTCACGGTGTCTACTATGTGTAGCAAGCTTCTCATTCTGACCTTATTTGGGCTCAAAGAGTTCAATCTGAAGGACGATCTCGAATTTTCCCAACTGTAATTGTTCTAGGTGCCTTAGGAGGTGATGTTGAATTGATATATTATATTTTATTCTCGTTCATTGTTCTTTGTTTCTTGTTCATATTATAGTTTTCTGCCTGGATTTAACACTGTGAAGTAGCTCTGGAACCTCCCGTGGTTTCTTTTTTTTTTCTTTTTTATGGGTATTATGTTCATGGTGAATCTGGGTTACCGAGTTAACGAAGTAAACTCCGTTACGTGAGTGAGTGAGTGGCGAGTTTTTGGCGGGTGTTGGGTTGGCGTTGAAGGTTTGTTGGGAAAAGGGTATAATTAATCTCAGTTTCAATAATCAAAACGGGCTTCTTTTTCTTCTATTTGCCAGATTAAATTTTAACTCTTCTCCCTCTATTTTACTTCCTATTCCCTTTTTAAACACTTGTCTATACCCTAAGATTCCATACCCTAAGATTCTATCACTTGGTCACTGATAATTTCTTATCTCTTTTGTACAGAGACTAAAATCTTACAGTGGCAGTACGCTGTACTCTTAACGGTCTCTCTCTCTCTCTCTCTCTCTTCTTGGGAAACAGTAGCTAAGTCTTTGCTTGTTTATTTATTTGAGCGGTGTCCGCTTTTTGCTCACTGTCTCAGTGTCAAGTCTCATCTGACCTTTTTGGGCTGTCAATAGGTGAGTAATCTAAGGAGATCTCAATTTCCTGATTTGTTCTATGTGCTGCTGATGTTGAATTGGCTTGTATTTTCCTCTTAATCGAGAAAGTTTATTAATTTATATCTTGTTTTTATATTTTGTAAAATTGTTGAGTATATACTGCTTTGACTGCTATGACAGATTGATTCAATTCTTTTATAGTTATATTGGTTCGCTGATGAGTGCAATAGATCTGAAATATGGTGTATATGATGCGTTTGGTTTTCTTGCAGGTTAGTTTGATTTATTGGTTACAAGATGAACGGAGCTGTACTAGTGGCTATTGCTGCTTGCATTGGCAGTTTCTTGCAAGGATGGGATAATGCTACTATTGCTGGTACTTTTCTTCTTTGAACGTTAATCTTATTTTATATTTGATCTTTCAAAAACGATCAACAAATGTTTGAGTTGAAAATGAAATTTTTGGAAGTTAGGACGTGTATCTATTTTCATCCAAGTATGAAGGTCTTTTGAAGTTTGTGGTAATTGTAATCTTAGTTTGCGTAGTGGCTTTATTGTATCTCATTGTGGAATTATTGAATTGATGCAGTTCTGCAATTTTCTTTCTACATTTTCAGGGGCTATTGTTTACATCAAGGATGACCTTGACCTGCAAACTACTGTGGAAGGTCTAGTTGTGGCTATGTCACTTATAGGAGCCACAGCAATCACAACCTGCTCAGGAGCAATATCGGATTGGCTTGGTCGGCGTCCAATGCTAATAATGTCATCCATGCTCTACTTTGTCAGTGGATTGATAATGATTTGGTCACCAAATGTCTATGTCCTGTGTATAGCAAGGCTTTTAGATGGATTTGCCATTGGCTTAGCTGTTACACTTGTTCCAGTCTATATATCTGAGACTGCTCCATCAGATATAAGGGGAATGTTAAATACACTTCCTCAGTTTACTGGTTCGGGTGGTATGTTTTTGTCTTATTGTATGGTTTTTGGAATGTCATTGACATCCTCGCCAAGTTGGAGGTTGATGCTTGGGGTTCTTTCTATACCTTCTCTACTATATTTTGCGTTGACGATTTTTTATTTGCCCGAATCTCCTCGATGGCTTGTGAGTAAAGGGAGGATGCTCGAGGCAAAACGGGTTCTCCAGAGATTGCGAGGAAGGGAGGATGTCTCAGGTTTGTTTATTTTCATCCTTTCTTTTTTTTTACACATCATTTTCTATTTTCACTTTTTAGGATAGGAAAAAGGGTTTCTACCTTGCTTTTTTTAGCAGTCACCAGGAATTAAGGTGCATATTTGCTTATTATTTCAAATGAATCTTGAGATAAGAGTTTCCATGTCTGATCACAATGAGTTGATTCCCTGGGAACTGATGTCTGGAATACCCTGGCTACTAACTTATAATGACTTTGTAGGTCAACTTGAAATTTTATTGGTCAAAATCAAAATTAAAGTCTTGCATAATTAGTAAACTAAAAACTTGACACATTCTTGAATTTTTCGATAATTTGGGGTTACTTATTGGAAGCATCAAAGCTCTCTCTATTTCTCTTCCTAGTTATTTTATTATTTCATATTATCCATCACTTCCATAATTTTCTTTTGCATGAGCACCTGATACTTCTTTTTACTGGTCTTGACAGATGCACATTTTTATTCTTAACAGAATGTCATGTTCATTTTGATGGTGATTGAAACCATTTTCTAATGAAAATTCTGATCTGCTTAGAGTCTGATGAACTTTCTTACTTTTGAGTTCAAGTTTGAGAATTGTTTTCCTGTTTTGTGCCCCTTTGAACTTTGAGGAGCCTTGACTAGACAGGAATATCTACATGCTTTTGTCTCAGATGAAAATAATATGCAATGGTTTTTCAATACGGGTCCATATGTTGCAACTTACCGACACCCAACTGTGGGAATTTCTAATAATCATTTTTCCATTTAAGTAGCTTGACAATTTTATCAAGTGGATTTTTCTATTATCCACAGGTGAGATGGCTTTGTTGGTTGAAGGTCTTGGCATTGGTGGTGAAACATCTATTGAGGAGTACATAATAGGCCCAGCAGATGAACTTCCTGATGGTCATGGACCCACTGCTGAGAAAGATAAAATCAAATTATATGGACCTGAAGAGGGTCTCTCCTGGGTTGCTAAACCTGTCACTGGACAGAGTTCTCTTGCTCTAATATCTCGCAACGGAAGCATGGTGAACCAAAGTGTGCCTCTAATGGATCCTCTAGTGACTCTATTTGGTAGTGTTCATGAGAAGCTTCCTGAAACAGGAAGCATGCGAAGCATGCTTTTCCCTAATTTTGGTAGCATGTTTAGTACAGCAGAACCTCATGTTAAGCATGAGCATTGGGACGAAGAGAGCCTACAGAGGGAAGGTGAGGACTATGCATCAGAAGGAGCTGGAGGAGACTCAGATGACAATTTACATAGTCCATTGATCTCACGTCAGACGACAAGCATGGAAAAGGATATGCCACCCCCTCCTTCTCATGGCAGCATTCTGAGCATGAGGCGCCATAGCAGTCTCATGCAGGGAACTGGGGAGGCAGTAGGTAGTACAGGTATTGGTGGTGGTTGGCAGTTGGCATGGAAATGGTCTGAGAAAGAAGGCGAAGATGGAAAGAAGGAAGGAGGATTTAAAAGGATTTATTTGCACCAGGAGGGAGCTCCTGGTTCTCGTCGTGGGTCTATTGTTTCACTTCCAGGTGGTGATGCGCCTGAAGATGGTGAGTATGTACAAGCTGCTGCGCTAGTAAGTCAGCCCGCTCTTTATTCCAAGGAGCTTCTTGATCAACATCCAGTTGGACCTGCAATGGTTCATCCAGCTGAAACTGCTAAAAAGGGGCCATTTTGGGATGCTTTACTTGATCCAGGAGTTAAGCATGCATTGATTGTTGGGATTGGAATTCAAATGCTTCAGCAGGTAGTCCATTTGATTCATTAACTTTTTCCCTCTTCTTCCAGTTAATTGAATTGATATTAACAAAAGTATTATCCCATTCCACTTTGTGGATTTATCATGAAATATAGTAAATAACTGAAGCTTTTTTTTCCATGCTTGCAGTTTTCTGGTATAGGTGGTATTCTTTATTATACTCCTCAAATTCTTGAACAGGCAGGTGTGGAAGTTCTACTTGTGAACCTGGGAGTCAGTTCAACATCTGCCTCATTCCTTATTAGCGCATTCACGACATTGCTGATGCTTCCTTGTATAGCTGTAGGTATGAGGCTTATGGATGTCTCAGGCAGAAGGTGATTTCTTGTTCTGCATTTGATTTGCATATTTTTTTGTTCTCATTCAGAAGTCCCTTACTCATTCTGCCACCCATTTGTCTGACATGGAACCCCCATATATGTCTTTTCATTTGAAAAGGTCATTTTATTAAAAGAATTCTTCCCTTCTTGCAGGACGCTGTTACTCACCACACTTCCTGTGCTCATAGGCTCACTTGTTATCCTATTAATTGGCCAACTCGTGGACTTGGGCACGGTTGCCAATGCAGCAATCTCAACAGTTTGTGTTGTCATCTACTTCTGCTGTTTTGTAATGGCTTATGGGCCAATCCCAAACATCCTATGCTCTGAGATCTTCCCCACGAGGGTTCGTGGCCTCTGCATTGCCATTTGTGCCTTAGTGTACTGGATAGCAGATATCATTGTTACTTACACTGTGCCTGTAATGCTAAATTCAATTGGCTTAACGGGTATCTTTATCATCTTTGCCATTATGTGCGCCATCTCTTGGGTCTTCGTCTTCTTGAAGGTCCCTGAAACCAAAGGCATGCCCCTTGAAGTCATTACAGAGTTCTTTGCTGTTGGGGCGAGACAAGTTGCTGCTGCCAAGAACGAGTGATTGACAAAAGCTTGTATGGACTGTTGATTCTTCTGCAGTTTGAGCTGCTAAAATTGTTATTATATTGAGAATGAAGATCTCATAATTAAACTATTAAATTTAATTCGTTTCAAAATTTTTCCATTTTCATATGATAATGTTAAATATAGATATAGTTTGATTCAGATTAATGTCCTGTTCTTTGATCTGTGTACCATTGCATTTTTAAGTAGAGCTTCTCAGTCAAAGGGCATGAAATGTGACACCGAGGTCCCAATAGTGCTTTTGAGTTAAATTTGGTATGAGCCAAGTGGATAATTCTGGTTCAGTTGGAGGCATTTGAATGAATTTATACAAGCTGGCTGAAACTTTCTGCAATGCGCATTTTGTAATCCGTTGGAGCTTGACAGGCTTCTGGTAATTCTTTAGGTCATTTAGAGAACATTTTAATAGTAGCTAATTTGCATTTATATCTTAATTAATATTTTTATTTATATTGCATATTAAATTAAAAAAATAATATATTCACCATAAAAGATTAAAAAAATTATGTATATTATATGTCATCTAACTGCTATTAGCATATCAACAGCTAAACTAAACGGGCTCTTAATCTCTCTTTTTTAAGTAAAATAATAATTTCTCTAGTAAAACTTAGATTCTGAAAACTCTCATATCATACCGCCGCAGTTTTTTCAAGAACATTCAATTAGGCTTCAGGCCAATAACAGAAGTAATGCTGAAATCCAACTGAGAAATAAGCTGGTCAAAAAATAATCTACAAATCAAAGAAATAACTATAATCTTCTGAAGATACATATGATAAAATTCAGCTCATCTATTTGAGGGGTACAACTCATATATGTGCGAGCAACGCAGGTCAGTTCTCTGGAGACATGCATTGCAATTTGCAAAACAAAATAAACAGTACATCCGCCAATGCCATTATATACACTGTCTATCTTCAAATTTTATAACTGAACAACTGGTATGTGCTAAAATTGAAATTCTTGCCGCTGGAAATCTCCACATCCCGACTTTTCTAAAGATAAAAGAAAATCCAGAGTTCATTGCAAAACAAATATATCTGATGGATGTCACTGATGCTAAAGTCCCAAACTAGTTTATGGCTTCTGCATTTCCTCTGCGGATAAAGTGCTGTTCAAGGGATTTGGAGCAACATCTGATTTCAAAGGCTTAGTGTCGCCAGCTTGATTGTTGACGGGGCTCTGTTCTATAAGCTCGTTTGACTTTTGATTTAACTTGAATGGCCTTTCAAAATCTTTAGCATTGCTGGTGTCAATGACTAATTTATTGAGTTTTTGCTCCTGCAAATGAACAATTAAAATTAATGGACAGAAAATACAGAAAGCAATATAAAGGCACAACTTGTCATTAGCTAGAGATGATAGTCTCCCTTCTATTTGCACTTTTGTCAAATTAAACTAAATGTTCAAAACACCATCAATTACATTTTGCAGTGCTTCTAGCTTTCGCTGTAGTGCCTCATGCTCAGCTTGGATACGGAATGGAACACCACGTTTCAGATAAACATTATTTTGGGCCAGGTCTTCGTCAATGTCACTGGCAGTAGTTGCAAAAGGATGATTTGCAGGAATCCATCTGATTGTATCAGGGTCAACATCAGGAGGTACAGAATCTCCTTCTTTAAGGAATATAGTTGGTCTCTTCCACTGGTATGCCCGCGACCTCCTTTTCTGATGGATAGCTTGTTCCTCTTTTGTAAGTGTAACTGGAGCTAAGCGATAAACTTTCCCACACATCTCCACAGTGGAATTGCTCTTACCAACTTTCACCAATGGATTATTGAATGGATCCTCATATTTGAGAGGCCTTGAGCTGTGAATAACAGGTTATAGGAAAAGCATTTCATTATTGTTGAATTTGAAAAACTTGACATTACTTGAAATGTGATTCTCAAAATACACAACATAGTAAAACAGAATGAAAAGAAGTTAACTTTATGCTAAATCCTTCTAGAGTCAAAAAAAAAAAAAAAAAAAACATTACTGAAATGTGATTCTCGAAAAATACTAACAAGCATCAGTACAAAGCCAGAATGAAAAGAAGTTAACTTTATGCTAAATCCTTCTAGAAGCTCAAAAAAAAAAAAAAAAAAAAAAAAAAAAAAAAAAAAAAAAGAAGAGAAGATAGATTGGAATCATACATACATGCCTCTTCTATCAGATCTTAATTGCCCACGTCTGACAAGATCAGCTACAGAGCCAGGACGGTTGTACCTTGACTTCCTCACCGCATATACTCTCACAGCAATGACCAGAAATGCAGTCACAAGGCATAACCAGATTATAAAATTACTTCCTCTAGCTTGCGTTCTCGTCTGAGACAAACAAGAAACTTTCTAGAAATAAATACACAGGCAAAATAATCTCAAAAATTATAAACTAGTTGGCACAAACTCCATACCACAAAAACAATGGGAGGGAAAGTGGAAATAGTTCCTTGTAATTTGGAAATGTGGTGTTTGAAATCCAAGGCAATATCTTTAGGGCCAGCCTTGATAACCCCATCTTGGGGACGTTGCTCGTCTTCAGCGCTTACAGAGTCATTAATGGCTCTCAATTGAAACAATGGATTGGTTACTGGTGGATTCCACCTGAGTTGGCCATGAGATAACACAAATTCTCTCCTAATTTCCACAAAATTTGGAGAAATCTGGTGCTTTGAAACCCAAATTGACGGCTATAATACAATCAAATTTTAGAAAACCAAAAGAAGCGAGAGCGAACTTTAAATGCAAAATGAAAGCAAAGAATTGGGATTACCTGAATGGAGAAGGAATGAAATTGAAGAGTCCGAGGTGATGATGCCATTTTGGGAATGGGAAACTCACAATCAGAGAGAAGGAATAGAAGAATTTGTGGAACTAGGTCTTTAGAATTACCGTTCTCCTCTTCTTCTAAACCAGTTTCTGCAAACGAAGCTGCTTCATGTTTCAGTCGGTCACTACGGAACGCCCTCAGATCCATCATTGGTTTTTAATATATTTATTTCCTAGACTCTACAACAATTGGATCCGTGGCGCAATGGTAGCGCGTCTGACTCCAGATCAGAAGGTTGCGTGTTCGATTCACGTCGGGTTCAATTCCCAAATCAACATATTTTTTAGGTGTAAAAAATTTTAAATTACAAATATTTTATTATTATATTTGAACTTGAATATCTAATTTTTTTTTTTTTTTTCATGAAACATAAATCTCTAAAAGAAAGATGAATATACGAGTAGTATTTTTGTTTTAAATATTTTTAATGAAGATGGAAAGATCAATCATTATTTTTGAAAGTTGAAGATTATTACTCTAATGCTTACTACTCATTAACAAGAAGTCAACTTAATGGTAAGGTTAATCGTTGGCATATTTCAAAAGTTAATTGAAGTTATTAACTCACAAATTAGTGAGTTAAGAGCATTATTTATAGTGGCATAAGTCAAATAGAAGTAATTGAGTTCAAATGGTTCATGCATATACTTCTATTATTCAATGTACCTTAGGATATTAGAGTATATATAATTGACTTCATATTTCATAAATAAAAATAGAAATATGTTTTTTTTACCATGTAACTATGATTCTAAATAAAGAGTTCAAAAATAGGAAAATTGGATGGCATGCTAGTTTTGAAATTCTTATTTGAGAAAAAAAAAAAAAAAAAATATTAAGTAGTATATATAATTGACTTCATAATTTTGAAATTACATATAAACAAATAGAAATTATCATAGTTTTTTTACATGTAATATGATTCTAATATAAAGAGTTCAAAATATGGGAAAATGGAATGGATAGCCTAGTTGAAATTCTTGGAGAATAGAAAATAACACCATAAGAATTAAGTTAAGATCGTAGATGGACTCGATTATTACACCAAAAAAAAAAAAAAAAAAGAATTAGAGAGTATTATTATTACACGAGGAATAGGATGAGTGGCTTCAAATCGATGTCCTCCACCCACCCACAGCCACCCTAGTTATACCACTCATATTTGCCTAATGGTCCTAAACTTTGATTAAATCTCAATTCATCATTTGGTCACTAACCCTAATTATTTATGGGTTTAATTTCTCCTCTCCCATCACTTTTTATTAGGGTTAGAGAATTAAAAAAGGTAATGTTACAATATCTATATATAAAAATTATAAATTTACTGCCACAAAAGGGCTATACCATTATGGAGTAATTTTAGTTATTATATTTGGAGTTGAGACCCAATGTTGTTTTTTTTTTATTAAGGATCATCCAATGAAATTGGATTATTCACTTATTCTTCTTCTTCTTCTAATGCTTTAGTTTGGTCATGGAAGCAAGAATTAATTAATTGAACGGTTCCGAAGAAAATGGAATGGAATAGAATAAAGAAAGGCTATAACCATGAAAGTGGACTAATCTTACCTTTTGTTAGGTCAGGGGTCTCAACGCAACAAAGAAGACGGCAGTTGTTTTTTTTTTTTTTTTTACGCAGAAGAGATCAAAAAATTAATGCGAAATGTAACTCTATGAATAAAGAAAGCGCTATATCCATCTTGATCATTGGAAAAAGTGTCGACTCAATTTCTCTACTAAACCTTTAGTGTCTTAGAAGGGCTCATGTTGGTGGTCACAATCCGGCAATGCAAAGATAGAATGAGCCGAGGTGTGGTTAGTTTCTTTTTCTTTCTTTTTTTTTGCAGGTGGGGAGTTAGCTTGTCGGTGGTTGATGGTGCCCCTGACACAATTAACCTATCTCCATTATAATATTCATAACTATTGCTTCTAGCCACTCAGTGACAAATTTTTAGCTCACGTTCACCCACTATAATGCCACTTGAATCTCTGGTGCTATACCGACTTCAAGATTCTGCCTTCACTCAAGACTTTTATTTGTTCATTACCTTTTCGAGGCAGATAAGCATTTTTTCCATATTTGGAAGATTTCAGTACCACCTATACCACTACTGCATTCTCGACACATTAAGAGGTCTTATTCTTTTTGTATTTTTTTTATCATCTCACTATCTCGCTCAATTGTGTACCTTAACTCTCAGAATCAACTAGTTCTGTTGTTTCCCGCGTGTGTGTGGTTGGTTCAGATATATTTACTCTCCATAGCTTACTTTCTGAACATAGTCTTTGATTCACAGAATTCTTCACTATCCATAGCAATTCTCAATCCTTTCAAGTTGTAAAGAATAAAAATGAACAACCCGTTCCCGCGTGAATCGAGTTATTATCCATTGGATGACACCTGACACACATGATATGAGACCACGTGAGATAACGTAGAAATTCATTATCGTAATGATTGTGTGGGTCAATTGTCAGGACTCTACCTCAAAAAATGATCTTAACCCTCTTATGTGTGTGGCTGTTTTTTTTTTTTTTTTTTAGCAGGTGGGGGATTAGCTTGGAATTGTGGCCTTCAAATATATTTTATAAATTCAAGCATCTAGCCCATGTGCTAATTTTAGCACTACCAACTATATGCACTTGCCATCTCTGGTCTTCCAACAAGATCAGCTCACTACTTTTTTCTTTCGGAGATAAATTTTTCCTTTTGGAGAATCAAGACCTTCCATACCTCTCAATTAAGTCTTTTTTTTGTTTTTTTACACTATTTACTACTAGTATTTGTTGTTTTCGGTGTTTGGTTCAGATAATATTTTGCTATTGCTCAATAATTGATCTAATCCTTTCAGTTAAAGTAAAATGAAAACGTCCGGTCAAGTCATTTCCACTGGAGCACTACAGAAAGACAGCTTAAATACGAAATCATTTGTCAACGCAAAAATCAACTGGTGGCTGCTCAACCCAGTGACAACTGACCCACCTCTGCTGGATACATCTCCTGCCGTTGGTTGGCTAGTTCAGCTGCCTGCCTTCGGTGGTCCATTCCTATCTAAATCTAATTATCTGTCACTCTTAATTAAAAATTACCATCTAAAATACAACAATTAAGGGATATGGACATCAATCCAAAAGCTGAGAAGGATGGGTCAGCCATGGAGACAAAAAGTATCTCCATCGCTACCAGTAATTATCAATCCAAGAGAAATTGCCCATCTCTCCATTCATCGTACTTCTTCGCAGTTAAATTACCTCAACTTCGGCACCTAGCCACACCACAAAACTTGGGTGAGATGATTGAAATGTTTGTTACCTAATCACTATCAGAACACCATTAATCACTGTAATTAATTTTAATTATGTGTTTTACTTGCTAGATTACCGACTTTTATACAACATTACTACATACATAAACAGAAATTGTGCTCATCTTCCTTTGTATGTAACTCTAATTCCTGCTGTTAATTAAAGAAGTAGGTGAGAAAAGCTAGGGCAAGAACCTATTGGCATCATCTTCTCTTTCTTTCAATCTTGCCTCGCTTTCAGCTCCGCTGCTGGAACTTGCCGGCAAACCGCCGCACTTTTGACACCTAGCCACCACCAAAATCTGACGGCATGATGGACAGGACGAGTGAGACCCCAGCCACGTGTCGATACAGTTCACGTGGAATCCGTGACCGCACTGAGGCAACACTCGGATTTCATCTCCGGCTGTAAATTCCGCCAGACAAATGGCGCAATCGGAGAATTTGGCGGTGAAATCAGCAGAGAAAGTCTCTTTAGGAAGTGACCGGAGTACCTTCTTCTTCAGACCTTTGTTTGCAGATGAAGGAAGAGAAGGCGGAGGCGGAGTTTGCGAATTAGCCGTAGAGGAAAGCCGACGAAGCCAGCCGCAGCGGGCCACGGCTATGAGTCCGAGAACACAAATCAAAGCGCAGAGAAGTGCAGCTAGTATGACCACGAAGTCTGAGTCCAAAGCTGCTGGTGGCTCCGACGAGTCCGTGTTGGCCGTTGTGGTGGTCGCCGACGGATTTCCGGCGCCAAGGAACCTGAAGGAACGAGTCATGTGAGGAAAGAGAGAGAGGATGAGAAGTTTTGCGCAGTGTGTGGGGCGGTTGGTGTTGTGTGTTGAACGTTATTTTGATCTCGGAATCATAATGATTTGGGTGGTTTTATAATAAAGGAATCTATTGGCCTCCAATTTTAATTATAAAAATTATTTATTTCTCTAATTACCATATTTGACCTTATTCTTTTTCCTAAATTAATAAAGATAATTACTAATTAATATCGTATTTATATTTGCTATGGAAAAGAGAAGCGTGTTGACTACCCTACTGTAATTAAATTAATTGCTTTTTAAATTAATCAAAAGTTAATTATCTGTCAATTACCAGATGACATGGCGCCAAAAAAAAAAAAAAAAAAAAAAAAGCATTCGCACTTCCTCGCGCAACTCCATTTCATATATTGTGTGCGGGTGGTTTTTTCATATAATAAAGGAACTCTTTAATTTCGAGCCTCTCCACGCACTCTATAATAAATTAATCATAGTAAATCATCTATTATTCTTATCCTAATTACCCTAATAATTGCTTTGACCTTGAATCGCTTCTCTTCTCCCTTAAAATTATTGGGAGGATAACGATATTGAAATATCTGCTTATTATTTGAAATTGTCAATCAGTTCGTTAATTCTCATTGCACGCTCTTATTGTAGAAACTAAAAGAGAAGAAAGCCGCTGTAGGTGACCAATACCTCACATTCATCTTGGACCCCACTGTAATTTGTAAATAGTTATTTTAATTTCTCCGTTTCTTTTACAATTAATATCAAAAGTTAACATTTAAATCTGTCAAGCTTACCCTAGATGACATTGGGCGGCCCAAAAGAAAAAAAAAAATATTAAAAAAAACTAATAAGTTGATTCCTCTTCTAAGTTGGAATTGTCCGTGAACTGTACTTGTTACTCAGAAAAACATACAGCGAATAAACAATAACAAAACACTATACATGGTTCGCCATGCTTTGCTTTGCCCTATCTTTACTTAGGTTCATTCTGTGAGGATCAACGACTTGGTTACACGCTTTTCCTTCTCTTCATTTCTTTATTTGTTTCTTAGATGATGTAGTATAACTATTATGCCAATCATTTTTCCTCTTAAAATTTACTCTCACACACTCACTCTCCAAATACACTACAGAGCTTTTAGGAATATAGCCAACATATACTTATATTATATGTGCTTTGGTGTATTGAACCCTTACTCGAGAGTGGGGTCTACTCGGGCTCTTCATTAGAGAGTACAAAAACTTATAAGAAAGATAGATCAATAATTTTTATTCGAAAATAAACTATACAAATACAAGATATTTCTAATTTTAATTAACAGGAACGAGATAAAAATATCATTTAAGGATATGTATCAGATTGTTTCGACCGTCCAAGCAAGTCAATAATGATGTTTAGTCCCGAACCATATATAGTGGTGTAAATTAAAGTAATAAGAAGGTGGGTATTCTCCACTATTTAGTGCTTATCCATTAGGTAATTAGGTACGAGTATCTATCCTTATTAAATAACAACAAGAAAGCAATGGATACAAATTTTATTGGAATGTTTCTATATCTTTTAAAGAGTTAAAAAAAAAAAAAAAAAAAAAAAAAGTTAATCCTCTAACCTTGGATTTCCTAATCCTGCCAGAAAAAGCGAAAACATAACAAAATCCTCATGCATCCTTTACTTAGTCATGAATCAAGACTCCCTTTCCTTTTCCTTTCTTTTTGTTCTTTAGATGATGTAGATAACTATTCCATCTTTTTCCTCTTAAAATTACTTAACTCTTCAATAATAACGATTCAAAATTTTAAATTCTTGGTGACTTATCGAGTGGACGGGCCTCTTCATGGATCAAACTATAAAAAATAAATTTTTATTGAAACAAAGATATTTCTATTTATACACTCGAAAAACTCATAGGTATGTAGATCCGGTCCAAGCAAGTCTAATCCGACTTTAAATGTAAAACTAGTATAAGAATGTAATCCACTTGTGCTTATCCAATTAGGTAATTATACGAGTATCTATCCTTATTAATAACAACAAGAAAGCAATGGATACAAATTTATTGGAATGTTTATATCTTTTAAAGAGTTGGTGGAGACAATAAAAAACAAAAATCTTGAGTCTTGATTGAAATTCCCTTGAATGAATATGCTAGAGGCAATATTGATGAAGTACAATTTAGTAGCAAATAAAGCCATAATGATTCGCTTGACCTCTTCCTTTGTTTTTCAATGACCACCATGGCAAGATGCTTATAGTTAAAGGGCATTTTACATTTTTTTATGATGTAACAGAGATTCTGAAAACAATAACTGGAAAGGTTAATTCTACAAACTAAAACCTAAAATCTAATGGAAGATAGAACTAAAGATTTCTCAGCAGCCAATGAAAGTGAAAAGTCGATCAAAAGAATTTTTTGAAAAGAGAAGTTCCAACAGGAGCAAACATTCTAAGATTCTGAAACAGAGCTTTCAAGCTTGAATTCATGGCCACCGACTTTTCCAAATCGACCCGTAACTTTAGTAGGAGTAGCTAGACTCGCGACACGTGTCAACCATGGCATGAAAATCGTGAGCCTCAAGGAGCTAGAACAAATATTAGTAATCTCTCTGTAAGGACATACTTGTTGTGCTTGTAACTTTTATGGTAGACACAGGCCAACTACCATGTGGCGTGGCCCATGTGAAGTGCTACCAAGTCAGGTTTGTCCTTTCAAACCACTAAACTAAACTTATTATTATTATTCTAATCTGAAAGTTGTTCATTTGATTCTATTGCTAATATTTCCTAATTTGGTTATTAGATTAAATAAGTAGATAGCACTATCCTAGTAATTGTTTATTTAGTTTGGGTAATGGTTTAATTTTTGTCAAGGGTGTATATATGCACATATATTGATTTATCTATTTATATTGGTAGGTGAAGAAGATAATGATAATCACACTTACTTTATATTATGGTTTGTTTTAGTTACAATTGGAACCTTCACTTGTTTTTCCAATAATAGTACAATCACAAACAGATTGATGAAGGGCCTAAATGCATTGGAACCTCCAGCTTCAATGGTCTTGTCTGGTTTACTTGACCATTGCCCATATTTCCAAGTGGGTGGACAATATCAAGTTTCGTCATGGCCCTATTCGCTACTATACTTGATGCAACTCCAATTTAATCGACAGGTATGGTTTGAGTTAGGTGCTGAGCAGTGCATATAAAAATGTTGAATATGAAAAGTAAATGACGTTCATTATTTGAATATTTGAAGCAATAACCTGAGGTTTAACATTAACAAGGGGTGCAAAAAGCATTGTTCATAGGTAATTCAAAAATTAATCATTGTTCTGTCAAAATCACTCAGCAGCAACAGCAACATTTTCCTCGGAAAACTTCGGTGAATTGACATAAACTAACTCATTTTGTACCTGACATTTCATGCCTGCAACCAGCAATGTGGAATCTTGGTCAACAAAAATAATAGACGTCAGTATATTATTTCAAGTAGGCAGCAGTAGCATCTAGTAAAAAGTGATTGAAACTAAAAGAATATATTTACAGGAAAAATCTGTGCTGAGAAACAAATAAAATCAAGGAATTTGATTTCATATCCACCAAGTGATGGTAACCAAAATTTGTCAAGCACAAAGTTGTTTCTTCTTGGGCCGTTACAGTAATCGGGGTGACCACCTTTGTATTTCAAAACATTCAAAAACTCTAGCAGTTAGGGTAATAGGATCATATATTGATAGCTTTAATTATAAATGTAATGCTGAGTGGTCAATAGATGCTGATGGGTCATTCATGATGTCAACAGGTGTTGAGGTGTCATTCATGCAAATGAGATATAAGGAGTGTCATGTGCTCAGATGTAAAGTGTGAATTTTACAATCAATAATATCTCTTACTCTTTTCTCTCTCCTCATTTCTTCTGCTCTCTCTTTTCTAAATCTTTTCTCCTTGTTTCTTCCTCTTTCTCTCTCTTTCCCTTGCTTTTGTTCTATTTTCTCACCTTCCACACTCAGTTAGGCTCTAGATGACCACTGAGCCTAACAGTTTCATATTTTGCAATAAGGCTGTCACAACACTACTTACTATTCATTTTCACATTCCATGTATATGCTGTACTAGTGTTTGCATATCCATGCCGGTCCAGCTAGTTTGGGCAGCTCCCATAATCATCAGAATTTAAGGGAATTCTGTATTTAGCTAAACATAACATCAGAGGGGCAACTATACATGAATAAGCATTACTGCATTCCTAAATGGTCCAGTTAAAATATGAGCTGACAGTTAGGACATGATAAGTTGGGAATTAGGGGCCCTCGATACAGTGGCTTATGTTTATTCTGTAATTTCCCAGCATCTACCAGAATTGAATAATAAACGAAATCAGCATTATGCAATAGCATGTCTCACCTCCGAAGGAGTATGCGAAATCCACTCACAAATCAAATCTCACATTCCATCTACCATTCATGTCAGCATTGACAGTCCAATTGTTTTCCCTAATCTGCAGATAAGGCACCTGAAAGGCGGAAAAAGAATTAACAAAGAGCAGCAGAAGAAAGTTAACATTAAATTCAGTATAGAATGACAAGGTTGAAAATGGGTTTGGCTATGCCACAATGTCCAAGGTACTAACTACTAACTACCGAGGATAGTTTGCACCATCTTGAATTGTCACCATAAAAAAAATATGACAATAATTCATCACAATAGATTGTCATAATTCATAATAAACAGAACGCCAGATGTACAACCAGAAGATGAATTCCACCTTCCACATAAAAATTTCTAAAATGGAAGACTGCAATATAATTCTGTAGTTTTGTTGTCATTTTCATCTTATTTTTATAGAGTGAGAGATCAAAATTCATAGTGAACACCTGCAATGACATATGCCAAGCAAGGTGTGCAAAGAGAATCATGAAATAAACAACATAGTGGAAAATAAAACATGATATCTACACATCATCCATAAAGGTATTTATACCTTTTCAGTCACTTCATATCCAACTTTCAATCTAACATCTTGGTCTTTCTGAAAATTAAAAATACTCCAAGAAAATTCTGCAGCTCCTTTTGACTTCCTCTGTCAACATATCAGAAGATATTAGTTGCAATAGTGAACCTAGAAATACAGATTCGATAACTTTTAGTTATCATTTCACCTAGCAATTTTATTTTTTAAAGAAGTAATTTTAATTCCATTAAGCTTACAAAAGATTGAAATTAAAAACAATTAAGTCACAGACACAGGTCAGGCAAAAATTTTGGAGCATTGCACCAAACCTCATATACCAACTACAGTTCCAAGAAGGGCCCAAAGAAAAGACTAACCTCTTTAAATTCTTTGTCAATATTGCACCACCCCTTTATATTGAAGGTTAAAAAACCATCACTCGTTACATTAAAGGCTTTTTTTCCACGTATTCTGTATGTGAGCTTCTCATATTTATCATAGTGCAATCCCATGCCAAGGCTGGCTGATGACTATCATCCATTAACAAAATATATTAGTATATACTTTACAAGAAGATTTACAGTTGCCTAATGAGAATGCACATGATAGTGGTAATAGTAAAAATGAAGGGAAAGAGAAGAACATACCTCTGGATAGAAGCGTCTTATCATTGCACTAACATAAGTTGGCGCTCCAATTCTCGTATCTAGCTCTCCATGAACCTAAAGCCAATTGAAGTTAAAACATTCCACGCTTGATGCTATAATCAATGGAAAATTTCCAAACAAACAGGCTAACCACTTCAAAAATTAAAAGACGGTTATAAATCTACCTTTCACAACACAGAATTTCAAGGCTTTGCACAGATTCAAGCAATTTTAACATGCAACTAAACTCATAATCAAGCATTAAAATTTCAATCAATAATCTGCAGGTCAATCAGCAGGTAAAAAACAGAGTTGAAGCATGCACATACAAGAAGAAGCAGAAGTGTTGGAGAAATGAAATCACCTGCAGATGAGTTTTAGAATCGAGAGGTAACTTCTCCTTGGCATGGATTCTGAGAGCTTTGTAGTCTCCTCCGTATCTTAGAGACGTCTCCATTGTTTCGTATATGCCTAATTACAATCCCAAAGACGGCGACACCAAAAACCCTATATCAATCGGTGTGGTTGCTCTTCGCAGCAGAAATTTCCGGTCGTTGTGTAGCTGTGTACCTGCTTCGCTCTGTTATCTTCGAGCTGCGGCTAATAGTAAAACCGAGCTTTGTTGTATTGGGCCAGATTTATAGCGGTTGGACCAAGCCCAACCTAGCCCAACTTCTTCTTTTGGAAGCCCATTTCCCACTGACAGAGGCAGACTAACAAAATAGGTAACTGGTAAATCCGTCTCCATTCTCCTTCAGTTAACGAAGCCAAGCTAGTGAGAGAGACGATCGTCTGATGGGAGATAACAACGGAATGATGGGGCTTTGGTTCAGGTTTAATGCACTTGTATTAGCGATTGCCATACTCTCAACTCCTGTATTCTCCGATCTAATAATATCCAAGGTCGATCGACGTGTAAGTTCCTTTCTTTCATTTTCGTCTCTCTCTAATTGCTATGCAAATCTTGTCTTCGTCTCTCTGCGGTAAATTGTTTGCACTTTATTTTCTGCCAAAATTGAGTTCTTTTTCTCCATTTTGAGCTAAAATGCTTCGAGCAAGTAGAGATCTTGTTCATTTTCTTTTGATTTTCATAATTTAATTGTGAGTATATTTGTTGTGGAGGAAATGAGATAATGAAATTTGAGCCATAAGAGTTGTATTAGGATAGGGAGAGCTGGGTAGTGAACAAATATCCATATATTTTTTTCAGCTTCTCGTGAGTTTTTATTTTTTTTATTTTTTTATTTTTTTTTGCTGAGATTCACTTAAAAACTTTTAACTTTCATCAGAAACATGCATTTCTATCACCTATCTAATTCTTGATTGAAATTTATTGTTCATTGCTGTATTTTCTTATTGCTGTCTCTCATTCTTGTTTCTAACCCTAATCTTGATACTGTGTTGCAGATTGATTTGACTTCACAAATTGTACGAGTTGCTTCAACCCTAAAGGTGCTTGAATGATGTCCTGTATGTGTTTGTTTGATTTTTTACTAATAACTCTTAAGAGGACTATGTTTTGACTTTGAAGGCAGAAATTGATACTTTTTCTTTTAATTATTTTATTTATTCATGTTAGTTTGCTTTCTGCAAGTGAGAATTCTTTCTCATGAATGTGAATTTTTTTTACTAAAAAAATATTCTAGCACATTTAATTTTATGACCATATTTGATTCTTCAGGTAGAGAATGCTGGTCCTGGTTTGGTTTCAGAGTTTTTGCTGGCCTTTCCTGAGGTTCAGGCAAAAAATTTGGCATATTTGATGGCATCAACTACTGAAGGAAAAGGGAAAATGAAAAACTCTGGTATTCCTCTTTCTGTTGAAGTTGCCAATCCGAAAGCAATGCCTCCTGGATTGAATTTTTATTCTGTATTACTGCCTAAGGCACTAGGCGAGGGGGATACATTGACTTTGGATGTCTTGGCAGTATTTACCCATGCATTGAAGCCCTTTCCTGAGAAAATTACCCAGGCTGATATTCAGTTGGTATTGTTCCAAGATAGTGCATACTATCTTTCTCCTTATGCAGTAAAGTTTCAGTCACTCAGTGTTAAACTACCTGGGGCTAGAATAGAGTCTTATTCAAAAATTGAGAATACAAAGTTGCATGGCTCAGAGATCAAATATGGTCCATATGAAAATCTCCCGCCTTTCTCATACTCACCTGTAGTTGTGCATTTTGAAGCCAATCAACCATTCACTGTTGCTCAGGAGTTGGTACGAGAAATAGAAGTTTCTCACTGGGGCAATGTACAGGTCACAGAACATTACAATATTGTCCATGAAGGGGCTAAAAGCAAGGGTGAATTTTCCAGGTCAGTATTTGTTCTTTATGGTTGTGTGTTGTGTAGGTAATTCCTATTGAGTTTGATCCTGATCTGTTTCCTTAATTTTTGTAGGCTTGACTACCAGGCCAGAGCAACTATGGGAGGTGCATCAGCCATAAAACATCTAGTTGCAAAATTGCCTCCGAGAGCTCATTCCATTTATTATAGGGATGAAATTGGGAATATATCAACATCTCATTTGTTTTCTGATTCCAAAAAGGTACATCTTTTTAATTTAATTAGATTTCGTTAGTTGTTGATTCTGATTGAGGTACCCTTTTGATTGCAGATAGAGCTATTGATTGAACCTAGATATCCTATGTTTGGTGGTTGGAGAACAACTTTTACTATTGGATACAGTTTGCCACTTCAGGACTTTTTGTTTGAGGCAGAGGGAAAACGTTTCCTGAACATCTCTTTTGCTTCCCCCATTAATGAGCTGGTCATTGATAATCTCATTGTGAAGGTTTATTATGCAGTGATCATCTTGTTTTTAGTTTATATATATAAACATATGCTTATTAGTTGCAATTCTGTGATTTACAAGAGTGCTGTTTCCTGGCATTCCTGACCCAGTATTTGGTTGCAGGTTGTTTTACCTGAGGGGTCTACAGATTTATCTGTTTCTACCCCATTTCCCGTAAAGCAACAGCAAGAGGTATCACAGGGCTGTGAAGCCTTGTTTCTCCCTTTGTATTCTTAAAATCATTTTGTGTTTAATCAATTGTTACCTTTTCTTCTATAAAAATTGCTATTTAACTGTGAGTGTGGTTTATTGCAGACCAAAATTTCCCACTTGGACATTGTTGGTAGGCCAGTAGTAGTGCTTGAAAAGGTCAATGTTGTTCCAGAGCATAATCAATACTTTCAGGTATTAGTTCTTTTGCCTCTTTAAATTTAATGAACAGCATTTACGTAATAGTTAATTGAATAAATATCTTAACAATTGTCCCAAAAACTTTAGAAAGTAAACAAGTTGCTCCATACCATCTTTCATGAGTTTCATGCAATTTGCATGGTAACTTCCATTCGTATGAATATTGAGAATTTCCTGCTCTGATATTTGCAGGTCTATTACAGGTTCAACAAACTCTTGATGCTTCAAGAGCCATTTATGTTGATTTCTGGATTTTTCCTCTTTTTTGTTGCTTGCATTGTATATGTTCATGTTGACTTGTCAATCTCCAAGTCTTCTGCTTCTTATTTGGCAAAACTGCAGTGGGATGAGGTAAGTAGGATAGTTTCATATCAGAGTCATAGTCTGTATCATTTCTTTATTTATGGATAAGAAAGCCTAAACATATGTAACTTCATTTCTTTTTTTCCAGGTGCGAGCAACAGTTCAGCAGGTTGAGAGTATCATTAACCAATGTCTAGCAACACATGAGAAGCTAGAAGCATCATTACGTGATCTTTCTAGGATAGGTGATGTCCAAGCTTGTAAAACTGCTCGTAAGACAGCTGATGTTTCGTTGAAAGAGCATTCGAAAGAGCTCAAGCCATTATTAGCATTCTTGCAATCTTCTCCTACAGCTGCTCATATATTGCCCAAGGTTCATTTGCTGTTTACTCATTATAGATTGTTGCAGACGATACATCTTTGATGCTTGGAATTTATCTCAATAACATATTCTATCTGAATTAGCATAGCTAAAAAACAGATTAAACCATCAACTGACATGAGTTGTTACTTGAAAGAATGATGTTTGCTGTAGCGTGCTCAGTGCACACCAAAGCTAATTTTATACTACCATCCTATACTCTTTCTACAATCATTTCCTGATAACTGATCCGTAATGTCTGTTATACAGGTAGAGGAGCTGGTGGCTAAGGAGAGAGAATTACAAGAGAGGTTGATGGCAAAACATTCAACAGTAGTGGACTGCTATGAGAAGAAACTGGGGGGGCGGGACATTGAGAATAGGGTTGCCCCACTCCAGCAGAAAGTTGTAGCCTTGAGGCAGGAGGTTGAAGATCTTCTAGACTACATCAATGAGATATAAATTAAAATGAGTGAAGTGGCTGAGTTTCAAGATAAGAATTTTGGTTTTTATGTTGAGTTAATATTTGACTTGCTAACTGCAATTTCCTGTGGTTATTGCATGATAGATTGGCATTTTGTAGTTCAGTTGAGGAGAATAGAGCTTAATTAGGGCCAAAAACAAACTGTGATACGGTGAAAAAATGGCTTGTGAACGAGCTCCTTAATGCCTATTTGTGAAATGAGAAGAAAGGATTTTGTTTTATAACGGTTATGATATTTGTTTCGAATAAAGCCGCTTGGTTTGAAACTTGATATAACAATATGGGAATGATTCTACGACATGTCATTTCCACACACTCGGCAAGTCGCTTCAATTAATGAAGTACTTGTTCTACGTATTTCCCTATTGTTTTCTGCAGTAGGAGGCTCGGCAGGAAACAAGGAAACGAAGAAAAGGCCCTGGATGTGGGTCGAAAGCCCAGATATAACTCATTTTGTCAAATTTTTCCTTTTAATAGAAAAATCATCTGGAAAATTAAATATCTAGTAGAATATGTATATTTGTTTTGAAACAATAGGTGAAGACTGAACACATCCCCCAGAAGTAAACAAATAAATTTGTAAAAATTCATCATGTAATAGCAGAAGTAACAAACAACAATGTGCTTCTCCAAATCAAATTGGAAGTAATATGGACTTGGCTAGTGGACAGGTTAGGCCTATGGGGAAAGAAGAAATGCTCTTCCAAATGAATCGTTAAGCTAGATGCACTTTTCCACAGCAGAAGCAAAAATTCATTTTACCATGATGAGATGTTCTTCTTGCAACCATACCAAATATGAGCTCTCACTTCTCTTCAGGTGGCAGTACTTGCAAAAGCTCAAGATTCAGCTCGAATGTAGCTCCTGGCTGCATTACAGATGAAATAATTTGACCATTTTGTCCCAAATATTATCTATGATTAACAAAATATTAGGAATTTGACCAACTATATCTGTAGGAGTAGGACTTTACTGGGATTTCATTCATTCCCTTTTGGCCATACCCAGCCTCAGGAGGAACAATAACAGTCCTCTGCAAAGAGGAGAAAATTTTTCAATGTAAGAAAAGATAAGAGAAATTAATAACATAAAACAAAAAAATCTCCTGCTGTTTGGGCATATAATTACAAAGAAAGAAGAGCATGCTACCACCTTTCCTCCAACTTTCATTCCTTCTGTTACTGAGTACAGAGCAGCTGGTGGTTTTGGTGCAGCCTGTGCAGAAAACAGACCATTTGGGTTGTCTACAAATTCTCGCTTCCTTTCTTTGCCTGGAGGTGCTCCAACTTTAAACTCGTATGGCTAAGTAATAAAGCACGACAAGATGAGCATCGGTTAAGTACTCATACTATCATATGACTGAACAAAATTTTTCATCAAAGAAGCATTTGGATGATTGACAGTAGAATATAGCCTGAGATTAGGAGATGCAAGTAGGCAGTTCTTGTCTGGATGTGTAAGATCATACATCGCAAAAGTAAAGATTTCATATGTGAAAAGGATATAATAACCTGTGCAATTATACGGTTACCAGCCAAAAGTTTAGATTCTCTACTCGACACAGCAGTTATACCCTTATATAAGCAATCAAAGTGCACCTGCAGGCAGTTAAAACTGAAATTTAAAGGAGAGAACAAAAGAAAAAGCAAGTTAATTTCAGTTTCGACAGTAATTAACCTCAACTGTTGATCCTTTTTCAGCCACTGGACCCTTCCCCTCAACAACATCATAATATTTTAACCCATTAGCTGTAAATTCAATATAAACAAAGCAAAAGGAAATGTTAGTTTTAAACAGACTGCATCAGTGCCACCAAAACTTCATCACTCGTTGATTGTCTAGTGGAAAATTTAAATGAGCTGCAGTTTGTATGCAGCTGAGCTTCTGTTTGAATTCTCTCTTCCTAATAATGTACCCTCTTCTCTTTAGTCTTGTATATTTATAATTGTCTTGTTCAACTGAATCTAGTCTGTGCCACTTGCATTCAATTTGAAATACTACAGAACCATCAAGCAGGTACATTGAGAAAAAACTTGATAAATAGATGATATTATTCTACCTATTAGAGAAATTGTATTATCACTACTCTTGAGTTCCAAAAATTACAATCCTTTCAGCGACCAAAAAATTAAATTAAATTAAAAGCAAAACGTCAAGCAACCACAGAAATCCAAAAATCTTCTAATGTCAATATGAATTGTGCCAACATTTTAAACCAAAGCAAACAAATTTCCAAATTTGCCTGCCATGATTTTGAACCAAGCCAACCATAACATCACTCAGACGGAGGTGATCCAAATAAATGAAAGATTAAAGAATAAGAGAGAACTGAATAACTAACGAGCAGTGAGATAGTCTTCAAGGGGGATGACCTTCCTGTTGCGTCTTTCTCTGGCCTCTGATAACTGAGGTAGGGAAATGAGGCTAAAGGGCAACGAAGATATCAAAATTGCACATCTTCTCGAAGTGGGTATTGAAAGAAGAATGTGATTTGAAGGTTCAAAGCTTTGTTTTTTTGTGGATTTTGAAATAATTTGGAGATGATTAACGGTCCATCTGTCTAAGCTCCTCATAGTCATACAAGCCATGGCCTCCGGCATCCAAATGCCTATACAACAGAAGTTATTACAATCCACCCACGTTATCTCTATCCATTCTTATCAATGTAATTACAATTATACCCCCATTTATAGGTTCTTCAGTATACTCTCTATCCAAGAATTGAAAAGAAATAAAACTAGTAAATTGATGTGCAGAGTGTTTGGTTTAAATGAATTCTGATTTGAATTCTCTAAGAATTGCAATTCCTGTGTTCAGAAATGAAACAATTTAAAATGCAGAGTTTAATTGAGAATACTTAACAACTATATGAATTAATTGTATGTTTTATGAGTAATTTTACAAAATGTACCTAACAAGGATTAATAATCAGAGTACATACATTTTTTTGGTTTTTTTTGCCTTTTTCTCAGGTAGTGTAAGTCAGTTTGTGACTGTCAAATAATGTTACAGTCAATAACCACTCTTGACTATGAAACAAAAACTACATTGGAACCAGCTAAAGATGTCTTTCTTAAAAGTAACCTAAAACATTAGCATTTTCAATCACATATTTTGGCAATGAAAATGATGAAGTTATAGTAGATTAGGTTGACTACTAGGTTGTTGTTGATCTCCATTGAGATCCACAGTTGCCGTGATATTTGCCGTCTGAGGGCCACTTTGGTGTATTTGAACATCAGTCAATTCACGATCTACAGGGTGAGCTCCTTCATGAGCAGGGGAATGCACCGGAGAATCGCCGGGGCTTCCACCTAGAGTCCTAGTACGGCGATGGTGATCATGCTTATCCCCTGTCTTTTTCTTGACAGCACTTTTGTGCCACTGCTTTAAGGCCTTTGAAGTTTGTTGATCAAAGATTGATCGCTTCATTGTTGATCCCATCTAAAATTTTTCAAAAAAGAAACTAAAAACTCAATCTTTGAAAAAAATTACATAAATTCTGCACAAGGTTATATCCATACCTGAGTAACAAGAGCATAGAGTGGAAGTGTGCTGTAGCTGCAGAGAAATTGGGCTCCAAAACTGTTACATTATAACATTCAATTTAAGTATAAATTCTAAGTGTCCATTGGCAAATTATCAGGAATATGAATTACCCGAGAGCGACTCTTGAGTATATAAGAGTTAAATCCTCATGAAAACATGAGTTCAGTCCGAACTCGTACTGCAACATGAGAAAGAATAATAAGACTCCACTAAGAATGTTGAGGGAACAAAAAAAAACAATATGGGAAGAGAGTACTAGCTAATTACCCATATCCAGAAGAAATATGTTAGTTCAAATGCATTCTGCAGAAAAATTTGTGCAAACAGTTTGTCAGAAGGGCAAAGCCTCAAATGTTAGTTCTGCTTAATTATATATTCGTAAATACCTGAAACAGGACAAAATGGATGAGGTAAAGGACTAGTTGAGGCCAACTAAACCAAAAATGCCTATCGGTGACCTTCACAAGTGGTATTCCTTGGACTACAGCATGTCTTTCTGTAATTTCAAGTGCCATTTCATTTATAATTGCTTGAAGCTTTGTTCCAACTGATAAGATTACCTTTCAACCAAAATTAAGCACAATTAATCTTTCATCTTATAAAATATTAAGCAACATCACCAATGAATCTTTTGTGGCAAATTTCTTACAAATATAGGCATCAAAGAAACCCAGTACATGACCCACCATCCTGAGGAAAAAATCAATTAACATCATCACACCCTGCTCAAATCCAAATGCAGAACATGGAAACTAACTGAAATGGTAAAAGGAACTGAAAAGGACTAACCATGAACATTGAAAAGCAGAAAGAACACCACAGAGGCCCAGAGTAGCGGACTGCCAGAAGCACACAAAAGTAACAATAATAATTGAGACATAGTTTAAATGGAATGAAGGATTACATGCTAACTACAGTTACATATTTAAAAAATGAACAAAGAAAATGTTTCATTTCTTTTACCTGATTCCGACAACGACCTTGAAGTCATCTTCTAATGACCTTTTGATGTACTTTTGGAAGTCAAACTTAGTTCCAGGCGCTAAATGAACCTTTTGAGTATAATTCAGTTAATTGATGAATGATAAAAAGTTGAAAACACAATACTGAAATCTTTACAATCGTTGAAACTCACGGAAATGAACCCATGTCGCATGGTCAAGTAGTCAGCTCTCTTAACAGATCTACGGAATTGTTGAAAGAAGCATACCTGGAACAGATCAAAATGAAAATACTAGAGCTATGTCTTGACTAATACAATGGTTTTCCACCAATATTTGTATGTGAATGAAAATGAAAAAGGAAAGGTCAGTGACAACTTCCTTACAATGTAAAAGAGGGCTGGCGTTTTCGTCCAGAAATTTGTGTGGTCTTTCACAAAAGATGTCTCGTGTGTGAGCCTGAATCTTGTTGGATCTGCAGCACAATTACCAAATTCCCAATTCATCACTAGAAAAATTAGAACCACTCTTGATGACTTGAACAGCATTAAACTATGGATAAGCAGTGCAAGCTTCAAGCAGGAGTGAAAAGAACTACATTAACATCCAATAAAAGTACCATTCATAGCTTCGTGTTCCTTGATACACTGACGTTCCCACTCCTTCCATCCACGAATCTGCACAAAAGGAACTCGTAATTCTTGCATTCTGCTACTCCATTTATAATAGGTCAAATAAAAGAAAAGATTAAAAGAAAGGAAACAAAAAAATTATTCGAGAAAATCCAAAGCGTTATGCTACCTTTAATCTTCCAAGCGTCATAGTTGCGCAACTGTAGAACACATGGAAACATGCTAAGAAGAATATGAAGATGTGCAACTGGTGCAGTCCGTTCAAAGATATAAGTGGTACATATCCCTGAAAATAACACATTCAACAATCATCAGAAATTACTTAACAAGTCATCTAAAAGAATTATAACTGCTCTTTATATAAAATTCTGCGGAACTTTCATATGATCTAAAGGTAAAACAATGGAAAAAAAAACCTTCAAGAATTTTTGTTAATGTTTTATTTGGATAAACATTAATTTCAGTTTTCATTAGCAATTTGGTAACCTTTGGGTTGCCACTCAACTTCCATCGTGCTACTGGTTCAATTTATTTATTATCACATCCTAGCAAGATAAACTTAATTACCGGTCCGCAGCCTACAGAATTGCCGCCGCCACCTAAAAATCTGCGTTCATGCCATAGAAGCCTGCGGTGATGATGTGCTTCCTCCGTAGTGAGAAGATCATGGTGATCATGACCATGATCATGATCATCGTGAACATGATCATCGTGAACTTTTTTGGGGCAAGGCAACATAGTATTCGCATATCTTTCCTTGATGCACATTCCGGCAATGTAGCTCTGACTGAATGTCAGGAGCAAAGATATAAATCCTAAAACCATAAGCTCTGCACAAATAACCAGAAAATGGGTATTGATCAGTTGGAACTCACATATAGTCTGAATCAAATACTAACTAGAACGGAGAAAAATGAGAAGTTTACCGGCTTTAACTTTCTCAAGTGCTTCATACAGAGCTTTCTTGTGTCTTTCTTGAAAGAACTGACATAAAAAGCAGCATTATTAATCAGTAAACATATACAGGATAAAAAGAAAAAGCTGAACATGCAAACTTGTTAATAAAAATTTAACCAAAATATTTGCTTTCCCTCAATTGTTGCATAAATTCTTAACTAAAATATAACATATGAAACTGGAAGGTATTATTCATTAAAAAAGAAAAGGAAAAAAAGAGAGAGAGAGAGAGAGAGAGAGAGAGAATTTACCTCTCCAACATGATGAAGAACTTTTTCCAATAGGATAGAGATGAGAACAATAGCAGCACAAACTGCAGCGACAGCCCATGTGGGTGTCTGGTCAAGCTCCCTCGCACCTGGGGTTTCTGCACTTCCCATGTCTCTCTAACCTTGACCTTTACACAGACAGCTTGAAGATATATATTTACAAGAAACAAAATGTATCAGTTCAATTGTCTAATTCTACGTATCCAGCAATACAGACTTTGAAGGTGATGGTTGGCAGGTTTCAGAGATTCTTTGTGTGATGATCCTGTCTCTAATTAATTTCTTTGTTTTTCTTCTCCTTTTCCATCCCATAACGGTCTTGAAACAGAAATACAAGTGACGGTTATTATTCAAGATAGCCAATTTTTTGGTGGGTAGTTTACTATTTTTATTAATTTTTTCAATGGTAATCCTATTTTTATTATTTATATATTCAATAGAAAGTATTTAGTGGTCACAAATCGAAAATATCCTAAATCAAAGTGCGTAGGTGAGTTTATATTTACTGGTGTTGGCCTCTGATTATTACATATGTTTTCGAAATTACAATGATAAAAATACAGGTCTATCGATACAACTTATACCTGGCATATATTTAAACTCAGCAAGGGAAATTACCAAAACAATCCTACACATATTCATTAGTTCTTGTTGTCCTTTCAACTTTCCCTTCAAGATTGTGTCGGGCCCAAAAAATTTATGCCCCACTTTAATATTTCTCAAACTTTCAGTTTGTAAAAAAGATTCAACCTTTTTTTATGAAAAGAAAAAAGAAATCTATTTAGATAATACGTAATATATTAGGTTTAAAGTTGGCAAAGCATCGAAGTCGTTGTAGTATAGTGGTGAGTATTCCCGCCTGTCACGCGGGTGACCCGGGTTCGATCCCCGGCAACGGCGATTGTTTTTTAATTTTCAAAAAGCCCTGAAGAGCAGTGCTTCGAAAATGGAACTTTTCTTTTTCTTTTTTTGCACTTGCACTAAACGGTATTTACCAAAATAGGTTTCCTTGAAGCTTACTTAATATAATATGGCAATGTACTAATTAGAGGATCAGTAGAAATAGCCAAAGCGCTATACCTTTTCCTAACATCCAATGAAATGGAAGAGAGATGAAAACACTGCACAGTGGAATAACACAAAAAAAAAAAAAAAAAAAAAAAAAAAAAAAAAAAAACTTTTCCTAAACATCCAATGAAAATTGGAAGAGAGATAAAACACTGCATCAGTGGGAATAACACAAAAAAAAAACAAAAAAAAAAAAAAAAAAAAAAAGAGAAATCTGCCACTATCCACTGCAATACAAGAATTATGAGTCTCCTAATTTTTGCTGTGTTTAAGCAATCTAGATGAAAATTGGTTTTGCTGAGAATCAACTGGAACAAGAAGACGGAAGTTTGGCCAACCCCTCTGTTGATCTGCTTTGCTGATTAAGACTTGAAAAAAAAAAAAAAAAAAAAAAAAAAAAAAAAAAAAAAAGAGAAATCTGCCACTATCCACTTGCAATACAAATTATGAGTCTCTATTTTTGCTGTGTTTTAAGGCAATCTAGATGAAAATTGGTTTTGCTGAGAATCACTTGGAACAAAAACCGGAAGTTGGCCACCCCTCTGTGATCTGCTTTGCTGATAATGACTTGACATCGATCCTCTGTCCACGCCAGGAGCCACTGAACTACCACTTCTTGTCCCTCTGCTTAGCGGCTCATTCACAAGAGGGCCGCCAAAGAATATTGATTGATCTGTATACAAAAGTTCTGCTCCAGGAACCTGAGAAGAACCAGCAACTCTGGAAGAAGAGGAGACAAAACGTCCAGCTTGGGGATCCCAATAAACTGAAGTTCTCAAATTTTCCATTGCACCCAGGTTTCTTCTCATCGGAATTTGAGCCACATTTCCTTGGGGGGCATTCCCATTTGTTTCACTTCGTCTTGCTGACAAGGGGGATTGATCTGCTGATGATTGATAAATTGGGTTGAAGTGGTCCCTGTTAGAATTTTGCTGCTGCGGTGGAGAAGTGGCAAGGTTGGAGACATTAATACTACTGTAATTACTAAGACTATGATTGCATGTTTCAATATCATCCCTGCTAGCATGACTAATGTTGCTGGGTGCATATGAATTGCTCCTAGAAGGAGATAATCTTGATGTCCCTGTTCTAGCATTTCTACTATGAAACCCTTGATCGGTACTGACTGGACTGCTCCTTCCACTAACATTGCTGCTAGACAAATGATCAACATCATACGGATGATGTTGAGAACTTACGGGTCGTAGCACTGATGATGATGCTCGAGCCTTCGCACCTGCTTTAATTGCCTCATTGGAGTCCAATTTTGCAAGTTTCCAGGCACTGATTCGAACTGGGCGCTGTGGTAGTTTTTTCCCTTTGTCAGCTTCCTGTATTGCATCTGGGTCAACTGTAGATGGTAAGCGTCCTGGCTCCAAATGTGGAATAATTTCATCCTGCTTATTCAAGATCCAAAAGTAATCAAATTGTAACCTCATTGTCATGAAGGCTAGTGAAAGTGAATTTGAAAAATGAAAATGCATGAGATAGAATGATGATATGCTCAATTTCAAGTTGTTCAGTGAAAGTATTTCAATGTGAAATAAATTTTAATTTTTGCATTACCTGGTGGTCCATGAAGATTCTCGGAGGAGTACACCATGCCCCTTTATATTGCAAGCTCATTCCAATAGAGCTTCTTCCACTCACTGCAGTCACAGCTGAACTTGTTGGTGAAGATGGTAGACTTTGCTGATCTCCTCCATCTACAGATGGTCCCGGTGGTTCACTTTGAGTTCTCATGGCAACAACATACTCGTATGTTGTGATACCCTGCAACCATAAAACAAAGGATTGCCCATATTTGACTATCAAGAAAGGCATACAGTCAAAACAGATGGAAGCGGAAAGGAAGTGAGGGTAGGCGCACCTTCCGAATGAGAATCATGTGAAAAAAGAACAGTTCTCCCAATGGCACAGTGGCAAGGAAAGACACAGCTGTGCACACAGCCTGTAGTCATTATAGAGTTAATCACATGTAATATGACTTTACACAAATATAAGTTATCTTGAAAATGGCAGTAGCATATTTCAACTCTTCTAGGAACTCTGAATTATAGATACATCTACAGAAGATTTTAACAGGGATCAAATATAAAATTTTCAATTCATGATTCCAGAAACAAGCAAGGAAAGTCAGCAATATGACTCATAGTCAAGTCATGATAAAAAAGTGAGGATTGCACATGCACAGCCCTGCTTGTAATTCCAACAACAGAACCGAGAGTTCAAAATTTGCAGTAAATGCTACTGCAGTAATCTCTTTTTCTGGATTCTTTTTCAATCTTTTCATATTATCCAAATACAAATGTCCCTAGTCAGGTCATTTCTCTTGAAGAGGTGACATCAAATACATTGATCAGCCTACTCATTTCCAGGTCAGTGTATCAATGTGTACAATGCCTCAACCTCTGTGATTCCAATCAAATAATCAAAAATATCAGTTGGTAAATATCTGCTAAAAGTTGGGAATTTACCACCACAGTAGCAAATGGGGGCCGGGAGAATCCTATGCCAAGCTTATCTGCTATTTGATGTTCCATACCCCTTCTATCTACAAAGCATCGAACAAGAACAGCAACACCAACACCAAATTCAACAACAAGCTGGCCAAATGCAGATACAAGTACATGCAAGAAAAAATAATATTTCATTTGAATTTTGAGGAATCTAACAGATACAAACAACTAAAAATTGAATAAGAATAAAAACTATACATAAAAAAGTTTATCTAAAATTTACCCAAACAAGACTAGTTGCCATCAGGGACACAAAAGTGATGTAATTTTTCCTCCCTACGCAATTGTTCAACCACTGCACCAACAAGAGATGTTTCATTAACCCAATAATGCCAAAGGCAAAGAGAAAGGTAACTGAATGTGGAGAAACTAATATCCTGTTTAGAAAACATAACATGGACACTTTGAAGTGAATCAAAATGAACAGCGTATGTGGGATTTGTGAGTCTCTTACAAAATTTTCAGAGATTGCCCAGGTAAAAACTAGCATCAGTAAGTAATCAAAGATAAGTATCCCTTCTAAATCATAGCTTGAGACATTAAAAATAACTCAATGATTTTGGGCTCCATGAGGGCTGGGAGGATGCATGCTATATCTTACCCGGCAATGGTGATCAAATCCATCAACACATTTGTCACAGCTTCTACAATGTTTGCTGAACTTGCGTACCTAGCAAAAAATGAAGTTAGCAACATCCTCCTACATTACAAGAGGAAGAAGAAGAAGGAGGAGGAGGAGGAGGAGGATGGGGAGACGGAGGGCACTTAGTATATACACTCCTAATAAAAATGTTACTGTTCTCTCTTTTCTGTAATGAATTATGAATACACCTGACTATATTCCTATATACCTGCACTTCAGTACCTACGCATCAAAAGTTCTAAGAAAGATTGATCACTATAAGATCATCTGAAAAAAAAAAAAAAAATACTACTGAAAAGTTGCTCAACACGCTGCATGAACCTTCCACATCAACTATGGACAAGTAACCTAACCAGGGATCAAGGAGTTTATCAACTTTCTGAAATTCCCCTGCTAATTTTATTTCTTCTTACTAGTTTCCTCCTTTCTCTGGGTTCGTGAGTGTGTTTGTGAGCCCATCTTGTGAAGAAGGTTGCAGGGGCTTTTGATTGTGGGCAATTGATATAATGTTCACCAGAATAAATACTGTACCTCAGCATTGCACAATGTGCAGAATAAAGCCTCCTCTAGAGATTGTTGCTGATGAATATCTTCATCTCTGCGGCAATCTTGTTTCACAAGAAAACCACAAAATAAACATCCAAGTTTTGAACACCAACTTGAACCACGTTTACTTGATTTTCCTCCATCCTTTAACCTTATCTTGCCAGGTTCTTCAATAGAAGATGCATGTCCTGGTTGAACACCATAAAGGCTTTAATCAGATATTAAAAAAAATACAAAGAGTTCGAAGGAGTTCCTATCCACAATCAATTGTTCCAAAAAAGGAGAATAAGTTCCATAATCACTTTATTCAAAAATGATGGCACCATGTCTTTGTCATTCAAGTGACAAAATCAGACAACTTTTCATACTGGATTTTATCCTTTCTGACGGTCCAAAAGGAACTTGTTAAGGTGTTCTGGTCACCTTAGATTCTAATAAACAGCACATTAACTAGCCAATGATGGACTCTAGTCATCAGTATTTCTAAGTAATGTATATGTACTGCAGTCACACTAACCAGGCAGATCTGTGTCATTTTGTGACTTGTTTGCTGCTGCATCATCAGCTTCAAGTAGAATGCCTGGATCAGCAGGATCAATAGCAGTGCATCGTACATAAAGGATGAACACAGCAAGTGCCTGGTAATTAACCAGAAAAGGGAGAAGAAACAAAAGAAGATGATGAAAAGGAGAAAGAGCAAGGGAATTTAGATCTATTAATAAAGAAACTGGGGAAAAATGAAATGTACTTACCAAGACAGAATAAACACCAACAGCCACATATTCATATATATCCTTCCCAAGAAAGGGTGCAAAGAAGGCATAATATGCAACAGATAGCAAGAAGAAGACTGTTATAGCCACAATCTGTGCACCATGAAAAGACATTGAAAATCAGAATATTGAAACAGTAAAGAGAAGGAGATCATCACAGTTATTCCTAAACCTCACAAAAAGATAAAACCAGCAAACTTTGAGGAAAAATGAGTGTTGACTTGTAATGACTTATACTTCTATTATTCCATACTTACGTTCCTCTTTTTTTTTCCTTATACAGTTGGGGAAAAGTATTTGGACACCAGAAAAAGAGCGACTACCAACTATACTATAACTTGACAAATGATTCCATCTTTCTTAATTAGGACATCCCTTATGCAAATTGATTTACTTTTCTTAGTCCAAATCAGAGATCTAAGATGTCAACTGCAGTAAAGCACAATCATACAAACTCAACAACTTAGCTCAAGAGTCAAAATTTCAATTTCAGTTCACGAGCTAATTTATCTCAGCAACCCGGCAATTGTCAACAAAAAGTCAAATAGTTCCTATTAGAATGGTAAAGTGCCTCGTTCCAAAAGCACCGAGTCCTTTTCAATATTGGGTTAATCAAATCTGTCAACATATTTCTAATACAGATGCTATCATATAAAAATTATTCATGAACAGCACAGCATATAAAAATACTCAGACCTAATTTTCTTGCCACTAGACAACTATTCAAGCATGAGCAGGAAAAAAAAAGAGATAGAAGATAAATTAGAAATAGAAAAAGAATAAAAGCAAATCCAACTACATCATAATTAGGAGAAAGAAATGCATATAGATGGCAACCAATAAAAGCACAATAACTATGCAGCGGCTTCAGATATCAAACACAAAGCCTAACTAGAAAAAGAACCCGTAAAATTACAACTCAAAAGTCCCAAAACAAAAACCCACATTTCTCTTCTAATTTGAACAACTGTAGCAGATGAAGAAGAGACATATAGTACCTGAAAAGTATGGACAGGGAGTTGCCATCCATGGCGTCTTGCCATAATCAAAAACCCAGTCCAAACTCGTTAATCAACACTACCTACACTCTAAAACCACCATTCCAACAACCAAAAGCCGACTATAGTTTATAACAGAACCCAAAATATAGAAATTCATAAAAACATTTGAAATAAAAACTGGCGCATTCTTGTTTTGTACAGTTCAGTTCCTGTTCAATCTGTCGACCCAGATGCTAACAGGTCAATTTGAAGTTGATTTTGAGCATCTATAGATAAATTGAATTCATTGGTAAAAGAGACTTGAAGAGAAGAACCGGAGAATAAAAGACTGTTTAGACCATTCTTGGAGTTGAATTATAACCGTTCGGTATTATTTAATAAATCAATGTTTTTGCTGGTATGCTACCGTAATTTTACCTTTTGCATTTTGGGACCAATAAAAACCCAATTTTGCAAAAGCCTCCCACTCTATTTTTGTTAACATTTATCATACCACTCCCTCCCCAAATATTTATCATAATCGAGAAAATACTATATTTTTAAATATTTATTATATTTATGAATTTAATAAATAATAAATAATTTTTTCATTTTTATCATGTGACCAAATATTGTAAATTAAGAATATTATAATCGATTCACTCAATAATTTATTATAATTTAATTTTCTTAAGAGACATAAAATATTAAAATATGATAAGTATTTACAATGAGAGAGAATAACAGTATCTAATATTGCAATTTTTAAATATTTACGGTAGATCGACTAAAGTGGTACTTAAAAAAAATCATATTTATATACCATAATTTACACATATCGAAAGTTTGACTTTACATATTTTAACTGTAACGAGTATGAGAAGAAAGCATTTCTAGCGGAAATTTTCTTCATTCACAAAAAACAAAACACTTGACCTCTTATCTTCAGAACCAACCCATATTGGTTCATTCCCACTAATTTAATTGCATATTAATTATATTTGTAATTTGTTAGCAAAAGAAAAAAAAAATTGTAGGACACTTTTGGATTAATTAGGGTTTCATTGATTAATAGTTATGTTGTCAATGTCATTTATTAAATTTGTATTAAAGAAGCTAAAGAGATTTCATTATCTAAAGAGATTTTTCTAATTGGAGTTTAACCAATAAGAAAGGAAATTTTCTAAAATTCAGCATTCTCCCAAGAAAGAAATCAAATTTTCAAAATTTTCCTTTTAAAATATACATTGATTTTAGAAATAAATTATTCCAACTAATAGGTTTCCAATGTTTTACTCTTCCAAAAAAAAAAAATGAAAATTTGAATTCAAAATTCCTTTTTCTTAACAATTATGAGAGAGATCTCCTAATGCATGACCAATTCAAATCTCAATGGTTGAATATCAATATTCATCTCAACAACCATGATATAAATCTTAAAATTCTAAATGCATCCCCATTACTTTTTAGAATTGCAAATTGGTCCTAAATTAGGATTGGGAAATGGGAAGCTTCTTCCAGTAAATGTAGATAAATTATATAATAAAATATGAAATTTGACTTGAGTAGATGCTTAGCCTAATTGAGCTGTCTATGCCACTCTGAACCATTAAACTATTAATGGTTACTGTTTTATTAAACATGCACTTAGATTTTTTGCATTCTTTTTATTGCAAATGCTTTCATGATAAGTAATTTAATTATTTTTTAATAATCTAGTGGGAACATAAACTTTTGATTTTCTGTTTATTTTATTAATTTGCAGCTTGTCTTATTAAATTTAATGATTTTTATTTACAACCTTTGGTTTCTTTTAATGACAGCAAAGTTTCATGTTTATAATATTATAATGCTATAATATTAAATATGCAATTTCAAAACATTATCAATAATATAGGTCTGATGGCCGAAATTAGTGAAAACTCTTAAAAATGAGAGTACTCGAATTTGAAAAATTAATCAAAGAACATATTTTTCTTTTCAATTAACATAATATATATATTCATCGATTTAAATTTTTTATTATAAAACATAATGATTTTTATTTTGCAAAGAAGTAATGGGTTTGCTTAATATGTATTCAAATGATGGAAGAATAATTAATGGCTGCATGTTTTTAATTTACAAAGTAGATTACCAACCATGAATTATTTATCATTTTTTTAACATTTATTAATATTTATTACAATTAATAAATTCATACACTTGAAATTAATTATCCAAAAAAAAAAAAAAAAAGAATCAATGAATTCGCAGTAGTTCTTTTTTGTCTATCAGATTTATATGATGTACAAAACAAAACAAAACAAAACAAAACAAAAATTAAAGGAAACGCATAATACTTTTGTATTCTAATGCTTCAAATCCTAACAAAAGAAAAATCATTAGTCTGTGGTTCTTGATCATTTTTTCCCTGATCCTCTTGTTTTCTTGATTCACGTCCATGGTGAGAAGATCCTTCAGTTTCCGATAGCTCGGAGAAGTCAGTATCTGATCGGTAAGATTTTGGAGAGCTTATGACACTTTCAACGTCTCTTTGGCTTGAACGGTACTTGTGGCCGTGAAGCAAATGGATGGGTGATGCACCTTGGCTTGGCGTCGTTTCACCGCTCATAAAACCCGGAGAACTATTTCCCCCACCGCATGTTCCTGCTTTTCTTGCTTTCTTTCTTTGCTTTGCAGCCTTCTGCCATTTTCTAAGCGCTTTCGCTGTTTGTTCCTCAAATATCGATTGTTTCATGTGCGAACCCATCTGCAAATCAAAACCCATGTGCAGAAATTATGGATTTTTGAATCTGGGGGGAACTTCTTGAATTTAAAAAGAAAAAAAGAAAAAGCAACTCACTTGTGTCACCAGTGCATAGAGAGGGAAGGTTATATAGCTGCATACGATCTGAAGGGCCACTCCAAGGCCAACCCTCACTAAAATGGCTGCCAGGTTTTCGTGGAAGCAAGATTTCAACCCAAACTCATACTGTATATTGTTACAAATAACTTATTAAAATTAGGGAATAAGGTAAATTATAGGAAAGGAAGAATAAATATTACTTACCCATGTCCACAAGAAAAATGCCATCTGAAACGCATTCTGCGCATTTGATGAATTTATATTAGTTTGATATGAATTCTTAGTTTGTAATCTTGAAGTTATTGATTAGTAATGTTGACCTGAAACAAAGTGTAATGAAGTAAGAAGAGAATCCACTGGGGTCGATTAAACCAGAAGTACTTGTTGTTAGGCTCAACCACTGGAGCTCCTCTGACAACTGTAGTTCTGGCTTGGATTTCTTGAGCCATCTCCATTATAACAAGTTCAAGTTTAGTACCCACCAGAAGAAGTATCTGTACCAGAAGACATGACAAGAAGTTAAGGACAAAACAATACATGGGTTTCTGTCCGTCGACCGATATATAAAGTTAATAACCATCATGTCTTACGATGAATGGCACTATTGTCAGCCAGGTAAGTGTATACCATCCTGCAATGTTCAGTCAAAAAATGGGTATCATATACGTATGTGACAGAGAGAAGCAGCAAAAAGAGACACAGAGAGAGAAGCAGAGGGATTTAGTGATTTACTGTAAACATTTAGCAGCAAAAAGAGGACGGCAAAAACCCACAGTGGGATGCTGTATAAATCAGAATGAATAGTTTTAAGTGCTGAAGCCCAAATAATAAACATTTAAACTGCAGGAATTTGAGTTCATTGAGGATTAATATGGAAAGACAGAGATAAGACAGACCTAATACCCACAACCACCTTAAAATCATCTTCCATGCATCTTTTTATGTATTTGTGGAAGTCAAATTTGCTATTTGGAGCAAAATGTGCCTGAAGTATTAATTAACATCTTCTGTTAATTTCGGTTAATTACAAATAAAAGCGAACAAGGGTATTTCTGATCACAGAAAAAAAAAATTGAACGTTAACATTTTTTAAAAAAAGTTCTTTTTTTGATTCTATGATTTATGGGACTACCCATATACCTGGTGGATGCAATTATTTTCCATAAATCAATTACTCACGTTAATAAATCCATTTCGCATAGTTAAATAATCCACCTTGTTCACCGAACCAAAAAATTGCCTAAAGAATGCAACCTGCCAAATAAGCATTTAGAACTAAATGAGATCCAGTGTAGGCAAGAAATTTCGATCGGACTCGTAAAAATAAACTCACAATCCATCTGATCCCAGGTGCTGTAGAGATGCCAGAATGACGTTTCACAAAGGAAGTCTGATGGGCCAATCTAAATCTTGAAGGATCTGCAAAAGTTAGATAAAACATTGAACTTTGTTAGCTTGGCTCAGTCACAGCTCTAGTCAACTTTAGATATCCAAGAATTCCAATTAAATGTTAAAATAATTAAGAATCACCATTAGTGAACTGATACTCCAAGGATGAGGTTTCTGATTCCCAAGTCTTCCATTTCTTCATCTGATCAATAAACTCAATCCAAGTTCTTACATTTATTCTAGAAGAAGACAATGGTTAATTTTTGTTTACAGAGCTAATTAATCAAGATTAAGGAACTTACTTTTGCTTGTGCCAGTGCCATAGTGAGGACACTGTAGAGAACGTGAAAAACGGCGAGGACAAATATAAATATGTGTAGTTGATGCACTCCTGTTTGCGATATCAACGGCACTTTATCCTAAATATGGTTCAAGAAATGAAGATGATAAGTAAGTTTTAACAAGAAATGTTTAAGTACGGCCGGCTTGATTAATTACCTTTTTGTTGCAATAATCATCACCACCGCCTGCGGCTGCCAAAACACGACGCCAAACTACATTTCCAGCAAGAGAAAGTAACTTTCTCCGGCGATCATTTCCATTATCGTCATTGCCGTCTCCTTCGTCGTTATTGTCGTAGTTGGTTTTACATGGGAGCATGTCGTCTCCATATTTGGCAGGGATGCATATTTTTGCAATATATTTTGTACCCACAGTAAGTAATAGAGATATGAAGCCTAATAGCATTAATTCTGCAAAACGGCAATAATATTAGATTGCATCTTCTTCAATAACAATAAATGTTTACAAAACAAAAAAACTGACCTGCTTTTATCTTCTCCAGAGCTTCAGTCATAGCCTTGTTATGTCGTTTTTGAAACCACTGTATGTTATACAAAGAATCCAAGAAAATCAGGTAAAGATAACTCAAGAACGGATTATATAAATTAAATTTCAGAATTTACCCACCTTTTCCAATGAATGAATTCCATGCTCAATAAGAATTGAAATGATCACGAACACTGCACAAACAAGGGCTAAAGCCCATGTGGGTGTTTCCTGCAGGGACCTATCTCCAGCAGGAGCAGCAGCCATGTTTAATGTTCGAAGAACTTGCTAATGTCTATGCATTTAATATATATGTATTTGTACATATCAGACAGAAATGCCAGAGATAGCGCGTAGAATCCCACCATAAGACTCTCAACTTGTCACATACTAGTTTGTAGTTTTTCGTAATCTAATTATATCAACAATAGCATAAAAACTTAACAATTGCAAAATCAAAGCCGGCAGCAAGTGCAAAGACTTAAAACGTAGAATGTTATAAATCAACGTAACTACAGAACATTAGCCGGCTAATATGCCTCTTACATTTATAATTAACTTACTAAAAGAATCTCCATTTTAATTTTTTTTTTTTTTAGTTTACATCAAAGGTGTTCCTAGTTCGTTTGGCGAAGTAATCGTGTTCGGGTCACATTAAGCGCATAAGGGAAGCCAAATGCTTCCACGAAGATTTTCTCTATCCACAAGATTGAACAATCGACCTATTATTTGAGGGACTAGCAGAGATTTCCTTTTTTTTTTTTTTATGTAATGGAGAATTATTAGGAATTAATTAATATGGAATATCTTAATTACTCTTTGACTTATATAATTGGAGCTAGGATTAGTGCATTTTGTTCTTGTCTTTTTTTTGTTTTCCAATAGGATGAATGGATGATTGGGTGGTTTAGAAGACATCAAAGTTCTCTTACATTGTCTTTTCTGTTCTTTCTACCTGAAATACCAATCACTTTTGAAATTCATTTTGTTTTCTTTTTATATTTTAATCCACAAGAAACCATTGAAGCAATTTTTCCCAATATTATGGTATTGAGTCATGGACTATTTACTTGACTGAGTCTTCAAATATTCCATATTTTAAATTATTTATCCATCCAATTGAGTTTAATTATTTTAAAATATATTAATTTATTAAACGTTTTACTTGATTAAAAAATTTTAAAAATAAACATTTATTAATAATATTATTAAAAAATTGCAAGGGAGAATTGTTTGATACGTGGACTCGATTGGGCCCAAATAAAAGATGGAGGCCGACATTTTTTTATAAGCGTGATTAGGGCCAGAGAGGCAATGGCCCACGAACTCTTTTAAGTGAAAGAAGACGGTGAAGATGAACGGCAGAGAATTCGAGAGTCCATTATGGATCTGTTGATTAGAACACAGCGTATCATTCATCTGTCTGTAAGTGAAGCTTAGTTATCATCGATAATTCACATGATTTAGTTTCTTCCACCAAGCGTCAAATTTAATTTCTCCGCTTAAACCACTTCCCTTCGCTCTCTCTCGTTCTCTCAACAAGAACAAGAACAATGACAGCTATTTCGAATTCTTTGGTTCCAACGAGAAATCCTGGGGTTCATCCTTCACCTGGTAATATTGCTCTCTTCATCTTCCATTTCTAATTCGTAATTCTTATTTTCTTTAAGCTTTCCATTTGCTTACTCTTATTAGATCTATTTCTCTTTAATTATTTGTTTAGTATGCTAGATTGATATAATAGGGAAGAAATAGAAGTGTTTTTCTTTTTCTGGAACATGCTTTAAACATGGTATGTGAGTGAGAAAGCAATTTTTAGTATAGATACTGTTGTTTCTGAAAGTTAATTTTTAATTAATGTGTCTTGGCTTAGCTCCATGGATGAATATACAACCAGTGGAAAATGTTTCCCTATCAGTACACCAATCAGATCATTCAGGTTTTCGTGTCAATGAACTGCATACGTAATCATATCCTCTAGTCATAGCATCGAGAGTCTATCTCATGGGTCATATTGCCATATTTTCGCTTATACGAGACCAGAAACTGAAATTTCTTTATTGCTGTCTAGTCTAAACCATTTTCTAGAGCATGGTATCTTCTTTCAGTGTTTGTGATATTTTGTCTTTGAAAAGTCATATTCAGGATGTTCTTATGATTGCTTAAAAGTTTAAGGCTTAGTATATCTCTGCTTTTAACTGCACATCGGCCTTCACGATCTGTTTCGTTTTTGAATATTCTGAATTCAACCTTCTGTTCAATTCTTTTCCAAGGCTCACTGGACAACCGTCTCCAGATTACTGCCCCTACCAAGTTGTCATTCAGTGTGAATTGCCCAGGAAAAGTGCAAGTTACTACCTCCAGAAGGCCGCTCACAGTTAAAGCAGCCAATAGGTACCATTATTCTTTATGATACAAATGCAATATTAACACATATTTGAGAATTGAGAGATATGAAGATGCTTCTTGGATGGTGGAAAGGCATTGTTTTTTTTTTTTTGGGGGGGGGGGAAAATAGAAGAAGGGCTAAAATCTCGTGCTGGCAGAAATTAAGGTGTTCTCACTTGAACTGCTAGTTATCCAGACTTAAATAAACAAATTAATAGTATTTTGTGGGAAATGGAAATCATAAATTCAATAAAGGCCAGCTGACATTCTGTTAGTTGAATTTGCTTTGTTTGTTCTTGTTGAGCATGCTGATATGTGCATTTAACGTTCTCTGATCCTTTTTCATTTTACTTTTTGCTCTTTGATTTTTACAGTGATGGTGGCAGGCCAAGCAGTGCGGGAATCTTTGTTGGTGGCTTTGTTTTGGGAGGACTTATAGTTGGTGCACTTGGTTGCGTATATGCTCCACAGGTCTAATTGATTTTTCTGTTACTGTTATGTCTTGTAAGGATTATGTGAAGTATTTTGTCAGACCACCTCACACAGGATTTTATCATCAGTGGAATTTCTTTGATAAAATAAATGGATGATATATAAGTTAGGTCAGCCATTAAGATAGTTCATAACATCAAAATTTTCTATTTCTAGAATTTATCATAGATGCTCCATCAATTTAAAAAGTAATATTAAAAGTCATTTGCAGCAACAACTGAATCTTTTTACTTACACTGTACAGATTAGCAAGGCATTAGCTGGTACTGACCGTAAAGATCTTATGAGAAAACTCCCTAAGTTCATCTATGATGAAGAAAAGGCTCTGGAGGTGAACTTTTGCTCTAGTTTGTGCCTGTTTGCAATTAATTCCTGGTATATTAACACAGTGAAGTGGCCCATGCTTTTATCTGTCCATATTTTCTTGTAGTTTTAGCTTTTAATTTGTTCCCCTTTTCTTAAGAACAGTGTTTTTTGTAACCCAAGTGGCAGTTAACAAAGTTATTTGAAACCTTGCTGAACTTTGATGTTGTTCTTACTTCCTATATGTTTCCTCGAGTCCTGCTCTGTCAATGTATTCATTAATAACTGTCCTGAAGAAGATTAGATGTTTGGAAGTGTCTTGATTGCCGCATGTGTTTCTCTTTTGAAAGCCAGTGCTTAACTAAGCATCTAACGAGAAATTATTTTAGCGTGTTGGTTGTTATATGCTGCGTCCTCTTCTTTCTGACAAACAGCACATTCTTTGGATTTATTGATTTGCAGAAAACCCGAAAGGTATTAACTGAGAAGATTGCACAACTGAACTCTGCCATTGATGATGTTTCTGCCCAGCTCCGATCAGAAGATGCCCCAAACGGCGTGGCAGTGAACTCTGATGAAATTGAAGCTGCCGTATAAGATGAACACTGTTTATGTTGCAGTATACCACATCTCACCGACTAGTTAAAAAATAATAGCCAAACTCATTTTGATGTTTTCTCCTCTTAGTGAGCAAAGTTATTTTCGCTCAACTGTATGTCGCGTGGTGGCTCAAGTGAGTATATATAATTTGACTTTTCTGATGCACCATTTGGACCTGAATGCTCCCAACACTACCTGTAATTTGGTCCCTGGATTGCATGTCATGAAATGTGGGGAAAATCTATGGTTTAATGCCTTATAATATTCCTTGGCACTAAATTAACAAATCTCCTAAAAGTCTGAGAATTCCTTTCTTGCCTGATCTCGAATTTGTGGCCGAACTTTCACGCATGTAAATTTCTGGATTGCACTACGTTCCAAAAGCAGGATGATGGTAACTAAATTTTATGAACAAACAAATTCTTAAAAGTGGTTCAAGGTTAAAAACAGAAAAACCTACGAAGAGTATATCCATGGCTGTTGGATTTCTAGTTCAATGACATTCAGCTTGGAATCATAAAAAATGATTGGAGAGAGATGGACCATAGCTATTTTCACACAGCTTCTGAAAACCCCATACGTCCTTATGTCTAGTCTTCTTTTTTCCAACTAGATATTCTCTGTTTTTGAGTGTTCTCCACCGCCATTCACAATGGTACTCCATCATCCAGAAAAAATAAAGGCGAAAAATTTACCGTATGGGACACATTTGATGTGGGGCACTCAAATAGTTCATGAACTACTTCTGACCATTGACAATTGTGGCAATTAGGACGTCTATTGTTTTACCAACATGGAAGATTACAAAGGGCAAGTCAAAGAAAATATAGAAATGGTGAAAAATTCTGTGGTTCAGAATCTGAAAATTAAAGGCCTCAGCTTCACCTTATCCCATACGTATCTTCATGTATAATTATCACCACATATTCATCTTAACTTACTTGCAACCATAATTTTAATTTTAGAAGAAAGACACTCACAAAGTGAAAATCAGAATAACTGAAAAAAAAAAAAAGTTGAATTGTTTCTATATATACAAAGGAAGTTGCTCTGTTAGCTTTAGTTGCAGCCATGGCCACCCACGCAGCTCTAGCTCCTTCAAGAATCCCGGCCAGCACCAGGCTTCCTTCCAAGACAACCTACTCTTTCCCTAGTCAATGCTCCTCTAAGGTCTTTCTCTATCTTAATCTATATAATTGAATGTATGATATCCTATAGTTTGTGGAATTTTTTTAACCTACTTCACCATTGCAGAGGTTAGAAGTAGCTGAATTTTCTGGGCTTCGAGCCACTTCTCATGTAAGTTATGCCAAGAATGCTACTGAGGGATCCTTCTTTGATGTGGTGGCTGCTCAAATGACTCCCAAGGTTTGCTAAACTATGCCTACATACTCTTTCTTTCTTCTTCTTTTGTTTCTCCATAAGTATCCTTACTTGATCTAGCTAATTAAGATCCACCATGCTCACCAAATAGTTTGCATATTAGCAACATATACCAAATGAAGTTTTTTTACGCTCCTCATATTTTGAACTAAAATTTCACTCTCAGTGATTACGATTTTCAGTTGAGTATCTCCTTCCATTGATACAGAGTAATTAGGAATTCAAATCATTACTTTTAGTGTCTCTTCTCCTCTTAAATTGACTTGAGATCATCAGATTGCAGTCATAAATGATCATGGTTTATAGATTATGTTTCTTCTTAGGAATTATATTTTATGAGGATGAGTTTGCAGTTTTTTTTCTGTGTACATACTTTAAATGAACAAAATTTTTTGTAATATTATGTATTGGAAATTATTTCCAAATCAGGTAGCAGCATCAACTCCAATCAGAGCAGAAACAGTAGCAAAACTCAAGGTAGCAATCAATGGATTCGGACGCATTGGCAGGAACTTCCTCAGATGCTGGCATGGCCGCAAGGACTCTCCCCTTGAAGTGATCGTTGTCAATGACAGTGCTGGTGTCAAGAACGTAAGGGAAACTATATTATGAAGAAACTGAGAAATTAACAATTTCTAATCAAATAATAATTGACTTTACATATACAGGCTGCTCACTTGCTGAAATATGATTCCATGCTTGGAACATTTAAAGCAGACGTGAAAATTGTGGATGATAGCACCATCAGTGTGGATGGGAAGCACATCAAGGTTGTCTCCAACAGAGACCCTCTTAAGCTTCCATGGGCTGAACTTGGAATAGACATTGTCATTGAGGTATAGCTTTATATATATATTTGTGCTTCCAATCAATTCTCTTTCTTTCTTTTGATATAGCCTTCCATTTTCAATAATGTGATAAAAAAAACTTAACGCGCAGGGAACAGGAGTATTTGTGGATGGCCCTGGTGCTGGGAAACATATCCAAGCTGGTGCCAAGAAAGTCATCATCACTGCTCCAGCTAAAGGTGCTGATATTCCAACCTATGTTGTTGGTGTTAATGAAAAGGATTACAGTCACCAGGTTGCCAACATTGTAAGGTTGGTACCTTAAAACAAAGAAATTTTATCTTCTTGCTGTAACCAGTCAATATGTATGTTTGATAGATAATCTCTCTCTTTATCATTTGCAGCAATGCTTCCTGTACTACGAACTGTCTGGCTCCATTTGTAAAGATCATAGATGAGGAATTTGGTATGAATTAAATTTGTTTGAAATTACAATATAGATCGTTAGTTTCAAACAAATGGGTATTTAGATTTTTTTTTTTTTTTAAATATTTGCAGGCATTGTCAAGGGAACAATGACTACCACTCACTCCTACACTGGAGATCAGAGACTCTTGGATGCTTCACACCGTGACTTGAGAAGAGCCAGAGCAGCAGCACTGAACATTGTGCCAACGAGCACCGGTGCAGCGAAGGCTGTCTCTCTTGTGTTGCCTCAGCTCAAAGGAAAGCTCAATGGCATTGCCCTCCGTGTCCCAACACCAAATGTCTCAGTTGTGGACTTGGTTGTGAACGTTGAGAAGAAGGGTATTACAGCTGAAGATGTCAATGCAGCTTTCAGGAAAGCAGCAGATGGGCCATTGAAGGGCATATTGGATGTCTGTGATGTTCCTCTTGTGTCTGTTGACTTCCGATGCACTGATGTTTCTTCCACCATTGACTCTTCATTGACCATGGTCATGGGAGATGACATGGTCAAGGTAGTTGCCTGGTACGACAATGAATGGGGATACAGGTCAGAATTACACTAAACTAACTTAACTGCAATGGCAAATTTCAAAGTAAGATAATTGTGTGTTTAACAAATATATAATTATTGTTTTCAGCCAAAGGGTTGTTGATTTGGCACATTTGGTGGCCAACGAGTGGCCAGGCGTGGCTGCAACTGGAAGTGGAGATCCATTGGAGGAGTTCTGTGAGAAAAACCCAGCAGACGAGGAGTGCAAAGTTTATGAAGCTTAGATGATAAAAATTTACAATTCAATTTTTATATGTATTTTTTATTTTTGGGATTAATCCTATTGAGACTGATGTTTTTCAATGCCTTGTAATAATCAAATGCTTATCTTGTAATTAGAGCTGAGAAACAGGAATACATGCTTCAAATATTATTTTGAGGAAAGGCTTAACTCACTCCGTTGTATGAATTCACTTATACACTAAACCAATCACACGTAATATTTTAGTTCAAATGATGGTATTTCTGATCATACATTGAGAAAAAAAGTCAAAACAATAACATTTTGAAATTTTTTTTTTTAACTGATTCGGTGTGTGGAACCACACATGCATCGAGTGTTGGCAAGAAATTTTCTATTATTGTACGTGCAAATTGCAATTCAAGATAATATCTTGTCATCAATAATTCGATATACTCTTGCCTGATTTTATAAAATTCATAGAGGGTAAAATTCATTAATGGTGAAATCTTTATGATTTTATAATTTCAGCATTTGACTGAAAATAAAATTCATAGATTTCAACAGTATTTTTTAAATAAAATTAAGTAAAATAAATCTTATCGTTAATAAAAAAAAACTACGGAATTGAAGTAATATGATGAAATTTATCAATTCTATAATCTCAAGAAAATAAAGAGAAAATGGTAAAATTAAGTATCAATTCCATAATCTCAAGTAAATAAAGAAATCTAATAAAAAATTTAAATTCCACCAGTTAAAAATTTTATCAATGACTGTATTAAGATATCACAGACCATAAACGGCCCAAATACACATGGTTGGATTTGGACGTGATTTGGGCCCATCTTCCCCGGCACCGGAAGTATAATCACAATTTAATTACATTCATGCACCCGGCCACATCACATAATTCCCATATTTAATATTTTTACGTCAACGACTTCTGGTCTTATTGGTAACCTCACCGTAAGTGTGAAATTGCATCTACACCAGATAATTTACTCCCTGCGCCAACCATAAACGGTAAATCTGCTGCGTGGCGGATCAAAACAGCGAGCTCAGATCAAACTTGGAGAAAGCTAGCTGGCTCTTCTCAAAATCGTCAAACCCTAACTTACAATTTGATCATTTCCCTAACTGTCGAATCAGAAAACCGTATTCTCCATTTTCAAAGCAACAATAAAGCTTTAGAATTTATCTATTTTTGTCGAAATCTTAAGGATGAGACGCTCTCTCATATTTCTCCTGCTCTTTAGAATTATTTTATTACCATTAGTAAGAGGTATCTCGGGCTCAGCCATCTTCCATACCTCCCTTCCCGACGAGAGCAGCCAGGTTTCCAAGCTATACAAGTCTTTTTTGCCGCCAAAACAGTAAGTATATGTTAATTCTATTGAAATTTGTCAAGCATTTAGCTTCATGGATGTGCATCATCCATTTCTATTCAGTAATTGGTTGCGAAATCCCAAATGTGTTTTGAAGTGCTAGTTTAAGGTATAACCCTCTGTATTAATAGTTTGCTTTTCTTTTTTAATGAAGTAAACAAGATATAGCATTAGTGGCTGCATTGGATGGAACTGTATATTTCGTGGACACTAATTCGAGGAAAATTCGTTGGTCTTTCTCATCTGGGCCTCCTATTTATTCTTCTTACCAAGCTACTCTTAATAATGACGATGATAGGCATAATGCCTCTGAACTGAGTAACGACTTGTATTACATAGATTGTGGAGATGATTGGGAACTCTATGTCCATAGCAAGCGCTTTGGAAAATTGGTATGCAGCCTTTCGTTTTATATTTATTTGATGTTTTTCTTAAAACTGGAATCCCATCTTTATTTCAATGATTTAACCGTTCATGCAGCATTATATTTGCAGTCTCAGAACAATAGTTTTCATTTACAGTATGCTCTTTTGACCAGTTTGGTTGTTTTTTAATGCATTATAGTTGTTCTTGCACAGCAAAAACTTTCACTGAGTGCTGAAGAATATATTAGAATGACACCACATATATCAGAGGATGGAGAAATTACATTGGGAGTAAAAAAGACAACTGTTTTTCTTGTTGATGCCAAGACTGGACGACTGGTTCGCACTTATGGGTTGGATAATTCTCCTTCCACTTTGTTGTCAAAGACTGCTGAAGAAAATGCTCTTCTGTTGGTAAAAGATGCTGAGTTGATAGAATCTGCTGGTACCGACTTACAAACAGTTCAGCATCTGGTTTACATCACAAGGACAGATTATCTGCTGCAACACTACTCTCCAAATTCCACTGAAGTTTTATGGAATGTTGCATTTGCTGATATTGAGGCAGAATTTCGCTGTCAAGGGTTTAGAGGTTCTTTAGGTGGAGTTTCTCTGAGTGCGGATGAAGTTAGAGATGATGCTGAATTTCCTTGTCAAATGAAGACCGCTGTCCTCCGAATTCGCGATTGCAACTCATTGGAATTTGATAAATTAGCAATTGCTCATCTTGGAGGAGGACCACGCTTTTTGCCCACCCCACTGGACTTTCCTCGCTTAGGATCTGTTCATGGATTTCCACCGGCTCTCCCCATTAATGAAGACAGGCCTATGCTTGCTTTGCCTGCGTCTGAGGCTAAAAACCCTGAGAACTTAGATATGCTCAGTGGAAATGCTGGTATAATCAACAGGACAACTTTATCCTCTGAAATTGACGCAAATTCTTATATGTGGCCTGTTATTGCTGCCATTTTGTCCATTCTGAGTTGCATCTTTTATAGTTATTTAACATTTAGAAAACAGAGTAAGTTGAATAAGCCAATAGAGGAACTTAAATTGCAAGCTGGGATGCCCAAAAAGAAGAGAAGTAAGAGAACAGGAAACACCAGGAACATTAGAACAGGAAACACCAGGAACATTTCCAATAATGAGGGAAGGCAGAAATTTCTCTCTCTTGAGAATAAGGATGGAAACACTGGAGCTTCAGTCACCGAAGAGAATGAAAGGAAGTTATTGCTGACATTTGCTGATGATGGCTGTGTAGATGGCCGCAGGATTGGTAAGTTGCTTGTTTCTAACAAAGAAATTGCCAAGGGTAGTAATGGTACAGTTGTGCTTGAGGGCATTTATGATGGTCGTCCTGTAGCTGTTAAACGCCTTGTGCAAACCCATCATGATGTTGCTTTGAAAGAAATTCAGAACCTTATTGCTTCAGATCAGCATCCAAATATTGTTAGATGGTTTGGAGTGGAGCATGATCAAGATTTTGTTTACCTTGCTTTAGAGCGCTGCACTTGCAGCTTAAACGACTTTATTTATGCGTACTCTGAATCTTTTCAAAGTCAAGCGTTTTCTAAGAATGTTGGTCCCAACTGCTTGCCAGAGTGTACCATTCGATTAAATCCAATGCTGGAACGTAACAGAAATGTCGAATTGTGGAAGGCAAATGGACATCCTTCAACACAGCTATTAAAATTGATGAGGTTAGTCTAATAGTTCCACTATTCACTAGACTCAAATTAGTGGATCCCCCCTCCCTCTCCTCTTTTTTTCCCTGTATTGACATTGAAGATGGTTAGTTGTTTATATTCGCAACAAGTTTCTTTGCATGGTCCATCATTGAAATGTAGGATAACTTGCTTTTCTTTTTAAGTAAGATAGCACACTGTCACATCATATTAGAGCTCTTGCCTTAAACCAAATGCACTGTAAAATAAATTACTTCATCAACTGAACAGAACTTGAAAAAATTTTTATTTTTGCAGGGATGTGATTTCTGGGCTTGCTCACCTACATGAACTTGGAATTATACATCGGGACTTAAAGCCTCAGAATGTCTTGATAATCAATGAGAAAACTTTTTGTGCAAAGCTTTCTGATATGGGCATTAGTAAGCTCCTTCCCGGGGACATGTCTTCCTTGACCCAACATGCAACTGGTAAGTAGGCCTTCTTATATGGAAATTAGACTATCTGAAGAATGACGAGATAATATTCTATTCACTCCCCCTCAACACCCACCCCTTACTATACACACACACACTAAGTGAGAAGATATAACCCAGCGAAAAAAGTTTGCTTGCATATTGTACTATTGCTATCTGAAAACTCACATCCTAAATTTTTTCTCCTGGTTCTTGATTTATTTTTCCTTCTATTTTTCCAGTGTTTTTCTTTTTTCTGAATTTTCACCTCTTTTTTTTTTTTTTTTTTTTTTTTTTACCACTAATGTTGAGAAAGATATAACCCAGCGAAAAAGTTTGCTTGCATATTGTACTATTGCTATCTGAAAACTCACATCCGTAAATTTTTTTTCTCCTGGTTCTCTTGATTTATTTTTCCTTCTTATTTTTCCAGTTGTTTTTTCTTTTTTCTGAATTTTCCACCTCTTTTTTTTTTTTTTTTTTTTTTTTTTAATGTAGGCTATGGAAGTTTCAAGGCTTGGCCAATCGCCCGAACAAACTACTTCCACAGACGGGCCAAACCGTGCAGTGCGAACTTATTTAGGTTTAGGCTGTGTTCTATTTTTCTGTGTCACAGGGGGGAAGCCACCCCTTTTTGGTGAAAATATTGATTTTTTTTTTTTTTTTTTTTTTTTTAATGTAGGCTATGGAAGTTCAGGCTGGCAATCGCCCGAACAACTACTCCACAGACGCCAAACACGTGCAGTGGACTTATTTAGTTTAGGCTGTGTTCTATTTTTCTGTGTCACAGGGGGGAAGCACCCTTTTGGTGAAAATATTGAACGTGATGTAAATATTGTGAATGACCGAAAAGACCTGTTCTTGGTAGAGAATATACCTGAGGCTGTGGATCTTTTCTCTTGCCTCTTGGATCCCAACCCGGATAAGAGGTAAGCCAGTTTTACAATGTTGAATCTTCAGGAACCTTGTTAGATTCTTTAATAAGTGAAAATTTGAGAAATTTTCCCATGAAATCACATTCTAAATTCTCATCTTTTCTGTTTGATAAGTCTCTAGATTTAATACGTTGTGTGTAATAATCAATGACTTAACATATTGTAGGCCAAAAGCTCTGGAGGTACTGAACCATCCTTTGTTCTGGACTTCTGAAAAGAGACTCTCATTTCTTCAGGACATCAGCGATAGGGTTGAACTGGAAGATAGGGAGAACGAATCAGAAGTCTTAACTGCATTAGAAAGTGTTGGAACGGCAGCCTTTAATGGGAAATGGGATGAAAAGATGGAAGCTGTATTCATTAACAACATTGGACGCTACAGGCGTTATAAGTATGATAGTGTCCGCGATTTGTTGCGGGTCATACGCAACAAGTCACATCACTACAGAGAACTTCCTCAAGAGATCAAGGAAATATTAGGATCACATCCAGAAGGATTTGAGAACTATTTTTCTAGCCGATTTCCAAAGTTGTTGATTGAGGTGTACAAAGTGATGTGTATGCACTGCAAAGAGGAGGAATTCTTTCGTAAATACACAGAAAGCAGTATAATCTAGAAAACCCGTTGCTCATTTGTTCTTTTGCCTGACTAAGGTGTTCTCTAACTGGGGTAATTAAAAATGTTGTAAATCGAACTTATGCTAACATTGCAACAGAAATTGTATCAAGTTACTATGTAACCTGGTGTACATATCAGTTATGTAACTAATTTACATTGTTGTGACAGTCGATTCATTTGCCAATGTTCTGTTGTTTAGTGTAGTTAGCTTGCAGCATACCCTTTAGTGTCAATTAGCTCATAGCAGAGCCTTTAGTATCAATACACCTAGAAATATTTGAAATTCAATCTTGCCTATGATTGGATAAGTTTGATCCTTCATCCACTTCTTGTGCTTCGTCTCTAAGATTACAAATCCAAGCACAGGTCTATTTTCGGGAGCAGAGTGCAGAAAAAAGGAGTGGGCACTCTTTTGAGCAGGTCCGGTTACAACTGACAAACCCCGGGCAAAATCAAAACGACTGAGCAAGTGAGTTCTCTTACTCTTATTTAATGAAAATTTTCTACTCTGAAAATGCTAAAATAGCATTTTTTTTTATTTCCTGCATAGATGGTGGATATATTGGTTGCTACTTTGTGTTTGCAAAACTATCAATTTTGAGAAATTCTCTTAGCATTAGAGCCAGCCTGAGATTTAGGTTCCAAATTCATTGATATTTTGGAATATGAAATTCTGTAAATGATTCTATCTCCTTTCTTGCCCATCATTTAATCAGGAACCATCTTACATGGTTCAAACTTGTTGAATCTTTTCTCTGAATTTAGAGCTATAAAGTACAAACAATAGAACTGGTAAGTCCCAATAACCCAACCGTTCATCGGAGCTTGTAACAATTTTGAAAAATAGCTCAGGAAGAGATTATTTTATCGACAAAATTAACAAAGATCATTTTTTGATAAACCCTAGGTGTGGCCGAATACACACAGGAAGAATTAACCAACCACCAGTAGACGCGTTCCAAATTAGAACAAGCATTACAGTTGGATGCCAATGAACGCAAATCATTTTACCATGTACAAACATGAATGGCCCACACTTCACCTTTTGTTCTGGAGTTTGAATTTCTTGCCTCAGAGTTTCTGTAGCCATTAGTGATCAAGATTTTACCAAAATGTCTCTCAAATTGATTTACTGTGTAACCACAAGATATGCAAAGGAAAAGTAATTCTTGCAAAAGCCAATGGCATTTCCATACCCTCTTAAAGTGGTGCAGGAACCATTATTTACTACCTAGCTAATAAGACTCTTGCTCTAAATGCCCAGTCTCCCGGTTGAACCATAATGGCTCCTCTGCAGCTCCTCCTTCTCTTCCTCCTTGTTCTCAGCCCTTTTCAAAAAGTTTCCAGTGTCGGAGTGAACTACGGCACACTCGGAAACAACCTCCCATCCCCAAAGAAAGTGGCTCAGCTCCTCCAGTCTACACTTATCGACAAGGTAAAAATCTATGACACTAATCCTGATATACTGGGAGCTTTTTCAAACACTGGAATAGACCTCATTGTTGCAGTGGAGAACTATCACGTAGCAAACATCAGTTCTGATGTATCAGCAGCAGATGAGTGGTTTGCCAACCGTGTTGTGCCCTTCATTCCTGCCACTTCCATAGTAGCCATTGCTGTAGGCAATGAGTACTTAACCACAGATCCTGACCATTTACGACCAAATAATCTCTTCAAAGCAATGCAGAACTTGCATGCCGTGCTAGTGGCACGTGGACTTGACCGGAAAATCAAGGTCACAACACCACATAGTATGGCTGTTCTTGCTTCCTCATTTCCTCCTTCAGCTTCCACTTTTGCTACTACTCTTATGCCTACCATGACCTCCATAGTGGGGTTCTTAGCTGACACTGGTGCTCCTTTCATGGTCAATGCGTATCCATATTTCGCTTACAGAGACAACCCTGGTTCTGTTAACCTACAATATGCCTTACTAGGTAATGCTACTGGAGTACGTGATCCCATGGGGTATGTCTACAACAATATGTTAGATGCACAAATTGATGCTGTTAGATCAGCCATCAATGCTCTAGGGTATGGAAATCAGACAGTTCAGATTACAGTGTCAGAATCCGGTTGGCCGTCCAAGGGTGATCCTGGTGATGATGCGGCCACGCCCGACAATGCAAAGACTTATAATACAAGATTGATAGAACGTGCACAGTCCAATAAAGGAACACCCATGAAGCCTAAGGATAATATAGAGATATTTGTGTTTGCTTTGTTTAATGAGAACAAAAAGGATGGTAGTGTTAGTGAGAGAAATTTTGGGATATTTAATGGAGATGGATCTAAAGTATATGATGTGGATTTGAGCTGCCAATTCTGTAGCAATGGAGGGACACTTGAATTCAGCGAGAAGATATCAAATGGGGTAAGAGGACCTTCAGTCTGGTGTGTGGCTAAGCCACATTCAGATGAGAAGGTGCTTCAAGCTGTATTGGACTTCTGCTGTGGACCAGGTGGAGTGGATTGCAGGGAGATTTATCAAAGTGGTGATTGTTTTGCACCAGAAAAGGTCCATGCACATGCTTCATATGCCATGAATGCTTATTATCAGATGCATGGAAGAAACTACTGGAACTGTGACTTCAAAGGCACTGGACTTGTCACCTTCAGTGATCCAAGTAAGTCATTTTACATAAAACTAATCTTTTTTTTATCATTTCTCATTTTTTTCATTGTGTGTGAAATTAACATGTGATTTAATTATTGCTGATCAGGCTATGGCAAATGCCGGTACTCGCAGCAGTGACATGGCAAGGAGTGGCAGTATTAGCTGTAATGTGATTTGCAGCTAACATTGTATTTAATGTTCGCCAGTATTGTTATTGGAAGAAAATTTGTAAGCTTATCTAGTTTGGTCACTGCCAAAACTTCATTTAAATCAAAAAAAAAAAAGAAAGAAAGAAGGTTTGTTTTCATTACAGATTTGAATTCTCTGTTTGTTTTGTCTGAAAAGTGTCTTTATTTTGGGGAAGAGGTAAAAGAAGAGCACATGGTGAAACAGCTGATGTCTCCATAATCAAAGGCTTTTTTCTGTTTTCAGATTGAAAATTTTGTTGCCCTTTGTTGGGGATGGAATCTTTTTTAGGCTTTTCCATCCTTCCACTTTCTAACCTTTGGGACCCGTTCTGCTAATAAAGTTGGTACAGAGCATTAAATCCCATTCAATTAGTCCAAGATTTATGATAGTGGATTGACATATTATATGCTCTTCACAAATCACAACTCACAAGCAAAGCAGTCATTTCGGTTGAAGTGTGAATGGATATCGAGCTCCAAATGCCAATCCAAAGTGCTTTTTGCTTGTCTTGAAATTAGTCGAACGACCGTCAGTTCATGTTAAAATACATGTCGTCTTGCATGTAAACTACATGGTTTAACTTTTGTTTAATTGCAAGCGACATATCATCGTATAGTGATCATATCAACAGATAACAAAATATTGATTGTGACTGAAATCTACTTAATGGGATTTATATTCAGAAAGGAAAAGGACAGCCCTGTAAACAAAAAAAAGATATTGATCAAAATTCCGTACCGCCATTATACTTAAAAAGAGAAGAAACAAGAATTCGACTAAAGAGGTTTATTAGCTCTCTTCAACGTAAGGTGAACAAAATATGCTTTAAGCTGAGGTTCCTTTTATAGGACAAAGTAACTTTTGTATGCTAAATTTCCTACAAAATATATGATTTGAATTCCTGCATATAGAAGGCTTACTATATTCACTATCGGTGTTGGATTACTGCATATATAGTGATACGTATGTGCGTGGCTTTCTGATTCCTTGGCGACAAGAAATGCTCCTTCAAATCATTTCTATTCCTTTCCTCTTCGGATTCTTTCCCAGCTCTGCATCCCTATCATTCTCAGATAATGATCTTTCCAACTTTCTTCTCTTATTCTTGCCCCTTGACTGATCTTCCTTCTCATCCATTAATGATAATAGTCTATGTATACCCCCAGAGCGTGAGCTCCCTTGACCAGGTGAAGCAGATTCCTCGGGGTGAGCACTATATAATTGGCGTGTGATCTGCCAAAAGTATACGAAGAGAGACAAGAAGCAAGCTATCCCGCAAATAAGAAACAGACCCCAAAAGCTTTTTAGCTCAAGTCTATCTGATTCAAGTTCAGATGCATCTGAACTGCAACCGCTGTGCATGAGCCATTTGTCATGGATCCTTTGAAGATCACCATTCTCCGTTAGTTCGAGAATTGCAGTTGACATATCAACAGCCAAAGGAGAGTCCCGTGGAAATGCCTGGTTTGCAGAAAATATTAAGAGATAGGGAAAACAGAAAAAAAGAATGCAAACATGAAGCCTAACATTTACTGCATTCCTAATACAAAAGCAGAGTAAACCTATTTCAAGTAAAATTGTGCAGTTTAGTTGAAAATATTATGTGGTATTTCAACTTGTGTTATGCCCAGTAACACTAAATAAACCAACTGGATGAATGTATGTATCTACTGTTTAGTGATATAGCCATGCCGTGTTAGACCTATGCTTCTGATTTTAGGCGAGGAAAAAAGGATAGAGCAAACCAGAGAACAGGTACTCACAAAACCCCAGCCACTTTTTGTGAATTCTTGACCTACAATCCTGAATGTGCACTGAGTTGAGAGGAAGAGTTCAACATAAGGACGTTCATCAACCACAGCAGCAACACCGCCCTCCTTATTAGGACCACGTTGGAGCGCTGTTGCATATGCTTCAGGTGATCCAAGGGGAACCAGCCTAGATTTATTTATTCCAAGTTCCTCACTCAAATAATACTCAGCAAAAGAACCCACTTGATATCCTATGGGATCATCACTCTCCTTCAAACTTTCAATCCCTTTGATAGGAGAAGATAACTGTTGCACTGTGAGTATTGATGTAAGACTTGCAGTGTAGCTCGAGTTAATTATTAAAACCACAAAGAGCCATATAATTAGCACAAAACGACCCAGGGTGCTCACGGTGTTTTCTCCTGCAAAATAAAAAAAGAAATCAACTCAAGCAAATAAATGGTGCTGCGCCCCAACAGCAAGTACAAAATCCAGGGAAAATAATGACTTCTAACTTACTATGGGCAAAAAACATTGTTGAGAGGCTGAACCTGCAGTATTAACAAAGAAAAAAAAAAAGACGGACCACATGAAATTAAGGATCAAATGGCAATGATTATTACAAGTTAGACAAATAACACAATAAGAGTTTAATTTAAGAACTCACCATAAAACGGTAATAATTTGGTGTTTAGGTGGGCCCCTGAATTCATCATTTATCCTATGCTCCAGAACCCACACAACTGTGCCAACAGCAATGAAGAAACAGGCAGTGACAACCCACATAAGTGGACTAAATGGCTGCAAGAAAGCCCAGGCCCCTGATTTCAACTTCCTAAATGGGGCCACAATAACCAGTCCAGATGCAGCATATGGCTGCGTAAAATCCACGATTTTTGTTCGATTTGTGACTATAGCAATATCACCAACAACAGCATCAAGGACCTGCAGCAAAAATATTGGACATTCAACCAACGGAAAAGAAAATTGTACTCGACAAAAATTTGAATTTAAAACAACAAATTTATAATTTAGCACTCACACCCGTAGTGATCATGTTCACAAGCTCTGTGTAGCTTGGGTTTGCTTTACCATTTCCAAAGGGGACAAACTGATAGGGAACAGCATATGGTAACAAACTTGCAGCAGCTGTAAATACATCTATGCAAAAACCTTTGAACATGTCAGTTCCTTGTACTCGTGTTACAAATTCCTTGAAACTGACCCGAATGGGCACACCAATTCTCAATTGCTTCCCATTGTTAGGGAAAACCCATCCACGGGGTTTTGATGATGTCTCTCCAGGCCAAATAACACTGTACAATTGCTGGTTTGCACTTGACCGATTTGGTGGCCTTATATAGAGTGTCTCAGGTGGCACAGTTGATAAACCAGAATAATTGGACCAGAAACCAACCATTCTAAAACCAGTCCCAACCACATTAATAACATCATATGCAGGAAGAATCCGAGATCTGTCTGAATCATACTTTATAGGGCCCGTTAAACCAACAAGATCACTTTTCAATATGTTCTCCAACAGGAGTCTTCCATCATCAAAAATACTCATTGCATCAAGGTGAAGATCACTACCTCCTGCAGAGCGCAACCTGGAATCATTAGAAAATGAGATAATCCCACCCTGATCAAAAAATGCATCAATAGCATGAGCAACCAGCCAGACAGAATCATAAGCACAGAGCCCATAAGAATTCAGCCCTGGAGAACCACTAGTCAACTTGCTCCACCTGGACGAAAAGGATCTCTTTCTATCTGAATCCGGTATGTGTTGACGCAAAGTAAGAACTCCTTGCATCGTGCCCATGGCCTCAGAAGATAGAGGAGAAGAAGAATCTAAAACGGATGAGAGCCAATCTGTGGCTATCCATACATACCCATTACCCATCATACCAAGGTATTTTGCCACAGAAAAGACTTCAAAACCCAACTTCGAATTTACATGAAGAACAACAACTCGAGATTCCATCAATGCAACCTTAACAAGGATATCCATAATTTCTCCATTGCTGACACCAGAATCTGGTGGAATCCCCAACTTGTAAGAGATTTTACACCGCCTCTCAGCAAGCTTATCACTCAGAGCTAATATGCCATTTCGCCCATAATCATCATCAATAAAAATGGAAATAACCTGCTTCCAACCATAATAATTAACTATCTCAGCTATTGCAGTCATTTGGTATAAATCACTTTGTATTGTCCTAACAAAAAAGGGGAATTGAAGTGAATTAAGAGTGGGATCTGTTGCTGCAAACGATAATAGAGGAACTTGGAGTTCATTTACAACATGGGATATGATATGAGCAACTACAGAAGATTGTGGGCCTATAATCGCGACAACATCAGTCTCCATGAATTTTAAAGCTGTTACAAACACAGTAATAGTGCATAATTAAAATTCACTCTAGCCCATGCTAAGTATTTGACCACACAAGTTAGACCAATATAAGACTGAGACATAGGTAGTCACTCACCTTCAACCATGCCTGTAAACCCACTGCAATTGGAGTCGTGCATTGTAATAACAAGTTTGGTCCCATGAAGGATGCTAGAATTGGCATTTACATCTTTGACAGCTTCTTCCATGGCAATCTTGGCCACTTTCCCGATGGTAGAGTCCAATGTAAAAATTGCCCCAATATTCACAACAGCAGGCCTTGAAGTGGCATTCCTACTGTGGCCACTTGAAAACAGTACAAAGAAGACAGAGAGAAGGGAAACAAGCACTATAGCATTCATTTCAGATGAACAGTACAGTTATCGTCACGTATCCCAAATGAATTTGCTCGCTTCTGCTGCCAGATAATTTGTGCTCAATTGAGTCATGGGTTCTAAAGAAATGGAAAAAGAACTGTGACTAAAATTTCTTTTATGAGAATATCAAAGAATAGAAATGCGCAAAAATTGAATTGAAATAACTAATCAATCAACAAAATACACTCTTCAGTGCTGAATAGAACTGGGGAGGAGACGCAGAAAACCAGGGTTCATCAATCATATAAATAAAATCATCAAACCAAACTTACATATTAAAAGACTCGTGTAAACTTTGTCCTTCATCATTTGGCAATTAACACATTAATAACACAGTTAATGTGTAAACACGGGCTTCAAAATCACCATTTATTTATTTCCCCGGCTTTCTTATCAACCAAACAGGCAGTGAATACGGGGAAAGGAAAAAGGGGGAACATCAAGGACATGAGAAACCTAGCACTCGAATATGATAGCTAGCAGAAAAGAGAATCAGATTCTCCGTTCAAATTAAAGCCTAAGTGTAAACAAAATTTAGTTGTGAAGCCAATTACTGCTTTTGATGCAATTAAGATACCCAGTTCCATGAATTAAATATTGGAGGGAGAAAAACAAAGGAATTAGATATGAAGAGCAAAGATCCAGACAACAGTGTTACCTGAAAAAGAAAAATCTAACATGGAAATGAGAGGAGCTCTAAGCAGCATCTTTTACTCCGGCAAAAAACAAATCCAACAAATTGTTCAGAGTTTCAGAGAAACTGGAAATTCACGTGAGGCACGGAATTAGTATGGGCAAGGGACATTTATTTTACATTTTCTGAAAATTTTCACTTTACAAGAAAAGAATAGAAATGATCAAATAGAAATGATGAGAAAGCATGCTGATTAAAAAACGCCACTAGGTTGCAACCAAAAAAGCTCAATTGAGGCAAAAGTTTTGTTCTTTAAACAGCGGCCATGTGCTCTAATGGCAATAATCACTAAAATAGGAAAAGGCAGGCAGCTGTATAAGCTATAAACTACAAAGAGTAAAGGCCCAGATGACAAACTCACAAGAAAATGAAAAACCAACAAGGATGCGAGAACAAGATGATGAAGAAAGCTTTATATAAATCTAATTGGTCTCCAAAGAGTCCTTACAACCTCAAAAAAAGAGAGAGACCAAAACCCTAATAAGAAATTGGAGTTCACGTGACATAATCAGACAGAGATTGGAATAGGAATAGTAGCTTACTTGGAAGAGAGACATGCATTTAGCTTTTGAGTTTTGAGAATCAATTGTTAGATTGTGAGCGGCAAGATGCTTCCCACTGTTCTGAAAGGGGGAGCCTTCAGCCTGGTAAATCCTTTGACAGCCAGACATCACAATTCACAATGGGTGTTTTTAGATTCCCATTAACGACAGTTACTGCCAGTTTCCCCAAACAAATAATGATGCTTCCTGTGTCAAGTTTCAGGACAGCCATGGACTTTCTCTCTTCGAAATAATGGAAAATAGGCTCATATTAGTGTCTTAATTTTATCAATTTTTCCAAAATGAATTATTTTAATTAAATTTCTTTATAAATTTGTATACGTGTCTCCACTGTCCATGCTTGGGCCGAAACGGTGGAACTATATATTTTGGTATTTCTTCAGTTTATTTATTGCTATATATTATTGTTTCCTTTATTTTATTTTATTTTTATTTTATTTTTGAATAAAAACAAAATTATTAACATATTTTATTTTATTTTTTAAAGATATAATAAAATAAAAAAATTTAAAAAAAAAATATGAATATATGGATATTTATATGATTATTATTTAAGGTATAAGGAAAAGATAAATACATACCATCCATCATTACAAACATGATTAATTTCCAATTACGTTGTTGATCAAATACAAAATGCATCCACCGTACGAATAATTAATCATGAATCAGAAAAACATGTGTTTCAAATTGAATAATATAATAAAATTTGTTAAGCTGCGGACGAAACTACAGTAAACCAACCCTTCCCCTTCCCGACAGGAAAAGAGTGAAGAAGAGGCAGCCATAGCCACAGACTAATCACGTGCCAGATTTGGACATAAGCGAAAAAGCAACTAAATAGTGATAACTGATTTGACAAGATGAAGAAAAGAATAAAGATGATGAGAATGGAATAAATTGACCCCAACCGCCATTTATATCATCCTTCCTCAATTTCCATCATCAGGTTTAGGAAACATATGCTAACATTACACCCACCGTTACTCTCTTTCACGGCCAACTTAAAATCCAGATTTTTTAATTTTTCGTATTAACCAGAAGATCAACTGGGCCATACCCGATTTACATTGAATTTTTACTTTTGACATTACTCTTGCACTCGTAAAATTGAGATCTTTTACCTTTTCGCATTAAGAAGAAGACGAGCTACAAGATATACGATTCATGTTAAATTCTTGTATTTAATGATATTAAAATTAGGTAACTAGCTACCTTAGCCTCAGCCATTAAAGAAATATAGAAATATAGAGTTTATTCGGTAAAATTAATTATTTTGATAGCTGTTAACTGTTTTAATAGCATTTAACTGTTAGTAATCTAAGTAATTTTTTATAAAATGCTAAAAGTTAAAGGTTATAGGATTTGATATTTTATAAAATATTACTTTAATATCTAAAAGTTAATTCAAACTTTATATTATCGAATATTATAAAAAATAACATTTTAACCGATCAAAAAATTAAAAACTACTTAAACCGAAGAAGATAATGTTGTTAAGTTGGTAAGTTTAGCGGGTGTAATGTTGCAGTAAACATGTATGTAACCAACGTTTGACCACCATATGTATTACGCAAAGCAAGTTTTCAATTCATTAGCTTATCTAATGCGTTCAACTTCTAAGCAAACTAATTTCATTAATTAGGACTAAAGGTTAACTTGGTAATTTTCCTTTTTTTTAGTATCGGAGAAGGAGATTCGAACTTGAATCTATTATCCGATAATACGGTATAACCTTGCAAATTTTTTAAGTAACAAAGGAAGGAGCTGTTATTACGATTAGCTAGGTCTTTCTTTTTTGGTCCTTTCAACTGTTCAAGTGGGGAATACATGTGCCTTCATCAGCGTCTTAGTACCTCCCTTGCTTGAATTCACTAATCATGACTGGCCTGCACTTAAATCTAGATCGTGCGATTTTTTCTGATTTGATAATCATAATCAAGATCTATCAAGATTCACGCATAGTCGTGGTTCTAGGTTATAAAAACTAACATACGTCGGCAAGCCCCATGATTGTCTAAAATCCATGCAAATGTGCAATCCAACTACCAGAATGATAAGACCACCACACGATCACCTCCATTTAATATTTTATATATCCTCCACGTTAATCCCCGCGTTTGTACATATAAAATAAAGATTATACTTAAATAGATCGAATTGCAATTCAATAATAATTAAATCCATAAAAATAAATTTTTTTTAATAATTATTTATATTTTTATCTTTTGTTAATATATGGTTAGAAAAAATAATTCTCCATTTAATAAAAAAATTTTATTTTTATTAATTTAATTCATGAATGAAGTCGTGGACGCAGTTTACACGATCATATTTAATAATATCTTTAATTATTTAGGATTATACTTATCTTGACTTGATTTATAGCTCACTCTGGACAAAATTAATGAAAATGTAAAATTTTTAAATATAATTCTCAATTTATGATCAAGAAATATTTTTACTTTAATAAAAAAAATTATTTTTTACTAGTTTAATTTATGAATAGAGTATAGACCATATCCATACAAATCAATAGAAAATCTTCAAATGTATAATATGTTCGATCTTTTATAAATCTTGAAACTCTATTATTCTGCATCACCAATTTAAGCATTAGAGAGATTATAGAGTAATTTTTTTTTTTTTTTTACATTGCAAATTGCAACCATCAAGCCTAAAAAAGAAAATTCTCGAGCAACATTACTAATGAATTGATTAATAAAATATTTAATTCAGATAAAACTAAATAATCGATGATTAAATAATAAAAAATTGTGCATGTGGTCTTTAACTTTTTTTTTAATCCCTGCAAGGATTTTGTTTTTTCTTTTTTTTTTTTTATTTGGACAAAAGGAGTAAAATCCGGAGGGAAAACCATCCCTCCACTCCACTAACCGGTAAGATATCTTACCCGAAATTTCTAAAGTTTAAACCAATTAAACGACGACCCCTGTACCGCGGGAATCCAAGTCTTGGCTTTTTAACGGCCGTTAACCAAACCTAACCTCCCACACCAGGAAAAGCAACCTGTACCGTCCATATAGAAGCTCGGAGATCCAACGGCTGGGACTCAATGGCGGCAATAACCCACGAACCAACAAAATAACCATCTCGTCAACCAACGTCTCCACCAACCACATACCACCACGTGTCGGTAGATATCTTCAGGGCGACAGCTAGAAGATCCACCGGATTACCTGGAATCGCCAGTAGCCAACCGAATGCCAACAAGTTTCTCTCTCTGTAATGCATCAGCATCAGCCTACAATTTTTTCTCCTCTCTTTTTGAACTACTTTTGATTCTCTCTCTTTCCCCTCCTAGACGTCTCTCTTTTGTTTTTTTTGTTTTAGGGTTCTTCGATGATCTGACGGAGAAAGAAAGAAAAAGGGGGAAAAAAAAAAAGGAAAGCAAAAGCATAGCATAAAGAATCATCATCATCTGTGAGAAATCGCCCTGCTTTGATTTTCTACACCAGACTCCCCAGTTTTTCCAGTTTCTGTATATTGTGCCCTTCTTTATGTTTTTGGGAACTTCTTGAACCATTTTTGAAACTTCTCGGGTTAATTGGCCTATTTATATTCGATTTGGTAGCTTGTAACGGTGAATAACTAGAGATTTAAAGTAATTTGGTGATCTTTTGGAGAATTTGAATGATTGACGTGATTCTGTGATCTGGGAGTTGTTGAAGATTAAACAATTTGTTCCGTAAAACTTTTGAGTTTGCTTGCTGATTATTCTTTGTACAGTTGTCCGAAAACTGAAGGAATTCGGTTTCTTAAAGTTTCTGGTGCGTGAATTTGCCTGATTCTCAAGCTTATAGTTTAGATATTTTAATAGATCAGAGGTTTTGTGGGGACAATTAAAGTTATTGGCTTTGAGGGTGTGCGTAGAGATCACTTGATTTATGATTAGAAAGGGGAAATGGCCGCTGGAATGGATTTCTCACCTCCTTTTGCTGTATTAGAAGGCGGGTATAGTAGGGATAACGTATCATCCACAGAAAACCAGAACTCGGAGAATTTGGATTGTCTGAAACAAACTGCAAATGGGAAACCGCCTAGGCACCTCTCGGTTATGCGGCATAGTATGAATTCTATGAGAATGATGGCTGCTGCCGATCTGGTAAGTCTGTTTCTTCTCATATACTCTTCTTCTTCCTTTTTATTTGATGACAGATCGGTGGTAGCAGTAGCAGTAGCAGTTGTTCTGCGTCTGAGGCCTCACATTTGATTGAACTGTTGGGTGTTAGAGAAATGGTCATATGGGTGGAAAGTTAATCTTGAGAATCCAAGCATCTTACACTTGGAATGGTCATTTTCAACCAATTTTTACTGAATAATTTTTATGCTTTTGTTGTTTGGTAAGCATTGTCGAAAATCACCAAATCTAGAGTTCATATATAGCATAAGTGAATAAGTAGAGGCAAAGTTCAAGATGAACTTTTATTTGTTGTTCCTTTTCCAAAAAAAAAAAAAAAAAATTAAAGGAGATTTAAAAGTTATCCACTTTGTTTGGGTTGTTTTGAGATTTATTTTAAGTCCATTGGTTAATTAGTTAGCTCAATATTCTGCAGGCAATGGATGTTGGGATTGTTGTCAGTAAGTCGCCTTCTGATGAAAAATCAAATTTTCTACCAGTTTTCCGATCAGGGAGCTCTGCTGAAGGAGGGCCTAAACAGTTCATGGAGGATGAACATATATGTATAGATAATCTTATTGAGCATCTAGGTTCAACTGCCAATTTCCCCACACCTGCAGCTTTCTATGGGGTGAGTATGATGATTTCTTACCATTTGTCTTCTTAATCCTAGTTGATATTATATATAGAGATGGACAAGTTCTTTGATCAAAAGCTTTTGAAAGGAGAGAAAATGGCATTTCTTGTTGGTTTTTGATTTTTGGGTTTCTTATAACTCTGAGCAATTATCATTCTTTTGCTTCATTATTACTAATGTAGAGGTCACAATACTTCCCAAATCTTAGCAAAAACAGTTGCTTGGCTAAGTTGTTAAGAGTCTGGTGCCTTATTGGCCATATTCATTGACTGATACTTGTTGATGCATGTGAACAGGTTTTTGATGGTCATGGGGGGACAGATGCAGCATCATTTGTTAGAAATAATATACTTAGGTTCATAGTTGAGGATTCACATTTTCCAATTTGCGTGGAGAAGGCAATTCAAAGTGCTTTTGTGAAAGCTGATTATGCATTTGCAGATGATAGTGAACTTGATATCTCCTCTGGCACCACTGCTTTAACTGCCCTTATTTTTGGAAGGTAAGCTAGCCTCTTAGTTGCCTTTGATTTCAGAGTTTTACTTAAGATTTATTATGATAGCAGTGAGGGCCTGAAGGTTTAGGTATTTGCCTCCGTCCAAACTATCCATGCATATTATAGCGGATGGGCATTGGCCTCCAAAGATGCTTCTGGATAGAAGATGGCACGGATGAAAATTGGAGAAAGAGTGGGAGGCTTAAGTGAGAGATCAAAATGTTTCTGTTGAAAAATATATAGGAATAGCACTGCATTAGATCTAAATTTCTGCTTTAATTTTTAATTAAATTTTGTTAGTCTCACTATGATTCAATGAAATATACCTTTAGAAGTTGAGATCAATAGTTGGATATGTTCAAAACACATATTGAAAGGCTACTTTGATGGTTTGGCCTATTGTGCCATCTTTGTCAGGAAAACCAAAATGTTTACATGTCTAGTACTGTTTCCTGGTTCTTAAATTCATGAAGCAATTATAATTTTGTTCCTTTGTACTTTTGCCCTTCATTACTGTTTCATTTAATATCAGTGGTTTTCATGACCGGTCTCTTAAATAATCTGTCTTCTCAGGACCTTGATAATTGCCAATGCTGGGGATTGCCGAGCAGTGTTAGGGAAGCGAGGTAGAGCCATTGAGATATCCAAAGATCACAAACCTAATTGCACATCTGAAAGACTGAGAATTGAGAAACTTGGTGGAGTCATATATGATGGCTATTTAAATGGCCAATTATCTGTCGCCCGTGCCATAGGAGACTGGCACATGAAGGGCCCCAAGGGTTCCGCATGCCCTTTGAGTGCAGAGCCAGAGTTGCAGGAGAGAAATCTAACTGAGGATGATGAATTCTTGATTCTGGGTTGTGATGGCCTGTGGGATGTAATGAGCAGCCAGTGTGCAGTGACCATTGCAAGGAAAGAACTGATGCTCCATAATGATCCAGAAAGATGCTCAAGAGAGTTGGTGAGGGAGGCACTAAAGCGCAATACGTGTGATAATGTCACAGTGGTAGTGGTTTGCTTTTCTCTAGACCCACCCCCTCGGATCGAGATCCCACAATCTCGTGTTAGAAGAAGCATATCAGCAGAAGGCCTGAATTTACTCAAAGGTGTGCTAGACAGCAACTCATGAAATAAGAGGATGGTTTAGAGAAGTGTGTACAAATGCATTCAAGGTTTACAATTAGTACGGTCAATTTTTTGCCCCTAGGCTGCTCCTGCTGTCCTCTTAGGCATGGCTTATTTTCAGCCATATTCTTCGGGGAAAATAAATATCGCATGGAATGTGATTCTTGAGTTTCAAAATCCTGTACATCTGAGATCATTATGTTGTACCATCTGGATGAGTTTGTTCAACTTTCTAGTTGCATACACCGCGTCCTCATATTTTTTCAATTCTCCTATGTACATAAATTTGGAAAAAGAAAAGCTGAGGGGGCATTCTCTTTCATTGCTATTCAATCATTTTCTACTATTTGTTATTTATTGAATTAATTAATCACAGTGATAGTTTAATGGTATGTCCTAATAAATACTTACTTTGATGACAATCATAGTTTTATTATTAAGCCTCTTTATGCTTGCAAAATCGAGCATTCTTCAATCCTTCAGCTTGAAGAACACCAATTTTCCAACTTACTATCGCTTGTTTGAATATGTGATACGCCAATTGTACACACCAAAAGGCAAAATTTTAAGAATTAAGCGGGGCACTCAAGAATTCATACTTTATGACAAATCAATTAGATTACAAAACAATGGCATTTCTATTAATTGGATGGGAACATGACCCATTGACTCGTTTCGATTTAGAAACAGACTGAATCACGAAGACCCTCATGTTATGTATTGAAACAAAATTTCTAGGTCCACAAGAAATTATTGAACTTTTTTTTCCCATAATAAAGTAAAGTTTGCATTATCTCTTCTATTAGTAGCACACTCTCAGAGTTCTCCATCAGATTCATTGTCATCACCATTTACCTGATGAGAATCGCTGCACATAAAAGAAAGTCCATGCGTTATTAAAATTTACAGCAGAATAAACTATACCAATTTTAAATTGCCCACTGCTAAATCTAGCTAGCTGTTTATTGAAGAACTGCAACTTTTTTGGAATAAATAATCGACAAACAAGTCAAAATTGAAACGAAACTTCCTATTGACATGTGTAGTCAAGTAAAATATGGTTTTAAAACTGAATTTTATTGGGAACTCAAAAGATATAAGACATGTACATGTAAATGCTATTTGTTCTTTTAAATTTTATTGTTTTTTTTTTTTCTTTCAAATTTAGTCATATATTAAGAATGCCAAACCATGGATGAGCACCAATTCTTCCAAATTAGGTTAGCTTCACAGCTCGGCCGCTGCTATTAAAAGCAACTTATAGAATTGTTCCTATTTCAAGCACCATATGGCAAGTAACTTCCAAAATTTGTACCTACCAAGTCAGATTTAACATTACCTTGAGGAGGTGCAGTGCTTGCTCAAATCTTGACATAGAACCTTGCTCACACCTCCGACTTTAACATATCCTTTCTTTATTAATTCTGCCAACTGAATATTACTTGATATTAGTAGCAGCACACTGTATGCATTCTGTCATTACAAACAAAAAGGCCTCTGAACCTTGAAATGATTAATCAGGATAAGAAAACTCACCTCATCTTCAGTTTCCTCCAGTAACCTATCCCATTTTAAACACAAGTTAAACTCAGTAAACTATGATTCTAACGGCTTTCACACCCTTGGAACAGAAACCAAAATTGAAAACGAAAGATGCATATCACAATGACCAGAAAAATGTGAGGATATGGGAAAACATTTGACCTCTCACCTTCCACAATAAGATGATATATCTTTTGAATATGCTCGAGCTTCTTGCTTATCTAATTAACAAATTAAAAATAAAAAAAAAAAAAAAAAAAAAAAAAAAAAAAAAAAGAGGAGAGAGAAAATAAATAGAAAAGTTAATAGTCAAGAAAATCCTGAATAAAAGGTTGAAAGAGTTAGAAAAGGGGGAACTTCACAATAAACATGCTAGAGCTAACCCTGATCATTAACATGGAAGCAAATAAGATGTCCGTCATTGATTTACCATAATTGAAGTAAATGAAAAAAGAAACAGAAGAATTTATTCAAAGCAAACATCAAATTCAATTTAAATAGTAAGATGATAACTGCCAAGGCACTATTTCATTAAAGGCTTAAGTATAGAGGCTAATGTACCAAGAATAGATGATTATGTGCAACAATTACAAGAAAGTACATACTTTCTGCAAGATTATCCCAGCTGTCCACTTTGATCCACGCGCTTTTTGTTGGATCTATCTGCAAAAATATGAAGATAAAAATTGAATGCTTTAGCATAGAATTACCAACTGTGTTACAATTTATCCATATGTCAATATGTCAACGAAACATATTCTAGGGGAGATGAACATATAATATGTGATGAAAAGGCTCCATTATATTGGAGCATGTCTATCAAAGCAGCTAATGTTAAGTAACCTGTCTGATTCTTGATAAAAGACACAACGCAATAGAGTATGAATTTTCAAGACCTGCTTTGCAAATTACCTCAATTATGAAAGGAAAAAAAGTGGTTGACAAAGAAACCTATTCAAACTGAAAATTACCTTGTGAAGGGTGTAATCTTGCATCTTATCACAAAGCCCATCCAGGAGTTCAACAACTCTCAGGTCACTGACTCTATTTGAAGCATTTGCACAATTATAACAGCGTTAAACATTGTTAAAGAAATTGCATCAAATGGGAGTAACTTATTTGAAAGATCTTAAGCATTTTGCACAATTATAGTCTATCAACATTTAAGCAACAAAATCTCTCTTAGAAGCCAATAAATAAACAGCATCTTTCATGGATAGTGTCTTGAACAACCATCCATGACCAGATTGTTATTTACTGGTTCAAGGTTGCCTCCCATTTATGTCTGAAATTAAGTACCGTGCAACATGCTTTGATACCTTCCCATAGGGGTGCAACTTGTGTTAGCGGGTCATGTTCACGTTCTGTTGAGCTGTACCCGCTACACAATTATGCTCAAGCCAAACCCAACAAGATAAGTTAATCGTGTCAAAAACTGAAACATGAAGGAGGCCCAACTATTAAATGGATAACAAAACTACACAGCAACATGCTTAAATATTTAAAATCCCATTAAATTACAAAAAATAATTAAAATATTACTTAAACCCATTGCAAAGAAGTTCCAAAATCATGATAATTATATCTTTTTCTAGATTTTTATTTGTCTGAACAAGAAGAAAGGTGATTTTTTTTTCATAGAAAAGAGAACGCCTCTTATTCTAACTTATAAACAATGTGGATTTCCTCATAATCATGTTAAATGTGTAATTAACGGGTTAGCTAACTTAGACATGATACAATTATTTTTGCGTCGTTATTGGGTGGACATGATAATGACAGAAAAATAATAAACCAAACCCATTAATTTCACGTTGAGTTCAGGTAGTGTCCAATGTTGCCACCCCTACCTTCCCATATTAAACTCTCTGTTTTAATCTGTATTGTAAGAGAAAGCCTGCAAAATCATGTTCTAAGTTTCAAATTACGCTTCCCATATTCAGCACATTGTTGTTCTAAGCACATGGTTACTGGTCATTTTACAATGCTTTACTTTCTCTCTTTTCCCACCCGATGCTGAAAGCTGAAAGAAGATATTGAAGCGATACCTGTAATCAATTACCTTTCCTTCGCGTTGACCTTTAGAATTCAACCGGTTTCGCATGTCCAAATGATTCCTTGGTTTTTCCTAGACGTAGGTACCAAATTAAATCATCACAAAGATTGGTTTTTTTAGCTCAAAGAGTCTAAACAAATTTACAAATCAGCATTGTCCAATTGAACAAAAACCTATAATCACAAACTACAAACTTAAAACGAACAAAATGCTTACATTTGAAAGCCCGCGCTCTAACTCATCCTGCAAAGCATTTGCCATCCTAAATCAGAACTCATACTTTTAAAATCTTCCTATTAACATTAATTGCTCAAGCAATGAAACAATGTTATTTTCCTTTATCATCTCAATTGCGAGGCCAGGTTGACATCACAAAGATCATAGATCATCAAAACTAAACCGTAAAAAAGAAGAGAAATGAAAGATCTGATGTTATGCTCAGGAAAATTCTGCAACTGAATAGAGAGAATGAAAAGTACCGCAACGGCATAACAAGCAGCGCACTTGTCTTCGACGCCCGAAACGACAGTAAACGTCACGATGGTGAATATGATCATAAACCACACCGCCACTGGCTCTGCCATGGTTTTCGACTCGTCTTCCTCTCCTCCTCTCTACTCTCCAACGGCAGATTTGTCTTGACTTCCTTCCCTCCCCGGCTCCTACGGCCTAACCTTATTTTACGCCAGGAGGTGGGCCCAAGCCCTATGTCTACCCAGCGCTTTGTAAACACTAAGATAGAAAGGCCCAATAGGCCCAAATCTACTTTTCATTCATTTCTTTGTTTATTAATTAATTAGAGAGCATAATCAAAAATATTTTAATATGAATTACAAATTTAAGGATTAGCTAAATTAGAAAATGGGTTAGTCTACAAATCTAATTCCTACCACCAAAAGATGAGATGCGACATCAAAGGTCCCTTCTTCCTTAAGGTCTCGAGTTCCAGCTATGTATATAAAATATGTTTAAAAAAGCATTGTACTTCTTTATGGGCTTATCCAACGCGAATTCAAATTACTCGAATTAGTAAATTTTGAATACCAGATAGTTTCACCACAAACCTAATTCCTAGACTAAACCATAAAAAGAAAAACTTTCTAGGTAGGTTTCTTCGATGTAATTCTCCATTAACATTGAACGAACAAACAAATAGATCCATATTGTAATAATTTGATTCATAGTATAGTAGTTGGGAACCTATTACAATTGAGCTTCATGTCAAAATGAAGTTGTTGAACTTAGGAGAAAAAAATTGTGAACCATGCATGTTTTGATGATGGAAATAAATACAACCTCCCACTTTCCCATGTGGGGGTTGGGTATTTTTAAAACTTTCTGGAGTCATATTTAGAGTAATTAGACAACTTGGAAGAAACAATCAAATACACCATGCTTCCTATCCAATATTATTATTCATATATGATGGTAAATGGACCACCACCTTGCTCATAAATTATTAAAGTCCTCGTGGTCCTCTAAGCCATTATACATATTAATACTTTCATTTATCTCTATCAAGCACATGTATGTTCATTAATATGTTTGTAAGACAAGCCCTTTTTTATATATATAAAAAAAAAATTCATTACTTTACACTCTCGTGTGTGTCGGTATAATTAGTGAATACATTGATTGTAGACAATTTTTGTACTTGTAAGAAAATTATAAGAGAAGATTACTGAGTTATATTATCTGTTCAGCAAAACTAACTGTTTTGCCACATTTAATTATTAGCGATTTTGAAATTATTTTTCATAAAATATTTAAAGTTAAATGTTATATGAGTTAACTTTTTATAAAATGATATTTTAATTTTTAAAAGTTAGTTCAAATGCTACGTTATCAAACACTATAAAAGCCACTTAAAAAGTTGTTGCTGAATTTGATGGTTTAAAATTTTTACATGGGATTAAAGAAGTAGTTAATTATCCTAAATTATAACAAAATCAAAGATAATTTGACTAAATTACCATTTATCTTAAAATTGTAAAAATAATTATTATATTTAATATAAATAGAGGTAAAATTGAAAAAATTATTTATTTCTTTATAAAATATTTTAAATTACTTATATTTTGGTACCAACGAAATATTATTATTATTTTTACTATAATCATTATTCAGTAAATAAGTAAGTAGGGAGGGAGAAGAAGTGAATGGAGTGGAAAAAAAAAATCATGGAAGTAGGTGTTATAACATAATAATAATCTTATTGACTAAGAGGCGGGTAATGGTCCAAATGGAGCCCACCGTGTAACCACCCCAAATCGCCTCCATTTTCTCAGGCGACTATTTCGCTCCTTCGCATCCATATACGACACCGTTCTCTCTTTCTCTTCAGATTCATGGAGCCCCGAGCCCCACTGTTTGAAAGGAAGCCATATGATCATACACTCATCCTCGAAACTCGAGCTTTCTTAATCAAGCGGTCCTGATGAAGCTTCAGCACCATAACATAGCCGTTCAGTTCATATAATAACAATAGTAAAAACAAAAGAGAAAGAGAGAATGACAAATCAGAAATGAATGGGGAAAGAAAAAGAGCTAATGGGTCGCTTTTCAATATCAGTGGTGTGTCGCTTTTAAGCCTTTTACTAATTTCAGCCTAACCAGCCAAGCACTAATCTCCACGCTCATTTATTCCTTACTTACTCTTTCCAATCTAATATCTAATCTAACTTCTGGATTCGGTGGATTTGGTTTCGCATTTTGGATTCTCTGGATTGATATCTCCTGGCGAATTAGGTTTTCAAATCTCAACCATGTAAGTGTTACTCTCTTTATTTCTAGGCTTTGGTTTCTGGGAATTAGAGGAACAGCAAAGTTCAAGCTAAAATGATTGCTTCAAGATTTCTGAGTTTTCTTTTGTTTTCTCACACTTCGCTTTAACGTTTCAATTAGAATGACCCTTTTTGTTTGTTTGAGTTTCTATCATCACCTGCTGTTATTATGTCCAAAAGCTGGAATGAAACTTGATTGATTGGCCTTTTTTTATTTTCAAAATTAAAATAAAGTTCATTTTTCTTCGTTTTTAGTAGAGGATCTAACTTGAATGAATGTCTTTTATCCAAAAATTTAATCTTATGGATCTGGAAAATTTGCCACGACCTCTGCATTTCCGGAATCAAATTGTTAGGTCACCCCTCGATTTCATAGATTTCTTTTTCATTTATTCTCTTTCGTTTGCTTTGAAGGCGGATTCTTTTGGGTGGTTGTCTTGACAAATAGCTTTGCTCTATAGTCATTTATTTGCGAGGATGCTGGCGGATAATATTTCTTTCATGTTTTTTTTTAGAAGATATAAGGCGTCAGCTTGGGAACGATGATCCATGCTTTTGGCGAGATGTTTAGAGGCTTTAAGCTTTTGGCGCGAAAATGGCAATGAACGGAACATTTCCTGAGAGGCCGAGTGGAGAGGCATCTCTTATTCGGGATTTTGAGGCTCTGAGCGTGTCCCAGCGGCTTGTGAGAAGTGTTAGCCAGAAGTTGAGGAAGAAAAACAACAGATGCGATGGAGAGGAAGAGGATAATGTGAGAGGGATTTCTGTAAAATGTCTTACTTTATATGCCAGGGGCGGTGGTTGCAAAGTGGGGGCCGACACAGGTGAGGAATATGGGGATCCAAGTAGTAGGAGGAGGTCATCAAGTGCCAGTGAAGACGGAAAGGGATACAAACCAATCTGTGGCACCGATGAGCCAGGAGTTGATTGCTTCTCCTATGGGGTTAGGGAAAAGTTTTGGAAGAAAAATAACAGAAAATATTTTGAACTCGAAGATTCAATACAAAATAGCAGGTTGCACATCTTTCTTCCAGATGACATACTGGAAATGTGTTTGGTGAGACTCCCATTGACCAGTCTCATGAATGCGCGCCTCGTATGTAAGAAATGGAGATACTTGACTACCACTCCGCGGTTCTTGCAGATGAGACAAGAAGGTTTGTATCAGAATCCATGGTTGTTTCTGTTTGGGGCTGTTAAAGATGGCTATTGTTCTGGGGAGATACATGCACTGGATGTATCACAAGAACAATGGCATAGACTTGATTCTGATATTCTAAAAGGAAGGTTCATGTTCTCTGTTGCCAGTATTCAGGATGATATTTATATTGTTGGAGGTTGTTCTAGCTTGACCCACTTTGGGAGAGTGGATAGAAGCTCATTCAAGACTCACAAAGGGGTGTTGGTGTTTAGCCCTTTAACTAAATCATGGCGTAAAGTTGCTTCCATGAGGTACGCAAGATCAATGCCCATTTTGGGAATTTCTGAGGTTAGCTCTGATTTTTCAATTGTTCATAGTCATCAGCATCGACAAGAAAGGCGTTTTCCCAGGTCTCGAACTGGTGGGGTATCGGATGTTTATGAGGATCCACACCGGCTTTCACTAAGACGTCAATACAGAAATGCTTTTGATGAAAATGAAGCTTCATTGTTTCATAGCAGAAAGTCACACAAGTTCATCAGACAAAAAAGTGATCAGGCGAATGCTAAGGGTTTTAAAAGGTTTGTATTGATTGCTGTAGGAGGTCTTGGATCTTGGGATGAACCTTTGGACTCTGGAGAAATTTATGATCCCGTATCAAATAAGTGGACAGAAATCCAGAAGCTGCCCATAGATTTTGGGGTTGTATGCTCTGGAGTTATATGTAACGGGATTTTCTATGTGTATTCTGAGACAGACAAGCTTATGGGATTTGACATAGAGAGGGGCTTCTGGATAGCCATCCAAACGTTTCCATTTCCTCCCCGCGTTCACGAGTATTACCCTAAACTCGTATCTTGTAATGGTAGATTGTTCATGCTTTCAGTTTCCTGGTGCGAAGGGGATGGCCAAATAGGCCAGAGAAACAAGGCTGTTAGAAAATTATGGGAGCTAGATCTAATGTATCTTACATGGACGGAAGTGTCAGTACATCCTGATGCTCCAATGGATTGGAATGCTGCATTTGTTGCTGACAAAAATCTTATATTTGGGGTGGAAATGTTCAAAATATTTGGTCAAGTGTTGGACTTCCTGACTGTATGTGATGTGCAAGAAACGGGAACAAACTGGGGTCATATTTCGAGAAATCAGATGACCCACGAATTTGATGCTTCTTCCTGCATTACCAAATCACTGGCTGTCCTACATCTGTGAAGGCCTAGGGTGCACATTCTGATTTGAGCACAAATTTTAGACATTTATTTATCCATATGAAGAGATTTTGGGCAATAGATCGGCTATGCGAATTTGAATTTGAATTCTTTGGGCATAATCAGTTCTCACCTGGGAGATTATTCTGTTTATTTCTTCACTGCTGTTCATAAATTGATCCTGTATTCCTAATCTTGCTTTTCTTCTTATGTTTCATGAAATAATAGATACATCTGTTTTTCATCCGGTTCTTGGTTAATGTCCTTAAAACATTTCTTTTTATCTTCCCTTTTTAGTTTGTTTTGGGGTTGCTCATGGATTTTGTTGGACTGTTGGTGGGAAGATAAGAAAGATAGTAAACCATAAACTTAACATCACCTTGGACAATATAAAAATTTTCCATAAACCATAAACTTTTTTCACCGATCAGTGTAAAATCATACGCGAGGAAATATCTTGACATTGGAGTGTTCTTAACTGCATCTGTAATAAAACAAAGAACCTCAGAGAATAGAATGTCCCAGTTATTAATTATTGATGGATGCTTGCGAAGCATCATAAAAACCAATAATTCACTCCCTATGCAAAAGTACAATATATGCAACCACGAGAATTTTAAGGTAAAAGAAAGAGCATCATTGACAACAAACGAACAAAATCTTTTTTACAACAATATATCTACCTATTTTGCAAAATGTAGCCACATCAAACCGCTCAGGACGAAGGATGAATTACATACATGTCCTTCCACTGATCAATTTTGTGCACAGATTGACTGAAAGTGGCCTATGCCATGTTTGGAAAGATACCTGAGAAATTTGGTATCTTGTCAACATGTTTCAATGCACGCTCAGCAATTTGCCGGGTTCGATAGTCAGCGTGCTGAAAGGCATCAACAAGTGCAGTACTGACATTTGGATCTCCAGAAACTTCATATGCTATATCCTCAGTTCGTAAAAGTCTCTCGACAGCCCATACTGCCCTTCTCCTTAGATTCTCTGTCCGTTTCTCAAGCAACACATCAAGTATAGGTTTAACCCCCTCTGCTTCACACAACACCATCACCCCTTGTTCAATATCAACACCATCGTCCAGCAAAGTAGATATAGCGGCAAGTGCTGCCTCAACTACCTTCTCATTTGTGTGGTCTAAAAGTGCAACCAGTTTCTCAACAGCCTGCCCTTCCAAAAGACAAAATGTGTCTTTTAATGAACATGTTCCGCGATGAAGCCGGCACAATCCAGTTATGACAGGCTGTTTGCTAAAACAAGGAAAGATTGAAGCACAAAATCCAGATGGGGGCAACTCAGGCAATTTTGTTAAATTCTTGGACTCCTGAGACAAGTTCTCCAATGCCATGGCAGAAACCATCTGCACATTATCAAGTCCATTGGACTGAAGCAGTTCAATGAACACAGCAGCAAGGTTGTTCTCACGGCAGAATGCAATGGCATCAGGCTCTTCAGCTAAAACAAACGTAACCCTTGCAAGAACCCGTACAAGCCCTTCTAAATATGGTGTCACAAAACGGATACCTCTAGTCTCCCCTTGACGGATCTTCACTACTCTAGAGAAGATTAACTGAAAGGCCCCTTCATCTAGCATCTGACGTGTAAGGCCCAAATCCCTCTCTGGAAGTTCAGCTAAAAGACCAACGGCAGCAGCCTGCTCTTCTGTGATTCCTATGTTTTCTGATATGACTTTAATTAGGCTGCCAAGCTGGCCAACTGAGCCTCGAAGGGCATTAGCTAATTCCTGACCCATATGGGGAGAGAGGTTCTGAAGGAGTTTTATAGAAGCTAAACGCAGATCCTTCTGGGGGACTTCAATAAACTGAACCAAACTGGTTGTAGCACCAGAACTTTTAATAGCAGTAACAACATTTAGAACAGTAGCAGGGGAACTAGTAAGTCCAACAAGAACTTGGAGAAGTTTGCATTCAATAGCTGGACCAGTGTTGCTAATTAGATGGAGAAGGTTATGTACTATGTTTTCTGAGACCAGAGTCTGATGGTTCGGCCCGACAGAAATTGACTCAAATTCATAGTCTGAGCTCACAATGTTGGCAAGAATTGTTGCTGAGACCTCTTTCAGTCGCATTGGAAGCTGATTAACCGTAAAGAGGTCGTTAACAAGAGGAGGAAGAATCCCTGCTTCAATCAACACCTTGGCACTCGGCTCACAAGATGAAATTTGGTTCAAAGCTCTCAAAGCAGCTTCCCTTGACTGTATGTTACCGCTTCTCATTATATTGATTAGGGATGAACCAACAGTGCGAGCCACAAGGACTTTCACATCATTGTTCAAAACTAGTTCACCAAGATATGAAGCCATGGATAATTTGGTTTCCGGAGGACCTGCAATGTCACCATTCTGGTTATCCAGACGAAAGGAATATTGTATACAATTTAAAAGCATACACAACTAGGTCTAACTAGAAGGAAAAATAAAGGAGCAACAAGAATACAAGAATATAATATTAAGGAAAGAAAATGTTTTTCTCCCCCACAATGAGCTGAAGAAAGGTATTGAGTTCAATAAAATCCATCTTGAACTATGATTGTTATGGGATGGAAGGTATATCACACCACACTATGTGAGTCTTAAAAACATAGGCTGGGATTACCTTATTAACAGGTACAATGATGTATAATAGAGCAGGTGGAGAAAGCTCAAAGAGCTTTGCTACCTTTGTCTTGCATTCTATAACATTCATGTGACAGGCTGATCTACAGAACTTCCAAGCATCACATGCAACTAATGAAGGGAAATGAAAGTATCATGGAGGCAAGAGTTGTAATTCCTCCAGTTTCTTCGAAATATAAAATCTAGGGACTAGAACATAAACATCACAAGTGTAGATCTATCATTTCATTTACTTACAATTTTATTCAGGTTCTTATTTGCTTTATTACTTGTTATAAATAAGACCATAGTGCTAAATTTCAAGCAGTAAAAAGTAAGGGAGTGGTAGGGTACAGACAGCATGTTGATCGACACATAAGCATAAAATATTTAAGCGTAGGATGTACCTTCTTCTCTACATCAACAAAGATTAAAAAAATGCATTTGCAATAACTGAATTGTGAAAGACTGCAACAAATTTGAATAAAATTGATAAAGCATAGCAATGTTGAGGCAAGTAGAAGCACCTTCAAGAAGCTGATTCAAAAGAGGCTGTAATCTACCATTTTCAGCCATCTGCCGAACATTGTTCTCACACTTTTCCAGATTTTCAAGGGTTCTCTCAGCCATTTCAACAGTTAAAAGGTTTTCTGATTTGCTGCTTGTCATTCCAACCAATATAAGAATTGCTCCATTGATTGAACCAATCTTCTCACACAAGGCTTCAGATTTAGAGAGCTCATGCAGCAATGAGACAGCTTCCTCCCTTTCTTTGGATTGCTCATGTGACAATAACTTAACTATTGTTCGCACAGTGTCACCTTCCGCCAATATTGCCTGCAAAACCAGTAAATCCTATTAACATGAGACTCCAAATGCACCCACACCAGTGACATGATTGATGTTATCTGCAAAATCAGCAAGCAGGGAACAACCTTATTATCGACATCTTCCTCTATCACAGTTTTAAGAGTTTCTAATGCTTTACACCGAACTCGGCGGCTGCTACTCTTTAACATGTCAACAATCATAGGTATCAACTCAGCATTGCGCACAACATGCTTATTTGATCTGCTCTTCTGGCAGATATACTGAACATACTTCAAAGATTGCAAAACATCACTTTCAGGATTAGTCAGATTTAATGACCTCCGAGCCATATCTAGCTGAACAGCTTCATTCCTAGCAGTCCACTCTTCAATGGTGTTCCGCAAAGCTATGCTAGGGTTTAGTTCAGTACTTTTTAGTTCTTTTTGTGTCAAGGGGCAAGTTAATTTCTTCCCACTGTCCCTGCATTCGTTAAACCACTTTTCTATTGCTTCACGTTCAAATGTTTGCCCATTTTCCAAGGTCACAGGATCGCGCATGACTTGCTTTGTCAATGGGCAAACAAATGTATCATAAATAGGTTCTATATACTGTCTCTCAAACTGATAACTGTCCTCCGACTGGCTACCAGGGTCATAACTTGAATCCCAACCTTCAGCCATCTAATTCAGATAACCTACTGCAACAAAGTAATATGCAACAGTAATAAATGAGCATCCCAATAGTCATCAATTCACATTTGCTAAATCAGTATCAAAAGCTTGTTTTTGAGAAGAAAACAGAAAAGAAATAAAACAGCCAAGCCCATGAAAAAAACAAGACAAAGGAAAACATGTTAAAAATGGAACTGGAATAATAATGGAAAAACAAAACAATCTTTTATCTTCCAGTGCATATAGTATAGCAATTGCCATCTAACTTTCCAAGTTTTCATTTTTCATGCTTCAATATTACGCTACCATATTGAAAATAAAGAGAAAAACAAAAACATGGAAAAACTCAAAAGATGGGCGAAAACTATAAGTGCCTAGAGGATTGGTGAAACCAGTTAATATACTCAAAAAAACTATTCTTACCAAATGGAATTTCCAACAAGGAAACATATAATTTTAAGATTGCCGTCTGATAATACAAGCAAATTAAAAAATGGCAGAATTACATCATATGGCACGAATAAGGCAACATATGATTCTCATAAAAAGGCCCTTTCATTGACAAAATAAAAAAATCAACATCGCCTATATAGGTAGCCTCTAAGGACCCATTTAGACACAGATGATATTTCAAAGAACACCAAGACCATACCTATCAATAATTACAAAGACCTTGAAGTGGAGGCGATGGCCAACAAAAAACCCTAATTCTAGTTGTGGGATTCCAAAAAGAATTCTTCAAGAACAAATAAAAGTAGTTCCTTTTCCATAGGATAACTAAGATATCTATCTCTCTCCCTAAGCAAGAATTTGAATTTGAATTTCAATTGGGATTGCTTTCTTCTGTTCTTCGAAATGGGGAGGAAGAGGAAGGAAGTAGAAAAGGTCCGGTTTTGGGTTTGAACAGTGGTATAAAGCAACAAGAGGAACCAAACAAGAAACTTCTAAAAACCATCACAATACTAGTATACAAGAGAGAGAAAAAGTTGACCAAAAGCCAATAGTCCTTGTCTTATATTTAACTGACCAGAAACAAAGAAAGAAACTCACTCCACTCCATGTTTTATCTGTCCCATTTTTCACTGTCGGTAATTCGTGGAGCCCGCCACCGTTTCAACCTCCGGCTGACCCACCGCGCCCACCTGTGCCAGCCTGGCTACTGATGCTTCCTTCTTCAACCATTAAATAAAAATATATCATTGGAGGGAACCACCTCAACCACCACTCGCGGGGAAACTACACGCTGTCGTTTTAGCCCTCCTTAAACGACGTCATTTTGACTTCTCGGTTGCTATATAAATGAGCTTACTGCTTCGCAAACCCTAATCAGCGAGCTTGAGAACGGGAGTACTTGCTATGGCAAGGAAGTGGAGGAGGAACAGGAAGAGAAAGAGAAAGTCGTCATCCGATCTGCTTGATCTGCCACTGGACATTATAATCGATATACTATGCAGGCTTCCCGTCAAGTCAATAATACAATGCAGGAGAGTCTGCAAAACTTTACGTACCATAATCACTTCAAACCCTCAATTCGCTGAAAATCACTTGTCGAGGTCGCCAGTCCAGTTTCTCCATCAAAGTGGCTCCTTTTCTAGAACTTTTCAATTGTTCGAGTTCCAGCACGAGAACGACGCCGCTTTTAGTATCCCAATCAAATTTAATATCAAAAGGTCTAACCTTTTTGTCCTGAGTTCGTGCGACGGGTTTCTCTGTCTTGGTGACCGCAGCCGGTTTTATAATCCCGTTAAGATGTGTAATCCGGTCACCGGCGAGTATATAAATTTACCTGAAAAGGGCTTGGACAAGAGGATAGAAGGGGTGGTCGTTTCAGGGTTCGGTTACAGTTCCATAAGCAAACAATACAAGGTGGTGCGTTGGGTCCGTCGAAAAATTGCCGCCCGAGAGGAGCATGATAATGTTGCTGTGGTGACTGAGTTATACACGCTAGGTGACGAGTCATGGAGGAGAATATCTGATGCTCCCAAATTTGAGTACGACATTTTTATGAATTTCCCTAGCTCGGCTAATGGAGTGTTCTTGAATGGATTGTTTCACTGGATTTCTTATCGTAAATGTGGTTCATATCGTTCATATTATATGGTGTCATTTGATTTTGAAAGCGAGAAGTTTAATGTTGTGCTGTTGGCTCCATCATGTAGACCTAAGTTTACAGCGATGTTGAATGAGGTGGTTGTGGGAGTTCTTGGAGTTTGTCTTTTTATAAATGACAGTGAATTTGGTTTGTGGGTGATGAAAGATTATGGAGTCCAAGAATCTTGGACTCGGTTGAGCTGCTCTTCACATAACATGCACTTTCTGCCTATTAAATATTTGAGAGATGGGAAAAAAATAATGTTAGGAAGCTACACAAAGATGGGATTTCGTTGGTATGATCCCACAAAGGCTCCTCCAGACTGTTTTGGTACTATTAATCTTCCTGCTGTTCCAAGAAGAGGACTATTTAAGATAATTGCCCATATTCCAAGCTTTTTCTCATTCAAGGATCTTATGAAACAGAGACAACAAGGTCCTTTAACATTTTAGCATAGGGTGGCTGGTTCTTTGGTTCTTTCAAAGTGGACAATTGTTTGGGTCTTTATATATATCCACGTGTATTTTAGTAATTAAGAGTAATATTTCTGCCATACATGTAAAGAAAACTGCATTTAAACATTAATAATAATTAATATTCGTATGCAACAGAAGCACAGTTACAATAGAAGACTCATGCCTAATGCCTTTGCAAGTTCATGTACAGTTTACAAGCAAAGGTGGTATGGCAGCTATACTGGATAATCAGTTCAAGATTAACTAGCAAGACTTGTTCACGCAGATCATCCAGTCTTTACTATAAAAGCTTGTAAACAACCACAATGAAACTAACAGATCTCTTCTGCGAAGATGATATCAAAAATGAGGTGCACTGCATTGAAGAATTAGCCAATAGTTAAGAGTAAGTAGTCTCGTAAAACATAAATGTGATGTGGTCTCGTAGAACAAATTCTTTGCCTAGAAGGTCTCAGTTGCAGTATCTCTGAACTAATTATCAATATCTCAATTCCCACTCATATAACCTTATTCAATTTAGTTGATGCTGGATTCGTTTAAATTTGACTGCCCAAGGAAAAACAGAGAGGCTAGAGCCCAGAGCCACATTTTTTGGACCAAATTTACACAACTAAATGTCAATACAAGAATACTACAATTGTATTTTCTTTCAGGTGGATATGCACATAAAAAAAATTGCAGAAACATGTATATATGACAGCATGAAGGCACATGCCAAAATAGATAAATTTCTAAACATACTCAATCATTTGCTAGTACCTTCCTCTTTGGGGATATTAGGTTGATCAACCATGAGTTGCTGGAGGGCAGCTAGATCGCCGGAACTGCAATGTGGTCCAAAATACATTATAAACTTCATATCATGGACTGCGAAACGGGCCATCAATTGATTAACAAAAAAAAAAAAAGGCCAGTTAATTATACTCTACTAGATCCAATCATATTCACTGGGTAATAGAATGATGCAATGAGAAACTCACTTTGAACTGCGTGTGGGAGGATTTTAGTTCTATAACTGATATGAATGCAAAAGACGTGACTAAGACTTGAAGGTATGGTGAAGTCTAATATAGACTGCATACCACAGCTCAGAATCTGAAGCTAACATCTTAAAAGCTTACAAGATCCAGAGATGCAATTCACAATTCAATTAAAAATGCAATAGTGTTATTCCCCTTTTGATTTAAATGAGATGGTAGTTAGTATACCTAGGCTTCAAGGTAAGTGCCAGAAGAGCTGAAACCAAAGATGACTTAAGAAGATACCTGCCAAAAAACTACATTAGCCATTAAATTCAAAATAGTACAATAGATTATTCATTATGGCAGTAAATTAGCATGATTGTAATTGCCCAGTGGCATTTGCACTGACCTAAAAGCTGAAAACAGGGAAAGAAATCCAAATTCCAAACTCAGTTTTAACTCATAAGAAGCACAAAACACAAGATAGAAAGCTAAAAAATTTCATACTCGGAGCGATGCATATCGTGAAGAATCATAAGCCCATCCAAGCAATCGGCCAGACATGGCTTAACACCAACTCGTTGCTGCAATTGTTTGGTAGTCAGCTGATTAGGACCTCCTTTAACTAACTGCCTGCCATCTTTGTACATCTTCTCAAGAAATAAAACAATACTACGAAAGTCTTCCCTGACAAATTCTCCAAAAATTAACTTAATTTCTCAATAATTATAAGAAAATGAAAATGAAAACGGGAAAGAAACTTACAGTGTCTTATTCATAGAAAGCAAAATAGTTTCTAAGGAATCCATTTGCTTTCTCAACACTGCATCCACTATGCCATCCACACCACTCAAATTTCCATAATTGTTAGAATCTCGAATCACCTAAAAACAGAGTTTTTTCAAAATGAAAAAAAAAAAAAAAAATTGCACAAAGAAACAAAGAAATAAGAAAAAAATTAAAGGAAAAAAAATATTAATAGATCACACAAGTTCACCTGTAATCTACTTATTATGGAAGAAGCATTTATAAATTGCGAAAGCAAGCGAGATTGAAGATGATCCCATTTATCCATCTCTTCCCTGACCTTTCTAAATCTCTGCTGATATTTCTTCACTATTGATTCCATACCTAAAACCCCAATCCTAAACCCTTACTCGCCTCTTTCCAGTTTCAATTCTGTTTCCTCTTGTCGCAACGGTTTCTTTTTAACTGTATGAGACAGAACGGCAGCGTTTTACAACTGACGAACTTCGAAATTACATTAACGCCCACAAAAAGTCTTAGAATTAAGATCCCAAAATCTGTGCGATTCTCAGAGGCTATACTCCGACTCCATGGAAGAGGAAAAGGAAGAAATCGGATTCGATATCGGACTGGAGAAGGACATCGAAGAGCTGAAACTTGAAGAAGATGAACAGCAGCAGCAGCAGCAAAAATCAGTAGGAGACGATAATGTTTTGCGATTTCTGGATTCGATGGATAGTTATTTGACTCTTTTCGATTCTTTATCTCATACACTTCGTCAGGTAATTATATCGATGAGATCACTATTTGAGTTAAAGCTTGAATTTTTGAATGTTGGAGTGACTAATTGCAGGGTTGGCTGGAGTTGGCTGGTGCTCGGCATTCAATGGGGGCTTCACGCATCAATAGCGCTTTACTGGACCTTAAAGTCCACTCTGCTTCTACTTTATTGCAAGTATCAGAAGGTCATGGTAAATTTAGTTCCTTCCTCTCTTTCGTTTTTCCCTTTTTTGGATTCTTGGTACTGAACGGTATTATACTTGTATTAGATTCCATGGAGGAGCAACCGCACTTCATCTTGCGGAAATGGGGATCCTTGGATTGTTCTAGGTATCAAAATTCCAAAGAGGGTGAATTGCAGGCGAAACCTGGGAGTCCACGTCTACGGCAACGGGGCAATTCCCAGGTTTCTGGTAATGTTTTCTCCTTTGTTTTCCTCTTAGAACATTCATTTTTCTGGTAATTTCGTACAATATGGAAACTTCAAACTCATATATTGCTTTCTGATTGATATTCTCTCTCATTTTGCTATTTTTAAATTTGACTGAAGAAGAGATAACATCTCCGAAGCAAGCTGCGCTAAAGGTCGATGACCAAGTGAGAATTTCTAAAATTTCATTTTATATCTGCGCTGCATGTTCTTCTATGAATATTTTTTAAAAAAATTTATTTTTTCGGTGAAGGTTCAAAAGGAGCGATCAAGATCTCTATCTGTATTTGGTACTCTTGTTTCCCCAAAGCTTCGAGATGCCCAGCTATCATTTGAGACAGGTGCAAATCTTAACAGAAATGCTCAGTTAAAATAGGCAAAAACATGATGAAACCGATATTAAAAGTTGTAATGTTTTGCAGCACTGGAGACAATTGTAGAAATAGCAAACATGCGTTCAGAAATGCTTTCTGCTTTCGATGGTGTCAACAAAGAATTACGAGTCGCCAAAGAGAAGAGATAGAGTATGTTCTTTGAGGCACAATTAGCTTTCTAAACCCATCCGCGTGTTGGTAATTGTATGCCAGAATTGTGTTTCTATAGTGTGGGTTCCCAATAACATTGCTGAAATCTCGTATGTGGCGGTGATGGAACCAACGGAATGATAATTTATTTTTTATTTTTTATTTTTTATTTTTTGTGTTAATTGATAATTGGGATTCTGAAATCTTTAGTATATGCCTATATGGTATTAAACTGCTGAGCCTGGGTTTTACAGGGTTGTCAAATTCCAGAGTTTTGCTTGCTATCTGAATTTGACAGTGAAACTTCCAGTTTCACTGGCTATAACGAAGCATAACCATAAGCCATTAATCTTATTGCCTCTTATTCTTCTCTTGTAACAATTTTAATATATCTCAGTTTCTTGTATTGTCAGTGTGTATAACAGACATTCACATGCGTTATTTTCATGTACATCTGTGCCCGTTTAAGAGTGTGAAGCTAGAAAATGTTTTTCTTAATTTACAAAAAGTTTGATCCAATCAAATACTATGAACAATGTTCATAAGAAAAACATTCTTCTCGGGTATAAAAAATAGCAAGAACATAAACTCTGTTTTCAATCTCTACAAAAATAATGAAGTGTCAGCTTCCAACTCCTACAAACAAGGGCGTTGATCCACTTAAGCGAATGAAACTGAAAAGCAAACACAGCATAAACTCCAATTCTATTGTTTGCACATCCTTACAAGTTCTCATAGGTCCTCTCCAGAGTTTGTTGCTTAGAAAAACAAAGTATTATATTATTCAACGTGGCCAAAAGAGAAAAAAAAATGATATATCCACACAAAAATGCTGAACGGCCGTGCCGAATAACTTTACAACAGTCCAGCTCTTAACCAAATCTATACAGCACAAACAAAAATACATGGCTACAATGAAAAAGAAAATTGGGAGGGAAATTAGAAAGAAAAATAATAGACAATTGGATTGTCAGCTAGAAAGCGTTCCAATTTTCTGAACCTTTTTTTGGATTTTGACCGTCAGATGAAACCTTAAATGGTCCACTGGAGCCGAATGGGTCACCATCGTCAAAAGAAGAGAAGCCACGACTATGGTCAAAGTCTTTTGTGCTGTTTATCGAATCAAACCTTGTAAGCCCCTCCTGTGGAGAAAATCCGCTGCCCTCATGCATGCTGAAGGAGTCAAATCTTGAGAAATTATCAAAGTGATCCCCTGCTTCACTGTATCTGGGAGAGTTGGCAAACCTGGACATTGGAGAGTTGCCAAACCTGGCAATTGGTGATCCAGCAACAGAGTCTTCAAAAAAGGGGCTCTTTTTCGGTGATCCAGCGACAGAGTCTTCAAAAAATGGGCTCTTTTTCGGCGATCCAGCAACAGAGTCTTCAAAGAATGGACTCTTTTTCTGAAAAATACTCTCTGAGGATAGGGATCCTGTTCTTATTGGCTTTATACCGAAATCATCAATTCCAAAGAAATCTCTATGCTTGTCAGAATCTGAATCCTGCCAGATGATGTAAGTTGTACGTTTAAGTCATTTACTAAATGCTATTTACATCCGAGTGGCTTGATACTATAACCAATGGCTAAGCAGCACTCCTCCAAAGTGGTCAAACAATGAAAGATAGAAGAACAAATCCTGCTATAAAGCTTACTAAACCCCACCTCTCTCTTTTTTTTTTTTTTTTTTTTTTTTTAAATCTCTATGCTTGGTCAGAATCATGCAACCTGCCAGAAATGGTGTAAGTTTGATATCGATTAAGTCATATGGTAAGATTAGAGATGGTACTAATGCATTTACATTCCGAGTGGGCTTGATTACTATAAATGGATAAGCAGACAATCATCCAAGTGGTCACATGTATAAGATAGAGAAAGAACAAATCTAGCTATAAAAGTTATAACCCACTCTATTCTTTTTTTTTTTTTTTTTTTGTTTGCTTTTTTGTTATTTTTTTTTTTTTTGAGATGTGTTTTTTGTTTTTTTTTTTTTGGGGTTAGGGCGTATGGTGTAATAGAGAAGTTGCTAAAAAATGCAGCAGAAATGTTTGGATCAAGCTCTAACATGGCCCTCGACCATTGAGACGATGCCAAAAAAAAGTGGATGAATCAATGACAAGCAGGAGTCAATTTTTTTTTTTTTTTTTTTTTTTTGGGGTTAGGGCGTTGGTGTATAAGAGGAAAGTTGCTAAAATGCAGCAGATGTTGGAAAGCTCTAAACAAGGACCGCCAATGAGGATGCCAACCAAAAGTATGAATCAATGACATGCAAGAGTCAAATTCGATCCACATGTAATTTTGGTAAGAACAAATTTCTATGACTTGCTGGACTATAAGGATGTGCAAAGATAATGCATGCGAATTGTACAATCAAATGTGAGAAAACTTGTGAAAGATGTACATCCAGAGCCTCCATGTCTGCTATACCTGAAAAGCTAAACAAGCTAAAAAGAGCTAGGGTATGCCTTTTCAAAAAAAAAAAAAGGTTCATGTATGACATGTTAAATGCAAGGATGTGCCACGGTCAAATCTGTCTAACCTTTCCACAGCTCATAGTGACCACAAGACATGCCTAAATTTGTCAAAGCTGTCCCAATTGTCTTCTTCTATATGATTAAAATATTAAAACTTTTCAGAAAAACAGTAAGGCTAACCTTAGTACTAGCAGGATTAAATCCCCAGACTGAGTCTGTATCATCATGAGTGTCGAAAGCACCCCATGTTGATTCATCAAAGCTTCTGTTGCCAGAAATACAAAAGCTTATCATCACCATCGTCTATGGCATAGATCAACACTCAAAATAGAGAACTAAAAATGGAGACGGACAATTCAAAACACAGAAATTGATGAACTGCCATACCTATGCGTTTCTGCATCTGCATCAGTACTCTTTGCAAAAACATCTGAAAATGCCTTAGATGGACTTCCTAGGGCATTTCTTCCTGCTAAACTGCTCTGAGGGCTTCTCGCCAATTCATCTTCACTGTGGCTGTAAACAGATTCACCCTCTATGCCATGTCCATCGACACGCGAGAAATTCCCAGACTTGTCATCACCATTTGATAAAGAATCATGGGTTGGACTACCATCTTGAATGGTGGATTTTGAATTAGGAGCAGAAACATTTTTCATATCAAGCATGAGGTCATTGGCAAATCCTGAAAGTGGCAACATGTTGCATAAGTAAAAGTCTTACCGATTTTTCCAAAATACTCGTGTAAAGCAGTCGACAGAACTGGTGAAATTTATAGAGAGGCACCAAAAGAGCAGCAGGAAATTATGCAGGAAAGGGGAGGAGAAATGGAGGGAGTGGGTCAGGGAGGAAATATGAGGTGGGATAAAAGGTTCCATGCCAGAAACTTACCTTCATCTTCAAACTTATCCCATTCTTCATCCCAAACAGCTGCACCCTCTTGAATTCCAGGTTGCCAGCCTTAAAGATAACCAGAAGTGAAAAGGTCAAAAGTTCAGCCATATGGTAGTTGGTAAATGTATTTGTTTGGGACTTTGAAAAATAAGAATATGATGCTTCAAGTACTAAAAATCAAACAGAGAACAATAAACAAACTATCCTAGAAAGTGAATCAGACATATCATAAATGTGCATCATAATCATCATTTTATCATTTGATACCATGGTCAACCGTATGTTAATCACCTGGGCAAAAGTTATCATAAAAAACAACTGGAATCATGAAGACTTCATTTCCTAAGAATTCCAGTCATGTGAGCCTATATACATATCGTACTACTAAAGAAAATTGAATATACCTGAAATTTTCTTAAGGGGGAAGAACTTGTTGAAACATAAAGTAAGTATTCACATGCATATTCCATTTGTAAATCATGATCTATTTCAGTCATAGTGAAATGCTATATACCAAAAATCCAAAGGAAAGAATCACATGAAATTTAAAAGATAATTGAAAGGAATGAAAGTAAATACCAATAGGAAGCTCAATAATTGCAGTTGACTTAACCTCTAGCCCATGTCTCTTGCAACGTTCAGTTAAAGCCTTCATTAGCTCATCAAGATCAGATTGTATACGATCAGCACGGACCTATCAGGCAACCAATAAGTTAGCACCATACGGAATCTTCATTGGATAAATATAGCTAAATAGAGAGAATGTACCTGAAGAATGCCATCAGCACTTCCACCTCGTTCCATGTTAACTATTGCTTGATTCAACTCAAACTTCCTCTCCTAAATATTAATCAGGTGATCAGGGAATGAGATTTCATACAACAATTTTAGATAAGATCCAGACATGCTTCATCTTGTCAAATGTTATTCAATAAATAAACAAAAATGTCATCCATGTAAAATGTAAGTTCATAAATGTTCCTTCCAGAAATCACGCCCCAAAAGACATAACTAATCAAATATTAAAAAGAAAACAACAGAAAGAAGACATTAATGAAATGAGCTTAAAGAATAACTTGATTTCTCTCATCAAACCTCCAAACATACTAAAAAAGAAGATGAAGGAATCATTGTACATCAATATCTAATTCCAGGTAGTTCAATTTCTTGGTTAAGCATTGATGTGCTTAGAAATGCTAGAAAGTATAAACACAACTAAGGATGTAGACCTTGAGTTAAAACAATCAATCATACAATACGAAGTAATAAACTGTCCCCTTAGGGATCTGTCTTAAGAAAAGAGTCTACAGTAGCATCCACTCAGACTCTCATAGAACAATTAAGAAACCGCCTAATGGTCAAAATTTTAGTTTATCAATTTGTAAATTAAAAACCTTTCACATTGGTATTAATTTTAAAATTGACATTAATATGAATGATCAAAATACAATTGATAAAAATATAAGCTTTTGCCTAAAATTGGTAATTCGCAATTTAGATTATTTGACCATTAGGGTTTCTTTTTAAATAGAAAAAGGTAACTCAAAGTCTCCAAAAGGATTAGCAAGCCACTGTTGCTAAGAGACAATGTAACTTACCTGAATCTCACGATATGTGGCCTCTTCAATAGTTAATTTAGATGCAACTTCTGCAACTTGCTTGTACTTCTCTTCATATTTCTTGCCCAACATCTCTGCCTGTTAACACACATTGTCAACGATGAAGCCAGATAGAAAAATCCTCATAATGAGAGCAAACTAATCCTTATATTTCCAAAATACCTCACGTTTATCTGCCAATGCCCTTTCTGTGATCTCATTCAGCTTATTTTCGCATCTGCTTTTGTAAAGAACCTGAGATAGGAAAAGATGATTACCAGTGCACATAGGTTGACCTAGGTTCCATTGCATTTTTGATAATTCAAAATTTCTAGTGCAGATATGTAATTTGTTACATATCTAGTATCAACAAATACTGGGTAGTGATGAAAACAACAAAGCAAAAGAGATTTGGTGATAGAAACTACTCACAAGGTCCTGCATTTTAGTGCGATAAAACTCAATCTTCTCTTTCGAATCCAAAATAACCTTCTCTGGTTCATCAACCTACAAGAAATTCAAGACAGTCCTTATATTGTTGGAAATTCACAGGAGGGAACATGCCCCTTCATTTCAAAAAAAAAAATAAATAAATAAAAAAATAAAAATAAAAAAAATAATAATAAAATAAGGATGATGCCTTTTTCTCTGACACTGTTCCATCCTGAGGCAATGAATTCTGCACCCCCTCATCACTTTGGTTCCTAAAGGAATCCTCTAAAACAGGTGCCCTTGGCTTCTGCTGATTAGATATCATGACTCCATCAGGCTTGGCTTGGGGGGCAGTCACTGGAACTGGGGGCCTCAAACCAGTGGCAGGAGCTATCGGTTGAGTAACCATTCCAGGCTGCATTCCAAAACCTAATCATAGAGGGAGAATGGGAACATCAAATTTATCTCAAGATCAAGGAGAAAAAAGAAGAGAAATAAAAGACCATGAAAATACCAGGTCTAGGACCCCATGCTGCATTTCCATAAGCAACTTTTGGTTGACCTGTCATGGACAGAAGTGTCTCATCCAACATAACATTACTTGGAAGCGATGATGGAAGAGAGCGACCGGCCATGTACTGCTCCATCAAATAAAGAGCAAAGCAGAATTCCCTCAAAGAAAGCATGCTATCACTATCCTGATCAGATAAGTCCCATACCTGCTTCAAAACCTCTGTAAAAAAATAAAGCTTATTAAACATAAGCAATCACAAAGGAAAATTGAAGTCTCAACAAAGCCAGTAGGCAATAGTACAAGAAGTAATATACAGAGCACACCAACAAAAAATCCATGTAATATAGATTAAATTATAGATTCTTAAAGAAATAAATGCCATCCTGAAACCCATATGACTGTAAGCATTCAGTGTATGGTGGAAATATTGATATGGTCACTTTGCCATGAATTATTACAGCGATTAAGACAGTGAGAGAGACAGCATAAATCTAAAGCCACAAGGAAAATGAAGTTGTACCACGTGGAAGCCCCCAACTCAAGAATAGATTCCGTGCCTGCTCACCGGTGATCCTTCCATCTCTGTCAGTATCTACTTCCATAAAAACTTTAGTATATTTCTGAATATCCAAAGCTTTCATTTTTGGCCACTGAAGCTGCGAATTATCAGACAAATTTCCAATTCCAACTGACATGCTAGGCGAGGTGAGTGAAGAAGAAGTTGAAGTAGAAACCTGCTGGCCTGAAGTTGGGAGCGATTGGGCTCGTTGAAGCTGACCACCTAGAGGTTGCGTTGCAAAAGCATTCTGCAGTGAATCAAGTGAGTTGGACTTAACAGGAGGATGGACCCCAGTAGAAGCTGGAACAGCAGTTGCTAAGGCTGATGGACCAGTGGTAGAATAAGTAGGGATGGAAAGGTCCTGTTTTCTGGTTGAAGAGATTGCAGAAAACCCGTCACTTCCAAAAGACGAGTGAGTGGAAAACCCATTCCCAGAAGCAACTAAGGCTTTAGAATCATTCGCAGTTGGCTGAGATGGCATAGAAACTTGAGCTCGTGGCTGCATAGTAGCACTGGGTGTAGAAGGAGGGCCTGTCATAGCTGCACTAGTTTTTCCTCCAAGCCAACTGGTTGAGATGTTTGAGGTTGGGATGCTAGTGCCAGGAGCAGAACTAGGCATGAGCTGAGAGGGACGTGGAGCAGTACTTGTAGGCATAGCCTGAGAGGGACGTGGAGCAGTACCTGTAGGCATAGCCTGAGAATTACCAACCATACCACCTCCTCTAGAGAATTCTGGACTAATGAAGCCCTGAGGGGGATGGGAAGAAGCTCCAGGTTGGATCGCCTGAGGTGGTCTAATTGATGGACTTTGTTGAGGAGGAAAGTAATGCTGGTTCATACCAGGATTTGGAACTCCTGGGCCTCTGAAGCCAGGATTTTGAGATGCTGTTGGGGCCACTGTGCCCATCTGTGGGGCAGATGCTGCAACCACTGGGTTTACCTGAGGCACATGCAGCACAGGAGTGGCTGGAAGATTAATTTTCGGTGCTGGGATTTTAGCTGCAGCAGGGCCATATAATGCTGCCTTGACAATGTCAGGTGTCAGTTCTCTTTTAGTCTGTGCCACGGTCACAAGTCTGAGAGCATTGTAAAATTCTGCCCGACCAAGAAAGCCAATGCGACTCTGATCAGCATATGTCCATATCTGCAACATAGAAAATAAAAGAGAGAGAGAGCGAGAGAGAGAAAAATCCATCAGCATGTACTCATGTAGTGATCAATTTGCATTGATTATCTTCCTCGCCAATAACCAAGAAGCATAATTTGAAAAGAAGTCGCAATACAACACTTAGTCATACCCACTTCTATCCTCAATCATCAATTCAGGCTACCATAGCAACGTCACTGAACAGTGAACCTAATTCTATTAAACGCCAACACGAAAGCAATCCGTGCAAATCAAGATATACTTAAAACCATTCACTAACCATAGTAACATGATCATATAAGAGTATCATCTACCTGTCTTGCACTTCGTATATTGCATTAACATGCAAGCTAGGTCATCAAAAGCCAAACAGACAAAACAAATGAAGAACTGTAGCTCTACAAAGTAAGGGAAAACATAAATGCAGAATTCTATTCTTCGACAACAAATAATTCACGTTTATAAAGCGTTTAGACCTTTGAATTCTCGTATCCTTGAAGCTTTTCAGAGAAAACAGCATTTGAAAATAACCACAACGAAAGATGACTTGAATAGTAGAGTTGAGTTAGGTCAAAATAAAAATTTCAGATTTAGGCATCTCATCACCAACTAGAGTACTTGGAAATACAACTTTGACCTACTAAAAGCTAAGTAACGGTGAAATGAAAGAGGATAGAGAAGAGAAGTTGAAATGATAGAGCAACCTGAGCAAGAACTTGTTTGGGCAAATTGGATCCTTGAAAGAAAGCCACAGCTTCAGCTCCGCTAATCCTGCCATCTCCATCTAAATCTGCTCTCCTAAAGTAAGCTTCGAATTGATCCATGTTCGGTCCCTGAGGTTGCCCCGCCATCTGCACGCCAAATCCGGAATCAACTAATTCCTCTCCGATTAGATCTCTCAGACACGCGCACGCATTAACATGAATTCAAAAGGATGATGAAACAGAGTGTTAAAACATTAAATTCGTCGAATGGAATAATTGAAGTGTAGGTGGTTAGATTAGATCGAGAGGAGACGGCAACTGATAAATTCGTAAATGGAAGACGAGATCCTCTTGTTGCAAATTTGCAATTTTGTTAAATGGATGCTTGCTTATTAGACCTTCTCGAACTCACAAAAACGACGTCAAAAGCTGAATACGACAGCAAAACACTCGATTATCAAACGTCAAAACACCGTTGGAAATGGAGTTGACAGTAATTAAAGGGAATTGAAATCAATTATTATATTTTGTTAACAAATATATTTAATGATACAGAAACCAAATTTTCATTATTTCTTTTTATTTTTATTTCTATGGGAAATGACCCTTTACAGTTAATGACAGATTATAAAATGAAAATTTGTAAAAGAGTTATTATGATGCGAAATTAATTTTGAAATTATAGTTATAATTAATTTAATGGCTTGTAATTTTGTAATTTATCTTCTGCTTTTTTTTTTTTTAATTTTATTCAAACATGAAAAAGAAGCTCATAAAATTATAAATCTATAAAATCCAGAGTAAATTATATTCCTTTCAAAAATTATATGAGTGGATTTATAAATGAATGTTAGTAGTGAGATTTATATATACATTGCATTATTAGCTGTAACCATAAAATTAACTATTTAATTAGCTGTTTAACTTAAAATATAAAAAAAAGAGACGTTAACTGTTTAATTAAGTTGAATTCAAGGGAAAAAAAAAAAAAGATATAACTGTCAACAAATTTTATTAATCTCTGTGAATGTTGGAGTTTTGACTTGGTGAATATGCTAAAAGCTAGCTCAAAATTACAAAGGAACCAGATGAAACAGTCTTTGCTGATAGGAAGCCAGACGAATCCGGCCTTTGAAACTGGTCCAGCTAAGGTTTATGCTACTTTCTGAGCTTAGCTGCACTTTCTTAGCTGCATTCTGAGCTTCAGTCTGAACTCTAGTTCCAAACACAATTCAGAAGCAAGATTGGCGGAGTGTGATTAAGTTGTCCAAGGAGAATAGCTTGCAGTTTAGGCACAATTCTCAGAAAGAGCAACCTTGGTTCCTAGCTATACATATTGTCTACTCAAGTTGGCATTTCTTTTCCTTCAGAATGACAGGCCACTTCATTCTGCGGGTCCTTCTAAATCCATATACTGTTTCTGGAGCATCGCTTTCTACTCAGCATATTTTGCTCAGCAACATGCACCAATGGATTCGATGGGAGATGCTGCAAAATCAAGTATTGATATGGGTACTGTATTCATTGCCTTAGCATTGCGACTGTGAGCGGGTATAAAACCTGATAAATATCTGCATTGGTCTTCGGCTTCATGCTCAGAGAAAACTCCAACATTCTCTCTCTGATTTTGGCTTGTGGGGTGTGCTAGCTGTAGCTTTAATGCAATGAGCACTTGAACAGTCCATTTCACCGGCAGCGACTCTAGGCATATCTACTGTTGTTTCCTTGCTTTGTTCAGCTATTGTATCCAATAAGCGGTACTCATATTCCGCCTCTATGCAACTCCAGCAGAATCATCAACCTGTAGGCAAATTAAGTACCTGCTGTAAGGAAGACAAGCACAAAAAAGCACATGTTTGCACTTGCCACTAATGCACATGTCAAAAATGCCAGCCATTAGCGCGCCAAAATCTCCGTGCATTTTCATTGCTGCGAGCAGCTTTAATCTTCAAAAAGAGTTTGTATGCTCTCTCTACTTTATTTGAAGCAAGTAGCTTATTATATAGTTTGCTGTAGATGAGTCTGCTTGGGCAGAAGCCCTTGTGCAAAGATTCTTCCATCACAAGTACAGCATTTTCAAGCTGCCCTATGTTGCAAAGTCCATTAATGATATACTCATAAACTTCCATGTCAGATGAATAACCACTTTCTTGCATCTCCTCCCATATATTTAACAACATTCCACATTTTCCAAATCTAGAAAGTCGCATCAGCAATAGCTTGTAGGCACTAAGTGATATTTTGCAGCCAGCTTTTCTTGCCCTCTTGTAGATCATCATTGCAGCATGGGGTGGACCAAAGCTACAAAGAGGTTCAATAAAAGAAGTCACAGTCCCTGTTGAAGGTACAATTCCCTGACCTAACATTTCATCCAACATTTCAAGTGCGTCAGCCACTTTTCGAGCTTTGATAAAAGCAGAAATCAGTTTGGTATAAGTATCTATATCCGGATCACAATTATTACTCAGCAAACACCTGTAATATTTTATAGCCTCATCAAGATCCCCAACAGAAATAAAATTAGAAATCATTGCATTGTAAACACTTGTTTCTAGCACATAATCTTTCTCAACCAAATTGTCAAAAATCTTAAGAGCATCTTCAATCCTACCAGCTCTTCCTAAACCCTGAAGAAGGGAATCAAAAGTTGAACAATCAGGAGTAAAACCATCTTCAACCATTGCCTCCAAAATCTTCTTCATCTGACAAACCTGACCAATTTTCGACCACCCAGCAATTATTGTATTATAAGTTGCAACATTAAATGGTATCTTCCCCTTTACTGCATTGAAGTAAGAATTTGCAGCACGTACATGTGACCTCTTGCACAAACACTGTAAAAGCACGTTAAAGGCTCTGTATCACATCCAAATCCAAAGTCTTCTCTGTTTCCAAATATTTGAATTGCTTTATACACTCGTTGAGCCCTAACTAAACCATCCGCTACAATTGATAAGGTCTCCAAGTTAACAGTGATACCTTCTGTCCTCAAGTCACGCAACATTTTCAGCATAAAATCAATAAATTTCTTTTTGCCCAGAGCCCTAAGAATTACGTTATAGCTATGAATATCCTTGGGTATCATTGGCTGTTTGATTGCCCAATTGAAGAAGATAACCATTGCTTCGCCTCCTAAGTTCCCTCTGTACAGTGTTTTAGCAACAACATCCAGGCTCAAATCCACGCCAGTGTTCGCTAGAGCACTTTCAATTGCTGATTTTCCATTTAATTTTTGAAGAAATACCCCTCTCAACTTCTCTTCCGGCAACAAAAAAAGATCAGCAACCACTTTACTTTCTTCTAGCTTGTTGGATTGATTGTTTCTATACGGATGGGCAGTTGGAGCAGCGTTAGCAGAGAACGGTAACAAATTAGAAAGTTCATTCAAAACGTAACTTTCGTCGAAATTAGATTGGTCCTTGAGCTCATTCACAGATGGTTTATGGCCTAGAGTGTTTAACTCCGTATCCAAGGTTGAAAATTGAGACAATGAAACTGATGAGCAAAGGTATGGTGAAAGGTACCTGGTTTTGCTCAGGCGCGTGAGAAACAGAAGAAGCGGTTGGGAACGGAGCGCCATGGACCTGGTATCAAAGCTTCGTTAACATTTTCATAGCAGCCCAGCAGAGAAACTCGAATCGATTTCTTCTTCCTCCCTTCTTCATAACCTCGGCCCTCAGCCATCGAAGAGGAAGCGACATTACTTATCGCTTTTTCATAAGACGACATGTCTTTTAGTCTGTGTCGTCTGCAGAGAGATGCCGCAGCACAAAAGGACAAGTCGTCTAGATTTAGGAGACTCTAGTGAATGGAACGGTAAATATTGGTCTCGCTGACTAAAAGGCTGAAAGCCCAAACAGGGCATAAAAAAAAAGTTACCGCCTAAACCCAAATCAACAAACCCAAAAATTCCCGCCAAATTCCCAAAGATCCTGCCCAAAATGAAAAACCCCAGTCAACCAATCCTGAATCCCCCTGTCTCTGGTAGTACAAATCTCTCTCTCTAGCCCTTCTGTCCTCTTTCCAAAATCCCCGACTGAACCAAACTGCAATGATCTCTGCAACACCAGCAAGCAACCCAAATCCAAATCCTAAAGCAAAAAACGTATACCATATTGGAGGAATCCAAGTGGAATTTCCGTATCAACCGTATGGAACGCAGCTCGCATTCATGGGGAGGGTCATTTCGACTCTCGATAGAGCCCAAAGAGAAGGCCATTGCCATGCGCTCCTTGAGTCACCGACCGGAACTGGGAAATCACTTTCGCTTCTCTGTTCCACTCTTGCGTGGCAACAGAACTATAAGTTTAAGTACCAGCATGCCAATCTGACTCCGTCAAAGCCCAATCCCGAGGCAATGACCGATCCTCTGGGTCATGGTGGAGGATTTATTCCAGAGACACAACCTTCAAGTAAGCTTGAGACTGATTAGAATAGTAAAAGGACGTGAACTTTTCCGTTAGCCTTTGCCTATTTTTGATAATATAAAATTTTCATTCCTTTTGGCAACGAAAAGGGACATGTCTTTAATTTAGATAAAAATTTTATTTAATTTTAGTTCGAACAGTGTATTGCTCAATCAATTGTAGTAATATTTGATTCTCATTAGGCATTCCACCTTCTGGAAATGTCGACCCACCTCAAACTACCGGAGCTAATAAAGGTCCAAAGAAAAATGCTGCACCCACCATTTTTTACGCATCGTAAGTTTTTTTATCTTGAATTAGTGACGGGAATAAATTGTCGTAGTCCTTTAGTTATAGTGCTTAGAATTGCCGATTATTGCTCTATACGCTTTACAGTGAAGCACCCTCAAGTGTTTGCACACATTCATCTTGTTTGAGATGGAAACCCTTGATTGTAATCATATGGAAAGGACTGAGCTTTTTTGAAAGTTGTAATAGAATTGAGCTTGATATCTTGTATGACCTCTGATATACAACTTTACATCGCAAACAGTTGAGCAATGTGGGCGCACTTTTTTTCATGAGTAGTTCAGTTATGTCGGTGATTAATATTTTCAGTCTCTTGTATATTCTTCTGCCGCATTAAATATCGATGAGGTCTTTTTTATAGATTCATTAGAATAATATAATTAGAGCTTATGCTTACAAAATAGTAATTAGTTGACCCTCGTGGCCAAGTCTTATCACTCACCATGAATAAGTTAGTAATGACTTACAATGACAGAGGATGGAGCTTATTTGGGCTATCTGTATCATGATTTATTAAAGATGGCATAGCCAGTATGTTCTCAATGTTAAATGAATTGAGCCTTTAATTTTTTCATATAATATATCAAAATGCTTTTTGTAGTTCATATGGAGATTTTAATAATTTTAATAATATAATAGGTAATGAATTTTTATTTTCTGTTGTTTTCCATGGTTCAATAAAGGAGGACACATTCACAAATTTCCCAAGTGATCCGCGAATATCGGAAAACTGCATATCGGGTGCCGATGGCAGTTTTGGTAGGTTTATCCTTCTTATTATTACAGTAATTTATCTAGTCTAGCTATGAGGTACCCACTAATTGATGTGCATTTGACTCGCAAGTTATTGTGATCTCAGTCACTGGTTTATTTTTGTTCCTCTCTACCCCTCCCAATTAAATTGCATAATTGTAAGTTGATAGTTCAATTAAAGTTGGACATTGTTCTAGTTTTTATGATTATATGTTTAACTAACTTGACTTGTGGATTTTACAAGCCCAAAGGCATGTATTATACGCACAAAATGTACATATAAATTTCTAAAGGGGTATCCTTTATGTGTCTGAAAGGTTATTCAAATTAGTTATCTTCTAAATGTTATAGAAGTTGATATTACTCAATTCAAATGCTAAAGATATAAATGCCTAGGCTTTTATGTTACTGTCTTTTCTTTAATTTAGAGTTTCTGGATGTGCTTTCCAGGCTTCAAGGAAACATTACTGCACAAATTCACATGTCAATGGGAAGGAGAATCTCGATGAAGAATGGTATGCTTTTAAGGTTAAAAGACCCAAGGTAATATAAATATACCCTTTTTTCTCACCCTGAAATATGTTTTGAAATATTTGCAGCAAACTTCTCTTGAAGGATCCAAATGCTGGGTGCTTGCAATTCAAGTAAGTTGCTTGTCTAACTATATATCAATACTTCGTGTATTTATTATATTTTCCATTAAACAGTTACTTTCCACTAGCAGAAATGCAGTTAAAGTCAGAGGTCATCCATCGCTTCAAAGGGGAGGTTGCCATGAGGTCCATGATATTGAAGATCTGGTTAAAATTGGAAAAGTTGTTAAAGGTTTATGTTTACTTTTGACAATCTTTTTACGCCATGTCACTTTTAAAACAGGTCATTTCCATTCAAGATCTCACAAGACATTCATTCATTTGTTTTCTTTTGTCAGGTTGTTCATATTATGCAGCTCGTTCAATGGCAGATGATGCACAGTTAGTTTTCTGCCCATACAGCTACTTAATTAATCCAGTCATCCGTGGAGCAATGGATATAAACATTACAGGAGCCATTCTTATTCTTGATGAAGCCCAGTATGTCTTACAATTTTCTGTTCAATTGTTGAGAAAAAGAAAACAAAGAATTACTGTCACTGGGCATGTTGTTCTGAGTGTCTATCTGGGGTTGGATTCTTTGTACATCTCAAGTTGGTTTTGCAAGTTTTATTTCTTACTGAATTTTCCTGATCTGCAGCAACATAGAAGACATTGCTCGTGATGCTGGTAGTGTTGATGTTGATGAAGATGTTTTAATTAGTAAGTCATGGACATGCTTACTTTTTTTATTTCTTTAAATCATTATGTTGCTGATTGTTGTCACGAATTGCCAAAGAATTGCAGATGGAATTGCAGCAACTTTGTCTTCTTGATGCGTCCATTTATGAACCATTACATGATATGGCACAGGTAACGATTGATTATACTTTGCAAATATAGAGGTTGAAAGTTCCAATAGTTATTTATCTGTTAATAATATGTGCTTTGAATGAACAGGATTTGGTTAGTTGGATTAAGCGGAGGAAAAGTACATTACAGAAGCGTGAATTTCAGAACTATTTCTCTTGGTATGTTATCTTGATTAAGATTTTCTCCTTGTTATGCTTATTTTTGTACATTTCATGATTTCCTTCTTTTGATTCTTCTTTTATGTGTGTATATATTCTGAAGTTCAAAATTTATCTATACATTTTTGGTCCTATGTTATGACATCTACCCATCTTTTTTCCTTTTTTGGTGAAAAATTCAGTGCATCTTTGTTGTATAATTCACATCTTGCATTTTTTATGACTAAAATTGCTTGAAGTTTCCATGCAAGCATTTGCTTCAAACTGCACTTGCTAATTTTTATGTCAATGTGCATTATAGTTGGACTGGTGATAAGGCTCTAAAGGAGCTCCAAGAGGCTAACATTTCACAGCAGTGCTTCCCAATCTTGCTAGATTGTGCTACAAAGGTTTCTTTTGCACTTTTATTTTGGATTTGATGCTTGGCATTTGCTTGCTCTTGAACTTTCACACTGTTTATAAATCTGACTTTTTTAAGGCAATTAAAGCTGCAACAGATACAGAATTGGACACAGATCATTTGAGTGGCATGTCAGTAATAGTGTTGGAAGGTACAAGTCAACGCCTTGTGCATATTTAGTGGCCTTTGAACTTTGACATTGTAACTAACTGCCTCTGGAAATTTCAAACAGGTTTATTCTCTTCACTCACTTATTTCTTCTCGAGAAATGGCTGTCACATATCTGATTATCAGCTTGCCTTGCGACGATATGTGAAGAGAGACAAAAGTAAGTCATCAAAGGAGTTCATTGTTAGATATCATAATAAAGTTGTTTGTTATTTGTAGGTGATGTAGATAGAACATAATTCACAGGAAATTTATTGGCCAATAAATTTTTAGTTGCAGGATGTGTCTTCTGTAATCTGTCGGTATCATTGCCAATTTATTAGAAAACAAAGATGTGCTCTTTGTTGTTTTCCTATGCGATAACTCGTCATTTATTCTAATTATGCGTGCAGAAAATCCTGTTGGTGACTGGACGTGTACTTTAAGTTTATGGTGCTTGAATCCAGCTGTTGTTTTCAGTGACATCGCTAAGATTTCTTTGTCAGTCATTTTAACATCTGGGTAAGCCTGAGGTGTTAACATATTTCATGCTAGAAATTCTGCTTGTCTCTCATTGTAAATCACCAGCATTGCACATGGCTGCACAGGTTGCTTATACAAACTACTTACGTTGTTGCATCCACTGCCTTCTAAGCAATCTGTTATAATGGATGTGACATCCACTTCCCTTCACTGAAAAATAATGGACGTGAAATTTGAAAATATGCAATATTTTTCATATAGAAAATTACTTTTATATGGTTTCTGTTATTTTAGGACTCTATCACCAATGAATTCCTTCTGTTCTGAGCTTGGAGTTCATTTTGGAACTTGTCTGGAAGCACCACATGTAATTGATACTGAATCACAGGTAAGACTGAGACATCCCTGTGTTGTCAATACTTAGTTTATTCCACAATTCACATATGGATTATCAACATGTAACTTAAGGTATGGGCTGCTGTAATATCCACTGGTCCTGATAATTATCCACTGAATGCAAGTTACAAAACAGCAGATGAATATGCTTTCCAGGTAATTTATGCATTCTTTCATCGATATTTTATGGTCCAAAATAGGTTTTGTTCTATGAATGAATAGGATCTTGTTGTCTCTTATTCTGAAGGATGCACTTGGCAAAACTTTGGAGGAAATTTGCATGATTGTTCCAGCGGGCTCTCTTGTGTTCTTTCCGAGTTATAAGCTGATGGAGAAACTGTGCAGTCGTTGGCGTGAAACTGGCCAATGGGCTCGACTAAATGCGAGAAAGACCCTGTTTGTTGGTTAGAATTGTGACTGTTATATAGTTTAATCGATCCTATACTTGACAATAGATAGCCAACTGTATTTTATGTGTTGCATTTGGCCAACCTCTTATATTATGCATGCTGGATAAACCTGATTTGTTTATCATCTATGCCTTGATCTCTTTATCCCTTCAGGTTTCTTTTGAGTAGTTTATTTATTTATTTTTATTTATTTTTAGTTGGTTTTGAAATGATAGTTTCTTGGTTGATGCAGAGCCTAGAGGAGGAAGTCAGGAGGAAGATTTTGACTCTGTTTTGAAGGGATATTATGATTCAATTCATCAACGCAGCCCACAAGCTGTTGGTAGAAAGAGGAGGACCAAAAAAGCAGACCTTAGTCACTTAAAGGCTATGAAATCCACAGAAACTTCTGAAAAAGATGGAGCTGCTTTTCTGGCTGTTTGCCGGGGAAAGGTGAATACCTTCTATTTCTAAAAACACATCTTATCAAATAATTGGAATATTGTTTTGCTCCAAGAATTTTGAATCCATTTTGGCTGCCATTGTGAATCATATCAATTTTCTCATCCCTATTTTTTCAGTAGTACTTGCAATATGCATGCTTCCATATGATGACCCTTCTATACCTTTTATATATAAATATATCCATATATATATTTATTCAATTGCTGAATTATTTCTCACAGGTTTCAGAAGGAATGGACTTTTCTGATGACAATGCTAGAGTGGTTGTATCCTTCTACTTTATTTGAGTTATAGTTGCCAATCAATTGAATTTTTCTTGGATCTGATATATTGGTGCTCCTTTGGTACCTAGAATGTTTCCACTAGAGATATGAACTATAACCATTTTATATGTTCACAAGTTCAAGATAACAGTATTATGACTGATGATCTGATCTGTGCAGGCTGTGGGCAATGTCCTTTTGAATGATTGCTCATGTTTTTGTAATAAAAGCCATTAATTCAATATTAAACAACGTTGCTTTTTCCCTAGAGATCCTTAACAGTGAATGCTTGACCATCTCAGATAGTAGTTGGTATTCCATTTCCAAACATGTAAGAATTCTTGCCAGTTACAAGTTCTAAAGGTTTATTGAAAAGAAAAACAAAGAAAAAGATTGCAAATTATGATTTGGAATTGACTGATTGTTTTGGAACTTCTCATTAGACATGATATTCAAGTTGGTCTAAAGAAGAATTATAATGATGCATACAAAGCATCCAAAAATCTTCTAAGTGGCAATGAATGGTATTGTCAGCAAGCCTTCCGAGCTCTGAATCAAGCTATAGGTATGTCCTGTCATTAGCTTTCTTAGTTCTACTAGTATATTAGAACATGGTAATAGCTTTTTCTGAATTCATGCAGGACGCTGTATACGACATAGGTTTGACTATGGAGCCATCGTCCTATTAGGTAATTCTTTTACTTTGTTTCACTATTGGTATCATTTTAAACTAGTAATTTAAAAGCAGTTTGTTTCATTTATTATGAAGAAATTACTTAACTATCTAGATTTGCTTTGGCTGCATCTAACTTGGCAATGACCATGTTTAACAATTAATAACTCATGGCGCCCTTTACATTTACAGAAAGCTGAATCATAATTGTATGATTAATTGCCCAAAGTTCTTTGTAATACTTGCACATTTAGCTTGAAGATCTCTGTTTTTGTGTTTTATTTCTAAGTTCGTTTCATTTCAGTTAAACTAGTGGCATCAAGAAAAGATTTCTTAATATCGGTGAACTTATAATCTAACGTTTGTGTTAGTATTTTTGGTCTCTTCAGTTAGCTGTAATCATAATTGCATCACTTCTATTTTATTAATTTGGGAAGCATAACATCTTGATTTGTTTTCCATGGGAACGGATGTGTTTTAAAAAAGTGAATACTAGATTCAAAAAGTTGTTATCAGAGTAAAGAATTTTATTGCTATTCACTAAGATTGATGTGAAGTTTCTTTGAGCAGTTTTTGAGACTTCAATGTCGGGCGTTTTCAATATCAGATTTAGACTGTTGCAATTAACTTGAACATAGTAGTAATTTTAACCATTGGCTTTTCTATTTATTCATTTGATGTAATTTTCACAAGCAGATGAGCGTTACAAGAAAGAGCAGAATAAAATATACATTTCAAAGTGGCTAAGGAAATCTATTCGCCAGTATGATAGCTATGGCATGTCAATAGAGGGATTAAAATCCTTTTTCCGAGATGCCAAGGTCCTTTACATATCTTTCTGTCTTCTGTTCTTTTACGCAACTTTCTTCTTAAGATGAGTTAGTGGATGAATGGCAGTAATCATTTTCTTTCTATGCCCGAAATTGCCTGCAGGAGAACATTGGCAAGAAGATGGTGGATCTCTTGCCAAATTCTGATACTAATGAGGGGAAAAACCTCTGTCCTAGGGATCAAATAAAGCGGTGTACGGGAAACAAAAATCAGAAATTGAACAAGCCTGATCTTTGTGAAGGAAAACTAGTCTCCGTGATAAAGTGTGATTCCGTTTCTCCTAAACTTGGGTTCCAAGACGACATTGGAGGACAGGAAGCCAAGCAAATGAGTGAGGATGTTGAAACTAGGGAAAGTATTGACCTAGAATGTGATTTTCAGAAAGAATCAAGTTCAAGGTAAGCATATTTCATAATACTTGGTACCTAGTCAGGTAATTGGAATAACTACTAGTATTGTAGTATAGTGGTCTTTAGAGGATCTGGTTTTCAGTTTGAGTAGCAACTTACATGAAATTTTACAATTGATATTTAGTATCTACAACATTCAATAAGTTTTATTTGCCATGAAGGTATATCTGATGACTAAATGGGATGTATAATTAAAATGCAAATACCTAGAAACTTTAGCTAGGATACATGATACACCAACTTTAGTTATTAAGTCCTGCACGATGATCCATTATGGAACGTATTGAAATATAAAAAAAATAAAAAAATAAAAAAATAAAAAAAAAATTCAACATATTGAACTGAAAATTGTTTTCGTGATAATCCATTGTGGTCTTGGTCTATTATTCCTGCACTAATAATTCAAAGTTCCTGCGGGCAAGATGCCAAATGGAAAATAACAAGCAGAATTTTACTCTCCTTTCATTATCTAAATACATCATGTAATATATTTGCACATTCGTATGGGGTAAATAATTGGTTATGCTAGAAGTATCTTTTCTTCTCGTGAAATATCCAAGTGGTATAACTCTTACTTGATAAAAAAGTACTTATTTGTAGGTGTTCTGAGACATCGTCCCAGGAAGATCCAGAAGTAACTTTCGTCAAGGAAACCCTCAGTACGGGCTGCAACGAAACCACAACTACAACAGCTTCTTTCTCCATGGATAAGAGCCCTAATTTAAACTTGAGTCCGCCATCTGCTGAGTTTATAGATCAAGTCTCATTCCATTCAGCATGTCTAACAAATGCAAGTAGAGCTTCTGACAGAGCTCAGTGTTCGGGGGTAGCGACTCCCAGAAAAGACTCGACTGCTAATAACTGCAGCCTGATACCTGAAGCAGAGTCGACTCTAAATTTGAGTGTTAATTCTCATACCCAGAAAAAAAGGAAGTCCGTGGGCTCGCCATTAATTGATGTTAAAAAGCAAAATGATTCTCCCAATGCTCAAACTTCTGGCTGTGTTGGTTTCATAGAAAACACAATTGCCATTAAAGATGCAAGTCGGAGGATTGAATTTGATTTTGCAACTAACAGTGCACAATCCCTGTCCATTAGGTTAAAGAAGCCTCAGATTCTCCCTTTAGATAATTCTGCTCCACCATCTTCTGATCCTGTCATGGACAAGAAATTAAGAATTTCTTGTTCGCTCTGCAAGAGCCCTTTGGGTCGTCCTGAAAATCAGTTATATGTTAGGTGCTCGTTGACTTCATCATCAAAAGTTCACTTAAGGTCTCTTGTGAAAGAAAGATTGGAACGTTGCACTGAGAATACATCTACATGCATACCTGTCCTTATGACTGATATTACATCTGTAGATCAGCGTCTCTGCAATAGTAATCTTGAAGATAAGCCAGGTCGAGGAGTTTGGTGCGAGGAAGATGGGTGTGTTTTCAGTTCTATCTTGTGCCCTTTCTGCAGTACCTTTAACTGTCTTGGAGTCCAAATCATGGCAGCTGATGCCTCCAACGTTCAATTACTTAACAAGGTTTGTTTTAATGAGAGGATGTATTTTTTTGATGCTTCAAACTAAGATCAGGTTTTCATATTTCTTTCACTGTTAATATTTGTGGTTGCTATTCTTTTGATCTTGACTGCTGCAATACTGCTTAATATGCAGATATTGTTTTATTTTGATCATCTGGAAATTCAGGATCTTGAAGGATCAGTGGACAAGGGGCAAAAGGTAACTTAGTATTATATGGTCGGCAAGTTCTTTTATAATTCTTTTGTTATTTTTGTGCTAGTTGTGTAAGGAATAAAAGAGAGAAGACTATGGAATTCACAGCTAAAATAGAAATGAACGACAAACCTAGAGGTGTATTACCTTTGGGTTTCTGTTTACAGAACAACCAAAACTCAAATAAAGACCTGATGGAGTTGAAATATAGACTTTAGAATTAAATCATAACATCAAACTTGACTGATCATAGCACTCTACATTCACATGCCTTCCTCAGTAGAACATCGATAAGAAGCTCCAAAGCATATTTGACGTTTTGGTCTTTGAACTTTCATTGTTTTATCACTATTAACAGTTCTATTACATCTCTACGTACAAGTGCAGGTTTTGCAAAACCATAGCCCAAGCATGGACAAAATTGCTGCCTTTAACTCCATTGATAGATTCTCATATAGCCCACAGCAGAACTCCGGAGGCTGGAGGACTACAAGGCCAAAGGTCAGAAAATTAGTCTTCCGTTGAGCTTTTGATCTTTTTCCAGGGGAAATTCTTACATTTCATTCTCGTCCTGCAGCTGAGACTACCAAAGAGCGGCCAGGTATCGGATGGACAAAGTCAATATTGATGCAGAACAACCACCTTTTTGTGCATTGCAAGCAAGTAGCTGAGATGGATATTAACCTGCATTTTCTTTTTAACATAGAATGCAATTACCTTGGATTAGGTCTGTCTTCTCTTGCAAGTTTATGGGAGGTTCAAATGCATCATTGTGAATTAAACAGAGTAATTATGTTCTACAATTATTTGATTCAATTCACCACACTGCTGTTTATAAAACGAGAGATCAATATCCATAGTATTCGACAGGATTGACAGGATAGGTCAATTTTTTAGCATTTTGTATGTATTAGAGATGTTTAACTTTATGCAGAAATTTTTTACTTGTAATCAGAAGCGTGCTTTTGAACAATGAAATATAACTTTACAGTAAACCATTGTATATAATCAAAGATTCAAACGGTCGGAAACCAATCAAGCATCGAGTACTCTCAAATAAAAATTCACTAATACAAAGTTAATAATACCAAAAATCTGATAATCAACTAAAGCATTCTAAGAAAGCTAATTAATTGGAATTAAAATATTATAAAATGTCATACATGGAACAATCAAATATATTCAGGTGCCCAGACTCATAAAACAAAAAGATTCAGAGCCTGAGAAACCTACAGATCTAAATATTGGTCTCTGTCTGAAATATTTCAATGTTACCTTTAGTTCTATCTTTTTTCTGTAATAATAATCATTTTTCCTACCAAAACCACCATAACAATTAGTAATCATCATCCAAACAAGTCCGGCCAGTGAGGTTTATAGTTGATTGTGACTTCCGGTCGGCCAATCAACTGCTCAATCCCTGCACAAACACAGAATACCCATAAGCACATCAATTGGATAATTCAGTATCTAACGTTTAAAACCCAGAAAGCAACTGAGAATGAGTACCTTGTATCTCCGGATTCTGGAAGTACATATCATTGACCATAAATTCTAAACTTTCGTCCATTTGTGCAATTGTGTCATCCTGATTAGTGTTCTTGTCTTCAGCAGGCTCAGCTTGAGATTCTCCGGTGTTTGTTAGCGTCGGTAAAGCTGCTTGCTTTCTCTTGGAACGTGCTCTCCTGTTCTGAAACCAATTATACACATTTGTTTCAGAAACTGGACCATGTTTTGCAAGTTCACTCGTAATTTCCCTTATCTTCTGCCTATCAGGAGTTGTATTGCAGTCACCAAAAATACTCTCGAGGATTTGAAGCTGTGCTGCTTTCGGCGCCCATCTCTGCCTCGAAGGGATTCTCTGCAAACCATTTGATATATACGGACCACTGTATCCGTACAGATTGGCCACCTGAATCCCTAATTTCACAAATCAAAGAAAATCAAAATCAATTTCAATTGCTCGCAAATGGTAAATTCTATTTGAGGAAGCGAGAGAGAAGAGAACCAGTAAAATCTTGTTGAGAACAGATGGCTTGGTGCATCTGAACAAGATTCTCACAAATAGTAGCATAGACAGATATCTGTTTCCTGAGCATCTCCATTTGCTCATCGGTCATAACTTTGACACCCACTACACCATTCTCCATTTTCAGCTCTTTCAGTAATGTTTTCTACCGAGTCATGACATTGGCTGTGACTTGAGAGTATATAGCAGAAATCAAAGGCACAGTTTAGCTTTAATTGCGCTGGTTCCGCGCGTTCTCCTGTTGATGACTAAAGACTTGAACAATCCAATCCCTCGTATTAATTATTATCAAACACAGATTAACGTAAATACGACCTTAATTACACGTCAAAAGAAAAGGAAGATGTCGGAAATTTCCACTTTTCCTATTTTGGATAACCAATCACAGCACTAACTCTCCTTGACCCGTATGATACTTGTACTATTCTAGTACTATAATAATTAGATTATATTAAGAAATAGGAAAGCTTTTGTGGCACTCAAGATCAGTCTCATATACCAAATTAATTTTTTTTAAAAAAATTTAAATATTATTATTTTATTTATCTTTTCAGTGTATAGTAAAAAGTATATTCGTTTGAACTAAAATGCAGTTTGTGATTGATCTATGAACTGGTGCAAGTTTTTCGCTAAGAAATATATGTATTAATTAATTTTATGTATCTACTAAAATGGTAATAATCTAGAAATTAGGTACTTTTTAGAAATTGAGAAATTTAATATCTTAATTAGTATATATAAGCTAATAATATCAAGAAATTTCAAATTATTAGATTGAATGATTCCATTTAGTGAGAGCGGGAGATTTTTATTTTTATTTTTATTTTTTTGAAGGTGGGAGCATTTCTATTTGAATATTTAAACCTGGATTTTATAACTTAACATTCTTGTTCTTGTTTTTTGGGAGACCAAGAAAACAATATTGATGTTGTATTTATCAATGACGGCTTCTGGATAAGTGTGTGAAAAAGGAAGCCTTCCATCACTAGATAGATCATGCTAGGGGTGGCCACGATTTTGGAACCGCCGGTTTCGGTTTCAAATTTTTTAGAACCGGAATCGAACCGAAAATTAACGATTTTGGTTACGGTTTGGAACCGAACGGTTCCGGTTCCGGTCCTCAATGGTTCCAAAATTGACAGTTCTGGTTGGTTTTCTAACGGTTCAGGCCGGTGTCGGACTGATTTTGGAAGGTTCCGACCGGTTTCAGAGGGAACTAGAACCTTCGGTTCTGATTGAAACTGAAACCACCGGTTCACGGTTCCAAAACTGGTGGAACCAGAATCGAACCGGTTTGGACCGATTCCGGTTCCAGTTCGGACTGGTTCTGGTTCCGAAAATTGGATTTTGGCCACCCCTAGATCATGTCTTCTACAAATAGCCATACACATAGAGCATAGGTCTTTTTGACCTACCAAAACTTAGTTCTCTATTGTCCTTTTTTTTCTAATTTTTCCATTATATATATATTGTTAGAAAATTGCATCCAAGATGGGTCAATTACAAAATAATTTTCATTATGAAAGCAAGATTTTGCTTTAGCTAGTAAATTGGAAAATAATCTCCACAGTTTGCAAATGGAATTTGTCTATTTGCTTATATTATTAAAAAGTAATGGATTATTTAATAATATCCATCAAGTGGAAGATTAGTTAACATGTCCATTACCTAATAATTCAATACATTGTTAAGGTATATTTTTTTAATTCATTTGAAGTTTTTATGAGCCGAAATAACTCTATGAACAACACTCAAACTTGAAAATTCACACTATTCACATAAATAAAAAGACCAATCAGACCACCGCCTGATTGACATTATTAAAATAGATTTAAATTGTGAATAAAAAAATATAATATCATTTATTAACTTCATTTTTTCTAAACTCCAAATAGAGTAAATCTCCATATACAACTCATTTGGCATATATTTTGATATGTAAAAATTAATTTTTATTTTGAAAAAAAAAATCCAAAATAATTATGGGAATTTCGATCATAAAAAATGGAGTAAAATGGATGATTAGAGAAAACTCTTGATTGTTGGCATGAACATAGGGAAGTTGTTGGACCTAACAAAAGCAAAAACAAATTAAGAGATCATTAGGTTAGAACCTAAAGCAAATCATCAAACGACACAGTCATATGTCTTCCTTTGTTTAAAACGCATGCCAAAGCCAACCATCAATGTCAGTTGACATTTGTAATAGATTTAAAAAAAAAAAAAAATTAAAAAAGAGAAAAATATCCAAATGATTTGGTTCTTAAAAGCCCAATTAACTATGGAGTTCAAAATATAAAGCCCATAACATATATGGACATGTCGGAATTTAAAAATCTTATCTTCGCGCGGCCCAGTGTTTATTTAATTTTCCTGCTAAAAGTCCTCAAAAAGAAAAAGGAAGACGATGATGTCACGTTACTGGTGATTATTCATCAATGGTTTTTGGAAACGACGAGAAAAAAAAATCTTGCTAACAGGTGATCCAAATAGCTCTCTCTGTCCTTTTCTTCTTATTGCTTGTTTGACCAGGTACCGTTTCTTTCTTCCCTCAGCATTATATATAGGCTTCGTGGGATCCAATATGATCAAACTTGGCAGGGTAGCTAGGAGAGAGAGAGAGAGAGCAACCCGCGTTGCTGCCATGGCTGAAGAAAATACAAGGAAGAGGAATGAAGAAATGGAGGAATCAATGATGCCCCTTTTGACTCCTTATAACATGGGAAGATTCCCTCTCTTTCATAGGTCAATGCTCTATTAGTTTTTTTTTTTTGCTTTTTAAATTTTTTCTGAAAAAGGGAAGGAGATTTTAAGGTTTTTGTATTCCATTTTAATAGGATAGTTTTAGCACCAATGTCAAGGATGAGATCTTACATCTTCACAGCTCAACGACATGCCATCTTATATTTACTCTCAAAGAACAACAAAGGGTGGTTTCTTGATTGGAGAAGCCACTGTGATTTCAGAAACAGCGACAGGGTAAGATATACATATTACAAAAATAACTTTTGTTAACAGCTGAGGGTAAAAGGTCATATATGCTCCATGAAACTTTGAAAGAGGTTGTTGACATTGATTTTGAGATTCAAAACCATGGTTTTCTATTGAAATCTCGGATTTTTAGTTTTTACTTGTTAAATAGGTCCAACTGTGGCAGTTTGAGGTCGTGGCAATTGTTGATGTGGATTTAGTTTTTGGTTTAGAGGTGGCTGTTAATTTAGGTTTAGTTAAGTAGGTGAGAAAATATACACATTTGGTAAGCTTCTTAGTATAAATTTACACTAAAAATGTCTTTCCTTTTGAACTGATTAATTACCCTTTTTTTTATCATGCTAAATCATAATGGAAGAGGCCTGAATTGTCCTGGAATTTGGACGAGAGAACAAGTTGAAGTTTGGAAACCTATTGTGGATGCTGTATAAACCGATTTTCCTGCTCCTCGTCGGCTCACTACGGAGGAGATACCTGACATTGTTGAGGACTTTAGAATTGCAGCAAAAAATGCTATAGAAGCAGGTAATTAATGTTTCATAAAACAATAATAACCCATTGCAATTTTTAATCTGAAACTTTACTGACAGGATTTGATGGAGTGGAGATACATGGTGCCAACGGTTACTTAATTGATCAGTTCTTGAAAGATAAGGTGAATGATAGGACAGACAAGTATGGAGGGAGCTTAGAAAATCGGTGTCGTTTTGCATTAGAAATAGTGAAAGCCGTGGCTGATGAGATTGGAGCTGAAAGAGTTGGCATTAGACTGTCGCCGTTTGCTGATTGTGATGATTGTGGAGATTCAAATCCTGAAGCTCTCGGGGTGTACATGGCCGAGTCCCTAAACAAATATGGAATTCTATACTGTCATATGATAGAGCCGCGGAGGATCAGACAGTTTGATTCACATCACACAAACCAGTCTCTCTTGCCTATGAGAAAGGCTTTCAGAGGGACTTTCATTGTTGCTGGAGGATACACAAGAGAAAGCGGCAACCAAGTCATTGCAAGTGGAGGAGCTGATCTGGTTGCGTTTGGACGCTGGTTTCTGGCAAACCCAGATCTACCAAAAAGATTTCAGCTCAACGCGCCACTTAATAAGCATGATACAAAGACGTTTTACTCTTCTGATCCTGTCATTGGCTATACAGACTACCCATTTCTCCAACCTAATAATTAATTAAGCCTTGTCTTATCGTAAACTAGGCTTCCACATTGATTGTATTTGAAACGTCGAATTGAATCCATTATGTTGTCGGACTAGAGTTTTAATTTTTAGAAGCAAACCATCCACATTTGCCAGCATTAGCGACATGATGATCATAATCGGGAATCATAAGATCAGATTGAAAGCATGTCGATCCAAACAAAACAAATCAAATCAGACACGTACCGTTTCCACCAGATATGCACAACGTAAGTCAATAGCTTGGACAACAAAGCGCAAATTGTATAAACATAGGCAAAAATATTGGGTTGGATAACGATGAGTTATTCCCATCACTCTGTCAATTTTCCTCATCAAAAACCTCAACCTTATTGCCAAAAATAGATTCTCACTGAAAACAAATAAAACAACAAAATAAAGTGCAAAAACTTGAGCGGAAACCCAAGTTGCGCATACTGCAGATGAATACCTGGGTCTGGCGGTCGGAGAGAACAAGGGTTCAGACACGATCTAGGAACAAAACCATAAAAACTACTACTGACCTTAGAAAGGTCCCCAACAAAACGAAGTTGAAGACAGATGAAAATAAAAAAATAAATCAAGTACACTTCTCATTTAGTTGAAAAAATCTACATCAGGCCATTGTTAATGTCCCGAACTGCTATATGCTGATCTGTCCGTAAAGTCAACATGGCTAAGCCGTAGGCAGTCCTAGATTTCGTTCGCACAACCTAATCATTGGCTGGGCTTTTAAACACCCCACTACATACAAATAATCATGTGCTCAATTTCCAATTTCTTATCCCCTTAGAGTGAGACCAGTAGCATTCAACCCCCGATCGCATTATACAAATTGAAAAAGGACAAGGCATGCCAATTGATTATGAAAAATCAAAAATCAAAAGCCATAAACTATTAAATGACCCAAAAACAAATTGCACTAACTCACAAAGATTAAAAAACATCAAACAAAACAAAAGCTCAAAAAGTGACGAGACCCCGCTGTAATCTTAGATCAATAGCTCATCGCACACGTGCACCCAAGAACAGGTTTGTTGGAATAAGAGTAAGCAAAAGAATCATAATAACATGATTGGAATCGAAGACCAAAATGGTGTGTTCACATCATCATAGAGACCAACAAACGTCAACTAGTTAAACCCAAAAATTATCCAATTGAGAAGAATTCATCAAAATAGAATTGACATTCATTTTCTTTAAGGTGACCTTTAATTCTTCCTAGTTGCAGAAAAACAAACATTTGAACGCTAACAGCCAAACACAAAATAATTAACAAGAACCTCTTCTAAAGTCAAAATGCGAAGTCAGACAAACAACCATCATAGTTCATCACAGAGAACTTTCTCTACAAAAGAAAACCACTTAGCTAAATCATTAATTTTGGTGCAAGGTACGCAAAAGCAATCTCCTTTCTACAACTATTAATTTCTTTTTTAAGAAAGGAGAAGGACAAAATAAGAGGGAGCAGAGACATCCTTCTCTTACAAGACAAAAGCAAGAAAAAAATTAACAAGCAAATATCCCCATTAACATGAGTTGTTCAAACATTTGTCACAGCCTAAATGACTATGCTACTCCTCTCCCCCTCTTCCTACTCATCATCGTCCTCCTGCAAGAATTGCACAAGGTAAAGTCAGCACAAAGTTGCATTAATATACCAAACGAAGGTAAAGTCAATACTTAAATTGACTATCGCAAACTAACCTCTCCACTTCCCTCCTCATCATCTTCTTCCTCATCATTCACCTCAGACATTGACTTCTCAGATTCCTCTTCTTCCTTGGGGCCTTCAGCCTGACATGCATCATATAAAGGTATTAATAGACCAACAACAGCATGATGACTATCTAACGGCAAATAGCCTAGTTAGCACAATCACCTGTCCCTTGTTGTAGGCTTTCAATTTCTTCTCATATTCTATCTTCCTCTTTTCTGCCTTAGATACAAAAGGTGCTTTCTCCTGTATTAATTCAATTAAGATCATATCAAAACACCATAGAAGAATCATACAAGAATCAACAATATGGAGCCATAATACAACAAACGCTTACAGCATCTGACATTGACTTCCATTTATCTCCACCAGCTTTGCCAACCTAAACATTTTAGAAAAATGGACCACCCAGTCATCAAAATGAAAACTGATACTAAATTCTACTAAAAATGATAAAATCCTTCTTAAAACTTACAGCAGCAACGGATTTGTTTTTAGGATGTTCCTTCTTGTACTGCTCTCTGAACTCTTCCCTGCAATAATCAAATCATTATATACAAGTAAGATTTATATTTCCGCTAATCAGTCAACACATCCCATAGTATATCATATTAAAACGCTTTTCAACAGAATATTAATCACAACCTTAGCAAAAAGCCAGTTGAATGATAAATTTTTTTATCTTTAAAAAATTAAATTAACCTTTACTATACTATTTTCTGTTTCTACCTTCAGAGAAAGTATAAAAGACTGAGCAGGAGGGATAGAAATATTTACATGAAAACGAAGAAAGCACTGGCGGGCCTCTTTGGCTTATTTGGATCCTTCGCTGCCTTACCCGCCTTCTTACTTGCCTTGGCGGGTTTCTTGTTCACGGAAAGCCTATAGCCGTACACAGAAACACGTAACAATAAGAGACAGATACATCTATATTTTGCAGATAGCCAAATTTTTTTCTCAGATCTAAGATCTGCGAAACCGCGATTTTCAGTTTCACATGTCTAAACGCGTGAGAACAAAGAAGTCAACGGAAAAAAATAGTTCGGTCAGCAAAACTTACTTGGCGTTCTTGGTGTCTGACTTTGATTTACCTCCTTTCATGGCGAATCCTGCAGTTTCAAGAGCAGATCAGCTAATAAAACGGTCTAAATCGATCGAAACAGCCAAAAATCGTTAAAAAATCGACGGAACTTACTGGGTCTGAGTTAGGGTTAGGGCTTGTAAGGGAGAGAGAAAAGAAGGAAAAGATAAATAGAGAGAGAGAGAGAGAGAGAGAGAGAGAGAAAGGGTGAGAATTGTGAGGGAGGGTTGAGAAGCCGAAGGGCGGAGATATTAAGTCTTAGGGAAATTGAAATTCAATTGCGCACGAAATGAAAATTGGGGGTTTAGGCGGGATTCGGAAATTTCATGCCACGTCACCCATCTGTGTGCTTTTCAGATATTGGGCGCGTGTGTTAAGCTTAATATGTCTTGAATGATTTGTGTTTTCTATGTGCTTCTTCCCTCTCACAAACAAGTCGTCTACTAGAGAGCGCTTCCCTTCTCTTGTGATTTTTGATTGGTTGGATCCGATCCGATGTCATCTTTAAGCCCAACTTGAGTTATTAATTGGGCCTTTTACTCTGTTTCGCTTCCGCTTTGCTTCTTCTTGTTTTACTTTTTTACTATTTACCGCTTTAGGTTGGGCTTAGCAAGACTTAGATGAACTATGTTAGACGAATGAAGTCGGACACGAAATTCTTGACTTCTCGTACAGAAGACCAACCAAATCATTAAAATTTAATTTTTGGTAACTTATATTCAACAATGCATATGATCCTATATTATAACCGGTCAAAGTGTGTTGCCTTTACAAAATTGAGAAAGCAAGCAATGGAATTTTAGCTAACCCTAAATTAAATATTCTTTTGAGTATGAAATATAACTTAAACATGTTGCAAGCAACCATAAAAAACACATGTGCAATGCATCATATATGATCAAAAGACAAGAAACAGTCCAAAAGTTCAGATTTTACTTTTTATATTCTCCCGTTATTTACAGATTCAAGAGGCAAATTACCTTGTGTTTAATAAAAAACTATAATTGTTATATATCAAATTATTTATTGTCTATCAATATATTTCAAAACAGTAAATAATTTTAGACAAAATAACATTTGAAATGAAATAAGTAAAATGGAGGAAGTAATAAAAGGAAAAAATTTAAATTTACGCATATATTATTTTCTTTGTGTATTTGTAATGTTTATTAGTTTTTCTTTTAAATAATATTTATTAGTTTTGAACACGTTACACGCGTATCTAATTCATGTAGTTAGGGGTGGTCAAAATCCGATTTCTGGAATTAGAATTGTCGGTTCCGAACCGGAACCGAAATCGGTCCAAAATGGAATCGAAATCGGTTCAAACCGGTTTGGTTTCGATTCCACCAGTTTTGGAACCATAAACCGACGGATCCAGTTCCAGTCGAAACCGACAGTTCTAGTTCCATCTAAAACCAACAAGAACCGTCCGAAATCGGCCAGAACCGGTCTGAAATCGACCGGAACTGTCTATTTTAAAACCATTGAGGAACCGGAATCGTTCGGTTTCAAAACTGTAACCGGAACCGTTAATTTTCGATTCGATTCCGGTTCTAAATTTTTTAAAATCGAAACCTTTAATTCTGGAACTGTGGCCACTACTACATGCAGTATTTAATAATTGGGGCCACAATTACATAATATAATAAAATTATTAAGAAGATAGATTATAATAATTTTTTACTCGTGATCAAAAGAGATATAAGTTCAAAATATTTAAATAGATATCATTTATTACGTGAGATAATAATATTATATTTGCGAATCCAACGCTCTTATGCAAAGAGGTAATGGTTTTAATTCGAATTTTTTTGATTAAAAAATTTTTATCAATTTAATGAATTAAAAAGAGATTTATCTCTATAGTTTCGAGCGTTATAGACCCGGATATTTCAAAGAATAAAAGAATAATATTCTGCTTGGACAAAAACGTATACAAGGTGGTTACCAAAATATCTCACGTCGTGATTACCAAAATATCTCATATGGTAGGGTTAGGAACTGAAGACAAATTACAACAAGGATAAGGACGACGGCCGAGAACATCCTCAAAACATGGGCCGGGCCTACAGTTGTTTCGTTCAGATAGCCCAGCCTCTGTTTGGATAGTTCAGCAAATAAGGCATCGCCACTTTCCTTTCCTTTCCCTCCCCTTTCCTTTCTCCGGTGAAAGTACAATTCCTTTACAGGGCGGTCAGTCTCCTCGTCTTTTTCTCTTCATACCAGGTATTCTTCTTATATTTAATTAATTATTTATCATATATATACTTTTGTGGGCGTGGAATTGCTAACCATTACTTTAAGGTTAGGGTTTCTCAGCAGACCATTAACGTCAAACTGCTAGATTTTATATTTCTTCGAACTAGGGTTGTATAGGTTGTGCGACGTCTATAGATAAATTTAGAGAGAATTTTTCTTTTATTTATGATTTATTTAGTTCATCAATGTCTTGGTTCTTTATTAGAGTAAAATGGATTCTCAGAGATTGCGCATTTGATTCATTGCAATTGTCTGCTTATGTAAATCATTACTGCCCGATTAGTTGACTGTTTCAGTTTGTTTCTAACTGTCTAATATAGTGAAAGATTGAAATAAGAGGGCTAGAGTGTTGGTTTTTATACTGATAGAGCTAGGTCTCACTGTTCCTGAAAATGTCACACTAAAGTTTATATTTTTATGTATGATTGGATGTTGAGTTGCTCTTTTGGCATGGTTTTGTAGATATATTCTTCATTTTGTTTTGAACAAAAAAAAAAAAAAGCATCGGTACGATTAAGATCTTAATTCTCTGGCTGTACTTCTCCTTGCATCTGTATTTCATAGAGCAGTAATTTCTAGTTGCCATGGAGTCTGAAATATGGGTATTGCTTATAGCGAAAAGATGATTAATAAATCATAAAGTGCAGATAAGTTAGTGTTTTCTTTGTACTGTGCAAAGCTTGTGCATATGATGTATTACACTTGATCTCTGAACTTCAGGTAAGTTCACTTGTTGACAGCTCATGTACTGATGCTCATGGCTTTGCACTCATTGACCTGTTAATTTCTGATGATATTTCTTTACATTTTCATTTTGGTTTATCATTTGGCCGCGGAAGAGATCTTGGAAAGGGGGATGCTTATTCTGCATAAGAGGATACAATGAAAGCCCGTTTAGGGTTTTTGGTCCCCCAATCTCATCTTCTCTGTCTCAGCTCAGCTGATGCTTCTTCTGACTTGAATCTCTTGATCCTTTCCACTGCTATTTTAATGTTTTTTCCTCCTCTCCCTCTCTTTCTGAAGATTATGTTGAATTGGAACTTCTCCTTTTTTTAATGTTGTTTTAATGGAATCAAGTTTTTATGTCCGTTTCTTGGTCCTCTTAAATCACCAAATGCTTTCTTAAATCATATGTTGAATTTAAACTTTAAAGAGAACTTAGAAATACTACATTTATGTCTTATTTTCTATACCCAAATAAGAAATTTAGTGACTTGATTGCTTTAGCTTGTTGCTCATCTTATATCCCAATTTGCAGGTAAAGGAAATGGTTAGTAAATCAAAGAAGACTAATGCAGCTAAGAGGGATGTGTTTAAATGGACTGAGCGAATGGACGATGCCTTCATTGATGCACTTGTTCATCAACAAAGGTTGGGAAACAGGGTTGACAATATTTTCACAACAGCAGCATATGATAATATGTTGAAGGAATTGCGTGAAAAGATTGCAATGCCATTTCAGAAAGATCACTTGAAGAATCGTTTGAAAAGCCTCAAAAATAATTTTAAGGAGTGTTTTGACCTTTTCAATGGCGTAAGTGGTTTTGCATGGAGCCCAGAAACAAAAATGTTTAGTGCAAAGCCTGAAGCTTGGAAAGCCTTTGTGAAGGTCCTTTTTTTTATTCTCTTAATCATAAAATCTAAAACTATATCACACCGTGTAACTCAAATTTCAGATTTGCTGTGTTCTTATGTTAGGAAAAACCAGAGGCAAAGAAGTGGATGACTACACAAATTGCCCATTATGATAAGCTGGTATTACTTTTTGCCAAAGACAGGGCAAAATCCAACGGTGACAACAGTACAAAACAGAAAGCAGGTGCATTGGCTACTGTTGCCAGTGGCCGGTGTTTTGATGGTATTGACAGGCTGCAAAATGAAGTTACACCTATTCTTGATCTGGAGGATTTAAATGAGATGAACGATGGTACAAGTCAACTAGCAACTCCTGTTGAAGCAAATTCTCAGACAGATTCTCAAGCGCATTCTCACTCTGCAACATCACTTAAAGGCAAAAAACGCAAGGCTCCAAAAGTTGATATCTTTGAGAGAGAGTTTAAAAGCATAAGGGAAGCTATTAAAGATGTGGCAGAGGCAATTAGGGAGGGAAACATAATTGCAGAGAGAGGACGCCATCGTGTTTACTCAGAACAGGAAGTTTTTGCAGAATTGGTGAAGATAGGATTTGAAAGGCATCTGCGCTACAAGGCTTATACCTTCCTTATTGCAGATGCCGGAAGAGTAAGGGCATTCTTTGGTTGCCCAGCTGGGGAGCGCAAGGATTTTTTGGTGCAGATGATGTATAATCCTGAAAACCCTTGAAATGTTAGATGGGAGCGTTAGTTGGATAATACAGAACTCTTCATGTTTGTGGTGTTGCTTGAAGAGTTTTCAACATGAGTAGTTATTATAGAGTAGTTTTTTCCATTTTTTTCTTTTTTTTTGGAGGAGGGGCTGTGGTTGAGGAATAGTGTAAGGAACCATGATCATGACTCAGCCGTTGTATATAATGGTAATTAAGGAATCCAACACCAATTTTTTTGTTCTAAGGGTCAGGCTGTTTATTTATTTATTTATTTTATTCATTAGAAGACCAAATGAGCTGAAATAATACGATGACTCATACAATAGAAATACTTTTGTGTTCTCAAATATTTAAATTCGAGACTTTTTATTTCTCATTAACACTGATAAGAAGATTAATACGACACTCTTCACTAACACTAACGAGAAGATAGATTAATGGTAATTAATAATATGACTCCTCACAACACCTGCCACGGCTACTTCTGGGCCGGGACACCAACATCACATCCATAAAGAATTTTAAAATCAGTATATTTGATGCAATCCTCTGTTAAAAACGGCGCTGAGAACTGATAGGGGGACCATGGACTTCTAGGAGGGATTTTTTTATTTTAATTGGCCGCAAATATCTGCTTCCAGGAGTGAAATTTCGTAGTTTAGTCAGCTGATTAGAATTACCAAGAAAGCAGATGGCACACCAAGTGTTCGACAAAATTTCTGTTAGTCGTGACCGTGTATATTTATTCGTTAATAGCTGCAATGCCTAACTTCTTATTATTATTAGTTTTTTGGGACTACTAATGGACTGTAAATTTTTGTCGATGAGCCTGTATTCCATATCGCCATGGGGCAGTAAGTTATCAAAGAAGAGAAGTGGGATAACTATAACTACAATGACATATTCAAAGAAAAAAACACACTACAGAAAGCTGCCCAAAAACCTTCGTTCTCCAAGACGATCCAAGCTTCCTCCCGACTTTGGGGTTAACTTATTCCTGAAAAAGCCAAGCAGTGGCGTCGACAACTCGCAAATGAATTCAATTGTAGACGACGATGGCGATTTAACTGAAGAAGAAGGTGAGGAACAGGAGCAACTTGGTGATATTGTTTGGGAATCAGATGAAATTGAAGCAATATCATCTCTTTTTCAAGGAAGGATTCCTCAAAAGCCTGGAAAATTGAATAGAGAAAGACCTCTACCGCATCCGCTTCCTTACAAACTAAGACCTCTGGGACTCCCTACTCCAAAGAGACGCATGAAAAATGCTTCTCCATTGGTATACTCTTCTCGAGCATCTACATGTGAGCAAGTTTACAAAAATCCAAGATTTCTCATCAGTTTAGCCAAGCAGATCAAATGCCTCAATCCAGATCAAGATGCTTCCTTTATTTTAGACGATTATACTCGTTTCTTGCGTAAGGGGTCCTTGTCGCTAACAATTCGAGAATTGGGTCATATGGGACTTCCTGAACGAGCTCTGCAGACCTTCTGTTGGGCTCAGAAACAACCCCAGCTTTTCCCTGATGATCGGATCTTAGCTTCCACTGTTGAGCTCTTGGCCAGAAGTCAAGACTTGAAAGTGTCATTTGACTTTCAGAAGTTTACTGGTTTGGCAAGTCGTGGTGTGATTGAAGCTATGGTTAGAGGTTTCATTAGAGGTAGAAGTTTACACCTAGCTTGGGAACTTCTGTTAGCTGCCAAGCATGATAATAGAATGTTAGACCCCAGCGTGTATGCTAAGTTGATATTGGAGCTTGGAAAGAACCCGGATAAGCACATAATTGTTTCACAGTTGCTGGATGATCTTAGCGAAAGAGAAGATTTGAGCTTAAGCCATCAGGATTGTACTGCTATAATGAAAGTTTGCATTAGGCTTAAAAAATTTGAGTTAGTAGAGACACTATTTGGTTGGTTTAAACAATCCGGACGTGAGCTAAGCGTGGTTATGTACACTACTTTGATTCATAGTCGTTATTCTGAGAAGAAATACAGGGAGGCTTTAGCTGTGGTTTGGGAAATGGAGGGCTCAAATTGCCTCTTTGATCTCCCTGCTTATCGTGTTGTTATAAAGCTTTTTGTTGCTTTGAATGATCTCTCAAGGGCTGCAAGATATTTTTCAAAACTGAAGGAAGCAGGTTTCTCTCCAACTTACGACATATATAAAGACCTGATTACAGTTTACATGGCTTCTGGGAGGCTGGCAAAGTGTAAAGAGATCAGGAGGGAAGTAGAGATGGCTGGATTCAAGTTGGACAAACAAATGACCTCGGCTTTATTACAACTTGAAAGAGAATCAAGGTCAGATGTCTAAACTGTCTTGTATCTTTCAAAAGAAAAAATCTGTGTGCATGAACTATAGAACTGCCTTTTCTTTCTATCTTAATACATGTTTCTATTTTTCTATTGCCATGAGCATGGATATTTTTCTATATGGGTTGGTTTACAAGAGAATTGCATTGATCTGACTTTGTACGGTCCTTGCCAGGCATGTGAAAAGTACAAGCTTCCTCTCTTTGAATAATGTAGAACTACAAAGATATACACGTACACATATGCAATCATTCATTGTCAAATACGCTAATATTTCATAAATTTGAATGTAAATAATGGATGTGATTTATCTGTCACCCTGAATTGACAGAGAACGACAAACTAACATGAAGAATACAATAAAGAGATAGGTTCATCTCTGATTTAGGCTTAACTGTCTCAAAATACTTTGGCTTTTGAAATGCAGTAATTAACAGTATGCTCCTTCCACGCATCATTTTCAAGATAAGTTTCATACAAGCTTACTTCTCCATTTTCTCTTACTGTCAGCGCAATAGTGCTTCTTGTGCCATAGCACCCCTGTGATTAAATACCTGTCAGCAAATTTCAATAACTTCCATCCAAAGCGAACAAATTTAAATATATGTAATTTATCATGTGTACCAGTGGAGTGTCCACTTCAACAAATATGGAGCTTAGATTATATTCCCAATCAAGAGAACAAATGCCAGGCAACTTGCTTTTCTCAGCTTTGACTCTATCTTTCATCAGCTTCTCCACCATCTCTTCAACCTGTATTTCCCCCTCACCATATTTATCAAGCTGTTCCTTAAATTTTACTTCCAGGCGTTGTGCCTAAATGAGAATTAAAAGATCAATTTCCAACTTAGATATTTGATTATCAGAACAAAAAAAAAAAAAAAAAAAAAAGGCTAAATGGAATTTAAGAAAGAATCATTTCCAACTTAGATATTGTGCATTATCCAGAAACAAAAAAAAAAAAAAAAAAAAAAAAAAAAAAAAAAAAAAAAAAAAAAGGTGTATAGTAGAATTATAAAAAACCTTGGGCCAGGGAGAATCAAGCTTAGCATTTGAAAGGACATGAATGCCAGGAGAAACCTCTTGAATAACGATTGGTTCACCTTTGGGTCTGTTGGAAATATATACCATTGTTTTTGATGAAATGTCAGCCAATATCAGATTAAACCCATTGTAGTGATGAGCATCTTTCACCAGTGCCTCTGCAAATTCTTTTGGAGTCTTTGGGCTCTGTAGTAAAACTATCAGTTTATTTTATTTACGAGGAAACTACTGAAATGTCAGAAACATATTATTCCAAATTGTTATTATGCATATCCTAATGCAGACTGAAGTGTAACCATCTCCTAAAAGAACTCTAATATTACCTCCAAGAAAAGGACAGGAAGTTCCCCACGGCTCTTTGCCTCAGGGAGGGCATGGAGCTCCAGAACATTTGTTAGGAAAGCAACTCTCCCTCCCCTTGAACAAGCCAACCATGTTCCTCCTGCTATAGCATCTCTCCCTCCCAATATATCAGACCCATCCCACCATGCCACTGGCTCTGTGGGCCTACAAGAGAAAAAAAAAAAAAATCTCAACTTTTTGATGTTTATTAAATAATCCCATCACGACACAGAAGAAGGAAAAGAAAACACAGAAGTTTAGAACTTGCCTGTTGTGATATTCATCTCTGTTTTGCACCAGAATTAACGGGTAGAGAGGGTGAGCTCGCCAAATAAATGCAGCTATGCACATTGTTGAAAACAATAATCAAATATTACCAAATCCTGAATAGGTATTGGATATTTGGGGCCTTATTATGTTATACAGAAGCAACTAAAACTGTAGAATCAGATACTATAAAAAGCAGTAATGGAGGAAGAAGAAGAAAGTTTAGAAAGATGGATAGTAATTAAAAGGATAATTACAAGCTGCTTTGCATGTTGGATTTCCTTTGATACTGCCCACCATATATAAGCCCTATAAAGCAACCAAAGATTTTCAATAATAAATAAATGCACCTGCTAATGCTATCAATCAATCAAAAAAAAAAAAAAAAAAAAAAAAAAAAAAAAAAAAAAAACCATAATTGAAAAATAAATGACATATAATTAACATATATTAAACATATTAATTATTAGTAATCTGAAATAAAACATAATTCAATTAAATTATTAATAAAATTTATTATTATTATTATTATTATTATTATTATATATGATAACTTATTGTTGTCTTGTATTTTTATTTCTTTTCTTTCAGGTGAAAAAAAACCAGAATATTAAAATCTCGCTTGTTTTAGAAACAAGAGGCCGCCGCTTGTCAGAGAGCGATGCTTATCCATTTGAAATTCTACTAACGTTTTCTTATACGAAACCCACTACTTTGCCTCTTTGTTGGACCGCCGGCGCGAACACAGTGGTCTCTGACCAGGCGTACTAAAACATGGTTTTATTTTTTATTTTAATAAAGTAAATTTTATTTTTCTATTTTCTATTTTAAAAGTTGCCCGCTTTCAGTATTGATAATAACAAAATTAATAATTTAAACTGAAAAAAAAAAGAAAAAAAAAAGCCATTCATTATTAAATAATTAAAAAAATTATTGAATAAAAAGTCATCATCATCATCATAGGCTAACTGAATAATTGTCCAACGTAATAATGAATACAGGCAACCATTTTTTGAGGCTTGTAAATTTTCTAATTGTGTTTGCAGACTGTAATACAATAATGTTTGGAGGAAGTCCCCCACTTTGCACCACCCCCTAAGCCCTTAGCTGCAAGCTATTAAATTACAAGATTGGTCTACGTTTTCTCAGTAGGCCACATTTTTTAAAGTCACAAAATACGTTGCACGTGAAAATTAAATTGTCCCAACAATAAGTTGAAAAGGAAATAAAACAAGCATTGCGGCTCTCTAATGTCTAGCAATTGTGACATCCTTATCATCATCTTTTTCTCTGTCTTGCCTAAAATTTGGACATGACATCTTGTAATGAAAATCTCAGGTTTTAATATTTTTTATATGTTTAATATTTATGGGTATAATAAATTTAAAAAATAATTATAGAATGTATGATATATATGATTCATTTTCATTATTTTTTTAAATATGAAACTAATCAAATTCTGTATTATTTTTTTTCTATTTGGATGACATTGTTTAATTTCCATACCTAAGGGGGAGAAGCCCAGAGCAGATGGGCTTTGAAGTCCTATACTCTCACTTTGCAAGGTGCATCCAAAGGCCTTTGCAGCTAGTTAGCAATCCAATCGTAGCCCATCTCAATCATTTATCTCTCTACTTAAATTAAACTATTAAAAATCTCACTTTCATTCTTTTCACATTCAATAATGCTCTTTGTCCTACCACACTATTAAAAGTAATTTTTATAAAATCATTTATTAAAATATAGAAGTTTTCTTAAAAAATTTAGATTATTCTAAAAAATATATATATATATATGGGATTGTCAATAAATTTTTAAAATGCATGCTAAAACACAATCTGGTGATAAGTATAGACTTGATGATAGATTTAGATTCCAATTATTTTCCCGTAATGCTAAAGTAATGAATTCTAAGAAGGAAAATTGTCAATTTTGAAAAAATCAACATTGTTAGTCTCAAAAAGGTTTTTTTAACAACAATTTATTGTTAATTTTAGAAAAACAATAATAATTTATTTATTATGAAAAGTATAATCTCAGAAGAATATTATATAAAATTGAATTATTGTATTTGAATGATAATAAAAATTTTCTTTAAATAGCACAATTATGACCATAAATTTTAAAGTAATATTAAATTGTATATTTTAATATATATATATATATATATAGAAAAGTTAAGATAGACCAACATGATTAGAAATTTAATTTTCCTAAAATAAATAAAATCTAATTTCATGTAAGATTCCATCTACCATAGGCATGGCACCTAAATTACAGAAACTACATTTAGCTAGTGACAAGAAAGGAATAAAGTTTGATGTTGAAAAAAAAAAAAAAAAAAAAAAAATGAGGAAAGTGAAGATCTTTAATTGTCATGTGTAAAGATTCCATCTTGTGACCATAGGCATTTTGGGCTTACCGTGGTGGTAAATTACGAGAGAGGACTAGGTTTAGTCTAGCTGGAGGCGAGAGGAAAGGAGATGAAAGTTGTGGGATGTTGAAAGAAAATAAAAAAAAAAATAAAAGGAGTGCCGCGTCAGTTTAATTTTTAATTAATAAAGAAAAGACCAAATAAATAATGAGAGTTTAGCGTTCAAATTCTAGGGTCGAAGTTCAGTGGGGTAATTGGAAGTGAATTATAATATGTAGATTTTGGTAAGTCCGATGCATTATTGATATAAAAAACGGAAAGTTATTAATATTGGAAATACTTATAAGGTTAAAGTGAGAAGAAAGAGTTTGATCACGTGATTTAGGTTGTTCTGCGCGTATATGTTGGAGTCAGAACGTTGTCGGCGTATCTGATGTCATCACGTACCAAGGGTGGCTCATACGCATATGAAAGGTGTAGCTTTATTAGATAAATAAAAAAGTACAATAATTTAAAATAATAATGAATATAGATAGTGATACGCCTGGGGTGTGGAAGAGGAGGAGAAAGTTGGAAATGAGAGAGGACATAAACGAGACAAGAAAAAGGAATGAAGAGGGAAGAAGATGGGTGAGAATTGTTTCCGGGACTATGACCATAGATAGAGTGAGCGAGAAAAAGGACGTCCTTTTCTCTTTTTAGACCTTGCATAGAAGTCGTCTCTGCTCAGTCATGCAGCAGGGTCGGTTCAGGCAGTATACATACAACATACATATCTACGAAAGGCTAATTTTCAAAACCCTAAGTGTCCCTCAAGTGCCTCATATTTTAACTTCTCGACAACTTGCGGGCGTGATCCACTCGCCGGAACCCTTAATGGCGTCGGGATTGATTCTAAGGATGAGGTTTTAGGTGTCGGAACCTGTTGGGGCATTCGGACGACGGACGTTACGACGAGCGCATATTAGAGAAGAAGCAGCAAACTGTTTGCTGGGTGATTGAGATTTCCTGTCAGCAAACGAGGCAACAATACAAATCACGGCATTAGCCTCAATTTTGCCTCAGCCATTCCTGGTTTACTCCTTTATCGGGTCTCTGAGGTGTGGTGATTAGAGCCCGATGGCGGTCGCCTAAAAAAAAAAAAAAAAAAAAAAAGAGTCCACCCAGATTAATTTTAATTAATAAAAAAAACAAAATAATATAATGAATTTAGCGTTCAAATTCTATCGAAGTCATGTAATTGGAATGAATTATAAATATTATAAATCCGACCATATTGTAATAAAAAACGAAATTATTAATATTAATACTAGTATTAAAAGAAAAAGAGTTTGATCACGTGAGTTTTTCTCCGTATAAGCAGACGGTCCGTACGAGTCACACGTACCAATGCTCATACGCATGAATACTTATAAGATAAATAAAAAAGTACAATAATTTAAAATAATAATAATAATAATAACGCCTGTTTGGGAAGAGAGAGAAAAAGGGAAAGAGAGAGGACATAACAACAAGAAAAGGAAGAAGAGGAAGAAGATGGGTGAAATTGCCGGGACAATGACCAAGAAGAAGAAGAAAAAGGGACGTCCTTCTCTTTTAGACCTTCAAAAACGCTCTCTCAAGCAGCAGCAGCGGCAGCAGCAACAACAACAACAACAAAACCCTAATTTCAAAAACCCTAATTCCCTCAATGCCTCATATTTAACTTCTCACCGCCGATCCACTCGCCGGAACCCTAATCTCGATTCTAAGGAGTGGGTTAGTGGCGGAACCGACGACGACGACGACGAACGCAAAGAGAAGAAGCACAAACTTTTGCTTGGATTGAATTCCCAGCAAAACGACAACAATAACAATCACCATTACCCAATTGCCTCAGCCAATTCCCTGGGTCTTAACTCCTTATACGTCTCTGATGGTGATAAGCCCGAGGCGGCCCTTAAGAAGCCCAAGATCAGCGCTGCCCGTCTCGGATCTGATGAAATGGTGATTATTATAGATCCTTTGCTGACAACATTTTTGCTCTTCTTCTTCTCTATTGGTCTTTTTTAAATCGAGTGCATTTCTCAAAAGCAGTGGTTTTTGGTGTTATTTGTTCCACTTTTTGGAAATTTTGTTTTGGTGGGGGATAGGATTTATTAAATGGGTTTAAATACTTTATGGATTTCGCGCGTTATTTGAAGTTTGAAGTTTGGTCGTGGACTAGACTCGGAGGTGGATCGGAGTTGAGTGGATGTGTTTGACTCGGTCAAGTTTTGTTTTTTTTTTTTTTAATTTTTTTGGGATGTTAATTATAAGAATTTATTGTTTTCGGGAAATCTAGGAATTGGTGGGTTTGAGGTTTCAGCTTTTTCTTTATTTGATATAGTAGTGAATAAATTTTCCATATATAAATATTTTATTACCGATTCTTTGTATTTAATCTGGCCTTGATGTGCCCAAAATAATAGACGCACAGACTTTATTGTCTGAAAAAGCTTAAATTTGTCTTTTCTTTAATAATTCTCAGTTATTTTTTTCCCTGTTGTACTTGTTCGACTTTTACTGTAACTTTTCTCTTTGTTTCTTCAATAATCACTGAAGATACCAATAATATTTCTCTCCTTTTTATATTTTGGGTTTGCATAATTTTTGTTGGATTAATTCTCTGCAGGGTGATAAGGCTTCGAAAGCGACAGACACTCTTCATGGTATTGATCATACTGAAAATTCATGTGAAGGCATTTTTTTCTGGGGAATTTTCAAAAAGCTTATAATAATTAATTAAGATTGTGGCATTTATATGTCTACAGAGTCACCGGTGGAGCCTGGCCCCACGACTCCTTTGCCAGACAAAAAGTTGTTGGTCTTCATTCTTGACAGGCTTCAAAAGTGGGTGATTTTTAGCTGCTTAGATGTTTTCCTCTTTAGTTCTTTCTTTTCTCCTAATCTTCTTTGAACTGGTTATGATTAGTTGCTTTCAATTGGGTTTTGATCGACTTGTTTTAACAAACTTCTCACAGAAAGGATACTTATGCAGTGTTCTCTGAGCCTGTGGATCCTGAAGAGGTGCACTTTATTCCTTGGCAATGCTGCATTTCTGTCTAATTTTTAGATAAGCATCTACTAATGTGATATTGAACTCATTTTGGTACAGCTTCCTGATTACCATGACATCATTGAGCATCCCATGGACTTTTCAACTGTGAGAAAAAAGCTAGATGGAGGAGTTTATGTCAGCTTGGAACAATTTGAGGTTGGCGTTGAGATATATTCTCTTCTTATTTTAATATATGAAGTATAGTTGAAATGAATTGCTTCAATCGCCATTTGAGCCTATACAACAGCCTACGTGGAATATGCAACCTGAAAAGCGCTTGCTTTCTTTAACTTCTGTAATTCCAGGTGGATCTGTGTTTTCCACTCAGTTTCACACTGAATCACCTGACTGTCAAAAATATCTGAAGCTTAAAACAACCCTCATTGGAATGATATAGCCAATGGAGAAGATAAAGAGTGGCACTCTTTGATACTGTTGCCAAATTCTTGATTCAACGTGTACAAAGAGCTGTAAAATTAATACCCAACCGCTGTTTTTATCTTTTCCAAAACGCAACAACTTTTATCATGATGAACTTGTGTTTAATGAAGCCTTTATCTATTTCTGTTTGGATTGCTTGTTGCGATTCACATGAAGGCAGAAATTCTCGGATTTGGCTTTGATTTTTCTGCAGTTTATCTGAATTCTCAGTCCACCGCCTTTAGCCTACCAATATTTGTAAGGGGTGTTCTTAATTTGCAGTTAGCTCACCACAGAAAGCTCATTTGGTTGTTTTTGCATAAAACATTCTATTGGTAAGCACCATTAGACAGTAGTTGATAGAAAACAAGAGAAAAGATTTGGATAATGGTGGCTTGTATCAATCTTGTGCAAAATGTGAGAAACAGTGCAACCAAATGCTAACTGCATCAGGAATGAACATATTAATTAAGCTTGCGAGGACATTATCAGGCAGAAAAGAAGGAATAAGATGAGAAGTACTGAAGACGGTGGAAGTTTAAAGGCTTTTTTATTTCAAGATGGACAGGTGGCCATCATGGATGTAAGGACGTAATTGCGAAAAAATCAATATGTATTTTTGTGAATCAACTAGGTCTGCCTGTGTGTGGCTAATAGTTTGCTTGTTGGTATTTGTCCATCCATTGAATGTTCAGTGTTGGGATTAACTTAAGTAAATGTAAAGCAACATGGACTATTTCTAAAATGTCGTCAAAAACATTTATGGTGATATTTGAGTTTATAACGTAGTTTTATCTGGAACCATCACTAAATTGATTCATCTTGGTCCTCTTTTTCCCTAATGATCTTTTTATGACACTTCCTCTTGTATGTATATTGTAATTTATTTGCTGTGTTCTTGGTTTTTCTTTCGTGATGGCAAATATTTGATCTAACGGGAAATTAAAAATTGTGACATTTTCATTTGTGCAGAAAGATGTTTTCCTAATATGTTCAAATGCAATGCAGTACAATTCTCCAGATACTATTTATTTCCGACAGGTTTGACTTTGTACCAAATTTTTTATTTTTCTTATTGCGAGGGTTCTATTTGCCAAATTTTTGAAGGTAATGATTACTCCCGTAGGCACGATCCATTCAAGAGCTTGCTAAGAAGGACTTCGAAAACTTGAGGCAAGATAGTGATGATGGCGAACCCCAACCAAAAATTGTTAGGAGAGGCAGACCACCAGGAAAGCTGAAAAAGTCACATGAGAAGTCTCCTTTTGATCGTGTTGGTCCTGAATGTTCGTCAGAGGCAACTCTTGCCTCTGGAGGGGATAATCCCAACTTGTCTACTGGCTACAATCTCAGAAGAACCCATTCATACAAGTATCAGCCTGCAGATGTTCTGGTCAGAACCTCTCATGGCAGTGAAACATATGCTACTTGGGTATCTGAATGGGAAAATGAATTTCCAGGTTTGCAGATCAAATTGTGATTGGTTTATTCCTTCTTGTTCTCCTTTTTTCTTTATCAATTCAATTGTGTAGCATCGCTTGATGAATTTATGTTATTTTTCTCTTGGCTTGCAGCTTCCGTCCTGAAGGCTGTTCTTAAGTATGGGAAGAAACCATATGCAGTAGATGAGAATAGGCGTGACACTTATCATCCATTGGCTTCCACACATGAGCCATCATCTTTGAATATCTTTGAAGGAGAACTGAAGCAACTGGTGACGGTATGTAAATGGAAAATTTCAGTCTTTATTTTTGCTCTCCTAAATGGGAAGGTGATATCCAATCTATTTGTTTGTGTTTGTGATGAATCATATTTCTCAACCATTACAATTTTCCCTCTTTTATTGTTTGGGAATTCTATTTTACTGTTGTGGCCTTTGATGCTAACATCATATCTCTGGGTATGAAAAGTTAGATGTTGAAAATTATTAAAAGAAATCCAAAACCAATATTATCCACTTTAACTGCTCTTAGCTAGCAAATCTAGCACATGGCTTCATTTTATGGAACCTGATTTTATTTATCTTCAATATACATCAGGTGGGTTTAAACTCGGAGCATGGTTATGCAAGGAGTCTAGCTCGATTTGCTGCAGATCTTGGGCCCAACATTTGGAAAATTGCATCAAAGAAAATTCAGAATGTGTTGCCAACAGGACTTGAGTTTGGTCCTGGGTGGGTAGGGGAAGATAAGGTGGTTGAGGGGCACCAGCTGTTATCTTCTGATAGGTTGAAAGCTCCAAAAAATTCTGTATCTAACAACCATTTAAACAGACTTAAATCTTTTACTGCTAGTGGCACAAATTCTACTGTTACAAGTCGATGTTCAGGATGGAGTGGAGAAAACATGGTGGAACATATTGGGGGATTAAGTTGCCAAAGCGAGTTAAGTTCACTAAACAACAGTGCTGGTAGAATAAAGAACCCTATATCATCTGTTCAAGTTCAGCAGAAATCCACAATTCACACTGATATAAATGGTTTTAGTGGGGGACATGGATATAATAACTGTTCACCTCTAGTGGAGACGGCAAGATTTGGAATACCAGGAAACTCCAGTCTGGAGCAGACTACGGGTTCGTCCCAAGTATTTGGCATGGTTCCAACTACCAATTCTAGTTTTTCACCGATGCCAGGCAATGATTTTATATCGAATAAAGTGAAGTTGGCAGAAATTTCAAGTGGATTATTACAGTCAGGAAATTGTTCAGCTCAAGGTTCTAGCCCTGAGTCGCAGGCATTACTCAATGCAGGGATCAGTGGCAAATCATCTTGGCATGGATTATCACCATATCATCAACAAGATTTCTTTCAACTTCCACCGGACCTGAATGTGGGATTCTTGTCACCAACTTCGCCCAGTTCTAGCATACCAATTGGTTCACCACAGCAGCCAGATTTAGCATTACAGCTGTGAGTGTGGTACATTGTTAGGCTTCGAGATTTGTTCTGAAACAAGAATAAGAAGAGATTCACAGAGCAGCGAGTCCTCTTATTGAGTTAGGATGGGTTGCTGAGTAATCCCTTATTGGTTCATAACATCAGAAGAAACGGTAGGAGAAGAATTTGTACAGATTAATGATATTATTTTTTTTCAACTTTTATTTTATTTTTTTTTTAGGTACAAAAACCACAGCTTTATTATACAATGGTACATTTGAATTACTAATTTGGCCATACTTTGAAGAATTCTCATATTTAAAAAGATAGATATGTTAGATTGTATTAATTGGTTTGAACTCCAAATTAATGTTATGCAGGAAGGAATATACAGTAATTGTTGATTTTATGACATTGAATGTATGAAATTCTGTCAAGTATGGGCCTTCTTGTGTCACTGAATACAGAAGAATGGGCCGAACTGTCGAACAACAGAATAAGAATTCTACGTCATTTCTCCTCTTTGCCAAGTCAATATTGTAATCGAAATTAGTAATTCGCAAAAATTCAGGTACACGCCAGAACGTGCAAAATCATCCTTTTCTTACTTATCCCCATACCAATTCTATTTTCCCACAAACATTGCGATTTTAATTTTCTTTTATCCATGTGCTTTGTCACTTAATTTTTCCTAATGGAAAAGTCCAAATTTCATTCAAATTGATTCATTTAATACAATTTATGAACAAATAATTCATTCTCTTGCTCAAGCAATTAAAATTAAATTTCTAGCTACCAACTAGTGTATTACTAGCAATTTAACAAAGAAGAAAAGGAATACATGACACTACCTCTTAATGTCAATTTTTTTATATATGAATTATTACACATATATACCAGAAAAAAATGCCAAAAAATAATAAAAAAAAAAGGGTGATAGGGTTTTTTACATCCTTCCTTCAATTGTAGTTCAACTTTGCCATGCCATTCTGTATCCTGTTTCTGTTTCTGTACCAAACCATTTTTGCACAACCGTCTTAAGCCTATTATCTTCAACCTCACAAAACTTGTTTTCCCATCCTTCCGGCTCTACTGCTTCAAACCCTAATCCTGGTGTCCTGTCCTTGGAAGATGGATTCATCTCTTGCATCCAGTCCACCACATATGCCGATACTCTTCTTCTAAACTTTGCCTTAAACTCAGACCACGCTTGGTACTTGTAATGGTTCACCACTGCTTCTTCCAAACTCATTTGCTTCTGTGTATAATTTTCTTTTACGGTAAAATGGTGTATCACATTCAGCAATGAATTGTCGATCGCTTCTAGTAACACTATCGACTTGTGCCGATTGTCTAGCCGTCTTCTACAATTGTAACCCTGTGTCACCCCCTCTGCCGGATGTGACCGTTGGTTCGACGGACCAAATTCGTTGCACAGGATCGAAACTTGACCGGTCTTGTTTTCCGATGATGGTAGTAGAAATGATTTTAGCATCTGATCAGACGGTCGAGATGAATTTTCCCATGATGGCGCGAAAACAAATTCATCAACGTCTACGTACATCATCCAATTGCATGAGTCGTTAGCGTATAATGCAGCGTGGGAAAAGCCACCTTCTTGAGTTTTCGGCCAAAGCCATAGTAACGTTTCTACGTTATAACCTTCTTGGTTAAGATCTTTAACGACAGTCGTTAAGTCGTCGTCGCTGTCGTTATCGTATAATAAAAACTTGTCCACGCCGATCTTGGAATGGTAGATGACCCATTCTTTCAAGAACTTGCCCACGTTGTAAACCATGGTGGAGGCGCACAGTTGGAACTTTGGCTGCGCGTTTATTATCGTGCGCTTACCAGTGTAATACGCCACGGATGGAACTACCCTTTTTTCTGCCAAGATTTGGAGAGAAACTTTGAGTTTGATGGATTCGTACCCGCCAGAACCGAACGCCGTTAAATCCGGATGGTGACACCTAAATACCTCTTGTATTGAACTCGTAACGGCGGTTATAACGGTATTATTATTGGCCTCATCGACGAACACGCACTTGAACTCGAGAGGAGACCTGTTGATCCCTTGCCGGTTATTGAGGCCTTTGGCGAACAGGACGACATCATCCTCCGCGGAAAACGACTCATACACGAGGAAAGTCCACCTCAGCATCTCCACCGGCGCCACAGACGACGGCCAACGAACAGGGGATTCCACCTCCGACAATCTCGTCAACATCGGAGCCAAGAACGGATATCGACGCCGTGCGCCTTTAGGAAGGAAACACTTGAAGGTAGTCTGGTTTAACGAAGGCAAGAAACCAGAAAATATTGCCGGAGCAGTGTGCCTGCTAGGATAAAGACAGGTGAAATTCTGGGCGGAAATCATCTGCAAGTCCATATCCGGCGAGACAATAACAAGAACCTGCCAAGCAGGCAATAAAACCGAGGCAGAAGTAATAAATTCAGAATCTTGAAAAGAATAGACGCGGCGAGTCCGGCCCTTTATCTTTTCTTGAATGACAAAATTGGAAGAATCGGCAGGGTTAGGGAGGTTGGCGAGGGTAAAAGTTGGGTAAAAGACGTTGGAAATGGAGATTTGATGGCGGGAGTAATAGAGCGAGAGGGAGGCGCAAAGGAAAATGGAGAGAATAGCAATTAGAAGCACAGCAGAAGCAGTGCGACGCATGGTATCGGTGAGAGTAGGGAAGGCGGCGGTTCCTCTTCTTACGTTATAGAAAGCAGAGCTTTTTACAGGGCTCATATTATATGTGTTTTGATTTAATTATATGTATATATATATATATATATATATAACGAAGTAATGGCTGCGTCGCGAGCTTCCAACAAGTTTTGATCTGTTTCTTTTCTGTTTGAATCCTAAGTTAAACGGGAAACGTTTTTTCAGTTGGTCCCTTTCCTATTAGATTTATACACGTGTACACAACCAGCTATTAAGCTATACATGAAACCAATTAAAATTTATTAAATGGTAATTAAAGAGTAATAAACGAGTAAAACAAGGTGTTTTTTTAACTATTTACTGTAAATAATAACAATTACCAAGAGTAGAACAATTTCCGTTTCTTTTGGTTGCCTGCTTGTGACTTGGATTGGTTAGTCCTAACAAGATTATATTATTGATCCACATAGCAAAATAGTAATAACAAAATAATAAAAATGTTCTGTTTATGGAATATTCATAAACTAAATTAATGAAATTTTTTTAACCAAAACGAGAATATTTCCGATGATATATAAAAAAAATGTAATTATTTTATTTTTTATTAATTTAATCTATAAGTTAAGTCATATGTCTCGTTCAAACGAATCATATTTCTATTATTAATAATAATTTTCAATAACATAAGTGAATCGCATTATGATTTGAAAATCATAATTTACCATTTTTTTTTTCTTAGTAGGAGTTCAAATTATTTTCCTTTTATGGGGTCAATTTAAATGGTATTAATAATAAATTTTACGGTTTGGATTTTGCTAAATCAATTTTGGGATATTATTTTTTAAGATTACTTTCCTTTTTTTAACTTTTTCTCAAATTATATACTTATATCTCTTTTTACAATATGATAGTCTTGAAATAAAAATATTTAATGTAAAAATATATATATTCGTTTAAAAAAATAGTAAAAATGATAATTTTGTGGGTAATTAAAAAAAGGAAATAATAAATTATTCCATGTGGAGATATTCTTTGCTGGAGATGACTGATGAGATGAAAAAGAAACGTTTTTGGATTTGGCTTTTACTATACTTACACGCATTTCTTATAAATAAAAAATGCAATGGCCTTCGATTGCACATAAAGGGTTTCATTCCTCGAATTTGAAAGCCATGCATTGTTTGAATAAAGTCCAGTTTTATATCCTTTGATTGCTGCAAAAGTTATCTTCTCTTCTTCTTTTTATATTCCCCTTTTTCCATGTTTCTTTTGCTTCCTTCACCAGTCTTGATCTAATGGTCGTAGATTTTTCATATTTAGATACTCTCTGTGCTTTCCTCTGAAATCACGATTGGCCCAATTTCTCATCAGGGCCCAACTCGTGATTTTGGTATGGACGATGTGGTTCTGTAGTTGCGGCCCAATTTCATCAGGTGTGGGTATTTGGTGGGCTTGGAAAGCAACAAATATGCATATTTTTCAAAATAATTTTTATACTATTTTTCATATTAATGCAGTGAAGGGGTCTCTCCAGTGTAACGTTGGGTGGGCTATCCCTCATTTGATAAGCTTGTGATCAGCATTTACTGTAGATAGAGGGTGGGCCCTAAAATGTCGAGTTGGTCAGCAGTATGATAACGAGGCCTTGAAATGGGCCACACCTTTTGAATGGAAAGCGAAGGCTTTAGTTGTCTTTTTCCTTTTTTTTTTTTAAAAAAAATATATAATTATTGTTTTTTATATTTTGATGAAAATGGCTTAGGCCCATTAACTAAATTTTAATTTTGAATTAGCTGTTTGTGTGAATGTGATGTTGGTGGTCAAAAAGGCAAACAAAGTATTAATCATTTGCTTCCCAAAAAAGTTATTAATCAATTCATTAGATTTAGACCCACTACCTGCTTTTGCTAACAATATTATTTTTTTAATTTTCAGAGAAAAAATTTTTAAAAACCTATTACTTATTATTATTTTTTAATTTTCCCCAAAAGGCATAATATATTTCATTAATATAAAATATTTAAATTTCAAAGAGGACAGAATCCCTTGTTTATAGCAATCAAAGTAGGTAAGTATCTGATCAAGCATTGTTTAGTACATTCAATTCATACTTCTAATCAAGATTAGATATTATAGGAAGTTCAAATTACCAAATTTATCAAAGAAAGATCCGTCTTTTGATTTCGTTGTGCGTATCCCAAAGAGATATCCCTAAATCAACAAACTGTGGATTCATTTGACAATGTTTTTCTTTTGTGTGTTTGTTTCCCGTGATTCGCTGCTTCTTGTGGAAGAGTGTGAGGACAGAAGATGGTCCAGTTGAGGTGAACAAAACAAAACAGAACAAAACGAAATGAAAATTCCTCTCTTTTTTTTTTTACATTTTTTTTAATCTGGTCTGGAATTGGAATATTCCTTAATTCACACCAATCTAAAAGAAATTGCAGTCTAAATTTGTCTGTTTCAACACAAAATAGTTAAAAGAAGTTAGATGTTGACAAATCCATGACTCGGGATCAGAGGTAGCTAACGGAAACAAAGAAAAAGCTGTTAACTTTGTCACTTTCCGCGGTTCAAATGCTTGGTTCTGTATAATTAATAAGGTCAAAACTGAAAAGGGGGTAAACGTAAACCGGACGGCATCCACCGAACCGGGAAATTTAAATGCGAAACAGAGGGAAAATCGGTGGGTCTGCGTGTTTGCTTTTTTTTCTTTTTTTTTTTTTTTTTGAATATTAATGGTGAGTTGTTTTTTATATTTTTGAATGAATGGCTTATTTGGCCATTTTATAGGGCTTAAATTTTAATTTTGAATTAGCTGTTTGTGTGAATGGTGATGTTGGTGGTCCAAAAAGGCAAAAAAGTATTAATCATTTGCTTCCAATAAAAGTTATATCAAGTTTCATTAGATTTTGAGACCATCTACCGGTTCTTTTGCTAATCAATATTATTGTTTTTAATTTTCAGAGAATAAGAGTTTTTTATAAACCTATTACTGTTATTGAGTTATTTTATGTTTTTCCTCCAAAAGGCATTTAAGGTAGTAGGTTTGGTTCTATTATATTTAAATATTTATTTAAATTTTTTTCAAAGGAGGACAGATAAGGTGCTCTCTTGTTTATAGCAATCCAAGTGAGGTAAGTAATCTGATCAAGCATTGTTTAGTAACATTCAAGTTCATACTTCTAATCAAGATTAGATTATTATACTGGAAGTTTTCTTTAAAATTAGCCAAATTTATGTCAAAGAAAGAGTTCGTCTTTTGATTTTCGTTTGTTTGGCGGTTATCTCCAAAATGTTAGATATTCCTTCTAAGAACTCAACAGAACTGTTGGTATTCATTTTGACAATGTTTTTCTTTTGTTGTGTTGTTTTTGTTTCCCGTGATTCGTCTGCTTCTTTGTGGAAGAGTGTGAGGTTTACAGGAAGAGGGCGGAGTTGAGGTGAACAGAAACAAAACAGAACAAAACGAATGAAAATTCCTGCTCTTTTTTGTTTTTACATTGTTTTGTTTTAATCTGGTCCTGGAATTGGATAATAGCTCTTTATTCACACTTCAATCTAAAGATAATGTGCTAGTCTAAATTTAGTCTGTTTCAAACACAAAATAGTTAAAGAAATTGTTAGATGTTGACAAATCCATCGACGTCGGGTATCTTTTAGGTGAGCGTATACGGAATACAATAGATTATAAGTTGTTTACTTTGCATTTCCGCATGGTTCTAAATGCTTGGTTCTGTATTATATTAATATGGTCGATAAACTGGAGAAAGGGGTTAAACGTAAGGAACCTGGACGGCAGGTCCACCGAACCGTGATATTTTTATAATGGTTGGGAGGAACATCAGAGGAAAATCGGTGGGTTGGCTGCGTGTTGACTTTGTTTTTCTTTTTTTTTTTTTCTTTTGTTTTGCTTTTTCCTTCCTTGGTTACATGAAGTGTCGAAGAAAGATAGAGAGCGACCTGCATTAAATGATGCAAAATTTTTTTTCTTTTTTTTTTTTTTTTCTTTTTCCTTCCTTTTACATGAGTGCGAGAAGGATAGAGAGCGACCTGCATTACAATCATGCACAAACATTGATGCAAAAAACAATCCGACATATAATTTTTAATTTATATTTAGATAATTATATAAAGAAAAGAACAAAATAGGCCCACATCATCCAAATGGAACCAACCCAATGCAATTATGGTCATCAAATCATGACCTTAGCAATTTTTATTTCCACAGTCCCAGTAGCCGCTATATCTGCCGCTTAATTTGTTTCCTCTGTTACTAAATTTAGCTCAGGCTTTAAGTTCTTCTTACTGGGTAATTGGTAATTGCCCATCTGTCATTTTCTCTCTTTTGCCCTTCCTTGAACCTTGCATTCCATTTCAGAGCTGTCGATCTGTGAAATTCTTGGTTCTATTTGTGGAAATTTTTAGTTTATATGATAATATAGTAATTTTGTTATTATTTTCTTTTTCTTTTTTTAAAACAAATTAAGACTTTAAGGGGGATTGTAGTTATTGCGGATTAGGGTCTTGAGGGATCAGCGCATTGGAATTTGGGTTCCTCGGTCTCTCTCCTCTTCTGGGTAAGTGGGGGAGAAGACGAAAGGAAACGTCTTCTATGATGGAGGGTTAGGGTTTTCGATAAATGGTAGTGCTGTTTAGTGGCTTTTTAGTTTTCGAGCGTTTCGATAAGAAATATCTGGTGTCGAGAAATGAGGTGCTTTTTTTGCATTAGTTCATCCCGTAAAGATACTAAGATCGACGTTGAAAATGGCCTTCGATCTACCTCACGCCATTCTTCTGATTCTTCTGGTTTGTCTCTGTTTCTCAATCTGGTTTGTTCTTATCACAGTAGATTTTATACTGTTGGATTTCTTTTTCTTTTAGTTTATTTAGTTTATTTTGGTGAATGCTTGTTGATGTTTTGTTAAACAACATGTGGAATTGTAGGTAGCGGGAAGAGAAAGCCTTACTATTGGTAATTCGACATTTTTGAATATAATTCCAGTTCCAGGTCAGTATTTTTTTTAGTTTAAAAATAATAAAGAAATATCATATACTTTGGTGCAGATAATGGCAACAAGGCTGCGGACACCAGTGGAGCTCGCAGTTTCACATTTCGAGAGCTTGCATCGGCCACCAGCAATTTTAGAGAGATAAATTTGGTCGGAGAAGGAGGTTTTGGGAGGGTTTATAAAGGCCGTCTAGAATCAGGGGAGGCAAGTGAATCGAATTATACAATTTGGCCTTCTTATGTTATGAAAAAGATATGTCGAATTATACAATTTGGCCTTCTTATGTTATGAAAAAGATATGTATGGTTTAGTTTGTTTCACAGTTCTAATAATTGCTTCTTTTTCTTTGATGATCAGATTGTTGCAGTGAAACAACTTAATCATGATGGTGTTCAAGGGTTTCAGGAATTTATTGTTGAGGTTCTGATGTTGAGCCTGTTACATCATCCCAATCTTGTCACCTTGATTGGCTATTGCACTGCTGGTGATCAAAGACTACTGGTTTATGAGTACATGCCAATGGGTAGTTTGGAAGATCATCTTTTTGGTAAATTTTTTGAGCAAAGGAATCAATGCTGATATATAGTATTTAATTTCTTGGTAAACTACTTTCTTGGTTTGTTGTTGTCGGAACAATTATTATGCATTGTACAGGTATGACTAATTTTACTCTTAAATGCTTTGATTTGTTTGCCTTCTTTTCAAATATAATCAGTCAGAAGTAGTTGCTCTGTTACGATTTTGTTATTTAGCTGATGAGGTAGTTTCTCTTCAACTTTGTTATTGCTTTTGCCTGTGCATAAATGAATTTAACTTATAAGCACTCCTCTAGGACGTATGATAAGAATATTGTACCTCACTTTTGATCCGAACATCATAATGCCTAGAATAATTCTTTATTTTGCAACGTTCACATCCCATAATTTCTCTCAGTTGGCGCAATCCCTATTTGCATGGTTAATAAATTTCCATTATTGCTTGTTTATAAGTTGCAGTACGCAGCTTCACAGTTACAGTGGATAATATTTGAAGAGAAATAATTGTTCCTTTTCAAATCTGTGCTGTTAGACAATTATTAGAAGTCATTTTTTAATATTTTTTCTCAGATCTGGAACCTGATAAGGAGCCCTTGAATTGGAGCACTCGAATGAAGATTGCTGTTGGTGCTGCTCGAGGCCTTGAGTACCTACATTGCAAAGCAAATCCTCCTGTCATTTACCGTGACCTGAAATCAGCCAATATCTTGCTAGACATGGATTTCAATCCAAAACTGTCAGATTTTGGACTCGCAAAATTGGGACCTGTTGGTGGAAAGACACATGTTTCTACCAGAGTTATGGGAACATATGGATATTGCGCCCCAGAGTATGCCATGAGTGGCAAATTGACTCTTAAATCTGATATTTATAGCTTAGGTGTTGTTCTCTTGGAGTTAATTACTGGGCGAAAGGCAATTGATCGCTCTAAGAGGCCAGGAGAGCAGAACCTAGTTGCCTGGGTAAGTCAAACATTTATTTTTCTCTAGTTTAGGTTCCTTCATATATGGTTATGCAGAATGATTCTGATTGTTTTAGCATTCACCCACAAATTGCTTTTCTTCTTCTTCAACCAACGCATTGTTAATGGTCAGACATCTTCAGTTTGTAACATGTTAAATGTTAATCCTCCCTTTCTGCCAACACCTCCCCTCCCTTCTCCGGTTTGATGGATATTCGTATTCAAGTTCACCTTGATCATCAAAGAAATAAACTGGTTGGGAGTTTAATTAATTGTAAGACTTCATTTTGTATGCACTTGCTACACTTTCTAACCTACTTTTCCTGTTTAAAATCTCTAATAATTTGTGGACATGTTGAATTGACTGTCCAGATCACGGTAAGCTCTGCCAACGTCTTAAATATTTATATTGTTTGGTGGAGTAATTTGATAACACGGTACAACCATTTTATATATTCTTATTAATCTTGAATAATGCTTAATTGGGGAAGAGTTCATGCAATTTATATACCTTGATATGATCATAGTGTTGCTGTAGTAGATGATCTTTCTTTGTAATTGCTGTTGTAGTCTCGCCCATTTCTAAAGGACCAGAAAAAGTTTTACCAGTTGGTTGATCCCCTATTGCAAGGGCGTTATCCTCGGCGTTGTTTGAACTATGCAGTTGCTATCACAGCAATGTGTCTTCACGAGGAAGCGCATTTTCGCCCTCTTATTGGTGATATAGTTGTTGCCCTCGAATATCTCGCCTCGCAATGCCAGGGCCCAGATTCCAATAGCAGTCGAGTACAAAGTGCCACTCCACCATCTTCCCAGCCAACAGATGGGGAGGCCTATCCTCAAGAACCGATTTCTAGGTGCCCAACAGTTTAAACTTTTATCGGGAAGAAGTTTCTGAAGCCTCTGATTACTGTAAGTCAAACATAATATCACAAGATTATTTTTCCCAGAAAAGGCAAAAGTGTTTTCTCTTATGAAAGCATTTATATTCGAAGTTTACTTGCCAATCAAAAAGTCATGTTCATTTATATACATGTCCATCTCTTGTTATTCTGCCATTATAGAGTAATCAAAAAAACAAAGTTTTGTGTGTTACCCGAAGCACTTTAGGTTTCAACGAAGCAGCAATAATATTATCTGATGAAGATAGTTACTTTTTCTGGTTGGGGCCATGGGAATAAAGAATAGTGCAAAAATATACTTGCCTTATTTCTGTTGCATTTTCAGATGGCTGTTTGTATTTCAGTGAATGATTCTTGATTGAATGGTCTGAACTTCAAGTATAACTTGTGGACATCTTCTTTTTATGTACTTTTCAGGTGTCTCTCCAGGCTTAAAGACGCAAAACCTCTGAAACAGTGCTTGTGAGAATATGTATAAAAATATATGTACATTTATGTATATACAGTTGGGTTTGGAGAAGATGTTTTTCAGTTATAAATCATAATTCATATAGTTAGATTATATGTTTTTCATTGTTATTGTTATTTATATTCTGTTCTTCACCACTTATGAGCTAAAAAAAAAAAGGGCATATGGAGTTATTTGTAGCAGGGCATTCACATAAATCTGCTTCTGCATATTTATTTTGTCCAAATAAGTTCTGTGTTGGGCTATATTTGGATGTGTTTGAACAGATGACTGGGAAACAGACATCTTGACATAATTTTGATATCAAAGTCCAAGTTTGCATCTTTTAATTGTTGAATGGCACTGCATGATCGTTGCGGCTTGAAAATTTAGCCAAAGTTTCAGACTTTATAGTATTGACTACTGTCTGTCCATTACTGGATTTCTTCCTCCGAGGTTGCAAGAAATCCTGTAATTATTTGCATTTTAGTTACACGTGAAGCATATGTCTTGACTTTAGTTCTTTAATTTGGGGTCAATGGATCTATTTTGGAGGTACAAACCCTAATCCAGCTATTATCAACAAAACATGTCATTTCTTGTATTTATTTTTTTTAACAAAAAAAGGAAATTTCATAGTTTCTTCGTAATATTTATGTCATAGAGGAAGATATGTAGTTCAGCGACAGCGAAAAGAAGCTTATTCTTTTGGCCTTAAATCAGATTTGCGTCAAGCACAAGGCTAAGGAATGGGATTTTAATGAACAATTTGTCGTCACTGTCACTGACGTTTTGGTCTTTTCTTTAGATACAGACAATTTGCTATTGAAGTTTGTATCATTGTTATTGTCCGTTTATGCTTAACCCAAGAACAAATTGGTGTTAATATTAATTTATTAAAAACAGGAGTTTTGATATCTCTGATTAGATTTTTTTTTTTTTTTTTTTTTTGGGTCTTTTCTTTAGATACAGGACAATTTGGCTATTGACGTTTTGTATCATTGTTATTTGGTCGTTTTGCTTACGCCAAGAAAAAATTGGTGTTATATAATTTATTAAAACAGGAGTTTTGATATTAGATTTTTTTTTTTTTTTTTCTCAATAAATTGACATAATTATAATTTCAGATGGAACATGTTCATGCATTCTTTCGAATTTGAATCTATTATCAAATTATATATGTATTTATTGTTGGATTATACTTTGTATATCGGTTCATGCATCTAATACACATTGGTTCATGCATCTAATGCACGAAGAAATGATTTTATTATAATTTTCTCTCTTTTTCAGGCACAAAAGCGTATAAATCTAGAAGAAAGAAAAAACTACCGAGCAAAAGTATGAATAAAAAATGAAGTAACATGGAAATGTATGCAAAATTCAAAATCAATGTAAAGTGACCTAACAGCACAAGTATTTTTGAGTATATAATATTAGGGATTTTAACTTTTGCTCATTGTCGTAAAATACTAGAAAATTATATCATAAAATAATTAAAGTAATGGTAATAAAAAAAAAAAAAAAATAGACCAATGAAATATGCAAAACCCTAATTCATGGCTGACTTAATCTTAGAAGATTCATCTAATCTCTTTGGATTTGAGACTTTTTAATTCAATTTAGTCCAACAATTATTAGTAGATAAGGCCTCCCTCACTTCCACCTTCTACCTTTGTATCTTTATTAAAGTACTTTCGTGAGTTTGTCCGGCGCGAATCCAGATTAATGGGTCAGTAGATTTCAAACACCAGATGATAAAATAATATATATATTTTATACTTGTAAGGATTGATTCGTGCGAGAATAACTCAGATTCCTTAAGTAATAAATAAGAGGTTAAGTATCCAATTATTGTGGATAGATAAAATTTTCGCTGAAAACACTTTATGTTATGGTCTTTTATATATATATATATATATATATACACTTTATGCTTATGGTCTATCATTATATTATATGATAATTATATAATATATATATATCATGACTGTCCCGGGCGTGTCAAGTTTTTATTAAACTATTACTTTTTTTTTCATAACTTTCATGTATTATTGAGTAAAATTGTTATTTATTTTTTACTTGTCTTATCTTTTTTTTCCTTATAAATAAGTTTTTTATTAATGAATTAATTGAAATTAATTGGAGATTTTTTTGGGCCGGCTAGGAGGTTGAATACTTGTTTGATTGGTATTCGGAGAATCTGCCACCCCCGATCACAAACCGGCAGATATATATATATGGACGTGTCAGTTTTTATTAAAATATTACTTTTTTTTCATAATTTCATATTATTATTGAGTAAAAATTGTTATTATTTTTTACCTTGTCTTATCTTTTCTTCTTATAAATAAGGTTTTTATTAATGAATTAATTGAATTTAATGGAGATTTTTTGGCCGGCTAGGGAGTTGAATACTTGTGATGTTTGGGAATTGCCACGTCACATAACGCAGCCAAAGTTTCATCATCCGTTTAATCATGTGCATATGCTTAATAACTTTAATTAAGCATATGATTAAATTAATTAATACATTTTAACACAGTTTAATCATAGACAAGGTCTTCAAGACCGAGTACAACCATACAGCTGATATGTTATTATTATAATTATTATCATATAAAAAATAAAATAAAAATTGAATTGTTTTAAATACGTAGGTGTGAAAAATGAGTAGTCATGTTGACTTGCATGTTTGATTTCCCATTAGCTGCCTTTCTATTTCTCTTTTCACAATTGCATACGTACAAAAATGGTACATGTATACGTATAGAAGGTTCTTAAATGGGATTCTAATCCTTCTAATTTATTAATTAATCCTACCTGAAAGTGAAAACAAATACTTCAACTAACCAAAGATTAAATGTACCTATCACACTTAATTTTTTTTACGCATTACAAAATTAAAAAATTAAACATTTTAAAAAACATAATATGCATAGGATAATATAAACGATTATTAACCGACAAGTGTTGAGATGAGTGGTTCGATATTCTTTTCTCTTTAGTGAGATCAAGGATTCGATCCTCATGTCATAGATAGAATAAATATTTACCGGTTAGTGATTCAATTTTGCGTGAAGAAGATTTAGTTACGTGAGAGGAATATTTATCCGTAGTAATCTGCGAAGAAGTTTCTTCTGCAGTTTCTATCAAAGTAGCAGATTGAATTCTATGAAACGTCATAGATAACGAAAGATAGCAAATTAAACGACAATCTGAAAAGAAAAATTTTCGTCAATCAGACCTCAAACTTTAATGTGGACGGTTCGAATTAATATCATAATACGTATCTTTGGGCCCAAATAGCATTGTAGAAATTCTAGAGCAGGAAATTGGTCGGAGCCTAACAGTTTGCTGCTGTTAATGTTAATTTAAAAGTCAAAGAAAATTATAATTATCTCATTTTTTAGTAAAAAATTAAAAAAGGATAATAGACCAATTAATCATCACTTCATTGAAATAAAATTTAGTAAAAACAGGATAAAATTAAAATTAAAAAATTAATAATACTTTCATTTTTTAAAAGTGACATCTAAACAAAAAGTAAAAAATTGGCAGATTTTATCGGTTGATATGCATGATATAGAATTTGGGCTTTCTTTAATTATTGTTTTAAAAAATTACATAGTTCAAATCTTCTCAATCACAATTGATGTCACTAATTTAGTAAATTAAAGAGATGATTACCCTTTATTGTGTAACGCACAGTGCTATTTTGGCCTGTAAAAGCCTTCATGAATTAAAAAGAAGTAATCTCATTTTCAAATTCGAAATTATTTCTATTTATAAGGGTTTTTTTATATAATACTTTTTGGATTTTATAAAGATCAAACATGTTGAAACAAAAAAAGAAAAAAAGGAAGTTTAGTATATTATGTATGCTTATTTAGACAAATTGGTGATGTACTTGAAAAAGGAAAAATAAAAATTTAATTAATTAATAGCATTATCTCTATTAATGACGTGGTCTGCCTCAAAGTCAAGATCTTATTCGTTAAGTATCTTTCTCTTCTCTGTGTTGATTAAATAACAAAAGAACAGGGCAAAGAAGCGTAGCAAAAGGGCAAGAAAAGAGTATAAAAAGAAGTGAAGGAACAAGGCAGCGACGAAATCAAGAAAAGGTCCAACCAACAGCTAGCTAGTTTCTTGGACCTTTCTTATATAGTTCGAGGAAAACCCAGTCTAACTCTAACTCTATTCATCATCTCCTCAGTAATCTTCAAATCCAAACAAAACCAAACTGGTTGATCGAAATGGGAAATTGTTTTGCAACTGTTCCTGTAAATAATCACGCCAGTCCATCCACCACTAATACTTCTATTCCAGGTTTGTTATTATTAAATTTATGTTGTTCTTTCTTTAATGTATATATATTCTTTCTCCATCTCTTTATCATCATATTATATTGTGATTTGATATTTTCTTTGTATGGTGTTGCAGAAACACATGGGAATGATAGCAAACAACATGGAGTAGTTCCTAGTAGAAGCGATCTCAGCAATAAAAATAGCTCAGAATACATTAGCTCTCCTGACGAAAATGGAAGCAACATGACCAGGAGAGTTCCTTCTACTGGAAAGATTATTATGCCAATTCTTAAAATATACACTTTACACGAGTTAAAAAGTGCAACGAGGAACTTCAGACCTGATACTATGTTAGGCGAAGGTGGATTTGGAAGAGTCTTTAAAGGTTGGATTGACGAGAAAACATTCGCGCCGTCCAAAGTCGGAGTTGGCATGGCAGTGGCAGTTAAAAAGTCCAACCCAGATAGCGAGCAAGGTCTTCAGGAATGGCAGGTAATTAGCTAAAATTTTTCATATCCAATTATAATTTTAAGTTCATCAAGGTCAACTTTTATCACCTCTCCCACTAAGCTACAATTCTAACCATCAAATTCTAGTCGAGAGAGAGATCTGTCAAACGACTGAGTAAGCTTAAGCAGCTTGAATGAAACGACACCCGTTGAATATTTCTTTGTTATTTACAGATAGAGCACCCCATTACAAACTATTCATCATTCTGCCTTTGCTTCTTGGTTGCACATTGGCAGTGATCTGTGACCGCAGAATTATAGCACCAATCTGGAAATTCCTAATTAAAAAAAAAATGATAGCACCAATCTGAACTACTACCATGTGCATACACAAACATAATTAATGGGAGAAATAAAAAAGCAGTGTGTACATGAAATTAATTACTAATTAGTCAAAGAATATCATTAATACTATCACTAATCAAGTTTGACACAATTTAAAAAACCCAAAAAAATAAAAGGGTTGATCTGAGTGGGTAAGCGTTGACTTTATAATTATTTGGTTTTCATGATTGCAGTGTGAAGTGAAATTCCTTGGGAAATTTTCACATCCAAATCTTGTGAAGCTATTAGGCTATTGTTGGGAAGATAGGCAATTTCTTCTTGTCTATGAATACATGCCCAAAGGGAGCTTGGAAAACCACCTATTTAGAAGTAAGAACCATATATATATATATATATATGAAATGAAAACCATGAGAAAATAAAATATATAATGACTAATATTCTTGGTTTCACACGCTAAATTGCAGGGAGTGCAGAGCCGCTTTCATGGGAGATTAGACTTAAAATAGCAATTGAAGCAGCTCAAGGTCTTGCTTTCTTGCACACATCGGAAAAAACTGTCATCTACAGGGACTTTAAGACCTCTAACATTTTATTGGATGGGGTAAACTTCTTTTTTTTTTTTTTTTTTTTTTTTTTGGAGAGGATTAGGACTTAAATAGCATTGACAGCAGCTCAAGGTCTTGCTTTCTTGCACCATCGGAAAAACTATCATCGTACAGGACTTTAAGACCTCTAACATTTTATTGCGCGATGGGGTAAACTTCTTTTTTTTTTTTTCTTTTTTTTTTTTTTTTGGTTCTTTTTCTAGTTTTGGCCACAAATTTTCACAAATCATATTAGACTTCATAATTCAAGTCCCATCTTTCTGTCTCTTCCAATCTGATCATTTTCAGAATTACAACACGCCAAAGACTTTCGACTTCGGTGGCTTAATTTTTTTTTTTTTCTTTTTTTTTTTTTTGGTTCTGTTTCTTTTGGCAAAATTTTCATCCATTATTAACCATAATCAAGTCCATCTTTTGTCTCTTCAATTTGATCATTTTCAGAATTACAACGCCAAACTTTCAGACTTCGGGCTAGCCAAATTAGGACCAATAAATGGCAACTCTCATGTTACAACCAGGGTGATGGGCACTTATGGCTATGCAGCCCCTGAATATGTAGCTACTGGTAGATTTTTATTCCTTTTTCTTCCCTAATTTCTGAACTCATCATCTGCCTGAATTGAAAATGATGAGTATTCTGTTATTTTTTTTTACAGGCCATTTGTATGTGAAGAGTGATGTTTATGGATTTGGTGTAGTGCTGCTAGAAATGTTAACAGGGTTAAAAGCACTGGACACGAACCGGCCTAATGGTAAGCACAATTTGGTAGATTGGGCTAAGCCATCACTTTCAGATAAAAGAAAGTTAAAGAGGATCATGGACCCAAGACTTGAACAACAGTACCCATTAAAAGGTGCAATTCATGCAGCTGAACTTATAATAAAATGTCTGGAATCTGAACCAAAAACTAGACCTTCAATGGAAGAAGTTCTGGAAACATTATTAGAGATAAATGAGATTAAAGAAAAGCCTAGGGAAACAAAATCTAAGACCAAGAAACAGGTTAATAAACACCAAGAACATAACAACAAGAATGATTATCATCGCTCTCGAGGTCATTCCAGGCAGGGCGGTGGCAATGGCGCTCCGGTTTATCCTTAGTTAGTTCTGTTTAATATAGATTTATGTTGTTCTTCCTATAAATGTTTCCTCTTGTAATTTTGTGAACCTTAACCTATATATACATTTCTAGTTCCACTCTTCGTTAAATTCTCCGATAAATGTTGGTTGAGTGGTAAGCCAACTCAATCCCGAAAGGCTTTGAATACAATTTCAATCTCCGGACATTTTGCTAGAGGATAAAAACCCGGTCCGGGAATTAAGCCTGCTGATTATACCAAAAAAAAAAAAAAAATTTCTCTTCATCCAACTCTTTGATTGCAGCCCATGAGTGTTTTTCAAGTTTGGGCTGTCATAGGACCAACTCTATAGCCCAAATTTGGAAATTTTGTTCTGAATTAATTAACAAAAAAGAAGAGAAAGAGGAGAATAAAACAAATGATTGTGATCTTTGAGTTTGTGATGATAGAGTGGTCAGCTCCAAGTACCACATAAAGAATGGGAGTTCCCATATTTTGATGGGAGTTTATATAACAGTTTTGAGCAGAGTCAAACCTATCATTGCGAATAATAACGCCATGGCATGCAAGTTATGGGCCATGATTTTGTAGTATTTATGTTTCTTCTCACAGAGACTTCGAAACATCCACCGTTAATTACCAAGTTTTAGGTTAATTCTAACTAGAGGGTTTAGCTAGATCATTAGAGTTATGTTTGGATAAGCACGATTAATTAGTACAAACTCCATGCTTAAACACGTGAGTGCTCAAATAGACTCCCACCCTAGACCTAATTTGATTAAAAAACACTAAAGTAATCAAAAAACAGTAGTTTAGGAACATGATTTCACATGCTGCACGCTTCCCATTTGCGTACCAAGCTTTTTTTAAGAAATTGAAAAGATTGCTCCTTTCATATTATACCTTACTAAGTTAAAAAAAATAAATAAAGAAAGGTCTTGTCTTGATGATCTTCCTCCTTTAATGGTGGGGGTGGCCCTAATTGTGGACCCAAAACCAGTTGGCGCATTCCATTCTAATCATGACAATATGATGAAGAATCTAAAATAGTCTTGATTACTATTAGAGAGACCTAATGGTTTATATATATATATAGCAAGACTGTCACCATTTCTTCACCAGATCAGCAAACTATAAATAATCTCCCAAGACGAGGAGTTGATTATTAGATTCAAACTTTCAAGGGTTATGTGTATAATCTCGATGAAGCAGTAGAGTGTAAAGATTTTTGCCTTCCCTGCAAAGTGTTTTTCCCATGGTTTTATTCTTACAAGTATTTATGCGCTTGCTACCTCAATCCATATCTTTGTTATATTAGTACGATCTTATCACTGTACTGTTAAAAGATGACCTTAGCTGGGGCATCATGAAAGAGAAGGCAGACAGTTGTCTGCACTCGAGTCAAATGTTATTGTCATGATGAAATATATTATTGTAAGAAGTTAAAAATTTTCATTAACTTTGTTTCATTTAAAATGGGAAAAATGATTGAGTTCAACATGATTAAACATGGTTCTCTAAGCAGAAAGACATCCCTTTTAGGCAATGTTTACAATAGAATTCTAATCTCCCAGCAAAAGTCCTGTACTGAGAAATGACTTCTGACATACAAAGCTCGAGATGAACAATGTATTGTAAATGTAAGATCTAAGATTTAAGATTCCTGAAAGCACATGATCCCAGTTCTTGCCTTCTTGGATCTCTAGAAACTTCATTACCCACAATTCGCAGGACCACACTTTCCAAGGCCACCAGAGATAAAATAAGTGATCCCTTTCTTGTTTCAGAAAACAATTACATGGTTTCATTTGCAAAAATGGTTGCATTTACAGGTGAATTTTAAACAACAAGACCATATATAATCTGCAAGAAAAAGACGATGATATCATATATTGTTGCTGGTAATAACTTTAGGTGGTCGCTTGTTGGCTTGTTCCTTTTCAAGTCATTTATGTCTTTTCATAAACATACAATCTCCATGTATAATTGAAGGATCACAACACAAGCTTCGCTTAGTTTCTGGATGTGGATAAGTTGCTGAGGCAATCAATTTGTCCTTATTTTTATTTTCATCAGAAAAATATATAGGTCATTCATTATCTTTTTGCTTGCGATTATGTATTTTTTTATTTTATTTTTATTTTTATTTATTTAGTCATTACTGAGATCATGAATTCATCTAAATAAGTTTTTTTGATTAAAAAAATTATTAATTAAATTATTATAATTAAAGAGTCCAAAATAACAATAATCAAAATTCAAGTACTAAATTGACAATATATTTTGTTTGACATTTTATCATTTTAATTAATATCAGATAGTATTTCTTTTTCCATTTTAATGTAAGTACTTTCAATATCCAAAAATACACAAGCAATGCAAGAGTGCTCTTTGAATGTAAAAACCAAACCAATTGGTAGGGCCAACCTAACTTTTGTTTGTATGGACCCCACTGGGCACAGATGCAAATAGTAAGTATTGAATAAATCTGCCATCCGAAAAAGGAAAACATATTAATTGTATACGGCGTCGTACTGTTACTATGTGACTTGACATTAACCATATCACCTTGTAATTTATGAGTTAAGGTCTCTAACTTATAATTCAATTCAGCTAACGTGTTGTTTTTGAATTCGAAACAACCTAATGTACTTAGCAATTAACTAAGAAATTACTCCATAAATTTTTGTCAAATTTACGATAAGGTCCTTAATTTATGATTTTTGTTAACCTCTTAGTACTTCTTTTATAATGTTTATTAACAATTAATCTCTCTACTTTGACTGAAAGACTAAAGTGTTAAATAAATCATAATTTAGGGATTTCGTAGTTAATTTTTTAAAATAAAAATTTTGATGTGTTAATTTAATTATAACTCAAGATAATTTATTATTTTCCATGCATTAATTCATTGCTATATTGCGATTTTGGATGGCAATATGAACTTTTATTTTGATTTATTATTTCAATTTATAAGTACAGAGATATTTTAATTTAATCAACTGAATACCTCAATTTACTAAAAATATGTATTAGTAATTAAAAAATGTGAAACGTGTTGTTTCAAAAGCTACATTAACTATATATTAAATAATTATTTTGTAATAAAAATTAAAATATATTAAAAATTGTCATTATTAGCCAACAATTATGAAATTGTTATAAAAAATAAAATTTATAAGTGTCAAATAAGGTTAATTTTAAAATTTAACACGTTATAAAAAATTTTTATTAAAATTAAAAAGGGTTAAATTATGGATTCCGTTTGGCACGTGCAAAAGTCGAGTTTAGCAACGGAGATTATATGCTTTTCATCTTGTAAGTTGTAAATCAAAATCAAAAAAGAAAAGCAAAGAAATACTACGATAAAATACAAACATCCATCTGGCAATTTGACTTTGGCAAGGGAAAGCATGTTCTCTTTTTCCTTTCCTTTCCGTTTAACAGTGAATGGAAAGAGAAAGGATCTTTGAATTGCTTTATTATTGTAACTGATTGATAAAGGCCAGAAGAAGAGAAAGAGAGAGTAGCTAGCGGGTGGCAGCTCTGCATGATCGAGGCGTGGCGCCGAGGGCTATGATCACGTCAGACTCGTAGCAATCATGACGGTGGATTGGATGGATTCTTTTTTTTTTTTTTAAAAAAAAAGAAAAGAAAAGTTTTGAGATTGGCGGTCCGGTCCCTCATTTTCTGCCCGCAACCGCAAGTGTGTTGTTGTGTTCCTAATATTGGGCCCCGCATTCTCTACAATCTGTGTGTTTTGGTGGGCCTCCACCATCACTCCTCACTACTCACGCATCATTAATCCCACTCTCTTCCTTCTCCCAAATCCACCTTGGCTGCTATTCATTTTGTTTATTATTATTATTATTATTATTAAATTAACACGTCATTCTCCCTATAAATTCTAAATTACCTCCCAACGTCCAACTATAGCTAATTATAAATAACCATCCAAAACGAATGACTTAATTTACCATTCTCTCCTTCTACGTATATTTTTTAATTCATTTGACTTTTAACTGGCCGAAATAATATTATGGATTTACAATAAAAATTACTTTATCATACTCATTGATTTAACAATAACTCTTATAATATATCTCAAATCTGATCCATTGTGCGTGTAAATGAAAAAACTGATGAAACCATACGTAGTCGACCTCTTTCAATATTTTTATTATAATTATTTATACCCTTCATCCATAAATATAAATCTTCTCATAAATTATAACGAAAAATGCATTAATTTGGCTAAATTATTTCCAATTATTAATATTTTTTTTTATTATATTATATTGTGTCCAAATGAATTGTATGTTCCAAGCAACATAATTTTTTATTTTTTATATTTTAAATAATGGCACAATTGCATTATGAATTACATTTGTACATAATAACACTATAATTGAAGTTCATGCACTTTGTTAGAGTACATATAATATTTTGTAAACAGAAATTCAACCCCAAATTAAAAAATCTATTTATTTATGTAATTTTTGAAAGACAGGTCACAGTTAATCTACTGGCTTGATTATGGAAAGTAATGTGAAATTATGAGTTCGTGTTTCCATATGAGGCCAACCATTGTCGCATCTAACCAAGTCTAGATGAAGTGGGAAACGCAAAATGCTCCCTAATTTTGAATGTGGATTTGATATTCATCCATCCACATCACAATAATACTATATATTTCAATATTGTCACGTCCGACTCTAATCATCAGAAGAATTGTCTGCTTTGGTCACGGGATTGTGTTCCGGCCTAACTCGGCCAACACATACACCCGCCCTCACGGTTTTGTCCCGCATGTGAAATGAAAAACTTCCCAGGAGGTCACCTATCATAAGATTTCCGTTAAACGAGCACGCTTAACACGCTTAATCCCTGGACTGTTCTTCCAACTCGCAAGCCACTTGCCATCTAAAAGACGCCTCAATTTTTCAACTCAATAATATGATTCGATTCATTCAGTGTCCCGATTCTACCTACCCCATATGATTCGATTCATTCATGTGTCCCGCATTCCACTACCCTAACTAGCCTGCCATCCTAAGATCGCTTTGCCGGGTCGGGATGTGACAACTATTCTACCACTTGTATTGGTAACAAATAGAAATCAAGCTATTAACCCGACTAATTTAAAAATTATTATAAAATCACGTGAGTAATTTACATTGTAAATTGAGTAAATGACATATAATAGAAAATGTAAATCAACCAAAATGTCTTAATTTTGTATTAAAAAAAACCGCCATTGTGAGCCTAGATTACTGATTAATTTACTAATTATTTCTAGAGTCCAGATTATTAACATGATAGTGTAGAAGTGTAATCCCATGTTGGATAAATGTGAATTGAGTAAATGCAATATGGTAAGAATTTTGAATATTAAGGATAAGTGAGGAGGATTATACTTACACGTTGCGGCTCATTTGGAAGTTCGACTAAGTTATATAAAAATTGAAACTATAAATTTCACATTTACCTTTTTTATCGATGAAAATAGAATAAATAGGAGGGTAAAATTGTAATTTTCAATTATTTTTAACAACTTTTTTCTTAAATTGGAAAGAAAATGTTGTGAGGTCTAAAATTTATTTTTCATTCATAATTTCTGTCCTGTCGTTACTTTTTAAACAAATAATTTTTTTAAAAAAATTTATTTTCTTTCCCAATTTTCTTGCTTTCGTATTTTCTATCAATCCAAATAGCGACTCGTAATTCCGATTAACCATTAAAAATTGTGCGAGACGTGTCATTTTCACACACCAACTTCACTCAGGTAGAAGCTACCGCAGGTCAATTAGGAGAGAAAGCAAATGAACAGAACAAAGTGCCCTCAATTAGAAGCTACCGCAGGTCAATTAGAAGAGAAAGGAATGAACAGAATAAAGTGCCTATAGTGACAAGTGTGAACATCCAAAGCTTTCCTTTTAGCCACTGCAACATTAGTGCTCTGCGATGCTGTCACCTTCGCTCAGTGACCGTGTCCACACACCCCTAGATTTTTTTTTTCTTTGAAATATTAGAAGATTAATTTTTTTTTTAAATTAATTAATATCTGATCTCGAAATCTCTAATGAAAAATTTTTAAAATATAAATCTTTTTACGTATTATAAAGTGATTTATATATTAGGAAGATGGGAATAAGAGATTAATAAATTGAAGTATAATCCAAAGCGAGAGGGGCAATTACGTGAATAAAAACAATATTTTCTGTTGTAGGTAGATATGTATTTTTATTTATTTTTTGAAACTGGGTAGATATGTATTTAATTTGCCCTTGAAAGGAGGGAGAGGTAAGTTTGTCAGCAGTGAGAGGACTGCTACTATTTTTGTAACGTCTTGTTCCCCTCTGCTCTCCGGCTCTGAGCAAGTATAAGTTCACGAACTTTTTGATTCTTTCGCCATAAAAACACTAATTCTCCCTGTTTTTCTCCCCTCTCTTGTCTCTCACATGTACACACATTAATTAGCGGGGAGCATCACTTGCAATGGAGTTGCCATGTAGGACAATTAAGCTTCTCGTGTTCATTTCTCTGTTACAGGCAAGAGCTCTGCTGCTGACATTTCTATGCTGCTTCATTACGTTTTTTTTTTTTTTTTGTTCATAGAGCTCTGCTGCTGACATTCTATCGCTTCATCAATTATTTTTTTTTTTTTTTTTTTTTTTGAGTTTTTTGGTGAATTTTGCTTTTTTTTTTTTTGAAAAATGGCTTTGAATTGATCTAGTGACCTCTGTTTTTGCATCATCTCATTCTCATTTTGAATAATTTTCTTCACAACTGCTTCGTTTCCCCCCGAATTTTAGTTTGGTTGTTGAGCAAATGGAGGAAAGTAGGGGAAAAGTAAACTAGCGGCTCGGCTTTCTTGTTCCAAATTTTCTCAGTTCAAGCAGTCTACTATTTCCAGGCTTGATTATCCGACTTTTTACGAATTTAAATTCAATCTATATGACCGGAAATGAGAGAATTCAAGGCTGTGCTAATTTCAGGATTTTCCCGTTTCTCAGAAAAATTTACAGTAGAACCAAATAATGATGAGTGTATTTCTATCTAATTCTTTTTCTTTTTTTTTTTTTCGTTTTTAATTGACCAAAATCTCACTAAATACAAAGTTGTAGTTTTTTCAATTTTAGAATTACTCAAATATAAAAAAATTGTCTTTTCAAACTTAAAGAGGCAACTCTTTGGCTTTTCACATTCAGGAAATACTTTTCACAGTTTCACCAGTACCACAGCTGTAATTTTCATGGAGAAATTAACTGGCAAAGGGAAGTGAAAAATGGTGATCAATCCATTAATATAATTTTTTATTTTTTATTTTTTTTAAATTTGTAGTATTTTATTCTCAGGTAAGAAATGGAAATTTAATTACAATAATTTATTAGAAATATGATCCAATTTGTATGCATCTGTTATCTTACTGCAGCAGGCAAAATGAGTACTGGTGTTTTATGTTTTTATATTTCTATTAGTATTAGCTTGCGAATTCAAGAACTAATTGACTGAATTACTCTTTTTGTTGAATCTCATTAGTTGTTGAAATTTGTGTCACAGGCTCTATATATTGCATCATTGATCCATGCAGAAGTGTCTGATTCACGATTGCTTTTGACATCGAATGCCATATCTAGGTGAGACATCTTCGTTGTGATGTTTCGCTATGCAATAGCATAATGTTCAAGGTGTCTATTGCTTGACAGGCTTATGCGAAGACAGAAATAAGTTCTACCATTTTCTTGGTTTCAACTTTTTCTTGCCCTGATTTTAATTAGTATGTTCCTGAGGTTCATGTTAAAAATTCTTGGACTTGTAGCTAGACAAAATCTCCCATGTATATATGTTATAATTTTTTGGTCCCTGAGTCTTTTTATCTTATCTATTTAAGTTGAGGAATTAACACTTCTTTTCGATCTAATTTTTAGGGAAAGGCATTCTGAAGAATACTGTGCTATGTATGACATCTGCGGAGAACGTGAGGATGGAAAAGTACTGAACTGTCCTTATGGTTCCCCATCTGTCAAGGTATATGCTAGGAGGACTTTTAACTGCTATAGTATAAATTTTACTTTGATGCTCTCTGCAGCATGAATTTTCTTGTTCACTACATCTGCTGAAGCTCATCTACTACCAGTTTTCTATTATTACTGCCTTTTTTATTTATTTGTTTTATCCTTTTAAAAGTCCCTACAGATTTTGAACAACATTATTTGTTTCATTGTTTCATTTTTAGCTGTCATGATTAGGGCGGTTCTTTCACTTTGGATACTATAACTGAAAATTTTACAGAAGATGCTATATTCGTAAATACCTAAGTATTGCATGCTTCTTTGTTTCTCAGCCAGATGACTTGCTTTCACAAAAGATCCAAAGTTTGTGTCCGACAATCACTGGCAATGTTTGTTGTACAGAAGCACAGTTTGATACATTACGTTCACAAGTGCAGCAAGTAAGAACTCTCATGAAGTTTGGTATTTCTATATTTTTATTAAGGCCAAAGCTTTTGATTGTGGAGCTGAAGGCATTAACGCCTTCAAATCTAATTTTAGAGGAGTCAACTTTCTGGCTCCTTTATGGAGAATCATAGCATGATGTCCTCTGATTGCTGATTGCTTCTGTGGTAGTGTCTGAATTTCTGCATTGAGGGATTTTCAGCTGTCCATTATTCGAGCAGCTAGTCATGATGTCCATGTTGATGGGAAAATAAATTTTGCTACTTATTTCTTGATGTTCATTATAGTCTTAAGTTCATTTCTTTTTGGGATGACCAGCTTCCTGTTCTGCTTTAATTGTTGGTACAGAACCTTTTCCTTAAAACTCTGAAACTTTTGGCCAAAGGATGAGTAGAAAATGTTTGTAGTCCGTTTCATCTTGTATTGAAATTCTCACTTTTGTGCCTTTGTTAACTTGAAACTCCCTTGCACTTGTTCTCCTTTTTCTCATTCCATGTTGCTATTTAAGTTACCATGGACAGGGAGTTCAAATGTCTATTGTTTTCGTTTTAATCATTTATGAATTGAAGAAGAATCATGATTTTTTCTCATCTTAAATGTTACCAGCTACAATTCTTTATTTGCTTCTATGCTTTCTATACTCTCCCAATATTATCCTATATGCATATAAAACCAATTAAATATATATGTTTAAGCATTTATGTCTATCTTGCAGGCAATTCCTTTTCTTGTTGGCTGTCCAGCATGCTTAAGAAACTTTTTGAATTTGTTCTGTGAGCTTTCCTGTTCCCCGCATCAAAGTTTATTTATCAATGTGACTTCCATTTCCAAGGTGAGGAGTCCTTTCCAATCAATGTTCTCCTGCTGCTTTTAGTTGTGGTTTTTGTGCTTCTGTAATCAAAGCCAATGAAGTAATTTGTATTTATGATCAAGCAAAGAAAAAATATTTTTTATTCTTTCTAGGACAAATATCATTTTATACCCTTTAAAAGACAAGAATTGACTCTCACATTATCTGTTGGTTTGAATCATTTCATTATTATGTTATTTTCAGGGTTATATATCTTAGACTCGTTAGATCATAATTTGCGGGAGATGTATGTCTAATATGATCCTTCTATTTTGCATTTCTATTATATTTTTATATTCACAATTTGATTACTTGTTGAGTGAAAGCATGAATTTGCTACAGTCAATCACAGTCTTTGGATCATTGGTTTCATTTGAGTTGGTCATTGCATGGCTAATTTTGGGAGACAGACACATTACTATATACCTAAGAGTGTAAAGGTGTTCTATTCTCTTTTCAGGTTAAGAACAATTTGACCGTGGATGGAATTGATTTTTATATAACTGATGCTTTTGGTGAAGGGTTATATGACTCTTGCAAGGATGTAAAGTTTGGTACAATGAACACTCGAGCTCTAAACTTCATTGGTGCTGGTGCTCAGAATTTTAAAGGTAAAATTTACTTTAAAAGCCAATTTCTCCCTGCCCTTCTATTTCCCTAACCACCCCCCCCCCCCGCCCTTCTATTTCCACCACCCCCCCCCCCCCCCACAACAAAAAAAGAAAAAAAAGAATAAACGCATGCACATCATGTCCTTTCTAGGGAAGTATGTGAAGTTGAGAACTATTAAGAATGAAGAATCTGATGCTTAGTCTATCACAAAGACCTTGATTCTTTGTACATCTTTCAGTCAACTGGTGCCAATTGCCAGTTGCTTTTGTGTTGGGCTGCTTATGCGTAATTGTCAGCATTTCTGCATAGTTGTTAGTGCTTATACCATGATTACTTATGGCAGAGTGGTTTGCATTTATCGGTAGGCGAGCACTCCCAAATATACCAGGCTCACCATATTCCATTCAATTTAAGTCAGCTGCTCCTGAGTCATCTGGAATGAAAACTATGAATGTATCTACATATTCATGTGATGATATTTCACTGGGCTGTTCTTGCGGTGATTGCCCTTCTGCTCCTGTTTGTGCTAATACAGCTTCTCCTCCACAGCATAAGAGATCTTCATGTTCAGTGAGAATTGGATCTCTTAAGGTAAGGAATCACACAGAAGATAACTCCTAGCTTTTTTGTAGGCGAGCAATTTGTTCATGTTGAATTCAAAGTGTTTAGCTAAGAATGGACATTCTTAACTTTTTTTTTGCCTTTAGGTATTAGTTTAAATTTTGCTAATTTAGTTTCACTGGTCAACTCTTGCAGGCCAAATGCATTGACTTTGCTTTGACAATTTTGTACATCGTGTTGGTTTCCATGTTTTTGGGATGGGGTCTTTTTCATCGAAAAAGAGAAAGGAAACAAACCTCTGTAATGAAACCAATGTCAAATATCATGGATGGAGGTGAGGAACATTCTGTTATTATGCGGAAGGATGAGAGTATTCCCATGCAGGTATTCTCAATTTCCTTCATGCTCTTGTTGAGTGAAATTCTATAGTTATTCCTTGATGTAGTCATTAAAGTGCTATAAATCAATTACATATTAATTTGAGCTTTATTCAAATTATGGTAATGTCTATGAAGTTGAAAATTTTGTAGGCCTGTTTTTCTGTTCTTTCATAGGCCAATCCCATTTTAAAACTGTCTTTCTTTGTATTTTGATTTATTATTTATTAGGTGCTTGAAGATTCTCCTCAAACTGGAAACAGGGTTCAGCTTTCAATTGTGCAAGAACATATGTCAAAGTTTTATAGGTCACTGCCTATCTCATTTATGCTTCTATCAGCCTTTCTTCTCGATAAACTTTCTTGTATAGGAAATAGAATGAGTATTGCAGAATGGTTTTTCATGTTGTGGTTACTTTTTGTTCAGGAGATATGGAACATGGGTTGCTAGACATCCTATACTTGTGTTGAGCGTGTCTGTGGCTGCAGTTCTTTTGCTTTGTTTAGGTCTAATCCATTTTAAGGTGGAGACAAGACCTGAGAAGGTATTTTTTTGGCACCTATCCTTTTTGATCATTGCACGCTAAAAATGCTTTGTGAGTGCTTATTGTCAACAATGCATAAATAGAATCTCTTTGTTTCTGGTCCTCTTCTTTTTTTTTTTTTTTTTTTTTTTTTTTTTTTTTTTATCTCTTTGTTCTGGTCCTCTTTCTTTTTTTTTTTTTTTTTTTTTTTTTTTTTTTTTTTTTGTGGTCTTGCCTTTGTTTTCTCAAATGTCGGGCTTCTGGCTTGTTCATAAAACACTGAATGGAGAAGATTCTTTTCCTTAAATAAGTGGTAACTGAAAGTCTCGGCTTAAATTAACACAATCATCTTTTTTTTTTTTTTTTTTTTTTTTTTTTTTTTTTTTGTGGTTGCCTTTGTTTTCTCAATTGTCGGGCTTCTGGCTTGTCATAACACTGATGAGATTCTTTTCCTTAAATAAGTGGTAACTGAAAGTCTCGACTAATTAACACAATCATCTATCATATTTGTTGTATGCCTGCAAACCTGCTTGAATTTTCTCTATGGACTTACATGTTCAGAAACATGCATGACAGAGAAGAATCAAGTAGAAATTAACTTCAAGGATAGTTGGGTTAGAAAGTCCTATTTGAAAAGTGGTGCTTGTACCTGTAAATTTGATAAGGCACGGTAGAAAAGGAAAATATGGAATCATTGTGCATAATTCAAATACAAAATATGAATTTGTAGCAAATTCCATGTTCTTCTGGGATGTACAATCTATAGTTTTTTAATGAGTTGAGAATCAAGGCTGACAATAGATAAGTAGTTATTTGTTTTGTTTAGCCATTAAATTATAGTATATGTTAAGTTGATAATATTATTCACAATTTCACCATTAATTTTTTTTTGCGTTCACAATCATTTATCATACTGTTATTGATACTTGATTTCCCCCCTTTTCATTTCTAATTCACGTATTGTTTCAGCTATGGGTAGGGCCTGGGAGTAAAGCTGCTGAAGAGAAAAGATTTTTTGACAGCCACCTAGCTCCTTTTTACAGAATCGAGCAGGTTCAGCATTACTTTTAGCTTTGTGTTTTATTTGCATTCCTTTTTCACCCTCTCACGTTTTATCATTATATTTTTATTTTCTGGTAGTCAAGCATAATCTTCTAGAAATTGAGTTTTAGAAAATTTTGAATCCTTCCTTTTACTGTACATGCAGATGTTACCAGGAAACAGCTTTTTCTTCTTTTTCTCCTCTATAACCAGTGAACTACATTATATATCTTCTTGTTATGCATTTATTTTTCATAATCAAATTGACCTATGGGGGAGAAAAAGATGACAATGGAATGATCCCTTTCATTGTCATCTGCACAACAAAATCTGTGCCACAAATTTACAGTTGTTATTTTACGTGCTAGTGTGCATGCACCCGTAAAATGCTATACTTTTGTGTCGATTACTTACCAGGTCAGAAAATTGTTTTCCATGTTTGGTTAAGTTTTGCAATTTTCCCTTTCCTTGTGGGTTTACTGCCAATGATTTTTTGAAGATTCCAATGCAGTACGTGCCTAATTCGATACTGGCTATCTATTTATCAGTGTCTTGTAATGGTTTAATTTTCTGGGTGGAATCATCCTTTTGAATTTAGATTCAGAAGTTTTATTATTTTTATGAAATTAAATTTGGAGTAGTTGTGAAGCATAATATATTGATAGAATAGTAGTTTCATTATGGTTTACTTAATGGAGAATAACTGATGCTGATGATTTTGTTCCCCTCTCAGCTAATTATAGCAACTACTCCCAGTGCTGAAGATGGCAAATTACCAAGTATTGTCACAGAGAACAATATTAAGTTGCTCTTTGAAATACAAAAGAAGGTATTCCTGTTTAATTTTGCCTCCGGAATGTATCATATTATTATGAAAATCACTTAAATCTTAATATAATGTTTCTCTTGTTTACGTCATTTTTTGCCCTTCTTTTATTGGTAAATTATGCTTCAAAATGTTTTAATTTGATAGTATCTAACTGTAACAGGTCGATGGAATTCGTGCAAATTACTCCGGATCTTTGATAGCTCTAACTGATATTTGTATGAAGCCACTAGACCAAGAGTGTGCTACTCAAAGTGTCCTGCAGGTTAATTTCTTGCTTGGTAGTCGTTGTTGATGCAACTTGGTGATAAATTGTAGAATGAACTTATGGCTTATTCTTTGTTCATTTCAAGTTTCTAATAGATTTTCTATTAAAGCCTTGAAGGCTTCCTGTTATGAGCAGCCTGTGCTTTATCCATATTTATACCTTCATTCATTTTTTTGGCTATGTTGACACACTGACTCTTCCTCAGTATGTACTGATTTTGCCATGTTCCATGTCTTCTGATCCTCTCTCTCTGAGGTTTCCAAGTTGTTTTGCTTATATCCTTGTTGATATATTTATCAATTAATATCTGAATCCACACCTGCTTTTAATTTGTTTTCTCAAGTATCTTTACCTGCTTTTAATTCGTTTTGTCAAGTATCTTTATTTAATTCAAACCATTACATTTTCATAGGTCTTTATGCCACTTAAATATACTTTTTTTTTTGTGACTAACATTCGTCTCTTTCTCTCTCTCGGCAAATAGTATTTCCAAATGGATCCTCAAAATTATGACAACAATGGGGGAGTTGAGCATGTGAATTATTGTTTGCAGGTATAATTTGATATATTCCATCTTCATTGTGTAAAATTCTGAAACAAATTTATCATTCATGAGCTAGCAAGCTTAACATTTCATTTACTTTTTTCTGCATATTGAAGTTTGATTTGGGTGCTTCCTTTGCCTAAAAATGAACAAGTAAATAAATAAAACTATGCAATTTGAGCAAATATGCATGTGTATTTTTTTTTATCCAACGTGACTGTTGGAGATATAAGTTTATATTGGATGGTTAGAGGAGAATTATGGTACACTAAATCTTACAAAATTCGAATCATTGGATTCTGATCCAAGTTCTTCTTTGACCCCCAAAAGGTAATTTGTTTCTCTTATAATATAATCAATATTCTGGTTGATGGTAAAAGAATTTAGCTTGCCTAATTAGTGTGGTATGCATTTCAACTGGATAATGGTTGATGTTAAAAGATGGGTAAATGTACTTTCCCTATGTTGACCTCTCTGAATTGAATAAAAGCAACTGATCTGTCATCTAATTTCAAATTTTAGAATTCTTCGAGTTTCTCTTTTATCTTTTGTTAATCTGTTGGTCAGAAGTTAAATAATCATATATAATTTTTTTTTGTTTTAACTCATGTCTTGTCCTTCCCTCAAACAATTCCCCAATTATTATATTTCCCTTTCAATTAGCATAATGATATTTTTTTTCACAAAGTGGTCAATTGAATTTACATTATGTGTTTTCAGCATTATACCTCTGCAGACGCTTGTATGAGTGCCTTCAAAGGTCCTCTTGATCCTAGCACCGCCTTGGGAGGTTTCTCAGGGAGCAATTATTCAGAGGTATTTCAATACTTTGCAAATAGCAAATTACAACTATCTCTGGTCCATGTGATAATCTTGTAATGATTCTTCTGAGACAGGCTACTGCATTTATAGTGACATATCCAGTAAACAACGTGATTGATAAAGAAGGGGATAAAACTGATAAGGCTGTTGCTTGGGAGAAGGCCTTTATTCAGTTAGTCAAGGTTTGCCTTTTCTCATCTCAGTGATTGTTTATATAGATAATCTTTGTAATGATTCTTCTGAGGACAGGCTACTGCATTTATAGTGACATATCCAGTAAAACAACGTGATTGATTAAAAGAAGGGGATAAAAAAACTGATAAGGGCTGTTGCTTGGGAGAAGGCCTTTATTCAGTTTTAGTTTCAAGTTTGCCTTTTCTCAAATCTCAGTGATTGTTTTATATATATTATATTATATATATTATATATATAATATATATTATTTAAGTTATTGCAACTTCTTTCTTAGTTCAAAGTCTCATGCAGTATTATATCTATTTCTCTATATATTATGCAATTCTCTTAGTTCAAAGTCTCATGCAGTATTATATCTATTCTCTTCATAATGGTACCAGCTGTTGGGTATTGGTGACAGTAGACAAAATAATTTTATTGTAGATAAGACTTGCCTCATGTAGTACGAATTTAAACCCGTAACTGCTTATTGTTCTCTGAACTGTATCTCTAATACAAAGAAATCTGGTTTGGCTGGTCTATTATATGCAGCCTTCCATTGATATGTAAAAAATATATAAAAGAAAAATCATTCAGCTGCATTTCATAAAGAAGTTAAAGGTGACTTCAAAAAGGCAACTTATAGAGGGTGACTTTCTCAAGATTTAAGATTACAGTAGGCTATTCTTGCATGGGGTACATTGAATGAAACATGATTTTATTGTTCAAATTATTTGTTTTTTGATGTTAGATCACCAATCAGAGTCATGGTACATGAAAAGACTTGATGAATCAGAGAGGTGGGGGCATGGTGAAGTAGGTTCTTGTGTTCCTACTTTCCACTGTACTCTGTTATCTTTGTTTGTTTAAGGTTGGCAGAAAATCCATCACATGTAAAGAACACAGATAACTTGGATGACCCTACGAATAGATCACATTAAGGTTGGAAGTTAACCAAGTTCAATATTTTTGAAAAGGAAATGAATCAAAGTTGAGAGGAATTACAAGGAATCTGTTTTGAAATATAGCGAATGGATTACTTCCCGATGTTCCTGAGATGGAGATTGGATGTGACCGTAGTAATAAAATATATATATTTTTTTTTCTGTTATTTGCCTCAAGAGGTAAAGCTTATTTCCTGAATATAGGTAAATTTGATTGCTCATGCGGTAATAATTGTGTATCATCATTTAATTAATTAGTTTGATGATGATAAAGTTTAAGACTCATTGTTTCTTTGTTGGATCTGAATGTCTTGTATGCTGTGTAATAGGATGAACTGTTGCCAATGGTCCAATCAAAAAATCTGACGCTTTCTTTTTCATCGGAAAGCTCTATTGAGGAAGAACTAAAACGAGAAAGTACTGCAGACGCCATTACTATTGCGGTAGGGTTTTTTTTTTTTTCAATTAAAAAAAATTTACGTTTTCATCGAAGTATGGGAAACATAGTATTAGTTGCTTAGTGTAAAGGTAAATCCTAGACCTGCAACGCAACAAAGGTTGAAGGTCCGAGATTGAGATTCACTGCATTATGCGTTGTTTGCAATAGTTTTATTGTTTTGTAAAACTGTCAGCTAAGTTCTCTCACTCAGAACTCTCTTTGGTGGGACTATAATTGGGCAGTGGCCTTTTTTTATTCAAGTTGTAGAAATACTCGCATTATTTTATAAGCTGGTGCAAATGATATTTCTAATGTCTTAGTTTTATTTGTTTGTCTTTTAGATTAATTTGGTTTGCTAATAATCCATATTTCCTTTTCTGCATATGTATTTAATTAACTTTTTGTTGTTTTTTTTTATCAGATAAGTTATCTTGTGATGTTTGCCTACATATCTCTTACTCTAGGTGATACACCTCGATTATCCTCTTTTTACCTTTCTTCCAAGGTATGTTCTAATTTATGGCTTTCAAACCTTCTTTCTTGACAGTTCACCTCCAACCTTCTTATCTGTTTCAAATCATTGTATCACACTGCCATGACAACCTAGTTACTACATAACATGTAGCACCTTTATGTTTTTAAATCTGATTGGTTATTTTCCAGGTATTGCTTGGTCTTTCTGGAGTTATGCTTGTCATGCTTTCTGTTCTTGGATCAGTTGGATTTTTCAGCGCCATTGGAGTAAAATCTACACTAATAATCATGGAAGTCATTCCTTTTCTTGTGTTAGCAGTAAGTTTCTTCCTGCCGCTTCCACATCTCCATAGGCTTAATTTGATTTGATCATACGGCAATCATGCCACTTGATGCATGATGTGTTCACCCATATTGTTTCTGTAAACTCATCATTGAGATTGACTTTTGTATGGGAAACTCCCATTTTGTACTGAATATTTTCCTCTTTATTGGCTGAGCAAATGATTTCTCACTTAATAGAGAGCAACACCTAGTCATCATCCTACCTTCTTTCTCTACTACAACATATGGCTGAGAGGCAGATAAGTGGGGTGAGATATAACACACACAACTGTAGCCCTGTTAGGCTAGGCTAACTTGTTAACTGTGATATTTTGCAGATTTATCGTGTAAAAACTTATAATAGCTGAATGTTCCTTTGTTTAGAAGTTGTATAGTACTTTAATCTGAATATTAGATGGTAAATTGAACAACTTTTCTATAGTATTCATTATTCACCAAAACATTTTTGGGAAATTTCCGTGGCTCCCGCATCTGAACATCTGTCATTCCAAGGTATGTTCTAATTTATGGCTTTCAAACCTTCTTTCTTGACAGTTCACCTCCAACCTTCTTATCTGTTTCAAATCATTGTATCACACTGCCATGACAACCTAGTTACTACATAACATGTAGCACCTTTATGTTTTTAAATCTGATTGGTTATTTTCCAGGTATTGCTTGGTCTTTCTGGAGTTATGCTTGTCATGCTTTCTGTTCTTGGATCAGTTGGATTTTTCAGCGCCATTGGAGTAAAATCTACACTAATAATCATGGAAGTCATTCCTTTTCTTGTGTTAGCAGTAAGTTTCTTCCTGCCGCTTCCACATCTCCATAGGCTTAATTTGATTTGATCATACGGCAATCATGCCACTTGATGCATGATGTGTTCACCCATATTGTTTCTGTAAACTCATCATTGAGATTGACTTTTGTATGGGAAACTCCCATTTTGTACTGAATATTTTCCTCTTTATTGGCTGAGCAAATGATTTCTCACTTAATAGAGAGCAACACCTAGTCATCATCCTACCTTCTTTCTCTACTACAACATATGGCTGAGAGGCAGATAAGTGGGGTGAGATATAACACACACAACTGTAGCCCTGTTAGGCTAGGCTAACTTGTTAACTGTGATATTTTGCAGATTTATCGTGTAAAAACTTATAATAGCTGAATGTTCCTTTGTTTAGAAGTTGTATAGTACTTTAATCTGAATATTAGATGGTAAATTGAACAACTTTTCTATAGTATTCATTATTCACCAAAACATTTTTGGGAAATTTCCGTGGCTCCCGCATCTGAACATCTGTCATATCAGGTAGGAGTGGACAACATGTGTATATTGGTGCATGCTGTTAAACGGCAACCACTAGAGCTGCCACTAGAAGAACGGATAAGCAATGCACTTGTGGAAGTTGGACCATCTATAACACTCGCTAGTCTATCTGAGGTGCTAGCATTTGCAGTTGGGAGTTTTATTCCTATGCCAGCATGTCGTGTGTTTTCTATGTTTGCTGGTCAGATATTTTCATCCATTTTCCCTTGAGTGCTAATCAAAAGATTTCTATTTCATTTCATTGTTTGGAATTGTCACCATTTTATTGCATGCTCCCATTGCAGCACTGGCCGTTCTTCTGGACTTCGTTCTACAAGTTACTGCTTTTGTTGCTTTGATAGTTTTTGACTTTTTGCGTGCGGAAGACAAGAGAGTCGATTGTTTTCCATGTCTAAAAATTTCTTCGTCATATGCCGACTCTGATAAAGGTAATTGGGACTTCTCTACATCATATTTTCTTGATGCCTTACCTTTTCTTTACATCATTTGGTAACTTGCATATATTTTATCTGTTATTGTAAATTTTTAAATGTATTCTAAGTGAGATCATAAAACATTTAGGCATTGGTGGGAGAAGGCCTGGATTACTGGCTCGATATATGGAGGTAATCTACTTTTTTATGCATTTTTTTTATGGAAGTTGTGCCTTTGCTAGCCTGTTTCTATAGTCTCAGCCATATCATATGAGCTTATATATATTATCATTTGGATTTTTGGAACTCATAATTTAAGATACAAGAGAAGTTGTCTAATAATTCAAATGATAATGTAATTTTTTGCTCTACAATGTGCTTGTACAACTTCATTAAAGAATTTGTGTTTTTACTAGTTGACATTTTCTGATAGAGTTGAGCTGCTTTTTCTTTAATTCCTAGGGGGTCCACGCACCTGTGCTCAGTCTTTGGGGAGTTAAGATTGTTGTCATTTCCATCTTTATTGCTTTTGCATTGGCTAGCATTGTGAGTTGCCCGAGATTTTCTTCTTCGTCTTGCTAATTATGCAAGCTTTTGGGACCTATATGTTTCTCAAGTTAATTTATCATGTTTCTGAAACTCACAGGCCTTATCCACTAGGATTGAACCTGGTTTGGAACAGAAGATTGTTCTTCCTCGGGATTCATATCTTCAGGTTTAATTTCTCAAAGCTATTATGTGACATAGTGCTTGCATCCTCAATGATGTATTGTTGGTTTATTTAACATGCATTTCTGTTTTTCACAGGGATATTTTAATAATGTCTCAGAGTATCTTAGAATTGGTCCTCCACTTTACTTTGTTGTGAAGAATTATAATTATAGGTAATTCAATGCTTTTTCCTTGTTGATAATTTTTCTTTTAGCTCCAAATTTAATTTTGGTTGTTTCTTATTCCAATTAATAGTGGAGTTAATTCATTTTGTTGGCTAAACAAGTGCATAATTGTGAAAAATAATGAATCTTTAATTGTCATTTTGAGGGAAGATATCAATTGAACTTGATTTTGATGCTTTCATACTATAAGATATTCAAACTGATGGTACTGTACTCCTCAGCTCAGAATCAAGACATACGAATCAGCTGTGCTCCATCAGCCACTGTGATTCAGACTCTCTTTTAAATGAGGTAAACCTGTCTTCTTGTTCTTCACTGATTAGTATATTAGATGCCTTTGTCATTTGCATATTAGATGCCTCCTCATTTGGCTTTTTTTTTTTTTTTTTGGTTTGCAATTAGGGATGACATTCACTTTATATACAACGGTTTATCTAGTTACTATATCCATGACCCTGCATCTGCAATTCATATCTTTGTTTAGAACATAACAACTTGTAGTTGTGTAGACAGATTTTTATTTGTTTTATTTTGAGAATAATTTGTAAATCGATTGCCAGTATATATCCTGCTGAAACTAGAAGCAGAAGGATTTGTTTGAGGCACTCCATGAACTTGAATCATGGACTTTTAGAATCTTCTACTTAGAGTTTAACACTAAATTTTGTTACATAAACACAAATAATTTATTTTTGAGGCTAAGATCTCAACTTTGTGAAAAGTCTACAGCTGCTTCAGCAATTAATCAACATATCTTTGGATCATGTTACTTCTTACCTTGCTATGGTTGTGGTTTCTTTGACAAAAAATATTTTTGCTCCTGTAGATTGCAAGAGCATCTTTGACTCCCGAGTCCAGTTATATTGCTAAACCAGCTGCTTCATGGCTTGATGATTTTCTTGTATGGATATCTCCAGAAGCTTTTGGTTGTTGTCGTAAGTTCACAAATGGAAGTTATTGTCCCCCTGATGATCAGGTCATCATCTAATCATTCTTGAAGTTAATTTTTTAATCCTGATCTGGAAATTAAATACCGAAGCACTGCTGAAGCTATTGTTTTCCCGACATCAGAATCCTCATCAAGAAAATTGTAACTGAATATTTTGAATTAGATCTCAAATACTTGGAACTTTGTACACAATAATATTGCAATTTGTTCATCTTTCACTAGGTAAAATCATTTAATGGCTTTAGGAATATAACTAAATAATCCTTGACCAATTATGAGTCTTTGGTGGTGATGATCATATTTTCTTCATTTTCTGAACATCTAAATTTCACTACGCTTTTGTCCCTAAAAACGAAAATTTACTACCCTTTTGACATATGATTTTTTTCTGCTTGCAATCCTTACAACTGAATATGCTGAAGTTGATCTTCTTTTTCCCAGCCTCCTTGCTGTTCCTCTGATACAGGTTCTTGTGCTCTCAGTGGAGTTTGCAAAGATTGTACCACAGTAAGTTACTAAACAGTTAATGGGAAAATGTTAAAGTTTACCGGGGGAAAAAAAGAGGAAAAAAGCCTGATTACTTTCAAAAAAATTATGCCCTTGACTAAATTGTTGAGGCAGTAACATGTGTCTTTTAAATGAAAGAGGGTTCCTTTGGTAACGATTTTGGAATTTTTCAGTGTTTCCGTCACTCAGATTTGAATAATGATCGTCCATCTACAGTACAATTTAGGGATAAACTCCCATGGTTCCTTAATGCTCTGCCTTCTGCTGATTGTGCAAAAGGAGGCCATGGTGCTTACACTAGCAGTGTGGAATTGGGAGGTTAGTGAAACTGGATATTTATTCTCTCACTGGTTGTATAAAAATTTTTGTTTATTTTTAATTGCGGTCTTGCGACCCACTATTTGAATGTGATGTTAATTCTTGACATATTGTGTGATCAGGCTATGGTAACGGTGTTATCCAAGCATCATCCTTCCGCACCTATCACACGCCTCTGAACAGACAGGTAATATATTTTCTGATGGTAGAATGTGCATGATATATTTTCTTTTTCACGTTTGCTGTAGAGAGCCTTATTATGGTTGCGTTAATTTTAGATCGACTATGTTAATTCAATGAGGGCTGCTCGAGATTTCAGTTCAAGGATTTCTGACTCTTTAAAGGTAAGAATACTAGTGGACCACATAGTTTTTTTATGTTTTCCTAGTTAAAGCTTTATTGAAAAAGCCGATACTTGTTTCTTCTTTCATATGATAATATAGGTTCTTATCAAATCACTGACAGCAAGTAAAAATGGTTGAACCTCCTTTTCTGCCACCACATAAAAATATTTTTACTGGCTTATAAATAGTCATTAGCATTTTGGAAACACTGGTTTGACTGTTTGCTTTGTGCCATTGTTTAGACTGTCCCTTGCATAACATTTTGTTATCTGGTGCAGATGGAAGTGTTCCCATACTCGGTTTTTTATATGTTCTTTGAACAATACCTTGACATATGGAGGACAGCATTGATCAACCTGGCTATTGCAATTGGTTAGTAACTTCAAGAAGTCTGGCACTCATTGTTGCGGAAGAGGAAACTGAGATTTTTTTTATAATTCCTGCTATATATGGAAGCATATGTTTTGGTTATTTTTTTTATAATTCCTGCTATATATGGAAGCATATGTTTTGGTTTTTGAGTAGTTCAAAGGGTGCACATAGGGATTTTTGCGTGTTCATGCACATTTTTGGCATTTTTGAATCCAAAAGAGAAGTGACTTGTTGAATTATGTGGTAACATGACTACAGCATTTGTTGTTAATGGGTAGGATACACCAACCTGTAGTTATTTCCCCTTCTATAATTTACTGATTGGATTTTTCTGGTGATGTACCAGGCGCAGTATTTATTGTTTGTTTAGTTATTACATGCAGGTCAGTATTCGGTTTTCCCCTTGTGCACTTTTTCTCTAGTTTGGTGTTAAGTTCTCTTTCTGGATAAAAAACTAGTATTTATCTGTTTCTTTGTTTGTCTAATGTAGTTTATGGAGTTCAGCAATCATTTTGCTTGTTTTGGCAATGGTTGTCGTGGATCTCATGGTAGGCTGTTGCTTGATAATAACTAGAATTTTGGTTATGTTTTTATTATTTATTTGTTCTGTCTATTTACCTGGAACTTCTGCTTTGAAGACGAAACTTGTTACATTATGAAATTCTGCAGGGTGTGATGGCCATTCTGGATATTCAACTGAATGCAGTGTCTGTTGTTAACCTTGTCATGTCAGTTGGCATTGCTGTTGAGTTCTGTGTACATATAACACATGCTTTCACGGTAAGTATATTCGGTTATTTTGTCGTAGTCCACCTTTTATGAGTTTGTGCCTGTGACATCTTGATGAAAATCCATGCCAAATACATTTTTCCCTAACTGGTATTCATTATCTATTTTGTAAGTTAAAAAGTGGATGGGATCTGCATTCCAATAGTAAGCTGTAAATTAGAGTTGTAGAGGGTCCTCACAACTCAAGAAATTTATAGTCCATAAAAACTAAAATTTTCTTCTTCTGACTATAGGAACTAAATATATGCTGGTCTGAAGTTTGATTTGGCAACTCTTATATAGGTAAGCACTGGAGATAGAGAAGAAAGAATGAAAGAGGCTCTAGGCACAATGGGGGCTTCAGTCTTCAGGTTCTTTTGTCTTTTGTTTGAAGAGATAAAATGTAATCACCTTGTCTACTTATCTTATTGACTAATGTTTTGTTCGTGCTGTAATTTTGTAGCGGTATCACACTAACAAAGCTAGTCGGCGTGCTCGTTCTTTGTTTCTCAAGGACGGAAGTTTTTGTGGTCTCTGTTCCTACACTTAGTTATGAATCACACGTGCCAAGCTGGAATTCTTTATTATGTCTAATATCTTTGCTTCTCATGTTGTGCAGATATATTACTTCCAAATGTACTTGGCGTTGGTCCTTCTTGGTTTCTTGCATGGGCTAGTATTTCTGCCAGTAAGTTTCTTAACCTTCCTTGATCAGAGTTCTCCTTCCCTAGATGTGCGCCTCCACGAACAAGGATTGGCAAGGTAAAAGTCATGTCTAATACTCCATGGCTCAACAATTCGCAGGTAGTTTTGAGCATTTTTGGTCCACCTTCAAGGTGTAAACTTGTCGAGAAGCCAGAAGATCGGCCATCAGTTTCATTGCAGCCATGAGAAGCAAGCCACAGTTGCTGCAGTATACCTCTTTTTGTAGTTTCTTTTTTGTTAATTTTTTTTTTTTTTTTAAAAAAAAGAACGAAAAGTCTTCCTCAAGGGTGCTAAAGTTACGTGTACATTAGGGGCAGAAAAATATTCAAATCGTTTCCGACATATGTATACAGAGGAGAAAAAAAAAAAACATATTTGTGAATATTTTCTTTCTTCCAATCAATGTGAAGTATTATTATGCGCTATAGCAAAGCTGTCATGCAGCAGCTATATCATTTTCTATAGTAATTAATAAATTCTCATGTGTGAATCCTAACTCCGAATGTTTTCATAATCGTTATACTTTATGTTATTTGTTTTTGTTTTTGTCATTACGATTTGATTTGGTCTAACATACGCTGTCATCTGATGTAAGCGTTTTTGATAAGCATTGGATTTCATCTTTATCTAATCACCAGGACTATCTTAATGTTCTTTGTCCTATATATTATTCCAAGAATTGAATTTCTCTCTTCACTTTTACGTTTTAAGCTGATGTTAGGTGGCCGCCAATGCAAAATGCATAAGATATGAAACCAAGTGAACCTGCTCTGTTTGTGTCTGTAGCCAGGTCATGTATCCAAAGCAGGGAGCAGAACCCGCATTTTGAAAACAAAAAATGAGCAAAAAGGAAAAAAAGACCTATCAAGAGGCAACATTCATGATAAAAAATTTTACCTCCATTTAAGTTCTGTGAGTACATTTTACAGTTTGACAAGTAACAATAGGTTTATTGCCCTCTTCCCCCAGTTCATAAATATACAGACAGAAGAACTACCTGCATAACAAGCAAGTTCGTATAACTTCCTTACAGCTTTTCTACCCCACAGATCACGATAGTGAGCTCGTAGTCCCCATTTGCAACCAATTAACATCATCTCCGCCTTTTGAAACTTCATCTTCTACACCAATCTATCAACATTACTGTTGAGACTGTATGCTTGCGGCTAAACATACCAATGTTCATACCATTGACTCTGGAAGTGCAACCTCACCAAACATCTCAAAAGCATATTTACAAATATCATCATAGGCCTCAGCTTCTCGAAAACCCGTCCATAAGATGAGAAATTTGGAGTGAAAGTTTAATTGTGCTGTTCTCAGATGATTGGCAAACGTCAATGCACTCCTCTAAATCATCATCACATGTTAATAAGACCCACTCATTGTCATCATCCAAATACTTCAGGTCATATCTATTTATGTCATCTATAAAAAACCGCCTTGCAATTTCTTGTAATAAATCTTTACGTTTCCAATTGTATGGCATGCGAAACCGGATTTTCTCATTTCCATATGTCACTTTGATTCTCTGAGCATCACCCTCGTGAGATATTCGACTGCTACTTTTAGGTAATGGCGGAAGGTTCCCCGAATTAGGTTGTTCTCTGAGAGGTATGTGGCTTTGAGATCTTGGCAGCATGTTTTGCTCTTCTTGACTTGAAGCATGAAGCTCTGCATCACTTCTGACCCTCTTTAACACACCATTGCTTGAGTTTTCCCCAGGAATATGATCTTCACTAGTGGGAATGCTAAATACAGAAGGATTTTGCTGTAACCCACTGGAACAGCTATGGCTTGAACTGGAACTCTGACTGCATGAGGAGGAAGGTGATTTTGGTGCAGCCACTTGGGAGCTAAAAGTACCTCCGTCAGTCTGTATGCTTGATTGCTCTAGATGATCACTCTGCTTGGATGCTGAAAAAGGGCTGCTTGATAATTTCTGAGAGGCCAGCTCGGGGAAATTTGTATAAAAGGAACCAATCTGGAGAGCACCAGAGGCACCTTGGACTGAGTCGATCACAAGTTGGAGCTTCTGCAAGGAGTGACCGACCTTCTTGATTTTCCGAGAAGGCCATCGTTTTATTCCATGTTGCCTGCATATCCTTTTCAAGGTCGTGGGGCAAACTGAAATTTAAGGGCAAAAATAGCAAAGATGTTAAAACATGCACGACGGAAATTGAAGTAGCATAATTCATAGATTGAACAGCATCAGAAAAACGTTATGCAGTTTATAATCCCATGAAAGGAATGAAGAATTCCATGAAGTACTGCACAGCTTACAATAGTGTTGTATGAGAGGTATATAAGGTAACAAAGAATTTTGCTGAACTACAGTTCTTAGCCAACAATATTTATAGAGAGAATAGAGTTGTTTCCCTCCCACCCCACACCCCTCCAAAGTTCAAGCAATCAGTAAACTAGAACTAAACTCAACAAAGAATTATGCTCACCACCAATACTCTTCGCAGCATCTTTTAAGCTTCCAGCAAAGTATTGCCGAAGAACTTGCAAGGTGATTGCTTTCTCTGCCTTGGAGCGTTTTCTCTCTGCTGTTTTACCCATACAGACACTTGAAAGGCTACCTTCAGCAACTTCAGAATCTACGCCACATTCAATACTCCTCTTTAGGTTATAATCTTCTCGACTGATCCTGTACTCCATTGATTTTTCATCAATTGGTACCTTTTGATTCTCTTTCTCATATGATAAAACAACACTTCCACTTTGTTGGATCCCTGTGAGAGAGGCAGTCAAGGATGAATTATCCCCAGCATAACTTTCAGAATAATGCATCACCCTTAACATATCTTCTCTCCTAGGTCTACCATATGAAGGCAATACCACTTCACTAACTGGTCCAGTTTCTGCCTCTAGTTCTCTGTCTGTTACTACTCGTAAGGACTGACACACCTGTTGTATAATCGTGGACAATGACGTAAGCATATCTTTCTGTTTTTCAGGATCTGTGCAATCCACAGGCAGAAAGAACTCCAGCGCAAAGTCAGCTTTACCAGTGTGCACACTTCGTAGGCGAATAGCAACGGCAGCATGCAATCCAAACATCCTTGCATGGTGAGAAAGAGGATACTCAGTTTTGCGATATGAAGTTATGTCACTAGAGAAACAAGGTTGGTTAGTCAAAAATGCTTCCCCAGCAACTCCTTGACCTTTTAACAAGTGATGCTCGGAGCAAGCCTCATGAAAAGCCTGCATGCCAGTTTCACGCACATAGCAAGCATGATCCACAGTGGAAACACAGCGATAATAGTTTTCATCAGAATGTCGGCAACCCCGCTTTCCTTGTTGGATGCATGGGACCCAAATTTGACCTAAAGGTAATTTATGCGTCTCACAAGCAGATCTCAGAACCTCATGAATCTCAGATAATGCAGCTTCGTAGGACATATCACATACCTGAAGGAAAAAAAAAAAAATCATCTATGACAATAAAAAATATATATTAACAACATTAATTTGATTTTGCTACTTTTTTCTTCAATTACCTTGACATTCTGCCCAATTGGAACTTCAGAACTCTGAAGGTCAACTGCCTGCAAGTGAAAATGTTTTTTCCAATCAAAAAGAATTCACATTTAAATAAATTATCATAATACACTTATGTTTGACCTATGCCCAACTTGATCTAGAAAAGAATCTTTAGTCTATCTAAAATGAAATCTACATCCATCCAACAACAACTAAAATAAAAACAAAACAAAAATCATTGCAGAAGTGCCTTCATAATTTGAATCAAAAAATAAATTTCAAATAGAACTCCGAAAGGAGATACAAAGATATTAAATAAGAATAACTCAAAAAAAAAAAAAAAAAAAAAAAAATAACTTCAAAAAAAAAAAAAAAACAAAAAGATAACTAAAGCAAATTTCACTAAGAGGCACTGGAAAGGACTGAAACCCAATACAATACAGAAGGGATCATTTTAATAAGACAAGGATCTAGAAAATGTAAAGCAGCATGCAGCATCAAGTTGTCAATTCACCATACCAAAAGTGGAATAGTTTCTAACGAACTAACGTATGATAGCATTGAGGGCTTCTCTGTCCCTCACAATAAACAATAACTACATGACAACTTGAAACCTGAAAGGTTTTCCAATATATCAGCAAACCTTGAATCAGAAGTTAAACAACAACCCTTACAAAAAAAAAAAAAAAAAAAAAAAGATAACTAAAGCAAATTCACTAAGAGGCACTGAAGGACTGAAACCCAAATACAATTACAAAAGGGATCATTTATAAGACAAGGATCTAGAAAATGTAAAGCAGCATGCACATCAAGTGTCATTCACCATACCAAAAGTGAATAGTTATAAACGAACTACGTATGATAGCATATGAGGGCTTCTCTGTCCCTCACAAATAAAAATACTACATGACAACTGAAACCTGAAAGTTTTCATATATCAAGCAACCTTGATCAGAAGTTAACAACACCCTTACAATGGAAAATTTTCACGAAACATAGCAAACAGAGAATTAGTAGGTACAGACCCTCAGTTTCTAGATCAGGATACAAGATCAACCTTCCTCACACATTTTGTTCTGTTCTTTCTCAGAAGTGGGATTAGGGTGGTTGAAAGAGGCTAGAGAGACACCTCCATTTTATAGACATGAATTTTAAAAAAAAAAAAAAGAAAAAAACTCCTAACCCCTACGTGCAACACGCATACACCTTGAAGAGCACCATTCTACATCTCTGGCACTCAAAGGCGAAGCATCAAGACCATAGAAGAGGAGTATCAGTTGATGCCTTTTATAGTATTCAGTTTCTTTGGACCTCAATATGTGCTTAAATGCAAGGGTACATGCGTTGTAGAAGCTAACTTACCTATTTTCTGGTGTGAGTCAACCAAATGAAAAGGCTAGACAAGTAGGCAACAAAGACATCATATATGACAGCTTGGTGGTGACTGATACTAATTAACTTGCATCAATAAGTTCAGCTTCATATTGGTATTAGTTTGTCAGTCTGCTAAAAATGTCTTTTTTCAATTCTGTAACACCTTCAGACGTAACAATGGATGAAGAGAGAAGCATTCTGAGAATGAGAATATAATACGAACCTCAAGTGCCTTGCAAACAGTTTCAAGCTCAGGACGATACTTGATCTTTTGTGCGGTAGTTACCACCTCAATAACGCCCAAGCAAGTCCTGGTACCTTGTTCAAAAACAGGAAGAGCAAGAGTTCCACATACATCATATAGTTGGGCATGACCTACACGTGGGTATTCATCGCTTCTGAAGAATCGAACATCTGGAGTCCACTCAGGAACCTTACCCAAGAAAACCCGACCAGGTAACCCCATCATGTCCTTGGAATCTTTCTCAGTTGAAAATTGATAGTTAACAGAAATGTCCCTGTAATTTGCAAGCCTCTGACAGTTTGGAACAAGTGCAAAATGTTGGTCTTGAGTTGTTAGAACACGTCTACCTCCTTCATTTACAGGGACCCATATCTGTATAAGCACATCTTTATCCTTTGAGAAATCATTAATATATCCAAGTGCTCTAATTAATCTATCCCTCACAGGAGTTTTTGCTTTTGGTCCAATCCACCACCTTCTACTTACTTCAGAACCTTCATCTGCATCATTTCCCCATCTGGCCACGCTACTCATGTCCTGGCCAATAGTCTGAGTAATGACCGGACTGCTGCTTTGGGATTCATTCAAGGGAGAATTCCTGGGCAGCATTGACATTCGTTCATCCTGTTGATTGCTTTTCTGAGATGGCCTAGAGACCAAATCACCATCATTGTTCTCTGAAGTTGGCCACAGAAATGAAGAATCAATCAAGGGAGCACAATTGTGGGGGCTAGGATTAAAGAACTCGGATCCGTCTATTGTTTCCAACCAGCATCCGTCTAACAACAATTCATCCATGTCGTCAAAATCCATTGCAGAATCAGCATGAGCAGCCAACATAGTACCCGGTGATAAAATACTGTCTTCCATGAAAACCTATCCTAAAAATCCCACTTACAAAAAATCTATTCTGCTCTATGGTAATAAGCTCAATTATCATTCCACCTTAAGTTTCAAAACAATTAACAAAAACCTCTAGAAAGAATTCAGATCTTCAGTCTTTAAATCTGATCTGTCCAAATCATAGAAACATCCTTAATACAATCCACAAGAACATCAAAATAAGATTAAACAATAAATTCCACAAAGAATTGCAAGTAGGGCAAGAAAATAAAAAGACTAATGAGTGAAGATTAATGAAGATTATATTTCTCTTTTCCTTTTTGCAAATCCCGAAGTAGACAAGTTAACAAAATTCAACAAAGATCTCCAGCAATAACTGAAGTAAATCAAAGAATAAAAACCCAATTTGAAAACCAGCATATCCATTAAAGTAGCATATTATTCATTGTAAGACTGGAGAAAGTGAACAAAAGCAGAGTAGACTAAAAAAACCACTTTCCACATATTCTTTCAAGGCGGAAAGATGAAACTTTTTCCCACTTTTGATTCTAAGATTCCAATTTTACCCAAAAAAAAAAAAAAAAAATCCTCTAATCCCATTTTCACTAACACATAATATTTTCATTGAGGCAATGAATAGTGATTCATATTCTCAAACTAATCCCATTCGGAACCCAGGATAACCAAAAAAAAAAAAAAGTTAAGAGCAGAAATAACGGAATGAGTATAACTTACTGTTGAAAGATTCTTGAAGATACCCTCTCCGTTATCATCTTATTTTTTCGGTTAAGCAAAACAACAAACCCAAAACCACAGCCTGGTTGTCCGTAGAGAAGGAATATGAAAAATGAACAAAATAGCAATCACATAAAATAAAAGGCAGGCCTTTTAAAAAACTGCCTCGAGACGAGAGATCAACTCCACAAGAAGAAAGAAAAAAATTTCTCTCCCACCATAGTAATTATCTGACCCTCTCGTTTTAGAGTTTTGACTGTATATGATTCCAAATCATTTTGTGCAAGGGAAGATTCTGCTTCCAAGCTAATTGACCCCACAAAACCAGCTCACCTATCTTTTTTGTGGGTCTTGAAATTCTCGCCGTTCAAGTCAACTTGCCAAGCCCAACTCACGCAATAACCTGATACAGAGAGAACCAATAACTGGTCCAATTGCTGATGCCATTTGTGATCTTGAAGCTTTTACTTGGTACCAAATGGAGAATATAAAAATATAAAAAAAATACAAGTGGAATCTGATTTCTTTTTCGTAGTGGGTTAAAAATGGTGGTGGTCGCGTGTGTGCCTGCCGCTTTTGCTTCTTTTCTTGCAACTTAACAAGCTCAAGGTCCTTCTCCTCGTCTTCACTTCCAAGCATTTTCCAATAAAGTATACTAAAATATATCTGATCGTTAAAAAACAAACAGAAAATCTCCTTAGTAATGGCGGTAATATCCATTTCTCCCATAAATTGGGGTTTATCCGAAAGTAAAATTTTATTTTGTTCCATTAATTTAAATGAGAAAAAGTAAAAATTTATAAAAACAAAAATAAAATTATGATTTTTTTAAATTTTGTGATGTTTGATTCTTTCTCCTGTCCTTATCTCATTTATTCGTTCTTATTAACTATTATACAAAATGCAGTTCAAAAAAAAAAAATCTTATACATAGTTTTTTCATTTCATAATTTAAAATAATATTATTCAAAAAAAAAAAATACTAACTTTCTAAATTATTTTTGTTTTGGTATTTGAACAGAAAAAAAACATTATAATTGTTTATAGTTAACTCTAAATTAAATTACTGAATAAAACAAATTACTATATTAAATTACAACCTAAGCATTAGTTTGAAAATCGTATTAGCATAATTAATTGTCAAAAAATGGATATATATGAGTGTGGGTGAATAAAAAATATAGAGGTTATTCGATTTTTCCAAGGAGCACAGGCTCCGAAGCTAACATTTTAATGTGCCTAACCTAATTTGATTAATTAATTAATATTAAGTGCTAGCATTATGGCCAGCTTTTAAAAGCCAAACAAATGGGATTCACATCGAGATTCTATAATGATTCCAAGTATGCAGTAGCCCTAATTATTTATTTCCCATTTTTTAAATCTTAAATCATAGTGGTAATCAACTTCGTCTACCATAAATAATACAAGCATCTCCATGTCTAATTGATTCCGTACCATTTAATTCAAAATAAAATAATATTTCATAGTAGTTGATTTTGCTTACCAACTAAATTATCGATTCCATCTAATGTCAATTATTATATAGTATTCCTTTTATCCTAAAGAAGACTTACATTTTGAAATAAAATAATCACCTTAAAACGACTTATATTCTACGCCAGTGTGTGTATACACTAACGCTATGTTCAGCAACGACTTTTTAAGTGATAGTCAAAATGCTAAACGCTACTTCAAAAATTATTCAGTAACATAGCATTTAAACCAGCTATTTGACCACATAACCCTCTCGTGATTAACCAAACAATACAAATACAAGTTAAATCTAATTTTATAACTGAATCCAACATAACATCTTAAAGACACAATATTAAGTCTAAATGGACAACATACAACTCGCATTTTATTGGATGAGAACATGTTATCAAAAGATAAAACATATTGATTAGCTTAGTATCCCAACAAAGCAACAGCATTTGGAAGATTAGCATTGATTTGGTGCTTCTGAACCAGCATGCTCTCTTTTGCGACTTGATTTGTATTTTCAAATGCTTGGCTTCACGTTCAGACGAGACGCTAGCTTCTGACCCAGAGATCTGTCGCACTGCATCAATGCAAATCCAATTATAACGCATTAGAATGACGCTGCTTTTCTTTATTCAATATGATAACACCATCGCGTAGTTTGAAAATGCATTGAATTGGAAAGGAAGTTAACCTGAGTAAAGTAGTTGATCCAAATACTACAAATCTCATGTGTGACACGAGGATCAGATAAGCAACCAACAATCCGATTGAGGAATCGCTCTTGCCTGAAGGAGCACAAAGGAGATCAGCATTATAATTTATACACTAATCTTTCTTTTCAACACAAAAGCAGAAGCCTGGGTGTACCTGTCAGGAGCCCAGGATCGATATCTCTCTCCAGGTTGCTTGAAATTGTTCTCCTTTGGTATCACACACTGCATTGATGAGAAAAGAAAACAACTATCATATGCTTGTGGATACTTGCATTTTACGGGACAACGGCCCAAAACTTTTGAATTCTATTAGCTATTTTTTTTTTTTTAATTCTCAATAATGGGAAAAAAAGTGGGAATTGCAAAAGGGGAAAAAGAAAGATAAGGAAAAGGGGAAAGGAAAAAAGAGGGGAGGGGGTGGGGAGCGTCACAACTCTTGGCTGCTCAATATACACCAAAAGGTGCCATCTGATACTTCCTATATCAAGCTTCAGTTTTAAAACAAGACCCAAGGAGGAATCTAACCTTCTCACGCTTTCCACTGCATATAGTGGCCGGAAAGGGGAACGCCTCAGAATGGCGAACCGGATCGTATCTGGACGGGAAGTAATTGACCTGAGAAAAAAAGTACCATAGCACCAGATCAGAACTAGATAAATTGCAAAAGCAGAAAATATAGATGCCAAGGCAAGTCAACAAGCTTAAGACACATCACAAGCCTAAGTTGGTTGAAAAATCATTAGAGATTTTTCTATGAGGTTGGAAGGCATATTTTAAGAGTAAGCATGATGGCATTATATGATTTTACAGGAAATATTTGCAGACACAAAACAACAAAAGTTATATACCTCCTCATCCCTATGCATGAAATTCATGAAACCTTCATGGTGATTGTTATGATGAGCACACTTGGGAGCATTAACAGGGAGCTGTAGATAGTTAGGTCCAAGACGGTGCCTCTGAGTATCAGAGTAGGAAAAGATCCTAGTCTGGAGTAACTTATCCTCTGAATATGAAACACCAGGAACAACAATACCAGGGCAGAATGCAAGCATCTCATTCTCAGCAAAGAAATTATCTATGTTCTTATTCAAGACCAAGCGACCAACTGGATGCAGGGGCAGGATATCCTCAGGCCAGGTCTTGGTCACATCAAGTGGATCAAAGTCAAATCTGTCTTCATGATCTGGATCCATGGTCTGGATATAAAGCTTCCACTCTGGATAATTTCCAGCTGCAATTGAATCATATAGATCCTGGGTTGCGTGGCTATGATTGGTTCCTCCAACCTTGATTGCCTCTTCATCCAACAGACACTTCACACCACAAGTCGGTTTCCAGTGAAACTTCACATAGTGTACCTTTCCGGCCTTGTTTATTAGAGTATAGGTGTTAACACCTGAGCCTTCCATGTGCCTGTAATCTTGTGGAATACCCAAATCATCAAAGAGGAAGGTAAGCATGTGCAAGCTCTCAGGGACATGGGATAAGAAGTCAAAGATCCTCCAGCTCTCTTGGATGTGAGATTTAGGGTTGGGCTTAAAAGCATGTACCAAATCTGGGAATTTCATTCCATCACGGATGAAAAATACAGGGAAATTATTTCCCACGAGATCAAAGTTGCCCTGAGTTAACAAGAAAGAAACGACAATAAGAACATAAAAGAACACTGAAATTTAAGCCAGTAAGCTTCATACAACCAATGAACTCATGTCTTTGTAAGTGTATATTGCACCTATATAAGCCATCAAAATTCAAGCTTAAATTATTATAGGGGTAAATAAATGCAAAAGGAAAACAAAATATTTTCTTTCTAATAAAGTTATTACCAATATTCGTTAAAGCTAGGAGATAAGTTTACAGATGGTAGTTCCTGGAAGCTTTGTAAAATTTATGATGGCCAAACATTACTGGTGAATGGACATCCAAGCACAAAAAGAGCTTCTTTGCCATCTGCTATCCTCTAGTATTGCTATATCAAAGCGTCCAAGTCATATAAACCCTCACCTCTCTGGTGTAAAACTTCACTGCAAAACCTCGAGGATCCCTCAGGGTTTCTGGACTGCCACGCTCATGAATAACAGTGGAGAAACGGACAATGACAGGCGTCTGAACTCCAGGAGCTCGAAGGAAATCAGCACATGTTAGGTTAGAGATATCATGGGTCACCTCAAAGAAACCCTTTGCACTTGCTCCCCTAGCATGGACAACACGCTCTGGAATACGCTCCCTATCAAAGTTGGCAAGTTTCTCTATCAAATGATAGTCCTCAAGAAGGATTGGACCTGTTCAAAGGAGGACAAAAGGCATAGTTCAAATCTCTGGATGCTGTTTTCCAAGTCTATAGTAAAACAAAATACATTGCCAAAGAACTCAAATGAGTCCCTAAATCATATATCATATACTTAATAAATGAACGCGACATTTGACCAGAAGAAGTGCGAAAAAACAAAACACAACAAATTTGGACATTAAAAGCTAAGATGATTATGATGCTAACATAATTCTCCATTAGATAATCATATCAATAGTGCATCTATATTCAGCCAAGTTGTTTTATGTTGGCATGAAGGTGTGTGAAGAATCAAGAATCAACCTACTTTGTATGAATAATCCCACGTTCCCAACCTAAAAGGCTCAGAATCTGACTATCCAAATATGAAGAAAACAAAGATCAAAACATACAAGAATTTTGCAAATGGAGCAATTTTCTGCTGCCTCGCAGAAAATAATGGCTCAGCAATATCTAACACTTCCTTTTATAAAAAGCTGTGCAAGATATGAAATTACCAGAAGAAATTACAAACAATATTCACATTTGACATGCCAACAAACGAAGGTGAAGAACTCGGCATCCAAGGAAGTTCTTAATTGATTATTATAATTTATGGTTCTACAATTGACCCTCTCAAGCTAATACATCCCATTCGTGCGCTATTATCATACACACATCCAATCCACTCACAACATCCAGACTACGACTTGGTAATAATTAACTGAAATTTATAGTTGGTATAAAACAGCAAATAGTAATTAGGATTATAAAGTTCTTACAAATTAAAACACTTATCACTTGTTCAAAACAGATAAAGCAATATCAATTGAATCAGTACCTCTTTGTCCAACAGTCATGGAAGAGTTATTGTTCCATATTGGAGCACCGGAATTCGTGGTCCAAAAGGGCGTATCAAAAGCGCTTGAAGGACGGTTCTGTATGATCAGCATCAAAAGGAGAAGGAGCGTATAATCAGCTTATAAAACAATATTAATCAGTTCAATATCTGCTAGGTCAACAATTACACAAGTACACGATCACCAAACCCACGAAGAAGATAAAAAAACAGAGTTGCAGTCAATTTATTGGATAATAGAACCATAGTTAGTTCGATTCAACAAAGATCAAATCAAAAACCCAATAAAAAGATATGATCCTAGGCACAAAAAGAATACATTGAATCATTCAAATGAAAATTATTTGACGTGAGAAGAGAATGTATAAGTACCTTGTAGGGATCCATAGCGTAACTGAGATTTCTGATCTTTTTGATTTTTTTTGATTGAAGGGGTATAACCCAAAACAACTGATAAATGTGAAAATGGCAATCTAATCGAAGCTGCTGCAAATTGGATACTTATAAATGCTCGCTCGTGGCTTGCACATCCATTTTCTTGCGCTGCTTATCGTTATCCGCGAAAAAATAACAAAGACGGTAAATTTTTGGCAAACGAAAGAGATAATTTTAGAAATGTTGCCCTCAGGTAATTTCCCATCCCGACTTCGCGGCTTTCGCTGTCTCCCGTGATATCATGATATGCCCACCAAAGCTCAAAACTCCAAAGCCTGAGTTCTCTTAAAATCCTAATAAACACGTATATTAGATTTTAAACGCTATCTGATAAATTTGATGGAAAATTTTGTAAAACAATATTTAAAAATTTTATTTTTTAAAATTTAATTTCTCTCGATTTTATTTTCAATATGTTAACTAATATTTTATACAACGAACATAAAATCAAAAAATTATAAAAATATATTCTAAATAGGTGATTTTTGTTGCTATTTTTAAATATATTCAGATGATTGAGTAGCGATTTTTTTTTTTTTGATATTTTTTACATGTCATGCAAATAACATTTATATTCTTTATAAAAAATAAACATATTTTATTAGAAATTAATGAAAAAAAAAGGATTAAGTCACGTAAAAAATAAAATCAAAAAGTATGTCACATATGTTTTAATTAGTCTTTTTACATATTGCGAAAGATAGAAGATGGAAGACTCCGAGTTCGATTGCTCTTGACCACAAAAATTATAATAAATTTGATTAATATTATTTAAAAGAAATAATTTTCCCTTTGTAATCTCATAATATTATTTTGATTTATTGAATCTACTATAAATGAAAAATAGGTAAGTAATGATATTAAATAATAATATCATTAAGTAAAAATTTTGATTAATACATTTAATTATGATTAAAGGATTAGATATTAATTCACTTTTTTTTTTTTTTTTTTTAAATATTATTTCAAAGAATAATTTTTCCCTTGGTAAATCTCAATAAATAATTATTTTGATTTATTTGAATCTACTATAAATTGAAATGGTAAGTAATGATATTAAATAATAATATCATTAAGTAAAAATTTTGATTAATACATTTAATTATGAAATTAAAGGCTTAAGATATTTAATTCAACTTTTTTTTTTTTTTTTTGTGAAGAAAGTCACTAATAAATTTTATTGTTAAGCTAAAGGATTACATATACGTCCGCGATAATTGAAATCCGGCGATAATTTTTAAAATTATTTTATTTTATGGATTTTTTTTTTTTTTTTTGTGAAGAAAGTCACTAAATAATTTTATTTAGCAAAGGATTACATATACGTCCGCGATAAATTGGAAATCCGGCGATATTTTTAATTTTTTATTTTATGGACGATGCCGCGATGGTAATAAAAGGATAATAGGGACCCACTTCATGTCATAATTTCGTTTAAGGTGAGAAGATCAAGGTTGGAGTCATAAAATAATGGATCAGGACGTCATCCATTTATGGTTCCTTATCCAAGTTTTGGAGTTTTTGCTATAACCGACTCACAGCCGCTTATGCAAGGTCACACAGACCACTGCTATTTTGACACGTCCGCATTAGAAGCCTTAAATCGTGTGCTCTAACTGATCAAGATATTTTCTTTATTTTTTATTTATTTATTTATTTTTTTTTTTTTTGAGAAAAAGGCAGAAGATAGCAGAGATAGATGTTGAAGAGAGCAGTTTTGGAATTTCACGGAGTAGAGTGTCAAAGCTGCAAATCTATGATATTGATGGAAATGATTAGAATGGGCTTCGGCCTGTGAGATGAGGTAAGCCTCAGCCCGAAATACTGAATCTCTGGGCCCATTATAAATACTGAATCTCTGTGTAATTAATAAATTTTTTTTAATTGAATAAGGTAAGAATGATGAAGGAATTCATATATGGATAAACACGAATTTTGTAGAACAAAATAATTTTTTTTTTCCATTAAACGTAGTTTCTTTTTTTGATTCAATCTTTTGCTAGTTAAGATAAGATTGTTCTACTACTATATTTGTATGGTGGAAACTTATAGTAATTTAATTACATGGATTTGATGTTCATCCTAAATTTGCTTTTTGTGGCATTTTTTAATTACACAATTAATAATAATATTCCACATTATTTAATAAAAATAATATGAAATGAAATTGAGGGATTGATGAGATTTTTTTTTCCCTAAAATTATTTTATTGGGCCCTGGCAGGCCTATAGTTCTGGGCTCACCCCTTTCTGTTTTTAGAAATTGGGCTGAAGCTTTGATTTTGTTGGTTAGATTGGTTGAATTTGAAATAATCGGTTAGGTCCAATTGATTTAAATTGTTAATTTATTTTTAACATTTTATTTTTCAAATCAATACCATATATTCTAATATTTTTTTAAAATACCATTATAAGGAATTAAAGAACGTGGTGCTATAACAGTCAGATCAGAGAAGTAAAACTCACAGGCTTGCTTGCTGCTCATGATCCAGCAGAGATGCATGAAAACTGTGGATTTGAAATAATTCAGGAACACAAACCCAGCCTCTAGCAATAATCAACAACATTGAGCTTAATCAGTGGCCAAACTCATGAAAAATGACAATGTCAACATATTTAATTTGAATTAGATACCTGATTCGATTCATCTGGTCCTGATAAGAACATCAGAATTTAGTCTGGACATCAACTGCTGAATCTAAATGTAGTAATATAATGTCAGGTTTAATAACTAGAATAACTGTAATTTCTTGAAGAACTATATCAGTCACATTTTCTTTTCTTTTTGTATGGGATGGAGAGACAAGAAGAGAAAGCGTACCTGTCGCAAATTGGTTGGAAATTGGATTGCAAATTTTTGTATGATTAGATCTTTAGCACTTGCAGCCTGAAAGTTGCAGTAGAGGTTGAGTGTTGTTGGCGCTGGATATGTAGACTATATAAATTTACCAATTTTTATTAATATTTTCTTTAAATAATTAAATTATTAATTAGCAAAGAGTATTCCTGTCAACTCACAGAAATAACACAACAAGAAAAGAAAGAACACAAAAGAGGACATTATATTATAGAGTACAGCAGCTTGGAATGCAGTAATTTTATATGAACAGGACAGCATATAAACTCTCAAGCTCTCTCATTTTATTACATATGACATAACAAAGGGGAGAAGTCTTCAATATCTAGTAGGATTATTACATCTGTCTGCAACTCAAAGGATCATCATCTCCTTTCACACTTCAAATGTTTGGCCTTACATTGAGACGGGAAGCAAGTTTTTGACCCAGAGATTGGTCGCACTGCATAAAACATTCATTTATTAATTAGCATTTGTTCATTCAAGTTATAATTTGAAAATTGAGTAAATGGAAATGGAGCTTAATTAACCTGAGACCAGTAGGAGACCCAGATTCCGCGAATCTCATGGGTGATTCGCGGGTCCGATAAGGCATTCACCAGTCGGCAGAGGAATCTTTCTTGCCTGAATTTAGATTTACAAGTTAATAAAGACAAGTTAAAATAAATTCATCTTGGATCTTGATCAATTAAGCACATATTTACCTGTCAGGTGTCCAGGATCTGTATCTTTCTCCAGGTTGCTTGAAATTGTTCTCCTTCGGTATCACACACTGCATTATTATTAAACCAAAATTATATATCTGATGATTTTAACAATTTTCATAAATTATCTAAAAAATGAGAAAAAATGAACCTTTTCGCGACGTCCGCTAATAATAGCATTAGGAATAGGATATCTCTCTGCATGGCGAACTGGATCATATCTGGATTGGAAGTAATCAATCTGACAAACACCATAGAAGCACCTAATGAGTACATAATTTATTTAAGGCTGACAATAAAATATATGTTGTGACCATATTATATATATACCTCCTCATCTCTGTGCATGAAATTCATGAATCCATCATAATGATTGTTGTGATGAGGACACTTAGGAGCATTAACAGGGAGCTGCATATAATTGGGTCCAAGACGGTGTCTTTGAGTATCACTATAAGCGAAGGTCCTAAGCTGGAATAACTTATCATTAGAATAGTGAATGCCAGGAACCACATGAGCTGGGTTAAATGCAAGCATCTCATTCTCAGCAAACCAGTTATCAATATTCCTGTTCAACACCAACCGTCCAATTGGCTGTAGAGGGAAAATGTCTTCTGGCCAGATCTTAGTCATATCAAGTGGATCGAAGTCGAATCTGTCCTCATCAGCAGGATCCATTGTCTGAATATGAAGTATCCATTCAGGATAGTTACCAGCAGCAATTGAATCGTATAAATCTTGTGTAGCGTGACTGTGGTTAGCTCCTCCAATTTTCATTGCTTCATCATCCGTCAAACACTTGACGCCGCAAGTGGGTTTCCAGTGAAATTTGACATAGGTCACTTTGCCCGCTTTGTTCAAGAAACAGAAAGTGTGAACTCCAAAGCCTTCCATGTGTCTGTAATCTTGTGGAATGCCAACATCGTCAAAGAACCAAGCGAACGTGCTCAAACTTTCAGGGTGGTGTGATAAGAAATCGAAGATCCTCCAGTACTCCTGGATATGAGACTTTGGGTTTGGCTTGAATGCATGGATCACATCAGGAAATTTTATTCCATCCCGGATGAAGAAAACAGGGAAATTGTTTCCCACAATATCGAAGTTACCCTGAGTTGAGTCAAAAAATACAAAAAAGAGCACAATTAGAAAAAGATTAACAAGTATATATCTGCTCCTATAGTGCAATAGGTCAGGAGTTTAAAGATCCGTGCAAATTAGTTGTAGAGAGACGAAACGCTAAACTGCTCATCAGGATATAAGATAAAAAGTGAAGCTCTCACCTCCCTAGTATAAAACTTGGTAGCGAAACCTCGAGGGTCTCGGAGAGTTTCAGGGCTGCCACGCTCATGGATGACAGTGGAGAAACGGACAATCACCGGAGTTTGAACTCCGGGGGCTCGAAGGAAATCGGCGCAGGTAAGATTACTGATTTCATGAGTGACTTCAAAGAAACCCTTTGCGCTCATTCCTCTAGCATGGACAACCCGCTCTGGAATTCGCTCTCTGTCAAAGTTGGCGAGTTTCTCTAACATGTGATAGTCTTCAAGGAGGATCGGACCTCTTTGTCCGACGGTCATGGAGGAGTTGTTGTTCCATACCGGAGCACCAGCGTTGGTAGTCCAGAATGGTGTATTGTGAGCGCTCGATGGACAGTGCTGTATGACCAGACATTTGTCATTTTATGTGAAAAAGGAAAACATAGGTAATAGTAAGTAATACACGTGAAATCTTAATTAAGAACTTTGTCCTAAAGATCTGAATTATATTTCACTTTATTAATTTTAACAAAGTCAAAATTTCTTATGATCATACTAAAAAATTAAGAATCAGCCCTGCTGGGTTAAATTATTATGCGATCCATTAAGCAAAATATATTATACTATATTATTGTCCGATCCAAGGTAAAATTGATGAATCAGGTGAATACAAGAACCATGAATCATTAAAAACGAGGCCGTTTTTGGTAATTTTTTCAGATCTTAAGATTTTCCAAATAAGAAAAACATTCCAGTTGATCCCCTGACTCAAAAATTGTCCATGAATTCCTCGTACGGTTCAGATAAAAAATGGTGCAAGAACATAAAAATACACAAAGACGCACTAAACAGAAACAAAAACCAGATTAATAATGTACGACGCATGGTGGATATATAAACAACATAAAGAAAATTAAAGAACAGAAATGGTACGTGAAGGGATACCTTGTAAGGATCCATAATATTGAAGAGTAGTAAAGAAAGTTTTTTTAGAGTTCTTGTTTTTCTGGGGATCAGAGTTTGAAAGAAATGGAGAACCCAAACCTCCAAATTTGAGTGAAATGGAAGTGAAGCTGCGGAAGCAGATTTATACAGGCTCGTGGCCTGCCACGGTCGCACTAGACGCCATTTTCTTGCAATGCCTGTGCTTATCACAAGCACTGTTATAATTTGTATATATTTTAAAGAACTTCACTCACTGACTCTGTAATTTTCATATATCGCCGCCATGGGTTTTCGCGAGTTTACTTTCCTTGCCGCGATATTATAATCCTATGTATAGATAATTAGATTAGGTTCGAAATAAAGCCTTTTTTCAAATTTTTAAATAACTAATTGTTTATTTTTTTTTTTTTTACATTTAATATTGATCATTTATTATTAAGATAAAAAACGAGCAATATAAGTGGGAACAATATCCCAAGTTCGAAAATAAGCCCCATGAGGAACTGATTTAGCTAATACATGAGGTATATCATTTGCTTGTCTTCTTATTCAAGCCAAGGTGACATTTGGCAATTAGACTAAAAGAAGCTTACATTCAGAAATAACTACTCCAAACTCAGACCAATCTTGGACAGAATTTCTCATAGCACAGTAAACCTGCAGACAATCTGTCTCAATTTGAATCTTCAGGCTGGAGTAGTCAAAAGAAGCTTATCTAAGAACTAACTACTCCACTCAGACCAATCGTTGACAGAAATTTCTCATAGCACAGCTAAACCTGCAGACAATCTGTTCACTTTGGAATCTTTCGTTGGGAGATTAAGGCCTCGATATGGACAGAATTTCTCATAGCACAGTAAACCTGCAGACAATCTGTCTCAATTTGAATCTTCAGGCTGGAGTAGCTCGATATCAACCAAGACAACACCATTCTTAGCGCCTGAGCTTCTGCTACTGCTGGAGAAAAACAACCTTGCAATGAAGACGTTGCTGCTGATACAAACCCGCTGTTGCAATTTGAAATATCAACCAATAACTAATTGTTTATTGTTTGTTTTGGGAATATAATTTGCATCAAAGAATATCTAATTACACTAATTTTTCACAAGACACCAGATGAAAAATATATGAAAATTAGATGTAATGTAATATAATAGAATTAAAATATAAAGAGAAATTAATTTATTTTAAAAAATATAAAAACAGACTAATTATATTTTTCAAATCATAAAAGCCGTAAGTATAAATGAAAGCTCAAGATTATTTAGATATGAGTTTCTGATAAAGGAAGAATTTGCTTTCAATATAACTGCAGATGAAACGACAACATTTTACCTCTTCCAGTAAAATTTTTACCTCTTCAGTAAAATTTTAAGTTACGTAACTTAATTATGCTTTTTTGTTATCTGTCTTGTTCGAGAGAGACCGCATGAGTAGTGACAACGAAATGATTGAAATTATCTTACCAAACGATGCAACGCGTAAAAAACGGAAAACCAACTTTTTTTTAACTTTTTTAATATTTTATTATACGAATAAATTATTATGAATATTTATTCATAAATTTAATTAAATGCTTATGAACTTTTTTTTTTCAGTTGAGAACAGATTTAAATTTGATTTTTTTTTATTTTCAGACAAAATTGTGGTTTCTTTTTTCAATTAAATTATATTTTTAAATAATATGTAACTTTTATTTTATTTTTCTGTTTTTATAATTTTGAATAATTTTTTTAATAATAAATTACAAAAATTATCATTTTCAATATGAAATTCATTATTAATAATTTCATACCGGTTCGTATTTATGAGTATATTAATAAGAATGATACATCTACATAAAAATGCATTTAGTAATTCTCCTCATGATTCGGGAGAAATTGAAAATGCCGTGGTCATTTTTATTTTCTTATTTTGTGGATGATGCTAAAAACTCTAGGGACCTACGACTTATACATATAGTAATAATTTAATGAATAAATAACTATTTAATCCCTCAAATTTGATTATAATTATAAATTAATCCCTCTTATTTAGTAAGTGTATTTATTAATTTTTAAAGTTTAATGTCATTAAACTAAAGGGACTAAACAGAAATTCAATAGTAAATATGAAGGAACCAAATAATTAAATACAAATTGTATTTAATACCTTAAAATGACATATTTTCGATGAAAGGACTGAATTAATGTGTATTTATCAAATATAAGAGGTGAATTGTATTTATAACTAAATTTAAGGGACTAAATAATTATTTCTCCATATATAATTGAAGTTGAGAAAGACAACCCTATAGTGGGGAAGGGCAAAAACGAAACGTAGTGCAAATAATTCAAAGTGATCTGTCCTTATCAAAGCTATCGTTTGGTTAAAATTACCTAATAGCATGAACATGAAATATCTATGATTGTGGTTATTATAATTTTGGCAATAATTATTTTCATATTTTTAACTATTAAATATGTGTTTAATTGAAGAAATTTTATAAGCTTGTTCTATAATTTTTTTTTTTTATATAAATTGAAATATTTTATGAATGAAAGTGTTGAAAATATTAAAATAAAATTAAAAATATGAAAAAATACGGGATACATTTATGCAATTAGCAAAAGAGTGTGGCAAATGAAAGTCACAAGTCAGAACCACTTGAGAATGCAAAGTTACATCTTCCATGGAGAGATATTCAAACACGTGCGTTGCAGGCAGGAAAAATGGCAGTGGGTTATTATCACAACAAGATAGTAGATAAGATCTTGTAGTGTCATCCATCCCTAATAAAATTCAAAGGAGAAATGTTATTTAATTATTTTTTATGACAAAATTATTGGTATTGTTATTATGATAATATTATAAATTCGAGAATCATTCAAAGTTGAATTATTGAACAAGGGAAGAAAAAGGAAAGGAATTTTGGAATCATACGAGAGAAAAAGAGAGAGAAAGCAGCAAGTGCAAGTTGCTTTGATGATAACCATTAAAATGGGGATCAATAGCGACAAAAAGGAGACATCTCTCTCTGTCTTTCTCTCTTCACATGGCCATGGTCCATCCTTGTGTGTAAATGGGGCTTTTTTTTTTTTTGGGAGATAGTGTAAATTGAGCTTTAGTTTTATGCTTTCGTTAGGAAGTTGAAATTGTAAGGTGCAGTGTCGAATCAAAGTAAACATGTTCGCGAGCCGCGGAATCAACCGCTAAAGATAATTATTTCATTACTGATTATTTGCCTAGGGTTCTTTCTTTCTTTTTGTTCTTTCCCTACGTAAAAATAAATTGAAGTTTTTATGTTAATTGATTACTGGTTGACAGCTTTTATGTTAATTGAAGTTTTTGGCAGTTGCATAGCATACGGACACGAGAGTTATTTGCAAATTCATGGAAGCAGCGGGCAGTATGAAGAGAGTTGGGAGTTGGTACTTATTCATGGGCATGGATGAAAATATTTATATTTTTGTATTCAATAATTTAATAAGTAGAATATAGCGGTGCAAATATTAAAATTGGAACTTATCCCTCTAATTTTTTAAATTTTTTTTCCAACATATCAAATAGCATATGGAAAGGATACAGCTCTCTTAATCAAAATATTGAGTGTTAAATTTTCGTGAATATAGAAAAATCCGTTGAAATAATTTCCCTTATTGATTTGCCGACGTAAATAAAATTAGGCTAATCCTATATACTAGAGATAGCTGTGATGTAAAAGAAAAATAGCATATACTTTAGTTTTAGATAAAATTCAAAAAATTACAGAAAGGAAGAATAGCTAGGAATCAATAATATAAAAAGGAATATTCTTTATATTGAAGAATTTTCAAACTTACTAGTAAGACTTATGAGATTATAAAATATTTAAGGCAAAAAATACCGTGTTCACTAATAGCTCAATCACGTGGCAATTTGATAAATATAAGACATCATTTCTAATGCTTCGGTCATTTCTCATTCAATTCAAGCATATCAAATGTCTCTATCTCAATCTTTGAAACGACACAAACCAACAATCGACTGGCTCGTTAGCGTAATAAACGGGTTGCTGCCTTGATTTTTAACTTTGGTCGTGTGGTAGAACTAGGGCTAGGATTAGGATCGTGATTGATCGGTAATTTGAGCTAATGCGCATTTATTTGTCAAACTTTATCGTATTTAACAAGTCGCACAGTTGATTATTACTTGCGAGATTTAAGAAGAAACGTGGCATGTGATAGTGATCTGCCTTTTTTGTTTAGGTTTCGTATTGGTTGGTTGGTTGGTCCCATTATGAACTCTCCGGTCCAATCCACAAAGAGTTGATCCTTCAATTATTTTGGTCCCATCTAATAATTCCAACTGCTCATAGTGGAGAGCAAGTCTCTCGGACCCAGATCTGCAAACATATTAACATTAATACATCCTAACTTGATTTTTGTAAAAGCAAATTAAATAAATCTCTCTTTCTGAAGAAAAATGTGGGGGAGAGAGCAAAGTAAACCAGATAATATTCTGCAAAAGTATTTCCACAGCAGCATGAATGTGTCCTGCAGTGGCTCTCAGTGCTTGAATGTTTTCCTGTGCGTTACAGACTTGCTCTCGTGGAACTACAAAAGGGACCAATTAATAGGAATTGGAAGATAATATTAGCTCCAATAAAGTGATTGTAATGGAGAATGACACAAGCAAGTGTCAAAACAAACCACTTGCGGTGTTAGAAACAGTCCGACTGACGGAACCAACTGAATTAAACAAGTCGGCCAATGAATTCACTGCTGCACTATTTGGGTTTCCTGCAGTCAAAGTTCTTCAAGACATCATCATCATGAAATGAGTGATAACATGTTCATGTTGGTAAATTTTTCTCCGGGGAGGGTAGGGCCAGTTGGCTAATCATTTCCAAATACCTGTTGCTCCAGAGGTACGACACTGTCCCCTATGGTAAACCAACGGAATAATCAAACTAAAGAATTCCTCCACATGATGTGAAAACAAATAAAAATTCTCAGGATAGTAAGAAAATCACAATTTTTACTTGTATGTATTTTACTTGCATAAAAAACAAAGGAATAAAAACATTATATCTACACATGTTTTCCACACAAGAAAAAAATACAGGAGATATGAAATGCATGGAAAGGAACTTACGGGGTTGATTGCTGCTCAGTAAGCAGAGAGAAAGAATATCGTTCAAAAGGCAGTTCTTGCTGCAAAAAGGAAGAGAATTTTATTTTTATAATATAATGCGACAGAAAGTCAGGAGGCAATAACTGTGAATCACTTGAACGTTAAGAACAAAAGCTAGGTTAGGAAGTCGATACATCACGCATAGAAAGCTGTTCAACCAATCTTCTGGCAGAAAATATGCCAAATAAAAAAACTTAAATATCCCTGCATCAATTATTTCTTAGGCAAAGAGAGATGGACCAGCAATTAAGGACTTGAACTTAATTGAGGATCATAATCAAGCAACCATCTAGCCTCTAGAAACAATCAAACAATTTGAGCTCAATGCCAAACCCTCGGGAAGGAAGTCTATAACTGGTCAGCATAAACAACGTAGTAGATAGTTAGATACCTGGTTTGTCACATCCAGATCAGAAAGGAAGCTTTGTATGGGATTACCCACGAACTGACTCAGTCGAAAAGAATCCAGCACATCATTGGTGGCAGGCCCTGTTTCAGCCCTAGTGGGATATGCTCCTATAGTTGTATTTGTCTGAATACCATCATTTGCTGGATCCAAACCTAAAATTAGGGATAACGATAAACATCCAACTCCAGCCGTACTTTATGAAGTAAACAAAGGAGAAGGAATAGCTGTTTCTTAAAATTTCAGCATGAACTGAATGTTTAACGGACTTTTCAAGGTTCTGACAATCATAACCAAATGGTAAGAGTTTCAGGAAAGAGCATGCCAAGAACAATTAAGGTAAAAGATTTCCCAAGGCAACAGCTCAGATTTTTGTCCCACCACTTCTGCTGGAAGCATTTTCCTAACCTCTCCAATCTCAGATAAGCTTCCACTGTACCAACACACAATTGAATATAATCTTAACTCCAATCCTGTGAAACACTAAGACACAATCTGACTAATAGAACATGCCCAAAATTGTGCTGCAGCCAGAAATGGACAAGAGTTTGCTGTTCTAAAAACATCACTGGAACCCAGCATTAGTAAGTGAACAAACATTTCACACTTGAAAATCACCATTAGGAAGGTGATATATGACATCATAGAAATTCAGTACTTCAGAAAATTGACAAACCACAGTCCATAGAAGAATCATACTCGGTATCTAATGTTTAACAGTCAAACATACACAAATCTTTAGTTTAAAAGAGAGAAGAGGGGGCGGGAGATTTTTTGGTCCGCACTGCACTTCTGCCTGGAAAGCATTTTGCGCGTAAACCTCTCCAATCTTCAGGATATAGCTGTCCAGCGGGCTGGCTACCAGACACAGGCACAAGTTGAAGTAGTAAGTCTAGACTGTCCGAATGCCCTGTGAAGAACACTAAGGGACACGGCAAATGCTGAGCGTAATGAGAACATGCCCAAGGAATTGTTGCTGCAGCCAGGAAGATGGACTGAGAGAGTGGTTTGCTGTTCCTTAGAAAAGCATCGACTGGGAAAGCCCAGGCGATTACGTAAGTGAACAAAAGCATTGGTCGACGACTTTGGTAAAGAGCACCGATGTAGGAAGAAGGTGATATATGACGATCATAGAGAAATTCAGTTGGACTTTCAGGGAAATTGACGAAAACCGACGAGTCCATAGGAAGAATGCCATCAGTAGCTCGGGGGGTATCTAATGTTTAACAGGCGAAACATTAACGACAAAGTCTTTTAGTTTAAAAGAGAGAAGAGGGGGCGGGAGGCGGGGGGCGGGTGGGCGGGGTGGGTTGGGAAGAGCATGCGAACGGATGTTTTGTAGATGAATATGGTTTGAAGATGATTTTGCGAAGAGATGGTGTCTTGGCGAAATGATAATGTAGTCTTGCAGAAAGCTCGTGTCAGGATGTTGTCAAAAATGAAGGAATTGGGCAGAGGTCATTACGGGTCCCAGTACCCCAGTGTTTCAGGTCGTTAAAGCATGTTGAGAGGGTTTGAAAAGCATACCTGGGTAATTGGTGTCGCATAGATTTGGGCGAGAATGGATGGACGCCCTTCGCACGGTGTTCTTGTTGAGAGAGAGGCTGCTGAAGAGTGGCGGGTTTACCGAGCTGGGAAGGTGATTTCCATTGCTCCGGCGCCTGGCAAACACGGGTGTATGCAGTGTAAAGAAGGTGGTTGGGCTCCGTTGCGACGAGGTGAGCGATTGGCGCTAAGCATGTCCAATCCGCTCCGCGTAGATCAATAGTGCTCATGAAACGGTGTCACCAGGATGGAATGAATCTCCCTTTATTTAGTTTCAGGGGTTCGCCTGGGCGGTGCATTGTGCCATTATTCGGTTGTTGGAGACCGTATTGATGTATCGATTGCAGTACGTGAGAAAAAATTTAGGGTTGGCCGAGTCCGACGAAAGTTCAGCGTGTCAGAGGATTGGCTCCATCATCATGCAGTTGAAATCACGTCATGGATCGGATTTCATTAGGCTCTCCAAAAAGCAGGTGTTGCGCTGATAAATATTGCCATCCAAGAAAAAGTTAGGATTCTTGCATGGTTCTGCGAAGCGAGTAAAGTTTCCGTATCCGCAAGAGGTCAGAGGGACTCGGCGTTGATCGGTCCATCAAAACTCAGTAACACCGAGTGATAGGGGAATTGGTGATGCTCGGCCAAATCGACCTGGAGCTGTTGGTGGGGTGGGTGGTTTCAGACCGTCCAAGACAGCGGGCTGGATGTGGCGATTGTTCCGGAATTGGACACGTAGTGGTGGGGGGTGGGGGGTGGGAAGAGCATGCAACAGTTTTGAATGAATGTTTAAATATGCAGAGATGTGTTTCTGAACATATAATTATCTTCAAAGCTCTCAAGTTCAAAAATAAGAATTTGCAGATTCATTCGTCAGTTACCCAGTGTTTCAGTCTAAAGCATGTTGAAGGGTGAAAGCATACCTGTAGATTGTGTCCATAGATTGGCAAATGGATGACCCCTTCCACGTCTTCTGAGAAGAGCTGTAAATGGGTTTACAGCTGAGTGATTTCCAGTCTCCCTGGCAACAGGTGTTGCATTAAGAATTGGCTCCTGCACATTGTGATGCATTGGCCTAAGCATGTTCAATCCCTCCGTAGATTCATAGTTGCTCATGAAACTGTCACAATGGATGATCTCCCTTATTAGTTCAGGGTTCCTGGTCATTTCCATTATTCGTTGTTGGAGACCTATATGATCATTCAGTACGTGAGAAAATTTAGGGTTCCAGTCCACGAATTCACGTGTCAGAGGATTGCTCATCATCATGCATTGAATCACGTATGGATCATTCATTAGGCTCTCAAAAGCAGGTGTTCCTGATAATATGCCATCCAAAAAGTTAGGATTCTGCATTTGCTCGAATCGAGAAAGTTCCGTATCAAAGTCAGAGGCTCCTTGTCCATCAAACTCATTAACACCGAGTATAGGGAATGGTGATGCTCCCAAATCACCTGGACTGTTGTTGTGGTTCAGACCTCCAACACCTGGATTGGCATTTCCAATGACACTAGTTGGTGAATCTGACACAAAACTGCGAATCATATGAACAGCATGCTTTTCCTGCAAACCTGTATAAATCAATATCAATGAATTATCAGTTCTTCAGAATAGATTATATACAAAATAGAAAAGTTTTTGAACTTGGACCTACTATTTTCCCACTATATCCCACTGTGTAAAGGAAGTTACTGAAACTTAGACCAACCCACACGCTTATATTTCTCAATGTCAACTTGCTATTGAAGTTCAATTCACAGGAAAATACAAAAGCTCAAATATACCATTAAATGAACAATGTGAGACAAACAGTTCAGTGCAATTTGCTAAATAGCGTGGACAAGTAGAAGTGCACAGAGGAACCCAGCCACAACGAAACAGTTCCACACATAGACGTTCCTTCAACAGACAGCTTCTTCTCAAAGTCTAAGAGACCAAATAAAAATATCCAGAACGGGTTGACAATCAGTGGCAATAGAATCCAAAATATATATTTCTTACAGTTATAACTAACATACTGTTAGGATTTACTGAAAAACGCTTCAACTTTTTTTCTTCCATTTTATCGCCTTGAACGAACACATTTGGGAGGACATCAAGAATTTCTCTCTCTTTCTAAATGAATTTCCCTGATCGACAATATATCAAAGTGCATAATTCAACTGGCTTAGTTATAATTGCTGATTTTTTCGTGTCTTCTAAATTAAGAAAAAAAACCTAAATCAATTTGTCCTCCTGCTCGTTTCACAGCGACAGAGATGCTACAGGACAGGTAATTTGTCTACGACGCCGATTTTGTAATTCTAATTTAGCCACTACAATTTCAGCAATCTGGAAAAAAAAGCACATAGGATCAAACCGGAGACACACACTTCATTCCTCTGCTCGTTAAAGGAAATAAAAGAAAGCGCGCACCGTAACTAGCTAGGTTTTGATCGTCCTTCAGGATTCGGCCATTGTAAATCAAGCGTTGCTGTTTAGCTGGCACATCGCATTTCTGAGCAATGACTACTTTGAATTCCTCAACGGTGGATTCGAATCCAGTTAGCACCGTAAACTTGGACCCGTCAGAGCATTGGATACTGATTGAGACTCTTTTTACGGATCCTGCACCAGAAACCGATGATTCGCCGTCCAAATTTCCTCCGGCTGCGCCCATACTATAACACTTCCTAAACCTCATTCTAGGTCGCGATACAGAGAGAGATTTACAAGCACTGTCTCAAATAAGAATCGAGCGGATTCTGACGAGTAAATGGGTGAGGATTTACACGGAGAAGCAAGCAATGTACTATGGCTATACATTACAAATGCGCGCGCCACTGTACTATAACTCCACGACAAAACGGGCAACTAGGAAGGCGCAATGCAAAAATTACAAAATGACCTTAGAGGATAATCGCCCCCAGCATCTTGAGAACGACATCGTTTCCGTGTCACCGTTAAATGTGTACCAAGCTTAGTGGACAGAATTCTTTTAACTCCTCACTGTTTCTTATGTTAACAAAAATGTACAAAATATTGGATAATTAGCCTGTGCTAAATCAATTTACAGTAGATAGTACCAAGCTCTTTCAGAGAAAAAAAAAAAAAAAGGAAAGGAAAACAAAAGGCACAGAATCAATGTACATAGTGTGAAAATAACAAGAATATGAAGATATGTAATCAATGGTCAAAAAGAGAGGTAGAAGATTGGATTTAATCATATCCTATCAAATTTGCTCAGTCTTGGTCATAAGTTGTAAAAGAGCATTTGCCTTTCTCTGAGCTCTATTGGTTCCACTATTTTTTAACTCTACTAAATGCTCGTATACACCAAATTGAAGTGCTGCAAGTATGAAAGATGAGTTGTTTGATCCCAACTCAAGAAGAACTGATGTTGCACATTCCTTGTTCTTGGAGGTGCCATCTTTAATAAATTCTACAAGGATTTCAATGAAAGATAATTGCCCTATCGCGCTTCGCCCTTCTGGATGTGATACTAGAAGTAAAAAAATGGAGAGGGCTTCATCAACCATACCCAAGTTTTTGTCATTCAGCAATTGGAGCAAAGGTGGAATAATGCCAGCATCTATGGCTCTCCCCTTGTTAGAATGGTTGAGAGATAAGTTAAATAATGCAGTGGCAGCATCTTTTTTACCTCTTACTGTCCCATGCTTTAACAAGAACACTAATGGTGGAATCCCATTAGATAAGCCCACAGCTATTTTGTTATCATCTAGCATTGATAAGCTGAACAAAGCTGCTGCAGAGTTCTCTCTAGCCTCAGTACTTCCATTCTGCAGAACTTCTATGATAGCTGGAATGGCTCCTTCATCAGCTATATATCTCTTGTTGGTCTCATCAATTGATAAGTTTAACAGAGCTGTTACTGCGTGCTCTTGGAGTTTAGAGTCTGGGTAGGAAAGAATCCGAACTAGTGGCCGTATACCTCCATTGGTGGCAATCAAGATTCTGTTTTCCGGATTCTCTTTTGAGAGCATGCGAATCTTTCTCACAGCCTTTCTTTGCAGTTCCAAATGATTAGAAGATAGATCATTAACCAGAGAGTATATATCCTCAGCAGGCCCAGAGTTCTCAGAAGAAGCATTGTTATTTTTGTTGGGGAGGAAAAATTTGTTCTCCTCACACCATTGCAAGATAAGGTTTTTAAGAGCGAAGTTTGGTGCAACTGATAAATGAGCCAGAGTTTGTCTTGTCTTTGGGCAGGTCCGGTGATTGGAATGAAACCATTTCTGTATGCTTTCCCGCTCATAAGTCTATGGTGGATCACAAAGAGAGAAAAAAAAATCATAAATTACTTCCTCAGTATTTAGAAAAATAAGTCAAATAGATAAATTCAAAGGAGACAATTGATCATTAAACTTTGTCTACTATATACATATATAGGTCTTAAAAGTTCTAAAGCTGATTCCAAGAACCGAAATTCTTGAGAATTTCCTTGTGGAACATGAGGAATTACCTGTCCAGAAGCAACAATAACTGGATCTGTCATTATTTCTAGTGTGATCGGGCAGAGGAATTCATGAGGAATGACTACAGATGCGCACTTCTGCAATTTAGGGATAACAGGATTATGTAGAACATCGGTTATTTCCATTCCTATAACCTGTTTGAATTTGTTCAAAAGATCAATTATTTGCTCAACGTTATCTCCATTAGGGCCTCTTTCTTTAACTAGATTTCTTATGGCTAAAGTTTCATTATTCAGGTCATCAACAGTGTGTAAATCCAGCTTTTTGGCTAGCCTTTCTAATATAGCAATGTCAGCATTCCTGTCATCCTCTTTGGATAGTACCACCATCATGTCCATGGCGAGTTCTATATCCTGAGTATCTGTTCTTCCCTTTGCTCGTCTAAGGTGCACTCGCATGAGCTCTACCTGATAAACAATGTGAATATGACTTGATGCATTTTTATGATATTAATTAATACAAAGAAAAAACTTGCAGAAATGTAAATGAAATGATGCTGCTAAAAAACTTCAGGTTAAGACTTCATTTCCCTGCAACATTCATTTTCACTCCATCCAACAACGGTTACACCTCTATAGAGGCTTATATTATTTCAGAAAAAAAAAGAGAAAGAACTTAAATTTATTTTTCTCTATCAAAAATTAGCTTGTGTTAAGGAAGATTGTAAAAACAAATATGTTTCGAATTCTTGCGATAGGAATCTGGAAAATGGCACCAGTAGCGATGAAATAATTCACTGCAAGGTTAAGAAATACTAATAGAAATGACCTAAGCTTTTCCTCTTACTTTCCTCGTTGATTAAATTAAAAAAAAAAAAAAAAAAGGACTGATATGGAATGTGCAGAAGCAGCAATTTTCAGCATCAATTGTTAGTTAGAGCACAAAAGCTAGACAATTTTCACACACCAAAAAGAAAAAGAAAAAAATAATCTTGTATTGAAATGAAAAAATTTATGAAGGGACATATATACCTGTTCTTTAACCTCATCAGAAATCCCGAGTTCATCAAAAGGCACACTTTCTAGAGCATGGCACAGTCTTTCATTCACTGCGCGAAATCTCATCATAATAGCCTCGCTCTCCACAGACTGAGATAAAAATAGATCAGAGTATAAATTAATGCCCGGAAGAAAGGGGGGAAAAGGAAAATTCTTCAAAATTCAAAAATTCTAACCAGATGAATCTTGCTTCCCTCATTGCACACTTTGAGCAGCCTCTTTGCCATAATAAACGCCTTCTTCAAATTACACAAACAAGTAATGCCCTTGCTGCCAATTGGTCCACTGAAGTCCCTGATCTCCTCTACTAATGGCAACAGAAGTTTCATTCGCCTAACTAGGCCAAAGCAGTCTTTCCTATGCGATCTTCGGTAATCTCCAAGCTGAGCAACTGATTCAACCAGGCTCGTTATTTCTTGAATAAGATCAGTTTCACCTCGTGGGCTTGATTCATTCGATTCAAATCCATCTCCTCCTCCACCCAAGTTTTCTTCTCCTTCTCCACCCATGGCCAATCACTGCCTGCTATTTGAACTGAGAAATGTAGAAGCTTCCAGGGCTTTGGTTATGTATAAATGTAGGGAATTTGATTTGGATTCTTTTAATTTTATGAAGAGAAAAATGCAATTCCAAAATTAATGTGGACGAGGGAAGATGAACTTGCAGAGATCGAAACCCTAACCCTAATCTTCATGAATTCTACTATTGCCTGTTTCTTTGATGGATTTCAAGCTCTTCGCGGGCTTTCCGGGCTTATGGTTCTCAAATTAGCTAGATACTAATTTGAAAGTTAGTTACTTCGTAACGGACATCTTGGCACAGATTGGAAATCTTTTAGCGGTTTTAAGACACCATTTGTTTTTTTGGGAATTTGTGTTTTTTCATTTCCTTTTTTCTTTCTCACTAAAATTTCCACCATTGTTCCTCTAGAAAAATTTGTCCACCATCACATTTTTTTTTTCTTCTTTAAGGGAACAATCACAATGATTTAAACTTCAACTTATGATTGAATTAAAAAAAAAAATCTATTTTTAATTACTTGTAATAATTATTTTTAGATATATAACTTTTCATTGTATTCTACTTTTAATTGCTATTATTTTAAATATATTGGATATTAGAACAAATGATTTATATAATCGACTTTTCCTAGTTTGCGAGTAATACTTAATTATGACTATTGTATCTTTAAATATCTATTTGAAAATAAAACGTATATTTCTCGTACCGTTATTTACTTAATTCATTTTGTATAAATTAAAAATATTTAAAAATAATAAGTTAAAAATCATTCATCACCTATGATGTGAGATTAACACTCAATCACTAAATAAATTTGATTGTATTATATTTTAATGATAATTATTAATATGGACAACATTGGAAATCAAGAACATTTGATACTACTTGATAACATATATTAAAAAGTTTCATGTAGATTCTTTATTTTATTGTTCTTATTATTTTGATTGGCAGTTCTTTATTATTCTTAATTAGTAATTAAACTTTTCTTGTACTTAAGAAGTACAGGACGAGCCACTCACTAAGAATGGTTCTATAATTAATTAATTAAATGTTCACCTCAGAATAAGAAATTGTTCAGTATAATTAACAATCACATGTTTACGATATATTAAAATATAACTTAATAGTAAATACATATATACAATCTGATAATAAATTTAGATTCGAATTTCTCTTCTAAAATTCGAAAAAAAAAAAATCACATGTTTTCGAGTTTCCGACATCAACGCTTCCGTATACGCTTCAAATAGAGTAAAAATTAAAAAAAGAATCAACACCAACAAAAAAGAGGGGAAAAGAATACTAAAGAAATGAAGTTTGAATACAGTCAAGATGGTTGCCAAAACGACAGAATTCAAGGCTATTTTTAATTAATGCTTTAATGGTATTTTTTGATTTCTAATTTTTCTAATAATATTTAATTAACCACTTATTACAAATAATTACAGTCTGTACTCTCTCCTCTTCGAAGAAAGTAAATTGAACTTTCTTATTATTATTTTTTTTTTATTTTTACTACGAAGTTTGGCGGTGCCAGTCTGCCAGAGAGCCAGCTCTCCGTGTCACGAGACTGTTCTAGTGTTCAGATTATTGAAGACTGTACTGTAACTAACCGTTTAAGTGGGACAAATTGAAAAAAGAAAAAGGAAAGTTAGAGTAATAATTACGTATTCCGAGTTCATCATCAATTTGATGCGAGCAGTTGTTTTAACCGTTGATTCATCCACAATCTCCTGGCTGAAAATCTAGGTGGGCCTTATTTGTCGTAGGTAATTTCCATTTGTTTAGAGATGGGCTCAGTCCAAGTATGTCAAGGTTTTATCCACGTGTCATTCTAAAACGATCTTCACAAATCCACGTGGCGATAGAGACTACAGAGTCAGACTCTACGAGTAAGAACAACAGCAGCGGCGATCTATAATGCGGAAGAGCGCATGGTACTACTTTATGGAAACGGAAATATTATACGGCAACGATATAACTACAGAGTCAGAAAGTTTTTGAAAGGAATTTTGCTGTTAATAAAAATAAAAACAAAAATGCAAACTGACCAATTTAATAGATAAGTAAAAAAAACTCTAATCGAGTAGGGTAATTTTTATTTTTATTTTTGAAAAAAAAAAATTATTATGTGTGGACTATAGTTAAAAATCATATGGTAATTTGAATTATAACTATAAAAATATTAATTATCTATAATAAATAAATATTTATGTTTGTAATATTTTATGGAGTAAATACCGAAATTTAGATGTAAAAGAAGACATGTAATATTTTAAATTTTCATGCCTAGATTTTACATTTTAAATGGTAGGATGTTAAGTATTAAAAGTTACTTAATATTTTATGACATTTTGGATGTGTTATAAAACTTTTTTAAGGTAGAATTACAAGTTTATAAAAACGTAATTTTAAAAATTGAATTTATAACGATACGATAATTTTTAAGTATCAATTTTATCATTAGAACTATGTATTACTTGTCAATAATTTTAATAATTTTTATTTTGAAATTATCCCCTAAAAGTTAGTACTTCATTCAACTAATTCCTATTAATTTAATTCCTATTATTTGCAAAATTTAGAGAAATTAGGGTAGGAGCCCAATTTAAAGGGAAGGCTTGTTGTCCAGAAGAATTTAGTAGGGCAACCTTTGCTTTATTATAAGAATAATTTTATACAAATAATAATAATAATAATAATAATAATAATACACGGCAGCATAGCAAATTTTTAAAAGCACATGCTGGGTAACCGTTGAGAGTACACAGTAGAACGCGACTTTTCGATCTGAGAGATCCGACGGTCATAATTTACTAGCCGTTAGTTTTAAAATTTCAGAAGGGTATCTGCAGACATATATCCGCCGTTTGCGTCTCAATTTCGCTCACACAGTTCATTTTTTTTTTTCTCTTCCATTATCCTTTTTCTGCATAAACCCCAAACTTAGAGAATCCGAGAGAGAGAGGTTATACTCCATTACTGGGGCTTTAATGAAGTTCTTTTGAACAGTCTCTCTCTCTTCGATTCGCATTTGAAGGGACACGACTCTGATTTTGAATTTGAAGTTCTTTCAATCAAATAGGTAGAGAAACCTAACAGGATTCTTGAATAAGAAGGTGGGTTAAGATTTTATGATCTGGGTTTTAACTCTTGATGTTAGTTCTTGATACAAGTTTCATGTTTCCTTTAATTTGTGCTTGAACAAATCGATATGTGTTGTTCTTCACTGATATTGGGTGGTTCTGAATTATGATGCAGTTTAAATTTTGTATTTTGACAGACGATAATGGCTGGATCAGACGAGAATAACCCGGGTGTGATCGGACCCGTTAATGTTCAAGGTAATCGAAAACGGATTCGCATTATTACCGAGTCTCTTATGGCCTGATATCCGATGATCATAACTCTTAAGCCCTAACACAAGAAACTGATGGTCAAGATGTTGCATTTTTAGGGGGTTTACGTGCCGGAGTTGGGAAGTTCACTGCGGCGACCGGAAACAACCGCAGGGCGTTGAGCAACATCAATAGGAACGTTATTGGAGCTCCACCTTACCCTTGTGCATCCAGCAAAAGAGGCTTATCAGAGTAAGTTTCTAAGAATTACAGTCCCCTGTTTGTTTGCTGGCAAAAAAAAAGAAAAGAAAAAAGGAAAAAAAAAAAGATTTTTAAGGAAGTATAATACCTTCTAACATGAGATGCGTTAGTCAAAAGTTCAAGGGAGAGTTCCTTTTTTTTTTCCTTTTGTTTTTTCTTCTGTTAATGCATCAATCAAAAAGAACGAAGTTCCATTGCCATTTTGACATTTTTTTTTCTTTTTACCCCCTTCATTTAGGAAACAGACAATCTGTGGCAAGAACCCTCCAATTCCAGTGCATCGACCAATTACCAGGTAAGTCCATACCCTTTTTTTCTTCTTTAACTCTGAAGATGATCATTTTGAATCCTAAAATTGATTTTCTAAAGTAGTTTTCCCCAATATTTTTTATGTTCCTAGGAAGTTTGCTGCCCAGTTAGCTAACAAGCAGCCAGAGGTACCTTACTTTCTTCTTTTCTGCATCTGAAGACCTTAGTTTATTGTTGACACCTTGGTTGGGATAGATATGATAAAATTGAAACGACTAATTTATTGGCAGGAAACCAAGAAACAAGCAACAGCTATTTCTGTCCCAATTTCAAGTGAGTCGGAGGATTGTAACATAATAGATGCAGAGGACTATAAGGCGTCTGATGATTTCTCTGCGCCCATGTTTGTGCAACACACAGAAGCAATGCTGGAAGAGATTGATCGCATGGTATCCAAAATAGCTTATTGTTATTATTATTATTCCTCATATGGGGAGAGTGGCATCATTGGTTTGGTTTCTGCAGGATGAGGTTGAAATGGAAGATGTTGATGAAATGGTTGATATAGATCTCTGTGATAAGAAAAATCCACTTGCAGTGGTCGAATACATTGATGATTTATACGCTTTCTATAAGAAAGCAGAGGTAAGGTTGAATCCAACTGGAAGATATCATTTCATTTGAAACATGTTGGTGAGGGGAAAGTTCTCCTGGATCCTTCATATTGGATAATGTTGGTTTCTGTTGGGGATTTGCTTTCTGATAAATGGAAAATCAAGCGGAAATTGCAGTTCATTTGCTGAACTTGTGTTACAATTTTTCGACATGCAGAAATCCTCATGTGTCTCACCAAACTATATGACACAACAATTTGACATTAATGAAAGGATGAGAGGCATCCTAATTGACTGGTTGATTGAGGTATAAACTGTACTTTTAGTCACGACTGATTCATTGTTGATATCTGAATTCCTGACTAAACTAATGGATTTAACAGGTGCACTACAAGTTTGAATTGATGGATGAGACATTATATCTTACTGTCAATCTCATTGATAGATTTTTAGCGGTTCATTCAGTAGCGAGAAAGAAACTTCAGCTTGTTGGGGTGACAGCCATGCTTCTTGCATGCAAATATGAAGAAGTATCAGTTCCTGTTGTGGAAGATCTAATTCTGATTTCTGATAAGGCCTACAGCAGAAAAGAAGTGCTTCACATGGTACATTTTTAATCAAAGTAATTTATGATTCCTCATTTAAATATTCTGCAGGAACTGGTGTTAGAATTTGGATGTATGATATGTTACTATTGCCCTGCAGGAGAAGTTGATGGTTAACGCTCTACAGTTTAATCTATCTGTTCCAACTCCATATGTGTTTATGAGAAGGTTCCTCAAAGCTGCCCAATCTGACAAGAAGGTTTGTTAATAACTGCACATACATGTGTTTCAACTTTATTTTGTAACCTGGTAGTAAGTTCCAATCTTGCTTTTCTTGCAGCTTGAGCTTCTATCATTCTTCATGATCGAACTTTGCCTAGTTGAATATGACACGCTCAAGTTTCCACCATCTCTGCTAGCTGCTGCTGCAATTTACACTGCCCAGTGTGCTCTTGATGGAACTAGACAATGGAGCAAGACTAATGAGTGTTATACTAACTACTCAGAAGAGCAACTTCTGTAAGTATTTCTGGCATCACTAGTAGAACCTTACAATAGTTTATTTTCATACATTGGTAAGATTGGTTCCTGGGACTTTTACAGGGAATGTTCAAGGCTTATGGTTACCTTCCATCAGAATGCCGCAACAGGGAAGCTTACAGGTGTACACAGGAAGTACAGTACATCCAGATTTGGCTATGCTGCTAAAAGTGAGCCTGCTAACTTTCTACTGGCTAGATTCTGAAGCGGGGGGGAAGTCAGAAGATGAAATTAACATAAAGAAACTAACTTCTCGTTCAAGCAAATTGGGGATTGGATTGGGGATTGGGTGGGGTGTGACATAGCAACTGAAGTTGCCCCTGGGAGAGGTGTCATTTATCCTCATTGATAGATTTAGCGGTTCATTCAGTAGCGAGAAAGAACTTCAGCTTTGTTGGGCGTGACAGCCGATGCTTCTTGCATGCAAATATGAAGAAGTAATCAGTTCTGTTGTGGAAGATCTTAATCTGATTTCTGAGTAAGGCCTACAGCAGAAGAAGTGCTTCACATGGTACATTTTTTAATCAAATTATATCGACTTCTCCTCATTTAATATTCTGCAGGAAACTGGTGTTAGAAGTGGGATGTATGATATGTTTTACTATTGCCCTGCAGGAGAAGTTTGATGAGGTTATAACGCATCTACAGTTTAAGATCTTTGATCATGTTCCACTCCATATGTGTTTATGAGAATGAGGTGTCCTCAACGTCTGCTCTCCCAATATTCTGACCATACGCAAAGAGTTTTTATGTAATTAACTGCTTATCTATACATGTGTGTTTTCCAACTTTATTCTGTTAATACCTGTGAGAGTAAAATGAAATTCTGTTAGTAAGTTTCCAATCTCTTGCTTTTCTTTGCGCTTCAGCCTAATCATATCATTCTCAATGAATTCGAAACTTTGCCTAGATTGAATATGACACGTCTCAAGTTTCGCTACCATCTCATCTGCGCTAGCTAGGCTGCCTGTCAATTTACATCTGACCTAGTGTGCCTCTTGTGATGGTGGGAACTAGACATCGTGGAGCAAGCACTAAATAGTGTTATACTAACTACTCCGGCAGAGCAACTTCATCGTAGTCATTCTATATTGCTATCGACTAGTAGACCATTACAATAGTTTATTTATCGTACATGGTAAGATTGTTCCTTGTGGACTTTTGCAGGGAATGTTTCTAAGGCTTATGGTTACCCTTCCTCAGATAGCCCCAACAGGAGAAGGCTTACAACTTCGTACACAGGAATTTATACTCTAATACATGTTCTCCATAGAATATTTGGATCTACTGTCCTAGCTTAAAAGTAGCAGCCTGTCCCTAACTTCTACGCTAGATTCTGAGCGGGGAGGAAGTCTGAGAGATGAGAATATTTAACATATAAGTATAAACCTAAATTTCTCGTTCAAGCCAAAATATCATTGGGGTGGGGTGTGAACATAAGCAACTGAAGTTTAAGTTGCCCCTGGGAGAGGTGTCATTTATCCATGAACATATATTGAGCTTGTGACATAGCAACTTAAGTTGCCCCTGGGAGAGGTGTCATTTATCCATGAACATATATTGAGCTTGTGACATAGCAACTTAAGTTGCCCCTGGGAGAGGTGTCATTTATCCATGAACATATTTTGAGCTTGTGTTTTAGTTCTTTGATTTCCATTTTCCTTTATTAAAATTAAATTGTATTTGAAGATTGTGATTGTGAACATAGAAAAGATGTTGTGCAGAGGGAAGATGGGTTGTTTCTCTTTTCTCTAAGAATAAAATAATCTTTAGCTTTTGAGAGTACATATGTTTTCTTGTCAAGAACATTTCCCATTTATGCTTGTAAAATTTTCATGTTAAGAGCACTACATAGCCGACAACAGCATACGCCATGTCGTTTCATTAAAAAACAAAAGCGGACCGACAGTTGTTTAATCAAATGCCACTGAAAAACTTTGCGTAATATCTTTGCCTAATATCCCAAGATGGACTTTGTCAGAGATGATTTAATTAAAAGTAAAGCGTGATGTGTCGGGATCCAGATACAGATACGTGCGAAAGCTGCCACGTGCTAGCCTCTGTGCAACTGACACTATAATACCATCTCCATTAGACACAATATTAGTCTCGCAAATTGCAATTTTCTGTAAATATCTGTTTCTATTTATTGTTTACCCAAATGCGTACGCGTCTCGTTGTTTCCTTTTCAAAATTTGATTGAAAGAAATACTACTCATCTTTCCGTCCGACTTCATATAACGTGTTCAACTTGTTGATAGAGACGGAGATGGACCCCTTTTGAATATTCTCTCAGGTAACAAGAAAATAGACTCCCACCCTGATTAATGGCTTTTCATTTTTTAGTTCAATCCTGCTCGATATTTTTGGATTGCAATTTCGTAGTCTTTTCATTGTTTTTTGCTATTTTCTGGGATTTGTGTTTTCGTGTTCAATTTTATGTGTAGTCTTTTTATTTTTATTTTTTATTCCAGAGATATTTTGTACTATTATTGTCCTTGGATAAGATTGTGGCGTAGGATTGATGCTATTTTCTGATTGACACCTTAAAGTTGTTTTGTGGGTTAAGATTTTTTGTCAAGTTGGGTGGACTCTGGCACTTTCTGGGTTCTTCTCAGATAGCGATATTTCATTTGCGGTTTGGCTTTATTCGACCGATTACGATACTGCAAACTCAGCTTCTGCTACTAAGGTCATGGTTGGGTGGTGGGGTTTTCTCTTGACGCTGATGGGTTTACTTTATATAGCCCTTAAATTTTCTAAACCAGTTAATTGGGTTAGAATCTGAAGGGTCTTCAATTCTATGCTGTTTTGTGAAACCTTTGTCCTTTTTATTGATGAGCCTGTCCTTTCTTTCCAGGTAAGGTGGTTCTTACTTCGTATATTAGGCTGCTACTAGTATTTTGCTAATCCTTTAATAAGGATTAAGGAGATATGATAGGAGAGAAGGAGAAAAAATTCCTCACAGTAGCACCATTTCAGTGTGCTTGGAGGAAGGATTTGAAATTCCGGGAAGCAGGAAGAGGTTGCGTGGCCTTTGATGCTTTTGCTCATAACGATGTCACTATAGTGTTTAGGGAGAATGTGGGAAGCCAGCACTATCATTATAAGAGGGATAATAGTCCTCATTATACTGTGATTCTTGGGAGTCATAGGAATCGGAGATTAAAAATTGAGGTGGATGGGAAAACTGTGGTTGATGCAGAAGGTATTGGACTTTGCTGCTCTTCAGCTTTTCAAAGTTACTGGATATGTCTTTATGATGGTTTAATTAGTATTGGTAAGGGAAGATACCCTTTTCAGAATCTTGTATTTCAGTGGCTTGATTCCAGTCCAAATTGCAGTGTTCGATATGTTGGACTTAGTAGCTGGGATAAACATGTTGGCTATAGAAATGTCAATGTGTTGCCATTGCCACATAATCACGTGTTACTGTGGAAGCAAGTTGATTCTGGAGAATATGAGGACAAGGATGATGGCGGAGAGTATTTGGACAATGAACTAATGGATTATGAGAAATGGGGGCTTGAAAATTTCCTGGAGAGTTGGGAATTATCTGATATGTGTTTTATTGTTGGTGAAGATGAAAGGCCTGTTCCAGTTCACAAGGTTATCGTGCAAGCATCTGGTAATTTTCCTTTGAGTTCTTCAAATGAAGATGTTGTTCAGCTTCAGGATGTGTCCTATCCCATTCTCCATTCACTTCTTCAGTTTATCTACACGGGCCGTACCCAGGTATCATTTTCTTTCTCTATTTCCAGCTTTAAACGTTATTTGTTGTAATCACTCTGCTTTGTTTTTCTTTTCATCTTTGTTCCTTTTTTGAATGCTTGTTGCAAGATTCACTTAGGTTGTCTTTTGAACCTATTTGTCTCACTTTTTTTTTCCCTTTCCAACTTCAATTTAGATTTTAGAGTCACAACTTGGTTCATTGTGGGCTTTGAGCCTTCGGTTTGAAGTGACGTCACTAGCGAAGCAGTGTGAAGAAACTGTGGAACGGTTTAAACTGAATAAAAAGTTGTTTGATTCTGGCAAGAATGTGGAATTATCACATCCAAATTCTAGGCCTCATTGTTGTACGACCTTCCCCTTTGGACTACCCATCAATGTGCAAAAACTCAAAAATTTGCATTCAGCTGGGGAGTACAGTGATCTGAACATTTATATTGAGGGTCATGGTCTTGTTGCTCAGCCTCATAAAGTCATTCTAAGTTTATGGAGTGTCCCATTTTCAAAGGTGAATCATCTTGACTACTTTGTTTTATTGTCTCCTTCACATCCTGAATGCTTTAAGGAGCATTTGGATAAATAATCTTTTAATTATTTTACTTGTTGACCTTACAATATTGCATACATGTCATTATCTGCTGCCGACGTTTGTATTGCAGGTTGGCTGTGAAGGTTTTTATGATGTCTTTGGTTTTTATTTTAATTCTTATTTTTTTTGCAAATAAATTGATCTTCTGAAGAAAATTGTTGCAATGCAGATGTTCACAAATGGAATGAGAGAGAGTAGTTCCGCAGAGGTCTACTTAAGTGATGTCTCAGCAGCAGCATTTAAGATAATGCTTGACTTCATGTATAGTGGGGATATCAGTATAGAAGATACAATGGATTTTGGAAACTTGTTACTCCAGCTTCTGTTATTGGCAGACAAGTTTGGGGTCTCTCTTCTTTATCAGGAATGCTGCAAGACGCTTTTAGAATGTCTCATGGAGGTAGTGAAGCTTTATCTTGCCAAAGAATCTAATCCAATAATTTTTTGTCAGAATAATTATTGTGTTTGCTGTTGTGAAATGCTTTTTGTTGACTAGAATTAAAAGAACGGAGAAGTGACTTGCGGTTTCGGACTTCTGAAAACAAAAGAAGAGCCCTTTTCTGATATCGAATCATAAGATATTGATACCTTTCATGTACATATTATATGCAGGGTTGGAGTTCTCCTAATGGAAGAAGGTCATACAACAACAATTTTTGTATTATGCACAAGTTTAATGGACGACGAAGCAGACAAATTTCGGAAGTTAATTGAGATATTGCTTTAGGAGCTAACTCTTGAACTTTGATGCAGGACTCAGTATGTCCAATCCTGCTTGCGGTTTCATCAATTCCATCATGTAAACTCATTGAAGAAACCTGCAAGAGAAAATTTGCAACACACTTCGACTATTGTACAACTGCAAGCCTTGACTTCATCTTGCTAGATGAGACAACAATTAGCAGTATAATTCAGGTGGGTAGTCTCTATCCGAAGTGTTACTTTGAGAGTGAGATTTGTTGAAGATTAAATTAAATATATGAATTCCGTATGCTTCCTCTAGAATTACGTGCTTAAAGAGTTGAGTCAGTGGTAGGAAATGATTTACTACTCTCCTGTTTGCTAGTGAGTTGTAAAGAAATTGGAGGGGGTTTAGGTGATTTACTGGCCAGATAAAAGTAGTTAGTTCCTTAACTAGATAGTATGGACATTGAATTGTTGAATATTTGAAGCAAATATACCTCCATTTCTCACTTAAGGGGTTGGACTCTAATCATATGGTCATGTCTTGATTAGCTTTCTTCCCTTGGGATGTTGATAATCGTATAACATATTGTGGGTTTTGCAGCATCAAGATCTAACAGTAACTTCAGAAGAAAGAGTTCTCAATGCAATTTTGATGTGGTGCATGAGAGCTAAGGAGTTGTATGGGTGGGAGACGGTAGATGAGCTAATGTCAATTTCAACTCCTGACCTCATTTTCCAAGACAGGCTTCAATCTCTTGAAAACTTATTGCCATTTGTTCGGTTTCAATTGCTGCCATATCACTTGCTTGAGAAGGTATATAGACTTTGGATTGGATGTGGAGAGACTATACACCGGTATATTAGAAGTATGATTATGAGATTGTGATATTATTTTGCAGCTGGCGCAGAGCAATCTTTGCAAGCATATTCCCATTTTTGATAATCTTGTAAGTTATGCTTCTTTTTGGAGAATACAGTCCTTGAACATGTGCTATATGGAACCTTTCTTTCCCCTCCCCCCCCCCCCCCCCTTTTTGGAGAATACAGTTCCTTGAACATGTGCTATATGAACCTTTCTTTCCCCTCCCCCCCCCCCCCCCCCCCCCCCCCCCCCCCCCCCCCCCCCCCCCAAAAAAAAAAAAAAAAAAAAAAAATAAACAAAAAAAAAAAAAAAAAAAAAAAAACCCCATCCCACTCCTCATTAATTTTGTTCTATGTTAATATTGCAGGTGAGGGAGGGTATCAATTATTTGGAATTTGGATTGGCAAGGGCAGAACAAAAGTAAACATCTGCAAGTATTGTCATCTTTTAATGTGTTTTTTATTTGGTAAAAGAAGGGTGAACCAGCCATCTGAATCTGAATATAGTTATGTGCCTTTTTGTTTTACTTCACCTGCTGTCCTAAGAGTGGAATTTCATTTTAAAATGCATAAGTTGCTGGATACCTCAATATGGCTACCTCGATGAATGATTCATTCAAAATTCTTCATGTTGGCAAATAATTGTTGTTTATCAAAAATCTCTTAAATATATTGCATACAGCAATATTTGAGAAATTTTCTGTAAATCTGTAGAATTTGCTTAACCATGTTTTTCTGATGTAAAAGGGAAAAAGTCTACTGCTATTAAAGCCCTTGATGTTGTTTTGGCTTTATGAATCGCTTTCATGATAGCTGGTGGGCATGTGTTACAATCATATTGTAAATGTATTTGACTTATTTGTTACTTTGATTATACTTTTTCATGGTGATATTTGGCTTTATGAAGTCATAGTTAACATGGTCTGTCCTTTTCAGCATACGGTTTCAACATAGACGATCTAGTTATAAGGAGCTTCAGTACATATGTGATGGTGACAGCAATGGAGTTTTGCACTTTGCTGGTACATCTTATGGGGAGCACCAGTGGGTTAATCCTGTGCTGGCTAAGGTGAGCCTTTTGGCATTCTTTTTATAATAAATGAGCAGAACAAATTTGATGCAGTGCCTTATCCTGTTAGTTGCAAGTTTCAGAGAATCACTATTACAGCTAGCAGTCCGACTTCAAGATTCACTGATCCCAAGGTCTTGGTATCAAGAACTTACCAGGTAGTTTAGCTTGTGCATCTGTAAATTATTTGCTCATTATGAGTTTCATTATGGTTAAACAAAAACCCTGTTTTTATCCACCAGGGAACATCTTTTGCTGGGCCTAGGATGGAAGATGGGAATAAATGTGCATGGTGGATGGTTGACATTGGCCAGGATCATCAGGTTTGTTCCTATTCCTGGTCCCTGGTTACAAATCTTTTGATTTATCAGGTTTCAGAAAAGAAAAAAAAAAAAAGAAAAGGAATTGAAATGGTAAATATTCTAATAATAAGTTGTTTATAGTCTACTTGTTTGCATGATAGAGAAGACACCCATATTTACACCATGAGACATCATTGTCTTATCTTTCTTCTTCTAAGAAGATTTTTAGCCTAATCTGGGTGTATGAACACACTCAATTTCACTAGCATGAGTGGCTCCCACCACACAAGTGGAGCCTACCCCAAATGAGATCGTGAACATACGGGTAAGAGAATTCCTCATTGTAAATCACATGTTCCCAAATGTTAATGCAGCTAATGTGCAACTTTTACTCCCTGAGACAAGATGGATCAAGAGCCTATGTAAGATTTTGGAATTTCCAGGTAAAATGAACTTTGTCCTGTTATATATGTACAGGATCTTTCTCTAAATGCTTTTATCAATCGATGATGAAATAATTATGTGGATTAAATTTCAGGGTTCGCTTGATGGGACGACTTGGACCGACTTGAGAGTACATGAAGACGACCGAACAATATGCAAGCGCGGTCAGTTCGCATCATGGCCCATAACTGGGCCTAATTCCCTTCTGCCGTTCAGATACTTTAGGGTTCTTCTGACTGGGCCTACCACGGATGCCTCCAATCCCTGGAATCTTTGCATCTGCTACTTGGAACTCTATGGCTATTTCCGTTAATTTCATGAATTTCCTTGTCATTAGTTGGTCAATAAATTTCATCATGTACAGTTCCTAAACGTCCAAAGATGGAGTTCGTAAATTTTTGTTTCTCGTTTGAACAAATCGTGTTGACCATCTCTCTTTCTTCTTTGAGTTAATAATCGTCGAGTCAATTTTGAAGTATGAATAGACTCGCCTCAGAGATGGGTACGAGGAAAGCAATAACATGCTAACTTGCCAAAATTATTATGGATATGATATAGTTTGGAGACTGGGAAATTGTTTTTTGCCAATACCATCTAGCCTGAGAACATTCTCATGAAAATTAAATACAACCCTCAATAACTATGATCATCTCCTTTTTTTTTTTTTTTTTGCCTGAGAACATTTTCTCATGAAAATTAAATACAACCTCAATTAACTATGATCATCTCCTTTTTTTTTTTTTTTGTTTCGATTGCACAACTTCACACAGGAGCCTAGGCTTTTTTTTTTTTTTTTTTTTGTTTCATTCACAACTTCACACCAGGAGCCTAGGCTTTTCTGACACCAAGAGAAGCCAGAAAGATTGTGCAGAAAAAACTTCGGAACAACATGGTCTATGCATTACTATCACATAGGAAATCAAAGTCAACAACTAAAAGAACATGCACAAACATGATTCGCACTGCAGACATTTGGCATATAGAAACGGATAGATATTCAAGTCAACTACATTCATTCGTACAAGTATATGACAGTCACTTACATTCCAGGCAATGATAGATTCCATTTCTTCCCATTACAAAAATTACACCGAGTTTGAGGATAGCAAGTGCAGGGATCCTAATTGATTACTTAGGCAACTGAGATATAGAATAGCTCTAAATCACACCATAGGCAAGCATCACCTCCTCACTGGTGGTACAGCGCCTCTACCAGGTGCTGCGCGGCCAGCAGCTTGAGCCTGCACAATAAGATAAGGTTAGGACAGGTAACCTCCAATCACACAACAGAAGAGGGATAGGAGCATGGAACTCCTACTATGCTTCCCCATGCATCAGCCTACTCAGGAGAGAAGCAAGTGACAATTCACATGTTGGGCTTTTTTGTGTTATATTACATACAAATGTAGATCAGATAATTACACATTGAAATTTATGATTATAATAGTATAAGGGTGTTTTTGGCCCAGAGGTTAGAAAGATGAGAGAATAGCAAAACCCAAAAAGCACATATCCAAAATGAAAAGAACTTACTTTAGCTCGCAATTGAACAGATCTACCCCGGCCAACTCCAAGTGATGTGCTCTTACCCTTCATTGTAAAAAAGAAAATACATATTAGTAATCATATGGTACGTATTGATTTTAAATAGAAAACAAAAAATTAATCACTTGCAATTGGAGTACCTTGATTCTAGCATCCAGCCGCTTGAACATAGGAGCATTCTTTAACATATCTGGTATGACCATAAACCTGTTTCAAAAATTCATATTATTTTGAAATGAGAACAGACATCTTGTGAGTAGTAAACAAAATCTCTCGAGCAATTGAGATTCTCTATTAAAGAAATTTGACAAAGATACCTCACTTTGCTGCCTCTTATAAAAACATGCTCGAGCTGTGAGATCTTCCCATCCTGCAGAGAAGCACAGAAACTTTAGCAACAAAACAAGGACAGAGATGAAGGAAAGCCAATTAGTCAAACTCAAACCCAAAGCATCCGAAAAAAACATCCAAACAGTTATCTTTCCATATTTATTTAAATAACCGTAGCTCAGTCCGCATGAAAAATTTCCATCTGAATTCAAGCTAATATTGCAAGATAGACAATGTAGACAACCAAATTGTAAGTGTATCATAGCTCTTTTAAACACTCACTTGCATATCTCTTTATATCAAAATCAGGGATGGACATTAAAATCAAATTATTAACCAAATCACCAGTAGGTAAAGAAGTTATAGGAATTTTCAGGTATCTATATCATAACCAACGTCATGGGACATGTAAATAAATCAGCAGGCCATCTTATTTTCTACATGTTATTTTCTACTTTTTTTTCAAGGACAAGAATGAGGATGTAAAGATTCAATAAACCTAATACATATAAGTTAGAAGTTCAAGCCTCTTGATATCAACTTTCCTCTGTGATTTCAGGATCAAATTGACAGACAATTTGAAGATCACAGTGAAATACATAATTATCAAAGAAGCCTTCGCTATGTTATATTTAAAAAAGAAAGGAAATTAAAAGGAAAACAACTTAGAAACTATAGAAATAACACAAAGACATTGAAAATTTTGAATACACTTAATTAAAGACAAAGCCAATGCTAGTCAGCAAGCATCTGCCACAGATGAAGAGTTTTAGGATCAAGCTCTCATTTTCCTCTTCCATTCTCACTAGCAAAACGTCATGGATTCAATACTGAATCAAAGTTTAGGAGAAATTTCAACCGAACTAATAACTAAAAGCACCAGATCCATTAATCTTCAAAGTCATAATTTCACTGTCGGGAAACAAATCTAGGGTTCTAAGAAGATTGAAAGTAGCATAGGAGAGAAGAAGACACGAAGAAGAGAAACTATATCAGTACCTTAGCAGTGTAGGTAATGTTCTCGAGCTGGCAGTTCCAATTATCCTCGCACTCCACCATGCTTCCTCTGTAAAGCTCTCCGCTCTTAAGCTCCACCGTAACTACGTGCCCAGAGGCCTCATGTAGCAGCTTCACCGGTATCCCTAAGCTCCTGCTCATGGCTCGCTCTTCTCTTTTACTCTCTCTCCCTGAGCAAAACCCTAATTAACCCCAACCTCACTGTTTTTTCCCTGTCGTGGGCTTTATATTTGTCAAGAAGAAACAAGAACGCAGTCGTTTAAGTTTGTCAGGGTAGATTTGTCTTTTTATTAAATTATTGGGGATCTTCTAGTAATTAAGACCTCTGAGGTTCTTCACGTGGCGTAAGTGTAAACCAGCTCGAAGTAAAAACGGCTATAGAGAAGTACTATTAAAACTAGCCGTTCGATGTGAAGGCTTTACAAATAGATCGATCCATTACCGTCGGATTATGGTAATCAAAATCATTTCGAAAATCAGAATCAATGACAAAATTACGAAGATTTCACGGCTAATTTTGTTGCCACGTGGACTAATGATTCTTTACTCAGCTTGCAATCCATCCAAAAGCAAATCAAATCGTGGGACCGGTGGACACTCGACGGGACAGGATCACGGGAGAAGAAGAAAAGTGGCAGTCTGGGCCCAATTAACAAACGGCTGAGATCTTCATGATCTTAACTCCGTCACGCCTACGTGTACGGTGCAAGCAGAGTTTCAGTTAATTTTAGGCCTTTTGTTTGCTTATTTTGCTTGGGAAGGATAGAAGAAATGAACTCCTGAAGTTGGCAAAGATGTTGGCTTCTTTGGATCTATTTCCGGCGCCTGCTTTTGGGTCTGTATCACCTTCTTTAGGCAAGAACTTCAAAAGGGTAATTTTTTTTCACATTTTAAAATAAATTTAATATTTTTTATGGCTTTTTCTTTATGAAGTTGCTAGTGTGTCAGTGTCACTGCTTAATGGCCTGCTTGTTTTATTGTTCTGTGTAAATGGCTATCGTATTCGCTGGAAGCCTTCCAATGGTCCAAGGAGTTCTAACAATCGGGGAAGTCTTTGCCCTTGCTTAGTTTCTTTCCCGCCTGACCCGAAAGCTGGTGCTCATGCTGATCCGGCATATTCATTCTTATTCTGGCTTTTTTGCTTTTTTTTTTTTGCTTGCATCTGATTAGCTAGTTGGTATGTCTCGTTTTCTCCACTCGCAGCTCACTCGCTAGTAGATTGCCATTGGATAGGACATTCTTTCATTATCGCTACGGACATATAGTTGGCTTCTCTTATTACTTTTGATCAGATACTTCCTTTTTTTTTTTTAGTTTTTTTTTTTTTATTATTATGATGAGTATTTGATTGTTTTCTTGTTTAGAGGGATGAATGCTTCTAGTTTCATAATGAACTTTTTTTGCTTACTGTTTTTTTTTTTTTATTATTATGATGAGTATTTGATTGTTTTCTTGTTTAGAGGGATGAATGCTTCTAGTTTCATAATGAACTTTTTTTGCTTACTGCTCCATATTTGTTTAAAATGGTAATTTGTCCACGTTATGCTGAATGTAATTATTTCAAAGAACTAAATTATATATGTATATAATTAAGTTAAAGTAGTCAGCAGTTTGACTAGCCTTTCCTGAACAAACCTTTTTTTATTATTATTATTTAAACTTCTTGTAAACCTGGAAGCTGGAATCGTATGAGCTCTATGGCATTGACAATTGATGATTATTTCCTGTGTTTTCAAGTCTTTTTAGTGATGTTATAATCTGCAATTTGCTATTCTCTGGATGTTTCTCGCACCAATATACTGCTTGATTCCTTATCTAATTTCTTTGATAGGCTTTGGGAAACAACCTGCACAAGCAAAAACTGATTGGACTGACTTTTGAGTCCCGAAAGCTGCATGGTTCTCCCAAATTCTATTTCATGCCAGGAATCTCAACAAATAAGAGGGTAAGTTTTACAATTTTAGCATGGACTAAGGATTTCTGTCTTCCATGGTTTGCCCCAATTATTCTTTAAATATATGTGGAGGTGTCCCATGAATATTGATTGGCTTGTTCACTTTTTTTTTTTTTTGGTTAATTTGTGAAGGAAGTAAATATCTCTAGTGAATATAGTTTGGAAATAATATTTAACAATGTGAACTTAATTTGTAATATCTATGGGGCTTCCCTTTACAAATAACAAAGCATGTGTGAAAATATTTGCTTCAAATATAGGAGTATTGAGTGGGTTTATCTATCTTACTGTACAATTTAATCAGAAAGTATTATAATAAGCTCAACATGATGTATTGTCATTGTTTGGTGCAGCATGGTCTCACAATCACAGCTGTTATGACAGATGACAACACAACAATGACAAATGAGAAAGAAATGGAAGATATTCATCTTTTGAGCATTGATCCTGGGTTGGGACCATTTAAAGACCACTTCAGTTATAGAATGAAAAGATACAGAAATCAGAAAGAGCAAATTGAAAAACACGAAGGAGGTCTTGACGAATTTTCCAGAGGTGCTTTTCAGTAGCATACAAGTTTAATCTCTCTCTCTCTCTCTCTCTCTCTTCACTTTCTTTTCCGACAAATACACATAGATAACGTTTCCAAATAGTTCATCAGTACCTATGCATTGATGCAATCTTTTCTCATGAGCTGTACTAGCTGCTTATATAATACTTGAGAAACTGTTTTTTAATTTCCCAATTCCTTGCTGTGTATATATTGCTATATATAATAATATATATATATATATATATATTATATATATATATATCGGGTAGTTTTGTTTGAGAGCTTATAAATTTGGCATTCTTGCCAATCTCTTGCTTGGATCTTGAGAGTTCCTTCCCTTATGACTTAAAGAGCCCTCTTTTTATTTATTTATTTAGTATGTCTAATCTTAGTTATATATGCAATATTAAACCTTCTACGTTCACCATTATATAGGTTACCTGAAATTTGGATTTAATAGAGAAGAAGGTGGCATTGTCTATCGTGAGTGGGCCCCTGCAGCTGAGTATGTTCTCAAAATTCAACTTTGTAAAATTTGTCATCACTGTTAAATTGTTTTATTAAACAATATGTCTTTTATAATGTAGGGAAGCTCAAGTCATTGGCGACTTTAATGGATGGGATGGTTCCAACCACAAAATGGAAAAGAATGAATTTGGAGTTTGGAGTATCAAAATAACTGATGCTGCTGGAAATCCAGCAATTCCTCACAATTCAAGGGTCAAGTTTCGATTCAAGCATGGTAATGGAATTTGGGTTGATCGAATTCCAGCTTGGATTAGATATGCCACTGTGGACCCTTCAAATTTCGGTGCACCATATGATGGTGTCTACTGGGATCCTCCAGCTTCAGAAAGGTACTAATTTTCTAGCTTCTTGCATTGAAAACTTAGTCAAGTTACTTAAGGATCATTGGCGTAAGGATCCCAGATATACAAAGATATAGTGATTCATGCATAATTTGTGCTTACTTTCATCCTAAGTTATGATCTATTTTATTTTCCTAAAAATGTTGAAAACATAGAAAACCAACACTGAAAATCCCTATAATGATTCATATCTACTTTCATCAGAATAAAGAGAGCCTCAGCATGCTTAAATAAGTCCTTTGCGAGTGACTCTTTCTTTGATATGTAGGTATCAATTTGAGTACCCTCGGCCTCCAAAACCCAGGGCCCCACGTATATACGAGGCTCATGTGGGAATGAGCAGCTCAGAACCTCGTGTTAATACATACAGAGAATTTGCTGATGATGTTTTGCCTCGCATACGGGCCAATAACTATAACACAGTTCAGTTAATGGCTGTGATGGAGCATTCCTATTATGGATCATTTGGGTACCATGTTACTAACTTTTTTGCTGTAAGCAGTAGATCTGGAACCCCTGAGGATCTTAAGTATTTAATTGATAAAGCTCATAGCTTGGGTTTATGTGTTCTGATGGATGTTATTCACAGCCATGCAAGTAACAATGTCACTGATGGCCTTAATGGCTTTGATGTTGGCCAAAGCTCTCAAGAATCCTATTTCCACACTGGAGATAGAGGCTACCATAAGTTATGGGACAGCAGGCTCTTTAATTATGCTAATTGGGAAGTTCTTCGCTTCCTGCTGTCGAACCTGAGATGGTGGCTTGAGGAGTACAAATTCGATGGCTTTCGGTTTGATGGAGTAACTTCAATGCTGTACCATCACCATGGAATCGACATGGCATTTACTGGGAATTATAACGAGTATTTCAGTGAAGCAACTGATGTTGATGCTGTTGTTTATTTGATGTTGGCCAATTCTCTGATTCACAACACCTTGCCAGATGCTACTGTGATTGCCGAAGACGTTTCGGGCATGCCTGGACTTGGTCATGATGTCTCTGAGGGGGGAATTGGTTTTGACTATCGCTTGGCAATGGCTATCCCTGACAAATGGATAGATTACTTGAAAAACAAGAGTGATGAAGAGTGGTCAATGGAGGAAATTGCATGGAGCTTAACTAATAGGAGGTACACTGAGAAATGTGTTGCTTATGCTGAGAGTCATGACCAAGTAAGGGATAAGGAAATTCTTGTTTTCTTATTTTTGTAATTAGTTTGTTGTATTTGTGGCATTAGTCCGTTGGCCCATGTCACAAATAACTTAACAAGAATTAAGATAATAATAGAAGCCACTTGGTAAAATAAAGAACACATAAAGGCAAGAAGAAGCAGGACAGGAAGAGTTCAACAAAGAAAAGTTATCTTGATATCCTGTGAAGGGAATTTGCTCACTGTTGGAATTCTGATCTATACCATTGTTTCTTTCTTTCTTTCTTAAGAACATTGGTATCTTTTGTTTCTGTAGGCCATTGTTGGTGACAAGACAGTTGCCTTTTTGCTAATGGATAAAGAAATGTATTCTGGAATGTCTTGCTTGACAGATGCTCCACCTATCATTGAGCGAGGGATAGCACTTCACAAGGTTTGACTTAAACAATCTCATGAGCACGTTCCTCAGTTTAGTGGTTTTTACCACAAACACTGTTACTGCTTCCAGTTTTACTGTACTTTTCTCTGAATCCCATCCATGAGTCCCTTACGACTCATGCTTGGCTTTCCTTGTTGGGACAAAGAGAATATATTTGTCCTGAAAGTGGCTGGGGTTAGAGTTTTGTTGATTGGATTCAGCTTTCAGATTTGGATTTTGATTTTTTGATTATTGTTCTCATTGATGATTCTATTTTGCAGATGGTACATTTTTTAACTATGGCATTAGGCGGTGAGGGCTACCTTAATTTTATGGGAAACGAGGTAAGCAATGATTAGCCCAATTATTGCCTACAAACTCTTGAGGCTTCTGAACTGCCAAACCTAGGTATTTTCTCATATGAGCAAAGAATGTCATCAACATTTAGACTTCAGACTCGTCAAAATTTCAAATTCACTAAACTGAATATTTTTGGCTTATCCTAGGTTGTTTAGTATGTTTTCCAAGATTGCTTTAAAATAAACAGGAGCGACATGGTCAAATTATGAGACCAACCAATAACTTTTTAATTCCACTAAGACGCTTATTTGTGTAAGACAGTAAGAGTGAGAGCAACAGAGTGATTAGGACAAACCCTTTTTTAAAGGAAAAAATAAGGGAAAGGATTTTCATGCACGCTGTTAGTTGCTACTCAGTTAGTGATGAATATTTTACAGTTTGGCCATCCTGAGTGGATTGACTTCCCAAGAGAAGGCAATGGGTGGAGTTATGATAAGTGCAGACGCCAATGGAACCTAGTTGACACTGAACACTTGAGATACAAGGTTTGTGGACTCGCTTTCATCAATTTGAGTATATGCTTGATATTGTCTGCTTTACGTTGCAAATCATCTATAAGCACCCATTCCCTTTGTACTAATGCAGCATTTGCCAACAAACTTCTTTCTTATTGCTAAGCCCTAAAATCTTAAAATATTTCATAGGTCACAAGCTAATGTATCCTGGGGTGTTTGATCTAGCAAGTATTTCAGCAAATAAAGATTATTTTTCTAATGGCCCATTTAGATTCTATAATAGAAGGTGAAAATTGGGCAATGGTGGACTATATCGTGACTGTTTGAATAAGTACATGATGAAACTGCTGGATAACTGAACAGGATAAGAGAGGATAAAAGTACTAGACTTGCATGATCATAGCGTGTGCATCCCAAACTTACAGATTAGTTTTCTTGTTGAGTGTTTTTTATACGTTATTTCTTTTATTGATTCTAATCTTTAATTCTTCTTTTGTTATTTCCATTTCTTCTATAGTTCATGAATGCATTTGACAGAGCTATGAATGGGCTTGATGAAAAGTATTCGTTTCTTGCATCAACAAAGCAGATTGTGAGCAGCACAAATGAGGAAGATAAGGTACAGTCTTTAAATGTCTCTATCTCATAGACGTAAGATATCCAACCCTTTTGTTTCATTCTGGAAACGGGGTCTAAACCCTTTTGTATGCAATTTTAGACATGGAGCATATAGATGATAGTGCATAATGATTATTGAAGACACTATGTACTAGTGGCAAAAATTTGTCTCTAAATTGGCGATTCATAAACATCGTGCCACAGAAAGAAGAGTGGAAAAGTGGCTGGCTGAAGTTAGTTATCAGGATGTGTAGGAATAATCCATTTTCAGGGATGCTGTTTTCCAAAATAACATTTTGGTTAATGTTTCAGTCGTATAAGATAATTTCATTCGATAATTATTGATTTTTTCACATTACAGGTTATTGTCTTTGAGTGTGGGGATCTGGTCTTTGTGTTCAATTTTCATCCAGAGAATACATATGATGGGTATGTTTTTTGTTTTTCCCTGGTAATCAAGATATTCAGTTGTTTGGTCTGTGGACATGTGGTTCTGTGCATACAGATTGAATGTTAAGAGATCACATGCTACCAAGTTTATATATAAGGATTGCATTCTGATGATAAATTATTTGTATGGTCTTTCCATTAACCCTTTATGTTTCAATCTGAAACATGCAGATACAAGATTGGTTGTGACTTGCCAGGGAAGTATAGAGTTGCACTGGATAGTGATGCATGGGAATTTGGAGGACAAGGAAGGGTAAGAAATCCTCTGCATAAAGAATAGTAAAGGACAACAAGAACTGGTTTTGAGTTCTTCTATACTTATTTTCCTAATATAGTTCCTCTCAATACAACCTAAAACTAAGGCACCTAGGTCTAAAACGATATCTTAATGCTTATCTTTTGGACATATCATACTTATGCAACTTCTATTATAAGCCAGTTGTCAATTAAATTACTGGTAGAAAATTCTAATAATTTGACTAATCTCCTTTTGGCTTGAATTGGCAGGTCAGCCATGAGGCAGAACATTTTACATCTCCTGAAGGGATACCTGGAGTGGCTGAAACAAATTTCAACAATCGTCCGAACTCCTTCAAAGTACTTTCCCCAGCTCGCACATGTGTGGTAAGTTCCATATATATATGTTTATTAACAAATACAATGTTATGGTATATTACCTCGCGACAAAATTGAACAAAACAATTTTTTGGCACACATATGAAACACTGAAGCTTCACTGGAGTTTGGTGGTTCTGAGCCATTAGTTTAACAGATTCTAGGCACTATGTAAGCATTACCAATTTTTGTCTCTGCTGTTTGGAGTGATTCTAAGAATATCATTTTCTTTTTCAAAGGCTTATTACAGAGTTGACGAAAGCCAAGAAATTAACAATGGAGGCAATCTGGGCGCTGTTGATGAGACATTGACAGCTGATGCTGTAGAGAAGCTAGAGGTTTCTGAAGAAGTTGTCAAGCAGAACTTAGCCACAGATACAATGGAAAAGAAGGACAATTTGGAAGAAGTAAACACCAAGAAATTAGCTGCAGATACTGCGGTGAACCAGGAGGATATTAAAGAACCTGCTGATTCGACGATGAATGGTGATGCTGGTCCAACTATGGCAGGGAATGTAGAAGCAGAAGAGATTGAGGGAGGGAAATCAGATGACTAAAAATCTTTCCTAGCTTCTGTGAGATGAAAATCCGAAGTGTTGAAATATCTCATTTTGTGAATAATTTAGTGCGGAATGCTTAACTAAGGGAATGTTCTTTAGGGTTTAAATTATGAGGTGATTTTGTATGGCCTGCATTAGCATTTATGCTCTTGTAAATAAGTGGCACTGGCAATGCTTTTAAATAAGCTCTGCATAATAAATGTACAGGTTAAGAAGAATAAGGTAGCACACAGTTAATATATCCTTACAATATATTTCAAGGAAAGAAGCTCATTAACATTATTATTATTATTATTATTATTATTATTTTGTATATTATGGGAGGCTCGAGGGATTGAAAGAACACCGTTGGTTATACAACATTGACGATTTAGCTGTTTATTCAAAAAATTGAAGAAAACTCTTGAGATCGATAAGTCTTGGATCTATTCAATCAATTTTTCATAAGGGATTTGGGCTTACGTATAGAATTTGCGTTTTCTACCAAAAATTCATTGTCTTTTTTCTACCCATTCTGCTAATTTCTCAAAATGCAATTGTGTAGTTTCATTCCTCTTGCTTGTATAGGTTTAAACGACGCCGCCTCTTTCTATTGACAGCTTCCTTAAGATAACAAGTCAAGTCGCATCTTTGTAGGCCCAAGCCCAAAGCTTCATGCCACCATTAGCCAGCTTTGTCTTGACTGGCCCAGATTGAACAGCCTTACACGTCTGCATCTCCGACTGCATCAATTTTGATATCGTCGCCTTACACGACGGCTATTGCAAGCTAACTTGAACAATAACGCAACTCAAAGGTCAAGGCCAATCGGTCGTATCTGAACAGGATCAGGCCGTTTTGACATCAAGAAAATAACATGGAGAAAAACAAGTATAGTATTATAATCCCAACATACAACGAGCGGCTCAACATTGCCCTCATCGTCTACCTCATCTTTAAGCATCTCCGGTACTTATTCTCCTTTTTAGGTTTAATTGATTAGTTAATTATTCTTTTGGTGAGTCAATGTTTTGTTTGTTTGACTGAAGTTAGATTGAGTGGTGGATTAATGTACTATTGTTCAATATAGTAATGAATTAAGTGAAATTCGAATTGGGAGAAAAAGATTGATCAGGAAGAGAACATTTTTGCTCTTTTTATAGTTATTGAAGATAAGTAAGAGCCTTTGAATTTAGAAATTGAATTGAATTGGAGAAAATAAGGGGCAGTGACCACGCTGTGATCACATACTGGATGCAACTATTCAGTTAGGTTTAATTGGTGAATTTTCCTTTCATTTTCAACATAATAAATCGTATCTGTGGTTGATTCATAAAATTGAAGGCAAAAAAAATGGAAGCTTTCATTTTAGATCCTTCTAGTTTGTAGGTGTTACATCAAGCACGAACAAGTATTATCATTTTTGGCCATTCTGATATCAAGTTCCTCAACCAAAGAAGAAATTTTTATACCAAGTAATCATTTAGTCATGCAAATGTAGGAGGGATTAAGTTCTCCTCTGGTTATATTTAGCACATGAATCTGTTTTCGCAAAAAAAATTAGAAGAAACTGAGATGCCATTGGTTGTTGGTCATTAGAAATTTAGTTGCACAAAAGTTTCTAATTTGTTTTGCAATAGTATAGGTCACAAAGATACCTTTGAATGGTTAATGGCTAGTGAGGAACAGTGAAACAGTTTACGCAAATGCCATCAGAGAAATGCCCATGTGTTAAACAAGCTATTTTTTTCTTGTTCTGTCAGGGATGTTGACTTTGAAATAATTGTTGTGGATGATGGGAGTCCTGATGGTACTCAAGAAGTAGTAAAGCAGTTGCAGCAAGTTTATGGTGAGGATCGCATTGTAAGTACTTTAGCAATCGAGCATGAATATTCAAAATGAACTGGTGGTTGATCAATTTTGCTTGTCCTGACTGCATCTATTTTGCTCTTCTTGATGATGCAGCTTTTAAGACCTAGACCAAAGAAGCTTGGTTTAGGTAGGTGCTTTTGCCTTTATGTCTTATAATTCTTGGAAACTAGTTTTTAATGCATTTATCTCCTTAGGAACGGCTTATGTTCATGGATTAAAGCATGCATCTGGAAATTTTGTCGTAATCATGGATGCTGATTTATCCCACCATGTAAGTAATATTAACTTGTTATTACACTCGTGGATGTTTAGCATTCAGATTCATTTCTATTAGAGAAATTTGCTGACCCATAACCTTATCATATCTTTCTTAGTAATCCCTTTCTTCCAAAAGAAATTGATAAAGAAACTGAAACAAGAAAAAATTATTTCTAAGCTTACCTGCATTTGGGATTGAAAACCATATCATAAATTGTAGCTCTAGTTTATCTACTCTTAGGTTTCATTGATCTATTCTTGTGACCCTTGTTTTACAGCCGAAGTACTTGCCAAGCTTTATCAAGTAAGAAACCTTCCATTCTACGTTTGTATGTTATTTCTATTTTACCTTCAATGCCTAATCGCTTGAAGTTTTCTTCCATTATTCTATATGATATGCTAATCAGGAAACAATTGGAGACTGGCGCAAGTATAGTCACTGGAACCCGGTATGTTAAAGGTGGCGGTGTACATGGGTGGAATCTTATGCGCAAGCTAACAAGTAGGGGAGCAAATGTTCTTGCGCACACACTGTTGTGGCCTGGTGTATCTGATTTGACAGGGTCTTTCCGGTAAATGAATGAATTGATGCTCCATTCATTTTCATATACCTGGCACATTGAAGCTCATATTTTCTTTGTTTCCTTCTCACAGACTGTATAAGAAATCAGTGCTTGAAGATATCATAAGCTCTGTCGTTAGCAAGGGATATGTCTTTCAAATGGAGATGATTGTCCGGGCTTCCAGAAAAGGCTACCATATTGAGGAGGTAATATTTTATTTTTATATTTTCAGTTTGGTGGGTGACAGCATGCATGTGTTCAGGGACGAAGCTACTCATTAAGAGAGGGTAAAAAAATTGCTTTACATTTCCAAGGTTCAACTTGATTTTTCTACTATTTTTAAAGTACTCCCACCACTTTACTCCCCTGACTTGTGTGTTATATGGTTTGCCCCTCTTTTATTTAGACTCTGGCTTCGTCCCTGCATATGTTACTTTTTCTTTGCTAACTTCACTTCTGGAACTTGAAATGCTATCTCCATAAATGTGCATATACAGTTCCGCATTGATTAAAGGTGCTGCTCTCTTCAAAGCCTTTCTAATTCTTTATAGAGCTCAAAAATTGGAACTGATAAAATATGCAAGTGGCATATATCACAGCTTTAAAGGATCAATAATGCAAAAGATCTCATCTCCCCACCCCCAGCAACGTCATCATTGTACATTGATATGCACCAAAAATACAAAAAGAGATTTAATTGTATCATTGCATGATTGCTGCCTTGTAGTTTTCTTAAATTTATTTTATACGCCTTTTGCTCTCTGTACCTTGGCCCATTTCAGTTACTTATGCTGTTCTTTTTGCATAAATGGGAAGTTCTTTCCAGTTGACACTTTGCAGAATTATTAAATTATTCTCAGCCTCTGGCTCGTTTATTTTTCACAGGTTCCAATTACTTTTGTTGATAGAGTTTTTGGAAGTTCAAAACTTGGAGGATCTGAAATTGTTGAATATCTGAAAGGCCTTGCATATCTTCTGGTTACAACATGATAGGCAATATCAATTATGGCACTCTATTCTTACATACTTTTTTACAATTTTTATTTGACCTTGTATTCCATTTGACCTTGTATTCCATGAACTTCTGTCGTTGTCCTTTTTTGCATGGATCAATAGATTATATGACACTAGACGATATCAAATTCGCTCTTGTTTCTAGTCAGTAATCAACTTCTGATGGATTAAATGCTGTAATTCAGAAGCAAATTAGATTCTTTCAAACAGCAATACAGTTTTCTCTTGATTCTTTTGGTACATGGGAAAATCTGCTACAGTTTTACCTATCTTGATGGTTTTACCACTATTTGCTGCTCTGGTATCTTTTTGTCCTTCTCTTTTCTATTTACTGTTTGGTTTGGTTTGTGGTGGATATGTGATGCAACTTGCTTCGTTCTTGGAAAAAAAATGTTGCAGAGCGATTTTGCTGCCTCTTCAACAAAAAAAAATAAAAAAAATAAAAGAAACTTATGATTTGTGACAGCAATGGCATTTGGATTAACTGATTCTAAGATCATATAACGGTGAAGGAATATATGCACAACCACTTGATATCTGAATATCTCATGCAAAAGCAGAGACTGAGATAAACTATTTACCGCAGACATCAAAGTTTGTCCAAATATTTTACCGGAAAACCAGAAAAACCACTAATCAATTTGAACACAAATGAAATCAGATCCAGTTGATCCTAAATCCAAAAAACAAGATAGCAACATAACAAAAGAACTCCTAAAATCCCACTTAACGGTCAGATTTTCCTAACCCTTCGGGTCCCAACTTTCCTTTCACTTGGACACACAGATTTCTCAACATTGAAAGGCAGAGGAGGTTTCTTGTTCTCTTTGCTCAAGCTTCTCAATGAATACCGAGGATTCGCGCTTCTCTCTACAGAATAAGCAGCAGACACCGATTTCCTCAAGCTTTCTAATTTCTTCGAATCCCTTTTCTTTGAGGACTCAACGGTCACTCCAAGATGATACGGAGTCTTTCCCTCTTCCTCTGTTTCTCCTTTCTTTCTCTTCAGCCTCTCGTTTCTCCTTGCAGAGTACACCTCATAAAACCTTCCTCTCTCAAACAGGGGACTCGAGTTAGTGCTCGAATTGTTACTCAGCCCCACACTTGTTGAACTTGCATTTCCAAGTTCGTCTTGAACCATCCTCGCTAGAGCCCGTAACTCACAGGACATGGTGTGATTTTCGGATCGAAGATCCGATTCTTCCATTTCCCGTGTCAGATTTGGTTTCTGGGATTTTGTTAAAGAACCTGACAAATCAATGGTTTCTATTACAACCCAAAAGAGTTAAGAAAATGACAACAAAAAGAAGACATGAGACAAGGTAACTGATACCTGGAGGAGTTTGTACAGAACTGGAACTTGATTGGAGGACTCGACGGGGACGGAGCCGGATCGGCGATTTGGCAAGTGGAGGCCTACGATCAGACTTCATCTTTGACATTAATGAAGAGAAGAACAAGCTAGACGAAGGTTAAGAAGAAGAAGAAAGATGGGGAATATGATTAATCTTCTGATTTGATATGTGTGAGGCTCCTCTGCTTTTCGTTTTGGCTTCTCTCTTTTGAATGTACGCTTTGCTTTTCAGGCTTTTGTTTTGAGACGGTTTGATTTGATATAAGAGGAGCGTCCCAACGGTCATATTTTGTGTTTGGGTTTGTTTTAATTTTGTCGTTTATATATATTTTTTCTGAATGGGTATTCGAATTTAAATTGTCTAAGGTTTGAAAAGTCAAGGGCTCACGTGGCATTAATATGAAGATATCCTTCCTAAAATGTTGATATTTGCTTTTATTGTCATTGAGATTTTTTTTTTTAAACTATAGGGATCCACGCTGATTAATTCGGTTCAGAAATTATTATTTTTTTAATTTAGATATTAATGCATTTTAAAATTAATATCATTAATATTAGAACTTCTTAAATTTTAAATATTAGATCACTTTTCTTTTTATCTAGTCTTAAATTACAGCCTATTTCTATTTTCCCTTTCAAGTAAAATTGTCTATATTAAAGGGACAAGGGATGCACAGGTCCATAGCATTCAACTCCATATCTATTCATATAATTGAGGTCCATCATCTACGGATAAGAACTTGAATCACGTCCGTCCATCTTCCCAGTAAAAAGATCACTTTGATTCTCTGTCACTATGAGTCCAAAAATCGTCGCCTCAAAAGATATCAAACGCACAGAGAAGGAGAAGTAGGTGAAATCTGAAAAGAGATGGAACGGCTCAAGTGCTCTGCAAAATACGTCCCTCTTACTCCAATCAGTTTCCTGGAACGCTCGGCGATTGTTTACCGAGACAAACTATCCGTCGTCTATGGCGATGTCAAGTATACCTGGAGAGAGACTTACCAGAGGTGCATCAAGCTCGCTTCTGCTCTCGCCCACCACGGGATTTCCCGTGGCGATGTGGTAATTAACTAATCATTCCCTTACTCTATTGTTTTCTTCGTATTTATTTCTTCATGTATTTGTGCTGTGATCGTAAGAGGAGATATGCATACGATCGAATAGATCCAATTAGAGCTGTGGTAGATGAAGAACTGGCTGTTTGGTATCTATTTGGCTGCTTATGTTTGGTTATGTCTTTTGCTCGGTTTTCGATGGCCCAGCGTTACCCAACTAAGGAAAAGTCTCAATTTCAATTTATTCTTGCATGGGCATAGAACAAAATGCATTTTTTTATGCGAAATCGTAAGCTAAAACTTACAGTACTAATTTTTGGTTTTTGGACTAATGAGGGAAAGAAGTCTTGTAAGTCTTGTTTTTCTTTCTCATTCATTTCTTTCCTCTTTTTTTTTTTTTTTTTTTTTTTTTTTTTTTTTTTTATTTCCTTTTTTTTTTTTTTTTTTTTTTTTTTTTTTTTTTTTTGAAATGTTCTGAATTCTTATTTATTTGGAAACAAGAAGAAGTCGATAGCTATGCATCAATTCTTTCAGATTTTCTGACTTCAGATATTCAATACCTGCTTCAATGAACCTTCAGATATTCAATACCTGCTTCAATGAACCATTAGGAAAACTGAACTCTGGTCATTTGACTAGAGGTAGATGGGCTTGGAAGTTCTCTCTATCTGATAGGTAATATTGTGGTTGCCCATGGTCTCACCCAGGATTTTTTCTGGCTCAATGGATGTTTATCAGTCTGGTGCAATGAATGGCATGCTTTCCATATCCTTAATCTTTCATTTCACCTAAAGATTAACCTTTGCTAATTTAAACAGGTTGCTGCATTGGCTCCAAATATTCCAGCATTATTTGAACTGCACTTTGGCGTTCCAATGGCTGGGGCAGTTCTTTGTACACTAAATATACGCCATGATTCAGCAATGGTGTCTGTGTTACTGAGACATTCAGAGGCCAAAGCCATTTTTGTGGACTACCAATTTCTGCCAATTGCTCAGGGAGCTCTGGAACTTCTAACCAAGACGGGATCCAAGCTGCCCTTCATTGTCTTGATCCAGGACTGTAATCAACCAGCTCCTATCTCCTCTAAAGGGAACTTAGAGTATGAGAGTCTTCTAGCAATGGGAAAACTGGATTTTGAGATAATACGACCAAATGTTGAATGGGATCCTATTTCACTTAATTATACTCCTATTTCAACTTAATTATACCTGCGGGAACCACATCGAAGTCCAAAAGGGGTGAGAGCCTCAATCTATAGGCATGGACCACAGGTTCCGGAACCGCGGTTCTGGTTCCGGAGACCGGCGGTTTTCCGGTTCCAGAAAAGCTTGGAAACCGGAACCCGAACCGAAATTGCCGTTTTCCGGTTCGCGTTTGGAACCGTCCGGTTCGTTACGATCCCGATTTACAAAACCGACGGTTTCCGATTGGCTTTTTCCCGGCGATAGCATTTTAATTTGAAATTTTAATTTTGAATACGCGGTTTTAAAAAAAAAAATTATATTAACATAAAAAATTTAAAAATACTGTAGAAAAATTTAAAATATCAAAGACCAACTAAAAAAAATTTAAAAAATACAACCAAAAATTTTCAAAAATTTTTAAGACCGGTTTAAAAAAAAAATTTGAACTGATTTTTTTTTTTTTTAAAGTTTTGAACATAATGGATTTTTTTTAAAAAAAAATTTGAATTGATTTTTTTTTTTAAGTTTGAACATAATGAATTTGTTGTTAGAACATTTACAACAAATTTAAAAAAAAAATAAAAAAAAAAAAAAAAAACAAAAATCTGAACAGTTTACAACGTAGAACCGCCGGTTCGAACGGCGGTTCTAACCGCCGAGAACGGCGGTTTCCATTCCGGTTCCGAACCGGTTCTATGGAACGCCCGTTTCTGGTTTCCACAATTTGCTGGAACCGAAGCGAACCGGAATTTTCCCGGTTCCGGTTCGGTTCGTTCCGGTTGCGGTTCCGGGCCGGTTCGAACCGACGGTTCCGGTTCCCGGAACCGCAATATGGCCATGCCTGCATCTAAATTCTGATAGGACCGTTGAGAAAAGCCCAAGGCCCTACAAGGGTTATTCTAGAAGAAACAAAAAACAAAGAGGGCAGCATAGGAATTAGCAACACTGTTGGACACATCAGCAGATTCTGTTAGGGGAAATCATATATATAGCTAGCGATTGGAATGAGAGAGGAAGGAAAAAGATATAAAGTTTGTTATTTTGGCAGGGGGTCTCTCTTTGTATCGGGCTGGTCTTGGGGGTTGCCGGCAACTTTTCTTTTTTACTTTATTTTCCCTTTCTGTTATTATCTTTCTTATTCCTCAATCAAGACCTGCTTGTAAATCTGAAATCCCATTTAATGGAAGTTCCAATCTCTGATTTCATCTAACCTCTATTTCTTCTTCTATCTTCTTCTTTAATTTATCTCTGCTGCGTTCTTAACTCTAACAAATGGGTCTGACCTGCCGGATCAAAAAACAAAGATAGAATCCAGAGTAGAAACATTAGAGAAGAACGTATCTACAATTTAAGCACAAATATCCTCCATTGAAGACACCCTTTCCACCTTGCAAAACCTTCTAGCTGATAATACAGAAATCGAATGCCTCCTTAAGACCTTAATTGCCGGAAAAGCACATGCTATTATCTCTGAAAGCTCTACCCATCCTCACCCAAACGTCCAAGAAGAAACATCCTCCCATACAAACCACACCACCACCAGACCTTTTACATATCAGAACAAACCACACCACCACCAGACCTTTTACATATCAGAACTTATCCTTCATACCCAAAAAACTGGATATGCCTACCTTCAATGGCATAGACCCTGTTGGTTGGATAGCAAAAGCCGAACAGTATTTCAAACTCCATAACACCCCACCAGCTTCCCAAATCTCTGTTTCTATGTGTTCTATGGAAGGAGCACCTCTTCATTGGCTTAGGTTACTACTTCGTTTTCGAAATCCTAAGCTGGGTTGGACCCAATTCAAATCTGAACTCATCAATGGATACAACGGCGATGTGTCCTCTAACCCATATGAGCTTCTTGCTGCTGTCAAACAAACGGGTGGCGATGTGTCCTCTAACCCATATGAGCTTCTTGCTGCTGTCAAACAAACGGGTACTGTAACCCAATATATTGATGATTTCATCTTCAGAGCTGCTCAAGCTCCAGCTCTCTCTGATTCTCAATTGATCGGTTATTTTCTCAATGGACTCAAGGAAGGAATACGTGTAAAAATCTATTCCTCTAATATTGGCAAATTATACAGGGCTCTGCGCGCGACTCGAGAAGTTGAAATGGAAGTCGCCTTGCTTAATCCAACCACCACCTCCTTTAAACAAACCCATCGTCAAAACATTAGCGACTTACATACTACGCAACGTTTTGGATTTGGCCCAAAATCCATTTTCCCAACTACAACCCGTGCCCTACACCAAATTACTTACCCGACCCGGACATAAATCATTCCCACCCCATCCCCTAGATCAAACGACCGAACACAAACCCTAACCCACCAAAATCGACCTCTTACCCTACCTGCTCCTCCACCGCCACCACCCAATACTACCAATAGATTTCGTGGCATTTGCCATTACTCCCATAATGATTACCAAGAGCTTCAAGCCCAGGGACTGTGTTTCCGTTGCAAACAGCCCTATTCTCTATTACACGAGTGCCCCCAATAAGTCACGAAGAGCTTTGATTGGCGGTGAAGATGATGTGATGATGGTTTATTTGCGGATATGGAACCCAAGTCCTCTAATTTTTCTCTCTATTGAATTGGAATTGAAGCTTACTTCTCTGAATGATTTTACCACTCTATTCAGTGGGGGGTATTTCACGACCTCGTACGTGAAGCTTAGGGCACCCTATACTTCAAACGGTCACCATAATGATTGACGAAACGGTCACCATAATGATTGACAGTGGTGCTAGCCATAACTTCATCTCTGGAGATATGGTTCAATCACTCAATTTAATGGTTAGTCCCACGCCTCCCTTCTTTGTCAAATTTGGGCATCGGATTCAATCCAGAGGTGTTTGTAAGAATTTAAAGCTTCAGTTTGGTTCTATTGGGATAACAGGGGATTTCTTTGTTTTCCCTTTAGGCGAAGTTGATATTATTTTGGGTATTGCTTGGCTAGAGACTTTGGGGGAAAGTTAAGGTCGATTGGCTGAAAATGACTATGGGATTCAGTCATAATGGAAATTGGGTAACTCTCGCTGGGGATCCTTCATTTTCCCGTTCTTCAGCTTCCATTAAGTCCATATCAAAGGTAGCTATTGATGACATTGAATTTTCTGGGTTTTTATGGGAATTATCTACAGACACAACATATCCAGCCAACTCAACATCCCTCTCCTCTAGTCAATCTTAGCAACTCCAGCAGCTCCAATCGAAATTCCCTACAATCTTTGAGGACTTAAAACACCTTCCCCCAGCCGTCCACAAGACCACAGAATCATACTTGAACCTGGACAGGGTCCTATTTCAGTAAAGCCTTACAAATATGGGCATCTCCAAAAGGATGAAATTGACAGGGTCCTATTTCAGTAAAGCCTTACAAATATGGGCATCTCCAAAAGGATGAAATTGAGAGAATGGTTGTTGATATGCTTTCTGCTGGAATCATCAAGCCCAACTCTAGTCCATTCTCTAGTCCAGTTTTATTGGTTAAGAAGAAAGAAGGAAGCTGGCAATTTTGCGTCGACTACCGCCAACTTAATAGAACAATTGTTCCTCACAAATACCCTATTCCAGTTATTCAAGAATTGCTTGACGAACTATACGGAGCCCAATTCTTCTCGAAGCTGGATATGAAACAGGGATTTTATCAAATACTAGTGGCTCCTTCCGATACTCACAAAACGGCCTTCCGCACTCAGTCAGGGCACTATGAATTTCTGGTAATGTCGTTTGGATTAACCAATACCCCAGCCACATTCCAAGCAGTTATCAACGACATATTTCGACCGCACTTGCACAATTTTGTTCTGGTATTTTCGATGACATACTGGTTTATAGTAAGTTGTGGTAGGACCATCTACACCACCTAGAACTTGTATTTCAGCTGCTCATAGACCATTCATTTCACTTGAATGCCAAAAAGTGCTCTTTCGGCAGAATTTCTCTTGAATACTTGAGACATGTCATTTCCTCCCAAGGTGTTTCCATGGAACCTTCTAAGATTTCCAACATCTTACAATGGCCAATATCGAAGTCTATTAAAGTTGTCAGGGGATTTTTGGGTTTGAAAGGGTACTATCGGTGCTTCATTCTGAATTATGGATGCATTGCACAGCCGCTAACTCAGCTATTAAAGAAGGAAACAGCTGCTGATTTTCAGTGGAACTCACAACCACAAGCCTCTTTTGATGCCCTGAAAGTTGCTATAATTGCTTCTCCAGTTTTAGCTATGCAAATCTCAAAACCCTTCATTGTTGAGACCAATGCTTCAAAATCTGGAGTTGGTGTTGTACTAATGCAAGACAATAAACCAATTGCTTATTTCAGCAAGGCAACTGGCAACCCTGCAACAACCATATCAGCTTATGAGAATGAGCTAATGGCTGTAGTCCTTGCAATAAGACACTGGAGGCCATACCTTATCGGTCGTCGATTCACTATTCGAACCGATCAGCGTAGTTTGCGTCATCTATTGCGTCATCTTGAACCATCCTCGCTAGAGCCCATAACTCACAGGACATGGTGTGATATTCGGATCGAAGATCCGATTCTTCCATTTCACGTGTCAGATTTGGTTTCTGGGATTTTGTTAAAGAACCTGACAAATCAATGGTTTCTATTACAACCCAAAAGAGTTAAAAAAATGACAACAAAAAGAAGAGATGAGAAAACATAACTAATGACAACAAAAAGAAGAGATGAGAAAACATAACTAATGACAACAAAAAGAAGAGATGAGAAAACATAAAAAAAGAAGAGATGAGAAAACATAACTAATGACAACAAAAAGAAGAGATGAGAAAACATAACTAATACCTGGAGGAGTTTGTACAGAACTGGAACTTGATTGGAGGACTCGACGGGGGCGGAGCCGGATCAGCGATTTGGCGAGTGGAGGCCTACGATCAGACTTCATCTTTGACATTAATGAAGAAAAGACCAAACTAGTCGAAGGTTAAGAAGAAGAAGAAAGATGGGGAATATGATTAATCTTTTGATTTGATATGTGTGAGGCTCCTCTGCTTTTCGTTTTGGCTTCTCTCTTTTGAATGTACGCTTTGCTTTTCAGGCTTTTGTTTTGAGACGGTTTGAATTGATATAAGAGGAGCGTCCCAACGGTCATATTTTGTATTTGGGTTTGTTTTAATTTTTTTTTTCTATATATGTTTTTTCTAAATGGGTATTCGAATTTAAATTGTCTAAGGTTTGAAAAGTCAAGGGCTAATGTGGCATTAATACGAAGATATCCTTCCTAAAATTGTTTAATATTAAAAAAAAACATCCTAACCCAAGTTTTGTTTTAGGAATGTAGTCGTGCATAGCCAAGCTCTAACAGGCAAGGTTCAACCAAAATGTGAGTGCCCATTCATAGGGTAGTGGCTTCCTTCTTTGGAACGGAAATCTAAAGCTTGCTTCTCTGTACTGTACACGTGAATACTAGGCAAGTTAAATTAATGGTTACATTGGCTTAAAAGTTAACGAAACTTGCAGAATAAAATATCCATTGTTAAAGAAAAGAATGGAAAGGGACAAGGGATGGACCGGCCTATAGCATTCAACTCCATATCTATCCATATAATTGAGGTCAATCATCTACGGATAAGAACTTGAATCGCGTCCGTCCATCTTCCCGGTAAGAAGGTCACTTTGATTCCCTGTCACTGTCATATGAGTCCAAAAATCGTCGCCTCAAAAGATATCAAACGCACAGAGAAGGAGAAGTAGGTGAAATCTGAAAAGAGATGGAAGGTATGCTCAAGTGCTCTGCAAACTACGTCCCTCTTACTCCAATCAGTTTCCTGGAACGCTCCGCGATTGTTTACCGAGACAATCTATCCGTCGTCTATGGCGATGTCAAGTATACCTGGAAAGAGACTTACCAGAGGTGCATCAAGCTCGCTTCTGCTCTCGCCCACCACGGGATTTCCCGTGGCGATGTGGTAATTAATTCATCATTCCCTTACTCTATCGCTTTCTTCGTATTTATTTCTTCATGTATTTCTGCTATGATCGTAAGAGGAGATCGAATAGATCCAATTAGAGCTGTGGTAGATGAAGAACTGGCTGTTTGGTATCTATTTGGCTGCTTATGTTTGGTTATGTCTTTTGCTCGGTTACCGATGGCCCAGCGTTACCCAACTAAGGAAAAGTCTCAATTTCAATTTATTCTTGCATGTGCATAGTGCATATTTTTATGCGAAATCGTAAGCTAAAACTTACAGTACTAATTTTTGGTTTTTGGACTACTGAGGGAAAGAAGTCTTGTCAGTCTTGTTTTTCTTTCTCATTCATTTCTTTCCTCGCTTTTTTTTTTTTTTTTTTTTTTTTTTTTTTTTTTTTTTTTTTTGAAATGTTCTGAATTCTTATTTATTTGGAAACAAGAAGAAGTCGATAGCTATGCATCAATTCTTTCAGATTTTCTGACTTCAGATATTCAATACCTGCTTCAATGAACCATTAGGAAAACTGAACTCTGGTCATTTGACTAGAGGTAGATGGGCTTGGAAGTTCTCTCTATCTGATAGGTAATATTGTGGGCTATGCATCAATTCTTTCAGATTTTCTGAGTTCAGATATTCAATACCTGCTTCAATGAACCATTAGGAAAACTGAACTCTGGTCATTTGACTAGAGGTAGGTGGGCTTGGAAGTTCTCTTTATCTGATAGGTAATATTGTGGTTGCCCATGGTCTCACCCAGGATTTTTTCTGGCTCAATGGATGTTTATCAGTCTGGTGCAATGAATGGCATGCTTTCCATATCCTTAATCTTTCATTTCAGCTAAAGATTAACCTTTGCTAATTTAAACAGGTTGCTGTATTGGCTCCAAATATTCCAGCATTATATGAACTACACTTTGGCGTTCCAATGGGTGGGGCAGTTCTGTGTACACTAAATATACGCCATGATTCAGCAATGGTGTCTGTGTTACTGAGACATTCAGAGGCCAAAGCCATTTTTGTGGATTACCAATTTCTGCCAATTGCCCAGGGAGCTCTGGAACTTCTAACCAAGACGGGATCCAAGCTGCCCTTTCTTGTCTTGATCGAGGACTGTAATCAACCAGCTCCTATCTCCTCTAAAGGGAACTTAGAGTATGAGAGTCTTCTAGCAATGGGAAAACTGGATTTTGAAGTAATACAACCAAATGATGAATGGGATCCTATTTCACTTAATTATACCTCGGGAACCACATCGAGTCCAAAAGGGGTGATTTATAGTCATAGAGGGGCTCACCTAAATTCCCTTGCAGCCATTCTTCTAAATGATATGATCTCAAGGCCGGTATATCTATGGTGCGTTCCCATGTTTCACTGCAACGGTTGGTGCCTCACCTGGGGTGTGGCTGCTCAAGGAGGCACAAATATCTGCCTTCGGAGTGTATCCGCAAAGGGGATATTTGAAAGTATTTCTCAGCACAAAGTAACCCACATGGGTGGTGCACCAACAGTATTAAACACAATAATAAATTCACCAGCTGGTGACAGAAGGCCTCTTCCAGGAAAGGTAACAGTGATGACAGGTGGTGCACCACCACCTCCACAGGTAATATTCAGTATGGAAGAAATGGGATTTAACGTGACTCATTCGTATGGTTTGACAGAAACATACGGTCCTTCAACAATTTGCACTTGGAAACCTGAATGGTCTTGCCTCCCTCGTGATGTACAGGCAAAGTTGAAGGCCCGTCAGGGATTGCAACATCTTGGCATGGAGGAAATTGATATAAAAGATCCAGTTACCATGAAGAGCGTGCCACCAGATGCAAAAACCATGGGTGAAGTTATGTTCAGAGGCAACACTGTTATGAATGGATATTTGAAAAACCTGAAAGCAACAGAAGAGGCATTTAGTGGTGGGTGGTTTAGGAGTGGAGATTTGGGGGTAAAACACCCTGATGGATACATAGAGCTAAAGGACCGATCCAAGGACATAATAATTTCAGGGGGAGAAAATATTAGCACCATCGAGGTAGAATCTGTATTGTTTAGTCATCCAGCAGTTCTTGAGGCGGCTGTTGTAGGAAGACCTGATGATCACTGGGGGGAAACACCTTGTGCATTTGTGAACTTGAAGACAGGGTGTAATGCCAGTGCAGAAGAACTAATCAAGTATTGTCGTGATCACTTGCCTCATTACATGGCGCCTCGAACTATTGTCTTTGAGGATCTGCCAAAGACATCAACTGGAAAGGTACAGAAATACGTCTTGAGGAGTAAGGCCAAGGCCTTAGGAAGCCTTTCAAAAGAGAGAACTAGCAAACTGTAGATACACCAGTGATTGGAAGGTAACAGTTCTGTTTGGAGAATTCAAGTAGTTTATTGATAATTGTCTTCCATAAAGCTTGATGTCCTGCCCAGACCGTGTATATTTCATACGTTGGAGTTGGGTGGGGTGGCTGGTTTGAAAATATTGATAATTTAATCATCAAAATTATTAAAAATGTCTTGTAATATGCATTATTAAACCCAAAGTAAAAATAAAAACAAATTTCACTTAAATGTCTATTATTATTATGATTTTTGCCATCAATACAAAAAGAACTATTACAAAGATTATAATAATCTATATGACAATATTGTATATAAATTAATTTAAGTGTATAAATCAAATTAAAACTTGCAAAATTGGAGTAGAAAATGTAAAATTGATTACAGTCTATAAATTCAATTTATGCTAGTTTAACTTCTTTTTTTTTTTTTTCTTTTTTACTTCACAAATCGATTGTAAGTGAAAATAATTCTATAATCCTATTATCATTATAAACACAGAAGGATTTAATTCTTTAAATAGCTTATTAAACAAGGAAATTTATATGAAAAATTAAATTAAATTAAATACTACTAGTAATTAAGATTTTTGGGAGGAAAATTGTAAATGATAAAAAAAAAAAAAATTATTAGTTAAAGGTTGATTGCTGTATTTCTCTTGAATCTCTCAATAGATTTGTTTTTTCATATGGAATCTAGGAAAATGGTGAAGTCATCTTTTGTCTTGAATACTTAAATTTTAAACGTATAACTTAAGCACGAATAATGAAGATACGACGCGTATTTACCTTCATCTGTACACTAAACAGTTAAAGCTAATTTAATAATTATTATCTATTTAATGATATTTTTACTTATTTATTCGAAAAAAAAAAAATGATTAAGTCCACAAAAAGTTGGATACGGGGGTAGTTAAGTAATTTTCAAATGAATGATTGAGAGGTAAGACCTGTTGACCTTTTTCAGAGGTTGTCTTGGTTTGGCCATGCATGATACTTGTGACGCTTTTACTAATTAGTGCTCATTAATAGTAAGAGTGACCTTCATTTCTGTTTGCATACAGAAAGAAAGAGAAACAGCTCACCGCTGAAACCAAAGCATGGCCTTATTATATGCTTTCCAGGCTAGCAAAACTCCCAAATGCTCACTTAAAATATCGGTAATTCACTAGTTTATCTTTTCCACCGCCGAAAATGAAGAAGAAAATTGGGATAATTGGAGCTGGAATCAGTGGCCTGCTTGCATGCAAAAACGCAATGGAGAAGGGTTTTAATCCGATGGTATTTGAGGCTCGTAGCTGCATAGGAGGTGTTTGGTCTCAAACTATAGAGTCTACTAAGCTCCAAACACCCAAAAATTTATACCAGTTCTCAGATTTCCCTTGGCCATCTTCAGTTAAAGAGAGATTCCCTGATCACAACAAGGTCATGGAGTATCTTCAAGCCTATGCTGTTCACTTTAATATTCTTCCAAGAATCAAATTTAATTCCAAAGTTATTAACATTGAGTATGTTGCGTCCTCTGAAGAGGATTTGATTTCTTGGGATTTGTGGGGTGGCACAGGGAAAGCCCTCTCCCCTACTGGGAATTGGGTTATCAGAATACAGGATGCTCAGGATTCCTCTGTACCAGTTGAGGTAAATTATATTCAAAAGTGTTTTTCAGTTTAAATAAATAACAAACTAGTTCATCTGATTTTTCCATATATGTATAACCAGGTGTATCAAGTGGATTTTGTGATCCTTTGCATTGGAAGGTTTAGTGACCTGCCAAATATACCAGATTTTCCAATGAACAAAGGTCCTCTGGTATTTGGTGGTCAAGTCTTGCATTCCATGGATTATGCTGCCATGGATGATGATAGTGCTGCTCAATTTACAAAAGGCAAACGAGTTACAGTTGTTGGCTGTCAGAAATCAGCAACTGATATAGCAGCAGAGATCGCCAGTAGAAATGGTAACTTCTCAAAAAAAAAAAAAAAAAAAAAATGATAGTTGCTGCTCAAATTTACAAAAGGCAACACGAGTTACAGTGGTTGGCTGTCAGAAATCGAAGCAACTGATATAGACAGCAGAGAGCCAGTAGGGAAAGGTAACTTCTCAAAAATAAAAAAAAAAAAAAAAAGGGAAATGGAAAAAGAATAAATTTATCTTGTACAAGAAAGGGTCTTGTTTTCCTTATAGTAAAAAAAAAAAAAAAAAAAAAAAAGGAAATGGAAAAGAAAATTTATTGTACCAAGAAAAGGTCTTGTTTTCTTAGTAATTAGATTCCTTGTTTCATCTCTTGTTGTTATATATTAGGGGTAGAGCATCCATGCACAATGCTATATAGAAAGGCCTACTGGATGGTTCCTGAGTACTTAGTCTGGTTCACTTTCATTGGTTTAAATCGCTTTTCGGAGTTTATGGTTCACAAGCCTGAAGAAGGATTCTTCTCTTGGATCTTGGCAATCTTGCTTTCACCTCTGGTAATCTCTCATCATAAAAGTATTTATTTATTGGGGTTTGTACTATCTAATTGATCACTTCCACAAAATTTGATTTCAGCTTTGGATATTTTCAACATTAATTGAGTTCTATTTGAAGTGGACACAACCATTGAAGAAATATAATATGGTCCCATCTCATAGTTTCATCAAACAGATTTCTTCGTGCTCGCTCTCATCTCTACCAGCTAATTTTTATGGCAATGTCAAAGAAGGAAGCCTTATCCCAAAGAAATCAGAAAACCTCAGCTTCTGCAAAAATGGTTTGATCATAGAAGGTGAGGAGAATCCAATGGAAACTGAAATTGTTATCTTTGCAACGGGATACAAAAGTGAAGAAAAGCTCAAGAACATTTTCAAATCCAGCTACTTTCAAAAATGCATTATTGGGTCATCAGCTCCTTTATACAGGTACTAAGATCCCAATCCTTACCTCTCACCTTTTACTTTAAGAGACAGACGTTCGCTTATTAAAGGACAAATGTTTGTTATTATATTTCAGAGATTGCATTCATCCTCGAATTCCACAGCTAGCTATACTTGGATATGCATACAGTCATTCAGATTTATATGCTGCGGAAATGAGAAGCAAGTGGGTGGCACATTTTCTTGCAGGAAAATTCACATTACCAACCATAAATGAAATGGAAGCTCAAGTGACAGAATGGGAAAAACTTAGAAGGTATTACGCTGAAGAGAGATACAGTGGTTCGTGTATCAATGCATTGCATCAAATCTATTGCAATGATCAGCTGAGCAAGGACATGGGATGCAATCCAAGAAGGAAAAACTGCTTTCTTGCTGAGCTATTTTCTCCTTATGGTCCTAATGATTACAAATACATCTGTTACCAGTAAGAAGATTAGATTAAACTTAATTGTATTCCTTCGCAGTACTGTTGTGATGAACTTATTTTATGAAAAACAAGCAAGAATGACGCTAGAAATGAAAACAGGAGGCTCCGGTGGTTCTAATTGGAGGCCTCTTGAGATGCAGCTACTAGTAGTTTCACTCTAACCACTGCACATAGTTCGAAATGGAAATTTTCTTGGTTCCAATCTGCATATATTCATTTTTTTTTTTTATCTTATATATATGTCATCAATGTTGTCTTTATATCATTCTAATAAATGGTTTACGTATGGTGCCAATCAAATAAAAATGGCAGCTGACAATTTTGACTATAAGTTATTAATGAGGCTATGCAGTGTGCAATTGTGGCCTTCAAATTTCATTGATTTTTGAACATTCAAGATATTTTTCCAACTCATCGATCCATTTTTATTTGCTATCAATTGTATTAATAACATTTAGTAAACATTAAGAAATTTCTGAGTGGTGTATCATTACCGCTGTGCAAAGGGAACATGGCAAATTGGTCATCACCCAATAAAATCTAAGAAATGTCAAAATTAACTTATCCACGTTTCTTATTGGTCACTTCTTTAGAAATTTTGCTCCATGATGTGATATCCAACCAACAAATAATTATCAGAAAATACTTGTCGATAGAAAATAAGTACATCCATTGTAATATCTACATAATATAAATAAAAAATACAAATATTTGAACTATCTAGGTAAAAAAAAAAAAAAAAAAATATAAATAAAAAATACAAATATTGAAACTATCTAGGTAAAAAACAAAAAAAAAAAAAAAAAAATGATTCTATTTGTGTTAACACGAATAAAGAAAAAAGGCCCTTTCCAGAATACTACAGCCCTTTTTGCTTAGCGTGTATCGTCCCAAAATGCAGTTCGAAACCAATATGACAAAATAGAATCTCCAACAGCTTTTGTTGCTTCACGTTATGTACTTCAGTATATAAGTGACTCATACCGTACACCACTTAAGTGTATAAAATAGCTCAAAAAAAAAAAAAAAAAAAAAAAAAATTATTCTTTATGGTTAACACGAATAAAGAAACAGCCCTTTCCAGTAACTCACTACAGCCTTTTTGCTTAGCTTGTATCGTCCCAAATCAATCAACCAATATGACAAGAGAAGAATCTCACAGCTTTGTGCTTCGTTTGTATCAGTATAAGCTCTACAGTACACACTTAAGTGTATAAATAAAGCTCAAAACCTGCACTATCTCCCAAGAAAGCAAAACAAATAAAAATGGAAGTCCAAATTATTTCAAAAGAAAATGTCAAACCATCTTCTCCAACACCTCCACACCTAAAAATCTTCAAACTTTCCCTTTTAGATCAGTTCATGCCATCTCCATATGCTCCAATTGTTCTCTTCTATCCCATGATCAAGAACACAAACCATCTTGATGTCTCCAGCAAATTAAAGCTGCTAAAAGAATCTCTATCACAGACCTTAACTTGCTTTTACCCTCTAGCTGGAATTATCAAAGATGATCTTTCAATTGAGTGCAATGACAAAGGGGCCAATTTTGTGGAAGCTAGAGTTACTTGTCGCCTACATGAGTTTCTTGCTCAACCTGACCTCATGTTAATAAATAAATTTCTTCCTTGTCAATTCGTTGTCAATAAATCAACCGTAGGAGCTTTTGTGACAAATATTCAAGCAAACATCTTCGATTGCGATGGTATTGCCATTGGTATTTGCATATCTCACAAAATCTTGGATGGCGATGCACTGAGTACATTTCTCAAGGGGTGGACTTATGCTTCCAGGGGATGCAATGAAGCAATATATCCTAAATTTGTTGCTAGTTTTCTTTTCCCTGCAAATGACTTATGGCTTAAAAACTCATCAGCTGTGATGTGGAGTTCCTTGTTGAGAAAGGGTAATTGCATAACCAGAAGATTTGTTTTTGATTCCTCAGCAATAGAAAAGCTTAAGGCTCAGGCAAACAGTTCGGGTCTGCAATGTCCAACTCGAGTTGAGACAGTCTCAGCTTTTCTTTGGAAGTCCATTATGTCTGCCTCTGCAAAAGTAAATGGATTTCAAAAGCCTTCTTTATTAACACACATAGTGAATCTGCGTAGAAGAATGGAACCATCCTTGTCAGAGAATTCCTTGGGAAATTTCCTGTGGATAGCAGCTGCACAGTACACAGACGAGGCCAAGCCGAAACTCAGTGATTTGGTGAGTAAAGTGAAGGAAGCGATATCAAGAATTGATGAGGAGTTTGTTAAGAAAATAAAAGGTGAGGAAGAGAATTCTGTGCTGTCTGAGTCTCTAAAGGAAATTGGTGAAATGGACTCTTATAAAAATGGAAGAGACTGCTTTGGATTTTCAAGCTGGTGCAAATTTGGCTATTATGATGCTGATTTTGGGTGGGGAAAGCCTGTGTGGATTAGCAGTATGGGTTTGGAAGGTTCAGTATTTATGAATCTGATAATTTTGGTTGAAACAAGATTTGGTGATGGTATAGAAGCATGGTTGACCCTAGATGAACAAGAAATGGCCATTTTGGAAGGCAACCAAGACCTCCTCAAATTGGCATCCCTGAACCCAAGTCCTCTGGTTATTGGTAACTCATTAATCCTCACATAACCACCAATCTTCACTCACCTATTTTAATTCTTATTATCATGTAATAAACAGAATTGTCACTAAGGAACAGTCTGTAACCTTTTCCACTGTACATTCCTAGCATGCATATTCTTGCAGCATTGTTGCTTTAAGGCAATTTTAAAGAACTAAGTTTTTATTTGGACTGATTTTTCATACACGAGGATTGAAAATGCTGCGATAAAAGTGTCAAACCACCAGCATCAAACATTTTTTGCAGAGATATTATGGTTATAAAGTAGGGAGTTTTACTTTCCATTTCAAAGGGAACAGTTTGTTCGCTTGAGCTATAGTTATAGATAAGGCTTGAGCTATAGTCATAGGTAAGATTTATCTATATTTGGTATTTGAAACCATATAGCAAATTAATCAAAACAAATTGTTTTAAAATATATTTTTTGATATTATTAAGGATGTGCTCACACTTTTCATTTTAACTATATTTTTGTGCCAGAGAATCATTTATGTTTAAAACTTCTACGATGACCACTTTACCGGTCCATTTTGGGTCACCGGGTAAAATTATTACTGTTTTATCTATATTTAAAATATATTTTTTCTTGGTGAATGATTTATAACTGTTTTTATTGGTTTGGCGAACGGGAGTTTATACATCCGAGCGTAGGTAATTCTAATTGTATGTATGGCCGTATTAATGGGTTGAGTCTGAAATTTATTATGGCTGACAGGACGACCACTGGGCACCTGTCCGCTACCCATATTTGATTATGGGGCCCATCTACATTCTGATGATGTTTATTTTACTCACCGTCCGATCCAACGGCATCAGATAAAATTAAAAAAACAATAATGTGAACGTCGCCGTTGAACTTGCAGAATTTGACAAGCTGACAAAGGCACCTTCTTTCTCTCTCGCTGATCGTCACCATAGGAATTGGGAACAAAAAAAAAAAAAAAAAAAAAAATTGGGAACAAAAAAAAAAAAAAAAAAAAAAAAAAAAAAAAAAAAAAAAAGTCTCGCGTTGAATCGCAGCGCTGGTCGTTGTTGCCTTTGCCTGAAAAATGAAAATTGAAATGAAATGAGAAGAAAAAAGCAAAGCACAACATTCTTTGCTTTCTTTTTACCCTTATGGCTTCTCTCCTCTCTTTCTTTCTGTTTTTCGTTTTTGCTTCTTTCCCACCCGTTCATAGTGAAAAATCTAATTCCACTTTTACCCCCATCAATCGCGATCTTTACCATGCCAGGTACGTATCAACTGTTATATTTCTCTTCATTTATTAGGGTTTTTTTTTTTTTTTTTTTTTTTTTTTTTTTTTTTTTTTTTTTTTTTTTTTTTTCAATTTCAAGATTTTGAGATTTTATTTGAATCCTGAGTAACAATAGTTAAAGGCGAAACTTTTCTCATTTTTTATGCTGTTGTTGAATTTAATTAACTGTACTGAAGATGGATTTTCCTTAAAAATTTTATTCTTGGCAGTGTTGATTTGTTGGAGCAGATAAAGGCATTGGTTCATCGTCATCCAGATAAACTCACTGTATGGGCTACTCGTGCTTCTCTGTTGTTGTTGTTGTTGGTTTTTTTTTTTTTTTTTTTTTTTTTTTTTTTTTTTTTTTTTTTTTTTTTTTTTTTTTTTCAGGCTGGAAACTTTAAATTGTTGCCTTTTTATAGGTGGAGACGATTGAAACCGAAAACAAAGGTTACCAAGCAGAGATCACAGTAGTTACATATTGCAGGAGTAGGAGAGAGAGCGATGACAGGTCGAAGTTTCGGATCCTTCTGGTAAGTTTTCTGCTTATGTTGTACATGGAACCCATCAAATTTTACCTGTTAGAACTTAAAATTTTCACATTTGCTGAGGATAAAGAAATCCCTAAAGAATTGGAATGATATGTGATTCAGCTTAAACAGGGGAGAGAATAGAGAAGAGAATACCAGTATATTTATAATCTTGTTTTGGATTTGGATATGTGGTTTTAGTGGATTAGATCATCTCAAATTGGTAATTGCTGGTTTTCTTGACAGATGATTCCTTGTCTTCCAGAGTTTTGGGCAGCATGGGAGGGAGCTCATTACAACAGAACTTGCATTGCGGATCTTGTCAATCTTAAGTGAAGAACAATTTCTACCCAATATAAGTCCAGCTTCCTTAAATAGTACTCTAGACAAGCTTGTCATAAAGGTAACTTATCACCCCACATCAGTTGTGCGAACAACTGAAGATGTCCTCTGTCACGTGCATAATATAGCTTTAACTGCCTTATGAGTGTGAATTAAAATATTTATCTAGGTTAGCAACTTATGAGTTTACTGTTTGGGGACCAAAGGTAGGTTATTATTAGTCATCAAAATGTTTCTGAAACTTATTTATGGAAGATTTGTTTTATAAATGCTGGTTTTCCAATGATATACAGGTGGTGCCTATGGAAAATCTGAATGGTCGCAAACTTGTTGAAGAAGGAGATCTTTGTGAGAGGAGAAATGGTTATGCCGTTGACATTAGTAAATTCAGTATGTTTGTTTGGAAGTACACAGAAACACTTAGCTTTACCTTTTTGTGGCAGGTAGAGGAGTTGATCTCAACCGGAACTGGAGTGTTGACTGGGGCAAAAAGGAGAAGGTTTAATATACTGATTTACTATACCTGTTAAATTCTAGTCTGTATCCAATACTTGAATTGATCATCATTGACAAGCTCTTTAGAGTAAATCACTTACTATACCTGTTAAATTCTAGTCTGTATCCAATACTTGTATTGATCATCATTGACAAGCTCTTTAGAGTAAATTACTTGTTTTTTTAGCTTCCATGTACCTATTATTTATGTTTAAATGTTATAACTTCAAATTAACAGCATGCTGTTATCTGATATATAATTCCTGTCTCATATTTCTTGTCTATTCAATTATAGGATTATGATCCATATGAAGAGAATCCTGGCACTGGCCCTTTCAGTGAGCCTGAAACTCAAATAATGAGGAAACTTGCCTTGTCCTTTGATCCTCACGTATGGGTCAACGTGCACTCTGGAATGGAGGTTAGAAATGCTAAATTCTTCATCAGTATTACTTGTCTTCAGTTGCTGAATGATGCGAGTAGGAAATATAATCTACATCTCTCGATGTTAAATTATTGTTTAAACCTTGCCAAGTTACCTACTAAATTCCTTATCAGTGTTCCTTGTCTTTGCTTGCTGAATGATTATAGGAAATATTATCTATATCTCAGAAGGTTAAATTATTGTATAAACTTCACCATCTTCACTAAGAAGCATTAGTGAATGCTCTGATTCAATAAATTTTATATATTTACTTAAATGCAATGTTTATGGCTTGAGCAAATTGAAGTTAGTTGATTAACACCAATTTTGGCAATTGGTTTATGTGCAAGTACTAATATGTCTGAAATTCCCTCTAATGCATGAGTTGATATCCTATATGTATGCATCTAGGAGATTAGATCCCAGTAAACTAGTTTAGATTGCAATTTGTAGCAAGTAACCTTGGCTGGGATAAGGACAGTAACTTGACTGAGATAGAGTTCTTCCCACCTAGTCTTACTTATATTCCATAAACATGTTGCTCTATCTCTCTCTCTCTCACACCCTAATTTTCTTTCTTTTCTCTTCAACTTATTTTGTTTTACTGTTGAGAGGAATAGATAATTTTTCCTATGAAAGTGCTGGTGCAGTTATTCCGGTGTTGGTACATTTTACTCTTAGTTGAAAATCAATGCTTGATGTGTTTTTTCTGTGTATGTGGGTTGCTTCCTTTTTTTTTTTTTCCGTTTTTTTATCTAAGCTTTTATTAACTATATTGAATGATGTCATGCTTTGCTTTTATTTGTTTAGGCATTATTTATGCCTTATGACCACAAGAACACAACCCCTGATGGATTACCTTCACGGCGGATGAGGTCATTGCTTAGTGAACTCAACCAAATTCATTGTCACAAGCGTTGCATGATTGGTTCCGGAGGAGGCTCTGTTGGGTTAGTCTTACTTGCAATGAAAACCTGTTATTGATTCGAAAACATCCTGCTTTTGTGGGAAAAATATCCAACTAGTTTGTGGTATTGATAAAGGTTGCTTATAGTTTGCATGCGTGACAATCTAATCAAAATCTGCCACCATTCAAGGAACACAAAATCATTGTTTGGGTTTCTCATTCCTGTATTCTGTTCCATGTTTTTTATTGCTTAACCTGTGAATGAGAATGCAGTGAATAGACACTTGTACATATACATTGATGGCTTTGTTTATGTTTGGTAATGCGACCATTAGTTTCAATATTAAAATTCAAGTCCTTGCAGATTCTGCAGGATTCTAGGTGATATCAATCACCTCTGCTAGCATGTGATTCTTTTTCTTATTTTGGAAGGAGTTCAGTTCCTGGGTTGTCCACATTAAGGGATTGTGTATTACTTGCTGTATAATGTCAAATACATGACCTTAAAGCTGGGAGACTTTTTAACATGCTTACTGTTTTCATTTTATGCTTAAATTTAGGTATCTTGCTCATGGGACAGCAACAGATTACATGTACGACATTGTAAAAGTGCCCATGGCTTTCACCTTTGAGGTTTGTGAAATGTCAACTTAATTGATATCACTCAAAGCTAGTACAGTAGCATTTCTTGTTTATGTTTTATTTGATGACTGGCAGATATATGGGGATTTGACAGCTTCAGAAAAGGACTGCTTTAAAATGTTCAATCCTGTTGACCTCACTAGCTTCAATGTATGTTGCATCACTCTCGAAATTGATGGTTCCATTAACTATTATTGCGTAATTATATTTCTATCATTTTGCTTGTTCTCTTTGATTAGTATTCTTGTTAATAAAATTAATAGATGATGGAAAGTAATTGATTGAAATTTAACAAACAAATGATCATTTTTGGGTCCAGAGAGTTCTCAATGATTGGTCTGCTGCTTTTTTCACGATATTTAAATTGGGGCCGCTGCAACTAGATGAAACCCAGTCAAAGGCCTCTACATCTGGTTTGGAGAAGTGGGTATCGATAGATGAATATCTTGATGGGTACTTAATGGAAAGAAGAAATAGGTATGGTAAGAAGTTGGAGGTGCTAGATGTTGGGATGCAGGAGATAAGAACTTATTTTAGGCTCTTCTTGTTATCCTCAGTTTTGTTATTGTTTATGTTCTGTTCTAGAATTTCAAAGAGCAAGTCTAGCAGGCCTATTGTTTCGGCCATTCCCCTTTAACCATGTATAACATCCGTGCGACACGGACGGATAGAGATGCATCTGAAATTCTTTACAAAAGAGGTTTTGATTGGTGTAATTAAACTTTATACAGGACATTTTTCCCTGATAATGTTATATTGATTTGTATTTAATGAATTGGACAACAATTATTTTTACAATGTTGAAAGTGTACATCTGGTTTGAGAGTTGAGGAGTTATTTAAGTTTCTGTCTTTCTCTTCAAGGCATGATGGGCAGCATTGCTTATTTCTTCAACTATGTCAACTTTAAATGAAGTAGATCTTGCATGACATGAATAAGAACAGTCATGGTGAAATAGTTATGTCAACGCATTATTCCCCTTTATATGATACAAGAGAGAATAGAATTGTCAAAATCTCAATTGATATAATTATAATACATGACGCTGACAACAAAATGAGTGTCATTTTGTGTTTGTATGAAACAGACAACTTTACAATCTATATAAGAACGGATGAATAAAAGATGTACTAAAATCTTTGCATTTTGATCTTAAATTATGGTTTATAGATCCAGAATTCCCTTGTCACTGGACCAGAATCTCTACCAAATTATGAATGCCCAAGCATAAAGTCTTTTCCTGCAAGAACATCGAGTCCAGAAACAATCATCAGAATACTATAGCAGGGCTTTAAAACAGGCCTTTCAGTTGGCAAGGAATTCAAAATACTGATGTTAAACAATATATAAAAAGAAGATAAAACTTCTCCGCAAACACTGACAGCTCAGAAATGTTAAAGCTTGTTTGTGTTTGAACATGATAACATCACAAAACTGAAACTGAGTGCATTACTTTTCCTGGTATGGGATTGAAAATTTTATCAAATATCAGCTAAAGAGTGAAGCCACAAACCTCAGGTTGGCAAATGATAACGGCCTTAGCCATGAGTCCATGAGAATTGATCCTACACTTCATCTTGGCAGGAAAATCCTCTTTTAACTATAATTTTAGTGTTTGCTTCATGTATCTAAGTGCAGATCGTAGCATTGCTCTAGCTTTACTGTCTGGAATGCACCCAGCCAAAATCATTTCTTCGTACACAGATGGCACCTGCAAACATGCAGTGTATTTTTATATCATGCATGATACAGTTGATTCATAATCATAAATAAGCAGAGATCTAAACAATTATCCTGCAGGCAGTGCCATTTTCCTCTTATTCCTTTGTTCTTCATATTATCTTAGTCTAGTATCTTGAGATTAGCAGTTACATGCGAGGATCTGTCAGGAGCACAAGGAATTGAGCCACAAACCATAAAAACTCTAATAACTAGGACACAGCAAACATTTGGCAGACAAACTCATACCGCAACTACAACAAACTCAAGACAAAGCTCTTTAAGCTTACACATTTTTGTACTGTAGAAGTTAATCCTCTTTTGAGCCTTCCTTTTCAGATGCAATATTCAACTCAACAAAGCATTAATGCCAAACTAGCTGGGGCCAAAATATGAATCCATTGCCTCATATTCTACTTGGTTTTACGACTCGATTCCATTTAAGATACAATACACGCATAAAAGTAGTGACATAAAAGATTTATACCTTTTGGAACTTATCAACACGAATCAGAGCTTTCATAAGTGTAGTATATGTTACCACATCTGGCTTCAAATCCTGCAGTTCCAGGGACCAGTGGAAATGTCATGAGATGACATGAGAAATTGTAGTTTCAACATAATGGGAAACTAGATACTACTGAACGAACAATTAACTATTACTTACATTTTCCTTCATGTACTGCAGCACAGAAAATGCTTCAGCATCTCTCCTATCCTCACCAAATGCATTAATCAAGGAATTCAGCGCTAAAAGACTAGGCTTTAGGCCATCTGCTCTCATTACCCTAAATGCATTTACTGCTTGCTCAGATAAACCCTAGGAGGAAAAAGATGGAACACTATTAGTGACTCTAAATGACAAGTGCTAGACAATTAATGCATACAATACAGTTGGTCTTTGAAATCCGAAGAGCACATAGAGGGTAGTCACACATATATGGCTCATGGATATATTGTTTAAATTTTTATCTATGAAACATTGATTTCTGCACCATCTTGATATATAGTCTACCAAAATATTGAACCAATCGAGTTAGTAAATAGATCAAGAACATTTGTAAGCAAAATCGCTTCAGAAGGCGGTTAGATGCAGTTATGATAAGTTTTGAGGCAATAACATACCCTTTGTGCATATGCATTTATCAAGGCGTTGTACATAGTGGAGGATGGTTTCAATCCCGCAGACTTCATATCTTCTAAGCACTCGATTGCATCATTAAATCTTCCGGACTGCCCATAAATATCAACAAGTGTGGTATATGTCACAGCATTAGGCAACAAACCCAGACTCCGCATCTTCCCCATCAAGCTCTTCACATCATCCCACCTCTGTTGCTCCCCAAATGAATTAATCATAATGTTAAATGTGGTGGTACATGGTGAGAAGCCTTTTTCCATCATTTCCTCAAACAACTCCTCTGCTCTATCATGCCGCTCTGCTTTACAGTGAGAATCTATAAGTGTATTCCAGGTGACGGCATCAGGTTGTATACCCTCAGATATCATCCTATCAAAAGTAGCCATTGCATGATCTAGGCAATTAAACTTGCCAAAAGTATCAATCATCACATTGTAAAAATGCCTATCTGGGCGCACTCCAATGTTTTTCATTTCCCTCAAAACCTGAAAGGATTTTTGCCATTCCCCTCTATCGCGATAGCTAGCTAAAATTCTACTGAAAACATAGGAATTAGGCATCACATTGCTCGCTTCCATTTCCTTCAACACAATTCTGGCGCTTTCCCATCTTCCTGCATTAGCATAAGCATCAATTAGCAGACTATAAGTATGTTCATCTGGTGAAACCCCGGTTTTCTCCATCTCCGAAACAATAAATTCTGCGTCTTTAAGTGAACCAGCTTTCACATACCCTTTAAGAAGTGCATTATAAGCCCTAGTCCTCGGTTTCAATCCATTGTCTTTCATTTCTTCAAAGATAGCTTCAGCTTCCACAGTCCTACCTGAATCTCCCAAAGCCGATATCACTGCCACAAGAGTCGCGGTTCTTGGACTCAATCCACAGCCTTGAACCATGCCCAGAAACTCCATTGCCCGGCTTGGATCACCAGCCTTTGCAAAGCCGACAATTATATCGTTCGAGAGCTGAACGTCAAGCTCGAGTTTATCACACTCAATTTCATTATAAATCTTTTGCAAAATCACGGAATCGATTTTGTTTGATCGCGTAAGAGACCGGATAATCAAGCTGTAATTAACGAAATCCGATGGGTAACCATCTTGGCGCATTCTAGAAATCAAATTGAGTGCCTTTTCAAGCTCGTTATTGCGGGCACAGGCGTTTATTAAGGCATTGTAGGTTAAAGGAGATAAGGTCTGCCTCTGAGAAAGCAAAAACGCCTCGTATAACTTCTCCGAGCGGCCAAGTGCGTGAATTAGAATCGAATAGAGTAGCTCGTACGAGAAACAGAGGTTGTGTTTCTGAAGCCATGAAACGACGGCATATGCTAAGCCAATTGAAGACGAAGAAGAGCATAGAGATTTGAGAACAGAGTGCCAGAGTGGACCAGGCACAGCTCTGTACGACTCAGCAAGCTCGAACTCCGCGGCATCTAGTGATGTCGGTGAGGTTGACTCGGACTCAGTCGAAGCTTCCGAAGATGATATTTTGTTGGACAGGAAGTTAAGAAGTGGAGTGAAGTCATAACGGCGGCTATGGAGGGCGAGAATATCCTCGACGTCATTTTGGTCATTATCCAATCGTCTCAAAGAAGAGGCATAAGGGTCGGCCAAATTAGCCGCGACGGTTGTTACTGGAATTGTTGAGTTGGTAGCAGAGAGTGGCAGTTGGAAGATAAGCTGGTGGTGGTGGTGGTGGTGAAGAATTGGAGAAGGACTGTGAATAGAAGGAAAGCGAGTCGGGGAATGTGGCGGAAAGAGGAGCATATTATGCTTATCCTTAACGAGAGAGGAATTGGAATTAGATGGAAAAATGGTGTTTCGACGGAGAACATGAAGGTTGGTTTATCGGGTTTGGATCGTTTATGGTGGATGACGGGTGAAAGAGACAGATGAAGGTGCAGATTTTTTCTCAGAACGGCGTTATCCAAACGGCGTCGCTGGGAGATAAGAAAAAACGTGCCATAATTAAAACGGTGTCGTTGATGCTCCTTAAAAATACCAACAGAATTCCTTCCAAAACCCTCTTCAAACCCTTGCCGCTATTCCGCTTGCGAAGCAGGTTCTGTAGAAGTTGAACACTCGTCGTCTTCTGATGAATTTCTAGGGTTCACTGCTTAGCTGATCGCATACGATCTTCTCAGTAGCTATGGGAGGATCTCGAGTTCAAATCAACAAGTCTCACAAATCCCGCTTTGCTTCCAAATCGTCTCGTAATCTTCACAGGACATCTCTGAAAGGTTTGCCTCACTCCCAAATCTGCAATTTCTCATCTATCTATATCATAACTTTTATAGTTCAATATATAAAGTGCCGCCCTTTTGCTTTATTTGCATTAGATAAGAGTAGAATTGCAAAATCGGAGCACAATGTCACCAAGGGAGCTCGAGCTGCTCGAATTCAACGTAACAAAATGGTATCTTTTCATATCCAGATCTCTCTCTTTTACATTGTTCGACATAATTTGCCAAAAATATGCCTTTTGCTTTTATCTTATGCCCAAAATTCCAATTTCGTAGTTGCGTGAACAGAAACGGGCTGCCCTTTTGAAAGAGAAAAGGGCTTCTAATGGATCGTCAAGTCCTCCCCGTATAATTGTAAGCATCTTTCTTTCTTTTTTCCCCATTAAAAAGAAGAATACATCATTGTGATGCCCGGTGTAAGCTGTTGTCATAAAGTTTATGCTTTCGTTCCGGATTCATTCATTTTGTTTGACATCAATGTTAGGTTCTTTTTGGACTCTCTGCCTGCGTTAATCTAGATTCACTTGCTGAAGATCTTCTGAAATTATTATCTCCTAATGGTACTGGGTCTTCAACAGTTGCATCCTCTGAGTACAAAATCAGAGCAACGGTTAGTACAAGCCTTACCCAAATGTTGTAACATTATGAATAACGGAGATATATCTAGGTTGGTCTTTACTAAAATGGCAACATATTTCTTTGACAAGAAAAGTTTGAGCCATTTACTTGTCTTTGCAATTTGAGATTGCATTCAGAAGGCAGATTTTTTCAGTGTAACTTCCTCGGATTTTGCCTGCCATGTTTCGAAATATGTTACTTATTGGATGCGACCTATGGCTTAGGCTTCCTAATTTGTTAGCCTGTTGTTGAATTCGTGAATATCTTACTGATTTTATCTACCTTAGGTATTGAAAGCACCTCATGGGGATCTGTTATCTTGTATGGAAATGGCCAAGGTAAGTATATGGCAGCCATGTATGTTTTCCATGTTTTGGTGGTTACATGTTCCTCAGTTTTACTTCAATGCTTTTGATTTTTTGACCTTTTGAACATTGTTTGGATTTTAGGTTGCTGATCTAATTGCTTTTGTGGCATCAGCGAACGAAGAAAGTGATTCTGACTATATTGATTCATTTGGAAGTCTATGCTTGTCTGTGTTTAGGTCAATTGGTTTGCCAAGCACAGTTGTCTTCATTCGTGTAAGTTCTTTATCCTTGTGCTTTTGTTGCACGCTTATATAATTTCCAGAGGATGACTAGAATCTGGTTTTGCATTGCCCAATATTAAAAATTGTCCTTCTTTATTTGTAGGATCTACCAACTGAGCTGAAAAGAAGAAATGACTCAAAGAAGATGTGCTCTTCCAGGCTTGCTGTTGAATTTCCTGGGGATTGTAAGTTCTATCCTGCAGATACAAAAGATGAGTTGCACAAGGTAGCCTATCTATGTTTAAACTAGTTATCCATATCACTTTGCTCAGTATTAAAAATTTTATGATTACTGAAAAATTTTATGATGGCTATCTTGTGTACATTTACTTGGAATCAGATCACACTTCAATGCTTTCTTGCGTGTTTTTATTGCAGTTTTTGTGGCTATATAAGGAGCAAAGGCAAACATTACCTCACTGGAGAAACCAACGGCCTTATCTCATGTCTCAGAAGGTGCTTATTTTACTTTTATTTAGTTGCTAGTATAAGTGTAGGTCACTTGATGTAGCACCAATGAGAAGTGACTCTATCTAGGAAAGCCACAATTACAGACTAAAGGAGTTTTACTCAAGATGAATGCTTACACTATCCAGTGCCAAAACTTTTGACACCAAGGGGAAGCAAATTGGTAAAATAATGTAAAATATTTTGATAAGTGCGTCCACCTTGGAGCCTTACTACTCTTACAAATATATTGAATATGAAGAAAAAGATAAGAAAATAGCCAGCCTGTTGGCCTATTAAACCGATGTTGTCAATGGAATTCTCTTTACATTTGGCCTGTTATAGATTCCTTATTTAACAAGAATTCTGCCTCCAGATGAAAGCTTTATTTTCAGTTGTTTCATGCTTGATCTGTGGATGTATTGTAGGTTGATATTGTAGCAGATGATTCAAATTCAGGAAAATGTACTTTACTCCTTACTGGTTATCTGCGTGGTCGAAGCCTCTCGGTGAACCAGCTGGTAATACATTCAGCCTATTGGCTTCTTTTTTGTGATTGATATTGCATTGCCTTTGATGGTTTGACTGGTGTGGCATATGATATTCCTCAACATCAGGTTCATGTTTCTGGTGCGGGGGATTTTCAACTGCTGAAGCTAGAAATTTTGAAGGATCCATTTCCTCTCAATCCAAGAAAAGAACCAGATGCAATGGATTCTGATGATCTGCTTAACGCAGAGGTATTGTATGTTAACTAAAATTGAAAGCAAAGGAGGATATTTATTGGAAATGATAATAGCATGCTTTCTTCATCACTGAGCTCTAATTCCTTCATTTATCTCGTTTTCACTCCACCTTCAAGAAATTATGGTGCACTAAAAGCATATTAGTTGCTCTTATGCTTTCTCTTTGGTCTTTGATATTCTCATGCTTTTTATGAATTATAGAGATGGTATGGCACATCTATATTTTCTTATGATGTGATCACCATATGTGTTTTCTTTTTAAATAGTTAGTTAATGTATCTCATAAATAATGTCTTGGATTTCATGCCTATATTTATTACAATGTTCAACAGTTTGTTTGACTTGATTTTCATGTTACTTCTAACATATGTATGCTCCCCACAATTATTTTCCTAATGCTTTTTTTTTTTATTATTATTCCAGGTTGTTCGTTCTATGAATCCTGATTCTTTGACCCAGGAGCCCTTGCTTGTTGAGAATGTTCCTGATCCTCTTGCAGGAGAACAGGTAACTTACAACAGGCGTAAAAAGCTTGTGCTCTTAATTATTTATTACTATTAGGTTATTGATGTTAGCAATTAATAACTGGCCATTATTATGTTATTTTAGTTTTTGACCTTGTCATGTGTTCTGTTATGATTGTGATTGAAACTTGCATTTACTACTTTCGAGTTTCTGTTTTAAAAAATTCCCCTTAAGAGACTTGCATGAACCTGGCTGCAATGTGCTTTTAACATGTCTATGATGGGTGATTAGCCCTATCATCATCCTATGCATATGTGCCTGGTTTTTCTTTTTCCTTTATTGTTCAGTTTTAAGTGAATTTCTACGAACGTGATACAGTATATCATTCTCCATGTTCTTAAATATTTAAGTGAATTTCTTTTTCCTTGGATAGTATTGATATTACTGTAGAAAAATTGCTATTGAAAACATTATTATTCCTTATCAGACATGGCCAACAGAGGCAGAGATGGCTGAGGCTGATGAAAATCAGGAACAAAAAAGGTTAAAAAGGAGAATTCTTCCTCGAGGTACTTCAGAGTACCAGGTCTGTGCTCATATATCCAAATTCACTTGTATCTATTTCTGACTGTTCCTAATTTTCGTTTGCCTTAAGTCCTATTTGATAGCATTAAATCACTCACTGAAATTCTTGTAGGCTGCTTGGATTCTGGATGATACTGATGAGGAGGATTCAGACAGTGGCAGTGAGGCTGATGATGGCATGGTACTGGATGAAACAGAGAGGTATGGTCCAGGGGCAGAGGGTGCTGATAACTCAGAATTTGATGATGATCAAGCTTCCCTAGACCTTAGGAACTCTGATGAGGAAACTGAAAGTGATTCATTGATGATGGTGAGTCTTAAATTGTAACACTTTGATGATCTGTTCCAAATTTAACCAGCATTCCTTTGTCATGCAGGAAGGTGAAAATTTAACAAGAGAACAGATAGAATATGAGATAAAAAAAATTAAAGAAGCACATGCTGAAGACGAGGGTAAGTATTTCAATCTTTCTTTGTGTCATGTTTATTTTTTCTTATGATTTTAGTTATTTCCCTAGGGTAATAAAAAGACTGTTTAATTCTGATATTAATCTCTTCTCCCTCTTTTTCAGAATTTCCGGATGAAGTGGAAACTCCTTTGGATATTCCTGCTAGAAAGCGTTTTGCCAAGTATAGAGGTCTCAAGTCCTTTAGGACCTCTTCATGGGACCCCAAAGTAACACAATTGTGATCTTGTAATTGCATTTATCGTGTTACTTTCCAGAGCACGCCTTTCATGTTATTTTGTGTTACTTTTCCAGAGCAACGCCTTTCAATGTTATTTTTAAATTTCAAGGAGTCTCTAACCTCAGAATATGCCCGAATTTTTGGGCATGTTGAATAATTTGCAAAACACAAAAGCATGTTGTTATGGCAAAGGCCCTGGCAATGGACCAAGATAGCAGGGATGACTGTATAGTCAGGCTGGTCAGTATGATAAGGCTTCAACATCAAGGAAATACCGGCACTGCTGTTTTGCTTTCCAAATTTATGTGTACTTGCGAAAACGGTGCCTGTTAATTTGCAATGTGGGTCTTTTCAGGCACGAGTCCTAAATGTCTGTCCTTTCATTTCAGGTATATTCTATCATGAAAACTTTCTGCTGCTCAACTGCTAGTTTTCTCTTTTTTGTTCTTAGAAAGAGACATTTGCTCCGATCCTTATTTTGTCTTTACCCTGGATGAGGCCTTTTATTTTCTGCAGCATTAAGAAGCATGATCTTATGATGCTCCTATCAATCCAAAGAAGACTAATATTTCATTTTGGCTTTCGGAAATTTGTTGCATAGGTAATAATTAAACACAACTATCGAGAAGTTGACATCTTGTAAGAAAGGTTCACCAATTTTTTTTTTTTTTTAGCCAATATTTTCCCACTGACAAACATAAGTCAGACAAGCACAAGATGGAGAGATTCTTCATGCTGGCCGAATTCTCCCATAGCATCAGTTTTTATGCTCCAATTGTCATTTACCCACCTCCCAATTTCATTTCCACCTCTTCCTTTGATAGTCTTGAAGCGTGGGGAAGGAGGCAGTGCCCCCACTGTTGCTGCTGTTGGCTCCTTGAGAAGCATTGACGCTGACAGGATAATACTGAAGAAGATTATATTAACAGGGTATGTAGCGCTCATGACAAGCCTCTCATTCACGTCATTCTGATGTATTTCTACTACTTCCATTCATTGATAGAGAGTAATAACAGATTGCAATGAACTGTGATTCATTTATGATTGTCCATCACTGTGCTGAATCCATGTGTTAGGCTTATTCAATTCCAAAAAAAAAAAAAAGGAACCATTAATGTACTGGGCTTATTTAGTAATGAAACAAGGGAGAGTAAAATTAAAGAGAAAAATAGAAACCTTTTATATTAAGGGAAAAAACAGAGATTGAATTCAAGAGTTTATAGTTTCCTGTACATCTGAAAACAGCACTGATTTGCCTTTTATAGATGCAATTAATTGCTTGTCTATTTGTGTGGGCTTGTGAGCTTTTTGTGGAACTATTATGATCTCAAATGGATCTTATGATTCAAAGTTGAATATAATTCTGACGTTCTCATTTACTGAACTCTCTCATGCAGTTACCCTCAACGAGTGTCAAAATTGAAAGCATCAGTGCGCTACATGTTCCATAACCCAGAGGATGTAAGATGGTTCAAGGTAATACAATTTCCATGGCAGATATTTTGTCAAAGGTTATTTGCTGTTATCCTAAATTGATGAAATTCTGATGCTTGCAGCCTGTGGAAGTGTGGACCAAATGTTGGTCGCATCAAGGAACCTGTTGGTACACATGGTATGGTTCTCAATTACTTTTTTTTAAAGAAAATTTTTATTTTTATCCTGTAGCCTGTAGGTGAAAAATCTGATGATGATATTGTCACTGTGGGCTCTGTTCCTTAGACAAGCCATATGGATGGTGCAACAGCCCTTGAACTTAGACAAGCCATATGGATGGTGCAACAGGCGTTGAAAATTTGTTGCAGCCATAATGGATAGACGTGAATGCCCTGACTACGACTATTTTAAACATGGATAGCACCTGTCAATTTTGGTTGGCTTTTCAGACGATACTGACTAATGTCTCTGCTTTGTATTCAGGGGCTATGAAGTGCACCTTTAATGGAGTTCTTCAGCAGCATGATACTGTTTGCATGAGCCTGTACAAACGTGCATATCCCAAGTGGCCAGAACATCGGTTCCCAATTCTCGATGCTTGATCAGATGGTAACTGATCTTCCATCGTTATTCATTATGAAATACACAAGGTAGCCGTGGTCGTTTGTGGGAATGACGCTCTGGTTCAGATTCTCAATTCTAATTTCATGTTTACTAGGAAGTTAGAAGCAATAGAGTGTGTGGGGATTTGTTGTATCTTCCCCCATTGTAGTTGTTTGTTTTCTTTTTCTCTACCCGTTTCTGCTATGACAATTTATATTTTTCCCCTATAGTTGCAATTGCAAAGCAGGAATTGGAAAGTAGTAGAGAAGGAAACAGAGGAAAAACAAGCAATGCCATTTTGCTATGCTGGCATGCTAGCTCATTAATTTATGCTATGAAAGGGAATTATAATCAATTATTTATTGAAGTTGAATCTTGTCTTCTTGTTCTTTCCTATTAATCAAGGCGACATGTTGAGTTGAATTGAATGAAATAGCCAAAAAAAAAAAAAAAAAAAAAAAAAAAACATTGTTCTCAATACTTGATTATGATTACTTATAATGGATGAGAATTAATTATAAATTGGAGATGGATCAACGGAAGCATATTGAAGAAGCTCTTCGTCTTTCTCCAAGAAATCAAGATCATCTTCGTTCATAGACACCCACGCTTCAACTCCTTTATATGTTCTTGTATCCATTAAAATGATCATATTGAAATGTGGATTATCTGAATCTTCCACATATGGCACAGCACAGGCTGCCCATATTGGCTTTCCCCTTCCAAACTCAATGTCGTATGCACCAAAGTTACACCAACTACTAAACCCAGCTAACTCCACTGCGCTATCAGATTCCGGAGTAGTAAATAAATCCCCAATCTCTTTCATCGCATCATAATACTCGAGGAATCCATCTTCCTTACTTTTTATCTTCTTCAAAAAATCATTACCCACTTTTCTTATTGCTTCCCTTAGTCCAGTCACTAATTCATTCAACTCCTCCTCTGCAGTGAATACTGCACCAGCAATACTTACACAGTTCCCCACTAAACATTCTGGCAATGGCGGCTCCCCTTTTCGTCTCAAATTCACAACATGGGTTATTCCGAGTGGTTTATTGATATTATTCCGAGTGGTTATTGATACCTGTTTTAATTTTTGAAACAAGCCATAAGACGTTTCTAAGAAAAACAAGCCATAAGACGTTTGCTAAGAATTGCAGTGACCACCTCAACGCGCGTAGGATTATTAATATTGTTCAATCTTGCTTTTGCTTTAAGATTAGCAATGGCGGATTCCTTAAACACAATCCTCTTTGTAATATGCTTGCCCTTTTTAGCAAACGGCGCAAATATATGCGCATTACTCGCCTGTGTTGGAAATGCAGTATATTGCGGAAAAATGGATTCTCCTTCCAAATAAGGACGTTTGGCAGCTGATTTACACGCAGTAGCGGCCCAATCTTTTAGAAACAAGAACAAACTAGATGCGTCGCACACCATGTGAGAAACAAGTATACCAATAGCAAAGCCCCCGCATGCAAAGGTGGTTTCTTGAATCAAAGCAACATGAGATCCAGAAGGAAGGTCATATTCGGAAGCTGCATTTGGCATCAATTTGTTGAGTGATGTTAGATCTGGTTGAGTGAGCCACTGAGATAAGGAAATATTAGTTGTAGCTTCTGTATAAAATAAACCTTCGTCATTACAGTCAATGGAAAGTCCGTCTTTAACTTTACCAGCAAGTGGATAAAATCGAGATAAAGCTTCAGACAAAGATTGCTTTAACAACACTGAGATACTAGTTTCTTGGGAACTTTGATAGAAAAGAATGGTGGAGAAATAGCCAGATGGTTCAAATTGATCGAGTAGAGAGATTTTGTAGGTTTTAAGGTGGGATGGTGTTGGTGAAGAGGGTGAAATGCAGCTTTTGGAAATTATTTCAACCTCCATATTCATCATTTACAGCTTAACATGTAATTACAAGAATTATGAGATGAAGATGACGAATCAGGTTGGCTTCTATATATGGACGCTAGTCTTGTATTAAAATAATTACACGTTCATATATAGAAATGTGGAATGGCATGTGAGAGGCTCTATTATTCAATATTTAGCAGCGGATTACAAGTTATAACAGATTATTTATTTCATAAAATCACACGACTGTGAATCATATGATTGTTTACTAGCAATTCATGGCCAATTGTTTTTCAAGCATGATTATTTTGACTTCCTTTTTGGGTTTCTAAACCATAATTTATCATTAAAAAAAAATATTTGCTCTGTTTGACAGTATTTATTCTAGAAATATTTAACTTAGCAAACTTAATAATGGATCAATACATTATTTATATTATATAATTTCTCTTAGGTTATGATTTATATTATATAACTTACTTGGTTGACCAATCTAACACCAACCTAATTTAAATACTAATGCTTAAACCCCCAATTTCCTTTTTTCTTTCTTTTTTTTAAACCCCCCAACCCATTTAATTATTTATACACCTGTAATATCCTTTAAAGAAAGTTAATATATATATATTTTTTCTCACTTTTATAGTTAGCAATTTCATTTAACACCTCTGAAACTCTCGTTTTATAATTAATTTATAAATTGTTTAGTGCGGTCAAAATCTTAATAAAGCAAACTGATTTTTTTTCATATTTAATTATTTTTTAATTTAGCAAACTTTACAAATATGTAAATCACTTATAAAATTCAATAATTTTTTTCATATTTAATTATTTTTTAATTTAGCAAACTTTACAAATATGTAAATCACTTATAAAATTCAATAAGAAATATTACAAATCTAAGTTCTATATATAGTAGTCAACTCCAGCAATAATAATAGAAAAGAAAATAAATTATTCTCCAAAGAAAAACAAATATATGAAAAGACCAACACTTAATTACTTAATTAATAATAAATCGGAGATGGATCGATGGAAGCATATTGAACAAGCTGTGTGTCTTTCTCCAAGATAGGAAGGTCATCTTCTATTAGCCGGTAAAACGGCATCGTGCTATGGTGAAACGCAGAAGAAGATTGTTCAAGACAAAACACTGGCTGATGTTCGATAAAGTGCAAAGTACTGTAATGGATTGGAGTTAACTATAAACTGGAGATGGATCAATGGAAACATATTGAAGAAGCTCTGTATCTTTCTCCATAAAATTAAAGGCAGCTTTGTTTAGAAATACCCACGCTTCTACTCCTTTATCTTCTCTTGTATCCATCAAAATAACAGTACTGAAACGGCCCATATCTGAATCTTCCGCAAATGGCACCATACAGGTTGCCCATATTGGTTTTCCCCAACCAAAATCAATATCATATGTACCAAAGTTACACCAACTGCTAAATGTAACAAACTCCACTCCATTAGCAAATACTGGACTAGTAAGCAAATCCCCCATCTCTTTCATTGCGTCACAATACTTGAAGAATCCATCTTCCCGATTTTTTATCTTCTCCAGAAAATCTTTATCCCATTTTTTCATTGCTTCTCTTAGTTGATTCACTAATTCACTTAATTCTCCCTCCTTCGTCGAGAATACTGTACCAACAAGCTTTATAAAGTTCCCAACCGAACATTCTGGTAATGGTGGCTCCACTTTCCGTCTGATATTCAGAGGATGGGTTACTGCAACTGGTTTATCAATACCAGTTTCGTTTTTGAAAGCACGCATAAGGAATTTGCTAAGAAATGTAGTAACCACTTCAACACGCGTAGGATTATTACTATTGTTTAAACTTGCTTCTGCTTTAAGATTGTCAATGGCGGATTCCTTAAACACAATCCTCTTTACAATATGCTTGCCCTTTTTACTAAAAGGGACAAGCATAGACATAGGACTCGCCTCTCTTGGAAATGCATCATATTGTGGAAAAATGGATTCTCCATCCAGAAATGGGTGTTGGGTTGCTGATCCGCAAGTTGCAGCAGCCCAATCTTTTAGAAAGAGAAACAAACTAGTTCCATCGCAAACCATGTGAGAAACATATATTCCAATGGTAAAACCACCACAAGAGAAGGCGGTTTCTTGAATCAAAGCAACAGGAGATCCAGAAGGAAGTTCATACTCACGAGTTACTTTTGGCATCAATTTGTTGAGTGACATTAAGTCAGGTTGACTGAGATATTGACATAAAGGAATGTTAGATTTAGCTTCTGTATAACATATACCTTCATCATCACAATCAATGGAAAATCTATCTTTAACTTTACCCGCAAGTGGATAAAAACGAGTTAAAGTTTCAGATAAGGATTGCTTCAACAACTGTGATTTGTTGGAAATTATGTTTTTTTCTTGAGAATTTTGATAGAAAAGAATGTGATTTGTTTGGAATTGTATGTTTTTTTCTTGAGAAATTTTGATAGAAAAAGAATTGGTGGAGAAATAGAGAGATGGTTGGAATTGATCAAATTAGAGAGATTTTGTAGGTTTTGAGGTGGGTTGGTGTGGGTCGGTGAATGAGGGTGAGATGCAGCTTTTGGAAATTGTTTCAGACCTCTCCATATTCATAATTTTGGCAGCTGGGTTGGTGTCGGTGAAGAGGGTGAGATGCAGCTTTTGGAAATTGTTTCAACCTCCATATTCATAATTTGCAGCTTAGAGATGATGATGACTAATCAGATTGGCTTTTCTATATATAGAGGTTAGTCCTTTATTAAAATAATTACATGTTCACGCATGGCATTATTATAATTATACTAACCGATTTTTGTAATCTATATATATATTTTTTAATATAGTATAAATAAATATGCAATCTCGAGTTAAATGCTTTATAATTTAATATTTTTGACATTTCTTTATAATATTGTCACGCCCGACACAGCCACTGGAAGAATTATCCAATTTGTATCAAGTCAATTTCATCCTATACTGATTTGACAGTACCTACAAGGTTTTGTTTTGCAAGTGAAATGGGGAACATTCCAGAGGGTCACTAATCCTATGATTTCCATTAAGCGAGCATGCTTAACCCTGGAATTCTTCTAACTCTCTAAGTCATTCAGAATTCTTCTAACTCTCTAAGTCATTCCACCAAAAAGCGCCTTTAATGATTAGTTTCCCCATTTTAAATATAAGATCTGATTCATTCTTGTGTCCCGCATTCCACTATCCATAGCTAACCTACCATCCTAAAAGCTAGTCAAGAGCTTTTCTCTACCCGCTCCCTTAGGATCGCTTTGCCTGGTCGGGATGTCATAGGCCCACCCGTTTTCGCGTGGTTCATCCTCAAATCATACATCTACTGGATGGGGTTCGGCTCTGACACCAGTTGTCACGACCGACTCCAATCACTAGAAAAATCAAGCCAACTTTATCCTATGCTGGATTGGCAAGACCTGCACGGTTTTATTCCGTAGGTGAAATGGAGAACATCCTAGGAGGTCACCCATCCTAGGATTTCCGTTAAGCGAATATGCTTAACCCCGTAATTCTTTCAATTCTCTAAACTATTTCACTAAAAGGCGCTTTGATGATTAGTTTCCCCATTTTCGATATATGATCGGATTTATTCATTTTTCCCGCATTCCACTATCCATAGCTAGCCTGCTATTCTAGAAGCTATCCAGGAGTTTTGCTCTACCCACCCTCTTAGGATTGTTTTACTGGGGGATCGAGATGTCACAACAATATTCTTTTACTACATTCTTTCATAAATTATTTGTCCCAAGATAGTTTTAGTCACATTTATAGTTTTAAAGATTTATTAATAAATCTCTTGTTTCCATATTTGCTCTGATTGACAGTATTTATTCTAGAAATATCATCCCATTATTTAACTTAGCAAACTTAATAATGGATGAATACATTATTTATAATGTATTTAAAAACACATTATTCTGAATATGGATGAGAATTAATAAGAAACTGGAGATGGATCAATGGAAGCATATTGAAGAAGCTCTGTGTCTTTCGTCAAGAAATCAAGGTCATCTTCTTTCATATACACCCACGCTTCTACTCCTTTATATGTTCTTGTATCCATTAAAATAATTAGTATATCTGAATTATGAACAAATGGCACAGCACAGGCTGCCCATATCGGCTTTCCCCAACCAAAATCAATATCATATATACCAAAGTTACACCAACTGCTAAACGGAGCCAACTCCATTTCTCCACTCTCAAATACGGGGTTAGTAAGTGAATTCCTAACCTCCTTCATTGCTTCATAATACTTGAAGAATCCAACTTCACCTCCATTTTGTATTTTCTTCAGAAAATCAGTACCCACATTTCTTATTGCTTCTCTTATTCGACTCACTAATTCACTGAACTCTTCCTCCGCAGCGAATGCTGCACCAACAACACTTATATAGTTCCCCAGTAAATTTTCTGGTAATGGCGGCTCCCCTTTTTGTCTCAAATTCACAACATGGGTTATTGCAAGTGGTTTATCGATGCCTGTTTTATTTTTGAAAGAAGCCATAAGACATTTGCTGAGAATTGCAGTGACCACCTCAATGCGAGTAGGATAATTAATATTGTTCGAACTTGCTTTTGCTTTAAGATTGGCAATGGCAGATTCCTTAAACACAATCCTCTTTGTAATATGCTTGCCTTCTTTAGCAAAAGAGACAAATGTATTTAGATTACTTGCCTCTGCTGGAAATGCAGCGTATTGCGGAAAAATGGATTCTCCATCCAAATAAGGGTGTTTAACAGTTGATTTACACGCAGCAGCGGCCCAATCTTTTAAAAACAAAAACAAACTAGCTCCATCGCACACCACGTGAGAAACATGTACAGCAATGGTAAAGCCGCCGCATGCGAAGGTGGTTTCTTGGATTAAAGCAACATGAGATCCAGAAGGAAGTTCACATTCACGAGTTGCATTTGGCATCAATTTTTTGAGTGATGCTAGATCAGGTTGAGCGAGATATTGAGATAATGGAATGTTAGATGTAGCTTCTATATAACATACACCTTCGTCATTACAACTAGATCAGGTTGAGCGAGATATTGAGATAATGGAATGTTAGATGTAGCTTCTATATAACATACACCTTCGTCATTACAATCAATGGAAAGTCTGTCTTTAACTTTACCAGCAAGTGGGTAAAATCGAGATAAAGTTTCAGATAAGGATTGCTTTAACAACACTGAGACACTAGTTTCTTGAGAATTTTGATAGAAAAGAATGGTGGAAAAATAGCCAGACGGTTCAAATTGGTTTTGAGGTGGGTTGGTGTCGGTGAAGAGGGTGAGATGCTGCGTTTGGAAACTATTTCAACCTCCATATTCATCATTTGTAGCTTGATACGTAAGTACAAAAGTTATGAGATATGATGATGACGAATCAGAATGGCTTCTATATATAGTCTTGATTAAAATATGGAATGGCATGGGAAATGCTCTATAATTCAAAATTTAGCAACGCATTACAAGTTAAAATAAATAAATTATTTCATAAACAGATTTTTTGGATAAAGAAAATGTTTTTAAAGATAAATTATTGACAGAGACAAAATAATTTTTTTTTTTGTTTTTTTTTTTTTGTCAATCGGACAATGGTTTGTAAAAGCCACCTTAACAAGTAACATTAATTTTTTAAACTAAAGCTATCTCCACGATTGGTCTGCTTTGAAAAAGAAAACTTACACTTAAATATTGAATTTACATGAATTTACATTTTCAATATTCAAGAAAACGTTCGAACAATCTTCTCTTATATACACTTAAATATTGAATTTATCTAAAATGTTCTCCAAATGGTAAATTAGAGTATGCTTGGCAATTTCATCATTAAAAAAAAATTAAACCAAGCGAAATAGGATTAGTAAGCATGCACACTTATGGCTGAGAATTAACCACGCATCTGACTTTAGATTCAATTAAATTCTTATCATATGATTTATATTATATAATTTCTCTTAGGTTATGATTTATATTATATAACTTGTTTGGTTGACCAATCTAACACCAACCTAATTTAAATACTAATGCTTAAACCCCTGCTTAAACCCCGAATTTCCTTTTTTTCTTTTTTTTTTGGTAAACCCCCCAACCCATTTAATTATTTATACAATTAAATTTTTCTTATTTTTCTTTCATAATGTTTCATTAAAAATAAAAACTTTTTACCAATTATCAGTTAGTCCAGTAGAATAAAGCACCGAATCCCTTAAACAATAATCAGGTTTTGAACTTTCTAGAGTGATATTAATCTTTTTTTTTTTACAATTTTTTTTTTTTTTTTTATACAATGGTTTTTACTCCATCTTAACCTGTAATGTACTTTAAAGAAAGTTTAAATATATATTTTTTTTCTCATTTTTATAGTTAGCAATTTCATTTAACATCTCTAAAACTCTCTTTTTATAATTAATTTATAAATTGTTTAGTGCGGTCAAAATCTTAATAAAGCAAACTGATTTTTTTCATATTTAATTATTTTTTAATTTAGCAAACTTTACAAATATGTAAATCACTTATAAAATTCAATAAGAAATATTACAAATCTAAGTTCTATATATAATATTCAACTCCAGCAATATTTTAATAATAAATATTTTATAATATTATATTATATATTATATTATATATTAAAAATTAAATTGAATGATAAAGTAAATTTTTATTTTATAGAAAACTTAATTGTCAAATATAATAAACGTATTATCATACAATTAACTATATCATTCCTTTAAGAAACTATTTAATTATTGCATTTATTACTTTACTATTCATATAACGTTTTTTTTTATTTTTGTGATATTTAGATATTTAATAATACAAATTCATTCACCTCCTTCAAAAAATAATATAAATGTTCTAAATCATTCGCCTCCTTCAAAAAAATAATATAAATGGTTCCTCATATTATATAAATAAAATTATATATATATAAGTGTATATAGTCCCATATGGACATGTGAAAAGCCAACTGTCTGGCTCTACCATGTGTACGTTACCGATGATCTCAAAAAAATCCATTTAATAATTAATTTTAAAAAATGTGATTCATCATTTCATAATCTCAAAAAATATAATTGTACTTATTTTTAATATTTGAGGATTTTTAGGGATTATGAGATATAGGAGAGATTTTAGGGATTTAACTATTTTATCTAAAATTCTAAATAATGATATTATCCGTTAGATTTAAAAATGAGATCCATAATTGTCCTTTGAGGAATCATCACATGCGTTAAGTTAATAAAAAAAAAAAATATAGGAGAGATTTTAGGGATTTAATTATTTTATCAGAAATTCTAAATAATGATATTATTTATTAGATTTAAAAACGAGATCTATAATCGTCGTTTGGGGAATCATCACACTCGTTGAGTTAATAAAAAAAATATTACTCTCTCCATTTTAAAATGTTCGTCTAATTAACCTAAAAGATATTTACTTTTTCCTTTTACGTCCCTCATTATAAATGGTTTTAAATTCTAGAAGTAACAATTTTGTTTTAAAGAGGGACAATTTCTGAAAAAATAGTAATATTTTTTATGATTTGACACTAATTATTTTATTTTTTAAACTTTATGTAAAATTCAACAGGACAAATATTTTGAGACGAAAAAAAAATATTATTTTATCATTTTTTTCTCAGCATATAGTCGTAAATATTCTCGTTTAAACCAAACTATTGAAGGTGATTGAATTTTAATGTAAAAGAATGGTGGAGAAATAGAGAGATGGTTGGAATTGATCAAGTAGAGAGATTTTGTAGGTTTTAAGGTGAGTTGGCATTGGTGAAGAGGGTGTAACGAAGCTTTTGAAAATTATTTCAACCTCCATGTTCATAATTTGCAGGTTAGAGATGATGATGACTAATCAGATTGGCTTTTCTATATAAAGAGGTTAGTCCTGTTTTAAAATAATTACATGTTCATCCATGGCATTATAATAATTATACTAATTGATTTTTGGAATCTATATATTCTTTCAATGTATAAATAATAATAATAATATATGGAATCTCATGGGAATGCTCTATAATTTAATATCTTTCACATTTCTTTAATGCCAGCCAATAATATTTGAAATTGAAGAGGTCTAGTCAAAGAGATAAATCTAGAAAATCAAATTAATGAGAGGGATATATAATAGTAATAATTAAGTTTGTAAACCATGATAAAAGGAAAAATAAATAATTAAAAATGAAAATAAATAACTAAAAATGATTAATAAATAAGAAAATTTGTAAAAACAGAAAAAAGAAAATGCTGAGACAGGAGAGCGCTAACTCAACTTTTTGAAGTTTTTTTTTGCTTCAGGATTATATATATAAATAGATAGATATAGATTTATAAATTGTTCAGTACAGTCAAAATCTTAGCATTTCTTTTTTTTTTTTTCATATTTTAATTATTTTTTAATTTAGCAAAATAAAATTCAAGAAAAAAAAATTATAAAATTCTATAGTATATAATATTCAACTCCAGCAATAATAAAAAAGAAATGCATTATTCTCGGAAGGAAAACAAATATATAAAAAGAGCAATACTTAATTACTTATTATTCTCGGAAGGAAAACAAATATATAAAAAGAGCAATACTTAATTACTTATAATGGATGAAAATTAATAATAAATTGCAGATGGATCAATTGAAGCATATTGAAGAAGCTCTGCATCTTTCTCTACAAAATCAAAGTCATCTTCTCCCATCGACACCCAAGCTTCTATTCCTTTACCTGTTCTTGTATCCATGAAGAAAATCATATTGACATAAGGCATATCTGAATCCTCCATATATGCAACAAAACAAGATGCCCATATCGGCTTTCCCCAACCAAAATCAATATCATATAAACCAAAGTTACACCAACTGCTATAGATAGCTAGCTCCATTGCTCCACTGCCATATATTGGACTAGTAAACAAATCCCCTATCTCTTTCAGAACGTCAAAATACTTGGAGAAACCATCTTCACCTCCATTTTTTATCTTCTTCAAGAAATCATTGTCCACCTTTTTTATTGCTTTCCTTAGTTGACTCACTAACTCACTCAACTCCTCCTCCATTGTGAATACTGCACCTACACTCCTTAAAAAGTTCCCCACTAAACATTCTGGTAATGGCGGCTCCCCTTTGCCTCTCAAATTCACAGTATGGTTTACTGCAAGTGCTGTATCGATACCTGTTTTATTTTTGAAAGAAGCCATAAGGCACTTGCTGAGAATTGCAGTGACGACCTCCACTCGTGGTGACAACCTCAACGCGTGTAGGGTTATTAATATTGTCCGAACTTACTTTTGCTTTAAGATTGGCAATGGCAGATTCGTTAAACACAATCCTCTTAGTTATGTACTTACCTTTTTTGAAAAAAGGGGCATACATACTTACAGGACTCGCCTCTCTTGGAAATGCAGTATATTGTGGAAAAATGGATTCTACGTTCAAATAAGGGTGTTTGGCAGGTAATTTACATGTAGTAGCAGCCCAATCTTTTAGGAAGGAAGACAAAGTAGTTGCATCGGAAACCATGTGAGAAACATACATACCGATGGTAAAGCCACCGCAAGGAAAGGTGGTTGAGATCCAGAAGGAAGTTCAAACGCACGAACTGCATTTGGCATCAACTTGTTGAGTGCTTACGCACGAACTGCATTTGGCATCAACTTGTTGAGTGCTTTTAAGTCGGGTTGAGCGAGATAATGAGATAAAGAAATGTTAGATGTAGCTTCTGTATAACAGATACCTTCATCATTTGGAAAATCTGTCTTTAATTTTACCAGCAAGTGGATAAAAACGAGTTAAAGTTTCAGATAAGGATTGCTTTAGCAACGATGATCTTGTGGTAATTATGTTTGTTTCTTGGGAATTTTGATAGAAAATAACGGTGGGAAAATAGTTAGATGCTAGGAATTGATCGACTAAAGAGATTTTGTAGGTTTTGAGGTGAGGTGGTGTTGGTGAAGAGGGTGGAATGTGTTGGGAAAAAATTACGCAAAATCCCCTTTACGAGGGAGCAAAAGAAAATAATAACACACAATTTGATAACGGAGTTCGGCCAATCTTGCCTACGTTGATGCAATCCGATTAAGCTCTTATATAATATAATTATATATATATATATTACAGCAGTTATTTGTAGATGATGCGAATCCGATTAGCTTCTATATATATAGAGCAGTATTGTATTAAAATACACATTAATAATAATAATAATAATAATAATAATAATATGGAAATCGTGAGAAATGTTTTACAATTAATATTTTTTATATATACTTGATTCAAAGGGTCAATTAGAGTATGCTTAGTAATATCATCTCGAGATATGTGCATTTTTTAAAAAATTAATAAAAAAAATAGATTTAGCAAAACAAAAAGGACAAAAATGTAATCACAAAATATTATACTCCATAGCACAGCACTAAAAAGCAGTCCATCACATTACATCAATACTTAAACGTGAATAAAAAGTTAGTAATTAATCATTCTATCAAAGGAGATGGGATTAAGTATTTGACTATTGAGAATTACTAGTAGAGGCTTCTTTGACTTCACTTGAATCAATCCTATTTATCTTAATTATTTTATATTCAAAAATAAAAAATAAAAAAATATTTCGGTAAGTAACATTTGACTGAAAGGAAAATCAAAACTATGTCGCTTTAATGAATTTAAGTCTTAATATAATTCAGTCTATAATAAAAGAAAATTAGTTGAACGACGAATAAATAGTTGCCTAAGAAACGTGGAAATTAATGTGGAGGAGCTAGAAACAGCTTGTCACACGTCACAGCTGGCTTATCTTGCACTGATTTTCTTTCACATGCATTTATGAGCTTCTCACATGTCAACAGCTAGCTTCTCCTTTTTTTTTTTTTTTTTTTCTTCCTTTTTTTTTTTTTTTTTTTTATTTCTTTTTTTTTTTTTTTTTTTTATTTCATAAATTAATATTTGCTTCCTCCTTCCACTATTGCACTGTGATTAGGATGCTTATTATTATTATTATAAGGTTTTGCTAGAGATCTTCACTCCACTCAGAACATTTATGTGACACATGTAAGAAATTTGAAAATAGAAGTAGAGAAATGCATTATTATATATATATATATATATTTAGTTGGAGTTTTGGTACATAGCAATTTTAAAATTTGATGACGCATAATGCTTTTGTGGTGGTTTTACTTCATGCGAATTCAGATTAATTGAGTGGATATAAATTTAAATTAATCGAATAAATGAATTTCGAATAGAAAATGATTATTTTATTATTAAAAGAAGAAATACATGAAAATAGCAACACTTTAATTACTACAATGGATGATCATTAATTAAAAACTAGAGATGGATTAATGGAAGCAAATTGAAGAAGCTCTGTATCTTTCTCGAGAAAATTGAAGTCATCTTCGTTCAACCCTACCAATGCTTCTACTCCTTTGTCTGTTCTTCTATCCATCAAACACACGAAATTGAAATGCGGCATATTTGAATCATCCACCGGCGGAGCAAAACCAGTTGCCCATATTGGCTTTCCCCAGCCAAAGTCTATATCATATATACCAAAGTTACACCAACTGTTAAACCCAGCAAATTCCAATGCTTCACTACCAAATACTGGACTAGTATATAAATCTCTAACCTCCTTCATTGCATCATAAAGCTTGGAGAATCCATCTTCACCTCCACTTTTTATCTTCTCCAAAAAATCAATGTCCAGTTTTTTTATCGCTTCTCTTAGTTGACTCACCAATTCACTCAACTCCTTCTCCTTCGTTGTGAATACTGCTCCTGCAATGCTTATAATGTTCCCCAATGAACATTCTGGTAATGGTGGCTCCATTTTTCGTCTTAAATTCACAACATGGTTTATTGCAAATGGTATGGTGGCCCTCCATTTTTCTCGTCTCAAATTCCACAACATGGTTTGAATTGCAAATGTTATCCTTAACCTGTTTTTATTCTCCAAAGAAGCCCATAAGACAATTTGCTATAGAATTTTGCAGTGGGACAACCTCAACCCCGTGTAGGTTATTAATAATTGTCCCGAACCTTAACTTTTGCCTTTAAGAATTGGCAATCGGCAAAAGATTCGTTAAACCACAATCCTCCCGTTACTATATGCCTTGCCCTTTTTTAAAAAAAGGGAAGCAATACATAGTACTAAGATAAAATTCACCTCTCTTGAGAATGCCCAGTATATGGTGGAAAATGGATCTACGTTCAAATAAGGGTTTTGTTTTGCTAGGTAATTTGACATGTAGTAGCAGCCCAATCTTTTTAGGAAAGGAAAGACAAAGTAAGTTTTGCATCGGAAAACCATGTGAGAAAACAACTATACCGATGGTAAAGCCACCGCAAGGAAAGGTGGGTTTTCCCTTGCAATCGAAAGCAAGAAGGTAGATTCCCAGAAGAAAGTTCAGACTCTCAACGATTTTATTGGGCAAGCAATTTGAAATGACAGTATGTGGAAATCAGGTTGAAGTCCAGATATTTGAGATAAAGGGAAATGTTAGATGTAAGCTTTCTGTGTAATAAACACCTTGAGATAAAGGAATGTTAGATGTAGCTTCTGTGTAATAAACACCTTCGTCATTACAATCAATGGAAAATCTGTCCTTAACTTTACCGGCAAGTGGATAAAAACGAGATAAAGTTTCGGATAATGATTGTTTTAGCAACTGTGATCTTTTGGTAATTGTGTTTGTTTCTTGGGAATTTTCATAGAAAAGAATGATGGGGTAATAGAAAGATAATATAAATTGATCGAGTAGAGAGATTTTGTGGGTTTTGAGGTGAGGTGGTGTTGGTGAAGAGGGTGTAATGCAGCTTTCTGAAATTATTTCAACCTCCATATTCATCGTTTGCAGCTTAATCAGACTGGGCAGAAATATGAGATGATAATCAGATTTGCTTCCATATATAGACGATGGTCTTATATTAATTAAAATATTTACAAGTTCATGCCACTATAAATTTATTAATTGATTTTTATGCATACACGTGTCGTTCATTCAATATAATAATAAAAATATTCTTATGGGATCCTCACATTACATGGTTCTATAAATTTTTTTATATTGCTTTGATACAAATGGTCAATGAGGGTATGCTTGACAACTTTATTTGGAAGTTGCAAACTTTTTTTTTAAAATAAAAAATCAATCAAATAAAAATTAAAATTAAAAAAAAAAAATAAAAGAGGACAATAAGCTACCGCAGTGTGCCTAATATTATGGGCATCGTGTTCGAGTAATTAAATATTCTTTTAGAAACAGTTAATATTACGTTCATTACACTAAACAGACATTATTATCAATTAATTTGAGAGAACACATGAATAAGACATTATTCAAAGATATATGTGATGTGTATTATAAGGCATTTGAATTTATAGTAAAAGAAAACTTTATTATCAAAAAAGAAATATTACTCTTAGAAGGAGAAATACATGAAAAGAGTAATACTTAATTACTAAAAATGCATGATAATTAATTATAAATTGGAGATGGATTAATGGAAGCATATTGAAGAAGCTCTGTATCCTTTCCTAAAACATCAAACTCATCTTCCTTCATCAACACCCATGCTTCTATTCCTTTATCTACTCTTCTATCCATCAAAAAAACGAAACTGACATGTGACTCATCGGCGTCCGGTACAAGACAAGCCGCCCATATTGGCTTTCCCCAGCCAAAATCAATATCATATATACCGAAGTTGCACGAACTGGTAAACCCAACAAACTCCGTCGCTTCACTGCCGAATTCCGGGTTAGTATATAAACTTCTGACCTCTTTCATTGCATCATAATACTTGAGGAATCCTACTTCACCTCCACTTTTTATCTTCTTCAGAGTATCAATGTCCACTTTTTTCATTGCTTCTCTTAGTTCACTCACTAATTCACTCAACTCCTTATCCTTTGCTGTCAATACTGTACCAACAAAGCTTATAAAGTTCCCGAACGAACATTCTGGTAATAACGGCCCCATTTTTCGTCTCAGATTAACAGAATGGCATATCGCAAGCGGTTTATCGATACCTGTTTTGTTTTTGAAAGAAGATATAAAGCACTTGCTAAGAAATGAGGTTACTACCTCAACGCGCGTAGGGTTAACAATGTCCAAACTTGGGTTTATCGATACCTGTTTTGTTTTTGAAAGAAGATATAAAGCACTTGCTAAGAAATGAGGTTACTATCTCAACGCGCGTAGGGTTAACAATGTCCAAACTTGCTTTCGTTTTCAGATTGGCAATGGCGGATTCGTTAAACACAATCCTGTTTACTGTATGCTTGCCTTTTTTAACAAAAGGAGCATACAAAGTAGAAAAGAAACTCACCCCGCTTGGAAATTCAGTATACTGTGGGAAAATGGACTCTGCTTCCAAATACGGTTGTTTGGTAGGCGATTTGCATGTAGTAGCAGCCCAATCTTTTACAAACAAAACCATAGTAGTTCCATCACAAACCATGTGAGAAATATATACACCAATGGTAAAGCCACCACAAGCAAAAGATTGTCTATATATTAGAGATGATTATGACGAATCAGATTGGCTTTTCTATATATAGAGGTTAGTCCTTTATTAAAATAATTACATGTTGACGCATGGCATTATTATAATTATACTAATTGATTTTTGTAATCTATATATTAAAAAAAATATGGAATCTAGAGGTAAATGCTTTATAATTTAATATCTTTGATATTTCTTTATACTATTGTCACGATCGACTCCAACCATTAGAGGGATTGTCCGCTTTGAATTAAGCCAATTACATGTTATACTGATTGGCAAAACCCGCACAATTTTGTTCAACTGGTAAAATGGAAAACATCCCAGGAGGTCACTCATTCTAAGATTTCCGTTAAGCAAATACGCTTAACTTGAAGTTCTTCCAACTCTCCAAGTTATTTCACCAAAAGACATTTCTTAGGATCGCTTTACTAGGTCGGAATGTCACAACTATATTCTTTTACTACATTTGTTTCATAAATTGTTTGTTCCAAGACAGTAGTTGTCACATTTATAGTTTTAAAGATTAATAAATCTTTTTTTCCCCTTTTATCCTTTGTGTACGGCCAATCATTATTATTTCGATTTAATAGTTTTCCTAGAGAATTGATATTACATTAAGGATAACATAGTCAATTTACTCAATAATTTAGACAAATTTAATAATTTTCTTAAGAAACGTAAAATTCCAAACGTGACAAGTATTATAGAACAGAATTAGTAGTATAGAAGTATAAAAATACCATGTAGCACCCCTCAACTTTGCGAGTGACCTATTACTCCTCTAAAGTTGTGAATTTTGTCAATATTATATCCCTCTTTATACTAATAATATATTTTTTTTTTTGGTATTTTTGGTATTTATGTGCAAGATATTCGCTTAATATGTGGTTAGTGTAATATTAGGAATTATAATTTTTACATTTTTCAACTATTTAATAAGTGTTTAATTGATTTAATTTTAGAAGTTTGAGTATTTAATAGAATAATTTTTACAAGTTGAAGTATTTTAATTTTAGAAGTTTGAGTATTTAATAGAATAATTTTTACAAGTTGAAGTATTAATCATTATTCTTCTTTTTTTTTTTCTTATAATGATTTAAAGAAAGTTAGACAATATTTTCTTTGCATTTTTATAGTAGCAATTTCAATTAACATTTCTGAAAATTTCAATTAATAGTAGCAAAATATTATCCGTAACACAAACTCCTCTCGGGTTAGTCCTTTTGACTCCGAGGGCAAGTAAAAATTAGTTAGGTTTGTCGATCCTTAAAACAGACATGCCTAGATATTTCGTGGATAAATATTTTATAATATTATATTATATATTAAAATAAAAATTAAATTAATTGATAAGTAATTTTGTTTTGTAAAAACTTAATTCTCAAATTATAACAATGTATTATCATTACAATTAAATATATCATTTCCTTAAAGGAACTATTTAATTATTGCATTTTTATACCTTATTATTTCATAATCAATCCAGCAGTAGATTATTGTGCTCTACCAATGTCATAACGTATATTTTTGGTACTTCCATGCATGCAAGTGATTAAATGTTTTCTCCGGGAGGTAACTCTGCAAGCTTTGATGGTGTACCAAGCACTCTTTCCATATCAAATCGAACTTCAATGTAGCGAATGCTGTACCCAACCACCATTAGCCAATAAAGCAGTTTGGCAAGTTCTGCTGCACTGGTCTCTGTTATGCTTGTCTGTGACCAGAAATGAAGTTTGAAAAACATACAAAACTGAAATTTATTTCAACAAACATTAAGTTCAAAAACAAGAACAAGTGCAGTTACTTGCATCAAAACTGAAATTTATTTCAACAAACATTAAGTTCAAAAACAAGAACAAGTGCAGTTACTTGCATCAACCCTTTAAAAAAAGCTCGATGCATAAAACTTTCCAATTAACATCCAGGTGTTGCAAAACTTTCAAATCATAAATCCTTGTTAATAAATTCAGACAGGGGTAGAAAAAGGCAGGAGGGATGAAAAGGGAGCAAAAAAGTTCAATGTATCAAGTTCGCAAACAAGATTGTTTTAAAGGTCAACAAAATCCAAAGAAGTTCATCACTCTCCATCTAAATATGAAGATATTACCTAATTGATACTATGAACACAGATTAACACATCTTTCAATCTAACCAAAAGATATGACTTGTGTCTTTGACAAATGCATACTCTGTCATTTGCATAACCCTCATAATCATAGTTTTGAAATGTCTTACTGAACTATGTGAGTTCATTCTTTGACTTATTGTTTTGCACTATCATCAAAGAAGTTGTCTTCTCTGAATCATATCATGCTCTTAATAATGTAAAACTGACAGGTAAATTAAGCACTATGCTAGGCAAAAACCATTTTAAATATTCACATTTTAAATATTCAAATTCTCTGGCGGATTAAACATCCAATCCATTTAGCTATATTTTAAAGTATAATACAGTCAAATTAAAAACCTAACCACCAATAACCCAACAAACAGTTAACAAAGCTTATGTGGTTCAATAAAAAAGCAAACCTTCATTTGTTCCAGATCTGCAACAGCTAAAAGTCGCTTAATAAAGGTGTTCATTGCAAGAATAACATCCTCTCCAGCACTACTCGTCAACTCCTAAAGAAGCATAAACATGAATTTGAAGTCAGAATAAGCAAATCAAGGTAAATGTTGCACCATTCAACCCAGCAAAAGGAACAAGAAACAAAGAGGTTATTAACAGTAAAGATTATAGCAGACCCATTTCCCATAAAATTTTGACTTGGAAAAAGAATTTATATTTCAAATATTAAGTTTGATGCTTTGAAAATCATAAATAGATGTTCTTACATACGGCAAGAACAATGAATAACAATTGTAACCCAGAATGATTATGTTAGAACCATCTTAATTACGACATCTGTTATTGCAATTGAAAACTGCAATTTGAAAAACAAACACAATTTAAAAGGAAAAAAAGGTTTCTTTTTTTGATAACCGAACCCCTCCGCCCCCCCCCATCTATAACCTTCAGATTTTGGGGCTCGTAGAGACTTGAGGTACTCCAACAACTCATCTGCCATCCGCAGATTTTTCTACCAACTTGGCGATTGAGTTCCTCATCTCTGCTTCAAGTAACTCAATGTTACTTCTTAGCATCCTATTTTCTCAGGACCAACAAACATTACTTCCACCTGAAAAATAACTTCACACCAGACACGTTTCTTTCCTGCGTACCAGGAAGCATAATGTGGCAATACATTTCTGTGACAGTTGTTAGCATCTAATTATGTAATCTGCAAAATAAGTGAAAAACAAAAAACACGCTAAACCTCCCTGCCTACAAACTCAGCAATGTAAACATGCAGCTTAAAATAAGAAAAATAAATGAACAAATATCAGACCTTATCCATCAAAACCAATTGTATAAGTAATATGGACATGAAGATGAAAGTTTTGTCAACCATATCAATCAACCTTAGTAGTGAGTGTAATAAGAAATTACAACCTTAAAGGAAAGAAAGTTACTTACTCAATCTTTGTGCTCAGGAAGAGCAACTTTGCTCAACTCTCTGTTGCAATTTCCAAGCGCGTATTGTGCAATTCTAAACATATAAACCAGTCATCATAACACTGTACATGAGCTGTGCCAAGATTTTCAGCTACCTAACAAATAATCAAGCTGATTTTTGTTAACCAAAAATGCAAACTTATTGTCTCTCCGTATCGCAAGTTCCAACAGATTTATCAAATAAACTTACAAGTGGGTAACTGTTTACAAGCAAAATTGTGGGGGTATGTTCCAATCATATTTGTCACTGTTCTTTGCCGCATTGCCTTCAACGACCTAAACAAATGATTTATGAGATAGATGTTTTGCATATCCATTTTCCACCAAGACCAACTAATAGCATGGTACATATAGGCCCTCCCTCCGACCATTTAAGTGAAACTGCACAATAGTAACCTATGAAAGCAATTCAAAATGGTGCCCAAAAGGGGGAATTTTGAAGAACGCTGCTGTGGTGCCCCTTTTTCAGCAAAATTAAGTCATGAATTCAGCGCTGCACATTTTTCAACATAGTCTAATAGATCTCTCTCTTGGTCTTCGACTGCAAAATCCAAAGAGGTGACTTCAAAACAGTATTCAAACATAATAATAGCATGCATCAAAGAACAGTAAAGTTGATTAAAAATTCTCACTCAACGTCCTAATACTTGGTATGGAAACCTTATCCTGTTCAAATATAATTAAAAGGAAGAAGAAATTCATCTTTTTGTTAAAATTGCTCTCCAAATTTTAACCACATTCCTTTGTCCATGCAGGAAGGTGAAATATTTAACAAGAGAACAGATAGAATATGAGATAAAAAAAAATTAAAGAAAGCAACATGCTGAAAGAACAAGGGTAAGTATTTTTCAATCTTTCTTTGTGTATGTTATTTTTTCTTGTGATTTTTAGTTATTTCCCTAGGGTAATGAAAAGATTGTTTAATTCTGATATTAATCTCTTCTCCCTCTTTTTCCAGAATTTCCGGAATGAAAGTGCAAACTCCATTGGAATATTCCTGCTAGAAAGTCGTTTGCCATGTATACGAGGTCTCAAAGTCCCTTGTAGGACCTCTTCATGGGACCCCAAGTAACACTAAATTGTGAATTCTGTATTTGCAATTTAATCGTGTTTACTTTTCATGAGCACGCCTTTCAATGTTATTTTCAAATTTCAGGGAGTCTCTTACCTCCATGACATATGGCCCGAAATTTTTTGCATTTGATAATTTTGCAAAAACACAAAAGCATGTTTTGCAAGGCCCTGGCAATGGGTACCAAGATACAGGGATGACTGTATATCTAGCTGGTCAGTATGCAAGGCCTTTCACATCAAGGAATATCCGCCACTTGCTGTTGCTTCCAATTATGTGTACCTTTGCCGAAAACGGTGCCTGTAAATTGCATTGGTCTTCTTCAGGCAGCGAGTTCCTAAAATGTCTGGTCCTTCAATTTCAGGTATATTCTATCCATGAACTTTCTCTTGCTCACTGCTAGTTTTCTTCTTTTTTGGTTCTTAAAGAGAGATTTGCTCGATCCTAATTTTTGATTTTACTGGATGAGCCTTTTTATTTTTCTGCAGCATTAATTAAGAAATGCATGAACTCTTATGAATGCTCCTAATTAAGAAGCATGACTCTTATGATGCTCCTATCAAATCCAAAGAAGAACTAATATTTCATTTTGGCTTTCGGAAATTTGTTGCAAGGTAATGAATTAAACACAACTATCACAGAAGTTGACATTGTAGAAAGTTCACCATTTTTTTTTTTTCAGGCCAATATTTTCCACTGACAACATAAAGTCAGACAAGCACAAGATGGAGAGATTTCTTCATGCTGGCCGATTCTCCATAGCATCAGTTTATGCTCCAATTTCATTTCCACCTCTTCCTTTGATATCTTGAAGCGTGGGGAAGGAGGCACTGCCCCTACTGTTGCTGCTGTCGGTTCCTTGAGAAGCACTGACGCTGACAGGATAATACTGAAGAAGATTATATTAACAGGGTACGTAGCTGTCATGACAATCCTCTCATTCATGTCATTCTGATGTATTTCTACTACTTCCATTCATTGAAAGAGAGTAATAACAGATTGCAATGAACTGTGAATCATTTATGATTGTCCATCACTGTGCTGAATCCATGTGTTAGGCTTATTCAATTCCGTTAGGCTTTATTCAATTCCAAAACAAAAAAAAAAAAAGAACCATTAATGTACTGGGCTTATTTAGTAATGAAACAAGGGAGAGTAAAATTAAAGAGAAAAATAGAAAACCTTTTATATTAAGGGAAAAAACAGAGATTGAATTCAAGAGTTTATAGTTTCCTGTATATCTGAAAACAGCACTGATTTGCCTTTTATAGATGCAATTAATTGCTTGTCTATTTGTGTGGGCTTTGTGAGCTTTTCGTGGAACTATTATGATCTCAAATGGATCTTATGATTCAAAGTTGAATATAATTCTGACGTTCAGTTGAATATAATTCTGACGTTCTCATTTACTGAACTCTCTCATGCAGTTACCCTCAACGGGTGTCAAAATTGAAAGCATCAGTGCACTACATGTTCCATAACCCAGAGGATGTAAGATGGTTCAAGGTAATACAATTTCCATGGCAGATATTTTGTCAAAGGTTATTTGCCGTTATCCTAAATTGATGAAATTCTGATGCTTGCAGCCTGTGGAAGTGTGGACCAAATGTGGTCGCCGTGGTCGCATCAAGGAACCTGTTGGTACACATGGTATGGTTCTCAATTACTTTTTTTTAAAGAAAATTTTTATTTTTATCTTGTAGCCTGTAGGTGAAAAATCTGATGATGATATTGTCACCGTAGGCTCTGTTCCTTAGACAAGCCATATGGATGGTGCAACAGGCGTTGAAAATTTGTTGCAGCCATAATGGATAGACTTAGACAAGCCATATGGATGGTGCAACAGGCGTTGAAAATTTGTTGCAGCCATAATGGATAGACGTGAATGCCCTGACTACGACTATTTTAAACATGGATAGCACCTGTCAATTTTGGTTGGCTTTTCAGACGATACTGACTAATGTCTCTGCTTTGTATTCAGGGGCTATGAAGTGCACCTTTAATGGAGTTCTTCAGCAGCATGATACTGTTTGCATGAGCCTGTACAAACGTGCATATCCCAAGTGGCCAGAACATCGGTTCCCAATTCTCGATGCTTGATCAGATGGTAACTGATCTTCCATCGTTATTCATTATGAAATACACAAGGTAGCCGTGGTCGTTTGTGGGAATGACGCTCTGGTTCAGATTCTCAATTCTAATTTCATGTTTACTAGGAAGTTAGAAGCAATAGAGTGTGTGGGGATTTGTTGTATCTTCCCCCATTGTAGTTGTTTGTTTTCTTTTTCTCTACCCGTTTCTGCTATGACAATTTATATTTTTCCCCTATAGTTGCAATTGCAAAGCAGGAATTGGAAAGTAGTAGAGAAGGAAACAGAGGAAAAACAAGCAATGCCATTTTGCTATGCTGGCATGCTAGCTCATTAATTTATGCTATGAAAGGGAATTATAATCAATTATTTATTGAAGTTGAATCTTGTCTAATCTTGTTCTTCCCTAATTAGATCAGGGCGACCATGTTGAGTTGAATTGATGATTGAGCGAAAAAAAAAAAGAAAAAAACATTGTTCTCAATTACTTGTTACTTATACATGGATTGAGATAATTAATTATAATTGGAGATGGATCAAAGCAACAGGAGATCCAGAAGGAAGTTCATACGGCACGAACTGCATTTGGCAATCAACTTGTTGAGTGCTTTTTAAGTCGGGTTTGAGCGAAGATAATGAGATAAAGAATTGTTAGATTGTAGCTCTGTATAACAAGATACCTTCAACATTACAATCAATGGTGGAAAATCTGTCTTTAATTTTACCAGCAAGTGGATAAAAACGAGTTAAAGTTTCAGATAAGGATTGCTTTAGCAACGATGATCTTGTGGTAATTATGTTTGTTTCTTGGGAATTTTGATAGAAAATAACGGTGGGAAAATAGTTAGATGCTAGGAATTGATCGACTAAAGAGATTTTGTAGGTTTTGAGGTGAGGTGGTGTTGGTGAAGAGGGTGGAATGTGTTGGGAAAAAATTACGCAAAATCCCCTTTACGAGGGAGCAAAAGAAAATAATAACACACAATTTGATAACGGAGTTCGGCCAATCTTGCCTACGTCCAATCTTTGGCCTACGTCTCCCGGACTGCCCAAGATCTTTTATAGGGAAAAATAAATACAGTGTTAAGCATACACTCACAACCCTCTATTTTAAGAATCCCGAAAAAATTAAGCTTAATTTTTCTTCTTAAAATCCTCAGCTATTTTCCCTCTCTCGCAGATTGCTCTCTCACAATTGCTCTACTCTCCTCTATCTGTGATGTTGTACTGAGATGAAGGAAAAATCCTCTCCTATTTTATAGAGGAGGTTTAACCGGCGTTCCACCGAAACCTGTAACGCGTCCACCGAATCCTAACCGTCCAACCGAAAAACAAAATTTTCCTTCTTCCCTTTTATTTCTTTTCTCAATAACGCGTGTGGGTCTCATATGTT